GTTTGAAAAACTATCAAAGACTTCTAGATAATCATTCACATGAAATTCAAACTTGCCCGCAAAACCTGCATTCAGGAAATCGAGTTAATCGATAAGTTGAGCAAATATTCAGGTATATCATTCGAATTTTTTCACCTTTAAATAATTTAATACAAAAAAGTTGAAAAAATCTTGTTCGTAACCAGTAATGTGAGTAATCCTTACCTCAAAGTTGATTTAAAGGATCAACACCAAAAGAAACAAACCATATACCTAACCTCTCATTTCTATGACATCCTAACTATCCCAATTTATTAGTGGATTGTTAAATATCACATATGGAATCACCTTTTCAAAACAAACAAAATAAGCATTTTTCGATCAGATAACGCGCCAGAATTGCCAAACAAAGAACTTAGTATTCGAATTGTCAATTTAGAAAGAAAATTTATTTCAAGAATTTTGAACCTTTTCGTTGAAAAAAGATGAAATGTCGTAGCAACTGAACATGAGACTTTGAGCTTTTGAAGCAAAATACTGAACGAAAATTTATCTTTCTTTAGATACATAACTTCAAAAGACAAACTACCTCTTGAATAAATTAGTTAGGGTTTCTTTCTATTTCTCTACAATTATAAAGCCCAGTTTCAATATATTGTTGTTGGTAATTAGATTTGACAAAAAAGAATAGTTCACTACGTAAGTACGGATGTTGTCTTATAGCTTTTCCATATTTTTTGTAAAATCAATAGCTGTGATCAAAAAATTACACAGCGTAACAGTGTTTGTGTTCGGCTAAGCTATTCAAAGTATTATTAAGTCTTATTTCTTTTGTATAGCCTACTAGAGATGTTGCATCAAGTTACTTTAAAGACAACTATTTAATGTTGTAAAATTTGCCTTGTTTTTAGACAAAAAAAATACTTTCATATCTCCTATATATTTTAATTCATTAAGCCTTGTTGTCAATAACTCCTTTCGAGTAGCTTAATTGTAACAGGGTAGGTCAAATCAAATTGAAACTAAGTTTTTATCACTTCCCCAGCTTATAATAATGAACCCTTCAAAAATTATATTTTGCAACCGGATATATAACAGAGAAAAAACAGACAAAAAATTATTTCAATCAAACGTTTCAAATTAATTTTTTAACTAATTAATCATCAGTGAAAAATTTTTCAAAGGCAAGAATTTGTGAATTACTTGATTTTGATAAGTAGATTCAATAGTTTAAACTACACAAAGGTTCCTTAAATTTGTCTTGAAAAATTTTTCATATTATTTCGTATTATCTGAAAATAACCCCGCATATTTTGAAGCTAAACGTACACGGAACAAAAGAATCTCGTGATTCATATTAGTCTAGACTTTTGAATATTTCAGCATTATTGTTTTAATCAGAAATGTTTACTAGGTGTACTTGTTCAGTTTGATACATGAATTATATATCAAATCAACGAAAGGGTTCAGTACATTTATTATATTTCAGAAATCAGTATACTGAAATTATAATATTTTTCAACGAATGCCGTGTCGTAAAAAAAATAATAAGATCGAAAGAAATTTTTTAAAGTTTACGTAAACGCATAATCACTTAAATTAACTCTATAAATAAAAAAAAAATATCCTCGAGGAAAAGTCGCAGACTGTAAATTTTATATACAGATAAGAGTTGACGAATCAGTACATGGTAACACTTTAATGTAATTAAATGTAGTCCTAGTGATAAATCGTGATTTGACAAATTAAGTATTAACTTAATCTGGCTAATTAAATAATAGAAGAAATTGGAATGAACTGGAAATAAAATTTTTTCTTATAGGTTTTTTTTTGATAGTTTTTTTTTTTTTTTTTTTATTATTAATTTTGACAGATTTTAATTTATGCGCTTCTAGATTTGTCTATTTTTTTATCTTTTTGATCAGTTTAAGTGATTATATGCTTAGATTGAAAATGGGATCTATCTGAATAATGTTACAGTATTCAAATACTTTACCAGTGTCATGAAAGAGTTATCCACGGAATTAATTATTGCAGAGCCCAAATGTTCAGAGTTTTGAGGCTATCGTGAGAATTTGGATTTTCATCAAGACAACAATTCGTCCTTTATTTGTCGGAACAAGCGAATTAAATTATATCCCCAATTTTGATATGTTTTGAAGCCCTTTACTTTGCGTAGGATATATAATTAAGCAAAATTATTAGTTAAAGCAAACACTAGATTGAGATCCTTTTCACTTCCAATCTTCTCCACGAAATCCGAGTGGATATTAATAACTCATTTTTACACAAAATGAAACTTATTTTCTTCTTCGATATTCAAGTACATAGCCAATAAACAGCTCACTTCTTGGCTCTTGTAATTGAAGAGCAATGTAACGTTAAATTCGACTTGATTGAACAGATCTTACCAATATTAGTTTGAGCCCAGAATTGAAAACTTCTCATAAGATGAGATAGAAAAATTTATTGTCAATTAGCCGACTCAGTTGAGAATGTAACATGAATTGGTAAGTATCTTATTAAGATCGCTTATTGAGTCTCGGCTCAATCATATACATTTCTTGATTGGATCTGGACAACTCATCGTACTTATAGTTCCGGTAATCATTTTTCAAGTATCATGTAACCACTTTGGTAGCTATTTAAAGAGACATTTTGAATTGAAACAAAATTTAAGGATAGTTTATTAAGTCAAGAAATCTAGACTAGAATCGAATGTTTAAATGATCAACATTAACATCAGTGGTTTATTAATTTTAAGGCATTTTTTATTTAATATCCCTTGATTCTTAAGTTCACTCCTATAACCACGAGTATCGGTACATGTTCTTTATTTACTCCTATAACCACAATGTAAGTACTCAAATCCAACAAAGATTACTAGGATTTAAAAAGAAAGTAAAGTTTTTTAGGCTTTTTTACTAATTAGGAATTAAAATCTATTTTTAACTTTAGTATTTTTTTATTTATTTTTTTTGTAAATTTGCGTTCTATTTTTGTCGTAAAATTTAATTCGGATTTGTTCAAGTCGAGTACAACGTGTGCATTGGTTAGGAAATTAGGTTTGAGTTCAAGGATCGATTTAAATTCATTCACGTTCCTTAGTCGGCCATAGCCTACGCTTTTAAAATTTAAGATTTACAACTATAATTCTTACCCCTTGAGCTATTTTCAACCAATTAATAAACATAAACTAAAAGTTTAAAAAGAAATGTAGACCAATATTGATTCTCTCTTATGAGCCATGCTTTTCTTTTTTCACTTTAGATTTGAAGAATTATCGAATAGGATTTTGAGTTCAAGGGTGAAAGTGAATTAAAAACAAGGAGCTCATTTTTTGGGTTAAAAACCATTTTAACGGATTGATCAATTGTCAATAGATCTAGAAGTGCGTTAATTTGACCGTTTCGTCGTAGTCAATAAGGAGTTCTGTCAGATATTAATATGATACCACTAAACAAAGTAGCAGAATGAAAGAAATAATTTTATTTGTTACCAATGCTTAATTTACCATATTCAGTAAAGTAAACAAACAATTTTAATGAATAATAATTAACTTCAAGATTATTTAGAAATAATAAGAATCGATTAGAATTGAAAAGACATAAACAGAAAAACTGATTTGAAACTTTTATAATATTTGATGAAAAACGTTTTTTAATTTAATAAATGCGGTCAACGACATTCAATTTTACTATACGAAAACTATTAATTTATTACTCTTCAGGTAATCTAAATAATTAATTTATACGTTTATCAATAATTCAAATCTGGAGATAGAATGAATTATAATAATTTGATGTGAAAATTTTTCATAGTTACCTCGAACATAGTAGGAGATGGTAGTAAATTTACCACAAAGTATCCGTGAAAAAAAAAGATACAGTATGAATTTACAACTCCGAAAAATATATCGAGAACAAAAACTATAAATAAATATGACATAAGCTATGGCAAGTATACAAAATTTACATTCTTTTACATCACAGCTAGTATATCCCACGATTTCAAGGTATTTTAAAAGGAAAGTATTAAGTTTTTCTCTACGCTGGAATGGAAGGAATATCTTTTACTTAGTATTTTAATAATTTTAGATTTGCTTGCTACACACAAAATAGTGAAAATTTTTTATTAAATGAAATTGACCTCGTTTCAGATTTTAATTTTAAATTTTTAGATTTTTTATTTTTTTTTCTTAATTTTAATTTAATAAAAATTATACTAGTTACGACATTTGAAATAAATATAACTATTTTAATTCTATATTTATCACTGATTAATAATAATAATAAAGCTGTCAATTGATAACTTATATAATATGTCTACTAGAACATTCAATTATTAATCAATTGAATCAATAAATAATAATAGATTATTAATCAACAAATGTAAAAACATGTAAAGGAATTAAAGGATTTAATAATATTTATTATATGAGTAATAATAAAAATATTAAAATAGTGGTGGTGTCATACTTAAGAACTAAAATAAAATACTAAAAAAATAAATAAAAAAAAATAAAATAAAAAATAAAAAAAAAGACTCACACAATTTACACAAAGACAAAAAAAATAAGACTTTTAATTATTTTAATACAAACAAGCCATAGTTTAAATTTAATATTATTCAGTCATACATTTTTTTTTATGACTACTAATACAAATTAAATAAAATTATATAAAAGTAAATTAAAATATCTTTAAAATTTTTCAATTTCTTAATTCTACTTTTTTCATAAATCAATCAAACTTATAACTTTATAACTTTATATATTAATTACTATTAATTTAGTTAATTTATATATACATTCATTAACACTACTACTACTACTACTTACTTCACAAGTTAAATTTTAATAGACTACTAATACTTTTTTAAATTTATTACATATAAAAAAAAACACGTTTATATTGGAAAACACGTTCTTTTTTAAAACACTTATTTTACAACAACAACAACAATTTATAGCATTTACAACTCAATCAAACTTATAAATAAAACACAACACATTAATAATCATGTCAGACTTTGCATTTAATAATTATTGTATACAATGCGATCAATTATGTCCCACAAATTCAGTATATTGTTCAGAAAATTGTAAAAATAAAGAAATTCAATCATCAATTCAAGAATTGAAAAAACAAAGAGATTTATCATATTCATCAAATCCTTACAATAAATATCAACACAATCATACTCATAGTTCAGTATCATCAGAATCTTCAACTTCATCAAATAGTTCAACTGAATTAGTATCACCTTTATTAACTCCTGCTTTATATTTACAACAACAACAACAATTATTTAACAATTCCCAATTATCAATATCATCTCCCTTACTATTATCACAATCTGATGAATTAACTGAAGAATCTGATTTAAATTATTTTGATTTAAATTATTCAATAAATTCAAATATAAATTATACTACAACAAATACAAAAACATCATCAAATAATAATAATAATGAAGAATTAATTAATTCTACTTCACATAATTATAGAAAATGGTTAACTGCTTTATAACAATCTACCATATAAATTAATTTTTTTTTAATTAATTAGTTCACAAGTTTGATTTTTTATATTTGGGTTTTATTCAGGTTTATAATTTTTTTTTAATTGGGTCAAAGGGGTTTTTACAAAAAAACTAAACAAAAAACATTCATACATCAAAAAGACAAAAAAATCTTTTACAATTTAATATTAAACAACAGTTATTTCAATAACATTAAGAATGTTGCTTACACTTACTTTTTTTTTTTTTTCAAATTTTTTTTAATATAAAAAACATGAAGAAGACAATTTTAAAATTATATTTTAACGGTAATGGTTCTTCTTTTATTTTTTTTATTACTATATAATTTTTAAATAAATATACATATTATTTTATTATTATAATTGAATAATATATTGTTCTTTCACTCTAACTCTAATAGCTGGTTAATAATTATTCAAATTTATTATTAGAGAATTGCAACTAAAATTCGTAATTATAGTTCGCTTAATCACATACAATAATGCAAATAAATTAATAAATTTCCGTATGCGCAATTCATCCAGATCGATCAAATCATGCCAGAAAAAAATAAAAGAAAAGCTAAAAAAAAAAAAGAAAATAAAAAAGGAGATGTAGTAAATTAATATGTCAACTCAAAAGTCGTGGTGGGGTTACTTTTTATTATTTCAAATTTTCTTGTTAAACATAAATCATGCTGTACAATTTTAATAAATAATAATCCTAATTAGTCAAATAGAAAAGCATCCCAAATAAGATCCAGCACAAAATACAGATCTATATCTTTTACAAGATCCTAATTTACAACTGAAAATTTTTTTTTTTCATTCAAGTACCACATGGTTTTATGGTTGCAAAAAAGTTGCAAAATTTTTTTTATCGCGTCATTTTTTTGTGTGATTAGAAAAATTTTCAAGATTGTTAGGAAATTAAAGTACGAAAAATGAAAAAGATCTTTTTTAACCCACGATGTTAAAGTACAACGTTTTTTTTTTTAATTTATTTCAAACTTTAAAGTTTTTGTCAATTACAATGATTTTCTTGATCTGGGTTTATTCATAACCTTTTGGATTTATTGGATATAGCTTTTAGACTATAACAGTTATCAAGAGAAGAAAGAAGTGAAAATTTCATTTGCATTCAAGGAAATTTGATATGTTGATAAAACCGTTCAAACACACAAACACAATACTGGATTTCGGAATACCATATTTCCTATCGCTCTTCCACACAAATGAATGTCCTCACTTTCCTTCTTTTTTACTCCATCTTCTCTTTGTTTTTTTTTTATTTTTTATGCATTTCTCCGAATAAAGTTTTTTTTTTTTCTTCTATGCAATATTACTTAACTTTAAATTTCATGACGTATTTTCTTTTTTAACGATCCGAATTTGACAACATTATAAATATTTTCATGAATTTTGTTCTTAATTTGGATTAATTGCTATAACTGGACCAATTTTACTTTCAAATGGTAATTGAAATTTCAATTAAATGAGTTACGCGTCTTAATTTTGCTTTAAGTTGTCATTTAATTCAATTGATGTCATTTTTCTTAACTATAGTGATTGAAAAGTCTCAATATACTAAAAGCTATAAATTTGTCGTTTTTTTGAGTAAGTATCACGTAAATGTTTACGATATAACCCCACAATTTAATTTGCTTCTCTGTTCATCGATGTAGCCATGATATAGTCATTGGGTTTTTCCCTAAACAAATGAAATTCGTCATGTGAACTTATCACCTCAAATAGATTCAATCTATAAATATCTTGAGGGTTTAAGCGGCTTTTTCAAGAGAACTCTTCACGTTATAGACTACCAATGCAAATGTTGCAATCATAATGGATCCATTGACTTAACTCAGTAGTAAACATTTTCAATACCTTCAGTAGTAGACATTTTCAATACCTCTAATTTTATATCTACTCTAGCTCGTTTGTCAAATAGAAAAGAAATGGGGGGTTCAAGTTATAATCGGTCTCCTTCTTTTTATTTGCCAAAATGAAATACTACTTGTAACAACTCGTGATGGCTTAGATAATAAGGCTGCCGGTCAAATAACTATGCTATATAATGCTCTATGCGTAATGAACATGATCAAATAGCTTGATAAAAGTAGGGTATACATTGTTACTTCGCAATAATTCGTAGCTACATTTACTAGGTCGAGAAATGTGTTTGCTCGTACTGGAAAAAGCATTAGCCCAATTTGGTAGCATAAACTTTTCAAAATTGATATCGAAAATTTTTTTATGTGTAGTAGAGATATAGAAATAAATATTAACAACCAAATTTATAAAAACTATATCACATACACACATAACTAAAAATAATGCTTCCATCATTAGTAAGGACTGGAGGTTACGTCTGGAAATTCACCCCACACATCACATCAACCCAAAGAGCAAATCTAAAAAAGAGAATGTTACAAGTTGATGAAAATATACAACAAATATATCAAGGATTAATTAAAACAAATAAAATTGAAACACAAGGTAAAAAAACTGGATATGAAAAAATAGATCATTTAAAATTTGAATTTCCTAAATTCAATCAAATGTCAAGTAGAGATAAATATACTACATTTAGTAGACATTCAAGAGATTATAGAAAACCTATACATAGAGTTCCAAAATGGACAAAATTATCATTTAGAGAAAATCCAAAACATTTTTAAATAGTTGGAGATTTGAAGAAAGGATCTGTATATATATTTTACGTATTTTAATGACTAAGAAACGAAATTAATTAAATTAATCGATTTTATCCCATATGAAATTTGAAATAAATTCTTCAGTATACCTTGCTTCTAAAGCTAATGCAGTAACTGTATCATCTTTACCGCTTATAATCATGAAATCTTCAGGTTCATCTAAATAATTATCAGGATTTTGAGAATTAAAATCTTGATTGTTTTCATTATCTCCTGTAATCTTTTTAGCACTTTCTAGATTCATACCTAAATTTTTGTATAAATTAATTAATAAAATGGTCAAATCTTGTTCTAGCAATTCGTTGTTATTTAGATTTAAGTTTCCTTGAAAATTGTTAATACTATCTTTTATATTTTCATTAATTTGTTGTATCTCGTTGTTTAATTTTAATTCATTTGAATTCAAAATATTTATTGAACTAGTTAGGTCTTGTAACTCCTTAATTATTTTAACTTTATAATTTTCCATTTCTATTGATTTTGATTTGATTAATTGAAAAATATTCTCGGATTTATTTGGAGTGGTGGTTGGTTTAATTGATGATGTATATGTTTGAATTAGTTCATAATTTATATCGTTTAATTTATTTAACATCTGTATTGATTTTTGCTTTAGATCTATTTCATTCTTTAGGTTGGTTATTGTTTCATTTGTTTTTGATATTTCATTTGTATTGGTTATATTTTGATTATTTATTATTGATTGTATTTGTTCAATAGCTAAAAATTCATCACCTGAGTTTAATTGGTCTATTAATTGTTGTAGTATATTTATTGGATCTACTGATAAATCATCATTGTTATGTGAGGGTATATCTGGTTGATCATTATGTAGTACACTTGTCATTGTATAATTATATGATATGTAAGTTCAACTGAACATGAGATTATAAAGATTAAGAATTGTTTGTTTACATTTATCATTTGTACACAAAAATTAAATTATTTCATTCAATATTTTGATTCTCACTTTCACAAAAAATTATCATCAGTTTTAGAAACATTAACAAAAGTTGGCAACCAAAATATGAGTTACAACAAAAAGGATAAAAAAGGATATTCAGACGTAGAATTACCAACAAATCCAAATTTACCATCATGGATAATAACTCCTAAAGAAGAAAAAGCAATATTTGAAAGATGGAGAAAAAAAACATTTGCAAAATGTGATGATTTAATTAAAAAATATATTGAATGTTCAAATGCATTCAAAAATCCAATTGAAGCCATTGAAAAATGTTCTGCAATAAATCAAAAATCTTTAAAATGTGTTGAACAATATCAAACTCAAGAATGCTTAGATCAAGAAAGAGATATTTATATAAAAGAAAAAATTATGAAGAAAAAAATATATAGAGCTAAATTAAAAGAATTAGAACAAGAGAAATTAGGGAAGGAAATATGAAAATAGAAAGGTTATTTAAGGTTGGGATTGATGATGTTATGTATATTAAATGATTCATGTAAATAATATAATACAAAATAATGATCAAGTAATTACAACCCAGAGCTCCAATGAATCTCTTGACTCCATCAGCTTAAGTCGAAACAGTGTAAAACTTTTGCTGCCCTATTGAACCTATTGTTGAGACAATTTGGGTAATATAGTATGTCATAACACTCAACTTATGTGATTTTCTAAATTTGAACTCTCATGATATATTATCAATTTATTCACCATTTGTAGTATTTAAATTCATTGCATCTTCTTCTTCAAATACTTTCCTACTAGCCATAAATAAACTAGCATGTATTTTACCCAATAATTCAATATTTTTATATTGATCACAAGATGTAGTTAATAAATCATTAAAATCAGATAAATTTGCTTGTAATTGAGCAATTTGAGAATTTAAATGACTTAATTGTCTATTTGTTATTGCTGATGTTGATGATTGAATTGATGATGATTGGTTTAAGGAAGTTGTTGTTCTTCTTGGTGATGAACTTTTGTTTGAAGTTGCCATTTATGCTTCTATGTTTAAATTATTATAAGTTTGTTTATAGTTCTTTTCGTTTAGTAAATAAATTGTATGATTAAGAATGAATTTACACAAAAAGGGTTAAGATTAAAATTTTTATAATTAATCGAATTTTAATTTAATCATTTAATTATTTTCATATACAAAAGAACAAGTACAACCAACCACACAGACACTCCAAAATACAGAAAATACCTTGATCTCGAAAGAACAAACTATTCTATCATTTTTAACCACTTTAAAATTGCCATAACTATTCAAAACAAAGCTAATTAAAAAAAAACTTAAATATTCAATTCCCCCATATTTTCCAGTTCATTGGCAAACTTTTGAGACAACAATAAAAAATCATAATTTTCAACTACAAAAATTCAAGATAAGATTCATTAGATGGACTCGGTATATCTCATATAACAAAATCCCACAAAATGAGTAATAACAGAAACAATCAACAACAACAACAACAGCCGAAAGTTGCAACGCAGATTAAAACAGAACCTGGAAATAACTCAAAATTGCAACAACCACCAAAATCACAGTCTCAGACTCCAATTTCAACACCAATTTCTATACAAAATAAGAATCCAGCAGCCACGATGTCAAAACCGAATTTTATACAACGAACATCAATTCCACCGAATACTCAAACCACTCAACAACCTAATAATTTACAATCAAAATTAGTTCAACCACAACCAAAATCAATGCAATACAACCAAACAACAGCAACAACAACAATATCAAAACCAAAATTAAAACCTCAGCAACAACAAATACGGCAACAACAACCAATAGCCCCAAAGTATACAAAAATTCAACCAGCAATTGCACCAAAACCAGTTTCAATAATGCCTTCAACAAGTAAATTTAATCCTATTCCTAATGGTAAAATTTTATTACCTTTGAAAACTTCTTTTACAAATGATTCAAATGGTGGGTTAAATACTTCTAAGAAATGGGTACTTCCACCGAGACCAAGACCTGGGAGAAAACCAACTGGTAATGAATGTGAAAAAATTACAAAAACTCAAATTAATAATAATACTATTAATAATAATATTAATAATAACAATAATAGTAATATGATTAAAAGAAAACCAAAATTAGCCAGAGAAATGTCGAATCCAGCTAATTTGAATCAAACACAGGGAAACACAGCTACAATTAATGGAAATAATACTCAAAATTTGCAACAACCTATGGTCAAATTGAATGAGCAAATGAAATCTATACCACCTACTCAAATTAAACAAGAGAATAATGTTATGAAACAATCAATTGCAAATCCTGCCAATTCAGTTAGCCCAGCACAAAATCATCCAAAAGTTGATAAAAAACCAATACCATTACCAGTCATGAAAACAGAACCACAGACAACTGTGAAAAAAGAGCAACTACAGCAACCTATTCCACAACATATATCTAAACCTGCTCCACTTCCCACTACTACAACTACAACTCCAATACTAAAACAATCAAAATCACCAACTGCAGCTCCACCACCACCACCACCAATAAAATCAAATGATCCAAATTTACATATGATGGAATTAAAAATGTCATATTTATCAAAATTGAAAGAACAAGAAATTATAAGAAATTATATTGAAGTATTGAAAAATCAAATAAAAGAATTAAGTTTTGTACAAAATGGAGTAATTACATTTGATGCTTTAAAAAACAATGTTAAATTAAATAATTTCAACAATAATAATACTCAAACAAAAAAATTAATAACTTTAAGTAATACAAAACCAGATCAATTAGATTCAATTAATAATTTAAATGATTTAAATAAATTTTTAAATTATTTAAGTAAATCATCAGATATTATTAAAAGTGTTAAGAAACAACAATCGAGTATAACAACGTCTGAATCATTAAATAATCAAATTAATAATTATGTTGAATTAAGAAATAAATTTAAAATGTTAAATAATTCAAATGATCAACACACAAAATATTCCAAGAGAACATTGAATAAAAAAGATGATGGAACAATAACTCCAAAAACAATTGGACCAACAACTTCATCATTTACACCAGATTTATTACGACCATTAAAAGCATCAAATTTATTTAATGATCCAACATTAGATTTAATGGATATTGAATTACAAACTGCAACAATTGAAGAATCACCAACATCATCATCAGATTTAATGAAACCAATTGATAGTCCTGATAAAATTAATCAAACAACAATTGATTTAGTTGATCAACAATCAATTTCAAATAAATATATTATAAACCCAAATATTGAAGATATTGATTTTTTTGTTGATGAACATGATTTTTTAAATAAATTAGTATTAGAGGATAAAATAAAAGAAGAAATGGAATTAGGTAAAGTTGAAATATATAATAAGAATGATAATGATTATAACAATAATATTACAAATAATGATTTTAAGAATAATAATAATAATGGTAATGGTAATGATTCACCTATGTCAAATTCAAATGATGCTAGAAATCCAATTGTTGTTAATGATATAATTATGAAAAAAAAATTAAAATTTAATTGTGGATTTTGTACTAATGATACTCCATGTTTATGCTTTGATTCAGATATAGAAATTGCTGGGTTACGATAAAAAATGAAATGATATAAAAAAATTAAAGTTAATGAAAAATATACAAAAGTTTTATGACGTATTTTGAGAAAGAATTATTGTAGAGTTCAACTATTATAACTAACTCTCTTCTAATTTTAATTCAATATTCCATAAATAAAAATTATCCTTATTCATTATTTCATCTATTTACTAACTAATTAATTAAATAATATAATTTTAAATAAATGTTAAATAAGTACCAATTAAAGCAGTTACAGCTAAAACAGCATAACCAGTTCTATAAACTCCCTTTAAAGTTAATTCTTTACCAAAATCCCATAAAATATGTCTTATACCATTAGCACCATGATAAACAAATGGGAAAGCACCAATAGCTTTTATACTATATTGTAAAAAAATAGGTAAACTTGCAAAAGCAGAAACTAAAGTATTTGTATCAAATGGAATATTTAATATTGAAGTAGCAGCAAATGTACAAGTTAATGTATAAAACATTCCAGCTAATGCAATACCAGTAATTCTATGAAAACTTGACATAATCCAAGTTAATTGAGGTTGATAAATTTGTAAATGTGGTGAAGTTGGTCTATTTTTTCTTTGTGCTACTAATACATCTTGTTCTTGATCATGAGTTGTTGATACTGTTGGAATTGATGAAGAAAATCTTTTATTATTTAATAATATTGATGTAATTGATCTTGAATTTTTTAATATTTGTATTGATGATGATGATTTTGTTATTGAATAAGAATTTTTTGTAATTAAATTTATTGATTGTTTATTTAATAAACCAATACGTGAAATCATTTTGAGTTATTGTAGTGTTTGGAATAGATATATATGTATATAATGACTGAGTATTGATTAAAATAATGATTATGAAGCTGATCTATTTAAAGAATTGATCGATTATAAAATTTAAATTTTTTTCCCGGGGAAGTTATTTAGACAAAATAATTTAAAATTAAACCAATAGAATAAATTTAATTTTTAATACTAAGAATTAAAAGAGTATGTAAATTGGTAGCTACAACGGTACTTCCCTTAATTAAGTTTATAAGAATCAATCGTAAAAAAATTTAACTGGTAGCATTAGAAAAAAAAAGTTTGAATTTGATAGCTTATAAAAGATTGTAATAATAATTTACTGTCAAATTAAATCTATTGTCGTGGTAGAATGGGATTGTCGTTCTTCCAAGATTATCATTAGTCTCTGTAGAATCAAGTTTTCGTTTTAAGACTCTAAGTTGTTGTTTCGTTGCAAACGGATTTGTCGTTATAGGGTCAAAAATTTCGTACGTTTTGTTTATTAGTAAAATAAAGAGTAAAAGTGCGACTGAAATTTGTAGGTCGAAACAACAGATCAAACTATGCTTTAGGCGACAAAAAAATTCTAGAAAAGCGACAATTGAAACAAAATGAGAACTTTTTTTAAAACGATAAATCAATTCTACACAAAACAACAATTTTGTTTTCACTGTAAATTAATTATCTTTTTGTTCCGATAACAATTATTATTGAAGTTTAGTGTAAATTATAGTTAAGGTCTTATTTGTCTTAATATCATATGTTTCAATTAAAGTTATATTTATACGTATATAGTTATTACATACATTTACTTACTTACTTTTCAACCTTAATAACTTGAAAAAACATTTTTTTCAAACAGGGATTATAATTCAAATATTAGTTTTATCATATGATAAAACTAATTAAAATAATCTTTATCATCTATTTCTATTTGGTAACATTAATTTTTTATTCTATTTAAAGATTTCTTTTTTTATTATTTTTATTAACACTAACACTAATATTATTATTAGATATTATTATAACATCAGTTTAAGAAAACAAGTTAAATTTATTTTCAAAAATTACTACAACCATATTTTTCTATCTTTCTCATTTATATTTAATCAATAACTAAAGTATGATACAGACATCAACGTCTGTCCAGAAAAATATTAATATAAAAGATTATAATACTACTAATAATAATAATAATAAGAATAACGAAAGTAACATCAGTAATAATAATGATAAAAATGATAAAACGGGACAACAATCACATTACGAACAATATGATAAAGATATAATAATAAATAATAAAAGTAATAATACCAATCTTAATTCACATTCATCACTTGAAAATAATAATATGAATTCTCAAATTGAAGAATTACCTCAAAATATAAGCAATAACAATAATAATGATAGTAATGAAAATGACACCAACACTAACATCAACGCTAACACCATCACTAACGCCAACACTAACACTAAGAATGATATTAACACAAATTCCAATAATAAAATCAACAATGATAACACAGTAGAAGAATTAAATGGATCACAACAACAACAACCACCACCACCACAGCAACAACAACAATTACCATCACCAACTTCATCTCATCATAGTAATAATAGCAAAAATTCCGAAAATCCAAATAATGATGAACAATCTGGTTCATTTAATAATAAATCTTCTGATATAATGTTTGCAAAAAAGGATTTAAGTAAATCAAGAACTCAATCTTATCAATCAGTATTATCAATAGCATCATTAAAATCATTAAAACAACAACATATGTTAACAACAACTACACCAGTAAATCCTACATTAAATAGGAACAATAGTGCAACAAATAATCCTCAATTATTAAGAAGTAATTCATCTATGAATAATTTTAAAAATTTTCAATCATTTATACAAGCTCCAGTTTTATCAAGTATAACTAATCAAAAACTGATGGAAGATTTACAAATTGGTCAACAATTACCATTTAATGATAAACCAGATACTAAAAAAAGAAGAAATACAAATAAAACGTCAAGTACAACAAGTACAGAGGAAGATAATAATGATAATAATGATGATGATGAAGAAACATTATTACAACAAAAGAATTTAACTTTGAATGCATTAAAAAAATTAAGTTTATCACCAAGACCTGTAACTAATCCTGATGATTTAGTAATTTCCAAGATTGAAGAACAAAATGCAAGAAGAAAATCTAAAACTCAAGAACCTTATCAACCAGCGGAAGTAGATTTATCATCATTTGCAAGTCTTACAAGACAACCTAAAACAACTCCAAAAATTCCATCACCAGTAAATCAAACTCCAACTACTAATTTAATTAATTCACAAATAAATAGAAAACAATCATTACCAAGATTACCAGAAGGAGAATTAATAGACCCAATAACTCATAATAATAATAATAATAATACATCATCTTCATCTTCCACATCATCATCACAAAATATAAATCAATATCATCAAGATTTAAAACAACAACAATTGGACTCTTTTAATCGTCAACAAGATATAAAACCTCAAAGAGATCAATTTAGGCAACCTTTTCAATCAAATAATAATTTACCAACAAATTCTCAAGCAAGAATACCAGTAATGCCACCACAAGATATAAATACTAAAAGAAAACCACTGAATCCAGGTTTGCAAGCAGTTCAAAGTCTACCTCACATGCAACAATCTCACTTACAACAACAAAATATTCCACAACCAATAAATTCACAACAACAACAATATCAACCACATCAAAATCATCAACACCACCACCAGAATCAGCCATATCAACAAAACGAACAAAATCAAAATCAAAGGTCCAATAAACATTTACAGCAAATTAAAGGGTTAAGAAATCCAATGTATGTTCCAGCAGTATTGAGAATGACACAAAGTGGGAGTTATTATTTATCAAATAGATCAGGATCAAATTCTCCAGACTTCTTATCGTCTTCCCCAGAATATGAAGCTCATTTACAAGCATTTGGTCATCAAAGAAACATAGATTCATCAACAGCATCCATAAAATCAACAGATTCAACAATATCACAAGATTCAACTAATTCCCCCAAATTTACATCCCTCAATAGATTTATAAGTTCAAGAAATTTCGATATATCAAAAGCTCCACCAACAAGAAAACATTGGATAAAAGATGAAACAGTTTTGAAATGTAGTATACCAACATGTACAAAAGTTTTCAATTTTTTTGAAAGAAGACATCATTGTAGAAAATGTGGTGGTATATTTTGTAAAGAACATACTTCACATTCATTATACATTAATCATATGGCACAATTTACTACAGGTGGTAGAGGTACATTATCAAAAGTTTGTGATAATTGTATTGCTGAATATAATGAATTTATACAAAAGGAATTTGGAGTTCATATAAATCCAAAGTCGCCTTCAGCTATTGAATTAAATCATAATGCAAACATAATAAATAATAATATTCCTCATCATTTCCCACATCATAAGAATCAACAAATACGACAACTGTTTAAGGAACTTGATAAAGCTAATAATCAACAAAAACCTAATAAGTCAAATATAATAAATGGATCAAATCAACAAAATAATAGTAATAATCGTAGTGAACAATTGGTGGGAAGTGTACCTGCAAATTGGAGCTGGAGTTCATTTTAAATTGTAGTTTAATTTATAGATTGAATGATATTTAGATTTAATTAGTAAATAATAATAAATATAATATTCTAATGCATTTATATAATAATTTTTTGACATGTCGTAAATTTCTTTGACATTTCATATTTTTACAACAAGCTCTGAAAGAGTTTAGAAAACACGGTTTAAATTTTTCAGTTGTGTCAAATTAATAAAATTAACTATACAATAACCAATACTTTTCACAAACATGTCACTACAAAAATCAACTCAATTGAAAGTATTGGGTGTTGATGTTCAACTAATAAGGTCATTATTAAAAGTAATAATATTAATATCTATAGCTGGAGCTGCTATATCATCAAGATTATTTTCAGTTATTAGATTTGAATCAATAATTCATGAATTTGATCCATGGTTTAATTTTAGAGCTACAAAATATTTAGTAACTCATTCATATTATGAATTTTTAAATTGGTTTGATGATAGAACTTGGTACCCCTTGGGAAGAGTTACTGGAGGTACTTTATATCCTGGATTAATGGTTACTTCAGGGGCTATATGGCATGTATTAAAAGATTGGTTTAAATTACCTGTTGATATTAGAAATATCTGTGTTATGTTAGCACCAGTTTTTAGTGGATTAACTGCAATTGCTACTTACTTCTTAACTAAAGAAATGAAAGATTCAAATGCTGGATTATTAGCTGCTATATTTATGGGTATTGCACCAGGTTATATATCTAGATCAGTAGCTGGATCTTATGATAATGAAGCAATTGCTATAACTTTATTAATGGCAACTTTTTATTTTTGGATCAAATCAATGAAAATTGGATCTATATTTTATGCTACTTTAACTGCTATATTTTATTTTTATATGGTTAGTGCATGGGGTGGTTATGTATTTATAACAAATTTAATTCCATTACATGTATTTGTATTATTATTAATGGGTAGATATAATCCAAAATTATATGCTGCTTATACTACATGGTACGCTTTGGGAACACTAGCAAGTATGCAAATCCCCTTTGTAGGGTTTTTACCAATAAGATCAAATGATCATATGGCTGCTTTAGGTGTTTTTGGATTATTACAATTAGTTGCATTTGGAGATTATGTTAAATCTAAAGTTCCTTCAAAACAATTTAAATCATTTTTAATTGTATCTATGGGATTAGTTTTTGTGTTGGGTGTGGGGGCATTATTTGGATTAACTGCTATGGGATGGATTGCACCATGGACTGGTAGATTTTATTCACTTTGGGATACAAATTATGCTAAAATTCATATACCTATTATTGCATCAGTTTCAGAACATCAACCTACTGCTTGGCCTTCTTTCTTTTTTGATACATCAATGTTAATTTGGTTGTTTCCAGCTGGAATATATTTGTGTTTCCAAGAACTAAGAGATGAACATGTATTTGTTATTATTTATAGTGTCTTGTGTTCATATTTCGCTGGTGTTATGGTTCGTTTAATGTTAACTTTAACTCCTGTTATATGTATTGCTGGTGCAATTGCATTATCTAAATTATTTGATGTTTATTTAAATGTTGTTGATATATTTACCACCACCAAAATTCAAGAAAAATATAAGAAATTGCCTATTGCAGCATTAATTTCAAAATTAATTATATTATTATCATTCGGATTTTATTTATTTTATTTTGTATTACATTGTACTTGGGTAACTTCAAATGCTTATTCATCACCATCAGTTGTATTAGCTTCGAAAAATCCAGATGGATCTCAACATTTAATTGATGATTATAGAGAAGCTTATTATTGGCTTAGAATGAATACACCCGAAGATGCAAAAGTTATGGCTTGGTGGGATTATGGATATCAAATTGGTGGTATGGCTGATAGAACTACTTTAGTTGATAATAATACTTGGAATAATACACATATTGCAACGGTAGGAAAAGCAATGTCATCTTCAGAAGAAGTTTCATATGAGATTTTAAAACAACATGATGTTGATTATGTATTAGTTATATTTGGAGGATTATTAGGATATTCAGGTGATGATATAAATAAATTCTTATGGATGGTTAGAATAGCAGAAGGAATATGGCCTGATGAAATTAAGGAGAGAGATTATTTTACAGATAGAGGAGAATATAAAGTAGATAAAGATGCTTCCATAACAATGAAAAATTCATTAATGTATAAAATGTGTTATTATAGATTTGCTGAATTATTTGGAGGTAGAGATGGAGTAGATCGTGTTAGAAATCAACAAATATCAGCTGCTGATGCACCAAAATTAAATGTTGTTGAAGAAGCTTTTACTTCAGAAAATTGGATTGTTAGAATATATAAAGTTAAAGATTTTGATAATCTTAATAGAGATTTAATAAAGACTACTAAAGCTGGTACTAAGAAGAAAACAAGAGCTATTAAAAGACCAAATTTGGAAATTAGGGATTAGATAAAAAAAAATAGGTTAACAATATATAGATATAATCAAAGATTAAGTTTTGATTGAAAAGTATTGATTCTTGAACTCTTTATAAGTTGGTGTAGCTACCAAATAATTTTTCACAAATTTTGTAACAAACTTTTTCGACTCTATAAAATTTTTAATTTAGTTTTACATCACATCTCTTTTCCATACTAAATCATCTAGTATATATAGTTTAGCTATAATAAACGTTTAATATCAATTTATTTTATAATTGAGGTGTAGTTAACGCAATTTTGGCAATCTCAGCATAGTTTCATTATTCACAAAAAATCAATGTTTATAATGATGGAATTTTTCTTGCCATAAATCAAAATATAGTTTATATTAAATAAGATATCTTAGTACAATCTTGTTTAAGTGATTGTCAATAGAGTTTATTATCTATTTAAAAAACTTACAACATTTACATCGTTATTAATAAGTTTTAAATTTAGCCTTACCTTTTTAAATTTAAATTTTTTAAACCATCGGTGATAAAATGATTTAAGTATAACCGTTTTATTTTATTTTCTCTCTCTCTCTATTTTCTTTTTCTTTCAAAGAGAGTCTTAAAATTAAAAATAAAAATAAGAAAAACATTAAATTGATCTTAATCTTTCTTTTTATTTAAAAACTCCGATTAACATCAATTTACAAATTATCTACTCATTTACTTTCACTTCATATATCAACAATGAAAGTATCATCAATAGCAATTGTATGCTCAATACTTCTAACTCAGACTGTGAATAGTTTAACATTATCACAACCAGATCAAACTATAATTCCATCATCAACTCAAATGTATACAACAGAATTAACTCCAACAACAGAACCTAAACATCAAAATCAGAAACGTATTAAAGAAATCAAAATAAATAAAGATTATGCAAGACTTCAAGCAATGAAAACAGGTTCTTCATCATCCGATCCACCACCAGCAAATTGGTTTAGAACAATAGATGGTAAAACAGAAATTGTACGACCTACTGTTATAGCAGGGGTAACAATAAGTGCAAAACCACCAAAAGAAACTGATCCATTAGCTGAATGGGTATCATTAAATAAAGAAGGTTGGCCTAAAACTATAAGACCAGAAATTAAAAATGGTAGAACTAAAAATGGTAGACCAAATTATAGTACTTATTTTCAATCTGCAACTACTATTACATATAATAAAGAACAATTACAAGCTCATAATATGGCAGATGATGAAATACATGAAGAAGTTGTTTATGTCTCAGAATCAGATTTAGAAAACCATTTATTGAATCCAATAATTCGTTGTACTCCTGATAGATATAAAAAAAAGGGGATAGGTAAAGATACATCAACTGAACCATTTTGTACACCAGAAGATGATGTTAGAGTAAGAATGGATAAAACTTCTTTTGTTACTTGGTATTCAAGATATTTTTCACCAGAAGTTGAAAAAGTTAGAATTCATTTATCAAATATTAAGGAATCAGCTCATCAAAAAGGTTTAAAAAAAAGAGATGCTATAGTGGAAGATGAAGAAAACGATATAGAATATACACCATTCGATAAAAGATCAAAAGTATTGGAACATGGAGGTAAAGTTCAAAATTCATTTTATGTATCAGAATGGATTAATAATGAAGATGGATTTTGGCCATTGACTGTAATTGAAGATTGGATAGGTAAAGATGCATTTGAAAAAAAAGTATTAATATCATTACAACCAGATAATGTCCCAGATGATGAATTTAATGTTCTTAGTGATTCAATAGTTGTTGAATTTTGGAAAGGATCAAAAGTAAGTAAAGGAGATTTTGCAGATTTACAAAGATTAGAAGAAAAACATAGAGCTAAATATTTAGGAGAAGCTGATGAAATTGAAGAAGGTTTAGATTATGAAAAATATATGATTATGATGACATTACCTACTTGTGTTATTATAATAGCTTTTGGAATGTGGTTATTTATTAAATGTAATTCATTTGATTTAAGTCATTTAAAAAAGAGAAAATTTGCAAGAGCTAAAACAACTCATAGAAAATTACCATTTATAACTAAAAAAGATAGAGAAAGTTTACCATTGAATAATTTAGATATTAGTGGACCAAAAACTGATTAATCAGAAATCTAACAAGTATATAATAAATTGTATAAATGTATTTAATGTTTTAAAAAATTAATAAATAGAGAAAAAAAATTCAACAGGATAGAGAATGTGAAAAAAGGGATATGCTCTATACTCCTATTACAAAATGTCAGAATTCAAAGTATTGGTTGGTAATTAAGTGATGTTGTTAAAGATATAAAAGCTTAATAATCCTTGTTTGTTTGTTATATATAATCTTATAATATATACTTAAGAGAGAGAATATAATAATATTTAGTGATAACTACTTTAATTTTTTTATCTCACTTTTTGATTTAGCAAAAATAAAAAATAAATAAATATTTTAATTTACAAATTTCCATTTATGAAATTTCATTACATTATTATTCGGACTTTTTTTCATAATTTAATCATCAACAATTACAATTCAAAATTGATAAGAAATCGTTATTCATAAATGATTGAAATTCTACAGTTTCTATCAAGAACATCATCACAAGGTTGGGTACTTACATTTTTTTCATCAATTATATGTATATTTGGAACATTAATTATATATTTTGATGATATTTATTATTTTATTTTTCCAAAACTGATTACATCAAGATATAAATTTAAATTAAAAGAAAATTATTCATTTCTTAATGGATCATTAGCATTAAGTTCTGGTTGTTTAATTATAACTTCATTATATAGATTATTACCTGAAGCTCATAAATATTTATTAAAACTGCAAGAAAACACCAAGAAAGATGAAGAAGAAATAAGTAAAAAATATTTACAATTTTATTTAATGATTAGTTATTTTGGTGGGATTTTAATTTGTTTATTTTTTAATTTTGCTTTACATTTATTAACTAGTGAAAGTATTGTTCATTGTAATCATGGAAATAATGTTAAAGGTGAAGATGAAGAAGAAATAAATCATCATTATGATGGACATCATCATTCTCATAATAATAATAATAGTCAACATAATCATCAACATTCTCATTCTCATAATCAAAAAGATCATTCTCATTCTCATTCTCATTCGGAAGATCTTGACTCAAATATTAATTTAAAAGATGATACTTCTTCAAAACCTTCAAGAGTAGATGATCCAAATTCAGCAGATATTCAAGAATATTTTCCACCATCAGCTCCTCAAGAACATAATCATTCAGTCCATATGGAAGTAAGAGATCATGAAAATACACCATTAATAAGAAAAACATTAAAACCAAGAAAATCATTAATTCAAATGTTTTTATCACATCATGAAAATGAAGAAACTTCAGGTGAATGTAAAGGTTATTCATCAGCTGAATTATGTACTTATAAAAATCATGAACATTCAAATAATTCACAAGATAAATTACATTTTTGTGAAATTCCTCAATTAACTAATAATGATTCAAATGAAGATGGATCAACTGAAGTAGAAGATGATGATGAATCACAACGTCATAATCAACATGACCAACACCACCATCAAAATCATCAACAAAATGAAGTATTCCATTCAAATCAATCACATCATTCTCATGAAATTGATCATCATCATCATGTAAACTCACCATTATCAAGATTATTATTGATTGGTATTCAAACAACATTAGCAATAACATTACATAAATTACCAGAAGGATTTATAACATATATTACTTCTGAAACAAATCCTAAATTAGGTATATCTATATTTATAAGTCTTGTATTACATAATTTCACAGAAGGTTTTTCAATGTGTTTACCATTATATTATTCAATGTCACAAACTTCAAAATTTGCTAAATTAAAAGCAGTTTTAATTAGTTCATTATTAGGTGGATTATCACAACCTGCTGGTGCTTTTTTGGGTTACTTATTTTTGAAATTTAATTCTAAAAATTACAATTTACAAAATTTAAATTTTATATTTGGTTTAACTATGAGTTTAACTAGTGGATTTTTAACGGTTATTTCATTGTCAATGTATGGAAGTGCTGTATCATTTGGTGGTGATATGAATTTTGTTATGATTTGGTGTATTATTGGAATAATGGTGATTGGTTTATCAACAATTTTTTCAAGTTAGTTTTCATAAACCACCTCAAAAAAAACAATTTATTTATTTCTTGTTATTAATTTTAATTCTTTATTTTTAAAATCAGGCTAGATACAATTACACTAAATTTTATTTAAATAGCGTTTGTAAAAAAAACATTTATTTATGATAAATGTTTTTAATATATTCTGCAATTGCCCAAGACGCAGTTAATCCTGGACTTTCTATACCTAATAAATTAATAAAACCTGGTAAATTTGTTTCTTCTTTTATAATAAAATCTGCAAATTGTTTTTTATTTTCTTCTGCTGATAGTAATTTAGGTCGAACTCCTGAATACGATGGATGTAATGAATTTTCAGTTATTGCAGGAAAATAAGTTTTCACAGCTTCATAAGCAGCTTTTAAATTTTTAGGGTTGGGAGTATAATCAATATTATTTGGGTTCGTAGTATTTAACCATTCTAAATCAGGTCCGAATTTTAATTGACCACCTAGATCAAAAGTTAAATGAGTGCCTAAAGATGATGCGTTGGGGTTAGGACACGGATAAATTAATTTTGTAGTTACTTTCCCAATGGGGGTTTCAGGTGTATAGCTGAAATAATTACCTTTTGCGAAATAATAATCATATCTTGACTCTTGTGGTAAAACCAAATTGGCAATTTCTGCAGCGTATAATCCTGCTGAATTAACAATATTATCTGAAGTCATTTCCATTTGCTCACCATCTGATTCAATTAATACTGAATAATTTCTATTACCTTCATTATATGTAATATCTTTAACTTTACTATTTAATCCAATTGTACCTCCATTATTTTCAAATCGACCTTCATGAAATAGTACATAATCATGAGCTGATATAATTCCAGTTGTGGGACTTTCAAGTATGGCTTTATTTGCTCCGATTAAAGGATGTAAATCTTTTGCTTTTTTAGTAGATATAAGCTCTGTCGGCACTCCTAATTCATCAGAATTTTGTTTTAATTTATGTAAATATTCTTCTTCAACTTCATCTTGAGCAACTACCCATTTCCCGCACTTTTGTAAATTAACTTGAAAATTACCCTTGGACCAAGCATCATATATTTTATTCTTACCTGCTATACATAATTGAGCTTTTAAACTTGATGAAGGATAATATATACCAGCATGAATAACTTCTGAATTTCTTGATGTTGTTTCTTGACCTAAAGAATCATTTTTTTCAACCAAAAGTACATTATTACCTTTTACTTTTTGTAATTCTGCTGCTGTTGCTATTCCAACTATACCTCCACCAATTACTATATGTGAAAAATCAGAACCAAGAGGAATTGAATGATGTAGTAGTCTTTTACTTATTCGATTTATCATTTTAATCTAATCAGTTGATCTGAATAAAATTATTCAAATCGAGACTTTTTTCGTATCTTATCTCTACAATTTTACTATGAAAAATTACGACATTTTTAGAGGGTCTAAACTCAGAAACAAGGTAAATTTTGTGTTAGTAATATGAGGGTTCTAGTCACATGATTCTCAATCATGTGTTGATTTTGGAATTGGAATTGAGTCTAAGAGTTATGTACAAACTTCAAATGCAACCCCATATATCCGAGGCTCAAGAGTTCATATTAGATTAAGGTTAAATAATAAATTAAGGCAAACATCAGTTAAATAATAAATTAAGGCAAACATCAGTTAAATAATAAAGTAAGGCAAACATCACAGGTAAGTAATAATAATATTATAAGAGAGTTGGTATCCAGAATAAGTAAATTAGAAATATGAAACAAGGTTACATTCAAAAGCTTAAGTTGTCAATATCCAAATAGAGTAATTAATAATGAGTTGTTCACTTTTAATAATCATATGATATCTTGTCTTAATGCTAAGGATTATGGAAGTAAGGATTGTGCCGCCTTTGAGTTTAAGAATTTGAATAATATATAAGGAGGATGAAATCCCCTTGAATATGAATTCCAGATTATATAGTACAATATAGAATATCACTCATAAATATATATCACATATATATAACCTTCTAATATTGGTCATCTAAGGTCATACTTCTAATAGTTGGTAGCTAATCGACGCTTTTAGGTTATATAAAATCAATTAGATCAATAAGTTATTATCAATTACATTTTATTATCAATTATTATTTCAAATCAATTAATATTTCAAGTTTTATATCAATTATCAATTATTATTTCAAATATTTAACACTTTATATCAATTATTATTTAAGAATTTATCAATTTAATTTATTTATCAATTTTTCTTGGTGGTTTTATTAGTTTCAGATTTATCATTATTTGTTGCTGGTTTATTAAATTTTTGGTAGCTATTATTTGTTTTATTTTTGTTTTTGGCTGCAAAAATTTTTTTTTATTTATGGCGTAGTTGTTGGAGTTATTCAATTAAACTTCAAGCGCGACCTTTCAAATCCGCCCCAATGTACATGGTTTGCTGTGATGGTATCATTATATTACAATATTTTCAAGTCGAAATTTTCCATAAATTCTGCTAAGGGTTCACCATATAATTCTAGACTCTCCAAATATTTCCTAATTTCCGATATAATTAAATGATTTTCCAATAGTATTAAATTAAATCAAAATTTCCATTATAAAATATTATAACTACAAATTTTACATATATAACAAATAAGTTACAACAGGTTAATTCCAAATTAAATGGCCGAGGGGCCTAAAATCTACAACGGCGTTGAGCCAAAATTAAAGGGCGTTGAGTCCAATCAGAACAAATAACTACAAGGTGCAGGGTCTCCATTTTATACGGTTTTTCTTGAATAAGCAAGGCAGGGTCTCCATTTTATACGGTTTTTCTTGAATAAGCAAGTTTTTCTCCTAAAAATTTGATACAAAAATTGTAGACTGAATCTCTAAATTTAATTCTTAATCATCATTTACAAAATTGATGTCGTCTGATCAAAAAATTACAGATCTTAACTTCAATCAAAATTTATTGAAAATATAAGCAAAATTAGTATAAGTTTTAATCAAAAAAAATATATTCGTAAATATTATATTCGAATTGTCAATTGTTGTCAATCATTAACAGTTTTATTGTTATTACTACAACAACGCTAAAATGTACTTAGAATTTGTGAAACAACACCTCTTTGTTCTCTACTTGAATTTTGCACCTGATTTTCACCTGAAACTCAAAAGATAAAACAAAATTATTTCTTTTTTAGTCGAAAAAATAAAATATTTTTTATTTTAATCAAACAAAAAGATAAAAAAATAAAAAATAGTTCAAAAATCAGCCGTTTAAAATCTAATCATCAATTGATAAAGATCTGATAATCATTAATTCATAAAATCCAATTTAATTAACATTAGATATGAGATCAATTAAATCAGTAGTAGTAGGAGATGGAGGAGTTGGTAAAACTTGTTTATTAATATCATATACGACAAATACATTTCCAAATGATTATATTCCAACAGTATTTGATAATTATTCAGCATCAGTTTTAATAGATGGTGAACCAATAAAATTAGGATTATGGGATACAGCAGGACAATCAGAATATGATAGATTAAGACCATTATCTTATCCTCAAACTGAAATCTTTTTATGTTGTTTTTCAGTAATAAGTCCTGATTCATTTGATGATATAAAATTAAAATGGATACCTGAAATAATGCATCATTGTCCAAAAGATATATTAATTTTATTAATAGGTACAAAAATAGATTTAAGAGATGATTATCATGTTTTAGATGAATTAACTTCAAAAAATATAAAACCAATAAAATATGAACAAGGTGTTAAATTAGCCAAAGATATTGGTGCAATAAAATATATGGAATGTTCTGCAGCTACTCAAAATGGTGTTAAAGAAATATTCGATTATGCTATAAGAGCAGTATTGGATCCTCCAAATTTAAATAATAAAGAATATACTGAATCACAATCTACAAACAATAACAATAATAATAATAATAACAATAATATAATAAAAAATTCAAATAATCAATCTGGTTCTAATCTAAGTAAAAAGAGGAAAATAAAGAAAGCTAAAAAATGTACAATATTATAAATTACAAGATATAAATAATGAAATTGATTAAAATTATTAATAGACATTTAATGTTCAAGAACTAAAAAAATAAAAACCCACCGAAATTATTGAATTAATGCAGCTCTTGAAGGATGAACCCCACCAAGATCTTTAGAAGTAGCAGATTTACCCTTTTTCTTCCTCTCATCATCAATTCTTTTCTTCTGTCTTTCCTCTTGTTTTTCATTTTTCTCTTTTAATTTTAATTTTCTAGTTTCTGAATTTCCACCACCACCAACAGTTAATTCAACATTAATTTTCCTATTTCTTAATTCTGTATGATTCATTCTTAATGCTAATTCCATTTTTCTTTGAATTTCTTGAGTATCATTATCAAATTCTAAAAATGCTATACCTTTATCTTGTCTAATTCTTATTCTATTAGGTGAACTATTTTGAAAATGTGCAATTAGTTCTGATTGATTTATATCATATGGTAAATTTCCTACAAATAATATGAATCTTGGTCCCTTTCCCTCATTTACTCCTTTACCTTTTTTACCTCTTCTTGTTTTTCTTTTTTTCTTTGGTTGTTCTTCAATTGATTCATCTTGTTTCTGTATTTCTTTCTCTTCATCTTCCTCTCGTTTTCTCTTTTTGTTTATTTCTTTCTCTATTTTATCTGCATCTCTTTCATCTTTAGTCTTACGGAATTGTTGAGCTTTTTTTTCTTTTTTAGATAATTTTTTTGAATCTGACATTTTTATATGGGTTTGGTTGAGATGAGTATGATGATTTTATATCTGCTAAAAAATTAAATTTATGCGGAGTTTGAATTGAAAAAAAATAAATAATATATCATTAAATTTTGCAACAATTGACCACACTCGCAATCAAAAGATGGATGAAGTGTTATTTTATATTTCCAAAGGAGAAGAAAAGGGCGCAGAATCATTTGCATACGTAACTTCAATTCATTCATCAAAACAATATCAATCATTTCGTCATGCATCATCTCCAAAATTTGGAACTTGTTTAACAGGTATTGGACCAGGTGAAAGAATTTTCACTTGTGATAACAAGAAAGCTTTAATAAATGTATATTCTTACAATAAGGAAAGTATTGATCAAAGAATACCAGTTCCCGAAGCATTAACTACATTGCATATAATTCATCATCCTGATATAAAAAATATCTCTAAACATAAGAAATCAAATTATAGAGTTCCTTGGTTGTTATGTGGTGGATCTAAAAGTGGGAAATTATATATATGGGAATTATCTTCTGGAGATTTATTATGTGTGAAAGAAGCTCATTATCAAGGTATAACAGTTATAAATTCAAGTTCATGTAATACTTTTTTGGTAACTGGTGGAGAAGATGCTAGATGTATAGTTTGGAATTTATTAGAATTAATTTCTATATATGGAGTCAAAGAAGATGAAGAGAATTATCATAGAAAATTAAAACCATATTGGTCCATAACTGAAAATACTTTACCTATAACTGATATAATACTAAATACCGTTGGAATCATAAATGATTTAAAATTATATACAAGTTCAAAAGATGGAACTGTTAGAATATATGATATAATAACAAAAACTCAATTAACAACATTTGTATTACCTGATTCAGTTGAATGTTTAACTAGAGATCCAGCAAATAGAGCAATTTATGCTGGATTAAATAATGGTTTAATTAAAATGATTCCTTTATATAAATTTAACACACATACATCAATTCTAGAAAGTATAGGAGGATTAAATAAAATTATAACTATTGATCCACAAGATCCAAATTTAAGTCAAACTTTTGTACAACATCAAAATCATTCAGTTACAACTATCAAAATGTCAATGGATGGAACAAGTATAATATCTGGTGATTTTAAAGGACAAGTATTTGTATCTGATATTGTTACAAAACAAACCATTAAAAGTTTCCAACTGTTAGATTTCCCCATATCTTATTTATATATTGCAACAATACCGACAAATATATTAGATAATACCACCAATATAAGATCAGATAAAAAACATAGAATGATGCCACCTTTAAAAAGAATATTAGCAAGTAATAACCCAATTGATCATGTATTATTCATGGATATCCCTGAAGAAATTATTTCAAATGATAATGCTGATGATGAAGAAGAAGATTTTAGTTCTTGGTTAGAACAAAAAAGAATTGAAGAATTGAAATTTAAAAACCTTTCAGATATTAATTCAACTGTTAAGAAAGTTAATAATAATTCTAATGCAACAACTAATAGTGATTTGGAAATTAAATTGAAAAAAGTATCTGAAGCTTATACTGATTTAAGATCAAAACATGAATCATTAATAAAAGAACATGCAAAATTATTAGATAAAATATAGATATCCCACTAATAATAACAAGCAAACAATTTTATTTTTTTGTTTTAATCTTCTCTGGACTATTTTGTTTCGACCCAGTTTTAAATCCCATTAAACTTATATCATTTGGATCATGATTTATTATAGATTTATTTTCTCTCAGTCTACTTCTACCTCTTTCTAAATTTTTATGTGGAGTTGATTCAGTTGGTGTTTGTTGTTGATTTGAAATTGTCATTAATTTTAATTTTTTTGTTATGTATCATTAATTATTAAAATTCGAATTGAATCAATTGCTTTTTATGTTGTATGTAGTGATTGAAAATATATTACTAATGGTTGTATCCTTGTTTATACTTTATTAAAGGTAGACGGATTTAATATTACAAACGTATTTTAATTTCTCTCTAACTTATGATGCGTTTTACAACAGTAATAAATTTTTGACAGCTTTTTTAAAATTCTTTTTGCAACAAAAACCATTAAAAATTAAGAAGAGCCCATCCATTAAATGCCGGTTGATTTTTTAACAAGTGTAGTATTTGATGGACCACAAGTAATACCTTATTGGGATCGTTTAAAAGAATATGGCCCTACTATAATACCAATACTAATAACAATTGGATTTATAAAATATTATTTTAGAGGATCAACAAATACTTGGGAAAGAAATTTACATGGGAAAGTTTATATTATAACTGGTGGAACTTCTGGGATAGGAGCAACATTAGCTTTTGAATTAGCTACAAAGGGAGCTCAATTAATTTTATTAACTAGAAGAACTAATGATTTATGGTTAGCTGAATATATTGAAGATTTAAGAGATAAAACAAATAATCCATTAATTTATGCAGAAGAATGTGATTTAAATTCTTTATATTCAACAAGAAAATTTGCAACAAAATGGTTAGATAATCAACCACCAAGAAGATTAGATGGGATTTTATGTTTAGCTGCTGAATCAATACCTAGAAATATTTCAAAACAATATACAATAGATGGAATTGAAAAACAAATTGGTATAAATTATTTAAGTCATTTCCATTTATTAACTTTATTAGAACCAAGTTTAAAAGTACAACCACCTGATAGAGATGTTAGAATATTAATAGCAACTTGTTCATCACAAAATTTAGGAGATATAGATTTAAATGATTTATTATGGGAAAATAAAACATACCCAATTTCTCAACCTTGGAAAATTTATGGATCATCTAAATTAATGTTGGGATTATTTGCTAAATATTATCAAAAACAATTAATGAATTATGAAAGAAAAGATAAAGCACCATGTAATATAAGAATTAATTTAGTTAATCCAGGAATAGTAAGATCACCATCAACAAGAAGATTTATATCAATGGGGACAATTTGGGGATTAATTTTATATGTTATTACTTTCCCCATATGGTGGTTATTTTTAAAAAGTGTTCAACAAGGAGCTCAAACTTTTTATTTTGGATTATTTGCACCAATTTTTATGAAATTAGAAGGTGGGAATTTATTACAAGAATGTAAAATAATAACCAAGGTGAGAAAAGAATTTGATGATGAAGAATTACAATCTAAAATATATCATAATACTATTGAACTTATAAAGAAATTGGAAATTCAAGGAGCTATAAATAGGAAAAAATCTAAAACTAAGGAACAACTTTTATAAATTTATATATAGTAAATAAATGAAGATGCAACTTTTTACTCTTCAAAGAAAACGGTGAAGCATTTATCAAATTTACTTGATATTGTCTGTACACATTTCCTATTCTAAAGTTAAACCTTCATTGAATGATCCATCAGAATTAAACGTTTACTAAGTGTTCCCAACCGCCAGCAAGTCAACACAAGAGCGACCCGAATTAACCAAATTAATTTACGTGGTGCAGGCCACAACTTTTCGACAGTTTAAACTCTAATTTCTCATTAAAAACCATCAATCTAATCTAAAAAGATTTTGGTACAGGAAAGGCCCTTGACAACCTCCACCTGTTGTTAAATCCTAAGCATAAATCTTAGAACTAAAATATCTTCCAAATTTAGATTGTATTTATTATTTTTAAAACCCAAGTTGTATTTATTAATTTTTAAACCCCAAGTTGTATTATTTTAAAACCCCAAGTTGTATTATTTTTAAAACCCCAATTTGTATTATTCTAAAACCCCAAGTTGTATTATTTTTAAAACCCCAAGTTGTATTATTTGTTAAACCCCAAGTTGTCTTATTCTAAAACCCCAAGTTGTATTTGTTATTTTTAAAACCCCAAGTTGTATTATTTGTTAAACCCCAAGTTGTATTATTTGTTAAACCCCAAGTTGTATTTGTTATTTTTAAAACCCCAAGTTGTATTTGTTATTTTTAAAACCCCAAGTTGTATTATTTGTTAAACCCCAAGTTGTATTTGTTATTTTTAAAACCCCAAGTTGTATTTGTTATTTTTCAAACCCCAAGTTGTATTATTTTTAAAACCCCAAGTTGTATTATTTGTTAAACCCCAAGTTGATATTTATTATTTGTTAAAACCCAAGTTGATATTTATTATTTGTTAAACCCCAAGTTGATATTTCATATCCATGAAAAAGGTAGTTGATTGAATTTTTTTTTATCTATAATATGACAAGAAAAAAGCGATATAATGTAAGAAATGAATAACTTATAATGAGCTAGTAGTAGTTATTTTGATAATGGATATTAATAATATATAAAATCTAAATAAAACTAGTTTTTCAAATCTTGGGAAATTCAACCCTTATTTATAATCTTTTGAAATCATTTCAAATCAAGGGCCACAATCCTTAAGTCTCATATTACACCAACTCAAAACAATATTTTATCATACTTAAACTAATGAAAGGGGTTATTAATAAATTCGATCCCCGCATGTGTAATCTATTGATTAAATTAGATTGGTTGTTTCAGATATTATCAATAACTTCTAATTTTAGATTAATTGCCTTAACTATACAAAATAAATTATTTGAGATCTGCACGACCTAACACAATTAAATTATCTATGAGATAACCCCTCATTTTCATTAATTGGAAAGGCGTTTGAATGTGATGTGTTTCATTAATCTTGGAGAAGCGTTTGAATATGATATGATTAATTAATTGATAAATGTTTGCTATTAATTATCCCTTATTATAGTTATCTAAACTTTCTATTTATAGATTTATTTATTAAATTATTTATTAACAGATGGTAGCGATTTCAATTTAAAATTTTAAGTATGTAATTCTAGCTAGTATGTAATATATTGAATTATATGTAATTGAGTTTGCCAACTATTATCTGTTTACTAACAAGACCTTCTCTGATCGATACTGAAACAAGCTCGAGATCTTGTGTAACACATTAAGAACTACGTATTATTAACATATGAAAATATTTTTTTGTCTCACTTTTAAACTTATAATTCTTGAAAAATGAACAGAACTCCGGTTTTTTAGTCAGGTGCTGGCGATTTTTTGAACCCTAAAAGGTACGTAAACTTTGCAAAAGTCACGTGCTAAACCGGAAACGCGTCTGAAACTACCACCAATTATTGTTATAAGTATGTGGATCAACTCAATATATCAATTGTTCAATTATCCAGTAAAAATTACTTTTTTAAGTAGTAGAATCTAGTATAGTATTCATTCTTTTGATAAGTCTGATAACTCAAAAAAGGTTTAATTGTTTTTGAATAGGGTATACTTCTATATACAATTTAGTTTAAAAGGTACAACCAAAAACACATTATGTATATACTGAGAAAAAAATTAATTGTTTAAACAAATTAAAAAAACTAACAAATCATACCTGTCGAAACAGATTCATCAATTGATGATCTTTCATAGTCTGACTTTTAGCTCAATTAATGTAAAGCAAAAAAATTATAGTCTTTAAATTGTTTTAATTGTTTGTTTGTTTTACAACTTCATTACAAAATGGTGGTCCTTAGAATCTCACTTGCTTCACCTTTACTGCTCATTTAGATGACATAACTCTTGTCCAAAATCAAAATCTATTAATTATTCATAGTAACACATAATTGTAACATACATAATAAATAAAATAGATTTTTAAAACTATAAATGAAACATAAAAAGGGTTTCAGGTCCAAATTATTTTAATTTATTTATAATTATAATTATTGGATAAATTATTTAAATTTATTACTAATAGTTGAGAAAATTTAGATTTTTTATTAGTTGAAAAAATTATAATTAAAATCAATTCTTTATTGGGTTTGTCTTTTTTTAATTTAACTTCAGGTCAAGATTATCCGGTCGATCATCATATTTTGTGTAATAAGTCACAACCACTACCACCACAGATTTATTTTTTTCAAAGAGTAACAAAATTAAAAAATGGAAAATTGGAATAAAAAATTAGAGATGATAATAATAGTATTAAAAAAGTAACACTAAAAGGAAAAAAAAACGTTGAAAAAAATAGGAGTAGAAGAACTAGAGATTGTAATTAGATTGAATTGTGGGTTAAATGGAAAAAAATTACATTACAAAGTTGAAAGAGATAGATAATAAGTGGTTGAATATATGTATATGAATAAGTAAGCAAATTGAAAAATCGAATGTTTTATTCAAACATTTAAGTTTGCTTTAACCTACTAACTAAAGATTACATTTGATATTGTATTGATTTGATAAGATAATGTAATAATTAAAAATATTTTAATTAGTGCGTTATCTTTAACTAATTAAATTTAATTAATTAGTAGTTCAGTAGTAATATATAAAAAGTAATAATCAGAAAAATTATTTAGAAAGAAAGAAAGAAATTAAAAAAAAAAAGATTTATATCCAAGGAACAGAAGTCAACTAATAGAATAGATTTATACTATTTGATTTATTCATTTATTCATTTAAAATTAAAACTATTTATAATTTTATTGAAGTTGAAATTAAACTTATTAAGATAAAAATTTTATAGCCGATTCAAATTGTATTAATATTTATGTATAGAATGAGCGTTAAGCGCACACAATATTAAATTTATAATCTCTTGCCTGCCTTAATTTTTAAGAACTTTGACTTATTTGCTTTTCTTTAATTGAATGATAATTAAACATAGGATAAATTGATAGAAAGATAATTATTAACAACGACTTTAATTAATTAATTAAAAAGATAAAAAAAATTCAAATCATTTTTCAACAAGATTTATCAATTTTCATCAACAGTTCAATCAAATTATTGAATATTAATACTAAAAAATTTTTAGTTTTATAAAATTAAATTAGAATCAAAATATTTTTTGCAATTTTTTATTTTTTATATTTTTATATTTTTAACAACCAACAATTTATACATTTTATATAATATTATTATCAACCATTCTTTCAATAAATTTATTATTATTATTTTACTCCAATTTTTTTTTTCAATTATATATTCAATAATAAAATATATTCATATTTGTAAATATTCAAAATGTCATCAACTACTGATACAAGACATCAACTGAATTTATCTTCGCAATCTCAACAACAACAACCAATTTCATCATTAACAAAACTTCTAAATGAATCATCAACTTCTATTTCAAAGATTAATAATAATAATAGTAATACAAATAATAATACTATGAATAATAATAATAACAATGTCAAATCACAAAATTCAAATCTAACTACAAATTCACATTCAAATTCAAATTCTAATTCTAATTCAAATTCAACTATTATAAATTCTCAAACTACTACTCCTATAATATCAAATAATGAAGATGATTCAACAGATTTAGGTGATCATCCAATACCGAATAAATTAGAAAAGCCAAGAATAAATACTAATATAGATTTAAATAATGGGAATGATGATGATAATGGTCCACAAATTATTAATGGATTTGATCCTTCACCAAATACTAAAATTTCAACTTTTACTCCTGCATCACCTTTTACAAGACAATCTTCAAATTCATTTATAAATAATCAATTGTTTCAAAATTCAAATAGAGTTGCATCAAGTCCAAGATATTTAAGAAATAATTCAATAAGTCATTCATCTTTTTCAATAAATAATGGAGAAAGTTTATCAACTTCTATACCATATTGTGCACCAGGTGGTAGAAATAATTCTATAGTAAACACATCAAATGGTAATGGTAATGGAATATCATCATCATCATCATTATCAAAAGAAATGAATTTTTTACCAACAAATTCAAATGATTCACATATTCCAAATTTGCCTAATGGTCAATTTATAAGTTCTATTCATATACAATCACCACAAGTTAATTCAACAAATATTGATTCAAGATTTGTTATATCAAAACAAAGAGTTGCTCAAGCTCAAGCTGCTCAATTAAGTAATTCACAAAGATCAGGTTCACAATCTGGTTTATCATATTTTTTTTCTTCAAAAAATAAACCAAATAAAAAAGATTCTTCAACTGATTTAGGTTCATTTTATAATAATTCATTTCAAGATAATAATGAAATTTCAGGGTCTCCTTCAAGTTTTTCATCATCAGATTCTGTTATATCAAATGCTACATATAATGGAGGTGGAAGTTCAAATCATAGTAATAATAATGGTAATGCAAATGCTCCATCAAGACATAATTCAATGTCAAATTTAAAAAGATTTTTTAAAAAATCAACACCAACAAGTAATTCACCAGCAACTTCAAATTTATCATCATCTTTGAGATCTACAAATGGAAATATGTCAAATGCAATGAGTATTCCACCACCTTCTCCAACAACAAATGGATCTATAAATTTTTCATCTTCATATTCAAATTCACCTGGTTCATCAATAACAGTTACTCGTTCATCAACATTACAAAATAAAATCAATTATCAAGAAAGAAGAGGTTCAGTATCACTGGTTATAAGTACAAATAATCAACAATTACCATTTTCAAAAAGGTATGGTAAATATAGTGAAAGTTTAGGAGCAGGTGCAGGAGGAGCAGTCAAATTAGTTAATAGATTATCAGATAATAAGACATTTGCAGTAAAAGAATTCAGAACAAAATATCAAACTGAAAGTAAAAGAGATTATGCTAAAAAAATAACAGGAGAATATTGTATTGGTTCAACTTTAAAACATCCAAATATTATAGAAACTGTTGAAATATGTTATGATAATGATCGTATATTACAAGTTATGGAATATTGTGATTATGATTTATTTGCAATTGTAATGTCCAATAAAATGTCAAGAGAAGAAATAAATTGTTGTTTTAAACAAATTTTATCAGGTGTTCATTATTTACATTCAATGGGTTTAGCTCATAGAGATTTAAAATTAGATAATTGTGTTATTGATAAAAGAGGAATTGTTAAAATTATAGATTTTGGTTCAGCAGTTGTATTTTCTTATCCTTTTAGTAAAACATTAATTGAATCTCAAGGAATAGTTGGTTCAGATCCATATTTAGCACCAGAAGTTTGTGTATTTAATAAATATGATCCAAGACCAGTTGATGTTTGGTCAGCTGCTATAATATTTTGTTGTATGATGCTTAAAAAATTTCCTTGGAAAGTTCCTAAATTATCTGATTCAAGTTTTAAATTATTTGCTTCAAGAGGTGAATTTATTCCTATTTCAGAAATGTTGAAGAAAACACCACAAGATTTTGAAAATTCAACAAGTAATGGTTCATCAAGTGGTTTAAGTAATTTAGATGATATAAGTGAAGCTTTGGAAGAAGATATTACAGCTAAAAAACCAACAACAACCACCACCAAAAACACCAATGAAAAAGATGCAAAAGATCATACTTCAAGTGAGACAGGAGTAAACAGATTATTATTAGCATTACCAGAAGACTGTAGAAAATTAATTGGTCGTATGGTTGAATTAGCACCAGCATGTAGAATAACAATTGATGAAGTATTGGAAGATTCTTGGTTAAAATCAGTTTGTATGTGTACAGTTGAAGAAACTAGTGAAAATAGTGGTGTTTTTGAAGTTATTAAATGTGAAGATCATGAACATACTCAAGTTGATCAATCAAAAGCTCATATTGCAGCATTTGAAAAGAAAAAGAAATAGTACTAAATTATATAGAAGGTTTATACAAATTTTAAGATATTGGTAAATACATATTAAGATCATTTTTTTTTTTTCCATTTCATTAAAACATTTCATTAACTAAATTAAGATTAATATATACAAGATCTCTATCTACTTTAAGGTACAACTTTTATTCCAACAACATTAGCAGTACTTATAATACTTCCAATAATAGCTTTTAAATCTAAATCTTTATGTCTATCATCAGTTTTTTTAATTTTTGCAATTTCCCAAACATGTTTTAAACTAATTGTACCAACACTTTCTTTTAAAGTTTTACCACTTCCCTTTTCAACTTGTGCAGCTTTCATTAACAACCAAGATGTTGGTGGAGATTTAATTTCAAATTTAAAAGATCTATCTGGTTTAACAGTAATAAGACATGGTACGGGAGTACCTGGTTCATAATGAGCTGTTCTTGCATTGAATTCTTTACAAAAATCAATAGCTTTTACTCCTTTGGAACCTAATGCTGGACCTACTGGTGGTGCAGGAGCTGCTTTTCCGGCGTCCACTACTAGTCTTACCATTGCGGATTTTGCAGCAGACATCTTTTGTGAGTGGTTGTTATGTTTGATGAATGGGGTTTGATTTATAGATTGATTTGTAGATTTTGATATTTGATATTTGATATTTTTTTTTTTTCATTTTTATTTTTGTTACAATTTTTTTAAAAACATTGCAAAAAGTTTAAATTCTACATTCATTTAACATCAACGAAAATGAGTAAGACATTACCATTATCAACTCGAGCCAAAACTACTGCTTTGAAACAACCTAAAGAATTATTCACATATACTAGAAATAAAGAAGGTCAACATCAATATAATAAAGATGGAATACATATTAATTTATCATATTATTATTTACCTGATTCAAAAATAGATAATAGAATTGATTTACAACTGGGGTTTAAAAATTTTAAAAAAATTCCAATGGAACAAGATTTAGGTGATTTTCAATCATTACTTGAACAAATCATTTGTTATGAAAAAGAAATTGGGAAAAAACTTGTAGGTGATATAATTACATTTAGAGGAATAATGACTAAATTAATGTCAATACCTTATAATTTACAAGATGCAATTGATTTAGTAATTGTTCCATATAATGGTCAATTATTAATAAATTTTAATGTTGATATCGAATTAAAAAGAAGGAAAGAACAAGAAGATAGACAAAGACAAACTACAACTAAGGAAAAATATGATTACATTAAAAAATGTGAATATTCAGGATATAAATTTGAATCAATAGTTACAATACCAGATGTATGGAGTAATATATCAAGAAAATATATTGAAAATAGACATAAACTTCCAATAAATAATTATGAACAATTTTTATCTGTAATTAAAACTGGTATAGGGAATGTTAAGATCATATTAGCGGGAGAAATAGATTGTTGTTGGGATTATATTCCAGATAATCCTGCTAATTCATTAAGTCATTATGTTGAATTAAAAACTACTAAAATTATAGAAAATGATTTTCAAATAATTAATTTTGAAAAAAAATTATTTAAAGCTTGGTGTCAATGTTTTTTAATGGGTATAACTAAAATAATATATGGATTTAGAGATGATTCATTTATTTTAAGAAATGTTGAAATTTATAATACTGAAGAAGTTCCATTATTAATTAAAGATAATCCATTAAACAATTTAAAACAAAACCAGGCAAGTAAAATTAATTGTACAAATGCATTAAAATGGTATGGAGCAGTTGTTGAATGGATAGTTGATTCTATTGATAAATCAGATGAACTGAAAAGTTTTGGTTTAAAATTTGATCCAATAGCTAAGAAACTTACTTTGAATCAATTAAAAGATGAAGAAAATACAAAATTAAGAAATGGTGGATTGATAACTGAAGACTTTAAAAAATGGAGAGAAGAAAAATTACCTAATTTAGCTTAACAGACTTTAACTCCTTTGTATTTATATATATATATAATTTAATGATATGATTTTATGACTAATAAACCATTTGTTTAGGATCCCATTTTTCATTTTGTATAAATTCAATTAATGATTTACTACCAGTTTGTAAAAGTGGATGACCACTAACAACAATTAAAAATTTTTCTAAACCTTGTCTTCTTTTTTCAATATTTAATTCATTAAATTTATTACTATTTAATAAAATTTTACCAGGTAATGAAGGTATTATAACTCTTGAAGTTTCTTGTTCTAAAATTTTTTTAAATGCAATGAAATCACTATACCTTCTTCGAATTTTTGAATACCTTTTTTTAAAAGCAGGTATATTTGTTTTACATATAATTTCGTAATCAGTGTATAAATTATTTCCATATCCATGAGTTATTGGATTTTTAACTTCTACTTCTAGAAAATTTTCTGGTTCTCCATATATTTCATTGAATGATTGTTGCTTGTGTTTGGGAGTTGTATTTATCACGTCGCTTATTGGTTGGAATTGTTTTGACATTTTTGGGGATGATGGTTGTGAATTTGAATAAGTTTGGTGATGAAATTGAAATCAAGGATTTTGATTTAGATTAGATTTGAAGTTCTTTTTTTTCTTCGATGATGAATTTATAACTTTCAAAATGAGTCTAATTTATATTATTGATATTGTAGTTGAGTTTAAGACTTTCGATTCCGATTAGGATCTTCAAGTATTGATTGTATTATAAAATATAGATTTAAGCTTGTTGATTAAATGTCTTAGCTAGATTTATTTCTGTTATCGGGAATATAAATTAATAAGATCATAGTACCTGTATATAAAGTGATAAAAGATAACTACCAAGTGCTTGACATATATCAAACTATTGTGTCTGTAATTTTCATCCCAAACAATAATAAGTTTTAGAAATTTGATGATTTGATCAATATTGTTACTCTTTAACTAATTTGTTTGTTTGTTTTTAAGCAATTTACTGATGTATTCAAAGTTTGTCTACTTGCACTAGATGGTCAAAGGTAATTGTGGAAATTTAAAAATATGAAGAGTGAAAGTAACTCTTACAACCAAAAAATTAAAAAATTAGTATTTTATGTAATTATGAATTGCATTAAATTAATTAATTTTTAAGCTACTGACCTAAATATAATTGACTTTATTAATATTTGTAAAATAACTTTTGTAATTGAAATTATGATTGAAACCATTTACATTATTGTCAATATAAACATTCCCTAATAAAATAATCCTCTATTACCAACACCTTTACCTTGAGGAACATCATTTACAATATTATAAGCATAAACATAAGCACTTGGCCATACAAAAAATGCAAATAACCCAGAACCCCAAACAGCAACATCACGTATACGTCTAATATAATATTTATATTGTGGTACTATTTTAACAGTTCTTATTTGTTGTGAAGCTAATCTTGAAATTGATGGATGCATTTTTTCTTTTATATAAAAATTTATACGATTATTGTTTGAGTTGTGAGATTCAGAATTTGAGCTGAGATTTGTTTAGTTTATGAAACACTTAATGACTGAATTGAATGAATATAATAGCTGAGACTGATATACTCCGAAAAGATAGATTAGTATATGTCAAAAATTGAAGAGGAGAAAATAAAAAACTATTTATATAAGAATATTCAATTTTTCTAATAGGCTGGAGTTTAGCTTTACAATTCAAGGTAAAATCAAGTCAAATACTAATTTTAGTTGATATTTAAAATCAGCAGATTTCTGCAAGGATCAATTTTTTCAAAATACGAGTAAATGAAATAAATTGGTTGCAAAAAAATTAAAAAATACAATTTTCTTTGATGTCATTTGGTAGAGCCTCTAGATTCTACATGCAAGTGGTCTGATTTTTAGGTAGATATTTCAAATAGATTTGATGCCCCTACATGGATAACGTTGAATTTGATGACTTGGTCCAAAATTACTGATTCAATTCTCAAAGAACTACGTATATCGAAATTATTCTCGCTAAAGATCAATTCGAAATTATTTTAAAGGGTCATAAATTTTGAAAAAAAAAAAGCTTATTTTATCCTATGTTGTATTTTGAGGATGAAATTTATTATGCGTTTTTCAAAATCTGGGGTAGTATTATTTTAATTTGAATCGCAAAAAGCTTTTGTAATAATTTAATATCATACCATTTTATTATTATAATAACCATCTTAGTTTTTTAATTTCATAACTTAAAAAATTTCCTACCTAATTATTCCGAAGATCACAAAATAAAGTCCGAATTATAAGATATACCAACAAAACTTTTCAATATTGCGTAAGGCTTAAACTATATTCTACAAGATAAAGTTAATTGAGTAAAAAATAAACTATGTATTTTTGAAGTTGTCTCTATTTATACTACTAAAATTTAAGTCTCTTTGACAACGTGTAAAATCAATCTAAAACTAAGCTAATGGAAAAAATCAAACAAAATAAATAAAACACCAAACCTAATAAAATAATAAGAATTATAAATTATACTTTGAAAATTCAAGATTGTTTTTCTTTTTCAATCAATTCTTCTTGTACATCAAAAGTATTTTCATTATGTGCAACATCTTTAACAACTGCAACTCTCATAGTTGCTAATAAATTATGAGCAGCATTTGAATGAGCATATACTGCACCACTAAAAGCATTTGTAGCATCTTTACCTAATGAAGCTCTAACTAATGCTTGACCACCTGGATGTTCTTTTATAAATGATTTACAATTATGTATAATACCACTAATAATAATTAAACCTTCAGATTTAGCTCTTTCATTAAATTCATTTCTTGTCCAAACTGGTAATTCATCAACTTTTAATCCCCATTGTAATTTTTGTCTCATTCTATCAATTTTCTTTTGTTGTTGTTGTAAAAGACCTTGTTCAATAGCATTTTGTGAAAATTTTTTTAAATTCCAAGCTAATCCTAATTTTGATAAACACCAAATAGTAATTTTAGTTGGATCATATTGATACCATTTTAATGCATTTCTATAATCACTTGGAAATTCATGATGAAAATTATGATAACCTTCTCCAAATGTAACAAATGCTGTTAATACATGATCTCTTGGAGTTCTTCTATCATCAAATGGTTGAACACCAATCCAATGAGCTAATGAATTAACACAAAATGTAACTTGTTGTATAAAAAATGATTTTAATACTCCAGCATAAATAAATCCACCCCAATAATCACCCCAAAATAATCCAGCAATAATGGTTGGTAAAATAAATGCAGAAAATAACATCAATAATAAATAATGTCTATGTTGAAAAGTAACAACCCAATCTGCAGTTAAATCACTAATATCAGCTCTTGCTCTATTTTTAGGATTAGCTTTTTGTAACATCCAACCCATATGACTATACCAAAAACCTCTTCTTGCATCATATGGATCTCTTGGAGTATCAGTATATCTATGATGTACTCTATGAGAATGTCCCCACCATTTTATTGAACCTTCTATAGCTCCAGCTCCAAAAAATGCATAAAATAATCTAACAGGTAATGCTGCATCATATGCTTTATGAGACCATAATCTATGATATCCTGCAGTTATTGATAATCCACTAAATGCATATAATACTAATGCTAATGCTAAAGTTTTTAATTGTGGTGGTGTTAATAATGCACTATATAAACCAAATGCAGGAACTGCAACAACTAATATAACATTAAGCCAATTAATTTTAGCAGAAAAATTTTGTAAAGTCCATGGTTCTTCAGAAATATGTTTCTTATTGGCATATTTTGCTTTTTCTTTTGCGTCTTTTTCAGCTAATGATTCCATTGAATCTTGGGTAATTTCTTCAGCAGTTACTTTAACTAAATCTGCTGTACCCATTAATCTACCACCTAAACCTGCTGCAACAATTCTTGGTACTTTTTTATTTGTACCTGCTGCAATAGCATTTAATTTTGTTACTTCAACAACTTCTAATTCTTCTACTGAAGATGACATTGTATATGATTATTTAATTGATTTGTTGATTAGTTTTTTGTTTGTTGATTGTTAGTTGATTGTTTGTTGGTTGTAAAAAAAATTTAGATAAATGAATGTAGGAACTTGTTAAAACTGTAAACTAATTAATAAATGAAAAACTGGTATTAAAATGATAATAATTGAGTTGATACTCTAATTAGTTAAATGAATTGATTGATATAAATATATTTAAATTACTAGTTGAAAATAAATGAATGAAATAAAAAAAAAGATAAATAAAATCTTTTTATATAAATTATGAATTGATGATGATAATTAATTAATTAATATTAATATTAATATTAATTAAAATTAAAAAGATTATAACAGAGTAGTCCCCTTAAAGAGAAACAAAATTATTTTTTTTGTGTAATTAAATTTAAAATTTTGGGTTTTACTTTTAACTTATTTAAATTGTTGAGTTAAATTAAAAAAGCTTTATATACCGGATCTACTATTGCAAATTTAATATTCTCTTTTCTTTTTTTCTTATGTCATATTTACACTACTATTTAAATTATAGCATTATAGACAGACGTACATTATGGAAATTATCGTATAGGAGTTAAACAATTTTGAAACGTTTGAAAGGGATGAAAGGAAATTAATAAAGATAGACTTACTTTTAATCAATGGTGTGTTGTTTTAACTCATTTGAATATTATTACATCAATATACAACGTTTGGTTTAATACAAACAGTTTATTAGTAATTAGTAACACCACTTAACATTAGGAAAGAACAAATAAGAAATAATATATAATTATTTTTTGGTTTACTTAATTTACTTACCTACTTACCTACTTGTACTTTTCAATTCAAAAAATATAATATTTAAAACATCACCTGCTTACATTTTATTTTTAATTAGTTGATAAATTTTACAAGTTATTTTGTTGTTCTAATTTGAAGTAAAAATTAAATTAGTTTGACTGGACTATTTTAGTCGTAGCCCATTCACTTGATTACTGTTCAATTATTATCTAAAACCTTCATTCCTGAGTTTTTCCTCAAATTCATATTTTGAAAATTTCATTTGTTCAATTATAATAAATTATTATACGTCAATTGAGTTATTGTAAACAATTTTTCGTTTATAGTTTGAAGTTTCATGTAAACCTTTAAACCTTGTAAACTATTGTTTCATATATCCTGAAATAACTTTCACTCACCGTAATTAATTTATGTCAATAAGTCCAAAAATTGTTTCAAGTCGAATTTTCAGAGTTTTCAGATTTTTTAAATTTTTAATTAAAATTTATTTATTTATACTTTTATGCAAGTTTAGGAATTAATACATTATTCCCATCGGATTTAATGTAATTAATATATCTCATCTCTATCTCATCTCTATCTCAATCTATCAGTTTAATCATCTGAAACCGAGTAAGTCTAAAATAGATTGCAATGACTGCAATTGAACTACACCCCGGTCAAGGCTTACAAGATCTGAGACCATTAAGGAATTACACCTAAATATTCATAGATAATTGATTTATAATTGTGTCTTTCCTGAAACATTAGTAAATCAAACGTTTGTTAACGTATTTCCTTTTTTTCTTACTGATAGATCTACGCCTTGTATTTTTTTTTTTTTTTTTTTTTTTNCATATATGCAACTTGAATAATTTGCCTTGTTTTTTAACTTATAATCTAATCTATTTATTATTCGATTGATGCTCATCTTTTCTGTTTCATTTCATATGTATCGATTAATGCAATATCACAATTGAGACCCCTTATTTCCCTGAACTTTTGTTACCTTATTCAACGCTTTATTGTTTTATCTCCAGAAAGAGGTAAGTAGATCTAATAGCACAACTTTTGCAATCAAAGTAAAGCTTAATTCTGATATTTATGTCAAGACTTCATCAATCTGAGATGGAAAATACGCCTAGTTTTTTAATGACTCAAATTGTAGCCTTGAAATCTTTAAAAGTGACTCAGAAATATTTGTTTGTTATACAATGATTTTTTCTTTACTCTAAGTTAATGTTGGTTGAAATACTTGTTGGTGAAATTTGTTGAATTTGATAGTAATTTTCGTCCTCGGTAAAATCAAAAACATTATTTTTCTTATCAATTTGCTATATATCTTTCTTCTCATATTGATTGAAAGCAATTGGCTCCTAACTCACACTGATGGAAAGTATACTTCGTTATTGATGATTGAGTTTGTATTAACAACTGTGTCAAGTACTTTTGGTGACACAAACTCAAAAAAAAAAGCCCATATCCTGCGAGAGTTTCAACAGCAGTGATTTTCTGCCCAAATTTCTGCCTAAGATCAAATTTTACAAACTTTTAATGAGAAACAACTGTAATTGATTCTTAAAAAAAAAGTATATGTAATTTGTATGAACAGTGGAGCTCGAATTCTATTATTGGGGTTAGTAAATTCAAATCTTGACTTTTTTTCATCATATATAGCGAAATTATTTTGCAATACAATGAGGGTTGTGTTCAAAGACTAGTGTACTTTTTTAAGGTGACAAGGACACAGACATAAGAAAATTTTTTCACCATTAGGAGAGCTTCGATTATGTAAAATTCACTTAAGTTGATGGATTCACTTTTACTACAAAGATCTTTAAGCTACCAATTCATGTTTCAGGTGAACTAGTTTATCAAATTTCCTAATCTATGAGACAACAGTATTCAGTCAACGTGAACCTTAGTCTCCTTCATAGCTGATAAATTACTAAAAACCATCAATTTTATTTCACTGTTGTTTCTTTTGCTCACCCGTATTCTTGGTGCATTTGAAAATTTGTAATTTTCCAGATATTGGAGCAAAAACATTCAAACTCATTTAATTTGATTCAAAAGGAAAATGAGAGATAGAAGTAACAAAAGGTCAGGACAACTTTGATTTTTGCAATAAAATTGGTGCTGAATATTCTATCTGTCTAGATCATAACTGAAAATTACTATTTCAGTGCATTTTATAAAGCTATTTTAAAAATCCCTGATCAAAAGCCCGAATTAAAATACCATATTTTATAATAATTTACGTGAAATTCGATCAAAAAACTGTAAAACGTAATAAGCCAGGCTGTTTCAAATTTTATAAATTGGTTCCGTGGTCTAGTTGGTTATGGCATATGCTTAACACGCATAACGTCCCCAGTTCGATCCTGGGCGGAATCAGTACCATTGATTTTTGTTCACTTTTTGCATTTTTTTGTAGTGTTGTATTTAAGCTTTTGTAAATCAATTCAATTGAAGCCAAGAAAGATGTTATAGTTTCAAATAAATAAAATTTCTATTCATTAATACTTAACTCTAAATGATCTAAACACTTTGAATCTTGTTGAATTCTTTTCTTAAATTTTTAAATAATTTTTTACTTTTACCAATTTTATGACGTTGGAAAAGGTTTTTATAAACTGTTGCTAATTTAAGAAACCAATTCTTATCACCAATAATCAAAATCAATAAATTTATAGCTGATAAAATCAAGATGTACCAATAGAGTGCAAAACTTAAATTGGTCAATTGTAAAAGATCACCCCAGCTTGAATTACCATTTATTGAGAATAATGAAATTGATAATAACGTAGCAACAACCAAATTAATTAAAAAAGGTAGATTTTTTTCAATTGGTTCACGGTATGGTGGCCCTTGATTTAAAACAACTGCAATTAAAATATATTGAAAATTTGAAAAAAGAAATAGCACTGTATTATCTGAAGATTTAACTGCATCATCGCTACCTGGGATTGGTTTTATATACCAAGGTTCTTTTTTAACCCAAAGCCATATTATTATTTGGAAAGCTAAAAGTACCATTATATTACAAACTAACGGTATTAATACTTTTGGCGATACTAAATTTGCAGTTGGTCTTTTGATAACTAATTTATTATAAGGTTTTGACCAAGACATAAAGATAGCCAACGGTAAAATCAAAAATAAATCAATGTACAAAAATTGAAAATCACCTAAATTAGTACCTGTTTTATAAAGTATAGTAACTGAAATAAATTGAATTGCTGAGTATAATGACATATACTTGAAACATGAAAAACTTGTAACTAAACTTGATCTACCTTCTTTTATAATGTTCAAGACGCATGAAATTTCAAAAATTCTTGAAGTGAAAGGAGCAGCTACTGATGCTTCAGCTTCAGATAATGAGATCCCAACGTCTGCTGCTTTTAATGCACCACAATCATTAGCACCATCTCCACAAAATCCAACAGTGTAATCAATTTTTTGTAATTGTTCAACTAATTCATGTTTCTCATCAGGTGACATTCTTGCGAATATGTCACAATTCATTAATACCGACTGTATAACATTAGTATCTTTTAATTCTGTTAAAAGATATCTGAAAATGTCACCAGTGATTGCTAACTTGAAATTTGAACTTTGTCGTATATCTATTGGTTTTATTGTGTCTGGATCTAATTTATTTTCTGGATCATTTACATCTTGCCATGTTAATTGTTGTCTGTCATCTTCTTTATACTCTAATGATGGTATGTATATGTGTTTAACTTCTGGTGGTAAAAGTTTGGACTCTTTAGCAACACTAATAGCTGTTAAAATGTTATCACCAGTGCACATTATTGTTCTTATTTTTGCAGCATTCAATGTTTCTAATGTAGCTGCTGTTGAACCTTTTAATTTATTTTCAAAAACAATAAACCCAGTAAAAATCAATTCATTTTCTGCATCTAATCTTTCTTGGTTGAAATTTGTTGTTTGCTTATAAGCACAAGCAATAACTCTAAACCCGGATGTAGTATAATGATGTAACAATTCTTCAAAATTAGAAGGAATAGATTCTTGTAAACAAATATCCATCATTATTTCAGGTGCCCCCTTCGTAAATATGAAACCTCTATTGTTACGCTTAGCCAATACTGACATTCTTCTCAATTGTGCAGAAAACTCATATTCTTTTTGAATTTCATATTTTCCATTATGACTTGAAACTATAGGTATACCAGATGTTGAGTCTTCACTGTAATCCCATTTTGTAAATTCAAACATTTTAACGTCTAATGGATCTCCCATTAATTCATTATCTATATTTCTTAATGAATGACATGCTGCCATACAAGCTTGTAAAAATTTACCATTATTAGTTTCATGATCTGAACTTCTTATTGTTTTCAAATTCTTGATATCAGTTATTAAATCTTCAAATACAATTTCTTTCCTACCTTTCGCATTATTAGCTAAATGAATCCCCAATATATCTAATCCATCTTCAGTTAAAGTACCAGTCTTATCAAAACACATAACATCAATTTTTCCAGCAATGTTGACTCTAGTTGGTGCAATACAGAATATTTGATGTTTCTTCAATCTTGCTATAGCAAAAGTAGTACCTATTGTTAATGTAGCTGGTAAAGCAGGCGGAACAACAATCGTAATGATATCCAATGCTCTTAAAATCATAACTTTTTTACTTAACCCAATTTTGATGAAATTATATGTTGAGTAAGTAAAACCAATAAAAGCAATTCCTGTCATGAAAGCAATATATTTGAAAGAATCTTCATAGAATTTAAATCCAGTTGGTTTAGGGAAAAGCATTGATCTAACTAATGAACCTTTAGTAGTATTAAACCCTGTTTTCAACACCATTGCTGTAACTGGCTCATCATTACCTGATTTCATTTTCAATAATTTAGTACCATTAAATAAATAAGATTTTGATAATTTTGGATCAATAAAATTCTCGGGTATTAATTTTAATACATCTTTTGTAGCACTTATCTTTGAAACAGGAACACTTTCTCCAGTTAACATAGATTCATTTATAACACATTCACCATTTACTAGAAGCGCATCACATGGAATAGTAGCTAATGAAGGATCAATTTCAAAAATATCCCCAGGTACTAAATCCGTTGAATCAATTTGTTTCCAAAAATCATTTCTCCATACTCTCACCTCACATACAAATTTTGAAATTTGTTGTAATCTTTTAATGGTGGCTCTTGTTTCAACCAATGAGTTTATTATAGATACCATAGATATAATGAAAATACAAGATGCATAATAGTAATAGTCATCAGCAAGCCATAAGAAAATGGAAAACACTTGAAAAATATAAAATGGGTGCAATATTTCATCAGCTAATAATTGTACAATTGATTTTTCCTGAACTTCGATTGAATTTTCTTGAAAGATTTTTATTCTTTCTTCATATGTACCTTGTGAAATACCATCTTTTAAATTTTTGATATTCAACCACCTTCCATCATACCAATTTGAATTAGTTCTGAAAATATCTTCCATTGGATCATAGAAAAACTTGATATATCTATAAATGAAAAAATGAATATTTGGTACAACTGGATCTTTTTCTATATCAATTTCGGAGTTTATCAAAAAATCAGATAATTTTTCATCAAATCTTTTGCTTGTAATTTGTTGAATTTGTAATTCTCCAAACTCATTTTCTATGACACACCAATCAGCCGCTCCCAAAGCACATTTGGTACCCATTATATTGATTCTATATTTTGGAAACCACCTCAAAATTAAATATGCTATCCCAAAAGTACCAATACATAATATATTATAGATTACTTTTTTCAACCAATTATCTCTATACCCAGCAATACCAATAACCAAATCCTCTTCAGCTAAATAATATCTTTGATAAAAGTTTTTGGCAGGAAATTGTTTATGAAAGTTCTCATTTATTTTACTAGCATCTTCACGATCTTCATCTTCCACATCTTTACTACTACTTGCATCGGATTCTCTTCTTCCTCTTGGTTCATAATCCATTGATCCATAATCAGGGGATTCAGTAGCATGACGCTGGTACCCTAATTCTTCATCAATTAAAGCTTCTTCTGGTTCTTCATATTTATCAACAGAGTAATCCCATGGAGTATTATAATCAACTGGATCATCTGGATTTTCTAAAGTAGACCCACCTTGAGCCATTTCAATTTCATCTGGTGAAAAAAATTTGAAATGAGCCTGAGTATCATTTGAATTTCTTGAAATATTTGATTTAACCGATCTTAAATCAACGTCATTATCATCAGCTGAAAGTAAGGGTGAATTTTCTCCTGATACTCGAGAATCTCTTCTATTCCCAAAATTATGTGGATAATGTAATGATGTAATTGATGAAGGGATAACTTCAGAAGCTGCACCTGAATACATTTCAAAATTGTTATCATCTAATAAATGACTAACTGATGAATCCATTGATGTGACAGAATTGGTTCTGGATCGAATCATTCTTCGATCGTATGAAGAAGATCTCCTACTTTTAGGAATTGGCCTTTGGTTTTTAGTCATCGATTGTGGGTCAAAATCTTGGAAATTAATCTAGTTGAATGAGGAAAGCTGAAAATTATAATTGATTGCTGCAAAAATGTAAAATATTTATAACTCAAAGCTGTCAAAGACTCATAAAAACTATGGATTGGAACAAATCTAGCTATCAATGTAATCTGTAGCTTAAACGACGTAAATGACTAACTATAAATTGTTGAACGAAGCTGATAAACGATGTTGTAGCAATTGAATCAAAATCTTTAACTGAAAAATTGCAGTTTTGTAAAAAATAATTAAATAATTTTTTAAACCTTCGTACTTGTATTTGAGTTACATTTAAGATAAAATATATATACAAACATAAAAGATTTACAACAAGAAACCTTTACCTGATCATATGAAGTATGGCATTAAAAATAAAGCTCAAGGCTCCATCAGACTCATCAAATAGTCCACAACCACAACCCCAAACACCAACAACAGAGAATGGACGTAAAGTACCTAAAATCAAAATTAAAGCACCTCAACAACAACAAGACCAAATAGAACCACAACAAACAAAACCTTCATCAATATCCCTAAAACGACATTCAGAATCTACTAATAATCACGAAAAACCAAAGAAATTAAAACTAAGTCTATCCAAGAATCAAAATCAATCAAATCCATCAAAACCCAAGATAATACCCAGAGTTAGAGTAAAACCAACAAGAGTACCAGGGGAAGGTTATGATTCAGAAGCCCCCGATTTAGAAGATGATCCATTAATTGAACAGGGGATAATCATACGTTTTTTAAATGATGTCAACCTAGATTTTGTCCATAATGCAATAGATTCAGGAGATTTAACTGGTTTAAATGTTAAATGGATAACTAGAGAAAAAGCAGTTGTTAACGTAAATGGTAATTTATATTCAGCAAGATTAATTGACTTACCTACATTGACTGAAATATATAAATCAATTGATAAGAAAAACATTTTCAAGAACTTCGATGTTTGTCAAATTTTGTTAATTTTACATATTATAAATCCTGCTCAATTGAATACCGAAAAAGATTTTGAAGTGCCTGAAGAATATTTGTTCAATCATCCATTTTATAATTATGTGAAAAACAATGAAATCAAGAAGAAAAAATTTGTATTAAAAGATGGATTATTAAATCCTTTCAAAGATGTATATAGAAGATTCAGACCTACAAGAGTTGATCATCGAGTTATAGAAGATATTGAAGCAAGTGTGGATAGTTTAATTAAGCTAGACGATGAAGCAGAAGAAAGCCATTTTGAAATTATAGATAAATCAGCTCAACCAAGATTTGGTCAAGTTAGTGAAGTTTCGACTCCAACTACAATGGAAACAAGACCAATAATAGCAAGACCAGAATCACAGAATAGAGATTCCGTTGAATTGGAAAATGAAGCTCCAGGTATAGCCAACAACGAGGCACTAGAAGCAGAAGATTTTGAACTTAATTTGGAAGAAGAGCTTAATAAAGTATTTGATGATGAGGGTGAAGTAGAAGAACCAACAATAACCGTTTCATCAGAGATGGTTCAAGCATTGAAAGATGAAGAAGCTGAATTAGTGGTTGAACAAAGCTTGGAGAATGGAGACATTGATGATTTATTTGGAGATTATGAAGAAGAGGAAGAAGAAGTAGAAGAACAAGAAGAAGGAGAACAAGAAGACGAAGAGGAAGAAGAAGAGGAAGAGGACGAGGAAGAGGACGAGGAAGAAGAAGAAGAAGAAGATGACGAAGAAGCAGAACAAAATAAAGCCGGAATGCTGCATACTAAATTATTACAAGAAGAAATTGCAGAATTGGAGAAAGTTGTTGAATCACACAAAAAAAATCTTGCATCAGCTACTAATAAAATGATGAAAATGAAATATCAAAATACTATATCATCACTACTGGCATCATTAGATCAAAAGAAGAAAGAATTGGAAAAATCACAAGAAAATTTTTCAAAAGATTCTGACCCAAAACCAATTGACGATAAAGTCGATAATGAATTAGAGGATGAAGATAATGAAGAAGAAGGATTACCTGATGAAGATGAAAATCTTTCGATTGATGATTTATTTTGAGTAAGTAAGTTTATAATAAATAATGGTAATGACTTTATGATACAAAATGAATGATATATATATTGTATTTTATATGTGTTCTATAATGGTGCATTTTTAAATAAATAAGATATACTTTCACCATTATGTAATCTTCTAATAGCTTCGGCGATAACAGCGGAAACATCAATTGTATCTAGTTTATTACAAAGTGATAATTTATCTTCAAATGGTACAGTATTCGTACAAACAACTTTTTTCAATTTTGAATTATTAATATTCTTGATAGCATTTCCTGATAATATACCATGAGTAACAATTGCAATAACTTCTTTTGCATTATTATCCAACAAAACTTCAGCTGCTTTGGCTAAAGTACCACAAGTATCTGCCATATCATCAACTATAACACAGATTTTATCACTTACATCACCTACTAATACCATTTTAGAAACTTCATTAGCTCTTGCTCTTTCTTTATGAATTAAAGCAAAATTTAAATCTAACCTATCTGCTAATCCTGCGGCTCTTTTGGCACCACCAGCATCAGGTGATATTATTATTGCATCTTTATAATCTATTTTTTCCTTAATATATCTAACAACACTTGGTTCAGCATATAAATTATCAACAGGTACATCAAAAAACCCTTGAATTTGTGAAGCATGTAAATCCATTGTAATAACATGATTACAACCAGCACTAGTTAACATATCAGCCATTAACTTTGCAGTAATTGGAGCACGAGATTTGTCTTTTCTATCTTGTCTGGCATAGGGAAAATTTGGTAGTATTACGGTAATTCTTCTTGCACTTGCAGTTTTGCAAGCATTAATCATTATTAATAATTCAATAACTCTATCATTAACTTCTCCTGATCCAATTTGACATATTATAAAAATATCTTCATCTCTAACTGATTCTCCAATTGAAAATTGTACTTCTCCCGTTGATTCTCTTTTTATTTCACTGGGAGTTATATGTAATGCTAACCTCTTTGCAACTAATTCTGCAAGACCACGATGTACATCACTAGCTAATAATTTAATAGAATTGGTTGACATTGCTAGCTTATATTTTTAAATGAGATTGATTGGGTATTATGAGTTAAGTAAATTAAGTAGTAATGATTTAAAGAATTGAATAAGTTAAGCTGTCAGATAATAATTGATTATATTGTATTTGGTCTAGGAAATTAATTTAATAATTTAATTAATATTTTTTTTTTCCTGGAGATGAATTAAATGTTTAAATTAAATGTTTCATAGTTAGATTGATTAGGCTACCAATTACTTGATGAGTCTGAAAAAGCGCAAAGATTTTGAAATCTCGCAAATATTTAAATATCATATATCATTTTACAACTAATTTAATTATTACCCCACTATTTTGCAATATTCACAATGAGTGATAAAAGACAGTAAGTAAATATTTCGAACCATTATTTAAATTTTTACAACAATACTAACTACGATATTTCAAGTCATACAAAAATAAAAGCATGTCTATTTGGTACGTTTATTTTGACTTTTAATTTGAGAATATGACAATAAGTACTGACTCAATTGGTTTTCAGACTTGGATGGGACTTTATTAAATACAGAAGATTTATATACTGAATCATCAACTGAGCTACTAGCAAGGTATGGTAAAGGTCCATTTACATGGGATAAAAAAATTAAAGTTGCAGGGTTACCTGGACTATATGCTACAAATGTCATTATAAAGGAATTTGATTTACCAGTCACACCAGAAGAATATCTTAAAGAAGCAACAGAGATTCAATCAACAAAGTGGCCCAAAACTGCTTTTTTACCTGGAGCATTAGAATTATTAGAATACTTAGACTCGAAAAATATACCAATGGCATTAGGAACTAGCTCAAATTTATTAAATTACGAAAAAAAAACCGGACATTTAAAAGAAGGATTTAAATATTTTGGGGATCATATAGTCACTGGTGATGATAAAAGAATAGCAGAAGGAAGAGGAAAAGTATGTACAACTTTTACAACGAAGTTTGTAGACAAAAGTACCTACTAACTAATTCGACTTTAGCCGCATCCAGATATATGGCATGCTTGTCTAGACAGTATAAATTCTGAGAGAAAATCTAACGAATTAGGTGAAATTAAGATTGAAGAATGTCTTATATTTGAGGATAGTCATATTGGAGTTAAGTCTGGTGTTGCATCAAATGCTCATGTTATTTGGATACCACATCCTGAAGCTTTTGACTTGTTTGATGAAGCAAAAGATGGTGAATACGAACTCATTACAAATCTAGACATGCTAGATAAAGTCAAGTATTATTTATGATTAGGCTTTTACAAGTTTTGCGTCCTTTTAAGGATAAATTAGAGATAATAGATAGATTCATTTGTATTTGAGGAACTCTCTCATTTACTCTATAATACCATTCTAGAACATTATTCGGTAAAGTATTTACTAAGCTCGAAAATTTCATTAACCATATTGCAAGAATTATGAAACAAAAACAAAGAGAAAAAAAATCCATTAATATAATCTTACTAAATATTATACGAAGTAAAATACATTCATAAATGACTAAACAACTAGGTTAGATTTTCCAAATCAACCATATATAGAAAATTATTATGATTGGTAGTGATATATATCATATTGTTATTGACTTTTTATTAACTGATTCTGATTATAGATATTCGAACATAGAGATTATCGAAATTGATATAAATATTGAACCAACAACAAAAACTATTCCTACATCATCAAATTCTATAATGAGTTTATCATCTAAATTATCAACAAATACTATTGAACCAATAAAGGCTAAACTGATTGGTGATGGAGTCATACGTCTTTTTAGGGAGTTTTATGATGATGAAAATGAAGAGGAATATCAACAAGTAACGCAGGGCGATGATACAATGCTAGCTATATTAGCACTACCTACATATTTTACAGCCACTGATCTTTTGGGATATATTGGAGAATCATTTATTAGTTCCATATCACATATAAGAATACTTAAAAGTGATAAACAAAATAGATTTTTGGTGTTGATCAAATTTAGAGACATATTTAAAGCAGCACAATTTAAAAATTATTTTGATGGAAAATCTTTCAATTCTATGGAACCAGAATCATGTCATGTAGTTTATGTTAGATCTGTTCAATTAAATTATCCAACTCAGGAAATTGAAGAATTAGAAACCTTAATACCTTTTTTATTACAAGATCCATTTACTTCAAAGTTGGTAACAGAAGCAGAAAATTTATCAAATAAATCATTAATCGAATTACCAACATGTCCAGTTTGTCTTGAGAAAATGGATTCAAGTATGACAGGTTTATTAACAATTCCATGTCAACATACATTTCATTGTCAATGTTTATCAAAATGGAAAGATGATTCATGTCCAATTTGTCGTTATTCACACAAATTAACTAATTTGTCAATTATTAAAAATCAAAGTAATAGACTACTAAATAGAAGGGAATCGGTTAATAATAATTCCGAGGTTAATAATAATAACAGTGATAACGCCATTACAGAAGAATATGAAAATTGTTCAGAATGTTCAGAAAGTTCAAATTTATGGATCTGTCTTATCTGCGGTAATGTAGGTTGCAGCAGGTATGCGCCTGAGCAACATTCATTGAAGCATTTTATAAATACAGGACATTGCTTTGCAATGGAAATATCTACAAGTAGAGTGTGGGATTATGCAGGAGATAATTATGTTCATAGATTAGTTACAAATGAATCTGATGGTAAATTGGTTGAATTACCAGATAATGAAAAGTCAAGTAAATATTCAGCAAAGTCCAATAATAATGATATTGATAAAGTTGATGCTGTTGGATTTGAATATTCACAATTATTAATTAGCCAATTAGCAAGTCAAAGAGAATATTATGAAGAGATTTTAAATAATAATTATAATATTGATGGATCTAAATTTTTAGATAATAAAAAAGAATTTTTTAATAGTAATAATACGGACATAAATAAGAATATTATTTTAAGTCAAACTAATAATAATAATAATCAATATCTGGATTTAGAATCGAAGGTTGAAGATTTATCTGTTAAACTATCAGATCTAACTACAAATTTAATACCATCATTGAAATCAAAGATTCAAAACAAAGAAGAGAAGTTGCACAAGATAAGTATTGAATTGAATACTCAAAATTTATTAAACGAGGCATTTTCAAAAAAGATTGAACATTTAAATTTAACAAATAAGGAACATTTAAAAGTAATTGAAGATTTAAAATTAGAAAATGAAGGTTTAAAGGAACAAAATAATGATTTAATGTTTTATTTAGATAGTAATCAAAAATTTGAAAATCAACCAGAAGATGTTAAACAAGGTAAAGTAGTGATACAACAACCACCATCAACAACTTCATCGTCATTAAAAAAGAAGAAAAAAAAGAAACCAGTTGCAAATAAAAATTAGTCAAGATTTCTAATCTTGAAAAGAAAAAGTTCAAGGCGTATCACTAATATTTCAAATTGAAGATTCGATCTAGACCATAAAGACATCTGATTTTTAATATTCAAGTTCCTTTTCTCAATGCAAAATTATGTCAAGTTGAAGTAATGTCAATCTTAGGAAAGTTTTGAAGGATCAGAGATTTAAAAAAAAAGTATTTTAATTTTATTTTTTTTATTTTTTGAAAAAATTAGCCATTTTTATTTATTTACAGTTTTAATGTACCTTAGTTTTTGTGTAATTGTTTTAGATTAAAAGCATAACACTAAAAACTTTAAATTTAAAAAGAATAAAAAGTTAAGAATAAAAATACTTTAAAAAATAAAAATTGACAGATTATTATTTAATTGAAATCTTAGCATTTTTTTTGGTTTATCATTAAGATATATTCACCATTGATATATCAGATTTCTTTTTTTTATCGTGGATAAAAGATTAGATTTGTTTTGTGATAAAAATTTGTAAATTTTATGTTATGCTACTACATAATTAATTTTAAATGAATCTGTATACATTAATTTTAATTAGAAATAAATTAAAAAAAGGGTATATTATTAGGTTCCAAAACTTGAAAAAAGAATACCAAATTTTTGCATTTATTCAATAAAACATTAATTTTTTTTTCTTCTCAACACAATAATCTTAAAGATGAATAAAAGTGCGGTTAAGAAAACTGGAGCAGTTCCTAGACTACCTTCATTTCAGCAATTAAATGATACAATAAAAGATTCATCTTCAAGTAATAAAAATCCAGATCAAAATCAAAATCAAAATCAGAATCAAAATCAGAATCAGAATCAAAATCAAAATCCAAATCAAAAAATCTTATCTTATTCATCAGCATTTAAAAATTTAGCATTATATCAAGAAAGTCAATTATTGTCAACAATTGGAGGTTTAAATTCAGCAAATCAACAACATCAAAGTCAAATACAAATACAAACACAATCTCAACCACAACAACAAAGTAGATCAAAAGTTCAATCACAAGATCAATTGCAGGAGCAACAGCAACCACCTCCATCACAAAAACATCAGAAACAACTACAATCTCAGCAATATCAACTTCAATTGCAACAACAAATTCAACAACCTTTACCACCACAGCAACAATTGCAACAAGGTTACAATACCTTAGGACCAGAATACTTATATGGTGCTTCCATCTATGGTCGTCATGAAAGTTTCCCAAATCAATATTACACTATAAATAATACAAAAGATGGTATGATGAAATCATATTCTATGACAACTTCACCAGCCTCAATTGAAAGTATATATTCACAAAACAATATTAATCATAATAACATTGATAATTTAGCAAGCACTGGCAATAATAGTTCTGATGAAAATTATGAGTTTATTAGTAATTTAATTCAATTTTTGACAAAATTTGAACTGAAGTTTAAAGAAGTTAGTGTTTTACTGTATTATTCTCATGAAAATTATGAACAGATAATGAGAAATGTTATTAAAGGTATGAAGAATGAAAATGTTCGTGAATTATTAATAAATTTTAAAAAAATTGTTGAATTGTTGGAAAACATTCAGGCTAAGTATCCTTTAGAACATCAACATCGTCCTCATCAACATCACAATTCTAATCAACAATTCACTCATAATGGTGGAGATAACAGTAACAATAATCATCATAGTAGCAATATGAACAACAACAATTCAAATGGTAAAGCTCTAAAACGATCTTCAAGTCATCAATTAATCAGCAGTAGTTCCAAAAAAAGTAAGAAGAAACTTTTAAATGGATCATCAATGAACAATAATGGTGTATCACTTTTGCCGATTGATATTGAACAACAAACAAATGATGTATTACTAGCAAGTGGACTTGGAAATTTTGGTGACGCTATCAATGGATCATCAAATATTAATGGTGGTCAAGTAGAACTGAAACCAGAATTATCATCAAAACCATTAGTTACTTGTCAACATTGTTGTTCACAAGAAACACCAGAATGGAGAAGAGGTCCAGAAGGTAGTAGAACTTTATGTAATGCTTGTGGATTATTTTATTCGAAATTGATTAAAAAATATGGACTACGTGAAGCAGATAAAGTTATGCTTGAAAGAAAAAGCAATGGATCAGTTAATGATAGAAGAATTTTTTAACACAGGAGATCAATTATAATTTCAAACATTTTACAATTTATTTTCGATGTGGGTTTATTTGTTTTTAGTATTTTGTGTTTTTGCTGGTACTAAATTCTTGTATAAATCTAATAAATGTATCTTTAACTTTGAAACTCGATAGCTATTTGATCTCATAAAGTAAATTAGTTGATCTCATAATAATCTCTGGATATTAATGGCATGAATATTTAAGCTTCGCTACAACTAAATTATTATATGCAGGATTCACTAAACCATCTCATCTACTAAATAATTTTTATTAATTTCTTAATCTTTGCAACACATTTTCAAATTTGTATTAGAACCAGATCATATATCAAACAAATTAGTCAATAACAACATTTTATAATAATCTGTATCGTTAGACATTATATGTATCAAAAATCATAGAGAATAATCATGTCTGATACTACAAAATCAACTTTAAGTAGTAATGAACATGCATTTCCAAGAGGTGGTAATACAAAATTAACACCATTAGAAGTCAAAGAAATATCAAATGAAGCAACAAAAGATGTTTTATTTGAAATTAATGAAAAGAAAAGATTGAATGAATCAAATCAAGAAAATAGTAAAATTAAACAACGTAAGAAATCAAGAAGAGGAACAACCAAAACTACCAAATCAGAAGATAAAGATAATGAAGAAGAATCAAATAAAGTATCCATTGAATATTTAAATTTCAAAAACTTATTTCCTGGATCTTTAGTGTTTGGTCAAATTCAATTCATAAATAAATTAGATATAGTATTAGCATTAGAAAATAACTTAGTTGGTTATATACCCATTACCTCCATAAGTCCACAAATTACACAAATGATAAGCAAATATGAAAATGAAAGTGAGGAAGAAGAAGCAGAAGATGATGACGAAGATGAAGAAATCACAACCGTAGCAAATATGAAAAAGCAAAAAGAATTTCCTGACTTGAAATCCATATTCAAAATTGGATCATGGTTAAAAGCCAAAGTTGTTGAATCAAGTGATGAAAATAATCAAAAGAGAAAAAGAATTGAATTAAACATTGAACCAGAATCAGTTAATAATGGATTGGAAAAAGAAGATTTAATTATTGGTAATGTATTACAAGCATCTATAAAATCCATCGAAGATCATGGTATAATCTTGGACTTGGGAATTGAAGGATACTCAGGGTTTATACTAAATAAAGATATAGATGAGGAATCTATCATTAAGAAAGAAGGGTCAGTATTATCAGCCACTATAAGTTTGAAACCATCTGGAAGAATAATTAATTTAAAACCACTTAATTCAAGTACCACCAAAAAGGCAATCACTACAATATCATCAATCGATGCCATTCAACCAGGTATTATAGTAGATGCATTAGTAAATGAAAATTCAGAGTCAGGAATAACTACAAAAGTATTTGGATTAGTTGATGGTACAATTAACTTATCAGATTTACAAGATTTCAATTTAGCAAATATAAAAGAAAAATTTGCAATTGGTAATATTGTAAAAGCAAGAATTTTGTCAATCATATCTAAAAATGGAGTCAAACACTTAATATTATCAGTAATACCTCATGTTCTAAATTTACAAAATCAAGAATTCAAAACTGAATCATTAGAAGCATTCCCAGTTGGTCATGTTTTCGAAGATATAGAAATTATTGGATCAGATAGTGAATACATATTTGCAAAATTTGGTTCAAATTCATTATATGGACAAATTCATAATTCAAATATCGATAACAAAAAGACATTAATTGATTACCCAATAGGATCAAAACATGAAGCAAGAGTAATAGGTTTCAATATAATTGATAACATATTGATATTGTCATTGGATCCTACCACAATAAATGCTGAATATTTAAGCGTAAGAGATATACCTATTGGTACTTCAATAAATTGTGAGATTACGAAAGTTTTACCAGATGCTGGTGGTATACAAGTTAAATTATTTGATAATTTTAATGGATTTGTCCCATCAAACCAAATGTCCGACATAAAATTAGTATATCCAGAAAAAAAATTCAGAATTGGGTCAAAAGTGAAAGGTAGATTATTGAACCACGATAAAAAGACTCCACAAATAACATTAAGAAAATCATTAATTAATCTTGATAACGATGAAGTACTATACAAATTTGATCAAGCTGAAGTTGGATTCAAGACAAATGCAACTGTTGAAAAATTTGTTCATGGTGGTGCTATAGTTTCATTTTTTGGTTCATTAAAAGCATTTTTACCTAAAAATGAAATATCAGAAACTTTTGTTGATGATGCAAGTAAATATTTAAAATTAAATCAAGTTGTTAAAGTTAAAATTTTGGATATTTTAAAAGATCAAAAAAGATTAATTGTTACGTTAAAACAATCAACTTCTTTATCAAATGCTCAAAGAGATGAAATCAATAAATTAATACCCGGTGAATCTATTGTAAATGCAGTTGTTGCTGAAAAAACAAATAATTCAGTATTGGTAGAAATAGATGGTTCAAATTTACGAGGTGTAATTTATGATGGACAATTATCGGATGGAAATTATGAACAAAATCGTGCATTATTAAAAACAACAAAAGTATCATCAAGTATAGAAGTTTTGATATTGGAAAAAGATTTAAAAGCAAGAACAGTTATAGCCACTGCCAAAAAATCATTAATTGAAGCATCAAGAAAAAAACAATTCCCAATTGATTTAAATGATATTCAACAAAATAAAATTATAAAAGGTTATGCGAAATCAGTCACTAATTTGGGTTTGTTTGTATGTTTCACAGGTAGATTAACAGGATTAATTTTAGCAAAATATGCAATTAAAAATTCAAATGAAGATATTCACAAGAAATTTTATAAGAATCAATCATTGACTTGTAAAGTATTAAGTGTTGATTTAGAAAATAAAAGATTCTTGTTGACTTTAGCATCAAGTAATGAGATGAATGATGATGAAGTTGCCAATCCAGTAGATACAACTAAAAAATTAATAACTGATTATACCAATGGAGTTGAAACTTCCTGTATAATCAAATCAATAAAAGGAACTCAAATTAATGTACAGTTAGCTGATAATTTACAAGGTCGTATTGATATTACTCAATGTTTTAATTCCATTAAAGATATTAAGAATTTGAATCAACCATTATCAACTTTCAAAAAAGGTGAAAAATTAAACGTGAAAGTCATTGGGATTCATGATGTTAAAAATCATAGTTTCTTACCAATTACTCATAAAAAATCAAATAAACAAAACATTTTGGAATTGTCATTAGTTGATTCAAAACTTGATGGCAAAAGTTTAAGTGAATTAAAAATCTCAGATTTTAAAGAAAATGAAGACATATTATGTTTTGTCAATAATATTGATAAAGGTTTTGTATGGGTATCAATAACTCCACAAATTAAAGGTAGAATATCATTTTTTGATTTAAGTAATAATGGAGAAATTTTTAATGAAGATATTGATAATAAATTTCCAATTGGTTCTGCATTAAAAGCTAAAATTAAGGAAATTGACTTGGAGCATAAAATTATAGAATTAAGTTTAAGAGATAAATATGTTGAAGATATTAAAGATTTACAAAAAGGTACAAGTTATCCTGCAAGAATTATAAAAGTAAAAGAAATGTATGTGTTGGTTGATTTAGGAAATAAAATAATAGCATCTTCTTTCATAACTGATGCTTTAAATAATTATTCAGATAAATTACAATCAGTTTTCCAAGTTAATGATTATGTTTCTGCTAAAGTTTTAGATGTTGATTTAGATCAAAATAAAGTCTCAGTTAGTTTGAAAACTAGTGAGGTTACCGATAAAACTATCAATACAATTGATGATTTAAAACGTGGAGATATCGTTAAAGGATTCATTAAAAATGTAAGTAACAATGGTGTTTATATATCATTAGGTAGATCTATCTTTGCATTAGCTAGAATTTCAGATTTAAGTGATTCATACCTTAAAGATTGGAAAAAATTCTTTAAACCAAATCAATTAGTTACAGGTAAAATAGTAAATTGTAAAGAAGAAGGTAGAATATTAATAACATTAAAAGAAAGTGAAATTAATGGTGATTTAAAAATTTTAAAAACTTTTGATGATTTATCAATTGGTGATATATTTGAAGGTATTGTTACAAAACCAACTGAATTTGGAGTATTTGTTAAATTAAAAGGAACTGTAAACATTAGTGGATTATGTCATCATTCTGAAATTTCTGAAAATCAAGATATAAAAGATCCAAGTTTATTATTTGGAGAAGGTGATTTAGTTAAAGTAAAAATTTTAAAAATTGATGATAAGAAAAAACAATTATCTTTAGGTATGAAAGCTTCTTATTTTGATGATACAAATGGTAATGATAAGATCACTGAAGTTGATGAAGATGTTGAAATGGCTGATGCAGATGAGGAAGATGACGAAGAAGTAGAAGTAGACGACGAAGAAAGTGAAGAGGACGATGAAGATGAAGATGAGGATGAAGAAGAAGATGTAATTATAGACGCAGAAGAAGAAGAAAAAGACAGCAGTGAAGATGAAGATGCAGATGAAGATGAAGAAATGTCAGAAGTTGATGAAGATTCAAAACCATTACAATTATCAACTAATGGGTTTGATTGGACAGCATCAATTTTGGATCAAAATGAACAACAAGATTCGTCATCAGATGAAGAAGATTATGAAGAAGAAAATTCAAAATCTAATAAATCTAAAAAACAAAAACAAAAACAAGTTGAAGATAAAACAATAGATTTAAATACAAGATTACCACAATCAAATTCAGATTTTGAAAGATTAATTTTAGGTAATCCAAATAATTCAATATTATGGATGAATTATATGTCATATAATTTACAATTAAGTGAAATTGATAAAGCAAGAGAAATTGGTGAAAGAGCTTTAGATACAATAAATTATAGAGAAGAACAAGAAAAATTAAATATTTGGATTGCATTATTAAATTTAGAAAATTCTTTTGGTACAGAAGAATCATTAGATTTAATATTCAAAAAATCTTGTCAATATATGGATTCTTTTATAATGTATCAAAAATTAATTAATATATTAATAATGAGTGAAAATTTTATAAAAGTTGAAGAAATTTTCAAGAAATTCCTTAAAAAATTTAGTCAAAATGTAACAAGTTGGATAATATATGGATCATATTTATTAGATCAAGAAGAAAGTTCCAAATCAAATAAAATAAATGAAGTATTATCAAAAGCATTAACTATATTACCAAAATCTCAACATATAGAATTAATTAAAAATTTTGCAATATTAGAATTTAAAAAGGGAGATTTAGAAAAAGGTAGATCATTATTTGAAGGATTAATATCAGATTTACCAAAAAGAATTGATTTATGGAATATTTATATTGATCAAGAAATTAAAATTTCTAACATTCTAAAAGATATTAATAATAAATTACAAATTGAAAATTTATTTGAAAGAATTTTAGAATTGAAAAAAATTTCAAGAAAACAAGTTAAATTTTTTTTTAATAAATGGTTAAAATTTGAAGAAGAATTAAAAGATGATAAAATGATTAATAAAATTAAAGCTAAAGCTATTGAATATGTTTCAAAAAATGAAAATAATACTAATAATGAATAGAGGATTAAAAATTTGTATATAATTGGTATATCATAATGTAAAATACAATAAAAAAAATATAATTATAGACCAAATATAAATTGTAGTTTTAATTATTCAACAGAGGTTAAAATTCATTGACATATAGAATTACATTACAAAACTTCTCTGTTAATAGTACCTTAATTAAATTAATAATTAATTTACGTAATTAAGTTTTTGTTACCACTTTATAATGATTAATAAATTGATAGAATAAAAGAAGAATAGAAATCTTATTGTTCTTAATTTATAAGATCTGACATCAATATTTAAAAGTAATTAAAAGTGAAACATTTCTAATTAATTAATTGATGATTTACAATTATAGTAACTTTAATTAAGTATAAGGGGATTGTTTTTTTTTTTGGTTTGTGGAGAATTCTTTTTCTAATTTAGTGTAATTTAGCAAAAAATTTGGTAGCTACCAAAATATTATACTTTTGATCATTTATTTTGTGTAACAAGATGATAAATCAAAAATTCACATGCTTTTAAAATTATATAGTAAAAATAAAAATAAAAATTCATATGAAATTTTTGTATTACTTTTTTAATTCCCTTTACTTTAAATTTACATTTTGCATTAATCCTCGATACTTTTAATATTCAAGTGGATATAAAATCATATAATATTCGAGGTTTAATGTTAAGACTATCTAATCTCCTATTAAATAAATCATGTAAAATAAAGTATTAAGTTAATACTATTATAATTTGAAATTATTAAATGAGATTTACTATTATAATTAAATTAATTTTTACATATGATTTATTTTTATAAGATACTTAGTATATCTCTTTCATTTGATTAATCTTTACAATTTATCATATAAGATAATCCAAGAATCTTATGATATTATAATAACATTAATCAATCTAATTTATCTATGATCTTTGAAATAAGGAATATTTTTTTATGTATACATAGTTGTATTAGTTGGAATTTTGTTGAGATTATTATAATAATTATTACTATATAATTATTGATAGTTATAATAAATTTTCGCATGCAAATATAATTAATCAATTTATTAATCAAACGTTTATTACAATCAAATTTTTACAATTAAACTAATTAATTTTAAGTGAGACATTTGAGTTTAAGTTAAGTTCAGATGAAATTGAATTAGACAGTTCTCTATAATTCGATTTTAGATTTGATCGTTGATTAAATAAAGAAAAAAAAATTTCATACTCATTTTTTAATTAATTTTACTAAGTTACTAATATTTATTAATTTACAACAATACTAAATAATAAAATACTATTTAAAAAATATCACATACAAATTTAAAAATTATTTTATTTTTTCTTCTTTATTTTTTATTAATAACTTTTTTCTTTTACAATTTCATTATTATTATATATATTTAATCAAATCTATCATTTAATTTTAATATTAATTAAATTTTTGATTCTTTCTTCCATATTTGATTAAATAAGGATTATTATCATTAGTTTAGTTTTATTAAACTTTTCATTTCATTTAAAAGAAGGGGATTCTGGTAATCACTTTTACTTTTAATTTATATTATTATTAATTATTATTATTATTATTTTTATCAGTCACATTTATTAAATTTTTAATTTTACTTTTTAAAGATTAATTTATCAATAAATATACAACAAAATTTACAATTTACAATTCCAATCTCATATCTTTAATATAATTAATTAACATTTTCATATCAATTATTCAAAGTGTCAAATTATAAAATAATAATATATTCAATATGTCAATAGGTTCAACTACTCAAACTCATATACAATCTAACACTAATTCAAATAATCAACCATCAAATGTATCAATATCATCAAATATATCTTCAAATAATAATAATTCAATAAATGGTTCATCTTCATTACCTGGACCACCACCACCTTATTCAAAATCATTACCAACTACTTCAACTAATATGACTGATATATCATCATCATCATCATCATCAATAAATTCTAATTTTACTTTACAACATGAACAACAACAACAACAACAACAACCAAGTCAGCCGCGTGATCAAAATGATTTAGTCACAGCTGCTCAAGCTTTAACTCAATTAACAAGAACTAATTCTCCTCCTTCAGATGTTGATACTATTGTTACAAGAGATAGTGATGAATTATCTACTACAACAACTACAAGTAATTTTGAAAATAATCAATTACCTCCATTAATTGGTCATCATGAACAACAACAATTACAACAACCACAACAAAAACATCCTATTGTTTCAACTGTTAATATGGTTGCAAAACATCCAATTGTTATGAATGCAGTAAAATATTATGAATCACAAAAAAGAAATTATCCTTCTTTTAATTATGCTGCTGGTATAGTTGAAGCTGCTGCATTACCTGTTGTTAATAAAATTGAAGATAATTTAAATACAAGACATCAACAAACAAGATTACCATCATTTTCACAATTAGAAGCTAATAGTTCTCATTATAGTTCTAATGAATTAACTCCAGTAGTTTCATTTGATAATAAACAAAAAAAAAGAAGATTATCATCATCAAGTGTATCATCAAATGTATCAACAATGTCAACATCTTATGATACTAAAAAAAGATTACAATTTTGTATTCATATTTTAAGAGCAGCAAATGCAAATATAAATTCAAAAATTAATTTTTTACAACGAAAAATTAACGAAACTGAATTAGCTGTAAAAGAAGAAAGAGTTAAATTACAACATCAAAGATCTCATGAATCTTTATCACCTGATCAAGCAACTCAAAAGACTAAAACTGAAATCATTGGTACAGTTAAAAAGATTATTCATTTAATTTCAAATTTTAGACCAAGTACTCTTGGTGGTACTTCCAATACTACTACTACAACAACTACTCAATCAGATACTTCAACAACTACTCAATCAGATACTTCAACAACTCCAATCACAAATGATTATGCATTATCAAGAATTCCAACAAATATATCATTTTTACAAGATTATGAACTAAAAAACACTATAAGAGATATAATATTACATTTACCAGCGTCATTACAACAACAGTCTTCAACATCATCAAATGGTGAAGAAGGTAATGATAGAATATTTGTATTAGCAAAAGAAAGTTTAGATATGATTACAAAATTAACTAATGTATTCAGTGAACAATTAGTTAAAGTTGAAACTTGGGTAAATGGTGAAGAACAATTACAACAACAACAATTATTAAATAGTCAAGGTGAATTAAATGAGAAAGATGTTGATATGAAAGATGCTAAAAGTGACGATCTGGTAAGTACAAGATGTTCAAGTGAAGAACCAGATGGTTTAACTTCTGCTACTAAAAGAATGAGAATCAATGAATTAATTGATAATTAAATTTATTAAAGTAAAGAATTGATAAGTAATGAAATCATAATAATAACACATAATTTATACATAAGTTATAAAATATAATATAATATAAGTTTAAAATGTTTTAGAATTTAATGTTAAGAATTTTCTGAGTATTGGTATCAGTCTGTACATAATTTAAATCTTTTTCTCTATAAGTTGATGAATACTTCAGCCTTAATACATCGTGGCATGTTTTAATTAACCTCTAAATAAAATTCTCTATATTAAGTAAAATCATCATCAAATTTTTTACAACCAAATTTTTTTTAATTGTTTCTTTTTCCTAAAAAAAAATAATTTTTTATTTCACAAACCATTTTAAATTTTTAAAAATCGCTTCTATTTAGATTATTCAATTCTTTAATAAACAATTTATGCAAATAATATCCAAAGACAATTACTCAAACAATATACTACAATAAAAATTTGATTGGAATATCTATTAAATCTATATAATTGGGAACATTAGATCAAGGGAAATCCATCAGATCAATTAATCTAACATAATTACAAAAAAAAAGACATCTACAGTTAAATAATTAATGAAATATAGCCTACCGAAAATATGTCTTGGACTCCAGATCAAAATGCATTAGAACAATTAAAACATATTTTTAAAGGTACTTTATCACCTAATAATGAAGAAAGAAAATTAGCAAATGATGCTTTAATTCAAGCCAAACAAAATTCAGCAATTGAAAATTATTTATTTACATTGTTAATTTTTGATCAAAATACAAAATCAGATATAAGAGCAGCAGCCGGTATAAATTTGAAAAATTCTATACTAAAAAATAAACATAATTCAAATCAAATTGATAGAAGTTTTATATTGGATAATATTTTCACTGGATTACAAAGTAATGAAGTTCTAGTTAGAAATATTACTGGGAATGTCATAACTTCATTGTTTTCAATATATGGATTAGAAAAATGGAGCTCTTCATTGACTAGTCTTATTCAATTAGCGAATACTCCACCACAAGATAATGGTGATAAAAATTATTCAACTCAAGAAGCAGCAATGAGTGCATTAGCTAAAATTTGTGAAGATTCATATATACAATTAGATAAAGAAATTAATGGAGAACGACCTTTAAATTATTTAATCCAAGAATTATTAAAAATTTTAGATCAATCACAAAGTATAAAAATTAAATTTTATGTTATTCAGTGTATTAATCAATTTATTTTATTAAATACTCAATCGTTTTTAGTTATTATTGATTTATATTTACAAAAAATTTTCCAATTAGCTCAAGATACTGATGGATCAAATTTAAAAGATTGTGAAATTCTTAAAAAAAACATAGTTACTTCATTTTTATTCATATTGGAAACAAGACCAGATAAAATTGCACCTCACATTGATGGAATTTTAAATTATTGTTTACATTTAATGCAAAATCCTAAAAACAGTAATGAAGTAAGTTTAGAAGCATGTGAATTCTTATTAGCTTTAACAACATCTACAGACTTTAATCATGTTTTCTCAACTGATAAATTAAAAATTATATTACCAATATTATTAGATAAGATGATTTATTCAGAAGATGATATTTTGGCGATGGAAATTGAAGATAGTAAAGATGATACAAACATTGAGGATAAAGATGAAGATATAAAACCAACAATTGTAAAGTCTAAAGATGCAAGAGCTGTATCTAATGGAACTACAAAAAATGGTCATATGAATGGGAATGATAACTCCCACGATCAAGAAGATGACGATGAAGAAGACGACGAGGACGAGGACGAAGATGATGAAGAAGATGGAGCAGGTACACATTGGAGTTTAAGAAAATGTTCAGCAGCAACATTAGATATATTAAGTGAAAATTTACCACAAGAAGTTTTGGTATTAACGCTACCTATATTACAATCCAAAATATTATCAAATGAATGGCCAGTAAGAGAGGCAGCAATATTAGCATTTGGAGCAATGAGTATAAGTTTTATAGAATTAGCAAGAGATAAATTACCTGAATTAGTTCCATTTTTAGTTGATAAATTACAAGATTCAGAACCAAGAGTTCGACAAATTACATGTTGGACCTTATCAAGGTATGCTACTTGGGTAAGTGAAGAAGCTCATGAAGGTGGTCAATATTCGAATTATTTTCAACCTACTTTTCAATCTATTATTAGTTGTGCATTAGATTCTAAAAAAGTTGTACAAGAAGCTGCTTGTTCTGCTTTGTCTTCATTTATTGAAGAAAGTGACTCATCATTAATTGTAATATACCTTGAAGAATTATTAAATCACTTTGCAAAATGTTTTGCTATATATCAAAGAAAAAATTTAATTATTTTATACGATTGTGTTCAAACATTTGTTGAAAAAATGGGATATGAAAATTTATCTAAAGATCCAAATTATTCAAATATTTTATTACCACCATTATTGAAAAAATGGAATTCATTAAGTGATGAAGATACTGCATTATGGCCATTATTAGAATGTATGGCTTCAGTAGCTGCAAAATTAAAAGATCTTTTTGCACCTTATGCTATTCCAGTATATGACAGAGCTTTAAGTATTTTATCAAATTGTATTATAATGGATCAAAATTGTCAAACTGATCCAACTATAAATTCACCAGAAAAAGACTTTATGGTAACTTCATTAGATTTAATTGATGGATTAATTCAAGGTTTTGAATTCCATTCAATAGATTTAATTAATCATGATTCACAAAATTCAAAACCAAACACTAATTTAATTGATTTATTGTTAGTTTGTTTTGAAGATTATAATCAAGATGTAAGACAATCATCATATGCACTTTTAGGAGATTTAGCAATATTTGTAATTGATATTTTAAAACCTCATTTACATTCTATATTTATGAGTATTGGTAATGAAATAAATAATAGATCCCCAGAAACTTTCCCCATTTATAATAATGCCATATGGTCATTAGGTGAAATTATACTAAGATTACCAAAATCAGAATTTGAAAAATATTTGGAGAATTTCATAAATCTATTAATTCCAATAATGAATGATTCAACATTACAACCAACAGTATTGGAGAATTGTGCAATATGTTTAGGTAGAATGGGAGAAAATGGATCTGAAATATTAGCACCAAAATTAATTGAATTTATTGTCCCCTGGTGTAAAAATTCATTACATTTAGAAGATAATGAAGAAAAACAATCATCTTTATCAGGTATGATTAAAACCATAAATATGAATCCAGATAATGGTTTTGGTGGATTAAATACTCAACAAGGTAAAGTTAATTTGGCGAAATTTTTAGAAGTTGTTGGTAATTATACTGATGCATCAAGTGAATTACAAAATCAATTCTTACAATTGATTATGAATTATAAAAGTTTAATAGGTGAGGAAATTTGGGAAAATCAAATTTTAAAATACGTTGATGAATCATTAAGACCAAATATTTCAATATAATAAAAGATTTTAAAAAAATAAAAAAGAGTTATATATAAATTTTATATAGAGTTATAAATTAGTATGTTAAAGTATATAGAAGTTAAAATTAAATAATGATTTTTTTCGTACTCGTGAATATTCATCTGAAACTATAGTGAAAACCGGATTAACAAAAAGGTAAGAATGCAAAGGCAGCCAGACGATACTTTTTGAAGCTTTTGTCAAATTTAAAATATTCCTATATTGAGTCTTACTATTATGTTCAACCCAATACCTCCATAAACCCCTTAAAGTTTATTAATACTAAATTTAGTAATAAGTTGCGTTTTAAAATACGAGACTTCAAGAACGGAATTTTTTTCAAAATTGATAAGATAAATATTGACTTTATAATAAGTTCAAATACAATTATATTTACACAATGCTAATTACTTTAAGGATAAAGTTGCAATTATAATATCAAAGTCAAAAAGTTGAAAAAAAGTCATGTTTCAACTAGCAGTCTTATTCTTGAGTATAACTATATTAATTTATCAATTATTTAAGGAATACAAGAAATATGTTCAAAAATCACTAAATCCAATCTTACAAAAAACAACTTCAATTGACCCAAATTTTAAATGGTACAATAATGAACCATTGAAAATAAGACCTTTTGTGGGCAAGACTAATTTTAATCCTAAAATGGGGATAAAAAACATTTCATCAACTCCAAATGATTGGTTATTAATTGAAGATACTTATTTAAAATGTACGAATTTAAAACAAGAATCATTGACTAAAATTCCAGAACAAACTATGTATATTTCTAATGATTTAAGATCAATTAACGCATTGAAAGAGTTTTACTCTTTGGTTTTTAAATTTTACATGAAAAGGTATCCTCAATATTTCCAATATAACAATTCAACTGATGAAATAACAAACAAAATCAACGGGTTCAAATCAAAGTTGAGTACTCCAAAAATATCAACAGATCAAATGTTATTGAACTTAGGCTCAAACATGGAAGAAGATTTTATTCTATTATTAAAGGATCACAACCCCAAAGATCCAAATGAAGAATATATATTAAAAGGAAGTATAGTTGGATTTCCAGCAGGTTTTGACGCAACGGATTTATTTAATAAACCAATCTCTTACATCCACGAGCCAGTTCCACAATATGAAAAAAATTTAAAATCATCAATGCATAAATTTTTTAATAATTTAAAAATAGGAGATTTATGGATCCGTTATAATTGGTCAGTACAAACTCATTCAAATTATTTCACATTAAATAATCACGGTAGATCAGGTGATAAATTGAAAAAACTTTCGATATCAGATATTGATTTTGATAATGGATGTTTTTTAAGATGTGAAAGACAAATATTATTTAGATTACCTTTAAGTGGTGCTATAATAATGACAACTAGAACTTATTTAACTAATTTGAATCAGATTAAAAAAGAAGGTTTAGCTAGTGATATGATTTTTGGAATACGATCAGTGCCTGATGATTTAGGGTTTTATAAAAAAAGAGAAGTTTGGGGTGATGCTGTTATAGAATTTTTATCCAAAGACAAAGAAAAGAACGTAGAAAAAATCTAATTTGAATGATTTACTTGATATTATGAACCCTTCTTATTTATTAATATACATCTAGAGAATAGACTATTGACCTATTGGACAATTTCTTAAATATTCAGCTTTAGTTTTTAAAATTCTAACAGATTTAAAAAATATTTCTTCAGGTGACATAGCACCAGTAGATTCAACATTAAAAATAAAATGATCTCTTTTCCTACCTAATTTAACTTTATTTTGAAATTCAGAATGTCTTAATACTTCTCTTGATACAGTATCTTTTCTTGCATCTTTTACAAAAGCTTCACCTTGATTATTTATACCTATAACTCCAGAAGGAAAACATTTTTGAAATTTTTTAGCTAATTCACCAGTTATAGGTTCTAAAATATCTATAACTGGTAATAATCTATAAGAAGCAGTTGCAACTGGTGAAAATTTCGCATGATCTGATCCTACCCCTAAAATACAATGAGCTCTTAATGAAATTTCTTGACCTGGTCTTAATTTTGCAATTAAAATATTTGGATCAGTTGATTCAACTGGTTTATCTTTAAATTTTTCCAATTGAGAACCTTGAGGTTCAAATTTTAAATCTTTTGCATATACGTTACTGTTTTTATATAAATCATTTGGATTAGTTGAATTCTTAGGTGGATGAGGGTTTCTTGTACATGTTATATCTAAAGATAATACTATAGTATTATCTTCTGTGTAACGATCATTTTCATCTAATGATTTATCTACCCAAGTTAACATATCTGGATCTATTTTTAAAGGGATAAGACCAATACGATGTGCTAACACTTCATCTTGTATTACTGATGTGTTCATAAAAGAATATATAATTTCTGCTGCAACACTTGGAACTTCTGCAATCATTATTCTACGAAATGCATTTGATATTGAAGTATCTATATTAATTAAATCAAATGTTGCTTCTCTTTCATTTAAATTTGTTACTATTATTTCAAAATTTTTAGCAAAATTATCTGTGTTCCATGAATAATCTTTACCGTTTGAATCTTGTTGATGACCTGGATAATCTGTTGATGTTGTGTTTGTAACTCTATTATATTCTATCCCCACTATATTATTATCTGACATGTTTAATTGTGTGAAATGATTGAGCGATGAAAAAAAGTTTTCGTAAATTGGATTCGTAAGCGATGATGATATAATACAAGGATGATTTGAAATATGAATGAATTTTGCTTGTTGGTTGTCTTGGTGATAATGATCTTCTTTGGTTTGAAAAAAAAATTAAAGAAGATCATCTTACATACTTAAATTGAAATTTTACGCTACCAAAATTCACACACTATAAAATTATATTACTAAGAATACTTTGAAGTCTATAAGAATGTATTATTAGCTATATATATGTATAAAATTTTGTTTCATTTAGACCATTGAACCAGCAGATGGGAAAGCACCAGGCAAACTACCCAACTGGAACCCCGAATTATCATCAGTTGAAGAAGATAATGAAGATCTCGATGCAGAATCCATTAGATTGATTTTAATATTCATTATAATTTCGATACCTTTTATTAAATCAATAGTTAGTAACATTACATTACCATTATAGCCGTCGTTTTCTTCTAGTTGTAATTTATGGCGGTGAGTTTGTTCCTCTTCTTCTTCTTCTTCTTCTTCTTCTTCTTGGTTATTTTGTGGTTGTACATTTTCTGTAGTTGTAGTTGTATCTTGTAATGTTGCGTTCGGTTCTAATTGATTTTGTAAACCCAATATATGCAGATTATCAACAATACCAATTATATAAAGCATCAATAACTGTATAAAAAAGCACAAAAGATCCAATGCAATTAATTCAAATCTATTATAAGGTAATCTTTCACCAATAAATTGTACAGTTAATCCACCATTTGAAAACCCCGAAAAGCCGTCGCCTGATCTATTTAACGTGCCGGGGGAGGCAGGACTGAATATTAGATGTAATAATATTATACCAATGTTTCCGTAACATATTACTTTCAAACTCATTTTAATCATTCCTTGAATATATACGTTCATGTTATTATTTTGTAATTGATTATATTTAAATATTTCCGGATTAATGTTGATTATAATAAGGTGTATACTACATCTAATGATTAATTTTAAAAATGAAAAATCTCTTAAATATAGTATAACAATTAATAAAAATTCAATTAATTGAAATGATTCTTTTAAATTTTGTAAAAAAAATTTCTTACGTTTTTGAATTATATTCTTATTGTTTGAAATAGTTTCTTCCACAGTAGGGTATATTTGTAATTGAAATTCTTTAAGACTGGATTCTAGGTTTATTTGGTGAGGTAGAATCTGTTGGGGTAGGTTTTGATCATTATTGTGATTCTGCATTATATTTTTGCCTTTGTTTTTTTACTTTATGAGTGTTGAGTTTTAAAAATTTTGTATTATTCTGTGCGTAAGTTTAGTATAGTTATCATATGATTGACTTATTGTTGAATTGTTTGTACTTGATTTTGGTATGATTTTTGTTTGATTATAATTGTGAATATTCTCATATATTCTTTTGATAAATACTGAGTAATTACACAAAAATTTACTACTAACAAATTTAAAGTTTATGGGTCCAAAATTAGAGTTAATAAAAATAGATGAACATAAGTAGAATGTATATTATTAACTTATATATAAATGCAATGATCTAGAAATAATATAGTCAAGTAGTCAAGTAAATTAATTGCCATTTAATTTATTTCAAAATATCATCTAATTCAGCTAATTTTTCAGCTAATTCATCAAATTTCCCTAATATTGGCATAAACATATCATGAACAGGTTTTGATTTTCTTTTTTCTTTATTGCTAGTAGTTTTTTCTTTTTCGGTGTATCTTTCAGGTGATAAATTAGTTTGAATTATATTAGTATCATTAATATTATTATTACTGGTTGTTGAATTATTTTGTTGAGGAGTTAATGAATTCATACTTGTTAAAGGTGTTATATTATTTTCTTCAAAATTTTGATTTGATAAATCATTATCTATATCACTTAATATTTCAACTTCATCTATAACACTAGTTAGACTTTTTTGATTGGTCTTGTTATAGCTGAGTGGATTACTATTGTTGATGTTGATAATTGGAGTTGATGTTGAATGATTTTGGTGATTTGATGGTGGTGTTCGTAATTTTTCAGCACTTGATATTACATTTAGTGATGATGTTGAACTTCGATATAACTGATGTGTCCTGGTTGTTAGTGAATTGTTTCTGTTTATTGAAGTAGTTGATGAATTTCTAGATTGATTAATTAAACTTGAATTTGTGATTTGCTTGGATCCTTCATTACTCACTTGATGGTTATAGTTTTTTAATTCCTCATTACTTTTAATGTTATTTATAAAACTATCTTTATCTATTTCTTCCAAACTTATACTCAGATTACCCTCGTCAACCATATTGTCTAGACTATCCTTATCATTGTCATTTCTTGCAATTTCAATTGAATGATCTTGAGCATAACTATCAAAAGAAAATTCTTCATCATCATCTTCACTTTCATCTTCTTGTAAAGGTTTTTTAATTTTTACTCCAATTTGTTCAATTTGTTCTTTACTCCCATTTGACGTTCTTTCTTCATCATCTGAATTATGACTATTCATTTGTTCTTCAATATCACTAGTAACTTTAGTCAATCTGTCCAATATAATCAGTCTTCTTAAATTAGGAGATTTATTTATTTCACTATTACTGTTGAATCTTGGAGATTTTAATTCTAATGGAGTATCTGGTGAGAATGAACTTATTGAAACATCATCAAGATTGTCGTAGTTACCGAATTTTCTAGGTTGTGGATATAATGATTCATTGAATTTATTTGTTTGTTGTAAGATTGGAGTTGTTAGTTTAGAATTTGATGGTGAAGCTGTGGTTGTAGTGTTGGTGGTGGTTGATGGTGAGTTTTTTATTGAGTTCTTTTTGGTTATAATTAATGGTGTTTCTGCTGGATACACATCACTTAATGTTTCTTTGTCTTGATGTTGTGGAGGATATAAATCTGGCGCTTCTATATTATATTGAGCTAAATTTATCCGTATTTCTTGATCATTCATCATTGAATAAATATTTTCATTATCATTATGTATTGGTACTTCTTCCTTTATTATTTTTTCTGCACTTATGACTTCATTATTTTCTTCTTCATCTTCTTCTTCATTTTCACTCTCTTCATTTTGTAGTAGATTTACAAAAGTAACTGATTTCGAAGCTTTTAAAGAAATATTCAGTTTTGAAGTATTAACAATAGTTAGATCACCTTCAGTTGATTTTTCAATTTCTTCATTCTTGTAACAATTTAATCTTGCTAATCTTTCACCATGAGTTTCCAAACATTCAGCAGGTACGAAACCAATTTTTCCATCTTCTTCATCTGAACTTAAATCATCTATATCTTTTGATAAATCCCCTTCATTTTCTCTTGCTATTCTTTCAATTTTTGTTAATTTTTTAATTAACCACCAATAATTATCTTCATCATTTATTAAATGGACTGGTTCATTACGAGTTAATGAACAATGTGATGGATCTGGACCTGAAAAATCGTATAAACCATATAATTTATCTGGATCTAATTCTGATGGTGGTGATCTTGGTGGGGATAATGTCATCATTAAACTATCATCTTCCATCGTTAGTTCATCATCTTCTGAATTTATATTATCATTTTGTTCTTCTTCTCCATTATGGAATTTATCATCTTCTATTTCATCATCACTATTATAATTCTGTAAATCATCTAAAATTTCTAATCTATGAGGTACATCATCCTCATCATCCTCTTGCTCCAGTTCTAATTTAACTTTAATTTTTTTAGTAGAATCTTCATGTCCGCTTCTTTCCAATCTATTTTGAGCTAAATTTAATGAGTTTTTTCTTATTATTTTACCATTATTATCAGTTAAAGAATCAGATTTTGTAAAATCCTTCCTGCTCGGAGATTTGGTTTTACTTTGATTATTTTCTAACCCTAGTTTATCATCATTATATTGTTGATTAAAAGTAGTTGTTTTAAAATTTTCCATAGATATTTCATTGAATATTTCAGTAGGATTAAAAATATTATCATATATTATATCATTTTTTAAATTTTGATTTAAGTCTTGTTTTGTATTTTGTTGATCAATTTTTTGTAATTTATCTAATATATTAATTTGAATATTTTGTTTACCTAAACCTTTAAATTGATTATTTTGTATAACTGATGATGTATTTGTTTGTTGAGATGAAGTATTTGACAGTATTGATAATTTCCTATCTAAATCTTGTAAAATTTTATCTGCATTATCTAAGGATGAGTGTCTTAACAGTTGATAATGTTTATCCCTTTCGATAGTGGTAGTATTATTCTTATCATCATGTTTATTATGATTATTATTTGGTATATGAAGATCCATTATGGATACTTTTGTATGGGGATTAATTCTGATAGTAGTCGATATATTGATTCTTTAATGTCTTTATCTTAGAACTAATTTTTTTAAATATGACTTGGTTTTATTAAGATATTATTATATTTATTGTTTATAGTATTATAATAATTTGTAAAATTGTTATTTTTTTTTTAATGTTGTGTAATTAAAATTATAATATTTTTTCTTTCTTTACTTCTTATGTAAACCAACTTAAAAATATTTTGATCAACAAAAATAAAACAATCAAATTAAGTTTATAATCAAGTTACGATTGATTGTGAAGAGATAACTTCAATTTTAATGATAAATTTTGTAATTGGGCAGATATTGATTAAGCTAGAAACTAAGATGTAGAATAAATTTGTTATAATAGATAAGGAAATGATCATAAATATTCCCAAAAATATATCAGAGATATCAATACAAACAATAACAATAGAATTAAATTTTAACAAATAACAAAACCTTTTTTATCAATTATTAAATTTTAGTGAGGAATTTGGAACAGAGGAATTCAATAATTTGAAGCAACTATCAATTCTGAAACGATTTGGTAGCATTAAACTTGGTGCAGAATACTTCTTTTTTTTGCTACATAATCAAAAGCCTTGCCCCTATTAAATAATTCGAATGATGATTAACAACAGGGTCATTTAACTTCGGTATAAAATATGAAAAGTGAATAAGACCATTTAAACAAAAGGTACATTGGTCTGGACCTTCAAGACAAATGGACTGAGGTATTGAAGTAAGATAATGCAAAACAAGAGTAGAAAAACATTCAAGCTTGAAACGTATACTAAAAATAGATTTGATATTTTACATTAAAGCAGTTATGTGTTTCAGGATGTTATTTAAGGTACCAAAAAAAAACTGTAATAAATAATTGTACGATATTACTTTTCATTTTTAGTTGAAAAAAATAAATTTTTAAACTGATGGAAAAAATTTACTCAAAAATCAAAATTTCAACCTCGAGGAAATTTTGAATCGGATCTAAGTCGCGCCTTAACATTTTAACTAATGCTTACTTCAGTAAAGTAATCTCAGCATATCTTTATATAGTGATCAGATTTCTTTAATCGAGGTAACTCATCTCCAAATACGGCATCAGCTGATAAAATTTGTAAATATCTCGAAAATTGTTGAGATAAAGAGAACAATATCAAAATTGTAAAATAACACGGCAGACGCGTCTTTTTGTCTCACTTTTTTATTTACAACCAGTATATACAATAAACAATTTGAAATTTAAGAATGCTTAGTGAGCCAAATCAAATTAATTGACTTTGTCACAAGATGTTGAATTGTATCTCTTAGCTCGTAAAATTAAACTTTTATTGTAATATAAATTAATAAGAGATCGAATTTTATTTCGTAATTTTTATTATAATATTATTGATTTTGTATATTGTTAATTGATTTTGTATCTTTCTTAAATTGACTTATACATTTTTTGTCATTTACTTAAATGATGTGACTTTTTTTCAACCTTGAATAACTTCATTAATAGCATTTGCTAAATATTCAACATTATTATCATTAATACCAGAAATACTAAATCTACCATCATCAGTTGCATAAACACTATAATCATCTCTTAATTTTTTAACTTGTTCAGGTTTTAAACCAGTATATACAAACATACCTCTTTGTTTTAATAAATGATCCCAATTATAATTTGATTTATCTAAATTATCATATAATTTTTGTCTTACATCATTTAATCTACCAACAACTTTATCTAAATCTGATAACCATTCTTGTAATAATCCAGTTTGTTCATCGAATATAACTTCAACTATTTTAGAACCATGAATTGGTGGTGATGAATAAATTGGTCTAATTAATTTTTTTAATTGTGATTCTATTGCTTTTGATTCTTCTTTTGATGGAGTTATAATTGATATTGAACCGGTTCTTTCACCATAAAGTCCCATATTTTTAGCAAATGATTGACATAATGCAAATGTTGGAATTTTATTTTCATTAGCTAATTTTGTTAATTTTCTAATTAATTCAATATCTTGATATGGTTTACCACTTGCAAAACCTTGATATGCCATATCAACTAATGGGAAGAATTTCTTATCTTGAATAATTTGTAAAACTTCATCCCATTGTTCATTAGTTAGATCCATACCAGTTGGATTATGACAACATGCATGCAACAAGACAATTGATCCATCAGGTTGTGATTCTAATGATTTTTTTAAATTGTTAAAATCTAAATCATTAACACTTGTTTCATAATAATTATAAAATTCAGGTTTTAAACCAGCATCATTAAAAACAGCAACATGATTTGCCCAAGTTGGTTTTGGTACTAAAATTTTTTTATTGGTATAAAATCTATTTAAAAAATCAGCAATAACTCTTAATGATCCAGTACCTGAAATAGTTTGTGAAGTAACAATTCTACCATCATCAATTAATTGTTTACCATTTGAATCTTTATTTGAATTATTAAAAATAAAATTTTTAACAATTGATTGAAAATTTTTTGATCCAATAATTGGAGTATATTCTTTTTCAGTTTCCTTTTTTAATAAAATTTCTTCAGCTTTTTTAACTGATGGGAATATAATTGGTTTACCTGAATTATCTCTATAAGCTCCAACACCTAAATTAATTTTTTTTGGATTTGAATCATTAATATAAGCTTCTGTAATACCTAAAATTTTATCAGGTGGAGCTAATGGAATTTCACTAAATTTTAAATTTCTATTGGTAGTAGAAAATGATTTAATTTTTAATAATCTTTGTTGATGTTGTTTAATTAATTGAGTTCTATACATCTTTAATGGTAATTTAGTAGATATAGATCAATTATGGAAATATGAATTGGTTTATAAAAGAAACAGTTGATGTAATTGGAATAATTCAAAAAACAATTGACAACTATTAATTAATTATATATAGTTTATAATTTAGTGAAATTTTTCAATACTTATTATTATTAGACTAATAAAATTATTATATTTTTTTCTTCTGATAAATGGAACTTAAATTTGTGTGTCAAATTGTTATTTATTATTATAATTAATAACAGAATCCCCACTTTTTTTTTTATTCACCTCGAGATCAATATGACTCAAATATGAAATTATTAAAAATTTTTCCAACGTAGATTATTTCAGGGACTCTGCGGATCAAATGCAATGACAGATCGATTGACAGGAGGTAACAATTGAGTTTCTTACAAATTTAATGGTATTTTTCTGGACTAACTACATGATTTCTCTCAAATTAATTTTTCTTTAATTGATCCAATGAAAATTAGAAAATATTTAGACCCAATTGGTAGTGCTATTTCTTTACAACCTAATTTTTTTATTCCTAATTAATCCGAATATTAATAAATACCACAGAAATTTTTGTAATTTTCCCCTCTATTTTAACAACCGAAGTCGGTTTATTTCAATAAATCATATGATTTAAAGGTCTTTACTAGAAATGTCAAGGTTAATGAATTGCTGTAAGGATTGGATATCAGGCAAAAATTATTTTGATGTTATTCTAGCAAAGAGATGAGTACAACAATATTTTCAAATTATTCCGCTAAATATCTCATATATAATAAATTATTATATTCTCCTTGACTTGAACAATTTTCTTGGGGATGATTAGTATAATAAGAGTTGAAATGGCGCGGAAATTCTTTGTGAGTTCAGACAACTTTTTTTGTATGTTAATTAACCTCAGCAAATTACACGCATCAAAAAGGTCCTATAGTGTAGTTGGTTATCACATTCGGTTTTGATCCGGATAACTTCAGTTCGAATCTGGATAGGACCTTTTCATTAATTTTGGTCCTATAGTGTAGTTGGTTATCACATTCGGTTTTGATTTATATAGTCAAAAACTCCGGATAACTTCAGTTCGAATCTGGATAGGACCTTCTAATGAAATCATCCAGTTTTTTTTGCATCCACTGATGTTTTCTTTTGAAAGACCTAATTGCTTTTTTTTTTTGAATCCAAAATCAATATGAATCAAAACGGTTGAGAGACTTGGTTTTTCAATATAACGAAACAACAGACCTCTTAGAAAGAAGTGCTAAATAAAGGAGTAATAGTCATAATACGCTTCAAACGTTTTTTATTGCAACCTTTCAACCATAAACTTTAACTTTAATTTTATAAATAAATCAAGATCATATGCAATTCTTGAATAAGCCAAGCTTTTTAATACTTAACAGTCATTGGTCATATATGTATTTTAAAGCATTGAACTGTGTCTATGTTAAACTTTGTTTTCTACATATATGACGTTTAACAGATCTTAGATTTAGAGACTTTTCTTTTTATTTTCTAATCATATGTAAAGATCAAAAATCCGTATCTGAAACAAGCTTTGAACAGGCTAAGTTATTAGTCATTATTTTGTAAGTTGTTGAATTTTAAAATTAAACTTTTATTATATAAATTTTGTTACAATTCGCATTCAAAATATATTGTGAAACAGATTTGAATACCAATTTAAGGAAATTTAATCTTATGTGAAAAAAAGTTTCTATTCGTCTATACTAATTTTAAAATCCTAAAACTTTAAAACACTTCTGAATGACATAATTCACTTGTCGTTTTATGCTTCAAATAGTGATTTCAAAAATTTTAAAGTTCGTTTGTCAAGAAAATAGGAAATTATTGTTTTTTTTTTGCCTCCTTTTCTACATTTTTATTTATAGTTTTCGTAGTTGCAAATTACAACGGTACATATTTAATTTTGTAACAGAAATTTTGCACATTACATGAACAATTAATACGTATTGTAATAGTTTTACACAGTTCATATAAATAAGTGAATAAAGTATTAACTATGAACAGAAAGATACCAATTTAATAAACTGAGACAACAGCTTAAGTCAACAAACAGAGCTACAAAATCTCAAAAAGATGCTATATTATTGTAAATTTTGCTATAAAGATTTTGATTTAGAAATTGATTGTCAATCACATATTAGAAAATGTCAAAAACAACCCCTAGATTCACCCAAGACAAGTTTTGAAATAGAGACTAATGATGAAGAAGCTGATAAAGAAAACAATAAATCGTTTATTACTAAAAAGCTACAGCATATTATTAGATTCAAGGATAAGGTGGTAATAAAAATTTAAAAGAGCAGTTAAAGTTGGTAAAATTATCTAATAATTTCAGAGCTATTAAAATGACAAAAAGGTCAATGAAGGACAAATATAACTTTTAAGCTGGTTTTTGAAGGTTACATACCCTTTATTTGTTTCATTTAAAATTTATATAGTTTTGCAATAAAATAATTTTGTTAAAGAAAAATTAATTTTGTGTTTTTAAAAAAAGTTACAATCTCATCTCTATTTAGATTATTTCTAAACTCATTCCAAATATAATCAACTACTTCAAAAACACACAACAACCACCAACATAATGATTAGAACGATAAAACCAAAGAATGCACGTTCCAAAAGAGCATTAGCTAAAAAAGAAGCGAAATTAGTAGAAAATACAAAATCAGCATTATTTGTACCAGGATCAACAGGAAATAAGTTATTACATGATATAATGTGTGATTTAATGGCTATAAAAAAACCATTTGCTAAAAAATTTTCCAAAAAGAATGAAATAAGACCATTTGAAGATTCATCAGAATTAGAATTTTTTGCTGAAAGGAATGATGCATCACTAATGGTATTCTCATCAAACAATAAGAAAAGACCAAATACTTTAATATTCACGAGATTTTTTAACCATAAAGTATATGATATGATTGAATTAATGATCATTAACCATAAATTAATCCAAGATTTTAAAAAATTAACATTCACAATAGGTTTAAAACCAATGTTTGTATTTAATGGACCAGCATTTGATAATCATCCAGTATATCAACAAATAAAATCATTATTTTTAGATTTTTACAGAGGTGAAGAAACAGATCTACAAGATGTTGCAGGTTTACAATATATAATTTCAATAAGTACAGGAGAAATTGAAGATTTAAATAATGATAAAAATTTACCACAAGTTAATTTCAGAGTATACAAATTAAAAACTTTTAAATCAGGTCAAAAATTACCAAGAGTTGAACTTGAAGAAATTGGACCAAGAATTGATTTCAAAATAGGAAGAAGAATAACTCCTGCACCAGAAGTTGAAAAAGATGCTTATAGAAAACCAAAACAATTACAACCAAAAGAAAAGAAAAATATTTCAACTGATTTTATGGGTGATAAAGTTGCTCAAGTCCATGTTGGTAAACAAGATTTAAGTAAATTACAAACTAGAAAAATGAAAGGATTAAAAGAAAAATTTGATCAAATTAGTGAAGATGAAGATGAAGAAGATGATGTATATGTTTCTGATGAAGAATATTTTGCTGATGAAGTTGAAGATGAACCACAACAAAAGAAACAAAGAAGATAAGTAGGAAATAAAAATAGCATTTTAATAATAATCTGTTAGGTTTTGTAGTTATTATCAATAATTCTATAGTCTTGAACAGTAGTTAGAAAGACACTCACGATATTTTGGTAGCACTATAATTTTGAAAAAATATCAAAACATCAAAAGCAGCATAATTGACCACCAAAAACACAACTTACAGACTCACTACATTATAATATCATTTCACGTATAAATGGCGTCAATATTCAAGCCACGTACTTTGAACAAACAAACTACACCCGTCAAACCACCAAGCAAATCAGATATATCTCTGAATGTTGAAGAATTAACTAAGAATAAACACTATTGTGTTTCAAGATTACCTGGTTTACCACAAATATTAAAAACTGAACAATTCAATAATGCATACTCCGATTTAGATTCAAGTTATTCATTAGTCATAAATGATGATTCAATATACGTATGGAGTTATAGATCAATTGATACCCAACCATTTTCAATTCATTTCCCAATAGATAAATCAATTTATAAATTACCAATGGCTATATTAACTAGACCATCGTGTGGTACAGATCAAGATCCTGGACTTATAATAATTGATTCAATAACCGGGTTTATTAAATATTATGAAAGTGTACAACATGCACCAACTTTAGGATTAATAAATGACAAATCATTAGAATTACAAATTAACTTACATAAAGATGAAGTTATAACATTAGCTGAAAATGTAGAACCATCAGGTATATGTATTGCAACTTCTTTACAAAGATGTTTAATGATTTCATTAAGAGATTACAAGAGTAAACCGAATCTATCATATATGGAATTAATTAATCCAAATTCAGGAATTTTATCAAAATTTTTTAGTAGAGAAGATAATGAAATTGTTGCTATAAGATCAGGCAACAACCAGGAAAACCAGGACTTGACATCACAACAAATTTTGATATTGGATTTTACAGGTACTTTATATCTGATTTATTACTGTTTATTATCAGCAAATGCTCATCCATACATCGACAAGCAAAAATCATTTAAACAAAGTTTATATGTCGATGTTGAAACTTATCCTGGATCTCAGAACACTGTTAAATGGTTAGATATTTGGCCATTAACTGATAAAAATTACTACTTAGCACTTTGTTATTTGAATGGTAAATTATTGTTAGTCACTTTAGGTTGTGATAATTCGGGGGCCATATTTTATGGAGCTCATCAATTAAATAGTATAGAACATATCCCAAATAAACCAAGATTATTTTTACCAAAACCTGGGAAAACTGCATTTGTTATAGCTGATGAAAATATTATTATGACAGATATAAATACTTCATATATTGAATCAAAGCATACCTTTTCATATTATAAACCAAGATGGGAAGATATTATACGTTTGAGAGAGTCAACTGAAATTATAGGTTATGGATATGAAAATCAATCACCAATCTCAAATCCATCTATTATTTTAATAACTAAGGAATTCGGAGTACTAAGAATTGAAAAATTCCCAGAAACAAGTACCACTAAAACAACTCCCGAAGAACTTAATAATCCTTTATTTATTGTAAAATCACATATTGAACAAGGTATATTTTATTCAGATTCGATGGAAATTGATTTTGATTTGAGTAATAGATTTGATTCATCAGTTATTGAAAAAGCTATAGAATTAATTACAAATGAAATAATGACTTCACAATCTGCTTATATCCCAAAATCATTACCATCTATTACTGAAATAACTCAATTTAAGATTAAAATTTTTAAAGAACTCATAAATTATTGTAAGAGAAATTTCAACAACTCAGACATCATAGTCGAAATTGTCGAAGACTTAGAGAAATCAAATCTTGCATTAAACTTATGGAAATTCATAGATTCCAAAATTAATGGTAACAACAATGACAAGAAATATTTTGAAATATTTAAAAAGTTAAAGCCAGATTATAGAGATTTTTTCACCCACGATATAACAAACATAAATGAATTATTCTTGACATATTTAGATAAATTAGTTGACCAAGGACTTTTCACTGGTTCTTTAATAGTGTCGGCATTGTATGATGGGGTTTATGCAAATAGTATAACTTATGCTGATGAAGAAGAAGCTGATGGTACTGCTTGGATCTTTGATACAAATTTATTGATTAAAGTTGAAAGTATTTTTAATAACGATTATGTCAAAGGAACAGCAAAGGATGGTAATAAAGAGGAGATTTTGAAATTTGTTGAACTTTTATACTATTTCTTCAATTTAGCTACTAAAATTACCGAGGAAGAAGACTACACTGAGATTTATTATGAAAATAAACAAGATTGGATTAACTTGTTGATTAATTTGAATTTAGAAAATGATGCAATAAACATAGCAGAAAAATACCGAGATTTTAAGTCATTAGCAGAAATATTAAGTTCGCAAAAAGATACTACTCCAATAAACGAATTAAAATATATTGATTATTTTGAAAAATTTGGTTATCAATTTGCTTCTGCAGTTTATGAAAATGAACTACAAAATAATAGAATTCAAGAATTGATTTTGAATTTTACAAATTATAAACATTATTTATTGCAGTACTTTCATGAAAATCCTGCATCAACTGCTTCAGTATCATGGATTCGTTATATATTGGATGAAAAATATACTAACGTTTCAGAGGATTTACAAAGAGCTCAACTTTATAATGATCAAACCGTTGATAATCAAGTTACTCAGTTATCAATTGCCAAATTATCAGCTATTGCATCCAATGAAGCAACAGAAAAAATTAATGCAAATTTATTGAAATTAAAATACCAAATATCAATTAGAAATCAAATTACAAATAACAGTAGAATTGAAGCCATTAAAAGTCCGTTTTTTAGTGATCATTTCCTAAATCCAAAAATCGATTCTTCGTATAAAAAAGATGTTGTTAATTCTTATTTTCCTAAATTACAAAAAAATAAAAGATTAAACGATGACCAATTAATTGATTTACTAACTACTATAAAACCAAGCATTCTCAAGAATAATAACTTTTATTATGCATTCAAAGTAGCATTATTTTATTCTAGAATATTGGATGAAGGCAAGCTTAATCTTATATTGCTAAGATTATTAACATTATCAACCGATTCTATAGATACCAAGTTATCAGATAAAGAATTAAATTCATCAATTAAATCTAGTGCAGTTTTCAAAGCAATTCATAATCAACCAGAACTCATTAAAATGACTTATGATTTAGTAAATCATTCACCAGTAGTATTGCCATACTCAAAGACAGACCTTGCGTATTTTAACGATTCCTTGTTACAAAATTTACAAATTAGACTCAAGGATAAACAATTTGTTGATTCAATTAATTCCATAATTGAACAAGCTAAAATTGTACCAATATAGATGAATTTTTATAAATAAAAGTAATTAATTCTTATTCCACGATTTCTTGCACTTCTTCTTCAACTTCCTCCTCTTCTTCATCAACATCAATATTATCATTTTCATCATTTAAATTAATTCTAATTAAAGTCTCAGGATAAAGCTCATCATCTTTTTGTTGTTGTTGTTGATACTTTAGCAATCCCAAAGAAGCTAAACTTATAGATTGTATAACTCTTTGCCAATTTTGTAAAATTAATGCAACACTTTCAGTTCCATTTTTCATTTTATTTATTTGTTGAGAAATTTCATCAAGATTCAAATTAAGTTCTTCTGTGAGTTGTTTGAATTGTTTTAATTGTTCTAGGTTTCTACGTTTTTCTGATATTTTTTGATATATTGCTGAATTTTGTTTCAGCATTTTAAGGTGAATGCTGTAAGTAGTTTGATTCAATGATTTGGTGGTAGTTAATTAAAACACGATAATTTGTATTTGTTTTTTTTGTGTTTGTTTTTATCTTTTGTTTACATTTAGATTCATTATCATTACTTTTTACATTATCACTAAATAACCAAATCAATGGCAAGAAAAGCGGACTCAGTAGTACCAGAGATAGAAGTGGGAAGGCGGGCTACTATACATCAACAAAATACATCAAGATTATCATCACCTATATTATCATCAGAACCAAAAACCCAAAATAAAGATCAAAATCTACAACAAAAATATTCAGAATGTATAGAACAAAATGAAATTTTAACAAAAAGAAATAGAATATTTTCATTGAGGATTACAGAATTGGAAAACAAGATTAAGTCGTTGAACAAAGAAATCTCAAAATTAAAAGAAAATGAAATATTGGGGCAGTCTTTAATTGAAATAGAATCAAATTTTCAAGATAATTACAACAGCTTTCTCAGTGGTATACAACAAATACGACAAAAACATGGATTAAAACTACCGGTAAATAAATTCTCAACTAGTCATAAACCAGTTAAGATTGAGCCTAAAACAAAAATTGATGAAGCTATACCGCAATATTTCAAGAAGGATAATATAAATTCAGAATCTTCAAAAATCTCAAGCGATAAATTTATTAATATTAGTGACGAACTGGATTATGAAGATGAAACGTCCGGCGTAAGAATAGGAGTATTTGCAAAACAAAGATCATCGGAGTTACATCGTAACGACAAAAATTCGAGTTTATTTGTACAAAGTGATTATGATGACGATAAAGTAGACAAAGAAGCTACAATTACAAAAGATGATGAACCACCAGTTAAAGATAAGACTTTTGATAAAAGTGTAGATCAGGAAATCAGTTTTATGGATAAAATTAAAGAAAGGGAAATTGAAGAAGATCTGGAAGATGATCTTATGACTGTCAAATCTAAGAAAGTGCAACACAAAAATGATATCATAGATTCTGATTTGGAAATGTCAGGTTTTCTTGATGTACAACCAAAAAACGAAGAACCTAAAGCTGATGATAGGTCTGAAAGACGAAAAACAAGATTGCAAAAAAAGAAAACTATCGTTACCAAAGTTACAGATGAAGAACCCGAATCAACAACTGTCAAAAGAAAAGCTAGACCAACTGAGGCACCCGAGAAGAGAAGAAAGCCACTTGCAAATAAAACCAATACAACTACAGACGATAATGGTAAGAAAAAAAGAGAAAATAGATTTAAAAATTGCGACTTGTCTATTTTTGATTTTGAATAATATAAATACTTTAATTAATTATTGGATCTATATACTCATTTTCATTTTAATTGATGGGTAAGGTTCATACCCTGAGATTTCAAAATCTTCAAATTTAAAATCATCAATACTCGTTATCTCTTCTTTTCTTTCTTCCTTTATATATAATTTTGGGAAATTCTTTGGAATTCTTTCAAATTGTTCTTTTAATGCATCAACATGATCTAAATATATATGTGCATCACCCATTGTATGTATGAATTCTCCACAATCCATATCAACTATATGAGCAATCATTTTTGTTAATAAGGCGTATGATGCAATATTAAAAGGAACTCCCAATCCCATATCACAAGATCTTTGATATAATAAACATGATAATTTTGGCTTTACATTTGATTCCGTATTTGACTTTGGAAAATTTACATAAAATTGACAAAATACATGACATGGTGGTAGTGCCATTTTAGGAAAATCTGGTGGATTCCATGCTGACATTATAATTCTTCTATCATAAGGATTAGTTTTTAATTTTTTAATAACATCTTGTAATTGATCATAACCTTGACCTTGATAATTTGTATCACAATCTTTATATTCTGCACCAAAATGTCTCCATTGAAACCCATAAACTGGGCCCAAATCACCTTCTCTTCTATCAACTAGACCTAATTTGTCTAAAAATTCTCTCAGTCCATTCCCTTCCCATATTTTAACACCTTTATCACTTAAAATTTTAGCATCTGTTGATCCTGCAATAAACCACAATAATTCATGTATTATTCCCTTTGAGAATACTCTTTTTGTTGTTAATAATGGAAATGATTCATTTGATAAATCAAATCTTAATTGTGGTGGTGCAAATAATGATAATGTACCAGTACCTGTTCTATCAGGTCTATGTTCTCCTTCATTTATGATTCTTTGACATAAATCTAGGTATGCTTGTTCTGCTTGATTTGGTGAAATGGTCATTAATGTGATGTGATCGTACAATGGTTATTGTATTGACTGTATTAACAGATCAAGAATCGCGTCTTAATTATTTATTTATTTATTTTCATTTATTTGAAAAAAGACGCGCGCATTTTAAAAACGATAGTTAATAGTAAATTGTCAATATTAAGTAACTGATAACAATTACGTAATGGACAACTATGAAATCCTAAATTTCCTTTTTTATTGCAAATTCCCTAGCTTGCTGGGAATTTCGTATAATGGTTTCTTACTATGGTGATTTATTCTCAGAAGATTGAAGTGTCGAAGAAACATAAATTTTTTGAAAACATAACTTAGTAGCTGTCGCAAGTAGCTACCAAACGAATAAATTTTTAAGCACTTGCCACAATTGACCTAGTATGGCCCCAAAGCTACGAATCGGGCTACCTGATCAAAACCAAATTGCGCTAAATGCTTACTGAACATTTCCTACTTTAAATTTGGACTTAAAGGATTTTGCGAAATTGTCTAACAAATTTTTCAATTTAAAGAATGCACAGTAAGCCCTTGTGATCTAGATTAAAAGGGTTAGAGAGAGCACTTACAATGTACAAAGCAGAATCTACACTTCTCTTTTCAAGATAAAAATTTTTTATTAATCATTAAAACAGCTGGCGAGCCAGGTGTAATATGTTATATAACCTAAAATAAAAATTAGCTGAAACTCCAAATGACTAACTTATAAAAGCAATTACATTACAGCAGCTTATTTTGAACCAAAGACGGCATCACTAGCTTTTTGAACAAATCCTTTATCTTCTTCTGGTTGTAATTTACCGGCAGCTGAATCAGCGTTTGATTTAATTTTGTCACCGAATTCTTCTGGGGTGCTTTTTTGACTATCTGGTTTAACAGCGTCTGAAATTTTGTCTCCTACTGATTGTCTACCTTCTGATGACATATTGATAATTTGTTGTTGTTGATTGTTTTGTCAAAAAAATTAAAAAGAAATTAGTAATAAATTTGGAATATTTCGATCTTTATATATTCCAAAATTCGGAAATATTAATTTGCTAATTAAGGGATAATCCTTTACAAAAGTTATAATAAATTGTGGAAATGTAGAAGTTATACAATCCTGTTAAATTAGTGTAGGTATATTTGTTGAATAATTACCAAATTTGGTTGCAAATAAATTATGAAGCAACTATGCGTAATTAGATTGCTCTCTTTCTTTAATTACAATATAAAGTAATAATATGTAAGATGTATTAAAATTTATAAATAAAACAAAAAGTTAAAAATATAATATTTGACAAGTATGTTTTAAAAATTTATATGTAAAATAGCAATATTGGAAAATTTATTATAACACTTGGCTTATTAAATTTGGAAATTTAGATTCAAATTAAAGTAAATCTTAAACAAAAGACCAAAAATTTTACTATTGTGTTCAGATTGAGACCAAACAACACCTGCTGCATAGCTTTATCTTTATATCTATGACCTGTTCTTTTCAGAATTGAATGATACGTTTCTTAAAATCTCAGTACCTTTGGAAATTCTAGGACCAATTTTATTTCGAGATTAAAGGTGCAAAATGTGGAGTAAATGTTTTAGAAAAAGTATTACGTGTATTAAATTGGCTCAAAATACAAAAATTGTAAACATTAAATCGTCATACCTTAGATTTACACTTTAATAATCATCTGTCACCAATTAAGGTTTAGTGAGTTATTAAAAGTACAAGAGCAATCATAAATACAATTGTACAACTACAATCGACTCCTTAAGGGAGAGTTTCATCTGAAAATTTGTATTTTTAGAAAATAAAAAATAGGGGATCATTTCGTTCATTCATTAATATTGATCATATGGAGTTAACTCCTCCACATTATCTATATTTGTAACCACCAAAAATATTTAAACCATTTTGGTTCAACCAATATACAACTTGATTCAGCAATCAATAAAGGTTTCTCATTGGGTTTTAAAGGTAAGGTTTCTAAATAACCACCAATTACAACTTTTCTACCTTTAGCTTCTTTAACTTTTGCATGTAAAACAACAGTACTTTGAGGAGGAGCTTGATTTTTGAAATCAATTGATAAACTTGCAGTCACTCCCTTTTTTGAAGGCAATAAAGGAAAACCAGCTGAACATAGACCTTCATCTAATATAGTTGATATAATACCATTATGAATTTGACCATCTTGACTTATCAATTTATCACCTAAATGATAGAAACTCGTTAGTTCTCCTGTTTTTTCATTTATGAATACTATTGGATCAATTTCCATTAAATCAGGTCCAAATAATAAACCAGTGTTTACATAGTTATTGTGATGTTGTTGTGGAAATGATTTACTTGAAGTATAATGTCGTAATTCTGGATTGTTTACTAGTGATTGATATTCTTTTGTTGATTCTATTTGTTCTATTACTGATTGATTGATGTTGGTTAATTTACGAATATCTATATGATCTTTTCTTAAACTTTTAGGAAAAGTGGCAAATCCTATACCAAAAGCCACTAGCGGTATCACCTTTCTCACTGTACCTCTAAACATTTGATAGATGATTATGTATTATGTTGTGAATTGTAATTAAACTATCACTTCTTAGCGGAGTATCCTTAATCTATTTTAGTTGATGGGAAATTTACGACGTCAATTGGTAGCTGCATTGGTTCCTTTATTTTTGTACTACTTTCATGTTTTAGATTTATAATTTTATTAAGAGATGAGTAGATTTTCATTATTTGATCTTACTATTATTTTTGAAAACATCTACTAAATTAATACACTCAGTTACTGAAAATGGGTAATAAAACGAAAGGTGTTAAACGTCCAAATGGAAATGTTCAAGATGCAGAGCAAAAGAGCTTAAAAAAAGCTAAATATAATAACAAGAAGAAAAATCTTCCATCTCCACCATCAGAAGAAGAACCTATAATAGAAGAAGAGATAGAGGAAAATAGTAGTGAAGATGACTTATCCATAAGTGAAGAAGAAGACGAATTAGATCAGGAATCAGAAGAAGACGAACTAGATGAATTGGATGATTTAGATGTAGAAGATGATGCAGTAAAGGAGAATCAAGAAATCCCAGACGATGATGAAGATGACGAAGTCTTTGTTGAAGAAGATTCAGAAAAACCAGTAGATCCAAATAAAAAATCTTCGAAAGAACAACATACTGAACAAAGAAAATTATTAAGTGAGAGAAAATTACAAAGAAAATCTGGAGCTCAAGTTCAAGACATTAAAAAATTATGGGAAAAATTGAGAGTTACTAAACCAACACCATCAAAACAGCAACGTGATAAGTTATGTGATGAAATATGGGATTTATCACATGATGTTATTAATGATTTAGTTTTAAAACATGATGCATCAAGAGTCGTACAAACTTTGATCAAGTACTCAAGTAAAGAAAGAAGAGACAAAATTGTAAATTCCTTGAAAGGTTCATTTTATCAATTGGCTACTTCAGCTTATGGTAAATACTTATTGATTAAAATATTACATTACGGATCAAAAGAATCAAGAGCAATAATAGTTAATGAACTACATGGTAAATTACGTAAATTGATGAGACATAGAGAAGGCGCTTATGTTGTTGAAGATTTATTTGTATTATATTCAACTGCTGAACAAAAACAACAAATGATTAGGGAGTTCTGGGGTAGTGAATATGCAGTTTTCAAAGATTCTGGTAAAGATAAAACAGTACTTGATGTCATACATGAATCAAGTGAGAAGAAACAATTGATTATGCAAAATTTATTTGGTACTATAAAGGCATCAGTAGAAAAAGGATCAACAGGTTTCCAAATATTACATGCAGCAATGAAAGAATATGTTACTGTATTGGTGGACGATTTAGAAGTAAATGATTCTGCGATAAGAGATTTTATTGATTTACTAAGTGAACAATTTGCAGAATTAGTTCATACACAAGAAGGTTCAGAAATTGCTTGTAACTTAATAGCTTTAGCCAATGCAAAAGAAAGAAAAGGTATTGTCAAGAGTTTAAAAACACATAAAAATGAATTAATTAAAAATGAATACGGTAACGTTGTTTTAATTACATTATTTTTGGCAGTGGATGATACAGTGTTAACTTACAAATCATTTGGAAGTGAAATGTTTACACCAGAATTATTACCAGAATTAATAGAAGATAAATTTGCAAGAAGACCTATTTTGTATATATTAAAAGGTTTAGATGGAAGGTATTTTTCACCAAATGTTAAAAAGGCTTTGTTGAAGTACCAAGCTTTAGCTTATGCTAAAACATCTAAAAAAGAAACTAAAAGACAAGAATTACTTGAAAAATCAATTGAACCAATATATAAAGCATTACTTTCTACTGAAGAGTTTGATAATTTATTGACTAAAAACATGGCACTTCAATCAATCACTGAACTAATCAACACACCAACTACTAATGAAAAAGTCAACAATACATACAGACCACAATTGATACAGAAAATATTCGATAAAACCATTAAGGGAGATGTATTAGAAGATTTCCACTTATTAAATAAGACACCATTTGTTTCAAGATCAGTAAAATCATTAATTCAAGGTAATAAATATAAATTTGACAACGATACCAAAAAGGTAATTGAAATTGAAAATGCTGAGGTGGTGCCAGGTACAGGAGTTGAATTTGCAGAAAAAGTAGTTGATGAAATTATAGATAATATTAAATTGAATGATTGGATAAGTGGTCAACCAGCTTTTGTCTTAGTTAGTGCTTTAGAAGTTTTACAATTAGCAAACTCCAAGAAAGCTAAAACATTGAAAGATCAATTAAAAAAACAAAAGAAAAATTTATCAACCGACGACAAAGGTTCAAAACTTTTGTTAGAATTTATATAGTAATAGACTACTTATAGCATCGCTTCATCAGCATCCATTTCTTCTTCATCGCTAAATTCGTCCTCACTTTCCTCTACCTGATAATCTTCATCAAAGATTGAAGATCTACGACTCAAATGTCTCTCCAACTTGGTAGTCGATACTTTTTCTAGTGGTTGAAAATTTTCTACTTCTTCACTTTCTGTTTCACTTTCGTTAACCTTCTCTATTTTTTCGTCTAATTCTTCCTCTTCATCATCTTCATCGTCATCCTCCTCAACCTTTATAGTAATAGCATCTTCATCAATTGCTTTCTCATCAGCCTCAAATTCTTGAAACCATTCCAATTTACTATTACACCTTAAACACAAAACATCTTCACCACTAATTTTTTTAATATTAAATTGAGTTGCAATACAAACATAACAATATACATGTTGACAATTTGTAATACATGGATTAGTCACTGGTCCAGCAGTTGTGAAAACTCTTCCACCAGATTGTGAAGCTTGTTGAATATTATAATGACATATTGCACATTCCAGTACTGGTAAATTTGTAAAAGGTGTAATTAATTTTGAATCAACTACTACCGAGTTTGTGGAATCTTTCAGGTTTGGATTTGTTGATTTTGAGATCATTTTTGTTGTGAATTTTTGGATTTTTTTAAGTTGTAATAATGGTAATAAAAATACCAAGAATTCAGTCATTACGTTCCAAACTAATTGTCTGTTTTGAAATTCGTAATTTACGTTGCTTCCGTTGAATTTTAATAAGTCTGATATAACTGGAGTTTCTGTAATTCCTAGTACTCTATGAACTACTGACGAATATTTACCGTTCACTAAGAAAATTGTAAAATTGATCAAATTTATTATTTTTAATGAATTATCACATTTTGTCAATATTTCAGTTCTATTATTAATAATTTTGTTTTTGATTTTACTGAAAATGGATTCATTGTCGTTGTTCTGATCTGTTTCATCTATCTGATATAGTTTCGTTTCTATCTTCTTATATAAATAAGTTCCAACTAAGAACGCAAGTAATAAAGTCTTTTTATTGAAACCAATAACTTTACCAGTTTTCGAGTTCGTCAATTTTAAATTTTGTAATGCATCTCCATAAGAAGATCCTGATTTCCATACAGTCAATTTAAATATTAATAAATTTAAAAGCAATGAATAAGTTTCTGGATGTTTACTAAATGAAAATTTACTAACAAATGAATTATTACTATTTTCGTGTAGCTGGAATATTGAGGAAAGCTGATCTTTTAGTAGTGAAAATAACTCTGAGTCTAGTATATTAGCATCTAACTGTGAAACTCTTGATGAAGGATATGATATTGGTTGCATTTGTTGGTTGTTTAATGATCTAGAGTTGAATATTTCTCCACATAATAATTTTTTTTGTGTGAATTTATTAAGCAGCGGATAAATAATAATATTTCTATTCTAGATTTATTAAAATAAGCTATATACATAGATGAAACCTATTCAATTAATTTTAAAATATCATTAGCAACTTCATCGATCAATACTGAAGAGGTTTGACGTAATTTTAAGCTGTTTAGTGATTGTTTGACTAGTTCAATAATCTCGATTTTTTCTTCCGTTTTATCATTGAAGTCATCATTGACAACATAACCCAAAATAAATTTTAAGATCTTTAAAAGGGATAATTGAACAACTGAATTCAGGTTGTGATTTTTTAATTTGGTTAATAAATTTTGAACAATACTGACCTGCAGCATTGTTCTGACTAGGCTCTTGTTAATTGTAATTAATTGTAAATATACATCCAAAACTGATTCAAAATTTGAAACTTTTGGTAAAAGGAACCCTGAAGCTAAACAACTATCAGCTAAAGGACTATCTAATTTAATAGTTTTTGGGCTTAATTGATACCAATGAAGTAAAGATTCCAAAGCATTTGATTGCCAATACGGATCTAATAATAAATTATAATACAAACCAACAATATCATATTTTTTTAGTTTAGCTCGAACAGTTCTGTCACAATATACTAATTCACACATTATTGGTAAGATGAACTGACGAAATGGTAAATTTATAATTGAAAGATTCTTTAGGAATGGAACAGCACCCAAGTTAACAAATTCTGCTTCTTTTGTATAATTTAATGAAAGACAATTGTATATGATTGGTGATATGACATTGATTACTTCTTTGTACTGATGATTGGATGGAGTGTACTGCTCTAAAAGTTTCATTAAAAACTCTAATATATCGGCTTTGTAAAGATATTTCAAAACTTCATTTATGCATGACATGGATTTGATAAATTTCAAAATGGTTAACTTCTGGGTAAATATTAAATTATCATAAATTTTAATCAACAACTTAAATAAATCGACACTTGAGATTGATATTCTAACTTTTGTTTCTGCTTGACCGAAATATTTTACAACATCAACAATTTTTGCAACTGAATCGTTTATAGTTTTTACAGGCACATTTCCTTCATTAGTGGATTTCTTCAGTAATCTTCTTAGTAAAACAACAAACCAAAATAAAACACCATGTTTGGACAAGATTCGGCATAAATCTGATTTTGATCTGCTAACATCTCTACTCAAAATATTATGAATTGTTTCAACTGCTACTAACGGAAACGTAGCACTATTATCAAAATCTTCTTCAAGAAGTTTTGAGACAACCCGTAAACCACCACATGAAACAAACATTGATAATGCATTATTTGAGATATTTAAACAATTAATAAATTTTGCAACTTCTAATCTAACTCTCATATCATATGTTGAATTTCTAAACTGCGCAATTATTGGTATGCCACCTAAAAAACAAAAGTTTTCTAATTGACCAACGTTTTTTTCAAATATATTATTAAGTATTGCTAAAGTATGATACCACAATTGATTTTGTTTAGGTATTTCATTATAAGATTCCAAAAGTTCAATCAAACAAAGTGTACCATGATCACGAATAAAAGTATCATGCAGAAATGGATATTTTTTAATTAGATGAAGCATTCTTCCAGTGATTTTAATCAAAGGTTCAACATTTTCAAAACCTTCTTGGTGGATATGTTCTAATTTACGACTTAACTTCACAACCAAATATTCCATTTTCACTTGGATTTCTAACTCATTAGTATCAAAATTTTCAATTTCGATATCTAAAAATGGATCTTTTTCTTCAGTTTCATCGTTTTGTTGTTCATCATTTGTAATTAAAAATTTGTCGAAATCTGGACTTGTAAAAATTAAAGAATTATTTTCATCACCTTCCTGAAACTTGTTTAGTAAGTCATTTTTGGATAAATTAGTTTTTAATTCAATATTTGGACGACGTGAACTTGTACTTAAGTCTCCGAAACTAAGTTCATCAGAATTTAGCAAATCAAATTTCAATTGAGATAATTTTTGCATACTTCTTTTATTCTTTGTTTCTGAGTTTTGATTCAACCATTGATGCTTGAGTAACAAATTTGCATTTATACGTAAATTTGCGTCTTTTTGGAAACATTCTAACAAAAAATCTCTTGCTAAGGACGATATATTTTTAGGCAAAGGTGGATGATCATCTGTTCCAATTGCATGAAGTGCAGCCATTGCATTATATTCATGATAAGGGGGATTCATTGTAAGTAGTTCAATTGTTGTTGCACCTAAAGACCAAATATCGGATGCTGTACATGAAGGTTCACCTCCTAAAATGGTTTCAGGAGCCATCCAATTTGGAGTGCCAACTGCTGTATGATGTTGAGTATTGACCTTTGACGCAACTCCAAAATCTGCTAATTTAACTTGGTTATCATCTGTAATTAAAACATTTGCAGCTTTTACATCTCTATGTACCACACCTTGTTCATGTAAATAAGTCAAACCTTTCAAAATTTCTCTAACATAATCTATAACTTGTGATTCTGGAAATCCAGATTTTAGTTTTTTATACAATTGTCGTAAGGAACCTTTTGCACAATACTCTAATATAATATTTAATGAATTTGTGTCTCTTACAAATCCATGATATTTAACAATATTTGGATGTTTTAAAATTTTTAAAAGATCAATTTCACGCGTTAGAGTCTCAACATCTTGATCTTTTTCAACTCTTATTTGTTTCACGGCTACAATTTGACCAGTAACAAGATTAGTTGCTTTATAAACACTTGCAAATGCACCATTACCAATTGGAGAAGTAAATTCAAAACCAGCTATCCCATTTCTCTTTATTTCATGAAATTTAGATACAATTTTTTGAGCTGGTGTTAATGAGATTTGATGAGAGTCGCTCTTCTTATGTTTTGGAGTTGATTGAGATTGTTCACCAAAAATTCTAAAAGGTTTAAAAATACCAGGATGATCTTTTTTATAATTTTCAGTTTCTGGTGGTTGAAATATGAAATTTTCCTTATCACTGCTGTCATCTTGTGAACCTAAATTTTTCCGTTGACTTCCTATTGAGTCTGGTTTTATAATTAATTTATCATTAAATTTTTTAACAAATGGGGATTCATTACCATCACTTTCTTTAAGTAAAACTACTGATCCAGAATTCGAAAATCTTGAAAATGATAATTCTTCAAAATCTCCATCAATTTCATCGTTCTCCTGGAACCTAAGTAGTAAAGACTTTTTCTCATCAAAAGATTTCTTCTCATCAGGAATTGTATTATATGGCAAACTCCCTTGTTGTGATATTGAATTTGATTTATTCAGAAGAGGAATCGTAATATTACCTAATTCATCTATATTTGTAAATTGGTGAAACAGCTTCAGCATATTATTATATGGTCATGTTTTCCAATTAATTGCAAATCCTTCCCTAATAATTCTAATCAGATAACTAAGTGGTTGATATTAGTTGTATAAATTATGATTGATTTAAATTTGGTTGTAAAAAATAAATTGTTTACTTTTAATTTAGAACTTATTTTTTTGTTTACAAATTTTAATGTATGCACGAGTTGCAAAATCAAGAATTGAAAAATGACAAAACATACCTCTAATAGGTAGAGGTAGTTTCATGACTACAGTATATTTAAATGAGTTAAAACAAAAAGCAAGTTTATCTATACAACTACTGTAAAAACTATAATCTAAGCTACTTTAATTAATAATTTACCATGTGGTTTATCACCACTAAATAATAGATTCCAAATTTTTGGGATTTCTGATAATCTTTCATCTGGTGAGTTACCTTTTAATTCTTCTATATGAATTGAATCATCAACATCTATTTTCTTATCTTTAATAGCATCACCTAAAACTTTTATGGCTTCGGGAAATTTGTCTTTATAGTTTGAAACCAAGAAACCTTCAACTGTAATACATTGAGCGACAATCTCGAACCAAGTAGTCACATAGGCTAATTTTGGATCACTGTATCCTGAAATCGAACCACATGCTGCAACTCTACCAAACTTTTTCATGTTTGATAATAAAAATGATAAAATTGATCCACCGACATTATCAAAATAAACATCGACATAAGAATCACCTAAAAAGTCTTTAATTTTAGATTGATAATCCGAGTTTTTATAATTAACGCATAAATCTGCACCGATTTTTTCAACCCATTTACATTTTTCATCTGATCCTGCTAATCCAATAACTTTTGATGCTCCGAGTAAATGTTTAGCAATTTGAACAACGGTTGATCCAACAGCTCCAGAAGCTGCTGAAACACAAACAATTGGACCTTTACCATCTTCAGGTTTCTCTTTTAAATACTTATGTAATTGACCAGCTTCAGTCAATCCAAAAAATGCAGTTAATGAAGTCATACCTAAAACTGATAAATAATAAGGTAATGGTAAACCTTGTTTTGTATCAATTTTATTAAAAATTTTAACGTCTGGTAATATAGCATAATCAGCCCAATTGATACGTCCACTTACAATATCACCTTTAGAATATTTTTCAGATTTTGATTCTAAAACTTCACCTAAACCTAATGATTCCATTACATTACCCTCATAAACTGGTGGAATATAACTTCTTGCATTATTACCTTGTTTTCTTAACCAGGTTCTTTGAGTTGGATCATTTGATAAATATAAAGTTTTAATTAAAAGTTGACCATCTTTTAATTCAGTATTCAATTTAGTAGTTTTTAAAGCAAATGTTGAATCAGGTTTTGAGACATCAGTTTTGATTTCTCCATCACCTTCTGGAACTCTTTCAAATATAACTTCAGTAGCTTCTGTTGGTAAAGACATATCGATCTATTATTTTTATTTGGCCATGAAATAAATCAAAACGTTATTCAGTTATTTCATCCCATCTTTATATAAACATGGAAATAGTTGCTTTAGTAATTACTTCTTCTCAAATCTTTTTAGAGATTTAGCAATTAACGGATAAATTTCAGTTTTGTCTTTGTGAAATAGTTTAAAACTTACAAAAAACTCCGAACTTGGAAGAATCAGAAGTGACAAATTGATTTTGACTAACTTACTTAATATGATCTTAATTCTATACACATTTCTACTTAAATTAAACCTTTTGCGTTTAAGATTTCCGCAATTAATATTCCTGAACCAGCAGCACCGATAATTGTGTTATGAGATAAAACAACCATTTTGAAATCTAATAGAGAATCTTCTCTAATTCTACCAACTGATACTCCATAACCATTGTCTCTTTCTCTATCTAATCTTGGTTGTGGTCTATCTTGTTGTTCTAAAACATGTATAGTTTGTTTTGGAGCCGAATGACAACCTAATTTTGAAGCTTCACAAACATAATCAGACAAAACTTTTTTAACTTCATCAACTGATGGTGCTGGTCTATTTTTAAATCTTAATGATATACATTCAGTATGTCCATCAATAACAGGTACTCTATTACATTGAGCACTTACTTTCATGTCATCTTCTGGTATATTTACAACTTCAGTACCTTCTTTATTTAATAAACCCAAAATTTTTTTAGTTTCCCATTCCAATTTATCTTCCTCTCCACTAATATATGGAACAATATTATCTAATATATCCATACCTGAAACACCTGGTGAAAACCCAGCACCAGAAATAGCTTGTAAAGTAGTAGCAGTTAATGCATCAATAGGGCCGAATTTATCAACTAAAGGTTTTAATGGAGCTACTAGACCAGCTGTTGAACAATTGGATATACAAATAAGGTACCCAGTCTTTTTCCCTTCTTTTTTAGCTTTATTAACTTTATTCTCCACAATATCTATATGTTCAGGATTGACAATTGGTACAACTAATGGAACATCTTTTTCTCTTCTATAATTTTTAGCATTGGATATAACAGCTAAACCAGCGTCAACAAATGCTTTTTCAACTTCACCTGCAACATCTGAATCTAAACCTGAAAATACAACATCACAATCTTTGAAATTGCCTTCTGGTTTACATTCTTGAACTTCTGTATCATGAACTGATTCTGGTAAAATATCTGTTTGTTTCCAATTTACTGCATTCTTGTATGTCTTACCTGCTGATCTTGATGAAGCTCCTAAAGCATGAATTTTAAAATCTGGATGTTTTGATAATAATAGTATAAATCTTTGACCCACTGAGCCAGTTGCTCCTAACACTCCTGCCTTTTTAACCATATTTGATACTCTATTTAGTATTTGTTTTAAGTTGTTGTGAAGAAATGTAATTGTTTGACTAAAATATTTAGAATAAAAATAAATTTTTCAATATGATTTTTGTTTCTTTTTTGAATAAGTGGATTACGTAATCGTATGTTAAAAAATGAATCATAATGTGTTTCACAAATTCAATAATAAAAGAATGGTCTGGCCATGAAGTAAGCATTATAAAACAAAGAACTCTATTCTGCTAAACATCTACCATCGGGTGAAACAGCTAAATTTTCTGCCTAATAATTTAGTATTAACTAAAAAAAGCAGTTTCCACAAAGAATTTCGTAATCTGCTCGAATCTTGCAACAAGATTCTACTTTTTATAATCTCGCACTATTTTGCACCCAATATTCAAGATTTTGATATGCCAATTGTAGATCTATATATATTGAAACTTTTTATTAAATCAGGTTGTTTTTGACAACAATCTTATTAATGACAAAATTTTCATCATACTGTGATAGCTTATTTAATGACTCAACTGAGTTTGTTTCTGTACCTCCATCATATCAAACTTCAATAGTTCCCTATACAAAAGATTTGATGAATATAACAGATGAAGAAGAGAACTCAGATTGCCAGATAATGAATCGAATTATTGGTCCAGTATTACCGACGTTACACAGAGGAATATTTTTAGCATGTAAGTCACTGGGTTTGATCAATGAAACATTAGTAAGTCATTACAACTTGTTGGAGAAATCAGCTCAAGGTTTATGTAGAAAGGTAGACAAGTTAATAAAAGACACTTGGAAACTAAAACTTAATAATAACAATATGATTTCATATGCTTATCAATTTGTGTTGGCTTATGATTTATGTTTTGCGGATCTACCATTTACTGGAAATACGATAATTGATTCATTTGATCTAAAAGTACTAAAAGAATTATATGTTGATTTATTTAGCAGCTCAAAAATAATAAAATTGAGTATGAAGAGTAAAAATAGGCAGTTGATTGCTTCCTCTTATAAAGAAGAGTTCCAGGACCTAATTGCAGATAAGTTGAAAACAAAATACGGCTATTGTATACCCCTGAATTCAGAATATTTTTGTCGTGCTATATTTACTCTAACATTGGTGCTATATCTGAATAAGATGGCTTTATTTAAATACAACAACTATAATGAAACGAGTGAGGTTGTTTTTGAAAGGCACGGATTATCAAAATTCAAGACACATTTGAGAAACTTCTTTAATTAATAGCCATTTTATAGCTTTACCGTTTGTGCAGAAATTGATAAACTTGAATTGGTTTCAAATAAAAAACTAGAATTATTGTCACTTTCACTTACTTCTTCTAATTAGAACGTAGATCTTCATGAATGAATCATAAAGCCTAGTATTTGAGTTAATTTGAGTTGATACATGATCAATCAATTTTGCCAAAATTCGGTTAATCCTATATAACTCAACTCTTTATCTGAAATGTAAAGCAGATGGTTTGGCAAATTATGAGTTTTGGTGAACACTCTCTGCAGTTGAAAACAATCAAAGTCAGAATTTGATTATTGCTGCGGTAATGAAATTATTGGATCTTCCTTTTACTTTGAATTTTGAAGAGCTAAAACTAATTACTCGTTTGTGCAGCAGAATGTGCAAAATACCTTTGGTACACTTGAAGAAATGTCCCTCAAAGCTATCTTAAAAAAAACAACTAGTTCAGAAATGCGATCTAGAACATCTTCTTTTGGGCTTGATAGAGTTGTTCATCATTGATGAATGGAATTGCAAGATTTGAGATAAAATCGCTCTTTGGTTGGGTCCGAGACGGTGCTAGCTCGCGCAAACTTTGATCAAAGAAATGGGTCTACACCGTATTATCATATTATTGAATAATTTGGTAGCAAGATCTTATCTTAGTAGTGTAAAATTTGTAGGACGCGTTTTAGTATATCAGAATGAAAAACTGAATCATTAGATAGCTTGTTTCGTCATACAACTTAATCAACAAGGCTTTATCCATCATGGTTAATACTGATTTTGAAAGAATTTACTTGAATCAATCAAGAGCTAGTGGTCGTATGCGTATAGCTGACTCTGGTCTTGGTTGGAAAGCAAGTAATAATTCAGCTACTAATGGTTCAACATCAAATCAACAACCATTCCTATTACCAAGAGAAGAAATCTTAGTGGCAACTTGGTCAAGAGGTTCAAAAGGTTATGAATTAAGGATACAAACCAAAAACAAGGGAGTCATAATGTTGGATGGTTTTCATGTAGATGATTTTGCACAACTAAAACAAGAATTAACACGAAATTTTCATATAAATTTAGAACATAAAGAACATTCATTAAGAGGTTGGAATTGGGGTAAGACTGATTTAGCAAGAAATGAATTAATTTTTAATATAAATAATAAACCATCATTTGAATTACCTTATGATTCAATTTCAAATTCAAATTTAACTGGTAGAAATGAAGTTGCAGTTGAATTTAACCTTGATCAAGATAAAATTGGTGATGAGGTTGTTGAAATGAGGTTTTATGTACCTGGTACAACAATGGATTTCGAAACTAAAATAATTAAAAATGAAGATGGTGAAGATGAAGAAATTGTTGAAACAAATCTTGAATCTGAACAAAATGCTGCTCAAGCATTTTACGAACAATTAAAAGAGAAAGCAGATATTGGGCAAATTGCAGGTGAAGCTATTGTTTCATTCAGTGATGCATTATTTTTAACTCCAAGAGGTCGTTATGATATTGATATGTATTCTAATTCATTAAGACTAAGAGGTAAAACTTATGATTATAAAATTCAATATCAACAAATTGAACGTATATTTTCATTACCAAAACCTGATGAAGTACATCATTTAATGATTATACAAATAGATCCACCATTAAGACAAGGTCAAACAAGATATCCATTTTTAGTATTACAATTTGTGAGAGATGAAGAAACTGAACTAGAATTAAATTTAAGTGACGAAGAATTTGAATCAAAATATAAAAATAGATTGAAAAAGACTTATGATGCACCAACTCATATTGTAATGGCTCATTGTCTTCGTGGTTTAACTGAAAAAAGATTAATAACTCCTGGTTCATTCCAATCAAGGTTTTTACAACCAGGTATACCATGTTCTGTAAAAGCGTCTGAAGGTTATTTATTCCCATTAGAAAGATGCTTTTTGTTTGTAACCAAACCAACATTATACATTCCGTATAGTGAAATAAGTAATATAACTATGTCAAGAACAGGAGGAGGTGTATCAGCTTCGAGAACTTTTGATTTAGAAGTTAACATAGTCAATTCATCACAAAAACATATTTTTGGTAGTATAGATAGAGAGGAACAAGAAAATATTGAAAGATTCTGCAAAGAAAAGAATATAAGAGTTAAAAATGAAGAAAAAATTGCTAAACAAAGATTAGCAAAAGCATTAGAACAAGAAGCTGATATGGATGATGATGATGCAGATGTTGATATGGGAAGTGCGGGAGATGAGGATGAAGATGAAGATGTTGATTTCAAATCGGATTCCGATTCCGACGTCGCTGAAGAATTTGATAGTGATGCACAAGATTCAAGTGGAGATGAAGAAGGCGGAGAAGCTGATGATAGACCACCAACTAAAAAGGCAAAAAAATAAGAAGGTGAAATATAGATTTTTTTGTTGAACGTAAATGTATAATACCCAATTTTGTTGGAAAAAAAATTTAATGAATCAAACTAAATTAAGGTTTTGCCTTGTAAGTCATTGCTCTTGTTCTTGCATTTATTTGAAAAACTTTTCTCTCATCTTATTCATTTTTTATCAACTCTCTTATTGTGTGTAATTTCAATTTTTTCCTATATTGGACTGGTAAGGACCTCTTATTTACGAGTTAAAAAATAATTTATTATAATTTGTCTCAATGACTTAGACTTAAATATTGCATAAATAATATTAAACACAAGGTCAGAGGCGAGTTAATGAATAAAATGAATGATGATTATTGATGCATTATTACGTTAAGTTACGTTAAGTTAAGTTGTTCTTAGTAATTAGTTTTGGCGGGTCCACCTAATGATTTACTTGTTTCAACTTTTTATTGTTCATTTGAAGTTTCAGAATAATTCAAAATTATGATATGAAGAGAAAAGTTAAAGTTTACAATTCATTGACTTGCTTTTGATTTATTAAATGAAGATTAGGCTAAAGTGTCATAAACTTTAATTACGAAATTTCATTTTAGAGTTCGTTCTGTGGATATGTCGTGATTGCAAATATGGAAAAAATTTCGATTTTTTGTGAGAAAAATAAAGCAAATAAAATATTCTTGCCTTGAGTATGATATGCCTCATTAAAAGTGCCCTCCCGTTGTTAAACTATTCATATTTTAGTATGAAAGAGCTTTGGAAAAATGAGCTAGAAATTGTCATTAATTTCTTTTTTTATGTAAAGAAACGTTTTAGCCTACTTTTATAGTCAATTATATGTACCTGAAATATCACTCTTTTTATTGTTTGAACAATGTAAAAAAATTGTTTCAAATTATTTTTATTGCAGGGAGAAAAGGATAGAAAAGAAAATATCAATTCTTGTATGGGAAAAAAAGTATGATAATGTCAAAAAAATTAATTTTGTAACTAAAATTTCTATTGTGATAATATTATAAATTCAAAAGATTGCGTTATCTTAATTTCTGTTGTAGCCAGATCTTGTAACTATGAACTTTTTTTTCATTTACCAGTTATAGAGATTGATCAGTTGTTGTATATTTGTGGAAAGAGTAAATTAGGTGTTGACAACTATATTTGGGTTTTCAATATGTTTGAGAATAGTTTATCGAAAAATTTATATAATAGATTTCAATTACTATTCCAATTTTGGTACAATAAATTTATTATAACATCTCGTATATTTTCTTTTTGTACCATAATTTAAAGACTTCGTATCTCTTGGATTAAATTAAAATAATTATTGATAATAATATTATGGAGATAAGATTAAATACATCAGATATAATAAATAAAGTTAATATAATCATGAGTTTAATTGAAATATTCAACCATTCCACTTGATATTTAGCTATATCAATTGCTATGAATGATAGTTCTTGATTACGTAGTTGATACAAAATTTAAATTGTTAAGTTGTACATCAAATAATAATAATTTTTTGGTTTAAATTTAATTTCAATAACTAAAAAAAATAATTAACCAGCCATACATCAAAAAAAAAATAACTCTTGGAAAAAGGCAGAAAAAGTAGATTTTACTAAAATTTTATAAACAATTCAAATTGAAAAAAACATTTTTTCCATGATGTAAAGATAATTGATTGTTAATCCTTTAGCCAGTATCCTCGTCTTTTTATCCCCTTTTTTCATTGTATTTCTTTCTCTATATATACTTAATAAATTTTCCTTAATTTGGTAATTAACTTTAAAATTAAAATAAACTTAACTACAAAACAAAGTTTTTAATAATTACAGTTTCATTCTTTTTCAATTGATTTGAAGTTGTGCATTTGATTCAAGTGGGTTGGAAAGCGTAAGATTTTACTTTAAAGTTTTAATATAATAAAAATATTTATTCACTATTGTTAAAAACAGTATTTGATTTGTTTCAAATTGAGGGGGGTGATTTAAACTTTTCAAAATTTCAGAAAAATAATTAATTATTATAAATCGTTACTTTCAAAAGCAGTTAGTTGCAATTAACAACAGGCAATAGTATTATTATTACTATTTGACATACATTAATTGACTACTTCACATTAATATATCATATTTCCAACAATCAAAAAATCGAAATATAATAATTTATTATATTTTTATTGTTAAATTTATTTTTAAGGTAAGTTTTAATCATCTAAATTTTTAATTAACTGCAAAAGAATTTACACAACAACATACAAATAAATATATCATAAAAAACAAAAAGAAATTCCCCACCATATCTATATATATTCAAAATTATGTCTCAATTAAATTTACTAGAGGTTGAAGTTCAACAAGATTATTTAATTTACTCAGATATTTATAATATTAAAAGCAAAAACAATTCAAATCTTTCAATTTCGAATCAATCAAAATTAACAAAAAAGAAGTCCATCGAATTTAATCAATATTTTGACGCTATAGATTCAACAAAAAAAATGGTTGGTTTCATGTTTAAATCAAATTTAAGTACAACAAGTATAAATTCATCAAATGTTACGTCATCAAGAACATCCACAAGTTTAAAAAGAAAACCTCCCCCACTTTCAATAACTAGAGATTTGGAAAAATTAGATGATAGCGTACCTAAAAGATCACCAGCAAGATTATTTGAACGTTTTAAATTATCATCGTCATTAACATCAAGTGAGAATTTACTTTCTCCAAGTATTCAAGCTACTTTTTCAAGATTTGATAAAACAAGAAAAGTGCTCAAAAAGCAAAAACAAGATAATAGTACTACAGCAGTTATTAAAGCTCAACCAACAGCTACCAGCTCAAAATCATCACAATCTCAACAATCAATCATCCCAAATTCCAAAATAGAAACACCGACAATAGAACCAATTACTACATCATCAGAACCGGCATCACCAGTTTCTTCATATAATGATTCGAGAAGTACATTTGAAAGAGAGAGTCAAGAGTTAGATTCAGAATCATCAATTGACGAATCAAGTAATCATAGTCTCCAATTAAAACCAACAGCCACAAATATATTAAAATCTGATAATATTTCAATATATTCAAAATCATCGCATTTAATTAAAAGGGCTTTGGACTTTGATTTCAAAATGGACGATGAATATGAGGATAATGAACCATGTTTTATGGAAGATGATTTGTACTCCTTATTTGATGCTGTTAAAGATGCTGAAATTGCTAAAATTGATGATGTTATTAAAATTACTGGTCAATATGATCTTACTACAGCTTCAAAAATTTTGGTAAGTAACTGAACAGTCAAATTTAAAATTTAAAATGGTGCTGATTAGGTCATTGATTTAGTCCAAGGACTGAGACAGTTGGTTTTTGCAGGTCAAAAAGAAAGAAGTTGGAATTTTCAATTCAAATACATTCATTTATTACATTAGGTGCTTAGGCTAGGTTTAATTTATCTTTCATTCGATTTTCGTTCGCTTTAATAGTTTTTGTTTAGTTCATGTATAACATAATTTTGGTTCAAAGTAAAAACCTATTCACTTGTCTCCTAAGGTTGATTATATAATATGCTAATCTATTTTTCTCTATATAATAATTCTCTATTTCTAGGTATATGTTTGATTTAACCGAGCTTCTTCAGCCTCAAAGCTATACGCTATTGAATTCTACAAAGCTGATTAAAACCACTTTAAACTACTATCGCCTATCTGATCAGTCTACATTCGTCCATTTGATCATGCTCTATACTTACCTTCTCTCAATTTCATAATTAGTATTAATATGATCATAATCAAAATATATAGAGAGAAAAAAAGAAAGAAAAATTTTTTTAGAAAATCCTTATAATAATAATATTTATAACTTATTAAATACAACCAAAAAATTTTGATTATAATACATCAACATTAAGTAATAAGTCGTTTAATCTAAAGCATTGATACAATAGATAAATCAATAAAAGATCCTGGTGATTTTTTCGTCTTAATTATTTTCATAAATCATTTTGATTTTTCACTTCATTGTCAATTCATTTAATATATAATTATACAGGACCAAATAGAATAATATAAATTACCAATAGATATATATACTCATAAATTTATTTACTATACAACATGTATATTATACCAATAATAACTTCATTAATATCAATACTACTATTCACATTTACAATTGCTTCACCACGACTAAAAAATAATAAACAAAATGAATTAATACAACCATATAATCAAGGAAATACGCCTCCTCAATATTCAACAACCACATCAAGCCCACAATATAATCCACATCAACAACCTCATCAAGCACATCAACAAACAAGAGCTAGCTCTCTACTACCTTTAGAATTTCGTTCAATAGATGATTGTGATCTACAAGACTTACTATTAGTTAGTGATATTAATGGAAATTTACATGGAGTTGAAAGAAGTACAGGTACTTTAATTTGGACTTTACCAATGGATGAACCATTAGTTCAAGTATATACAAACAATACTTCAAACCCAAATACACAACAATCAAATATTTTATGGTTCGTTGAACCATATGAAGATGGTACATTATATTATTTTACACCAAATTTTGGATTAAATAAATTACCAACAAGTATAAAAAATTTAGTAATGGAATCACCTTTTTCGTTAAGCGGTGATGATAAAATTTATACAGGTACAAGAAAAACTTCATTATATAATTTAAATGTTCATACAGGAGAGATTAAATCATCTTTTGGTATTCAAGAAGAATGTCCTATCCCCAAAAGTAAATTACCACCAAATCAAAGACATAAACAACAACAACTGAATGACGATGACACAATAATGATAGGAAAAACAACTTATGAATTAACTATACACTCCAAAACCAATAGCAATGTAATGTGGAACGTTACATATAGTCAATGGGTTCCAAATAATATAGATAATGACTTGATAATGCAAAATCAACAATCTTTAGATAATATTTATTTCACACCGTTTCATGATAGATCATTATTAGCAATAAATAAAAATATTGGAACTCCAATTTGGATAAGTAAATTACCAGCTTTGGCGGTGAATATATTTGATATTTTTTATAATGACAAATTAAATAATAATGAGTATATATTATTACCACATCCTTTAAAAGTTTTAAATGATTTACAAACTAATGAAATTGCCAATAATGATTTAATATTCATAAATAAAACATCAAGCTTGGATCAATGGATTGCTATGTCATTCAAAAACTACCCCACATTAATCAAAAGTGCACCAATCTCAAAATATCAAATGATCTTGAATAATTATTATTCGGGTATAAACGACCCATCATCAATTAATTTTATAGAAAATTACCAACTAGCATCAAATTCCAAAGAACAAAATGAACAACTACTTTCCGGTATACATAGAGTATTTGAATTATCAAGTGACACATCGTATCAACCAATTTCAAGATTCTCATCAGTAAAAGACATCAAGAGAATAGGTGATGGAAGAGAAGGAAATAATGATCATAATCTGTTACTGCAACAGCAGCTGGACAAACAACAGAGTTATAATAATGATATTCCTAATATTATAGATGGTATTAAATTTCCTGCTAAAGTCTCAACTATTGGTTCTGATATTTTAATGGTAGACCCTGTATCAAAAGATATCGTAGACAATTATAAGCCATCAATAATTAATGATGGCAAATCTGAAAATTCGGGAACAAATGCAATTGTGAAAAGAATTTTAGAAGATATTGGTGTCTTACTTATAATTTTATTATTATTTATCACCTTCGGCAGAAAAAATAAATACGTAAAAAAATTATTTGGTGAATATAATATAGGGAACAAAAGTTTAAAAGAAATTGTTATTGAAAATCATAAAGATGTTGATGAAAAAAATACAGTGGAAAAACCAAAGGATATTGAAGACGATTTGGAGAAGAATGTAATCAATGAAAAAGAACCAATTAATGACGTTAATGAAAGTGATGACAAACCAAAAGAGCCGCAATTAGCAAAAAAGAAAGTTAAAATTGTAGAACCAGAATTTGAAACGGAACCAGAATCAGAACAAGAACAAGAAGAACAAGAAGTTGACCAAGATAAAGAAAACGCCACTAAACCTCCTGAGGATGAAATTTCAAAAGAAGATGAGCCAACCACCAAAAAGAAAAGGAAAAGAGGATCTCGTGGTGGTAAACGAGGAGGCAAACATATCAATAAAAACAAAACCACAGAAGACAACGAAACAGAATCTATTGAAGAAATTGTGAAGATTAACGGCAATGATGATGAAGAAATCATTACGACCAGAAGTCTTATCCAAAGTTTACCATTACCACCGAAATCTAAAACAAAATTACAAATTGAGAATAATTTAATAATATCAGATAAAGTTTTAGGTTATGGATCACATGGTACCGTTGTATTTGAAGGAACATTTGAAAATAGACCAGTAGCAGTTAAAAGAATGTTATTAGATTTTTATGATGTTGCAAATCATGAAGTTCGGTTATTGCAAGAATCAGATGATCACCCAAATGTTATTAGATATTTTTGTTCACAAACTTCTGAAAGTGAAAGATTTTTGTATATTGCATTAGAACTTTGTTTGTGTACTTTGGAAGATATTATCGAAAAACCTCAAAAAGTTTCAGATTTATGTATACCAAAGAGAAATGAAATTTTGTATCAATTGGCAAGTGGGTTACATTATTTACATTCTTTGAAAATTGTTCATAGAGATATTAAACCTCAAAATATTTTGGTTGCAAATATTAAAAAAAATGTTCAAACTATAAAGAAGAATTTAATAAGTCAACAACTTCAAGACCAAGAGAAAAATGATTCTGAAGAAGTCTTTACATTTGAAAACAATGTGAGATTATTAATTTCGGATTTTGGATTGTGTAAAAAATTAGATAATGATCAATCATCATTTCGAGCAACTACTCAACATGCAGCATCTGGTACTTCTGGTTGGAGAGCTCCTGAATTATTATTAAATCATGATTTACTAGAAATTTCACCAGATTCAATATCATCTGTACATTCAAATGGTAATGGTACTACAAATTCATCAAATACATCATTAACTTCAACAGGAAAAAGGTTAACTAAAGCAATTGATATTTTTTCATTGGGTTGTGTATATTATTATATATTAACTAATGGGTTACATCCATTTGGTGATAGATACTTGAGAGAGGGAAACATCATTAAGGGAGAGTATGATTTATCACCACTTTTGAAGTTTTGTCCACATGATCAGTATGAAAGTATAGATTTAATTTCTAAATTAATTAGTGCCAACCCTGGAAAAAGACCAAACACAAGTCAAATTTTAAAACATCCTTTATTTTGGACAAATTACAAAAGATTGGAATTCTTGTTAAAAGTAAGTGATAGATTTGAAATAGAGAAAAGAGATCCACCATCACCATTGCTAATCAAATTAGAAACCCATTCATCAAAAGTTTTCGCTGGTGATTGGCATTCACAATTAGATGATGAAGAATTCTTAGACAATTTAGGTAAATATAGAAAATATCAATCATCAAAGTTAATGGATTTGTTACGAGCTATGAGAAATAAATATCATCATTACAATGATATGCCTACAAGTCTACAACAAAAGATGTCACCATTACCTTCTGGATTCTACAAATTTTTCAATGATAAATTTCCTAAATTATTAATGGAAATTTATTATTGTGTTGAGGAAAATTTGAAACATGAGTATATTTTTAATGAATATTTTTAGATACTATTTAGAGGAATTATAAATAATTAAGGAATAATAGATAATTTTTTAGTTCCTACATTTTTTTAAGAAAAAGTTCTCTGTATTATGCTCTATCATCTACTTACTTCCTCTGACTTTTATTCAAATTTCCTTTCTTTATATTTGTTTTTGGTGTAGGTTTTGTGACTTTACCTTTTGCTGGTTTCTTTTTAGGTGACGGAATAGATCTTTTAGTACTACTTTGACCCTTAATATCTTCTTCATCACTATCACTTTCTTTTGACTCTTCAAATTTAGTATGTTTACCTTGGAAACTTTGAGTACTAATAGCAGGACCTACTTTATCAACTGTATTTTCATTCCCATTCTTAACACCTAGAGTTTGTTTCAAAAATTCTTTTGTTGTTGTTGTGGTGTCGTCTTTTTTGATATCTTGTGTTTGATTCAACTGTTGTAACCTCATCATATAACTTTTGATTCTATTTAATTCTTTTTTGATTGGCTGTTGATCTGTATCTACTCCTATTACTTTTAAGTATGTGAATATTGTTGATATTAATATGTATTGATAGTTGTTTAAGAAATTGATTTTGTCTTTTGGGGATGTAATTAAAGCTAGTTGTTCGTCTATTGATTTTGATAAAAGGGGAGTTAGTGATGATTCGTATTGAGTTGTTGCATTGTCTAATGATTTTAGAAATAGTTTTATGTTGTCTAGGTTTTCCATGTTGAAATTATATGTATAACTTTGTTAACTTTTGATTTATTAATGTGATTGTAGCTTAACGTTATTGATCAGTTGCAGTCACTTCTCTTAATATAAACTCTTTACTAAAGATTGATTAATAAAGTTGGTCCATCTAATATATTGATTATAAAAATTGTAATTTTTTGTGAGATATCTGGAACATATTATTTTTAACTCATCACATTACAAGTAACATACAACCAATAAACTAAATATTCATAATTACAATAAGTAATTATAAAGATGGTTAGACATAATAGAGAAATATTAACAGGTGGTAAAAACTATGCTCAAAAACAAAGTAAAAAACATGCAGTCAATGAAGTTGTATTTGATAAAGAATCAAGACAAGAATATCTTACAGGTTTCCACAAAAGAAAATTACAAAGACAAAAGAAAGCTCAAGAATATAATAAAGAACAAGAGAGACTAGCTAAAATAGAAGAAAGAAAACAAATGAGAGATGAAAGAAAACAAAATTTAGAAAGTCAATTAAAAGATTTTAAAGAAAAAGCTAAAGAAATTGCAATGATAAATGGTGATTTGAAAGGTGATGATGATGATGAAGTCAATGGATTTTTAAATGCAGGAGAAGATGAAGAAGAGTGGAGTGGATTTAACGAGGAAGAAGGTGGCGAAGAAAATGGGGATCAAGAAGAAGAAGACAAAGAAGAATCAAATAACTCAACAATACCATTAAAGGGAATACTACACCACAAAGAAATCTACGAACAAAATGACCAAATATCAAATGAATTTGGAGACGAAACAACAGTAACAATAGAATCAATAGATCATCCACTCCAAAACGGCACCACATCATCACTAGAAGAAAAAGCCAAATCTAACAACGTTAATTTATCCAACTCAGATGCAATCTTGGAAAAATCTATAAAAAGAGCTAAAAATTATGCTGTATTATGTGGAGTTTCTAAACCTTCAAAAGATAATAAAAAGCCAAAAAAGAAATTTAGATATTTGAGTAAAGCTGAACGTAGAGAAAATACAAGAAAAGAAAAATCAAAAAGTAAATTTAAAGGTAAAAAATAGAGGCACTTGTCATAAATTTAAAATGGTATTTCAGGTAATTTGTTGTGTTTGCAATACGATGAGATCTAGGTTTTACGACTAATGGGTCTTAAAAGGTTTGTAAAATTAAGTCGAATGAGGATTTTGCGTTGACCTTGCATAATTTTGGTACTGTTATAAAACAAATTTTAAATCTACAAGAAAATCGTTAGCTCAACATGTGTTGAAATGAACCTTCTGCGATATATGTACTCTCAATCAAAGCCTCTAGACTCTAGAACGTTAGTTGTATAAATCTTGTTGCAAAAGCTCAATACTTATCCGGGTAAATTGTTTCTGATGCATCTCTCTCATTGAAGTTTTAAATAGAAAAAAATTTCAAACAAATTTACAACTAACTTCTTCATACAACAACAAAATTCAATTTGGTCAATTCAAAGTAGTTTTAATAACTATGCTTTCAATTATTTCATTCTTCTTACAGCAACAAAATTTAATTTGATTAATTCAAAGTAGTTGTAATAACTATCATTTCGATTATTTCAAATTAGTATGTTTAGACTTTCACTATGAAAATGAGTATAAATTTTAATGATGACAAAGATGTCGCCCCAAACGGAGGATCCTATTCAGGACGCTGACCGATTCGATTCATTAGCCAAACACTGAAAATTCTGATTAATTTATACATGCATTCACATCTAATTGATTATTTTCAATAAGAGATTACCATATGGACATTTTACTAACTAATTTTGTACAGAACCGGATGTATTAAGAATTTTAATTCATTTACAAAGACCCCTTGGATGTTTTAGTTTGTAGAGGCATCTATCTGTATTGGAGATCGATCAATGTTAATAATGTTGAGCTACTGATGGATTAGCTCGTCTCATTGTACATGGGAAATCAAATAATTATAATACGATGAACAATTAATTTGATTGATTAACTGGCTAATGATGTTTTCCATGCTAATCATGAATCAAAATTAATGATTATCAACATACCCAAATCGTGTACTTTCTTCGAAAGACACGTCTGAAGCCTTTTACTTAATTTTATATTTGTATTTCTACATAATAATTATTTGAATTCTAAATTTTCACAATGTCAAAAAGCAGTAAATCTATTATTCTTCCTTGTTTCTTCGCTCTTTGCTTTTGTATTTCATTTGCTTGTCAAATCGAATGATTTGTTGACTTCAATGCATAGAATTAGATTTTAAAATTTTACTCAATTCGAGAATTTAAGAATTTAAAAAATTTAGTCTTAATATTTTTCGATTTGCAACAATCAAATTAATCAAAACAACAAATAGAACAAATTAGTGGTGAACGACGGTACCAATTAGATCCATGGATACTTAATTTTTTTTAAACGTAACAACAAAACAATAACTAGTCTTCTTTCCATTTAATTTATATATTCACAGAACAATCAAATTAGCATAATATGGATGTTGAACATCCTGGTGAGACTGATGAAATAATATTTAATGACTTAATTCCATTACCATTTAGAATTTTATTGCTTCTACAATTTGGTTTGGGATTATGGTTTTTATTGAATGTTATATTATACAACTTTACTAGCATTAATGTATTACAATTGCTAAATTTGTCATACAATTCACATAATTATATACAATTGGATGACTTAAATCATAACAACAATCCAACTGAAGTAAATGGAGAGTTTGAAACAGGTTTACCAGCTGAAAAGCAAGAGAATTCAAGGCTAATTCAAGGTATTTGGAGAAACTTTAAGAAAGTCACAATCATAAATTTGTCAAGTTGGATATTGTTCAAGTTTTTACAATACTATAAACCGGATTATAAAATTATCTATTACAGCATACCAATAATCAGTTTTATGTATAATTTTTTGATCTTATTTTACAAAAGCAATGTTTTTGGTCCATCAAATAAAAACCCAAGTCTAATCATAAACGTTGGACAAATTAGAATGTGGACAACATTAAAGAGAATTTTAATCGGTAATATCAACTACCAAACAATGAGAACAAATGATATATTAATGAGTGATTCATTAGTTTCATTTGCAAAAGTCTTAAATGATTTTGGATTATTTGTATGGAGTTATTATATTAACGAGACAAATGCTTATAATTATAAATTGGAATTTTTTATACTATGTTTTCCAATAATGGTAAGAATGAAACAATGTTTTTATGAATATAAATGTACATTAAATAAACAGCATTTGTTGAATATGTTAAAATATTTCACAGGTATTGGACCATTAAGTATAAACGCATTGATCAAATACACTTTATTAAAATCTACTGATTTGGAAAGAGAAAATGGTGAATTAATAATAAAATTAACTAAGTTAAATAATTGGTGGTACATCTTAATGTTAATAAATTCAACTTATTCATTTGTATGGGATTTAAAAATGGATTGGCATTTGGAATTATTCAACAATTTCTTTAATTTATTTTCATCAACCAGGACAAGTCAGAAGTTCACTGTATTAAGACAACAAAAGCAATATCCAGATTTTATATATATAATAGCTATAAGTATTGATTTTTTGCTAAGATATTTATGGGTTTTGAAGATTTTTATAATTAATGAAGAATTGAAACTGAAAAAGATTCATTTTCTACATATTTTTTCAACTTTCTTATTTGGTTATGACGTTTACTCATTTGGGTATGTACTAATTGAGATATTGGAAATCTTTAGAAGGTGTGTATGGTGCTTTATCAAGTTGGATAGTGATTTTGTAAAAGTAAATAGTAATGTTATAGAAATGGATAGTTTTGAAAAATAATGTATAGAAATTTAATCAAACAGTCTTGTTATAATTATCATTGTAGCCCTTTTATCTCAGAATGATTGATTAGAAGTTTACTCAAACTTTACAATTTGTAACCTGAATAGGCAATTAGATTTTACGATGGGATGCTGAAGCATAGATGTTTTGCAACCATTTTGCGATCAAGATCTTACCATTATATAAGTGTGATCTCATTAAACGACTGTCACCAATGGTTGTTACTTAGTTATGGTTGTTACTTAGTTGAATACATTTGTATGACAATGTTTTTACATACAAATAGCAGAGATGTGGTTAATTGATGAACCAGTACTTAACAGAAGCACTATTATACTTTAAGAAGTGTGTGTACTTGTTACTAAATTTATATTGATCATTCATTACTAAATAAATTATTTAAGGGAGAAGAAAAAAATATAAAAGGCAAATAATTTTCCCACTTTTTTTTTTTCTTAAAAATATTTAAAATTCTAACCAACTTTAACTCAAATCATCAACCAATCAATCATCCAAACAATCAATCCACCCAAAAAGGTAGTGTATTCTATTGTTTTAAGTCAGTCCAGAGTAATTGCCATAAGTGAATATAAACATACACAAACGAGTCCAATTTTTACGGTAAATTCAGTTTTTTGTGTATATAAGAAATTTTTGTTATAATTCCATATCAAATTATTTATTGTTACGAATTTCATCTCCATTGTCACGAATAACTTCCTACCACTCATATTGTCATGTCTTACGAAATATTAGTCATTGTATCAAGTAGATTAGAAAAAATTAAGAACGCAGTTTCATTCGATGTCATTTAATTCCATATTTCCACATTTATATTGTGTTGTTCACCACTTCACTCTTATACCATTTAATCAAATCATTTATTATTCAGAGAACTAAAAATAGGTAAGTTTTTTTAATTTTATTTTTATAGAATTTTTTGTATCTTTAACCAACTTTTTTTTCTGGAATATCATTTTGTTTTGCTATCATTAGTCATATTTTTATCATAATCACATACTATTTTATACCTCATTTTATTATTATTATAACTACTATCAGTTATTGATCAAATCAAGTTGTTTTTTATTGGATTTTTTTTTTTTTCCTTTTTTTGTCAAGCTCAGTATCAATTAATTTTGAATCATAATTTTTTTAAGGTGCTTTTTCTTTTAAGATTTTTTTCTTTACATCATTATATTTAAACTCATTATCAAATTTCATTGTCCATTTATCAAAATTTAAAGAAATAAAAAGAAAAAAGAGAAAATGAAAAATAAATAAAAAAGAGCTTTTTAGAATCTGATGTCATTTAACCTACATTCTTTTTTTTGCTACATGAAAAAGTTGGGTTCGTTTGGTTTATACTTCATTTAACTCTGGTCTGGCATAGCAATGGAAGTACTAAGATACTTTGGGTCCTGTTATTGACAATACGTTTAGGGTTTTACTAACTGGAATTTTTTAGGTTTCATTATTGCCGAACATGAAGCGGTAAATCGTTATAATTTTTAATTTTGGGTGATTTCAACACATAGAATAATGGAAACTGATTTATATAATGTCTTGTTCATCCTTGTCTAAAGTTTTGCAATAATTATTGACAATTCTGCCGGTGCCATTATTGGAAGTTGAGAGTTTCTAATACTTAATTGATTCTGCTTAACTTGATCCTGAGTTGAGTTTGGTAGTCATCAGTTACCACTCTTCATCTTAGTTTCTTGATTATTTGTTGGAACAGTTAACAATTTTATATGGTCCATAATATACTTCTGTTAATTTTTTGTATTTTACTGAAGTAAAATTCATAGTCTTTCGAATTAATAATTTTGTATTAGTATTATGATTACAAGTTTTAATTGTAGTTGAGATCTCTTTACTTACGTCATTATCAACAAATCAGAGGCAATTTACATACATTAACATAAAGAATGAAAATTCATTTATTACATATTCATCTTACCAATCTACATATTGTCTTGATACTGGTCTAAATACTCTTATTCTTCCACTTTTAAAATCACTTAATTTATAAGATTCCTTTTTAATGTGACCAGCACTATCTTGTTCAATAACTTTGAATTTTTCTTTCTTTGGATCAAATTCATAAATTATCGCAGTAAATGAACTACTATTATCATCACCAACAGTTATTGATTTATTACCAATAATTCCTTTATGAGTATTAAATTTTCCATTTTTAATCCATAATATATCACCAGGTTTTATATCATCAATTTTAGAAATTGTTGAATTATTGAAATTTTTATATATCGTTACTCCAAATGATTTGTTACCAATTGGTTGTAATATTTTAGATTTTAATTCAGGATTATTGAAAACATAATTTAATAAATTATCATCTAATTTTTGATTGATGAAATGAGCTGCAGTGTTTACAATTGTTGAACTAAATTGACGATGATTGTTCTCTAATAAATCTTTTCTAGCAACAGGATTTGATTTTATAAAATGATTTACTAAATGAACAGTATTTCTTGGATCATTTTCTTCAAATTCTAATTCAATTATCAATTGAGATAAATCATAAAACAAGATATAAAAATCACGATAAATTAAAGATCTATCTCCTCTTTTAATCAATTTATTTGAATCAACTTCATAAATTAAATCAATTCCTATTTTTTTGATTAATTGATCTGGTAAATCATTTTTGAACCACCAATTTGATGTTGATTTAATATTAGCAATTTCAAATTCCAACTGTTCTAATGCAATTTCTGCTTGACTCTGTTCACTTCCGTTTCCCTTTAATGATCTTGATCTAGATAAAGTTGAATCTGTAGAGGTTCTACCTTGTGGAACTTGTGGTTGTTGTTGTTGCTGTTGTGAGCCAATTGACGCACCTGTTGATGTATGGACTAATGGTGGTAATTCAGTTGTTGCTCTTTTCGGCGGTTCACCAACTGGAATTGGTGGTGGTGGAACTGAGCCTGGGATTGGTGGTGGAGGAGCTCTTGTATGGTGACCTTCAAACGTTTGAGCTCTAGATGGAGGAGCTGATGATGGTGGATGTCTATCAACAATTTCAAATTTATCATAATCTAGGTCTTCTTCTTCACTTGAGCTTAAATCTTGTTCAATTTGACGAGGTGGAGCTGGTGGTGGTGGTCGTTGATTGTGATGTGATGATGATGTTGATGTTCTTGTTGGTGGTTGTGGTGGAGGTGGATGATTTTCAGTTGATGGTAGTGTACTTGGGACTGGAGGAATTGGAGGTGAAGAAGGCAATTCATGATGATGGATAGGTGGTGCAGAATCTAAATTTCTTGAAGGGACAGGTGGAACTGTTGGTACAGGTGGTATTGGTGGTGCATCTTTTGAAGTTGGTGTTGGATGAATAGGTGGATGTGGAATTGTTGGATTTTTACCAAATTGTTCTTCTTCCAAAGATATAGTCTCATTTGAATCCTTCTCATGAGTTTTTAATAAGTGTTCATTTTTAGATGTTTCATGAGGTCTTGTAATGTCAGATAAATCTTCATCAGCTTCATACCCAGTACCTTCACCTTCTAATGTACTATGTTTTTTCAACCTAATTGGACGATGTTGATCATCTGCACTATCTGAAACGTGAACATCATGATGATGATTTTGTTCATTTATATCATTTTGAGTTATAATTTCAGCTTGATCAGAATCTGAAGGTTCATCGTCTTCAGCCATTGAAGAACTTTCATGGCTGAATTTTGGTGCAGATTTTTCATGAGGAATTTCAGGTGCAGAATTTGGAATAGATGGTTGTTTTGTTGATTCAACATTTTGAGTAGGTGATTGCGGTTGTGTCTGTTCAATTGGAGCTGAAGGGGTTGATTTCGCCTTTTTAGGTTTGTCAGCTGGTGGTGAAGCACCAAAAGGAGATGGCATTCCCATCATACCAAACATATTTCTACCACCAGAAATTTTGGCCATTCTTTCAACTAATTTCTTACGTTTTAATTCTTCATCATCTTCTTCACCTTGTTCAAGTTCGTGATCTTCTTCCTTTTCATCTTCGGCTTCTTCAATTTCTTCAGGTTCATGAGCGCTAAGACTTCTGGGTTTTGACTCACCAGTATGATTAGAATGAAAAACTCCCTCACTTGCGCCAGAATGATTTGGAACTATTGGACTATGATTTTGTACCTCTTCATCAGCTTCTTCTGCAGCGGTAGCTGCTAATTGAGCTTCGCCACTTTTTTGTTCTCTCAATTGTTTTACTCTTTCTTTATCTTCAGCTTGTTTCTTTGCTCTTTCCTCTTTACGTTTTAATGCAGCAGCTTCACGTTCAGCTTCTTCTTGTTGTTTCTTTTGAAGTAATGCAATTCTTTCCTTTAATGATACTTTAGGACCAGACTCTTCTTTTGGTTCTTCTTCATTTACTGGTGTTCCTTTAACAATATCTTCTGAATGTTTTGTGTCATGAGCTTGATGAGCCACCAAATTTGACTCATCTCTTGGAGTAATTTTGGGAACATATGATGATGGAGCTGCAGCTACAAATTGTTTTTTAATACTATATGGATCACTTGGTTTAGATGTATATGAATGTGGCATCGGAACTTTGGCACCAGGACTTTCAGTTTTTGGAGATTGTTTCTTTTCTTCCACTAATTTGGTGACGACTGGTGTTGGCTCTGGTTCCTTAACCTCATTTTCTGGTTCATGTTTTTTAACTGGTCTATTCGAATTCGGAATTGTGGGGGCAACTAAAACTTCAACAAAATTTTTGGGGAACATCCCAGTTTTACCATCATACTCACCAGTATACCATTCATCATTCTCAATTGCTGTTATGGTAATAATTTGACCAGTTGCAAAAGGTAAATCGTCTTCATAATCAGATTTATAATCAAAGATTGCTTTAACTTTAAATGGTAATTCAAGCTCTGCCATTGTGTTATAAATTTACGTGTTAAGTGATCAATTGAGTTGTACTCTAGTATATAATGATGAGTCAGTCTTTCTTAAATTGAATTTATTGAAAAAGATGTAAATTTGGAATCGGTTGTAAATGGTTGTAAAATGATAAGTCTAAAAAAAAGATAGTTATCAAAATAAATTATTATTATTATTATTTTTTTTTGGTTGAGATTAAATTTAAAAATAGGAGTTTATTGAAAAGTGAAAATTTATAGAATTATAAATAGATGTCAATAAATGGAGTTAAACAACCAACTAATAAGTCTTTGATATCTTCTTCATCTACTGTACAAATAACAAAAGATGTATTAACTACTTGTCATCCGACTAAAACTTTCAATTATCATCAAGGTACTTCAATTACATCATTAAATTTTGATGATTCAGGTCAATATTTAATTTCTTCAGGGATTGATAAATCTATACAATTATATGATTGTCATAAGGGAATACATTACAAAGATATTCAATCTCAAAAATATGGAGCACATTCAGCTCGTTTTACTCATGAAGGTTTAAATTGTTTATATGCATCAACTTTAGATCCAACAGTAAATGAAGGAAATGAAGATACCATAAGATATTTATCATTATCGAATAATCAATATATACGGTATTTCAAAGGTCACAAAGCTCAAGTAACAAGTATTGAGGTTAATCCAGTACATAATACTTTTGGTAGTTCAAGTTACGATGGAACAGTAAAATTTTGGGATTTAAAGTCTTCTTCAGCCATTGGGAATATTTCAGTTGGACAAAATTCAGTAATTGCATTTGATCCTCAGGGGATAGTAGTAGCAATAGGAAAGTACCCAATTGGTAATCTGCAAACTGGTAAAATAAGATTATATGATTTAAAATCTTTTGATAAAGGACCATTTGTCGAAGTTGAGATACCGTGTTTACAGAATCAAATATGGAATAAATTAGAATTTTCAAATAACGGTAAACTTTTATTAATTTCAACAGATTCAAGAGAACATTATATTTTAGATGCTTTCCTGTGTAAATTATTAGCAATTGCAAAATTATCATTCAGAAAAGATTTAACCTGGATGTCCACTAAATATCCTTATAGTGGATGTTGTGCTTTCACACCATGTGGTAAATTTTTACTTATTGGAAGTCCAAAGGCATTAATTCATATATTTGATTTGTCAGATTTAAAATCTGATCAAGAAAAACCAATTATATTAACTAGATCTAATGATATTGTAAAATCAAACGTCGGTATACCTAAAATTGTACTATTTAATCCAAAATTATTTACCTTTGCAACTGCTGATACTACAGTTAATTTATGGCAACCTAAGAATGAATGAATTTTAATAGATAAATAGATTTTATAGATTAATGAATTTTATGATAAAACTAAGCTACCACATTTTTTCTAATCTGTTTCAAATCATCAATCATATATGAACTCGATTCAAACTCTACTATCTAACATCGCAACGAAGTCAAAGTCATGCAAATTTCAAAATCCAATTCAAAATGCCGATTTGAAAGTAGTACCAAAATCAACTTATAGACATATAATGATTAAACCACCAAAGAAGATTCACGGGTTGAAAAGTTTTCAAACTCACGTTCTACCAACAAATCGATCAGAAATTAGAGGAATAGATGGAGCCATACATGTCGCAGTACAGTCAAAGTTTAGACCAAAGTTATATCATCCAATTCTTAACAATGAATTTATCTCAATACAATTTTTCCCAAAAGATCACATAGTCAGTAATTTTAGAAAATCATATATTTCCTTTTTCTTTACAATGCAACAACTTCCACTAATGAATAGCCCAGTTTTAGATACAGAATTCAGGTCATACCAAGGAAAACTACGAAATTTACAATTTTTCAAAACCAAAAGAAAACCAATCCAGTCAGCATGTGGAAGAACAAAACTTAAGAAAAAGTTTAGACAGCTTTTTATTGATGCAATAAAAGAAACTAATACAAGCAAGGGGAAATTAGCAGGAGTTTATGCATTATCAATTAAAAAAGTTCCAGTTAATGAAATTGAAGATCAATTAGTAAGAGAATCATTTAAGAAATTGCTTAATAAATTAAATAAACCAAGAAAACCTACAGGATCTAAGACGGTAAAACTTGGTGAATTTTTCAAAAACGTTCAGTATTCATACAAGGTTGGTAATATGACAGATAATAGAGTCAGATTTCCATTTATGAAAGGTTCGGAATTAAAAGCATAAAGGTAAAGTGAAATATTATATATTTGCCCAATTTGGAACCTCAGTTTCAAATTTATGATCATCATATTCGAAACTTAATGCATGTAGATAAATGTTTGAATTTCCATTCATATCTTCATCAAATATTGGTCTATAACAAGTGGAACAAATTGACAGCTTTTTTGTTGATAGGATTTGTGAATGACTCAGTTTAAGTGAAAAGAGGCGGTTCACTAGGGTAGTATTGGTGTCCCATTTAATAAGATCTAACAAATTTATTGTTTCGGGGTTTGATTCACCTGAAAATGATGCAAATTGGGGATACTGTGTAAATAACAATTTGTATAGTCCTTTTTCTATATTAGATTTTTCAATATAAGTAGATGGTAGACTATCATCCGGTCTATAATAATCATCATTTGATATAGCGTATCCCAAATTTCTCAAATGTATTCTAATTTGATGGAACTTACCAGTGACCGGTATGCATTTTACTATACTCTCATCTAGTTCTTTATTATACCGTATTCTTTCAAAAATTGTGGTTGTGTTTGTTGGTAATTTTGTTAAATCACCTGGTGCTAGATATCCATTCATATTTACAATGAATATAGGACAAGTATAAGTTTTAACACCTACTGGAAACTCTCCTTTAACTCTTGCCAAATATGTTTTTGTAACATTATTTTTCTTATCCAATAACAAGTTCAGATATTTTATAGCAGATTCTCTAGCTTTACATAAAATTAAAATCCCACTTGTTGCTTTATCCAATCTATGACAAGTCCAAATTGAGTTTAACTTTAATTGTTCTTTGATCATTTCAGATAAACTGTTATACATGTAATTTCCTGAGGGATGAGTTGGTATGCCCGACGGTTTATCAACTACTAAAATTTCATCATTCTCAAATACTATTGGAATTTTTTCAACCCATGGAATCATCGGTTCATGTTTATGTTTTGTATGATATATGACATCTTTGTTCTCGATCTTCCTTACATTCAATATATTTAACCCTTTTATTGTAACACTTGGTAAAGTTACCCCCACATTATTGACGATATATAATTTATCTTCATTAATATCTTGAATTATACCTTGTTTAGTCTCACCAAAATCATTTGTGTATACATCAATTATAGTTTTACCAACCCATCTTTGTTTTACATGAGTTTGATAGTTCATATGATACGGAACCACTTTTCTTAACCCATTTTCAATTATATATTTGGGCATATGATCTTCATCTGACTGAATAGTTTTAGTAGATGACGATTTATTATTTAGAATCTGATCCTGTACATAAATTGAAATTGATGTAAAATTTGACAAGAAATTGAATCATAGTACAAAAAACAAAAGTTACACAAAAATACGGTTGCAGAATTTAGAAATTAATTCATTACACGAACTACAATCAATAAATTAAGTCATCAATATAAACATCTATTTTTAACGTATAAACTCGAAAAAAAGCACTATAAGCATAATTGGTAAGTGTTTGTATAAACTATATAAAAAATTATACTAATGGCAAAACATTTTGTGCAAAAGCACCAACTAAATTTGGAACTGAGTCTGAATATGAACAGATAACGTAAAGACCAGAACCACATTGTTTGTTTGCACAACCAAGTTTGCTAGTAGATTTCCAAACCACAGCAGTGAAGTGTCCCGTAGCACTTGAGAATTGATTATTCCATGTGTAATCTTTGATTTCATCATACCAAGCATTTAATGCTGAAACACCATCTTTATAACCAACAGCTAAATTTTCTCCATATGGACCACCTGAATGACTTAAACTTCCTGAGCAATCATATTTGTTTGCATAGTTTTGAGCATAATTGGAAAGGGTTTGATCCCATGATAAAGCTGGTACACCATGTAATGCTCTTTTTTGATTATGTGCGTCTAATATTGATTGAGCAAATGAATCTAATCCTGATGATGAGGAAGTAGTAGTTGCTGCTGCTTTAGTTGATGATGTAGTAGTTGGTTGTTGTTTTGAAGTTGTTTTTGCTAAAGTAGGTTGTGGAGCAACAGTAGTTTCTCCTAATGAGGTGGAGCTTGGAGCAACAGTAGTTTCTTCTTGTGAGGTAGCACTTTCTGCTTCAATGGTTGGTTGTATTTGTGATGAAGTTAAAGTAGTTGCAACAGAAGCAATTGGAGCAACAGTTTCAGCAGCTGATTCTGAAGCAACGTTGTCATCACCAAGGGTTGAAGTCAATAAAGTAGTTGGATTAGCTTGGACTAATAAAGTTTTTGTACTAAATGAATCACCACTTTGAACAATAACATGTTCATTAAATAAATTAACAACAGCTCCTCCAAGTTGATTTAAGTTAACAACACTTGTGAAAACAATATCTTGACCTAAAACATTAGTAGAAAAAATCCAAGTTGATTCACTTGGAGCTGGAATTTCTGCAGTAGTTGCTGGTTCAGTAGCAACAGGAGCAACAGTTTCTTGACCTCCAAAAGTTACGGTAGCATATTTTGTAACTTGACGAGTTTGAGTAACATAAACATAATTAACATCAGCTAATGAAATACCAAATAAAGTGGTAGCAATGGTTGCAATATTTGAAAATTTCATAATTTAATTTTTTTTTTTTATTTTAGTACGCGTAATTATAAAGTTTATTAATTAATTTTTTAATGAAAGTTTTAAAAATGAATGAATGAATGAATGAAAGTTTTTGAATAAATTTTAATTTAAAGGAATGACTTAATAGTTGGAAATGATTAATTGTAATTTAGTTGAATGAAAAGGAATGGTAGATGTTATATACAGTTAATTAAATGAATGAAATAATAACTAAATGAATGAAAAGATCTTAATATTTGAAATGAAAGAATATTAATTAAAAAAATAATTTATTATTTATAAATGAAAAATTAGAATAAATTAAATCATATTTATATGAAATATAAAAGAAATTCTAATTTAAATTCCAATTAGTCGATTAATTGTAAATAATGTACCTTGTTGTTTGTTACAAATTAAAATTTGAATCTTATACGTCAAGAAAATTATCATCTGTAATTTTTTTGCGTATCATTTCTTAATTACTAAGTTTTAATTTTGTAGTAAGATTGTGTTTCATAATTTAATTAATTAAAAAGATAAAAATTATTTTGTGATTTGTTTTTATTTTTAAAAAAGGGGGATTTTAATTTTACGAAAACAGACGAATTGTCAACTTTAATACAACAACTTTGTAAAATTTGATTGTTACAATGGCGATTAAAGAGGAAATCTAGAGCAACCATTTTGACAAGTAGCTTCTCATTCAACATAAAATAGACTTGTTCTCTTTCCCACATGTTCAGAAGATTTCTTGATTTTGTTCAGAATTTATTATGTACCTTATTGCAAGCAGAAAAAATAAATTATTAAATTTTGATCTTAAATCTGATTTTGACTTTTCTTGCAATTTTTATTTACAATTGCATTATGTACTTGCTTATGTGGGAAAACTATAAAGTTTAACAATTAAACTATGATGTAATTCAATTAAAGTGGTTAGATCGATTTGATTCAAATTCTGTCTATATTGTTTGAACAGAAATCAAATTAGTCGATTCGATCTAATTTTTATTTTTTTTATTACTTTTTCTCGAATTCTCCGATTTTGTTTTTAGATCCCTCGTGTTTCGAGAAAATATGATTCAAAACAAAGTAGTTTCTTAGATCTTTAGGTCTCCTCACAACGACATTTCAATGATCATTAAATCACATATTAGTTTCTATAACTTGATTATAATATTGAGTTAGCATATGCGTAGAAAATATTTATTTCATGTAGTAGAGTAAATAATCTAGATCTTACAAAGTTTCAGAAATAAATGCTTAATTAACAACGCCAACAATTTAAAGTAAAAAAAATTATTATATTCATAATTATTAAATCATTCTTCAGGTACTATTTTATTATTTCAAACATCACTGAATATTACTAACATTTAAAATTAAGGTACATACAATACTTTAGCAGTATAGTAACAGAATGTTGAAGGAGTTTATTATAATATAGTTTTAGTTGGTCATGGAAAATTTTAGTCTGACAATTAATTAATAAAAGAAGATTTTACTATATTTGAATTATGACCTGCTGTATCTATGAGATCTGAACTTGATCGAATCTCTCTTAAAATATAATAATCGTAGAACTCTTGTAAGTAAGTTACCCCTCATTGTAAATTATCGTTTAATATTTGTTTAAGGTGAGAATTTTTCCGTTTTACTTTTTAAGATACACAAATATTCGTCTGTTGCAAATGTGAAACAAAAGTAGTGAATAAACGATTAACTGTACCGAATTGACAAATACCATCGCAGAGCTGTACCTAAAAGATAAATTGTTGGGTATTACATTGCCAATGAATACTGCCTGGCTTAATATCACAATCAAGGTATGCTTAAGCTCTAGTAAAGGTGACAGTCCTTTTTATTATATAAAGGCTTAATAGAACAACCTAACTCAGTCGTAGATTTCTTACAATACTTAACATTAATAGTAAAACTAAAAGGTAATGATACTAATACATTTTAATATAACAGAATTATACATGAAGAATTGAAACTTTGGGTCTTGAGCACCTAGAAAAACCAATAAAAGTAGGTTCATGCTCAGCTGAAGGTGAAACAGTTCTCTTTTTCTCGGATGATATGCATCCTAAAAAGGTACATTGAACAGATGTAACGAAACAAAGCAAAAAATTAGCTTGATTAAACTAAAGGCAAAACATTTTGAGCAAAAGCTCCCAGTAAATTTCCAGGTGATGAATAAGAACAAATCCAAAAATTACCAGATCTACCACAGCCCAATTTACTTGTAGATTTCCAGACCACTTGCAGAAAATGTCCAGTTGAACTTGAATATTGATGATTCCAACTGTAGTATTTAATCTCGGAATACCACATATTAACAACTGATGTTGCATCATTAAGACCAAGAGCTAAATTTTCTCCATATGGACCTCCTGAATGTTTAAAACCAATTTGATCAAATTGATTAGCGTAATTTTGAGCATAATTGTATAGGTTTTCATCCCATATTAATGGTGGTACTCCATGTAATGATCTCTTTTGATTGTGAGCATTTAAAATTTCTTGCGCAAATGATGGACCTGATTGTACAGGTGCTTGTTCTTGTTTCTGTTTTTGTTGTGGTTCTGGTTGTGCTTGAGGCGCTGGTTGTGGTTTAGGTTCTGGCTGAGGTTCCAACTGAGGTTGTGGTTGTAATTGGGGTTGAGGTTCTAGCTGAGGCTGCTCTTCTTCTATTGGGACAACAACTTCATGTATTTGAGTAATGACTGTAGCTTCAACAATTGGTTGAGGTGGTTGTGGTTGTTCAAAATCTGTTATTATTGCTGGTTGTGGTTCTTCAATAATTGGAGTTGGTTCAGGATTTTGAGTTGGTGTATCTTCTAGCAAAACTTCAGTAAAAATTGTACCTAAATCATTTATTATTGGAACTCTCAGTACTGTTACGTATTTTATTTCAGTAACTACGACTATAGCTGATTGAATTAGTGATATTAGTGAACCAAATAGTATGAAATCCTGCACTTTCATTATATCTTCAATTGTGTACTTTCTGATGTATGTTATTTAAATTTTGCATTGTTTGAAAGCAGAAATTGCGTTCATATTATATAATACCAAGATTTGCCAAAAATTAAACCATTTTCCTAGCAGCATAGTAAATAGTACCATAGCTTCATAAAAAATAATGTTTGTAAACAAAATAAATAATATTGGACAAGAAATTTATATAATATTTTATTTTATTTTAGCACTTTGTTGATAATTCAGATTAAAGCGGAAATAAGGTAATTGAGTTTGAATAAAAAAGTTCTAATTGACTATTCAGTTTAGATGCGTTTTTGAATTGTAACATGGTCTACTATTGATGATTTGGTTGTAGTCTAAAAAATGGTTGCAAATTTGTACTTTATATTTTTAGTGAAGTTTTAGAACTGACTTTGTTTGTTTTGCGTATAAATTAACTCACGTGAATTTTGTGTATGTTTTGTAAATTTTTCTTGTATTAAGACGCGTTGTGTACTATCAAAGTATTTAAGTATACAAATATGACATAAAGAATCGTCAGCAAAACAATTCTGTATGTGACTCTTAGCCTCTTGAAGTGGTAGCTAAGATTTAGGAAGTTTCAAATAACATGTTGTATCAGCAGGTTCTCGTTAAAGTTTGTGATAATTGTATTAAAACAAATGTGATGGTAGTTGTTTAGCTCTTTCAGGGAATACTCAGTCTGTTTGTTTTGAACTAATATAACGTGTTGCAAGTTCCTGTTGAAATTTAGCGGGAAAAGAAGCTAAAGCTAAAGCTGATAATGAAGCGACTGAAAGTTCTGAAAACTCTGAAGATTTTAAAACTTCCATTTCTACTGATTCTGAAATATCAATCGTGGAATACAGTGAGAACTCGAAGAATATATGTAAATGTAGTAAAAAAACAATTCAATAATATGACTAAAATCTTTGGCGTTTATTGATCAATTTTCTAAATAATCATCAATGTTTGGATAAATAATTTCATAAGGTTCAATTTCATCATTCTCAAATCCATCTTCAACATATTTACTCCAATTTGTTAAAAATTTAATATTAGATTCATTCATTAGTTGTAAATCTCCAATAATACATAGCTGACGTTTAGATCTTGTTATGGCAACATTCAATCTTCTTTCTTCATTTAAAAACCCAATTTCTTTTGTATCATTTGATCTAACCAAAGTTAATATAATTACTTCTTTTTCTCTACCTTGAAATCCATCAACTGTACTTATTTCTATTGTGGGGTCTATTTGTTTTTTTAGTAGTTGAACTTGTGCGGAGTAGGGAGCTATTATTCCAATATCTTTCGGCTCTACTCCTAACTCTAATAATTTATTCACATGACTTTTAACTATTAGTATTTCCATTTCATTGTATTTTGAGTCACCAATTGAATCCATTATTTGTTCTGGAAAATCACCACCTTGAGTATCATACCATATACATTTTAAGTTCGAGTCATCAGTTACTTTAACATTAGGCAAATCTGATAATGTTATACTCTTGACTGAATTGTCACTGATTAATTTATTTTCGTATAGTTGCATACTTGGGAACTTCATTATACTGTCGTTCATTCTATACTGAACATTTAATAATTTTTTTACTTGATTTCCTTTTAGTTGTGTGATTATTCGATCAAATAATGTATTCCCCAAAATTGAATCTTTATTCATTAAGGTTGGAGGCAATTGCATATTATCACCTGCTATAACTAATCTCTTGAAGTTATTATTTATTAGTAAAGGGATCCAGCATTGTGGTTCTAATGATTGTGAAACTTCATCTATAATAATTGTATCGAATTTGACCTGACTCTGCTTTAGCACATATGAACCAGCACCGTGTAACGTTGAACATATAACTTTTGCACCATTTAGTAGTTCATGTGTAATTTTCTTCTCTCTTTGAATCAATTCCTTCTTCAATAATTTCAATTCTCCGTACAAGGCTTTTCTTTCAGCATATCTTTTAGTCTTTTTAATTTTCCCCAAAGTTGATTGAATATCTTTTTCAAGATCTTGTATTACTTCTTTACCATAAGATTTTGATAATACGTCTAAAGAATGCTGCAAATTAATAGGTAACAATCTAGCTGGATGACCAAGTCTAATCAATTCATTCGGTTTGTAATTTTTCCCTAATCTTTCTAGTATTGTATCAACTGATATATTTGATGGTCCACAAACCAAAATTTTCTCTCCCTTTTTTGTGAGTTGTTGAATTAATTCTATTATTGTCATTGTTTTGCCTGTTCCTGGTGGGCCAAATATTATGGAGATGTTGGACTTGTTGATTGCAAAATTGATGGCATCTTTTTGAGATTGATTCAAACCAGGATTGAAAAAATCAGTTTTTGGATTAGAATTTTCCCGTATATTGAATTTGGACTCACCTAGTAAGATTCTATGAATATCATTTTTATCACCTTCTTTTAGCTCCAAAACTTTATTCATTGTTGTAATCATTCTTTTATAAGTAATAGAATTTGCCAATTTGACAATCCACAATTTTGAAGTATCATTTGTATTGTTGTAAATTGATAGTATTTTCTCATCATCGATTGAACCTTCAACTGATAATATAACTTGCTGATTCGTAACTTTAATAACTACCGCTTCAATTGCTAATTCTTCTTGGTCATCTTTGGGTTTTTTCTTGGATTCTTTAATCATTTTCGCTATTTTCACAATATCTCCTGTTTTCATAGTACTTGTATCAATCTCCCCATTTGATATAGATTTATCTAGTTGTAATTCTATAATTGTTTTACCACCTATTCCCGTTCTAATATTACTTACAACCAAATTTAATATAGCATAACCCAATTGTGCTAATTTCTTTGGTGGGTATGAGTCTAAGTATTTAGTAGTTTGAGTGACATCTTCTTCTTGTTCTTTTAGAATTTCGTCTTTGAATTTATTAAATAAACTCATGAAGTAGTCGTAAAAAACAGAGTTTTAAAAATGTTTGAATCAATTTTCTTTGAAATTTTTCATAATACAACACTTTTTGACGTGTAGCTATTTTAAAAATTTCAGGCATCTCTTTGATTCGGTATACACTACATTTCATTACTTTTCGATCCTTCTGATTAATATTCAATCAATTTTAGTTCATGAATTTAATGATAATGATCTTTGTCTGGTTGTAAATGTATAGATGAAATTAAATTTTTATGCAGGAACATTTAAAGGAAGTTTTATCAATCAACAACAGAAGAGTAGTGAAGAGCAGGATCTAATAAATTGACTTTTACGGTTAAAGCTTTAAATAATGCAAGAATTAAATTGTATGTACCTCAATTAAATTTACCCAAACCTATGAAAATGTTCCCACTCCTCGAAATGAACTTCAATATTACCACCGACACTTATCTTCACTTCGAGCTCACTTTTTATGTAAATAATCATCAGCATCTCTTCCGGTCTGTTCTTTCAAAATCTTATCACCTTGTAATTTCAAATTATCCAATATCAAGTTTCTTTGTTTAAAATATCCTGAAAATTTCAACACTGAAACTAATTTATCATAACAAATTTCACCGAAATGTAAATAATTACCAAACCATCTTCTTATATCTATTGAATTAAAATGCAGTGTATCAAATTGTAATCCTGTATTTCTATGAATTCCTGCTAATATTATTGATATTAAAACTAAATCTATTCCGTAATGGGTCAATCTACCTAACTGTTGCAAAATTTGTTAGTAGGCTAGTCTTGATTATCATCGTACTCTACAAATTATACGTACACTCATATTCTCTGGTTGTGTGTTATGAATAAGTGATAGGATACTTGAAATTAACCAAAATAAAGTGAAACGATTAAAAGTAAATAATTTTTGTGTCACAAAGTTACTATTTCTTCATGAGTTAGAGACAGTCTGACTTTCTCAAAACACAATAGTCTCTCAATGATAATAATAGGATTCTAGAAAAATGTTATAAAAACAAAGGACTTAAATGTCTCTTAACAGAAACAAGTTTAGTTACTACACTTGTTTGCATCGGTGAGAAGTTGTTTATTTTCTTTACATAATCAAAACTCTATAAATTATCACAAACTATTTAATTTCGTCATGAATTCTTTTTAAATTATTTCTAAAATCAAAGTTCGACCAGGTTTCAATTCTTTTGCTATCAGCTACACCAAATCTAGTTGTTATTTCATTAAAATTTAATTTTAACTGGTCATTAAAAATGTTTTCATTATCGTCAGTCTTCTCCTCATTAAGTTCATTACTTAATAATTGCAAATCACTTAATATACCAAATCTTGTAATTAATAAGTCCGAACCTTGATCAATACTTTGTATCTTATATATTAAGCTTAATATTGTTGTTCTTAATTTCATATTTATGATTTTCGAATTTAATAAATTTAAAACAGATTCAATGAAAAACTTATTCAAGACAACTAAATCATCTTTGGTTTTCAATCCTTGTGTAACAACTTCAATTAACCAAGTAAGTTCTCTATAGTAAAATTCGGTATCAACTGCTTTGAATATAAGATTATATAAAGGTATATCAAATTTATTCAATTTTGGATGTGATAATAAGTAACGACAAGCTTTTTCGTATAAGAAATGACCAGGATTTGATATAATTGGGATAAATTGTGAGTAAATGAACCATGTTAAATCTGATAACTTGTAGTCCTGCTGTAATGTAAAACATATGATTGATAAATAAACTTTGAAAATGTTTTTGTCCTTAAAGAATTGATTTGAGTCATTATCTAATGAAAGTAGAATTTTATTGAGTATGATACTTGTTATTGATTGATACTGATTTGATAAATTTGACACTATAAATTGTAAAATTCCTGTATCTATAAGATTTTTGATGTTGAAAGTTGTTGTAGTGGTGCCATCTTCCAATTTGTTAAATTTCAAAAGTTCCTCATTGTTCAAAATTATCATGATTAAAAACTCAAAGTCATAGGTTAATGTAGATGGATTTTGAATCTCTAGTAATCCAATTTGACTCCATAGCTCTTTACCACTTTTTAAAGGTGGGAGTACTAACTCCTCTTCATTCAAACTATTTTGAATGATCCCCTTATTTAAAGTGACAATAAATTGATTATTTTTCTTGGTAATTAAATTATCCATTTGAAACAAATCATTATTTAAACTCAATTCACTAAATTCCCAATTTGATACTTTTAAAATCCAAGATTTTGAAATCTTTGATTCGATTTTTTTCAATATGGTTTTAATAATTTGATCTTCTATGTTATTTAATCCTTGATATTTTTCTAATAAATTCTCCAAATTTGATAAAGTTGATAATTTTTGATGATCAAAATTAAACAATATGTATATTATAAATGATGAATAGTACTTTAAGGTCTTGTTGTTTACAGTTGGTAATTCGTTCAAACTTTTTAAACTAGTTAATGAAATTTGGAATAATTTCTCATAATCAATTTTCTTTCTAGGCGCTATAATTGATAACTTTATGATGTATTTCAAATATTTTTCGTCTTGTATGAATTTTGATCTAAAAATAACTTCAATTTGAGTATTCAAAACACTTGACGGCACTAAATCCCACATTTTGGAATCCAAAACATAATCACCAAAACTTAACAAAAATTCATTAAATTTCGAAGTTAATGAATCTAATTCTGCAAATGATTTTGTAATATATAATACAGATTTATGTAACCAATTAGTGAGTTTTTGTTCTGGAACTTTAGCAATATATTTAATAAAGATAGCGTTCAATGTTTGTTTGAAATCAATTTGCTCCAACACTTGTTCTTCTAATTTATTTTCTTGGGATGATAATATCACTAATACTTGATTCCAATTTGTAACATCCTTATTTTTCAATTGTTTTTCAATAATTGATAAAACTGAATTCACAAAGTTTTGTGGCATTTCTAAATCTTGTTGTATCATTGAAGCAGCAATCAAACAATTAAGATTGTCATTTTGTATATTTTTATCCAATAATTGAGTTGCAACGTTGTGGTATCTATTAATAATATCAGGCAAGATAGTTAAGTTTTTAGTTTTCATTAATTCATCAACCACTTGGTTTAATTCATTATCCGTAAACTCTATTAAATTTAATTTTATAATTTCTGAAGTTAATTCGTTATTGTTTGCTTTAATTAATCTCCAAAACTGATCAAAATTGACTGTTAATTTTCTTTTCATGAACTCTACCGTAATTGCTTCATTATCAACATCTTTTAACAGAATTATCTGCTCATCACTTAAAGTCCAAAAATATTTATCATATGCATTATTTGAAGGTTGGTTTTGAATTTGTTCACATACAAACGAAGCTAAATATTTAGTATTGACTTTTGGCAAATTTTTGAGGATTTCATTATAGGATTCACTCTTGTTATTATTTAACATGCTCTTCCACACAAGCTCTGTCGTGAAGTAATCCAATGTTTTTTGGTTACTGCTTATTAAATAGTCCCATATCATAGGAAAGAGAGTATTATTTAAGTCATTAGTTTGTTGCAACAAATATATTACTGCTAAAAAATCAACATCTGATGTAATAATTTTGTCTTTTAAAGCTTTAATGATTTTTGAGATTTGTGATTTGGTTGAATAGTTGAAGGCAATATCTAAAATAAATTGTGAACTTGATGCAGTCTCTGTAGTTGATGAGCTATCCAATGCTTTCTCATTTATTGTTTTATACAATTTTTGCAACTCTTCTTTACCATTTCCAAATATCGTCAAGTATTTGAAAAATTTTCGTAACCAATAGATATTGTCTTCATTTTGTTCAATAAATTTAAATTGTTCGACTAATGCAACGACAAAGATACTTAAGTCATTGTATTCTGAATGTGCAATATCAAGGTACTTATATGGAGTTCTGATGCACCTTGCAATAGTTTCATCAATCATATTCCAGAATTTGGGGGACATTTGTGAGTTGATTGAGTAAATTAATGAAAGTATTGGAGTTATTAATAAGTTGTCATTAAAGAACATTTTATCTTTTGTTAATTTATTTAAGAGCTGGTAGATTTTGGTAATGTAGTTAGTGGAAATATTGTTGTTGGTTGTTAATTTGATCAATGTTGTGAAAAATGAATTTTGGCCATTTATCTTGTTCCACCATTTGAAATCTTGGTTTTGTAAACTCATGTATATGTCTAGTATGGACAAGTCATATGTATTCAATTCTGGTTTCGATACTATGTCTGTTACCCCTGTTGATATTAATTTTTGTAATGATGTGTTACTTACTGAATTTGGTTTTAGGTTTTCATACTTATTAATAATTGTTAATGCAGTTAATTGAATGATCTTGGATGATGGGTTTTTGGTGATTGCTTGAGCGATTGAAGATAAATCTGGAAGTGAATTGAAAACACTCGAGATTAATTCTTGTCTAACATTGACAATGTTTAAAATTTTCTCCAATCTGATTAACATGTATAAAATCAACTGTAAAGTTAATTGTACAATTAATCCTTTATCTGAAATTAATCCAGCGACTGAAACCCCCTTCAGTGTTGGTGCAAATACAATACTTTCCGTGATCAATTTTGCATCAAATTTGTAGAATTCTAGATTCATTTCAAATTGTGGTAAAGATATTTGTAAAACATTTGAGTATAATAAGGTATGAGAAATCCACCATGAAGTTAAAGAAGGATCATTATATCCACCACCATGTTGAACTAAATAATTCATATATGGAGGTATTAATTCTTGACAACTAGATAAAATTTTAACAATGAATTGAATTTCTTTATTTGCATTTGTGGGTTTTAAAGTTGTAAGTAATGTGTATAACAATTTATTTGCAATTTTGAATGTTTTGTTATTTATTACTATTTCAACTCCAATATTTGAATTTTCATTCCATAATTCTTCATTTGGGAAAACTAAACCATTTTTGTAATCCGTCGTTAATTTGGTCATGAACTCCATGAAAAATGGTTCTTTTATTTTGGTGAGTAAAATTTGTACTTTGTACATAAAATTGTCATTCAATATTTTACATTTTTGAGCTTTCTTAAAATTACTTTCATCCAAAACCTTAGTACTCAAGAAGTTAAATAAATTTTCTGAAGTTGGTTCTGTATCATATTCAACATATTTCCAGATATTTCTTATAATTTTAAAATTCAGTAATAAATCCAATCTATTTATATAATTTGATAATGAACATAAGTTAATATAAAATTTTAAAAAACTACTTCTTATTGAATAAACATCATTTGTTTCATTTTCAATTTCGATTTTAGTTGGTACTAATAATTTTGGTAATACCGGCAATGAAAAATCAAATTGATTTATAAATTCAACACTTATTATGTAGTCATATGATATTAAATTATTTAACAATCTGATTGTTGGATTTGTTGATGATGGTTTGAGACTCGTTAATGCACGGTAAATGGTTTTTGAATAGTTTATTAGTATATCCTTATATGTGTCTATTATAATTTGTTTCTGCGATAACAATGAGTTCTTTGATTCATTAATTTTATATAGTATATTATTTATCTTATTTGTAGTTTCAACAAATTCTTGATGATTATTTGTAGATGAATAATAAGACCAAATAGGTAATAATTTTCCTAAATTACCATAGTCTATAAATTGTGATAATTTTTGAAGATCGTTCGATTCTATTACTTGATTTAGTTTGTCTATTAGTTGATAGTCGACATTGACTGATGAGTAAGTTTTCCTTTTTTTATTATCAGACATTCTAGATGTCTTTAATATTTGGCTGCTAAACAGTTTCATGGATCAAAAAAAATTGTAAATACAAAAGAGATGCACTATCAAAAATTCGGTAGCGTGAAATTTGTGCTTCAATTTTGCAGCATAATTTCAGTTGAAGAATAGGAGAATGATATGATAGGACCATTGTGTCAGTTTTCAATTCCTTTCAGATTAAATCCATAGTATTATCAGGCTCAAAGTCGGGTTTGTAAATCATTGAAAGAATTTTTGTATTGCAGTAATTCACATCTTAGTTTTAGATTCTTTGAATTCATGAAAGCCGTGAAATGATCCAATCAAAATATACAATACGGAACATTAGACTATCTTTATACGATATACCTTAGTGACAGATTAAATTTACCTAAATAAAATCTGTGCCTTGGTCGAAACTGTTGTTTCGTATGGAGTTTTTAGTGTAAAATTGAGATTTCGATATTTCGTGTTTCAAATGAGCATTGATTTTAATTCAATAAATTCACGAAAAAAAGCTTCAAAAGTGCTTACAGTAGAAGCACATTTACTTTGAGACTAAAACGAGTGCTGACGAAACAAACTTCGCTCCATTCAAATTTTCAATATTTCAATTCTTGTTGCAAACGATCAAAGAGTACGAGTGAAATTTTTCGACAAAAATTAACTATGTAAACGCTAACAAAACAATGATAATTTTTATACATTAGCTATCGACTGAGTTTTGTAGCTAGACCTACCGAACTACCATAGTATTTTTTTCAATAAGTGAAAAACTAAGCATCGTAAGTCTCAGGGCATGTAAATCAAAATCTGAGCAACAATATTTACTTTTGTCAGGATCCAACTTTTTTACATACTAAATTCGCCTTTTTTACATTAAAATGAAGAAAAGCCACGGTTAGCCGCCTAAAAATTAAGTATGGATTTTTTTACAATTGAGTCAGCGAATGATCAGGGTCTTTAATTTCACATTCACAGACATCATTCGAAGCTATGTGAACAGGGCTATCAAATGAGACCAGATTTGAGGGATAACCGAAGAATCTACACTATAAAGTATCGAATCGAAGTTTACAAAATTTGTTAGCATTTACATACAAAAAGCTTATTTTTTCTCTGTCCGACTTCTACTCTGTCCGACTTCTACTCCTAGTGACCATAGTTAACAAGACCTTTTAAATTTTTGCAACCCTAATTATCAAGGTTCACTCAGCCCATTTAAAAAGTAGCTCACTTAAAACTAGATAAAAAAGTGAATGTAATTTGTATGACAACTTTTAGTAGGTCTTTAACAAAATTTGGTTCAAATTCAAGTTTTTAAATTCTGAGTTGCTCATGCTTGGTCACTTCAAATTTTGCGTATTCCTGAATTTTGACAGCACAATAATCTTTATAATATAGCTTGTGTCAGATAAGAATTGATTAATTATTACAAAACTTAGATTATTGACGTTGACTGCATTTATTATAGCTTTACTGCTCTTAATTTTTATGGATTATGGAAAATTACAAAATTTTGCATCAAAATCTTTCAATTTGACAAGGATCAAAAGTACATTTAAAAATTAATAAGAGATACTTAAAAAACTGATTAGTACGGATGTAGCTCAAACATAATACAACTTTTACTTTACATTAATCAAACTAAGCCTTAGACTTATCTATTCTACATGTACATAATGTTGTAAAACTTCCCCACCTATAATATTCGGTACGTGGTGAGACAATATTGATACGAAATCAAAACAATTTTAAAACGTTTGGTCGAGATAAGTACATATCTAAATTATCTGCAACAACACTAATCAATAGGTATTAATTATTATACCATACTTTATTTCCTCCGCATAGATCTCCACAACAAATATAAATCAGCTGGGGATAGAAACATGCATGATTGTAGAAATTCAATAGGAAGGTTTTCGAAAAGTAAAGATACTTCGGATTTCAAAAGGACTTATGATTATGATTTTTTGAAAAGCCTAGCAGGCGTTTAAATAAACTTTTTGGATTCTAGCTTAATGACTCGAGAAATTAAATTTAAAAGTAACAAATAAAGATCCCGATCTAAACAATTTGAGATTTTCAAAATTAAAGATTTGCAATCTACAAAAAATAAAAACAATTTTATAAAACCCCTGTTTTTCTAGAAAAGTTTAAATTTCTCAATACTAATTCATAGTTCGTAATCAATTTAAATTCTCTTATCGCTTGTAATTTGTTAGCATGAAAAAACTTGAAAATTTCATCTCTATCTCGAGATAAAGTTTTATAAAACAATAACAAAACTTAGACAAAGATCTGAGATTATAATAATTAGTAAAGTGCCTTAAAATTCCAAAGATAAACAAAAAAACCCACAAACTAAAACAAAAAGTAAGAAATGTTACATTATCATGATATTCGAAGCTTAAAAGAAATATAGCAATCTAAATGCCGAACTTTTAACATAACCTACTGATTGAAATCTTGGGGAAAATTCCAGGAAGAAATATTTCAAGGAAATTATATAATAATTAGTAAAATCCGAGACAATGCTATCATTCTCGTAATGTTTACTGTTTCTAATTGATTATTATTACCTATTTGGATTATTGGTTTGAAACACACGTTATTAAATTTAACCAGTATTGCTTTTTTTAGATGAAGCAAAGTCCGTGACTTCTGATTTATTGTCGGCTAATTTGAAAGAACTGCGGAACTGTAATTTATTGTATTTATTATGTATTTCGTTCGGTTGTTAAAAATTAGTGGTAAAAGAAATTATTTGTCATTGATTTTAATTTCTGGACATGTCTGAAAAACTTAAGCGATTACATAATAAAAAATAATTTTAAGGGGGTGATAATTCTTTATAGATTCTTAGTAGAGCTAAGCCTACGAAAAATTTTCTTCATGGAATTAGATTCTTAGAAAAAATTTCTCTTCAAATTACCATTCATAGAAAGTCAAAATTTGTAGTAAAGTATTAATCACTATTTTTAAATTAATTAATAGACACAACTAATGGAATTGGTGTAATAAATAATAAATTATTCAATCGAACTTTCCGCACATAGCAATACACAAAATTAATTGCTCGTACTAAAATTAAAATTATCAATTCCACTTTGCTGAAAAAGAAATTTTGACAGCTTTATCCCCATGGTGTAAAACTAGAACAAGATCTCACTTTCCGTAGAATTTTCTTGACTAGATTGCATAGTTGATCTGGTTATGGTAGTTGATGACCAAGTACCTAGAAAAAAAAGGAGTAAACGGCAAAAATCTGTCAAAGTTGTGTCAAAATTATTATATTTTGTAAAGAAATTATTTGTATCATATTACATTATTTTACATGTACTTTTTTATTGTTAAAAACCAAGAAAATATTTTAACTGTGTGAGATAAATTTTTGATTTCTGATCAGGAGATTACATAAAAGTATGATAGAGTAGTAAAGTAAAATTAAACAAGTTAGGCACAATGTTAATGGTGATAGCAAATGACTTAAAAAATCACAGTCTTGTTTTAATGCTAAATATAATATTATATTATAATTTGTTAATAATATATCAAATACTTTACGAAAATTTAAATAAATGCAAAAAAAGAAGACCCTACCTAGAGGAAAAAGTAAAAAAGTAAAATAATATTTCAAGATAACCAACAAACACTATCTAGCAAAATAACAAAGTGATACAACATTAAATGTTACATAATAGTAATAAATAACATACGATACGAATTTTGGTTTTGGTACAAACTTCGTAATATTGTCAAACAATAATTCTGCTATTATCTAGTTAACCATTTAATTAGTTAACCATTTAATTGAACAAAATCAGAAACAATAACAGTATTACAAATTGAAAACTTGGCTTAAGCTTTATTCGTAAGTTATTATAACATTGTGAGTTATTGTTTGTACAAACAAATTAAACCCTCATCATCTATTGTATTTATTTATAAATAAATAATAATAGTAAGATCAATATTTTAATATTAAAATATTTATTATATTGTTACTCTTCACTATGATGTAATTTTACATCTTTTTTTTTTATTTTTCAATCTATTACTAATTTTCTTTAGTAAGAACAAATAGCACACAATTAATTTCATTTGAATTTGATTTGGTTTAGGTCTTAAAACAATAGCTAGTCCGATATCTTTATCAAATCAACAATACAATTAAATGTAAACAATTATATACCTATTCTATAATTAGAAATTTTAAATAATTTAATTGTTTTGATTTATTACAATTCTTCGAGCATTGATACGAAATTAAACTTTTTTTAAAAATCTCTAAACAGTATTGATAAAAGAAAGTTTAGTTATATTATAGTTATCTATTTTAATATAATTACATCATATATTGAATCTATTAAATATTATTTTCTTACATTTTATTTCTATACATAACTTATCTAATCTTTGCATTTCCTTTCATTTCCTGTAATAAATTCCTTTACACATGTCAGACGTTTCATAGTTGAATTAATTAACTGCAAATACAAATTTCTATATATAATACATTGATTTACTTACTTAACTGTAAGTATAAAATATTAAAAAAGTATCTTAACTAAAAAAGTTTAAATTGAAAACAGAAATATTTACGTGTACTTTTCAATTTTATTTTGGAGTAAGTACACTACTAACTAAAAATTTCTTATATGTACTAATTTATATGCAGTCCGGTATAATATTATTTTTATTTATTTTTAGTTTTTTATTTTTATTTTTTTATTTTTTTTTATTTTTCTATTTTGAGGGGAAATAAAATTTTATTATTTATTTTTATTTTATTTAAGTATTATTTATTTACTTACTAACTTACGTACTTATAATAGTTAATAAATTAATTATAATATAAAGTACAAAATAAATCTCTTACTTTTTAATACAGTTTTAATTTTTATACAACCAAATTTATCATTAAATTTTTACAACAACTTTTTTTCATTAATTTATTTTAAAATTTCAATTCAATTTCATTAATAATCATACTTGTAATTATTAAAATTGTATTAATTAATCAATTAATTAATTAACTTTAAACATCAATTTTTGTAATAATAATAATAAATAATTGTACAATTATATAATAAAGTTTCAGTATTTTGCCAAATTATTATTTAAAAAAATCTTGATTTTTGAATTATTTACAACATCAATTTTATTTCAACGATTCATATATTATTAGATTAACAATTATATTTTGTATCACATTAATCACTAAATAAATCACTAACTGACTTTTAAGATTAATCAACCTACAAGTTAAAAATCATAACAACTACAAAAATAAATCTTTAATATCGATTTAATATTATAATATAATTACTATGCCAATAGTAGAGGTATGTATATTTTTACTTTTTTTCTAATGATTTCATATGAAATAGAATTAATTAATTAATTAATAATATCAAATCATCATATACAAAACAAACTCAATAATTTTAATAAATTCATAAATTAATTCATATACGAATAATTAAGTATTAGAATACAATTCAAAAGTTTATTTAAAGATTCCACAAATCTCATTACTTCAATAGATTAGAGATACAATCTTTACTTATTAGTAAATAGAGCAAGTGCATTTGTTATTTGAACTTGAAAATGAAGCAGTGAGTTCAAAGATTATTATATACAAGAACATGCAGTACATTAAAAGTTGGGTCATTAAATCAGCAGTTAAGAACTAAAACATAGATGAACTTCAATTGTTTTACTTACTTTAAAATATCATCATTATGTTGAATGTATTAAAAATTGAAAATAATTAGCAATTCAGAAAATTTATTAGTGAGATTTCAATTTTGTGTTTTAAAAGTAAATTTTTTGACTTCCCGAAGAAATTACACGACCATTTTTATTAATAGGAGAGGAAAAGAAATTCTGATTAAAAATTAAATTTAATTCGTGTGAAGATAAGAATATTATTATATAACTCAGAATTTGTATTAAATTATTGATTGTTATTATGCATAAAATGGTAACTTAAAAAATTTATTATTAAAGGTCTTCGGTAATAAATAATAATTTATTAAAATTTCCAGAAATAGATTTTATATTATTGATTTTCAGTTACGAATTTTTAATAAAAACACAAGACTTTTTTATTTTAATATTGATTCAAACAAAAGATAAAAAAGAAAAAATTTTATTGATAAAGTTTTGTTTCATATTGAAATTTTGAATATTATATAATCAGATAATTTTCTGTTCTATTTTAATTTTCAAACAAAATTTTTGATGATTTATAGATATTATTATTAATTAATTATTTAATTTCAATTTTGATAATTCATATATACTAACTATTATTCCTTCCTTTTTAATAGAATTTCAAAAAATTATTTAATAATAATAATAATAGTAATCCAACAACTGCCATAACGAAAACTAACATTACATCACATTCATTAGATAAAAAAAATCAACCCCCTTATCATTCATCACCAGATTTTTTTGATTTAAAACAATCAAGTAGTACTGAAGATAGTATATTATCATCAATAATATCCAATGATAATAATATTAACAACGACAATATGATAAATAATAAATATACATTATCGGATCCAATTAATATTACGAATTCAACAACCACCACTACTCCTATCAAGAAGAATATTTCAACTGCATCATTTACATTTGATTCATCATTAAATGAACTATATCCAGATTTACCAAATCAATATAAATTAATTTGTGTTTTAGGAGAAGGTGCATTTTCTACAGTTTATACAGCTATTGATTTAAATCAAAATAAAATTGTTGCAATAAAAATTATAAGTAAATCACATTTAACTTCAAAACAATTTCAAAATATTAAAAATGAAATTAAAATCATGAGAAAAATTCATCATCCAAATGTTTTACAATTACAATGTTCATTTGATACTCAAGATCACTGTTTTTTAATTTTAGAATATTGTAATGGAGGAGAAATTTTTAATAAAATTATTGAATATACTTATTTTTCAGAAATATTATCAAAACATATTTTCAAACAATTACTTTCTGCTATTGATAATTTACATAGAATGAATATTGTTCATCGTGATATAAAACCTGAAAATTTATTATTTAAAAAGATTCCATATTTCCCAAGATCAAATGAAGAATTCAAAACCACTTTAAGAAAATCAGATGATGATGGTAAACAAGATGAAGGAGAATTTAAAACTCATATTGGTGGTGGTACCATAGGTACTATAAAATTAGCTGATTTTGGATTAGCAAAACAATTAATAGATGATGATCAATTTAAGGTTGCATTAAAAACTCCTTGTGGTACTGCTGGTTATACTGCTCCAGAAGTTATAACTTGTAACGCTAAAAATTACTCCAAAAAAAGTAAAAATCAATATTCAAAAGCTGTTGATATTTGGTCTTTGGGTTGTTTCTTGTATACTATATTATGTGGGTTCCCACCTTTTTATGATGATGATTCTCAAGATGTTACAATGAAAATCATTCGTGGTGAATTTGTATTTTTGCAACCTTGGTGGGATGAAATTAGTGATGATGCAAAAGATTTAATTACCAAGATGTTGAATGTAAATCCAGAAAAGAGAATTACTATAGAAGAAATCTGGAATCATTCATGGTTGAAAGATGAACAAGAAACTGAAGCAACAAGTTACTTCCAACAAAGTTATGAAGTTGATCATATTGAAGATATTAATAATGATAATTTAGTTATTCCAATGTCAAATCAACCTTTATTATCACCAAGAGCTCGTGCTATAAAAACAGTTTTTGATAATCCAGCAATGTTAGGAGAAACTTTTAAAGAATCATCATCGCAATTTATAGAGAATATTGAAGAAGAAGATGATAAGGATCTGGAAAGTGAAGAAGATGAAGACGAGGATGACGATGATGGAATTAATGTTGGTGGAGATCACTCAACTTTTGTTCGTACTCCATTTCCAAAAGAATTTAATCTTCAAAATATTTTCAATGTTGATAAATCACAAATCAAAGTTCATGAAGAAGAAGATGATATTTATGATGATGAAGTTAGTGAATTAGATGATGAAATTGCAAGTTTACAATTAACACCAAAATTAATTACAAGATCAAGAAATAATAGTTTAGCAAGTTCAACAAAAACTTTACAATTTCCATCAACAAAATTATTAAATGATGATATAGATGAAGAAGATTATTCAACAACAAATTCAAATTCTGATAATGAAATTTCAGAATATCAAACAAGATCATCATCAATAATAAGTGGTATTAATGGTGATTATAAATTTACAATGAATTTAAATGATTCAAATTTATTATCAAGAAGAAAATCATCTATAAAAAGATCAAGAAGTACATCATGTGGTAATAACAATTCCACAAATACAACAACTCCATCAACTATTTTAAGTAATGTTGGTACAAGTTCAGGACAGATTCATACAGTTAATGAAATAGAAGGTAAATAAAAGCTTTAAAGTGATTACTATTTTTTTTTTCATACATTTTTTATTCAATTTATTTACTCGGGGAATTATTATATAAATATATATATTTAAGTGGATATTTTAACTATCCATATTGCATCAATCACACATTTTGATTGTGTATTATAAAAATTAGGAAATAGGTTTTATAGGTTTTCAATTCTAAATCAATTACGTTTAATTATCATTTGTAAGAAATATCTCTCATTACATTAAAACATCTACTTAAAAAACCTTCTATATACACAAACAAACAAACCATCCTTAATCTCTATTTGGTTTAACATCAGCAACTTTAACATCAATTACTTCATCATTTTCAGGAATTAAAGCACCTTCTTTTTCTAAAAATTCACTTAATTCACCATTTTGAGCCATACTTAAAATAATATCACAACCACCAACAAATTCTCCATTAACATATAATTGAGGTATAGTAGGCCAAGAACTAAATTCTTTTATACCATCTCTTAATTCAGGATCTTCTAATACATTATAAGCAGCAAATTTTTGTGGATCAACTCCTTGTTGACCTAATGTTTGAATTGTTGCTTTTGAAAATCCACATTGGGGGAATTCTGGTGTTCCTTTCATAAATAATACTACTGGTGTTGTATTTATTGCTGTACTTATTGCTTCTTTTATTTCTTGACTTATGAATCTTGTTTGTTGAAGATTCTTAAAAATAAGTTAGTATTTGAAAATTTGAATTTGATAACTTTGAGTGGGATACTTACTAGTCTAGAACTAAGCCTAGTATTAAATAATGCTCTTTTAAACATTTCTGAATAGGTTGGGTATTGATTGGATTAGTAATATTTGATCAATAGTGTTTGATATTATGATAATGATTTTCTTAGAATATCAAATTTGGTAGTGTAAGATGGTCAAATATTTTATGTAATCAAATTTTAGTTACATTTTATTTGATAATTGTGAAACACTTTTTTTACAACCAAATTAATATTTCACCAACAATCAACATGCTTCTCATTAAATTACGAAGTTGTCATTGATCCATTGTCTACCAGAGAGAGATGAATTTGTTTTCTTTAAAGCTGCCTCCAAATATTGTCAAGGCTAATACAATGATAATTGTCAAAAAGATTCTATAGATCTTTACAACAGATCTTGAATCCTATACTGGCGTACCAGAATAACATTAATTGCCATCAATCTTACTAGATCTGATTATTATAGGCGTTACAAATAATTGCTTATTATAAATATTTCGTTTTACACCAAGATTTTTCAATTCAACTTGTCAATCAACTTCTTTCTCAAAACAATTTAAAAATGTTAATAGCTCAATTAATATTATCATTTACTATCTTATCATCCATAAAAGCATATTATGTCCCAGCAAATGGAGATGATTGGACACAATTCAAACCAAAAGCAAATTATTTACCAGGATGTTTTACAAGTTTACCTTTTAAATTTGGAATTGTAGTAAATCCATATATTTTAAATAATGAAGGAGAATTATTAGAACCTGAAATTACATCAATTACAAGAAGTTTAACAACAAGTTTTGTTACAAGTTATGTTACTGCTGCTCCAAAACCAACTAAAACTAAAGATATTATTTTACAACTTCAAGATGGTCAAGTTCAAAAAGTTAATGAAGAATTATGTGATGATAAAGAATTAAAAGATTTGAAAGGTAATGATTCTAATCGTTATAAAGGTAAGAATAAAGGTGGTGATTCAAATGGTTATTATTCTGATGATTCTGGTAGAGGTTTTGATGATTATGATAGACAAGATCAATTCAAAGGTGATAAAAATTACAAGAGTGAACCACATTATGATGATAGAGACAATGATCAACTTTATGATGATAGACATAATGGTAAACAATATCCGAATGATGACAGACAAAAAAAAGGTACTGGTAAACACAGAAAAGGTGATGATAGACAAAGTAATAATGATTACCGTGATGGACATTACGTCAAGAGAAATGTACATGATCTTGGAGGAGAATATAAAGATAAACCATATGATGAATCATCAAAACATTATCATGATAAACATTCACAAAATCATAATGTTGATGATTATGCATTTGAAGATACTAAAGATTTACATGATGAATATAATGATTATTACCCGGAAGAAGATCGAAAAAAATCTCATAAAAAGCGTCCTTCAAATCATCGTGGTAAATATGATTATTATGAAGATGATGAATTTCAATCTCCAGTTTATTCAGTAGCTTGTTATACTAGTGCAACATTAAGAATGTCATTACATGATTCAATATTAAGAGATTCAGATGATAGAATTGGATGTATTGTTTCAGGTCATCAATTTCAATTTGATGGTCCAACTCCACAACATGGTGCTGTCTATGCTGCTGGTTGGTCAGTTACAAAAGATGGTCAATTAGCTTTAGGTGATTGTACTAAATTTTGGCAATGTGCTTCTGGTCATTTTTATAACTTATATGATCAATCAATTGGTTTCCAATGTCATCCTGTTACTTTGGACGTTGTGGAATTAATTGAATGTTGAGGCAACTAGCATCAAATCTTGTTCTCTTTTTTTAATAGGTCTTCTTTAGTTTAACTAAATAAACAAGAAAAATTTCTCTAATTTTGGTGGATTGTAAATTAATTAATTAGTAATACATTAAAATTCTATAAAACTCTATTAAGCTAAAGGATCAAATAAATTTTGTAATTTTGTATTTCGAAATAATCTCATTCCCATTGTACTTCCATTTATAAAATCTCCATTATTTCTTGCTTTATTAAATTTAAAATCAATTTCACTTAAACTTTTATTCCAATTTCTTAATAACGTCCAAGTTAAAATAGCATAAACTAAACCAGCTAGAGAATCTATTCTCCAATGATGATCAAAATATAAATCTGCCCACCATTGACCTAAAACATTTATAATAGATAAAAGTTTAAACCATGACCATTTAGAATAATAACATACAAAAAAACAAATTAAACATGCAAATGCTGAATGTAAACTTGGAAATGAAGCAAATTTATGTGGTGTTGCATAATATATGGCTTTATGTAAAAAAATGGAGAATTTTTTATCTTCTGATGCTTGTCCATCACTGTATATCATATCGAAAGTAGGTACTTTATTATCTCCATAAATTTTAATAAACATTGGTGGGGCATTTGGGAATATTAGATAAGTCAATATTAATGCGAAATTTTGAAAACCTAAACAAAATGTAAAAACTTTAAATGCTCCTGGGGCATGCCATATATAAAGCCAAGTTCCAATCATTGGTGGTACAATAAAATGTACTGGGACATGAAATATCCATGCAATTATGTTTTTTGTTTTATAAATTGGTAATTTGAAATTATATAATATATTAAGGACCACCCAAGCACAACATAATAAAATTATGGGTATTTTATTCCATTTATTTGGTTTATATGTATCATTTAATGATTTAAAATTGTAGTAGTATTCAGTCGGTGAAGAACTAATAGGCGATTCAAAAATTTCATCTTCTTCTGTACAATTTAAGTCACTTGATGGTGATAATGTTGTAGAGCCGGAGGTAGATGTTGATGCTCTTGAACTTTGATTATTAAGTAATGTTGAAATTTGTAAAGGTTTTAATTGTAAGTAATTATGATTTGGTAAATTGAATAAATCGTCATCTAATTGTGGTGTATAATAAAAATTATTAATAAGGTAAGCCCCAAGACATGTTAAAATCAATCCACTAATAGAACCTATTGGTTGTTGCCAAATATCGAAAAAATATGGATCAAATCTATAAAGGAATTTATAAAATATTTGATTAGTTGGTCTTGGTATATAATTAACTGATGCTGTAAACAATATACATCCTAAAACAAATGCAAAATTAACTCCAAATTCTTTACTAAATTCTTTTAGCGTTCTTTCATTTAGTACGGCTTGTATTAATTTATTGTTTAAAAATGCTATAAAATTTAAAAATTTGATTGTGAATTGTAATAGTCGATAAAATATTCGTTTTATTATTGGATGTATAATTATTAGACTACGTCTTAGTAGTTGTTTTATCAGCATTATTATGTTGTGTTGTTTTGAATTTGAATTGATAGCTGGTTAATCTTGATGTTTCTTCATTTCTTTTTTTTCTCTAACATTTTGTTTATCTTTTTTTTTTTTCATAAGATATTTTTTAAACCTCGAGTAATTGTATGATTGCATGAAAATAACTAATTTAATTGATCATATACAATCAGATAATAATGAGATAGAACTAGAAATAAGTGATGGTAAGTCTTTGACAATAAAACCATTGCAGTCATGTTTCATATTAGTTGAGAATCGGTCTAATTTACAATCATTTTTGAAAAGAAATAAAAACGTATTTGATCAAAATTCATTAAATATTACAACTCAAAAATTAAAATCAACGGCAACAAAATTATCAGTTAAGTCAATAGGAGATTTACTCAATCAACTACGTGATATCTCAAATGGTGTCCATGGTATTCTAGATTTTCCTCAGCAATTGAAACTAATAAAGATCAATAATTTATCAGATTTTTATTGGGATCTACAAATATTGAATCAAAGAAATTTCTCAAATTTTGATTTAGATAAATTTTATTCAAGCAATGAAATATACAAAGAGCTTGGAATTTTGACGAAGAAAATTTATGAGAAATATAATTGCGCTATATTAGTTTGCAGCTATGATGTTTCATTTGAAAATGGTTTGAATTCAGATAAACCGTACTACTATAAATCTGAAATTCAAAGATACTCAAAATTACCTACTACATTTTTGGAGCTGTTTAGTCATTTCCTACATTTCTCAACTTCAATAGAAGAGTTTAAAAGAGATGAGAATAAATGGAATTTAGTGTGAAAATTCAAATTACATGAACACGGATATTATGTTCTGCAATCTAGTCCATCATAAATGAGTATTCACATATGTTATAGATGTCATTGTTTTGCACGTAATACTATTGATGATAGTGTAACAACATATATCAGAATTAGCATTGGCTATATTGAACTTTGAATACACGAGTAGACCGTCTTTTCATCAACCTGATTGAAATTTTACTACTCTGATAAAGGAGTGGTTTACTTAAACTCTTATCACTCTACACACATAGGATAAAGACATAAAATCTGATTAATTTTGATAGTTATACTTTTTAAGGTAGTTAAGGTAGTTTTGTACATGACTTTTGCTTCTGAAACAAGACTGCATATAATATATTCAACTTATATACATTTATTTAAAGATTAAGAATATTACTCTATAAAGCAGAGCTATACACTGTGTATTATATATTCTTTTTCCTAACTTTTGAAAAGGAGCACAGTCATAGTAAGATAAAAATTTTTGCTGACTCGAAATTTGTAACTAAACTAGAGATTGGTCCAAGTAATTCAGCACAAGTTTACAGAATAATCTTATGACATCAATGTATATTTTTTAACTAAACCCCTCTAAAACATCTACATAACACTCAAGTTAGGGAAAGCGTCACTGTTTGGTACATTCCATTTACCACGTTTAACCATATAAGTAACTTTTTCATCTAAATCTGGTCTTGCAGCAGCAACATCATCAACAGTTAATTGATCAAATGGTCTTGAACTTTCAATATCTTTTAATGTAGCTTTTAATTCAGCAATTTCTTTTGAAACTGATTTTTCAGTTAATTGAGCATTTTCAACAGCTTTTTGTTCAAAAATATCAATATTTTTTAAATTTTTTGATAAATCAACTGAAATTGGTTTAAATCCTTGAACTGCTTTTTCAACTTCATCAATGACTTTTGTATTTTTCAAAATTGATCTATAATGATTGAAATCTACTTCAGTTGGTTGACTTGATAAATCTATGTAGTTTTTCTTAGCTTCATCGTATCTTTTTTTGAAAGCAGTCAATGAAGCTGCTGTTTCACCAGTTAAACCCAAACTTTTAATAAGTCCAGCAAAATTGACCTTTTTGGCGGCTTGTTGTGAAACTGACATATTTATCTTATGGTGGAATAGGTATATTTATTTGTGCTTAGTTTGTTTCTCATATATTTGATGAATTTTTTTTTCTATTGATTGGAAAGATTATTTTGGTGGTCATGCTACCAATTTTAACCATAGTTAATTAACCGATTTTAAATTCACATACAAATTTATCCAATAATATTACATTGAACAAATTACACTACTAAACATTTACTATGTGAAATTAAGTATATTTGTTTTTATTTTTTGCAACCATTAGACACCATCATCAATGATCTATCTCAAATGTTTATCAAGGGGTGATACTAGGCGTAGCTACTGATACCTAAGTCAATGAAAAAAATTTCAAACAAAGAACGAATTTTTACAACTCCAAAGTCCATTCATTTATGAGAGTTTTCTTGCTTGATTGCTTAACTTGCTTTGAAGAATGAGAGTAGACTGAACAGAGCTAGGAATCTCTCTAGTAAACCTCTTGCATCTTCAGTCCCGCAAATTGGCACTTTTTTGGTGTTTTACCATCCGAAAAACATATTTTCTGTCTAAACTAGAGCTCAACTACAAATCTGGAAAACCTAATAATCAAACCTAATCAATAGAGTTAGCTAGTAGATAAAACAGTCTCCAACTCCTTATTAATGTAGTCCAGATTTCAAGCTTTGTTTTAAGCTTGTACAATTCCATATAAAAAAAGTGCTGCAAAAAAAATTAAACTTTGTCGCACGAGAAAGTAAATCAAAAGAGAATCAAAATTTAAGTCCGAAATATTTAACCGATTGATTTACAACCAAAAATGCTGAAACTACAACAAAAGAACCAAATGAAAGGTTTACAACAATTTATAATAGAATTGAGAAATTCAAAAGATCAAGATGAAGAATATAAGAAAATTAAACAAGAAATTAGTAATATACATCAAAAATTTCAAGGAACATCATTAAATGGATATCAAAAGAAGAAATATATATGTAAATTGATGTATATATACATTGTGGGAAATTCAGATATGGTTGATTTTGGATTGAAAGAATCATTTGAATTGATGAATTCAACAAGTTTTGGAGAAAAGAGATTAGGTTACCTCGCGGTGTCAATATTCTTAAATAATGAAAATAAAAATAGCAAGAAAACCCTATTTACAGCAAAAGAGCATTTGAATCATATACTAGAAGAAACTCATGAATCATTAATACGGGATTTACAGTCTAGAGATGAAGAAATCAATTGTTTAGCGATTCAAATGATTGCAACTTGTTTTACTGCTTCGAATGTAGTAATTTATGATAACGATTCAAATTCTTCAATTTGGGTTGAGATAATTGATCTCGTGTATGCATCTGTAACATCACCATTGAATAAGCCAATAGTTAAACAAAAGGCAGTTTTAGCATTAATTTCATTATTGCGATTATACCCAGAAGTTATATTGAAGAATGTCAATTGGATTCCAAGACTACTTAAAATTGTGGAAGAATCGGAGGATTTGGGAGTAGTTACATCAATTGTACCATTGTTAAACTATATATTAAATTTAAAACCAGAAGTTGTAAAATCAGTGATACCTTCAATAGCTCATAGACTTTTCCTGGTGGTTTTTAAAAATGAATGTCCACAAGATTATTATTATTACAACACCCCGGCTCCTTGGCTTATTGTTAAGTTATTACAATTTATAGAGAATTGCTTTTTAGTTACTGATTCAGACGGTAGTTATAAAATTACACTTGAAAATATAGATCAGCATTCCATAAATGAACTAAGACAGGTGGTTTCGAAATCAATTCAAAATGCTTCTCAACATGTTAAAGGTTTACCAAATAGGAATTCACAAAGTGCAATATTATTCCAAGCTGTTTCTTTGGCGGTGTTTCTACAAGCTTCACCAGAAGCAATCATTGGAGCATCAAATGCTTTACTTATGTTGATAAATTCAAATGAAACAAACACTAGGTATTTGGCTTTAGATGCATTAATCAAACTAACAGCAAGACTGGATTCATCATATTTATCAACAAAGGATAAATTCACTGAAACTTTGCCAATATATATAAGGTTATTAAATGATAAAGATATTTCTGTAAGAAGAAAAGCTTTAGATTTGTTATATACTATTTGTAATAGTGAATGTTACACCACTATAATTAATGAGTTATTAAATTATTTCCCGCATACAGATTTACAAATGAAACAAGAACTTGCCATTAAAATAGCGGTTTTAGCAGAAGGATTTGCAACTGATTCCATATGGTATGTAACGACTATGTTAAAATTGTTATCAATAGGTGGTGGTACAAATTCAAATGGTGTTGGATTTATAAGTAATGAAATTTGGGAAAGAATTGTACAAATAGTGGTGAATAATGATGATATGCAAATACAAACTTGTAAAATAATCGTGAACTTGTTAAAAAGACCATTTAATAATCATCAATCAGCGCCAATTTCAGAAAATTTGATAAAAGTTGCTGCTTTTATATTAGGTGAGTATGGAGATCAATTAGAAGAAAATGGGGAAACAAATATTCAAACTCAATTTAAATTGTTGTTTGATGCTTATTTTGCAGTATCAGTTTCAACTAGAGCAATGTTATTAAGTTCATTTTTAAAGTTCTTGGTAAAATTTCCCGACCAAGAGTTTGTTCCTGAAATTGTTGATTTATTTGAAATTGAAACACTGTCTTTGGATTTGGAAATACAAACTAGAGCTTTTGAATATTTAAAACTAGCAACGATAAATAATGATTTTAGATTAGCCAAAACTGTAGTTAAAAAAATACCTGCATTCAATCAAGAAGAAAGTCCTTTAATGAGAAGATTAGGTGTTACAACTCATCCAAGCTTAAAACGATCAAAATCTTTAGTTATGGCTCAAAATATTAAATCCAAACCACAAAAAGTTGATTCAACCTTAAGTAGTAATTGGTATTCAGGATTTCATAGAATGCTACATTTTGATGCTGGTATATTTTTTGAGAATCAACTAATAAAAATAACCTATAGAATAGTGAAAACTAATTTTGATTTATCTATAAAGTTTATAATTTTGAATAGTGCTGGAAAAACTGTTGGTGAATCAATTACTGGATTAACTGTTTTAAATCTTGAATCATTGGCAAAACAAAATGATCCAAACTATTTGTTAAGTATTAAACAATTACCAGAGGCTAATGTTGTTGATAAAACATCCATGGAAGTAGATGTTAAAATTAGAGGTATTGTTGAATCTAAAGAAAACCCAATACTTTCCTTAACTTTTAAATGTGGTGGATCATTCAATCAACTCAACTTGAAATTTCCAGTATCAGTTTTGAAAACTTTAACACCTACCGCTTTGAGTAGTTATGAAGAGTTTGAAAGAAGGTGGTCACAAATTGGTCAACATCTAGGTGTAGAAGGGGAAACTTCTTTAACAATTCATTTAAATCATAGACACGATGAATCACAAATTAGTAGGTCCTTAACAAGATTAGGATTTGCAGTAGTTCAACCACCCCTTTTACCCACTAATATAGATATAAGTGGAGTTGGAATCTTACATACTCAAAAATCAAATTATGGTGTATTAACAAAATTTTTAGGTCTTGATGAAATTGGGAAGGATTTGAGAATTATTGTACGTTGTACCGGTGGTGGGGTTGCAGAAATTATTGCAAATACATTAAAAGAAATTCTTGTAGGTTGAGTAGATTATATAAATTAATTGATAATTCCCCACTGAAATCAAATTCACCTTTAAATTAGTATTACCTTTTTGGTACAGTAACACAAATAGCCTTTTAATTAACTCCAAATTTTTGTGTCATGTTTTATAGCTACCAACTTGACACTTGAATTACCTAAAAAGGTAATTTTTTTTAATTTTGCAACAATATAATTGAAGATTTAAATCATTGAATTCTAAATCAAATAAATACTTAGTAAATTCTTTGAGTTAAAGTTTTTCCAAGATGTTTTTATAATCTTATCATCAACAACCTTAACCTTATACCAAAATGTTTGAAACTAGCCGATTTTTGTTGTTAATATTTTGTTTGATAAACTTTATAAATGCAGCTCCAGCTCCAGCTATTGTTACAGTTTGGCAAACGGTTACTTCAAATATTATAACACCAACAGGATCACCAGCGACCCAAACAGCTGCTTTAGCTGCTCAACAACAAGCTGCACCAGCCACAGCAGTAGCAGCTTCAACATCAACCGGTAGTTTTTGGAATAATTTAATAAATAGTTTGGGTTCATCCTCATCTTCATCATCAAATGCACCATCTACAAGCTCAGCCACAAATTCATTGTCATCTTGGTTAAAGGGACTTTTAAATAGTAATTCAGCATCAGCTACACCAGCTTCCTCATCATCAACATCATCAGGTGGTACTTCATTTTGGGATCAATTAGAAGATTATTTTGCTGGAAATTCGCAAACTCAAGTTGCAGCAACTACACCAGTCACACCAGCATCAACAGCAGCAGCATTACCACTTGCAAATACTAATACCCCAATTTTTTCACAAGCTTTAACTTCAATTGCAACTACTTCATCATTAGCACAAACCCTACCAACTTCATCCTCAACCTCACCATCTACTTCATCATATATAAAACCTTCAACTAGTTCACTGACTTCATCATCGTCAGATGATCTTTACGCAGCTATAGATCAAAGTCAAGATGTTGATGCTTCATTTGCTTCTGATATGATAGACCTTCACAAAAAATATAGAGCAATTCATCAAGCCGGTCCATTAAAATGGGATGTTGATCTTTACAATTATGCCAAAAACAATGCTGACAACTACGACTGTTCTGGAGTTTTAACACATACTCATGGTCCTTATGGTGAAAATCTTGCTGCTGGGTTTGAAGGTGCTGAAGATACTTTCATGGGTATGTTTTTTTAAATTGTTTTTTTCTCAAAACTTTTATACTAACGTTTTTTCAAGCTTGGTACAATGAACCTTTCGACTACAACAATCCTGAGAAGTACTATAATCACTTTACCGCCTTAATATGGAAGTCAACACACACCATTGGTTGTGCAAAGAAATGGTGTGGTGATGGGCCAAATCAATGGCGAAATTACGTAGTATGTGAATATTCCGATTCATCTCCAAACATAATAGGGCAAGCCAAAGATAACGTCTTTCCAGCCATATCTTAGCAAGTCTTTTGGGTTCAAAAAATGTTGAGAGATTGATTTATTGATGTATTTAGTTCTTGTTTTAATTTATTTTATTACATTTTGCAATTTTGCAGCCTTTTCTTTTTGTGTAACTAAAACTTTCTCCTCTAAAAGACAAAAAAAAAAAAAAAAATTTTTGAAATCATACATAAAGGAGTTTAGATTACGTTTTATTATCTAGATAATCAGTTCAAAATAATTATATTTTACAATAGTTTGTTGCATTAATCATCTAGCGTAATATGAACAATGATATAAATAATCAACTAAAAACAGAATCATCAATTGAACAACCAGCAATTGAACAACCAGCAGAATCGTCTTCCACAGACTCATCATCAGATAACAATAAAAAACAACCAAATGGTCGTCAAAAACGTTCAACGTTAGCTTGTATAAGATGTAGAACTCGTCATATAAGATGTCCCGGAGGTGATCCATGTAAAAAATGTCAACTCGCAAAAACAAAATGTGAATATATAGAAGCAGATAAAAAAATTGTGGTATCAATGAAATATTTATCAAGATTACATGACGATATTGCGAGATTAAAAAAAGATAATGCTATGTTAAGAAATAATTTAAAAGAACTAGAGCAAGAAAACTCCGCAAATGAACCAAAACATCATTTTTCACCAATTAATCAAATACATCCACCAGTTACTGGTTCTGGAGTCGAGGTAATAAATCCCTCACTTGATAAATATGGTAGATTGATACAGTCAAGGACTGGAGAGAGATTTTATGTTGGTTCATCATCAATGACATTGTTTGGGTTGGAAATTCAAAATATGGTACCACCAACAAATACAAGTTTATTACAACAAAGAGCAAGTTCTGAAAGTGGTAGTACAAATCCCTCAACTCCAATAAATTCACCAAATGATATACGACTGCATGAGCCTAGAGAGAGTAAAATTTTGGAAAAAGAAGGTAATGCTTATAAGATTACCCTTACGAAAACAAATACAAGACCTGGATTGTCCATGAACTTTTCATTGCCTTCTTATTCGTATGCAATGTTGTTGGTTGATACGTTCATAAATTATAATGATGGATGTTTTTATTTCTTCAATGAAGGACTAATTAAACAGTTTTTAACTAACTTATATGGTGGAAAAACTGAAGAGAATAAAAAAATTTTAAGAAGAAACTCACCAATTGATAGAAGTGTAAATACAAATGAAAACACAATCAAAAAAGATATGGATGACGAAACTATTTTAGAAACTATTTGGTTTTGTAAAATTTTGCTTATTTTTGCTAGTGGAGAAATGTATCTAGGTACAGAATCAAACACTCATGCCAGAAGACAAAAAATGGAAAATATGAAAAGAAACAAGAGTAAAGAAAAACATACTTTACCTGGTGCTGGTTTTTTTTATCAAGCTTCTGAATTATTTACTGGATTGTTTGCTTCTGGAGCTATTGATAATATCACAAAAGATGGTGGTATTGAAGTTATGTTATTATATGCTTTTTATTTACAAGTTGCTGATTGTACTATTGCTTCATATTTTTATTTTGGATTAGCTTTGAGAGCAGCATTGATTTTAGGTTGGCATGTAGATGCAGAAAAGGAAAATCTCAATAGGTTTGAGTTGGAACATAGAAGAAGAATTTGGTGGACTGTTTATATGTATGAGAGAATGTTATCATCAAAAGCAGGTTTACCTTTGAGTTTCGCTGATGATTCTGTTTCTACGGAGTTACCAATAGATTTCAAAATCGATTTAACGGATTTTCCAAAAAATGAACATGATGTTAGAGGTTATTATATATTCCCTCCGGCGGATTATATTAATAATTGTGTCACAATAACTCAAATTAATGCAGTGATTTTGTCTTCGTTGTATACAAAACAACCAAGTTACAATATCTTACCAATTGTTTCTGATTGTGTTCAAAGATTAGTTGCTTGGAAAAATACATTACCAAGGTATCTTAGTGTTGATTTTTCAATTGAAGATCCAAAAGTTTCTAGGTTGTTAGTGAATTTAATGACTGAATATTTCCAGGGGGTTAATTTGGCTGTTAGACCGTTATTGTTTCATTTTGCTTCAAAAAAATTTAGAGAATTACATTTCCATCAAAATGATAATAAATATATTGATTTGACGAAATACTCCAAAAACGTGCTTAGTTTATTAAATTCTTCATTTCAAGCATCAATAAATACTATAAAAAGTATATGGTCATTAATTCCTGATAATATGGTTGCATTATTTGGTTGGATGGATAGAGAATATCTTTTTACGTCAGCATCAACTTTAATTTTATTTAATGCATCATTTGGAGTTCATGAAGCAACAAAAGATCATTTAGATCATGCTTTGATTTTGTTTACAAAAATGAAGAAATTAGGAAATTATCCAGCGGCTTTGAGAAGAGCACAACTACTCAAATTGATTAAAGTTTTAGACTTTAATGGAGTTATGAATGAACTTCTCAAGAAACATGATGATGAATATGTAGAACCAGATGTTACTCAACAACCAGAAGAAAATTTACCAATAGCATTACCAAACACGGAATTATACACAAATGCAGATCTTACAGGTATTGAAGGATTAACTTACCTCGATGAAGAACAAAAATTATGGAATGAAATTTCAAATGAAGCGGGTTGGTTGAATTTTCATACTGATCCAACCACCACCAATGAACTAGATAAAAATTTTTACTTTAATATGGATACTCCAAATGGTTACTCCGATATAATTAATAATGATTTAGGATTATAGTAAATGAATTATGAATTATGAATTATGAATAAAATGACTTTAAGGTGCTCTTATTGCACTCTGTTTGTAACGTTTTTTAATAATGTATGTAGAAACATCAATTGCCATTCAAATGCAAACAATGAATATCTCAAACAATTTCAGTAGTGGACTTTTGAAAATAGATTACTCGATTCAACTTACATTTAAATCTGCTGTTGATTTTTAATGACTATGGGTTATTTCGCAAAAAATAGCGTTTTGATTATCATTCCTTGATACACCTTAGTAGATTTTGCTCTGCTTTAAAAAAGTACTATATCAAATACTTTGGACACTGCAATATTGACTGTTACTTGGATGTATGGGTTGGTTTGGCTCATGTGCTTTCCTCATTCAAAAAATTTGGTCTTTGTTTCGGAGTAAGAGCTTGCAAAATTATCTTGTTTAGGAGTAAGAGCTTGCAAAATTATCTTCATAATCAAAGGTACCAAAAAATATTCAAAAACCCTAAGACCCGTATTACCATTTTACTTATCGAACTTACTACAAGACAATCTGAGCAAGACTTTACTATACTTTTTGAAGTTAAAGCTTAAAAGTGTCTGGCTGCAAAATAATTTTGTCAAGACCCTTACATCAATAATTAGGAATGCGATAATTACGTGAGAAAAAAAAAGATCAGAGAGAATATCTTGGTAAGCTTTTATAAATGCCTGTGTTAAATAGAATTACCCAGTCTAGTTAGATTTTCTACCGAAAACGAGCTTCCTTCGACAGGTTTTCAAATCTACCGTGGAGATAAGTTAGTATTATAGAAATTAAAAAAATAATCAACCTATAAAACTCTATTTAAAAATCCCATCAATTTGTGGTAAATTTCTCACATTCGCTTAGTTTGAGGTTTGTTTTGACGACGATCCGTGGATTGTGATTTGAAATAACGATATATGAATCAATGAGTATACTAGACAGCTCCATTTAAACTTTAGACCAATCTTTGATGGTAATGTAAATACTTCGCTTGCTGGTTTATAGTGTTTGTCTCAAAAAAACTAATGAATAACAATCAGGATCTTGGTCTATGAATAGATAACACTATATTGCTATCTACAACATTCCATCAAAAAGCATTTTCCGATAGCATGGTGTTTCTATCAATTGATAATTGCAGAATGATTTGTAGTGTAGCATTTTTTTTTTTTTGTTTTATGAAATTAAGATCATATAACACTATAAAAATTTTCCACTAAAAATGTTTGTTGATGAAGCAGTAAACCTCCAATAACTCAAAACAAAATTCATTGCGATGAACATTAATTAGTAACCAATAAGTGATTTTGTTTAAAACATTCCACCAAAATCATTTGTTGATAGTGGTGTATTTCTCTCATTCGCTTGTTGTAGAATCTGTTGTGGTGATAACGTAGGCATAAAACTTGAACTACCACCACCAAATCCAGATTGAAAATCATTGGCAGGAGTTTGAGAATTGAAATTACCACCAGAACCTAGTAAAACATCATCCAAAGGTTGTGGTTGTGGTTGTGCTGGAGGAGGAGGTGGTGGAGCTTGTTGCTGATTCTGTAGTGGTTGTTGTAGTGGTTGCTGTTGTTGTTGCTGTTGTTGCTGTTGTTGATGTTGTTGTTGCTGTTGTTGCTGTTGTTGTTGTTGTTGCTGCTGCTGCTGCTGCTGCTGCTGCTGTTGTTGTGGTTGTTGAAACATTTGTTGTCTTTTCATTTCCTCCATTCTCATTTTCAAATGTTGCATTGCATCACTATATAATTCTTGTAACTTCCCATATAATTGATTTAATTCAGGCATATCTGGAGGTGCAACCACGATCGTCGGATAAATGGCAGGTTTATAAAATTGACCACCATGGTATTTTTCATTTAGGTAATTCAAAGTAGCTAAATTACATTGTAATCTTTTTAAGGCATTTGTATATGATTGAGTTACGTTAAATCTATTCTCATTTGACATTTGTTGCATAAATTGGGGATTACTTAACATATTATTGTACATTCCTGAACATTTTTTTATTAAATGAGTATTTATAAGTAGTAAACATGTTACTCTATCTCTATCTAGTGATAATGGTGCTCTATCTATATAATCTTGCATTGGTTGTTGTCTTTAGTTGTTTATTTACAAATATTAAATTTTTTATTTTGTGTGTAAAACATTGGTACTATATACAGGTCTATGAAATCTATGAATTTTTTGTTATTGAATCAATTCTTGAACCAGAAACTCTTTTCATTCCAATAAAAGACATATCAAAAGTAGCTCTGCCTTGAGTTGATGCTCTTAATTTTGACAAATATCCAATCATTTCTTTTAGTGGAGTTTCAGCAATGATGATTTTTTTATTTGAAAGATCTCTTTTTTTTGTGGAGGAAAGTGTATAATCTGGTGGTAAATAAATTCTTTCAGCTTCTTCAACAGCCCAATTTGCAACTTCAATATTCTGTAATGATTCATCTTCTACCGCTAAAATTACCGCATGACATCTTTGAGTCAAATCGTGAGAAACCTCACCTAAATCAGCTGAATTTACATATACTTTAGTTTTCATAATTGGTTCAAAAACCGCAAAGTTGGTGGTGGTTTTGAGTTGTTGAATTGATTGTCTAGCAGCATGCATTAATGTAGGTATCAAGTCTTCTGCTTGATCCACAGGAGCATCCCAAGATTCGATTTTTATAAGTGTTGAATTTATTGTTAATCCTAAATTGGGACCACCCATTTGTAAAGAAGTTAAACACCCATTGATAATTGCTTCTTTTAAATCTTCTATGGTATTGGTACATTTCCATCTTCTTTCTTTAAGGGAGGTGCTAACAAATTCAGAAGCTGCAGAATCTTCCAATATAATTACATTATTTTCATCTTCAAATATATTTGCACCGTCAACACCTTCATAATCTCTACAATTTTCAACATGACTAACACTAATTTTCAACCCTTCTTGTTCCACCTTTGTAGCTGGTTTTACAAATGATTCCTTAAAAGCAACTGCAACTTCTTTTAGGTTGGCTTTTGCTTTCATATCATTTATCAATCTATCTCTAACAATCTCCAAATGTAACTCTCCCATTCCACTTAATACAGTTTGTCCCATTTCTTCATCAACATGTACTTTCAAAGAAGGATCTTCACGTACCAACACGTCTAAACATTTTTTCATGTGAGCTTCATCACCAGCTGTATGTGGTTCAATTGATGAGGTAAACAAAGGTGGTGGTATATCTATCGGCATTAATTTTAGTGTACTTTCCAAAGAACCTACTGATTTTTTACCAGTACTCACCAAAGTATCACCAGTTTGGAATTCCGTATCATACCCTGGTATTACTGCTATATTTCCAGCTCCAACACTTTTAACTTCTTCTGGTGCATCTCCATGCATTATTAATAACTTTCTAATTAATAGTTTTTTACCAGTTCTTGTATTCACGACATTTGATGATGCTGATAATTTACCACTATAAACTCTTACAAACGCCATTGGACCTCTTGTTGCATGGGTCATTACTTTAAATGCGAGACCCACAGTTAAATTATGATCATTATTGAAAATTAACCCCTTTGAATCCATTTTTTTGGGTACTTGTTTTTTTTTACTTTTAATTTCGGGTATTGCTGATTGTATTGGAGATGGTAAGTACTTCACAACTGCATCCATTAATGGTTGTACTCCAATATTCCTGAATGATGACCCACAAAATACAGGAGTTATGAAATTATCAATTGTAGCTTTTCTAATAACTTCATCTAATAATTGAGAATCTATTTTAGTGTAATCTTCGGTTTCTAAAAATGCATTAATAATCGATTCGTCGTATTCCCCTAAAGTTTCAACCATTGATTCTCTAGCATTGGCAAACATTTCATATTGCTCTGGGCCAAAATCTAAAACTTCAATGATTTTCCCTTCATCATCGTTTTCTTTCCATTTTAATAACTTCCCATGTATAACATCTATAACACCTTTAAATTGAAATTCTTGGTCCTTCGATGTTTCAAAATATGGTAAATTACATAATACAACTCTACTTTCCAATTTAGTAATAATTTCTTTGACTGTTCTACTAAATCCAGCTCCTGGACGATCCATTTTATTCACATAAATGATCCTAGGCAAATTTAAGTTACTTGATTGTTTCCATACTTTTTCGGTTTGTGCTTCAACTCCTGCAACTGCATCTAATATTGTAACTGCACCATCTAATACTCGCAAAGATCTTATAACTTCAAATGTAAAATCAGCATGTCCTGGTGTATCTATAATATTTATCTTATTTTCATTCCATGGAATTGTTATAGCTGCCAGTTGAATTGTTATACCTCTTTCTTTCTCACTTGGTAAATAATCAGTTATTGTATCTCCTTCATCAACATTTCCGATTCTTTTTGTTTTACCACTATAAAAAATCATACGTTCCGTGGTGGTGGTTTTACCAGCATCTATATGAGCTATGATTCCAATGTTTCTGGTTTTAGGTAGTATTATATCGTTAACTGTAGAATAACATCTTCTGAGTAGTGTTGAAATTATGCTTTTTGAAGGTCGTAGTATCATTAATGATTATAGTAAAAAATCAGTGGTAGCGAAATTTTTTATATTTTATTTTCTTCTGTTTGTAACAAAATGGTTGCAAGGTTTTTTTTTTTGCAATCAAAATTTTTTTTTCTCCAATACTTTATAAATTTAACAAATGTCAATATAACTTGCTTAATGTAGTGAAGTTAACAAAACTGCGAAAAGAAGATAGGTTTTTGATATATGATCACTTAAAGCGTCATAGCTCCAAATAATGAATACTGTTCCTAGAATTTTTTAATTTTGTTTCAAATTTTGTTTTTTTTGCCTCAAACTTTGTACAAGTTCTGATTTAAAAAATACTTTACTTTAAATTTACTTAAACATTTTGGTCAAATCCACTCTTTCTACTGCTTTCGAGCTACTAGTTACTGTTCCAGTTGATTTTGATTTAAAGATAGTGATAAATATTTTTCAACACATTTCAGCATCAGCATTTTTTAAATCAAGATGATGGAAGCCTAACCATGAGAGTAAGCAATTCGTCCAGCATACAGATGTCTAATGACCTTTGAAGACATCAGATTTAATAAGGGGGAGCTCAGTAAAGGTTTTAGCTCTCTGATACATCTAAAATAGTAAGTTTAGAAGTTTCAACATATAGAATAGCTTGTTTTGGATAATGTAAATTTTACAATTTATCGTAAATAAGCTATTCTCAGTTCCAATTTTGGTGCAAACAAAAAGAGCTCTTGGACTAAAATTGAGCATTCACCGTGCTAGAACAAGGGTTAATGGTGTAGTGGCTATCATGCCTCTTTAGGGATTTTACTCCAGTATAGAGGTGGTCCCCGGTTCGATTCCGGGTTAACCCCGTAAACGTAGTTTTTAACTTACTCGACATTCATTTCTTAAGACTCCAATTTTGATCAGCAATTTCTACATAAACTTATCGACTAGAGTAATTTTTTTGTTATTTTCCTCATTGACAGCCTAATCATTTAAATGATCTTACTCACTACGTCAGACATAGCTTGAGCGCGGGCTTCGTATTGTACAAATAAAGTTTGCCAAGGTTGAGTTGAACGAAATTTTTGATTAAGCCTAAAATCAAAAATTCATATCAGCACCCTTTAAGTAATATCTGAATCAATTTGATCTCAAACATGTATAAGCTTCACCGAGATCGAGATCTGATCTAAACTAATTCGTTTATTATTTAATCCTCATTGCTTTTAATTCTTCCAATAATTCGTACCGATACTCCGTGTTTTAAAATAATTACACAATGGCGGAATTATATCTTGCTTACAAATAAAAATTATATTTAGCCGTTTCAAAATGATTATTCAACTCCACAAAATTATAGCTCCTTAGCTAAACTCTTATAAAAGTGATATATTTAATTGGTTGACTAACTAATAGGATCTCTCGAAGTATCTTCAAGTGGTAATGTGTAAGCAACAAACATCATTTCTTAGACTTTAACATTATGAAAAATTAACTTTTAAAAACTGTCAAAAAATTCCGCTAATTTTAAATATTATGCAAAACGTTTTAAAATTTTTTTGTTTAGTAGAAAATTTTCAAATACCGATTTTTTGTAATTATTGTGGATTAAATATAGTTTTGATACTTTAAAAGTTTATGTAAAGACCAAATTGTATTAATATATAATGGAATAAGTAACATAAAGAGCTATAAAGTATAAAATTATAAAATTATAAAGTTAAAGTTTAATATAATGTCTCATCCCAATTTATCCAATGATTCTGCAACCACTGTAACAACACAATCACCAGAAAAAGAACAAGAAAAAGATATAGACGAAGAAGCAGTATATCCACCACCAAAAGAAACATTATATGAAGATGATCCAAATATAGATGGAGGTTACGCATGGGTAGTTTTAGCTGCTGGTGTAATGTTCAATTTTTGTACATGGTATGTGATAAATCAACAAACTTTCGAAATCAGTGACTAACAATTTTAGGGGTATGAATTCTGGATTTGCAATTTATTTTGCTCATTACATTGCAAATGATACTTATGAAGGTGCTACAAAAATGGATTATGCATATATTGGAGTATGTTTTACACATTAGAAGTTCATAAGTAATCATACTAACTTTTTTAGGGTATCGCATTTGGAGTTGGAATTATGTTTAGTCCAGTTATAATATATATGAGAGGTATTGTAGGATACCTTCCAATCTTGATATTGGGGAATTGTTTACAATTTACTTCATTAATGTTAGCAAGTTGGACAACTAAACTATGGCAATTATATTTGACACAAGGGTTAATGCAATCATTTGGATTAGCGTTATTAAGTTTAGTAAGTACACCAATACAAGGAGAGTGGTTTAAAAAGAAAAGAGTATTTGCGAATGGAGTAGCAGCAGCAGGTAGTGGTTTGGGGGGTGTTGTTTTCAATTTAGGTATGCAAAAAGTCGTACAAGTTAGGGATGTTCATTGGGCATTAAGAGCTCAAGCCATTATAGGGTTTGGATTAACTTGGATTGCAATTTGCCTTATACGATCAAAAGCTTCTAGTCATAATTTAGAGTTTAAACTTTTTGAAGTTTCAGTTTTAAAAAATGCTGGATTTTATTTGATAGTGTTTTTTGTATTGACTTGTATTTTTGGTTATGTTATTTTGTTGTATACTTTAGCTAATTGGGTACAAACTTTGGGGTATAGTGCATATCAAGCTTCAATTGTCAGTGCCATGGTTCAAGTTGGTAGTTTATTTGGTCGTCCTATAATAGGACTCATTTCTGATAGATTTGGTGGTACAACCGTTGCATCAATTGCATATATAATAGCTGGAATATTTTGTTTAGCTATGTGGATTCCAGCTAGAAATTATGCATCTGCTGTTATATTCGCATTAGTTGAAGGAGCATTAATGGGGACAGTTTATGCCGTTATCGTTCCAATAGTTGCAAGGTATGTATATATGAGGTGAATCAATGAGACTAATTTTATACTAACTCGATTTTAGAACTTTTGGACTTGCTAAGATGAATGTTGTTTTCGCTCAAATATGGACTTTAATGGGTATTACAGGTATGTCGGTTTACACTATTTCTTTCATATTCATAATACTAACATGTCTTAGGTATTTTTTCTCCTGTTATTGGTGTCAAACTAGTCAAAGGTAGTGGAGCACAAGTAGATCCAACAAGTTATCAAAACTGTGCAATTTTCGCAGGTGTAATGTATATAGCAGCCGGTTGTTTTTTATTAACACTTAGAGGGTACCTTAAAGCAAGAGATCATATATTTGAAAAAGAAGGTCATGTTGATTCTGATTATCAAGATTATACCTCAGTCACTGTACCTGTGCTAGAGGTGTTTAAAAAAGTTTTTGCTAAAAGCAGGGAAAAAGCTTAAATTGGGTTTTTTTATGAAATAGATATATATGATTTAGATAATGATAAATGTAGACAAAGCATTTTTGCCAAAGTATTTTTGAGTAGGCAAGCCAACTCCGATTCTTAATAACAGTCATGCGAAAACGATAAATTAATTGTTTCAGATTCTTGATATTTTGGTAGCAGCTTGTGCTTACAAATGTTTCAGAATAACTTTGAGCAAATATGAGCAAATATGAACTCTATTATTTCCGTATTAAATGCTCCGTATCTTTATAATTTAATTGTCTAAAAAGTTTTTTAAAATGAGAGCAGTTCTCCGCTTATTAATGCCGTTCAGAAGTAAACTCAATGAAGTTGATATATATACTTTAGTTGAAAGACAATCCTTCATTAGAAATATGAACTAAATCACGACTAAACCAAAAATGTCAGTTCAAAGTTCCTCAGCTAGCACAGTTAGTGTTTCAAATGATTTAGAAAAAGCTGTCGAAAAAGAAATTTTAAGTGAAGATCCCGATATTGATGGAGGTTATGCTTGGGTAATTTTAGCGGCTGGAGTCATGTTTAATTTTGGGACTTGGTATGTGGAAAAATCATGACATATTGAGAAACAAGTATTAACAAAATATTAGGGGCATGAATGCTGGTTTTGCAATCTATTTTGCTCATTATATAGCCAATAACACATTTGAAGGTGCTACAAAAATAGATTATGCATACGTGGGAGTACGTAACTGTTACATAAACTAATCAAATAAATATTAACTTTGTTAGGGTATTGCATATGGAGTTGGTATGATTTTTGGTCCTTTGATAGTCGTTTTAAGAGGATATATTGGTTTACATGCTGTTTTGATATTGGGCAATGTTTTACAATTTACATCTTTGATGTTGGCTAGTTGGTCCACAAAATTATGGCAATTGTATTTGACTCAAGGGGTTATGCAGTCTTTTGGTTTAGCATTTTTGAGTATAGTTAGTTTTCCAATACAAGGAGAATGGTTTAAAAAGAAAAGAGTGTTTGCTAACGGAATAGCAGCAGCAGGTAGTGGCTTAGGAGGTATTGTCTTCAATTTGGGAATGCAAATAGGTATGTGTATTCAATTGTTTGATTATACAAAAGTATACTGACAGTTTTTAGTGGTGCAAGTAAGAGATGTCCATTGGGCATTAAGAGCTCAAGCTATAATTGGGTTTGGTATTACTTGGATAGCAATTTTTCTTATTCGATCAAAAGCTGCAAAACACAAAATAGAATTCAAACTTGTTGAGTTTTCTGTATTCAAATACGCCAGTTTTTATTTGATTTCGTTTTTTATCATTACAAGTATATTGGGTTACGTTATTGTACTATACACTTTGGCAAATTGGACTCAAACTTTAGGATATAGTGCTTACCAAGGCTCTATAGTTAGTGCAATGGTTCAGCTTGGAAATTTGATTGGCCGACCGACAGTTGGAGTTATAGCAGATAGATATGGCGCAACAACAGTAGCTTCTATTGCATATGTTCTATCAGGAATTTTTTGTTTAGCTATGTGGATTCCCTCAAGAAATTATGCTTCTGCTATAATTTTTGCATTCATTGAAGGATCAATAATCGGAAGTATTTATCCAGTAATTGTTCCTATAATTACAAGGTACGGTTTTTCAACTAACATGGTTATAAGTTCTTATACTAACTTTCTTAGGTCTTTTGGATTACCAAAAACAAATATAATCTTTGCTCAACTTTTTATTCTAATGGGTATTTCAAGTACGTAATTATATTACATCTTTTTTAACTAGATACTAACATCTTTAGGTATTTTTTCTCCAGTAATTGGTGTCAAATTGATTAAAGGTATTGCGGCTCAAGTAGATCCATCAAGTTATCAGAATTGTGCAATCTTTTCAGGAATCATGTTTTTCGCAGCTGCTGGGTTTTCATTATTACTAAGAGGTTACTTAAAAGCAAGAGACTCCAAACTCAAAGAAGTTGAGGATTCAGATTATCAAGATTATACTCTAAGTTCTATATCAGTAGCTGATACATTAAAGAATGTATTTTCCAAAAGTAATGAAAAAGCTTAGTAAATAAATATGTTTTAAATATCTTTTATATACAGTACTAATACAAGACGCGTTTTAAAATTTAATTTTTAATTTTGTGTGTGTAAAGAAAACAGATCACTTTTCTTACAACACTATACATCTAAATGATTAATAAGATTAATGATGGTTCAAAAGAACCGCCAACCAGACTATTATTAATCAATGGCAAACCAAAGTATTATCATACCATTATAATCATCAAAGAGTTGAAAGAATCTAGGAATAGTCAACTACAAATAATTGAGATTGAAAATAATAGTACCACCAAACCAAATCCAGCTGATTACATCCATATCTGTGTGGAATATCAAGAAAATAAATGGGATCCACTTGAAAAATTTTCCAACTTTTTGAAAGTAAATTCCAAAGCAATTGCAGATGCTAAAGAAATAGGTCTTTATATTCATTTTCAACCAGGTAAAAATTGGAAAGATTATACCAAAAAGGATTTGACACAGTATAAAAACTTTTTGAAAGACATCAGCGAAATTTGTGGTGAAAAAATTACTCAATTTGCTGTTATTGACAAATATGATATGGAAACTGTTTATTTAACTGAAGATCAAGATTTGGATAAATTAAAAGATGAAATTCAACTGGATATTGAATATTGGAAAAATTTAAAGGTGTTAGATTATTGTGAAAGTAGTATTCGTAGTTTCCCAGATGTCAAATTACCAGACACATTGGAGCAGCTTAATATTGGAGGTGGTTATGCTTTAGAAACTTTAAGAGGTTTTAAAATGCCACCAAATTTAAAAGTATTGAATGCTGGTCACGGAGCTATACACACTTTACATGATGTAAAATTCCCCGATTCACTAGAAGATTTAGACCTTCCAGAAAATAAAATTTACTTTTTAGATGAAGTTAATTTCCCACCATCACTAAAAAATTTAGATGTTTCTCAAAATAGATTGGAAGACATTAGAGATGTTAGATGGCCAAGAAAATTAGAATCACTAAATCTTGGTTTCAATCCAATTGAAAGTATGAAAGGTACAATTTTCCCACAGTCAATAAAACGTTTAGAAATTTCAAATATGCCAAGTGATTCAATGGCTGGTGTTAGATTCCCTGATAGTTTAGAGGTTTTAAATTTACATTCATCAATGACAAGTCCAAGAGGGTTGAAATTACCAACTCATGTACAAACTTTGATTTTGACAGGTAATGGTATAGTTAGTATAAACCCATTGAAAGTACCACCAACTTGTGAAGTTTTATATTTGAACAATAACAATATCAAAACATTAAATAAAGTCCAATTACCAACCAGTTTAAAAGAACTTTATATTGGAGATAATTTATTAACAACCCTCAAAAATGTTTCATTTCCAATTTCTTTAGAAGTTCTTGACATTGAGAATGATCCAGAATCTTACGAAAATGATAAACAAATTATAACATTAAGAGACGTTGTACTACCACCGAATTTAAAAACTTTGAAATTAGGTTATCAAGGTATAAGAATTTTAGAAAATTATGAATTTCCAAAAACTTTAACCAATTTAAGTTTAGCATATAACGAACTAAAATATATCAGAAATGTTAAATTTCCAAATTTAAAACTTTTAGATTTAGGTGGTAACCCTGAATTATCAACTTTAGATAATATTGAAGTTCCTGAATCAGTCACTGAACTAAGAGTTTCTGCTGAATTACTTGCCAATTTACCTGCAAAAGTTACTGAAAGAGCTAATAATAATAAACTTACGATAAAGCAATCTGCTCCAAAAGTAGTTTCATACCCTATGATTTTGTAATCGTGAATTTAATAAATGAATATGCATCTATAGTTTCTCTTCATTACAAATCCAACAAATAAGAGTAACTGGAAGAGCTAATGTATTTCAACTCATAACGATCTGTTACAGTTCTTTTACTATTCCTTAAGTTTTGTGGCCCAAAATACATTAAAAAATATATACATCTATTAATCGTAATCTTACTCTTCTCATTTTTTCTAATCTTCTTCTTCATCGTCCTCTTCTTCTTCGTCAACCTTTTTATTACTTTCCAACAAACGTTCTAATTCTGCATCATCTGTAGCAGTAACAGCTTTTGGAGCCATATTAACTTTACAAACTCCGTTATTTTTTTCTATACTTTCAACAATTTTTTCTATAGCCTTTTCTAATAATGATACACCAGCATTTTTATCTAATGATTGGACTGATAAAAAATATAATGGAGCTGCAACCAATTTAGCTTTTACTTGCATTTGTTCAGTTGAAACCGACTCAGCAGCTTTTAAAGCAGTTTTTATAGCATCAATACCTTCATAACCAAAACATGATACTTCAACATCCGCTCTTATATTTATAGCTTGTGGAGTTAATCTTCTTGAAATATATAATTTTAGTTCTTCTAATAATCCTTCACTTGGTGGTTGTAAATCTTCAAATATATTTGGATCCGTTATTGATAATTTAAATGCATCATATGCATGACCATATTTTCTACTTAATGGCCATCCCACAGTTTCATATAATTTTTCCAAAGATACATTAAATTTTTCAGCACAATGTCTTAATATTGAATGAACTGCTTTACTTTTGTTATATCTTTCATCACATTTTACAATATCTTCAGCTGATACTCTTCTTTTTGATAAATCAATATACCCTTTTTCTTTATCAACTCTTAAAACAACTGCAACTTCATTTTTTCCAACTCTAATTAATTTTTGTATAGATCTAATACGTCTTCTTGATAATTCTGATAATAATACCATACCTTCAATATTATCATATTCTAAAAGTTTTACATATGCTCCCATTTCCGCTATCTCTTGAACATTTACCATGACAACTTCATCCACTTCGGGATATTTGTTTTCATAAAATCTACAATTAGTTGAACTCATTGTTAATATTGGTTTGGTTGTAGTAGTTTAAATTCTGACTCAAATATTTTTGATATATTATATAAATCAATTGAAATTTTTTTATAATTTTTCACTAACAAAATTTGAAACTTTTACACGCAAATATTTGAAACATCAAGTATAAATAAGAAAGAAACATCAACCATTGCCTACGAAGAATGAGTTTAAAGCCTCAACTTTGTAAAGCTGATCTATTAGGGATTTTCTGTAGCTAAGATTTAGTTCACAGCTATTAGTTTCATCAACATTTTTGTAAAAATTGATTTAAACAAACTTTACATCTGAGCAACTTGGGTTATTTTAAAGAGGGATGCTGAAATAAAAAGTATTGATCAAGCGAAAAAAGCATATGACTACTAGGAAGACCTTTGGAGCCCTTATTGGCCCTTATTGGCCATTCTTTTCAAGTTTTTGATGATGTTTCAATTTCTGTAGATTATGCTACCAAATTAGACCAACTGGATTTTTTAAAACAACTCGTAAATTTCTAGATACAAGCTTTTGGTATTTTTTACAACTTAAATTGGAATTTACCAAATTATTGATGACAGAGGTGTCTACATTGAAGAATGATATTCCTAATCAAGAAAATGTTGATGAGTTATTCTCAAAATTAAGCATATCTGAGATTCAGCAAATTGCAACAAAGTATAAATCAATAATATCGCATACAAAAAATGAGTTACATGATTTAGTCAGTGACAAATATAGAGATTTAATTAAAATTGCAGAAGATATAAGCAATGTTCAACAACAGACTATACTAATTGATGGTAATTTGCAAGAATTATCATACAAACCATCTACGTTTGTTTCACCATATAATGACAATTCTCAAAAATTTGATACATATATCAGAAGTCAAAATGCATTAAAAGTTCAAAGAGATTCAAGATCAATAGTGGTGAGAAATGTCATGCAAAATAGATTAAACAAGTTGAATAGTAAAGTCAATAAAAACGGAGCTAGTCCTTTGTTGCATACTTCTCATTTCATATCATTTGTTCAAGAATTGTACACAATTAATACCGTATTTCAAGATATTTTACAAAAGGACAAATCATTAAAACTGCATATCAATGTGATCAAAAATAATTTACTCGAATATTTCAAATTTGAGATTTCTGTTTACAAAATTACCGAATCAATTTTGAGTTCAAATGATAAATTTAGAATGAAGCAAAGGCTTACAAGAACAGATTTAATTTTAAAATCTAATGACGTAAGAGATGCAGATAATGATTACGAAGATGAAGAAGGAGATGATGAAGTAAGTGATGATGAAGGGGAAAATTCAAAATTTGATATGATAAATAGTTCAAAACTGCCACTGTCAGATAAAAATACACTGCCGCTATGTAATTACTTAATCTGTTACACCATATTACAAAATGAGGTTGGAAATCATGACAAAGTGAAACAAGAACTCATAAAACTCAGAATAAATCATATAACTCAACTACTATCAACACTAGATCCCGAAGATACTACAAATTACTACGTCTTACTCAAATATTTGGAAAATACTTGTAAATATGTTGAAATGTACTTTGAAGATGAAGAAAGTAGTGATTATTTGAGAATTATTAGCAACATAAACAAACCATGGAGCCTCACATCACTAGTTGGTTTTGGAGATTGGTTAGATGACACCACTGTTGAGTTTGAAAGTAGGACTAATGATAAATTTACAACTGAGAATTTGCAACAGCAAATTACCACACTCATATCAGTAACTATATTTGCTTCATTTGAAACAGTGGAAAACACTTTTAGTATCAATAATTTATTTCAAATTGTCGGTCAATACTATTCTTTTTTCATCAATTTAAAAAAGCTAAATGACAATCTCGAGTTATCAGGTACTTCATCTCATTTGATTAAACTATTGTCCAAGTCCAGTTTCTTCAACGATTACACCATCAAATTAGCTACATTTATAAAAACATTTTGTCAACAACATATATCCAAGTTGAATAGTGAAGAAGGTATAATTGGAGCTTTAAAAAATCTAATTTCTAGTACGATACCAGAAAAATCAAGAAAATTTGGATTTGATTCAAATTTTGTCAATTTAATGGATTATAACGTTGATGAATATATTGCTAATGTGGTGAATCAAACCAGCTTAGAGTCTAAAAGTATAATTACACAAGAGTTATATGCTTGGTTAGAACATTTCAAAAAATTAAAACAATTGACAGATCTTCAGCAACAAATTACTTTATCAATATTTTCCAAAGATTCTGAATTTACTTACTTACCACGTTTGTTTCAAACCTTCAATAGTGATGATGTCAAATGGGGTGAGTTCACGGCAAATACTTTGAAGTTCAATTTTGAAACTCTACATAACAAAATGGACAGCCTTTTTAAGAAGGAGTTGTTAGACTTCTGTAAATCAGTTGAGCAATTGAGTCAAAATCTAAAAGATGTTGATAAGTTATTTTTCATAGTTGGTTTATTGACTCACTTGAATACAGAATTTGAGTCAAATCAAAAAGTCGATAATAACATCGTAGATAAGGTTAATAAACTTATCAAAACCATCTACAAAGACATCATTCAATTATTAACTGCAGAAGATATTGATGAACCAATCAATTTGAATGTTGAAGAAATTCTAAAAATTAAGGGTACCGAAATACCAACAATACCGAGCCTTAGACTTGCACTGACTATATATGAAATAGCTCAAAAAATTTTAACTCATGCATCTACAATTGAAGATCAAAATATCAATATCTTCAGAAATTCAAATTCATTAAAGTTATTTGTTTCAGAAAAGAATTTTTGGTTCAAAGAGTTGGCCAATAGCTATAGCAAAGCTATTGAAACCAAAGTAGAGGATTTTAAAAATTTATCGAGTGTGAAAAAGGAAATTAATGGAGGCAATGAAGCAAAGGAGATTGAATCAACTGATAAAAATGAACAAGAGATTAAGATTTCCAAAGCTCAAGGTCTACAAATAATAGCAAATCTTATATTCATATTGCATTTCAATCATGCACCACTTGAAATGAAAGATGTACAAGATCAAATTACTAGAATTTCAAAGATATATGGTTCTACATTTGATGATAATTCATTAGAGGTAGTATTTAGCGGAGTTTCATCATTTTTTAAATCAAGAAAAAACATATATTTACCTTTACTGATAGTTTGAGATAGCTAATATAAATATATTTTTGATCCATCTTTCGTTAAACTTTTTAGCACTTCAACAGTTTCTTTAATATCCCAAATATTTTGTTTTTTTTGATCCAAATATGAGTTATCTACGATTATGATTTTAATTTCATCTTTTGTCAATACTGGATCATCATTAATTAAAATCTTTTGAAGTCTACCTGGTGTACAACATAATATTCTTGATCTTGTAGTTTTTAAAATTTTTAAATCAACATCTAATTTATTTTTATTTATTAGTTTTATTGAACTTCCATTTAGGTCTTTGGTTGCTCTATGTATATCACAAGCTCTTATTGCTGACATTGAAACAATTGCTATAAATTTTCTATCCTCAGCAGGAGCAGATTCTGATTCTTCTTCTTTTCCTTTTGATCCTTTCTTCTTAGTCTTTTTATTCTTTTTGCTTTCTTTTCCAGGTAGCATATTCTTGAATCTTTGGGTTATGTAGTCACTTAAATTGTCCAATGTTCTTGGTTTTGAATATTCTGAAGTTGATCTTATAGCATCTTTTGTAAAATATAATTCACTTAATTCTAATGCAGATAAATTTGAGTTTTTTCTATTTATTTTGGAATTTATAAAATCTGTTATTACTTCTGTGTTTGATTCTGTTGATATGTTTTTCTTTTGTTCAGTATCTAATTCCATTTTCATCTTCTTCTTTTCTTTGAAATTTAAAGAACTTTCTGATTTACGCTTTTTAGGATTCTCTGGAGTTATGGTTGTTGCATCTTCTTGATCTTTCTCATTTTCTTCGTTCGTTGAATCTATTAAAGCCCCTTCATCCTCTGATATTTCAACTTTGTATTCCAAACCATCATCCAAATCATCAGCTTCTGCGGTATGTGGGGCCATCTTGAATTAGTTGTTTTCAATCTAAAGTGGTTATTGCAAAACGAGATGAGAATATGTAAATAAATTTAAGACAAAATATTTGTTTCACAAAATCTTTAGATTTTCAGACATCAGATCTACAATTTTTACAACCACCTATAACGTATCGTTAAAAGTTATGATATAACGTATATAACCAAAATGTTGTCGAAAAGAATACTACGGAATAAAATAAGATCTCTGTTTATCCAGCAAAACAGATCAATAGTGATAAATAATGATCTACGAATAAAGCTCGCGGAATCTTCATTACATCCTGTTGTAATAATTGGTGGTGGGCATGCTGGATGTGAAGCAGCTACAGGTTCAGCAAGATCAGGAACTACTACAACATTAATTACACCAGAAATAAGTAAAATAGGGACAGCTTCTTGTAATCCATCAATGGGAGGTGTTGGAAAAGGAACTTTATTGAGAGAAGTAGATGCATTAGATGGTGTAAGTTCCAGAATAACCGATAAAGCTGGTATACATTTCAGAATATTAAATGCGTCAAAAGGACCTGCAGTGCATGGTCCAAGAGCTCAAATCGACAGAAAAATTTATTTGAATGAAATGCAAAACGAGATTTGCAATTACCAAAATTTATCAATAATTGAAGCCCAGGTTAAGGATATAATTATAGAACCAACTCAGTCTGAAGATCAAAGTGGGAGAAAGTTTGGTAAAGTCAAAGGTATAATACTAGAAGATGGAAGAGTACTAAGATGTGACAAAATTGTGGTCACAACAGGTACATTTTTAGGTGGAGAAATACATATAGGATTAAAAGCATTTCCTTCAGGTAGAATGGGAGAAAAAGCAACTTTTGGATTATCAAAAACTTTCAAAGAAGCTGGGTTCAGATTAGGTAGATTAAAAACAGGAACACCTGCAAGATTATCAGCAAAAACAATTGATTTTTCAAATATGATTGAACAACCATCAGATTTCCCACCACAACCAATGTCATATATGAATGATAAAGTCGAACTTGAAAATCAACTTGTGAAATGTTATCAAACTCAAACCACTCCAGAATTTCATAAAATGATTGCTGAAAATCTTGATAAATCTATACATATAAGAGAAACAGTTAAAGGTCCAAGATATTGTCCCAGTATTGAATCAAAAGTCATAAAATTTCCTCAAAAACAATTTCATACTGTTTGGTTAGAGCCAGAAGGATTAGATACAGACTTGATCTATCCAAATGGTATATCATGTACTATGCCAGAAGAGATACAAGAGAAACTAGTTAAATTAATGCCAGGATGTGAAAATGTAAAAATGGAGCAACCTGGTTATGGAGTAGAATACGATTACGTTGATCCAAGAGAGTTGAAAAATACTTTAGAAACTAAGTTAGTGGATGGATTATATTTAGCTGGTCAAATAAACGGTACTACTGGGTATGAAGAAGCTGCCTCACAAGGTTGTATAGCTGGAATCAACGCAGGACTTTCTTACTTGCAAAAGCCGTTGTTAGAGTTGAAAAGATCGGACGGTTATGTTGGTGTTTTAATTGACGATCTTATTACCAAAGGAGTTGAAGAACCTTACAGAATGTTCACATCTAGATCCGAATTTAGAGTCTCCATCAGATCAGATAATGCAGATATCAGACTTACGGAATTAGGTTACAATTTGGGAGTTGTCGGTGATCAAAGATACAATCACTTTTCTAAAGAACTTCAGCAATTTGAAAATATAAAGAGCCACTTGAAAAACTTAAGGTTATCAGGAAGAACTTGGTCACCAGCTTTATCAGGTGCAGCAACAGATTTGAGGTCAAATAATCATGTAGATGGATGGAAATTGTTATCATACAAAGGAGTTTCGATTAACGATATGTTACCACACATGAGCAAATTTGTCGAGAAAGTACCAGATTTCTACAACAACTTAACAAGCAGATTATGTAATCGTATTGATGTTGAAAGTGATTATGAACCGTTTATGTTTAAGGAAAAAACCCATTTAAACGCATACGAAGCTGATGAAAATTTAGTACTTCCTACAAATTTCAATTACACTAATGAAGGTAACTTGAAAATATCTTATGAAGCTTGTTCAATTTTGAATACTATACAACCAAAAACCATTGGTCAAGCTCGTAGAATACAAGGTATTACTCCAACTGCTATTTTCGAATTATTAAAATTGGTAAGAAATCAAAGACAGTTATCAGCAGCCAGTATTTCCTAAAACACCCAAAATGTCATTTCATTGTTTATTTATTAACTACTGTATATAATATAAAGTCAAAATTTTAAATGTCAATATTAGCATTATCACCTTTTTTTTCAGTACCATTTGTAGTAGAATCATCTTCACCTAGCAAAGAAATAGTTTGACACAAACTATCATCTAATTGCATAAACAATTCCAAAGGCAAATTCCTCTGAGCAATTCCTGAGATTTTTTCAACATCTTTTGTAGAATCATTGTTACCAGCAAAATTTATTCTTTTCAAATACAACAAGACATCAGACATATCAACTTCTGTTGAATCTCTTGAAAACGCATACATCTTTAAATCATTCATTAGATTTTGTAAAAATGAATTTGATTTGGACTGGATCTTTCTTAATACTGCTTTTGACAATTCGAGAATATCTTCATTTTGTTCACTCGCTTCTTCGTTTGATTTGTTTTGATCAATGACATTTTGAACGATTTCATTGATATCATCTATTTTAATCGTATACTCTGTGTCACTACCTTCATTAAATTCATCATCGTCGTTCGATTCAATGATTCTAATCATTTCGTTAGTTTGATCATCAAATTCAACTAGTCTTAAAATTGGAATATTTTGAAGTGGATCTTCCACCTCAATTGTTTCTTTGTTTTTCATTATTCCGCTTTCCTCGAAGGCTACAAGTTGATCAGTTTCTTTTATTGACAAAGGCTTCATTAAATGATCTACATCTTGCTGGGTCTCACTTGATTTTTCACCTTCTTTCGTCAATCGTTCTTCATGCTGTCGTTGATCTTCCACCACTTCTATATTTTCTTGAGTCGCTTGTTTTATGGATCGATTTGTTTCCTCAGCTAATTGTGGAGCTTGTACATCTTCCTGTGGCTTTTCATTAACAAAAAGGCCTTCTTTATCTTCTACTTGCACTTCTTCTGACAGCTCTAAGTTTTCAATAACTTTTTGTGACTGTTCATTTATTGGTACTTTTACTTTCTCTGATTGTTCAAATTTAGTGATCTCTTCAATCAATTCACTATTATCACCCTTTCCACCATTTTCTTCATTCAGTGATCTTGATTTGACAACTATAACATCCAATTGTAAATTTTCATTATCTCTAAGTGATTTTTCCTCCGATTCTTCAATAAAGTCTTCTCCTGTTTCAATTACTTGATCCTGAACATCTTTTATCTCAGACTTTTCAGGCGCAGTATCTAAAACCACAACTTCAGCTTTATTGATATCTAGTTGAAAATTGTTTGGACTTGCCATACTCACATCTTCATCTTCATCTTCCACGAATAGTTTGTCATCACCAAAGCCATTCAATTCAACGGGCTCTTCCTCTAGATCAGCGGATTTGGGGTCTATTTCGTTTTCTTCCACCAATTTGGTACTCGGCCCTGCTTCATCGTCTTCAGTTGAACCAATGGTTGACATATCAGATCTAGATGAAGATACTTCATCTAATTCCTGTCCAATATCCTCTGGGGATTCTGAGATACCATTTATTTCCATACCTGATTCTTGGTTGTCTTCATCCATAGATTTTGTGGGTATTTTCTCCAAATCTGCTTCAATTACATTAGCGTCTGTGTTTGCAATTACGTTTACATCTTGGGGTTCAGCTAAAGCGGGTTCCGTAATTTGGTCATCATCTAGAATTTTTTTGTCTTTGGTCAAAGTAAAATCTCGCGTTAGTGCATCCTTGGTTGATATTATATCTGCTACTTCACCATCTTTTTCAACTTCTCCATCATTTTCCGCGACATCTTCCTGATATTGTTCCTGGTCTTGGTCGTTAAGTTCAATTGTGAAATTATCCTTATCTTCTAAGTTTTCGCCCACGTCAATTGGCTTGGACAATTCTCGATCGATGGCTTCTTCTGCTTCATCATCAACGTCACTAACAAATAACGGGTCACTAACAAATAGACTTCGACTATCAGATTCTTCATTTTCGGGGGAGAGTGTTTTATTGTTTTCATTAGCTGATGTAATGGGGACGAGTGGAAGCAGCTTCTCAATCTCGTCGTCAGCATTGGTTTGATCTAGAGCTCTTTTGTCGTTTTCTATTTGATCATTCCCCTGTAAGTTTTCAACTTCCTTAATCAATGATGTGTCAATAATCGGTGAAGAATTGTGGGCATTATTATCATCTCTAATTTTGTCAGGAATGTCTATCGTATCAATTAAATTCTTATCCGACTTATCATTCACTTGAACTAAGTCTTGTGCTTCCTGATTGTTATTTTCTTCAGGAACGTCAGATTTCTTTGCAACTTTTTCAACTGGTTCATCTTCTTCAATTACAAACGTTGGCCTCTTAAAAAATCTTTGTTTTGCAGAATTTTGACTTGAATTTCCACTATAGTATGAAAATGAATTTTGACTAAAAAGTTCACTATATTCAGTTTGACTCAGTTTTAAAATTTCATTATTCGGTAGATTTTGTTGAGATGTTGGTTCTGGAATTTGGTTGTTTGTTGTGGTAATTTCTTCAACTAGATCTGATCCTGCTGAATTTGATGTGGAAGATTTTGCTCTTTGAGCTGATAGTATTTTTTGTAAATAAGAAACTGGTTTTGAAGTTTGGTGTTCCGATGCATTATATAAAAATGGTGATACTGGTTCATTTTGACTTGAATGATTTTGGCGAAGGGTTTGACTTTCGATAATGACCTGTTGAGAAGTTATGATTGGTTCTGAATCATCAACTTGAGCAGTCGTTTGTGGGGTTTGATTGATATTTGGGTCCTCATTATCTGTTTGATTGTTTAGGTCGTTATATAATACATTGACTGACTCTGTTTCATGTGAATTTACTTCGTCGTTATCTTGACTGCTAATTGGCTCATCATTTTGTACTTTAATTGGTTCAAGTTTCCTCTTTTTATGCTGATTAGTTTCACCACTTTGGTATGTTGCAACTTTACATAGGAACTTTAGGTATTGAATTGTAACAGGACCTCTATAGTTTGCTCTAAAGTATTTTTCACCTGAATCAGTTACTATTATTGGTTGGTGTTTAGTCAATTTTTGAGGTCTTTTTTTAGTTGGTGATGACAATATGGACTGTCTTTGCGATTGATTTAATGACGGAATTGAAGATGATTTTGTAGGAGATGCACTTCTTGGTCTTTTACATGATAAGTTTGATAATGACTCACTAATCGGTTCATGAGCTGGTAATGATATGTTGTACTTGGAGGGAGACCGTATTGGTGATCTTGTTGGAGATTTTGATTCATGATTTAGTATCGGTGGTTGTAATAAATTTATATGTAGACTCGGTAGTAAAGTCGATGTCATTTTTTCCTTGCTACTATCCATCATATATACCTAATATGCATTTCTCTATATCTTTTCTTGTTAATCTACTTTAAGTTTGAGTATATTATAATAGTTGTTGTAATTACATAAATCTTTGTTATAAGAATTGGTTGTAAATTATAAATATTGATTTGTTTATGATTCGAAAAAAAAAATTTAAGCGGTTTTGTTTTTTGTGTATTTTTGATTTTGATAACCGCTACCAAGTAACTACTAGTGAGTTTTTATTAGAGATTTGTATTTAATTAATTCTACTTAAGTTTGCTTCTAAAAGAACATTTGAATAATAGCTCAATTGAAGATCTGCTGAAGAGGTAGCAGGAACAATTAATAGATAATAGGAGAAGTAGATCGTCATTGATAATAGTTTTTCTATTGTTGTGATTTAAGTACAGGATTAATGGCTAAAATTGAAGTTGATAGTGATCCAAAAAAGTCACTAACGGCCCCACCAAAACAAGCTTCAGACAATGGTGAGAACTTATTAGTTGCTTTAGTATCTGGCTGTACTGCTGCTGCACTTACTGCCACTCTAACCTATCCATTTGATTTTATTAAAACTCAACAACAAATCAATAAGGATGCTTATATGAAAAAATGGAAGATACCTGGTAATTATCCAAGCACTTTAGGTCAAATGTATAAAGGTGGAAGTGCTTTAGTACTTGGGGAAATTATCAAAAATGGTACGAGATTGATATCATATAATTGGGCTAGTCAATTTATGGCAATTGATTCTCATCATGGACAAACAAATAAAACAACTGCACCAAGAATTGTTATAGCTGGTATCATGAGTGCTACAATAGAAACTGCATGGATTGTACCATTTGAAAATATAAAGGTTACAATGATTCAAAATCAATCATTGCAAAATGAATTGACAAGAACTAAAGATTTGGGTTATGACATCACTGGATCAAAATCTCATCAATTATATCAACATCATCATAACAAGTTATCCAATAAACCATTATATTTGAGGCAATACGTATCACCCAATGCTTATTATTTAGAGGAAATTATAGATTCAATGAAAAGTAACAAACATAAATTCCAACCACCAAAATCAAAAGAAAAATTACATATTGAAAATTTAAAATCATACTACAACAAACATCCCTCATTAACATTATTTGGTACTATAAAGGAAATGTATAGATTAAAAGGTATAAAAGCATTCACAGCAGGTACTTTCATAACATACACTAGACAAATTGCATTATCGTGGGTTTGGTTTTCTTCATATAATGCTATGCGTCAATTAATAAACCCTCATCAAAAGGAAAACTTGTGGGCTAATAGAGATTATTCAGTAATAACTTCAATTGGAGTTCACGCAATGTCATCGTTAGCAGTAATAGCGGTAACTCAACCATTAGATGTTGTTAAAACTCATATGCAACTGAAAAATGGTAAAAAAATATGCAGAGATTCATTATCAACTGCATACAAGTTATTTTTAACTCAAGGACCATTATCAATGTTTAAAGGAGCTCTACCTAGATTCTTGAAGGTGTTGATAAGTAGTGGTATGACTGCAACTGTTTATGAATATGTTGAGAATATTGTTAATGCTGCTGGTGGTCAAACAATGTTTAAATTAGAGTAATTAATTTATAGAATAAGTCATTAATAGTCATTAAATTATACGTCTTCTGTATATACTTGAATTAATACTTCACCACTTTTGTGTAGTACTCCATTAAATGATTTAGCTAATTTACCACCATTAGAACTAGGTTGACTAAACGCTATTTGATTCTTGAAAAGTGATTGACCATATATGGAGTTTTCAGTTACAAATTTCAATAATTTTAAACCTAATCCCAATTGTCTCCATCTAGGAGATATCCAAATTCTCGATATGCCAATTTTAACTCCAGAAATTGTTTGGTTAGGTACTAATTTTTGATTTTTGAAAATCATCCATTTACCTTCCGTTATAGTATCCGTTGTGCATAATCCTACTGCTTTATTATTTATCACTATAACAAATGCTTTACTGTTTTTAAAATTTAAATTTCTCCATTGTTTTGAATCTTCAGTTGCATTTAATTCTTGATTTACCATTTTTAATATCTTGTCCACTTTCTCAATCTGTCTTTTGTTGGTTTTGTCTATTACAATAATTCTAGCTTTAACTATGTTCTGGGCTTTGATGGATTTTAATTTACCTAGTTTTGGCCTTGTTTCAGTGACAACTAAGTTGAAATTTTGTGCTAAGTAATTCGAAGGTGTTAGCGTATTCGGCCAACTGATCCCATTCGTAAATTCTAGATGATATTTCTTGTGTAAATCAACATCTACTGGTAATTTTGAGTTATACGTCATTTCACAGATGGTACATGTTATTGTTTTCTTGATGTTGTTATCTGTAAAATTTAGTATTGATTGAACCTTTTTGGTAGACTTGTCACTAGCAACTTTCACAGACATGTCGTCTCATATTAGCAAAGTGGATGTGGTTATTAACTGGCAAAATGATTGAATATGTTGGTAATTTGTTGTATTAATTATATATCCGTAAGATTTAAAGTTACTCGTAAACAAAAAAAAATTAAATCATATTTTTTTTTTTGCAGATTTCCCCAGATCTTAAATGTTTCAACACAAGTATAAATCAATTCACTTCAAAATATGTCAGAATACGCAAACTTATTACCAAAAAGTGGTCAATGGAAACAACAAATAACAGATTTTTTATCAGAAGATGTTCCATCATTTGATTTTGGAGGTTTTGTGGTTGGTGCAAAACCTGAAACTGCTTCATTATATATGAAACAAGAAGGTTTAATATGTGGTATACCGTTCGCTGCAGAAGTTTTTAAACAATGTAATTTACAAGTGAAATGGAATTACGACGAAAAGACGTACATCACATTGGAAGAATTAAAACAAACAAATGGGAAAATTGCTATAGCTTCAGTAAGTGGACAAGCTAAAAATATATTATTAGCTGAAAGAACTGCATTAAATTTATTGGCAAGAGCTTCTGGAGTAGCTACTCAATCTTACATCACCAAGAAATTAGCCGACGAGAATGGATATACTGGATTAATAGCAGGTACAAGAAAAACCACTCCCGGGTTAAGATTGATTGAAAAATACGCAATGTTAGTTGGAGGAGTAGATACTCATAGATACGATTTAAGTTCAATGGTAATGTTAAAAGATAATCATATAGCATCTACTGGTAGTATAACACAAGCTGTTAAAAAGGCCAAGACAGTTTGTGGATTTGCAGTTAAAATTGAAGTTGAAGTAAGCACTGAGCAAGATGCTCGCGAAGCTATTGATGCTGGTGCGGATGTGATCATGTTGGATAATTTTAAAGGTGAAGAGTTAAGAAAAGTTGCTCAATCTTTAAAGAAACATTATGATGGAAGTAACAAGGCGTTTTTATTGGAATGTTCTGGTGGATTAACTTTAAAAAATTTGAGTAGTTATCTTTGCAATGATATTGATATTTATTCAACTTCTTCAATTCATCAAGGTACTGGTATAATTGATTATTCGTTGAAAATTGATGTATGAAAAAGAGTAAAATATAGATAACCTTTTGTAAATAATATATGGAATTAAAATTTGTTTATTATCGTATTGAAGATACACTTGTTAATTCTAAACTTTGAAATCCGACGTTATTTCTTACTACATCATTTACATTTTTTAAAATTCTTGACGTTTCCGGGTCCATCTCTATAGAAAGGTCTTCCTCATCAATATCATTCTCATCTTCAGTAGGTTCATTATGATTTATCGGTTGATCTTTATTTGTACTAGTAGATAGTACTCTTTGATTCAATGAAATACCAGATAAACTGGTAGACCCACTAGCAATACTTAAATCTTTCAATAAATCCAGGTGCTCAATTATTCCCTTATTCAAACTAGTTGAATGACTTAATTTATCATAATAATCACTTGTTAAATATCTTTGAGGTTGATTCTTTCTACCAAAACATCTAATAGCTCTAATATGACTATCTTTACCTTCTTGATGATTTGCCAATATGAAAATCTTAATCATAAAACATTTTAATACTGCATCTTTTCGCATTCCATTGAATATTATATGAGACCATCCAATAGGTTGATTGAAATTAACAGTGCATACTTCAATTAAATCCCAACCTTCACTAGACCCTGCCATGATTTTAATTTTGCTTGGTGTATAACTTTCATCAAGTGAATAATTTGTAAAAATAGATATCCTTTCCAAAGAAACTTTTTTAATAAATTGTATAGTGATAGAATGTGGATTATTTAAATGATTATTTACTAAATTTGAACTGTTGGGATTTGTATTATTTCCACCATTACTACCATCACTTTGCCAATATGATTCTGGGTTATCTTCTCTTAGCTGCGCTAAACCAAAACCTTGTTTATAGGATGATAATTTCCAGGTTGCTAATGGTGATAAGTCAACTAGTTGTAAATTATCTAGTTCTTGTAATCCCTTTGTGTAATAAACTTTTTGAATTTGTTCTAAACTTGGTTGTGATGATGATGATGTACTATTTTCTTCCTGTTGTATTCTTTCTTCAATATCTTCATCTTCTTCATCGTCATCTTCTTCTTCAAATCTATTCCTACTATTATGACGATGAATATGACTTGTGGTAGTACCATGACTAATCATATCATGATCTATTGCGTCAAAATCATCATCAATATCTCCGTTTTCCTCCTCCCCTTCTTCTTCTTCTTCTTCTTCATCTTCACCAATATTATCATCATCATCAACATTGAAAGAAGCAGCATTTTGGTTCATTCTTTGAAAAGTTTCTTGTAATCTTTCATCATCATGGTTTAATTCATCATCTTCATCAATCAGTTGCATAAAATTATTGTTCGTAAATCTGATACTATTATTTTGATCATTATTATTACTGCCACTTAAAAAAGATGAATTAATATTATTATTTATTGAATGTTGAATTTCTTCTGGTGTAAATTGTGGTTGTAATTGAACTTCATGTTGAATAGGTTGATTATTAATTAATTCAAAAAATCGCTGAGATGTATTTAGTTGATCACTACTTGAAGTTATATTATTAATATCTGATGATAAAGTAAAATCTGATTGTAATTGTTGTTGGTTTGTTGGCTGTATTCTTTGATTTATTATATTTGATGATTCATTAGTATTTGTTGTTGTTGTATTCCCACTTAAATTAATACTACTATTGATATTATTATTATTATGTCCTGAACTTGATCTTTCCCAATACCCTGATGAATTCATTTATTCATAATCTTGATACCTCGTATTCAGGTCTTGATTAAATCTTAATTATTTCTTTTATTCAAATAAATGTTATATTAGATCAAGATCATAACTAATATGTTATTATATTGATTTAAAATTACGCGCGCTTTTGCAGCCATCAAAATTTATTATTATTTAGTTGTTGGACCAAATAAATTACAATAAATGGTTAGAAGAAATCTTTTAAAGTATTCAGTGAGATTTTTCTAACTCAATGTCTCTATTTGAAATTGCGGAGTCTTAATTTTTTAACCTAACATTTATGAAGTCGTTTGTTCAATTGATATAATCGTAAAAATATAGATTTTTGCAATTAAATATGTCATAGTTCAGATCAAAATATTAAATATAATAACTTGTTCCTTAAAATGTAATTGATCTCCAGATATAATTGACAATAGAGAGACATAATAACTTTAAAACTACATGAAGATAGAATTAAGTAAATTGGCATAATTCCATTACATTCACTAACATAGTAATTGAATTTAATATATAGATTTGTTTGTTCTAGTACTAATAAAAAAGCAATCTTAATAAACAACTAAATTAATTAAAAACCGTACACAAATATAATTTTAGCAAAGTGTGATACTTAAATATATTTTTAATTATTTAATTCATTTTCCAATTACTTCTTCATCATTTTAATTAAATTGTTCGATTTGTTGTTAAAATATCAATCAAATAGTTCAATTAATTCAATTTATCAACTCAATTGATTCAAAAATTTTGTACATATTCTTCTACTAATTCAATCAAAAATTTAAATCAAGGAGGAAAATGGCTTTATATTATAATTTAGTATTTGGATTATTAGTAATTGAAATGATATTCTTTGGAATACTTTCATTACCGTACCCAAGATCAGTAAGAAGAACTATTTTACAAACAGTATCAGCCCCTTTTAGAAATGAACAATTTCAAATTGCATTAAAATGTATTTTGGGTTTTGTTGGTGTATTATTTATTGATTCAGTCAATAGAGTTTATGCAGTTACTTCAGAATTACATTCATCAACTCAAGCTCATCCAGGATCTTCAATTATGAATGATAGATCAGAAATTCAAGCAAGAAGATTTTATGCTCAAAGAAATATGTATTTATGTGGTTTTACATTATTTTTAACTTTAATTTTAACAAGAACTTATAATTTGGTTGTTGAATTAATTGCAACAAAGGATAAAGTTGATGAATTGAAACATGAAGAAACTGCAAATGTTTCAGCGGTTAATGATGGTGATAGTGAAGAGATTTTAAAATTAAGAGCTCAGTTGGCTGAAAAAGATGAGACTTTAGAATTATTAAAAAGTCAAGCTTCTAGTTTAAATAAAGATTATGATGAAGTTTCAGAATTGAAAATTAGAAAATAAGTAACGGGAAAAGATAAATTAAGTACAGGAAAAATGCAAATTGCTTTATGTCTATAAATATTACCACTAACCAATCCACCAATTCTTTGTATACTAAAAAACTCATATTTTTTCAAATTCCTTAATTTTCATATGAATTACTCTTATGTTTCGGAGTAAATGCAAAATCATCACCTGCTTTACCCAAGAACATTTCAGTGGTTTTAATCCAATCTCTATAATCACCAGATGCTAACATTGTTTCTAATTCATTTCTACCTACCCATTTAGGAGGTCTTTCGTTTAATTTCGGTGGTAATCTTTCCATAATCCCCACTGGAATGTATCTATGAGTAAAACTCAAGAATTCACACATAAATCTTCTAGCTGTTGCAACTCCATATTCATCTGATCCCCAATGTTGAATTGCAAATTTAGCAAATTTTTCATACATTTGTAATCTTTCTGTAGCTGATTTATCCAAATATTGTTGTGCTTCAACTTCTTCAAATATCCATGGTTTTATTAATGCACCTCTTGCCACCATTACTGAATCTATACCTTCTGTTCCTACTCCTTTGTACCAATCTTCATGAGTGTAAACATCACCATTACCAACAAACCAGGTTGGATTTGCAGGATCACTTATTTCTTTATCTTCTTCTCTCTTGGTGTTCCATTTTGATACAACTTCACCAACTTCTGCTATATAATTCCAATCTGCTTCCTTTGTATATCTTTGTTGTCTTGATCTACCATGTAAAGTTATAGCAGCAACTTGATTTTCAGATAAAACTCTTTCTACTAAATTTTTAGCTGTGTTTTTATTTTCTTTTACTCCTGTTCTTATCTTAACTGTAACTGGTATATCACCACTAGCAGCATTCATAGCTTTAACAATTCTTAATAATCTTGGAGGTTGATCCAACAATGCAGACCCTTGACCTTGCTTATATAACAAATCAATAGGACAACCACAGTTCAAATTTAATTCACTTACATGAGTTGTATTTCTATAAATGGCTTCAGCAGCTTTTGCAGCTGACCAAATCTTAGAACTTGCAATTTGTACACCAAAACCCGGGTATTCTGAAATATGAGCTTTTGGTAATGCCCATTCTGGTTGATGTCCTTGAATTAATGGTACCGATAATGCCATTTCTGAGTATGTTACATCAGCTCCTAAGGATTTCATCAATCTACGATATGGTAGGTTCCCAACTGTTGTTAATGGTGATACTATTTTAGCATTTCTCAAGTTAATTTTTTTCTTTTCTGAGATTTTATATGGTGCTTCGACGTATGCTGATTCGTTGTTTTTCCTTTCTTCTTTTGGATCTGACTGCTGTTCGTTCTTTCCATCTTTGTTTATTGTTGATTCGATATAGTCTATTACAGGATTTGCAATTTTAAATTCGTATTTCTTCTTCTGCATTGCTACTTTATCTTCCTTATTAATATTATTCACTTCGAAGTTTGATTCTTTCGCTATTTTTAATTTCTCCAAATCTTTTATTAATTCTTTAGTCTCTTTATTATAATGAGAATGTAACCATCTACATTTCATACCTACAGGACAATAACCTAGTGCTTCAAAAACAGGGCAAGTTCCTTCTATATCTGGTAATTTCGATTCCAAATATTCTTCTAGGTTATGTGAAAATTTACATTGTCTATCTTCTCCAGCTAAGCATGGTCTTGTTTCATCATTTGGATCAATTAATGAAGAACATAACCTAATAGTTTCTTTTCTTTGTCTGATATCTCTATTTTTATTTTGTCCTCTTTGCTTTTTGTTATTTTTACCACCCCTTCTATTTCCATTTTGTTGCTCTTGGTTTCTATCCCCAGCTTCTGCTTCATCATCATCATATTCTACTATATTTTCTGTTATTGATGATGCAGGAACGATATATTGTGGTTTAATACTTGCTACTCCCTTCGTATATAATGCTGTGTTTTGTTTTTTTAGTTCTGTTTCTGCTAGGTTTTGAGCTTCTTCTAAAGGTCGTTTTTCTTGGACTGTCATATTGTGATTGTGGTTTTGTAGTTGGTTGCAAGAAATTCAAAAGTTGTATGGTATTTTATTTTTTGCAATAATTTAAAATCATCGCAGTGAAAAATAAATTTATTGAATTGTACATTTTACAACCAATTTAAAAGTGTTTCAAGTATAACAACACTCCGTGCAATATCATACAATGGTTGAGATTATAGAGAAGAGGAGGAAAGTAGATAATCAAAACAATGGATCAACGACCATAACAAAAAAGTCAAGACCTTCCAAAATTTTCAGTCCTTTCAGAGTTTTAGGAAATGTAACAGATTCAACTCCACTCGCAATAGGAAGTCTAGGTTCAACATTTTACGTAGTGACATCAGTAGGAAGATCATTTCAAATATATGATGTAGCAACATTACATTTATTATTTGTATCACAGACCCAAACCAAAAGTAAAATCACATGTTTTGCAACTCACTATCATTATATTTTTGCAGCAAATGGGAATGAAATTGGAATTTACAAAAGAGGCAGATTGGAACATAACTTAGTATGTGATACCGAAGGTGTCATCAATAATTTGTGTTATTTTGGAGAGTACCTCGTTGCAACTAGTTCAAAGGGAGAAATTTTTGTTTTCAAAAAATCACCAGACTTAAAATATCCAACTGAATTATATTCGACTTTAGATGAGATAAATACTGAAGTCGATGGTGAAATTGTAGGACTTATACATCCACCGACTTACCTCAATAAAATTGTTGTTGCAACTACCAGTCATATATTAATTATCAATGTTCGTTCTGGAAAACTTTTGTATAAATCACCTGTTCATCAATTTGGCGAAGAAAATATATCATGTGTTGAATTTGCACCAGTATTGGATACAGTAGCACTTGGTACATCATCAGGAAATGTATATTTATATAATTTGAGAAAAGGTGCAGTAATAGGTGAGAAAATAATAACATCAGGTTCAGAAGCATCAATTAAAGTAACATCAATATCGTTCAGAACCGATGGATCACCACATTTAGTTGCAAGTTTGAACAATGGTGATTTGTATTTTCACGATTTAGATAAGAATCAAAGGGTTCACATACTAAGAAACGCGCATAGAGAAGTTCATGGTGGTGTTTCAAAAGCTCAATTTTTAAATGGTCAACCAATAGTAGTCACAAATGGGGGAGATAACCATTTGAAAGAATTTGTATTTGATCCAAGCTTAACGTCCACCAACTCAACAATCATTTCACCACCACGTCATTTAAGATCAAGAGGTGGTCATTCTGCACCACCAGTGGCTATAAATTTCCCAGATGAAGATAAAACTCATTTCTTACTCAGTGCTTCAAGAGATAGATCATTTTGGAATTTTTCATTAAGAAAAGATGCACAAGCACAAGAATTTTCTCAAAGAATGCAGAAATCAAAAGATGGTAAGAGACAAGCTGGTCAAGTTGCTTCACTAAAAGAAAAATTTCCAGAAATAATAGCTATAACTTCATCTGATTCACGTACTGGTGATTGGGAAAATGTATTAACTGCACATAAAGATGAACCATTTGCAAGAACTTGGGATACGTCTACAAAAAGAGTAGGTAAGAATGTGTTGAACACCATAGATCAAGGAATGTGTAAAGCTGTATGTATAACTCAATGTGGTAATTTTGGTTTAGTTGGATCATCGTTAGGTGGTATTGGGGTATATAATTTACAATCTGGTTTATTGAGAAAAAGATATGTTTTACATAAACAAGCAGTTACTGGATTAGCTATAGATGGAATGAACAGGAAAATGGTAAGTTGTGCACTCGACGGTGTTGTGGGATTTTATGATTTTGGGAAATCCAAATATTTAGGAAAGTTACAACTAGATGCTCCTATAACATCAATGGTGTATCATAAATCTTCAGACTTGATAGCTTGTGCATTAGATGATTTATCTATTGTTGTTGTTGATGTAACTACTCAAAAAGTTGTAAGAGTTTTGGTTGGTCATTCCAACAGAATTTCGGGTTTAGATTTTTCACCAGACGGAAGATGGCTAGTTTCAGTGGGGTTGGATTCTACATTAAGAACTTGGGATTTACCAACAGGTGGCTGTATTGATGGTGTTGTTTTACCAATTGTTGCTACCTCTGTTAAATTCTCACCTATAGGCGATATGATAGCTACTACTCATGTTTCAGGAAATGGTATATCATTATGGACAAATAGAGCACAATTTAAGCCTATATCCACAAGACATATAGAAGAGGATGAATTTGCTACTATGTTATTACCAAATGCATCTGGTGATGGTGGATCAACTTTGTTGGATGGTGCATTAGATGAAAATGATGATCTACAAGATCAATTTTTTGGGAAATTTGAATCAAGCTCTCAAATTGATGAAGGATTGGTAACTTTATCAGCTGGTCCAAGAACTAAATTTAGTACTTTATTACATTTGGATACTATAAGACAAAACAATAAACCAAAGGAAGCTATTAAAAGACCCGAAAAAACTCCTTTCTTTTTGAATCTTACAGGTGAAGCTGTTGGTGATAGAGCATCAGTAGCTGAAGGTGCAAAAGTTGCCAACCAACAAGAAGAAACTGAAGAAGGTGGTAAACTTTTAGCATTAAACAAGAGTACAAGCTATGCATTTGAAAGTGAATTCACAAAATCATTAAGAGAAGCTGGTGAAAATGATGATTTTAGTTCATTTGTTCAATATTTGGTAAATCTACCACCATCAAAATTAGATCTCGAAATAAGATCATTGAATTCACAACCACCATTAACAGAAATGATAAATTTTCTCAAAGCATTAGTTTACGGTTTAAGAACCAATAAAAATTTTGAAATTATCGAAACTATATTTGCAATGTTTTTAAAAATTCATGGTGATGTTATACATCAATATGAAGACGAGGAAGAATTACATGAAGTATTAGACGAATATGTGCAAACTAATGACGAATTAAACAACAAGATAGATGAAGTTGTTAAATATTGTAATTCTGTAATAAATTTTATTAAATAGGGTTTTCTGTACTTAATAAAAGTATTGCTGTACGATTTGCCAACTCTATAGTGTATATCTCACTAGTTCACATTAGGTCCATGATTTGACAACTGCTTTGATAGTAAGAATTGCAATCAAATATGTGATATTGCTGATGCTACCAATTTTTCAGTAATGTAATATTACCGCTCTATGTCAAATATTAATCTCTTACATTAATATACTTTTACAACTCAAGTAAAAGACCAATAATACAATGAAATGAATATAGATATAATTGAACCAGCGAAAAGAGTACGAATACCTTCATTACATGCTAGCGGTAATAATAAAATATCGTCTTTTTTACAAACGGAAAATCAATTATATATTGGAAGTAGTAAAGGAGATTTATTTATATATGAAATTTCATCACAACCAGCATCAACCAATCCTGAAACTGATCGCCATACCACCAAAACATTTCCCGAAACATTCCAATCACTGGCTACTAAATCAATTCGATCTTTTAAATCTTTCCATGATACAAGACATTTATTTAATGAGAAACATGAATATGAATTAGTTAATTCTTTTATTAATATAGTTGGTGATAATTCAAGTATACAAAAAATCAAAATACTACCTTTCACTTCATCACATACAGTTCATAAAACTATTGTGCTAGTCATAACTCCAACAATCCTAAAGATATTTGAAATTGTTGGAACTCATACAAATTCAATCTATCATCTTGAAGAATTGAATTGTAAAGATGCATTATATTTAGAACATGGAGAAAATCGACTATTGTTCATTGGTGTCAAAAAAAAACTACTAATTTTCAAAATAACAAATAAATCAAGAAATGTATTACAATTTACAAAAGCTCAAGATTTGTCTTTGAAAGACAGAGTACGGACAATTAATAAATTTGATGATGATAATATTTTAGTGGCGGTAGAGAATGATTATTGGCTTGTAAACTTGAACAATTTCGTACCCAAAACTTTATCAAACATTAATGATCTGGAAGTCTTCAATTATGGTACATCATTTTCATATTTTGGATTATCTTCAATGGGTCCTCTGATTTGGACAATTCCAATAAATGTCAACAAAATGTTGCTAATTAAGGATACTGCAGTTGTAGTGCTTGTAAAAGATAAAATTGAAGTTCAGCCATCAAATATAAAATTCACCTCAATTCCACTAGCAATTAATTTCATATATCCAATATATTTAGCAGTAACATATTCCAAAAAAATTGAAATATTAGACATTGAACAAGGAACAATTATACAGAAGTTCATGCACCACATCAATGCAAATCAAGTTTTCACAGATAATACTGGATCAGTTATAAGTTTAGCATCAGGTCTGAATATCTTTCAATTTAATATACTTCCATTCCATAATCAAATTACTCAGTACTTAAGTGTAAGTGGTAGAGCTCAACATGGTAATGTGAAAGACCCTAGTAATGATTTAAAACTAATTGGTATAGAAAAGGCTATTGATCTTGTTTTCAATTTGGAAGTTAGAGCAAATAATGATATTTTTGATGGTGAAAAATCAAAAGAATTAAAATTAAGAGATTTAAATAAATTGAAAGCAACATATTTATTTGGGGTCTATTCAAAATACCATGAATCATTAGTTGAAATAGGATCAGATTGGATATTATCATTTCGTGACATACTAGCATTATTTCCTGATTTTTTGAATGGTGAATATTTATTACATAAAGAGGATAAATCAATTGATAGAAATCAAAATTCTGGATTTGTGAATCCCATAAAAAAGTTAACAAAAGAAGAATTAGAAATTAACACAATATCAGAATCTGAGTATGATACTGATATAACAACACGTAAACCTCATAGTTCATCATCAACAACAACAAGTAAAAAACCAGTGAGTATCAGAAGATTTATTAAAGCAGTCAATAATTTGATCATATATTTAACAGAACAAAGAAGAATACTATTGCAATTTTTTGATAAATCAAGAATACTATGGAAAGATGTTGAAATTGAACCAGCTGATATCTATCCACTTTTTGAAAATCAGCTTGAGGAAGTTGCAAGTATTATAGATACTTCGTTATTTTTGTGTTACTTCTATTGCAAACCAATGTTGCTTGGACCATTGCTACGTATCCCAAACAATCATTGCGATTCAAAAATCGTAAATCAATGTTTAATGAGTAACATCCACAATCATGTTCAGCAAAGAAACTTAAAGCAACCAAATTTTATTAGGGAATTATTGGATTTTTATTATGGAAGAAATTTACATAAAGAAGCTTTGGAAATGCTTTATAAATTATCTCATGATAAGGCATTTGTTGAACATTCAAATGAGGAGGATAATTTAGATGATGATTATGTACGAAGTCCGCAATTGACAGTACGATATTTACAAAAATTGAGTAATGAACACTTATCACTTATACTAGAATTTGCAAATTGGGTAATTGATGAAGATGAAAATAATTGTTTTAAATTGTTCATGAATGATTCATTTGAATGTGAGAATTATGATAATGGTAAAATTTTACATTTTTTGATTGTTAGAAAAAACATTGATCTTGCGATTGAATATTTACAATGGGTTTTATATAAAAGTGATGTCAAAGAAAAACTAAAAAAAGGTAGTCAATTTGGGAAATTTGAAACAAAATTGTGCATATTATATATTCAACAAATCAAAGACAAAATCAAAGAAGATGAATACTATAAAAGCTTATATAATTTATTACTGACAAGTGAATCATTTGATCCATGGCCTGTATTAAAAGAAATACCAACTAATGATGATAAATTTTTAAGACTAACAGTTTTCATATATAAAAAATTACAAGAACATGAAAAATCAATAGATGTATTATATAATCAATTAAATGATTTAGATGCAGCAATGGAATATTGTTCAGAAATGTACAAACAACCAAATGGTAAAATAACAGGTATAAATTTATTTCATAAATTATTAGAGGATTTATTAATAGATTCAAATTATAATGTTGATGATATTTCAAAATTATTAACTCAACAAGGAAGTAAAATGTCCATACAAAAAATATTCAAAATACTACCGATAAATTTCCCACTTTACAAATTAAAATCATTCTTAAATGAACAAATACACAATGTAAACAACAACTTAAACGACTCCAAAATGAATTCACAACTATATAAAATTGGATCAACTAACTTAAAATCAAAAGTTTTGAATTTACAAAATGAAGGATACAAGATAAGTTCAAGTAAACAATTATGTCCTGTTTGTAATGAAAGATTAGGTTATAGTTATTTAACAGTCACTAATGATGGTGATATTATTCATTATGGTTGTGCTCAAAAATTAAAAAATCAATCTAACGGTGACAATCAGGTTAAAGAAAATGGAAATTCTAATCATTTTTAAATTTTCTTATTTAATAAACGAACTTTTATATTCGTAAATCTGAATTCATAAATAACTTCCGATAGAATTTGAATATTTATTTACTGCTCAAAATTTTAAGCCATCTTTTTGCATATAATTTTATGTGTTTCATATTATATAAATAGCTGCAAAAAAAATAAAATTAATACTAATCACTCTATAAAAAATCCACTTCTTTTTAAATCAATAAGTGTACAGTTGTCTAATGTTCTTTTTATAAAAATAAAGATGCATAGCTTTTTTCATCTACTTCTCCTTGAACACTAGACAAGAAAATTGAATACACCCCTCAACTGTTCAATATGTTTAACTTTTTGGAGTTCAGTGTAAACAAATTGGTTGTAAATTTATGATTTCCTCCGAACTTAAAAACGTATATGAACAACAGCGTAAAAAAGACTTCACTTGGTCAAGAATCTTTTCAGTAATATTTCAATTGAGTTTTGGGAGATTTTACAGAAAATCATATATTTATGTAATAATAATATTTATTTAATAATAGATCTGGTGTGTTATTATTCCTGTCCCAATTGATAAGGATTTTGTACCTTGAAAAAATCTATAGTAAAATATTAATTTGAAGCAAAACTGAAAAGCCTAATAATTTTTATACTTTGAAGAATTGACACCAAAAGTAGCCTTCTATAAATGGAATAAACTCAATTTGATCATCAAACTCATAGCTCAGATAAAGATATATTTGTTCATCAAGTTTAATTTTACTTAGTATTTTGTATGATATTAACTGGATATACATAATAAATAAATTTATTCGTGCTTTTATCAATTTTTTGTTTTTTCTTAACTAAAAAAAAGTTGAACAACAAATTTTTATGAAATACCAGTAGTCTGGATCCTTGAATCAAGTTATAAATATAGACAAGAACAACCAAACAAACCAACTCTAGATCAATTGAATTAGATATTCCACTTGTATAAATTAATATAATTAATACTATCAAATTCATTAGGTTAATAAAGCTATACAAACACTACTAAATTCGAACTTTAAATTTCATCGTATTTTTCATTATCATATAATACATCTCAGTTTCTCAAATATTATTTATATATATTAATCAATTGCCAATAACCTTAATATAAATCACAATTACATAAAATGTCATCATCATCAGGATTGCAAAGACGTCGTGGAGCCAAACAATCAAGTGCGAATAAAGGTACATCGAATTCATTTGATGAAGATAGAGGAGACTATAACAACAACCATTCAAATTCAAATTCAAATATAGATAATAATAATTCAGATCATAAAATAGGTTATGATGATCGTGATATAAAAGATCGTAAAGAATTAAAACAACCTTTATTAACACTAATGGAAGAAGTTTTATTAATGGGATTAAAAGATAAAGAAGGTTATCTATCGTTCTGGAATGATAATATATCTTACGCGTTAAGAGGTTGTATATTATTAGAATTAACATTTAGAAACAAGATTACATTAGTCAACGATCCAGCAAGAAGAAGATTTGAATTAAGTGATAGATTAGTTGAAGTTATAAATACTGAACCAACAGGGGAAGTTTTGTTGGATGAAGCATTAAAAATTATGAAAAGTGATGAATCAAATTTATCAGTTACTAATTGGATTGATTTATTAAGTGGAGAAACTTGGAATTTAATGAAAATAAATTATCAATTGAAACAAGTTAGAGAAAGATTAGCTAAAGGGTTAGTTGATAAAGGAATATTAAGAACTGAAAGGAAAAACTTTTTTTTGTTTGATATGGCAACTCATCCAGTAGCTGATAAATTATCAAAAGAATATATAAAGAATAGATTATTAGCATTATTAATACTGAGAAATATTGATCTTGAAACAATATCAAATGATCAATTTCCAAAAGATGTTTCATTCAAGTATTTGAGATCAATTTCTTTAGTTTGTGGTTCATATGCAGCTAATGTGTTGGAAAATGTATTATTATCACTAAATTACGATAAGAGAGATCAAGCATTTGCAAGAGCTGATGAAATTTTAGCTGATTATTCTGAATTCCAGTTTAATTTATCACATCAAAGTCCTTTAGGTCTAGGGTTAAACTTAGGTCAGCAAGTTAGTTCAGAAATTGAAGAATCCTCTGCAACTGAATTACAATTGGAATTAATAGCTGCTGTGTTAAGTGTATTTGCAAGAATGGATTCAATTCTTTAATTTTCATTAGTAATATAATAATTATAATAAAATACAATTATATAGAGAAAAGTTTCATTACTGACTAAAATATATTTTTACTATTTATTATAACCTTCTATAGTCGTTTATTGTAAGTTCTTAAGATATTTACTTCTTGGATAGGATAGATTATTTTCTGAGTTATCTAGCGAATCAACACCACCTAATTGATTAACAAAATTATAAACTAGTGAATCTTCTCCTTGTTTATCACCTGATGAATCCCACCACATTCCACCTCCCAAGTTTTTCAGTTTAACAAATTGGCTTTTGACTTTAGCACTCTGTGGGTTATCATAGGATATATATTTTTTAGTTTTGGGATCATATGAATAAGCGCTTACTTTTTTATGATCAAACTCGCTTTGCTCCTGATTAATCTCATTATAATTCATAGTATCTTCTCCATCTTGCTTAGCAAATTTTTTACTTATTGAGTTTGAACCAACACCAGAAAATACTCTTCCATACATTGGTTGACCTAAGATCAATTTTGAAGGCAGCACACCATTTTGTAAATAAGTCTGTACAATATCAGCTGCATTCATATCATTATCTCCGTTAGCACCAAATAGATTCGAATGATAACCAGTGGTAGTTGACCAACCTTGACCTGAAAAATCATAACACATTAAATTCCAGAATGTGAGGTATTGATCCATTTCTTTGATCTTAAGGTTTTGAATATTTTGTTGTCCTCCTGGAGCAGCTATTGTTAAGATATATTGCAGAGGTAGACTCTGACGTAATTTCTTTAATAAATCAACAAATTTCCAACCTTGGTGATCACCACAAAATTCCCAATCTATGTCAATTCCATCAAATCCATATTCTTCCACAAATTGAACAGCGCTAGTGACAAAATTATCCATCTTGTTAGAGTCAGAAACCATAGCTTCAAATAAGTGGCAAGTTCCCCATCCACCAATTGACATTATTACTTTCAAGTGACGATTTAATTTTTTGAGTTGATAAAACAGTTGTAAATTCCCTTTACAATTTACACCATTTGTTGGTATATCCATCTCCAAATCACACCAAGTATCAGTAAACTTCACATTTCCCGAGATTCCATCAATTGTTAGAAATGCGTAAAAAATATGAGAATAATAATTCACTGGTATATGTGAAGGAAAATGTTTTTTATCATATACTGACCAATTTGCAAAATATACACATGATTTAAATTTCAGATGTTGTTGATTTAAAGATAGTGGAGTTTGTTTATGATCTAATCTTTTTTGGAAATTTTGAACTAACCTATGACACATTAAATAGCAAAAACAAGTTGGCAAATTATTAATAGAAATTTTGCAGTCAAAAAGAGACCAAAAAATAAATTTGGTTGTAAAAATTGAATTTACACAAATTTATATTACAATTACATGACAATCACCGCCACCATCATATTAATCACCAAAGCATATCAAATATAGGAAACGATGTTAGAATTGCCTAATGATATACCACCAATAATTCCACAAGGTTCCAAGATTTACAAAGATGATTGCATGTATACATTTGATACCCCAGAAAATAATGAATTAGGAATAGATATTGATTTAAAAACATATAAGGCATATTCAAGAAATTCTGATTATAATTTTACAATACAAAATTATGAAAATACGGGCAATAAATATTATTTAAATATAAATAAAATAAGAAAACCTCAAGAAGAAATTAATAAATTGTTGTATGATGATAATGGTGAAAAGACCTCTAAAATACCAAAATTAGAAGTTAAAGATGTTAATGTTGATGAATATTATAATACTGAAGTTACAATTTATGATGTTGAAGAAGATAAATACTACGCAAGAGATGAAATAAGTGAACCATTCAACAAATTGGTTACTCGAATACTCGAATCCAACTCGTCAAACAAGAATGATGAAATAAAACAATGGGAACAAGAAATAGTACCATGTCCTCACTCAATTGATGTACAACAATTTGAAACAACAACAAGACCAGACTTAACTCAATGCAATGAATGTGAACTTAAAGAAAATTTATGGATTTGTTTACATTGTGGAACATTAGGTTGTGGAAGACAGCAATATGGATCATCAATGAAAGGTAACGGGCACGCCTTAAAACATTACGAAGATACTCAACACCCAGTAGCATTAAAATTAGGTTCATTATCATCCGATCCGGAAAGTTGTGACGCTTATTGTTATCAATGTAATGATGAAGTTAAAGTCCCCAATTTATCAGCAATTTTACAAAAATATGGAATTGATTTACAAACTTCAGTGAAGACTGAAAAATCATTGATTGAATTAAATATTGATCAAAATATGAATTGGGATTTCAAAGATGATGAAAAATTACAACCTGTTTTTGGTAAAGGATTAACAGGTTTTGCAAATTTAGGTAACTCTTGTTACTTGAATTCTGTATTACAATCATTATTTGATTTAAATCAGTATAAAGAATTTTTTAAGGATATGGATTTTGATTATAGTGTGAAAAATCCAGCTGAAGATTTCAAGAATCAATTGATCAAAATATATGATGGGATATATAGTGGGAGATATTCCAAGAGTGGGTCCTTGAAAGGAGAAGATTATCAAATTGGTATCAAACCATCAACTTTTAAAACCTTGATTGGTCGAAATCACGTTGAATTCCAAACTTCAAAACAACAAGATGCTTTCGAGTTTTTGTTATACTTGATGGAAAAATTAGATGAAAATTTTGGGTTAACATTAAATGAAAAATTCAGCTTTTTGTTTACTGACAAAGTAGTTTGTTCAAATTGTAAACATGGTTCCATAAAAGATGAAATTATAGATAACATATCAGTACCTATAAATGATGAAGTTTTAGAAGTCAAAGATGGTAAAAAAATATACAAAAAGACAAATTTAACCAATAGTTTCAAGCAATTAACATCACCAGAAATTATAGAAGGTTTTAAATGTGATAACTGTAACGCTTCACAATCAGCTATAAAAACAAGTGGGTTTAAAACATTCCCCAGATATTTAATTGTAAATGCTCAAAGAATAAAATTAGAAAATTGGACACCTTTAAAAATAGACGTGCCAGTTGAGATACCGTATGATTTAAATTTATCAGAATTTTCAGCTCCTACGTTCTCAGGCGAAGAAGTAGAAGTTGAATCAAAAGCAACAGAAAGCTTAACATCTTTTCAACCAAATCAAGAAGCATTAGATACATTATTAGCAATGGGATTCCCAGAACCAAGATGTATTAGAGCATTATATACAACTGGTAATAAAGATCCAGAAACTGCAATGAATTGGTTATTTGAACATATGGAAGACTCAAATATAGATGATCCATTAGATTTAACTTCAACAACTACAACCGCACCAACAACAAATGAACCATCAGAAGAATCAGTGAACAACCTAATGGCAATGGGATTTTCTCATCAATTATCAAAAAAAGCACTTCACGTAAATAATGGAGACCCCAATGCTGCAGTAGAATGGTTATTCACAAATCCAGAAGATGATGGTACAATAGAAGAATCAACACAACCCAAGATAGATACAAAAAAGGAAAAATTAGAATTATTCAACCAGTTAAAATCTCAACCTTCTGGTTCAGCTAAATACATTATAAAATCTGTAATTTGTCACAAGGGTTCATCACCACATACTGGTCATTATGTTTCATTTGTTAGAAAAAATATAGATGGTATTACACGATGGGTGTTGTTTAATGATGAAAAAGTTGTATTGTGTGGTGATTCTTTGGATGATATTGAAAATAACTCATATATTTATATATTTGAACAAATATAAATAATCTTAATTGCATAAAGAGCTTTTGGACCTCAAATTTAAATTTGAATTTTAGCTCTCATGAAATTTCTAACAAATGGTTGAATTATCTATTCACCACATGGTATAAAATTGTTGTAATCAATATTTTAAATTATAGCTTCTATTCATTCCTGCATAAAACCCGATGTAAGAAAGTGACTCAAAAATGAAAAATAAATTTAATTTTCAAATTTTTCAGTCATAAAATTTATTATTTTTATTATCATACCATTTACTCCAAGTTTCAAAATATCAACTTTATAAGTGTGATTATTCACTAGTTACTGATATATATTCTATTTCTACTACAAATTATGTTTATTACAAACGAACATATTGGAGATAGAACTCGTATGGAAGATTGGAGAAGTATGTACATTAACAGAAGATGACTCAAATATATAAAGTTTATCCAAGAAAATCAAATTAATGCTCGTTTTTTACTAACATAAATGATCAATTAGTTCGAGGTTATGATCCATTAACTCCACCAGATTTATTACAACATGAATATCCATTAACTCCAGAATCTCAAAAAGTAATATTAGAAGGTCGTGATTCTGCATGTAATATATTAAATGGTAAAGATGATAGATTAATTATTATAATTGGTCCTTGTTCATTACATGATCCAAAATCTGCATTAGATTATGCTGAAAGATTAGAGAAACAATCTCAAAAATATAAAGGTGAATTATTAATTGTTATGAGAGCATATTTGGAAAAACCAAGAACAACAGTTGGTTGGAAAGGATTAATTAATGATCCTGATATCAATGGAACTTTTCATATAAATAAAGGTTTAAGAATATCAAGAAAATTATTTGTTGATTTAACTTCAAAATTACCAATAGCTGGTGAAATGTTGGATACTATTTCTCCACAATTTTTATCTGATTTATTTTCAGTTGGTGCTATTGGTGCAAGAACTACTGAATCTCAATTACATAGAGAACTAGCTTCAGGATTATCCTTCCCAGTTGGATTTAAAAATGGTACTGATGGTACTTTAGGAGTTGCAATTGATGCAGTACGTGCAGCTTCACATCCACATCATTTCTTATCAGTTACTAAACCAGGTGTAGTAGCTATTGTAGGTACAGATGGTAATAAAGATTGTTTTGTTATATTGAGAGGTGGTAAACAAGGTACAAATTATGATACCAAATCAGTAAATGAAACAGAAGAACAATTGAAAAAAGCCAATTTAATAAATGATACTCAAAAGGGTCCAAGAATAATGATTGATTGTTCACATGGAAATAGTAATAAAAATCATAAAAATCAACCATTAGTTGCAAAAGAAGTAGCTGAACAATTAGAAAAAGGAAATAAATCAATATGTGGATTAATGATTGAAAGTAATATAGGAGAAGGTAGACAAGATGTTCCATCACCAGAAGAAGGTGGTAAAGATGCATTAAAATATGGTATATCTATTACTGATGCATGTATTGGTTGGGAAGATACTGAAGATGTTTTAAAATTATTATCTGATGCTGTTAAAGCAAGAAGAAATTTTTATAAATAAATTAACAAAACAATCAAATTTTAATGAAACAAAATTCAAAGGTAAGCAATGTATATATATAGGTTAATAAAAATAAAATTTTAATATTTATTCGATGAATGTTACATTGTATATTAATGAAACCTTCTAGATATTGTGTAAATAGAAGTAAAATTAATTATAACAATTGCTACCAATTTACTTTCACATGGTAGTACTAGTGTTTCATTACGTAATGTTAAGAAAATAATAAAAAATTAATTTCCTATTTGTGTAATTGCATAGATTATTAGATTGATTATTATTATAGAACCTATTTAATTTAATTTAATTTATTCAATCTAACAACTTACAACTACTTTGTAATACTCATCAATCATTACTGCATTTATTTTATACTTAATTTTTTTCAATTCATTTATCATTGCTACGTATTAAATATCAGTCTAATATCTTCGTGCCAAAACCTGGTTCTCATTGTTTAAAATAATTTCAATAGTAAGATATATAATAGCCAGTAAGAAATTTACAACCAAATTAATTTTAATTATATTTTCCAATAAATGAGATCATTTATTAAAAGGAAAAATGATAATAATATACCTCATCAAAATGACTCACAAAATGATTCGAATATGACATCTACTGGAGTATCTAACCTCAATTTAGTTCATTCAAATTTCCAACCTCCAATAAATTATTACAATCTGAGATCAACTCCATTATCATCACCAAAATCTTTGAACTTTGCACAATTTACTCCTCCACCATCACATCATAGTAGTAACACAACAACAAATGGTATGGGATCTCCTAAAAAATTATTAACTCCAATAAAAAACTTATTTTCTTCAAATAAATCAACTACCAGTTCTCCTTCATCAAATGATAACTTACAAGATATTTTACAAAGTAATAGCAATACACCTAATAAATATTCACCAAAAGATTCCAAGACTTCCAGATTTAGAAAACATATAAGAAGTAAAAGTAATAATAATATTTCAAGTTTAAATGATTTTAAAAAACTACCCGAGGATTTACCACCTGCTCCAAATACTTATAAAATTGTTCAACCTTCTATGTCTTCACCTTCTTTACATGATTTACAATTATTCAATACATCAAAGTCTCAAGCTCAACAACAATCACAATATCAACGACCTCATCAATCAAAACAACAACCAACTAATGCACGATCCCAGACATATCAAAATTTAACTAACACAAGCCAAGAACCAATCTTCTCAGTAAAAGTGCCGATAAATCTAGAACCATCAAATAATTTGGGCCCACCAATAGACTTATCAAATGATAATTTCAGTAATATATCACTACCAGAAAGTAAAAATAATTTTTATACAAAAGATGTTTGTTTTGATCCTGCATTAAATTCATCAATTGAAGATAAAGAAGAATTCAAAACTGACCATACAAGTTATTCAAATGAATCACAAAATGACGATCACGAAGAAGAAGATGAAGAAGAAGAAGAAGAAGACAACACATCACAGTTCTCATTTGTACAAGATATGAAAAATGGTAGAAATACATCAGTGAAATACTACAAGACCAAGAATGATTCGACCACCAAGGCAATTTCAAATAACAAGATAGTTCAATCTACGTTTGATGAACAAGATTTAGGTTACGAAGATGAAGAGCTTTCAGATTATGATTTTGAAAATAATGGAGAATGTGTAGATGATATGGAAGATTATGATTATGATGATGAATTCCAAGGTGGCAATAATGCTTATGATGATATGTTTAACGATAATGATAAAAGTTTTAATGATCAAGACGAGGATTTAACTCCAAAACAATTAGTTTTTGATGACGAAGTGGTACAGCATCAAGACGAAGGTCCAGATTATTATGAGTTAAGTAGGATAGAAGAAGAAGAAGAAATTTCAAAATTGTATTTCACAAATGAACCATTGGTCAAATTAACAGAACCACCAGTATCATCAGACTCAAAATTTGAAGAATTTATCAAAAATCGATCATTTCCACCTAATAAAGTTTTTAATGCATCACACCATTTATCAATTCAAGGCACATCATTAAATTCATCAACTATATCAAGTCCAAAATGTTCAGATTTAGAAGAAGAAGAAGATATACTAGAAAATTACTTAGAGTCAGATTCAACTACTACTACCAAGAATAATCAAAACCAGAGAAATAATTCCACTATAAATTCATTCATATCACCAAATTTAGATCAATCAGAAACATTTGAGTTATTTTCATCTTCAAAATTAAATAGTCCCTTGATTAACGGAGTTACAATTGGTAACAATCTAAGACACCGAAATAAATCAAATGACAACAACAGATCATTGATTAATCGCGATCCAATAGTCATACAAAATAAAGAAGAGAGAATTGTAAGTAATGAACGTATTGCTTCATTTCATCAATCTTTTGATGAGAAATTGAATTTCAAAATTGGTGAAAAGGTTGAAGAATTTGATAATTGGCAAAAAGAAATATTTAAGAAAGAGAAGTTTAATAATAATGTCAAGGCTAGTAATGATTCAATCAAAGATAACGGAATTTGGAGTCAAGATCATTCAACAAAGAAAGAAGATAGCATTAATAGAGAATCAATATTAGGCATGATGAATTTCCTAAATTCTGTAGAAGATCAATCAATAATAAACCAAAAACAAAGTCCCAAAACTGAAATTGAGAACAAAGATGTTGAAAACGACTCAAACAAACTAAACAGATTTGACCTGATCTTATCCAGAAACTCAAGTAATAGAAGTTATATGCAACAACATAACCATAAAAATGTTCCATATAATCCAAAGTTTGCAAGATCGGAATTTAATCTAAATCATGAGTTAAGTGGTGAATGTTTAGAAATGAGGAAGAAATCTTTAAAGCGGTATTCTTGGTTTAGTGATTCTGAAGAGATCTCATTGAAGAATTTAGGTGGGTTGAATAAATCAGAGAATTCATTTGTCAAAACTAAAGAGTTAATAAATGAAAATGACGAAGAAATGAATCAAGAGTTGGTATTCAATAACAATGATTTCGTTAGTTTAAATAATGATTATGATCAAGATCATGTTGATAAATTGTTGGATGAAATCAATGAAATGCCAAATGATGAATACTAAAGGATATTATCTACAATTTAGTCATTTAATAAATAATTTTATTCAATTTAATAAATAATATCTATTTTTTCGTCTAAAATTAGTTCTATCTTTTTGCATTACCAAAAACCCAAGTATTATTCCTATACTTTGAATAAATACTTAATAACTCATCATCTTTTTCATCTTCTTCTTCAACCAATATAACTTCCACTTCTTTTCCCTTAAATACTTCAGTTGTAGATTTATATGAGATTGTTGAATTTTGACGTTGGATTGTAAACACTTCGTATTGATCTTTTGTGAGATCTACGATTATGCTTTCGTTATCGTCGCTTTTTGAAGTTTTTCGGTTGGTCTTTTTGATGGATTTAGGGGTAGAATTGTAATTGCCGAATCGAGTATCGTTATTGTTGTTTTCTCTGAAATCAATTTTGTAGTTTATTGGTTTTGGTGGTTCTGCTATTTTGATATTCATTTCTTCTGCTATTGCATTGTTAGGTTTATGAGTTGTGGATTTTATTGGTGATTGGTTGATGATTTTATTGTTTTCGGTTTGGATTTGTTTCAAAGCGTCAAATGAATTACCTCTTCTGTGTCTATTCAAAGGTAATGAAGGATCTATTGATTTTGATCTATTATGATTTTTTGGTAATTGTGGTGGGTTTTGATTTGTAGTGAAATTGAAATCTTGAATATCTATATTATACATTGATTTACCTCTTTTGTGTCTTGGTGGAGAAACTGTAGTGGGATGCTTGACAAAATTACATTGTAAATCAGGTAAGGTTTTTGAAATTTGTGGAGTTGTATATAATGAATTTTTAGTATTGGTTGTAAATTCATATTCTGAATCTTCATCTTCTATTGAATGTAATTTTAATTGTTGTTCTAAATGAAATAATGCATTTTTACTAGGTATTCTAATATTAGATTGTTGATGACTACTATTTGAACTATATTCAGAAACTGATGAAACGGTATTTCTATCTGAAAATACTGCGTCATTGTATGTAGAAGGAGCTTTTGAAGATGGTGATTTTATTGAAAATTGGTCCATTATTTTTTTATTTGATAAGTCGGGAATTTCAATTTGTCCTGATGGTGAATAGAAACTATACCTTGATTTTATTGATTTCGAATCTGTTTCATCGTCTGATGATAATTTTGTTTTAAGTTGTTTGTTATTTGTTATATTTTGGAAATTATTTGGGAAATTAAATGCTATTCCTAATCCATTATTTTTATCAAATAATTGTTCTTCACTTGTGGCTGGAGTTTCGTTATTTTCCGTAGGTGATGGAGTAGTTTTAGATTCAATCAGTTTTGTAATATGTAAAGGAGTAGTATCTTTTTCAAATTCTTCATCAACTTCACTCGCATCAGTATCTGACCAATCATCTTGTTGTTCTTCTGACTCTTTTGATGATGATTCCTTAATTTGTTCCATTGTTCTTTGAGTTGGTTCTCTACTTAAAGTAATATCAATCGATTTTTGTAATGAATTCCAACTGTTTATACTTGATGTTGAATTTTCTGAGAAATTGCTTGCATCTGAGGGGACTCTGCTTGATGCTTTTGAGTTTGTTGGTGATTCTTGTAAAGTTGATAATGTTGTAGGTATATTGGATTTTTGAGTCTTGTTATTGTTGGCGTTATTGAGATTGTTGTAAATTGGAACTGGTGGTGTTTTTCTATGTAATCTTTGAAATGATGCAAAATCTCCTGGTGAACCAAATGAACTTACTGATGTAGTTTGAGATTCATCACTGAAACAACGTGGTCGAAGTTCCAGTTTATTTCGAGGTAAGTCTTTTGATAAAAGTTGAGCTTGAGTTACTGATTTCGCTGTGTTCTGTTGTTGCGAAAGCTGTGGTTGTGACTGATTTCTTTTATGTGATATATTTAATGGTTTTACTACTGAATCAGTTGATCCATTTCTTGAATCAATTGGTGATGGTGGTGGTTTTCTTCTAGGTGATTTTGGTTCTTGTGATTTATTAAGTGTGGTAAAATCTTCAAAAGTTGGTGGTAATGCTGGTAATTTTTTACTTGGTTTATGATTTATATCTTTTTGAGATATGGATTTTGATTTGAGTAAAATACTTGAACTTCTTGAACCAAAATTTGACATTTCTTCTATCATACTTAATTCATCTGCTTCTTTGTTTTGATATGCTAATTTCAGATATTTTGTATTGTTTGTTGTTACTGATGGTGGTGACGGTGATATCTTCATTGATGTTGATAAAAATTGATTTAAATTAGTTGATAGGTTTTGTTCAGTTAATGAATTTGTGGACCTATCAAAACTTGATTCACTTATCTCATCATCTTCTGATGACAGTGATATATCTACTTTTTCATACCCTTGTGGTGTATATATTAAAGTTGTTTGTTTTGGCTTAGATCTTATTGGTGAATTCCCACTTCTTTTTGGTGAAGTTGATCTTGATGAAATAGTTGAAGCCGCAGATGAATTTGTCATACTTTCTGTAGAATTTGAATTTAAAGAACTCAATTTTGGAGGTAACTTTAAAGTTAATGGAATCGGTATTATATATTTATTTTGATTTATATTTGTATTAGGATTACCATGAGCAACTATATGTAGTTTTGAAGATAATGGATTTTTATATATATTCTTTAATTGAGTTGGTGTTAAATTGGGGGAATTAAAAATTGACCTTATATCATCATTATCTTGAGAATTTATTGAACCATTTATACTATGTCTATTTTTAGAATTTTTTACAGGTGATAAAGATCTAGCCCTCCTTTTGTGTTCTTGATTTAATGAAATGGGACTTCTTTGTTGTTGTTGTTGTGGTTGTCTTGATGATATTGGAGTTAATTGATTATTTTGTTGTAAAGTGGTGTTAAATGCTTTAATTGGAGTGGTTGGTAACAGTGTCATCTTGTGATTTTGAAAGATGAATTTAAAACGGACTTTTGTGAAAGCTCGATTATGCTTTGTTTATAATTGTAAGTTGTGGAAAAACTGTTGATTTTATACAAATGGTATATTCAAACCATTAAAAACTTTTCATGTAAAAAAATTGATCTATGAAATAAAATTAAAAAAAAAGATACTTGTTTTATATAAAACTATAATAGAACAATGTAAATCTGAAAGAACAAACAATGCAAAGTTGAGGCTGGATTGATAATAAATTAATTGTAAATAAATTAAATTTTTGAAATATTTTTTAATGGGTATATGTTCGAGACAGCTACCAATTTATTTTGATTTAGTCTTTATTAGGTAAATTTGATTTTTATTAAAATTGATTTTATCAAAATGTATAACAACTTAAATTAATAAAATATATTAAAAATACATGTAGGTAAAGGGCTGGCTAACAACAACTATTATTAATCCCCATGATCCTATTAATTAAAGAATAATATATATTTGATCTAGTAGTTCAATCAACTAAAGGGTCCATGGATTAAAAAATTTAATTTACTCATTATTTTTAGTACAAAGATTGATCTGGAATTATAAACTTTTGAAACATAAGGGTTTTAAATGAATATAAGAAATATATAAAATATATCCAAGACAATCTTATTTATAAAACTTCTCGTAAAATTTTATTCTTTTCTTTACAATCAAATCAATTACGAATAATTCAGAAAAATTTCTTCTTTTAGGTCTAAATGAAAATTTGATGAAACAACAATAGATTTTAATTGAATTAATTTTTGACGATAAATAATTTGTTTTGTGATTGTTTCAATTCCGTTTACTAATTGGGGCTCATGAATTTAAAATACAACAATTAAATCCGACGATCCTTCTTTGTCCAAACTTGATGTCTTGCAAGTAATAATTACAAGTATAGACATGATTTGGTTAGTTAAACTAAATTCGATGATCCTTTTAAATCTCAAATTATCAAACGAAAAAGTCAAATTTTGGCTGGATATCAGTACGAAATAATTGATATTTACGAACAATCATACCATTAACAAATCAATTCCAAAAAAACTTGCATTTGAGCAGTCTCTTATACACGATAAATAAATAAGCTTCATAAATCGGTATTGCTTCAAGAGATTATAACTTGTGAAGTAAAATTGGTTGCAAATATTTTATATATAAAAAGTAATTCGTGTAACATTTACCAAAAAAGTTTATATATGAATTTTTTATTAAGAAAAATCAAATTGGGAAGTAAAAAAATTTATTATTGTATTTAGTTCAAGTTTTTTCTTTCGCTCAAATCAAGAAACAAAGTGACTTTACAATCATAAAACCAATAGAAATAAAGATTTAAAGGGTATGAATAATTCAAATTTATTTTTAAAATCAATATCATTCAAATCTTTAAGAAGGAAAATAGCAATATATATAATAGGATGAAATTTGTTTTTAATCAATATGTTTTTTCTGGCATCTCTAATATTAGAGATTTTTCTCAATGCTTATACCCTTGACTAAACTTATCTGATTATATATTTTGCAAGATTTACCAAAAAAAGCTTATAGAGATTTGATTGAAATTTGCCTGAATATTATTACTAACTTGTTGTGAAGTTTTTAAGATCAAAAGATCTTTATTTAGACCAAATCTTTCGTCTATATTGTATTTTTAGTAAGAATGTACATTCCGAATCAATCTCTCAGCCTTTAGTTGGTTTGAAATTTCAAAAAGCTTTATGAACTCTTAATCTTTATTTCAAAATATAATTATACATCATTTAAATCATTTCTACATGGTGGTGCTAAGTTTTTTTTTTTTTTTTCTTACTTCGTAAAAATGTCTCATATTTTAAAAAGGAGAATCTTTGAACTTGAATATCTTCAGAAACTATACCTGAACAATCCACTGCTACATCATTTCATGATCATGTCTCAAGATTATGATTCTGATCCAGGTGAAAGATTTTTACAAGATGAATTAATTGATTTAATTACAAATGGACCTAAAAATTCAAATAATAATAACAACCATAATAATCAAATTTACAACCAATATCCATTACGTCAAGTTAAATTAATATTAGATCAAACAGCATTTGTAAGAGGTATTGGAAATATCAAAAGATGGTTTAATGAAGAATATATTAATCAAAATTTTAATAGAAATTCAGATCCTATTTTATTAAATTTGTATATACCATCTTATACTTTACATGAATTTGAATTTGTTAAAAAGGGAACTTCAATAAGTGCAACAAATGCAAGAGAAGCTATAAAATTTATTGATCAACATCTTGAAAACTATAACTATCAAGATCAGAACAACTTGAATAATGAGAATCAACCAAATGATCAAATTAAGTATAATGTAAATTTAGAAACTCCAAATGATAATACACCATCATGGAATCAATGTCTTAAATACAAAGTATATTCACCAAAAATTAAAGATTTCCCAAATTACAAGACAAGATTTGAATCAAGTTTATTGCCATCACAACAACCAATAACAACCGAAACAAACAATCAAAAATTTAGAACAAGATCAGAAAGGAAAAATTCAATTCACGATAATAAATTTCAAATTCATTATGAAAATTCTCCTTCGTATCAAAATGCTTTACAACATTCAAATTCATTTGCTGAAATGCCTCCAAGATTAAAGTATTTAATTAGAACATGTATATATAAAAGATTTTTAGAAAAATCACCACCTTCTTCATCTAATTCTTCACAACAAAAGAGAAATAGTATAGAAGAATGGAAATTAGTAACTGAAGATTCAATAACTAAAATTTGGGCTCAATCATTTGGAATAGATTGTGTAAATGTTAACGAAGCAGAATTATTAATATTTCAAAATTACGACGTTAATTCATTTAAGATATATAATCCATTCTCATTAAACGATGATGAAATTGAAATCAACAATATTTTACAAAGTAAAATAGATACAACAACATTATATCAATATGAAACAATAGATCAAGAACCCCCCAAATTAAATTTTAAATATAACAAAAGAGGTAATAGAAGAAATTCAGGAAATCCTAAAACTTATATAGCTAATGAAGGTGCTGTTCATGAAGAAATTGATAATAATTCTGTCAATGGATATATTAAAAAGGAGAAGTTTCAAGCTATTAATTATGCACCAAGAGGTAATGGCCAATTGTGGAGACCATAGGAATTTTTTAAAAATGATGGTTCTTGGGAACCAACAATTGTTTGTTTCATGAACTGGTTGCGAGTTTGGTTCAAAACTAATCAATTCTACTAATCAGCGAGCATTTTCACTCGTTAATTCATATTTCAAAATATCATAGATTGTAAAATAATGATTGGTATACTATAAGATTAATCATAAAGTTTTTTAGCACAGGCTAACGTATAACTTTTTGAAGTCTTAAACTCACTAATTTTAGCTATTTAGTAAATTGTTTTAGAAGTTCATTAATATATAAATATATTTAAGACCATTAATTTAGTACGACCAACAGGTTGTAGATTCATGTTATTGACATATTGTTTGTTCTACTTTGTATATAAGTTTATTGTCGTATTCTGGGGTTTCTTGTCGTAAAAAATTCCAGAATTCTCCTCATTTATTGAGATGTCTTAAATTGTAAACCTTCGACAAAAAAGAAAAAACTTTAAAATTAAAAAAATATTGTAAATAAAAGAATTTTAAAATTGTTAAACAAAAGTGAAAAAACTAATACTAAGTAATAATAATAATAATAATATTTTAATATAATTAATCAATCAATCAATCAACTATCATCATTATTATCTTTCGTTTTTTATAGAGAAAGATCTTTGGATTGTTTAAGATTTGTGTATTGAGGAATTAATTTCTCATTATACTATTTCACATTTTTTACTTGCAATTTATACATTCACTACTATTTATATATTATTTATTTTCATTCAGATCTAATAATTTCAATAATATACCATAAATCTATTGTAAATCTACATAACTAATTAATTAACATACAACATAACTAAACTATATCATAACATAAATTTTTTCCGAAAATGAATCGTATGCCGACAAAAGAGGAAATTCAAAAAATAGTTCAACGTTGGCATCAATTAAGAGAACAATATGGTGATCAAGTTGTTAATGTACCTGAATTTACTCAATTAAATAAAACTATAAATACTATAAAGCAACATCAACAGCAATTGCAACAACAATATCAACAACAGCAACAACAACAACAACAACAACAAAATATGGGAAAACAACCTATTCCTCCACAACAACAAGTGCAGCAACAACAGCAAGCACATCAAACACAACAACAGCAACAGCAACAACACCGTCAGACTTCTCAACAAGGAACTCCTCATCAACAACATCCTGTACCACCAACACCTCAACAACAATTTGGAAGTAATAACAATAATAATAATAACTTTAATAATCAACAATTTTCTGCTCAACCAAGTCATTCACCAGCTATTGGGATAAATCTAAATAACTCTGCTAATGGAACTCCACTATCTCAAAATTCAAATCTAGCTGCTGCTGCTGCTGCTGCCAACATAACTAATAATAACACTAATAACAATTTTACAAATGATAGGTTTCCTCCTCAATTTGGTAATAATCAAGAAATACAAAATAATGGATCTCAACCACCTCAATCACAAATGCAGAATCAAGTTCCCAACAACAACTGGTTAATGAATCAACAACTGCCAATAACCAACTCAGAATCTGCTTTTACAAATCAACAACAACAACTATTTAGATCTCAAGTTCAAGCATTAAAATATTTAGTAAAGTCTAATCAAAATCCAATACCAACTAATTTAATATCATTTGTTACTAATCCTGCTTCATCTTATCCAAATGATAATTATCTACCAGCAACAGCTTCAAAGCAAAATAATGCAAGTGTTGATTTAAGTCAACCATTTCCTCAACAACCACCACCTACTTCACAAATGCAACAAAATACACCTAATTTACCAAATAACACCAACGTCAACAATCTGAAACCTGAACCTGAGAAGAAGAAAGGTAAAAGGGGACCAAAACCAAAGAACAAAGATCAACCTAAAAAGATGACTAAAAAACAAATGAGAGAAGAAGAGCAAAGATTAGCAGCTGAAAGACAAAGACAAATGCAGGAAAATCAAATAAAACAAGAGCAACAAATACCTCCGCAAAAACAACAACTAGGACCAGTGCCGCCAAATCAACAACAAATGAGACAATTTTCACAGAATGGCCCACCTCCAAATCAAACTCAATTCCAGCCCCAAGTGAATCAACCAACGAATTTGAATGTGTCTGCTCCACCTACTCAATCTCAACCGCAACCAACTCAACAATCTCCATATGTATTTGCTGATCCTTCACCACCAGTACTTCTTAGTAAAGTTGTTAATGAAAGCAATAAAGAGAAAAAAATAGTAGTTCCAATTACCGAACCAATTACGGAAGTTGATACTTTCCAAATTGCAGATATAGTGGGAGAACATGCAAAAGATGTTCCATTAAGTACTTTATATTTACCACAAAGTAGATTTCAAATACCATCTTTAATGCCAGATACAATTGATATGGGTCAAATAGCTGTCAATCGAGAGCTATATATGTTATTGAGTATAGAAATGGAAAAAGATTCAATTAAAAAAGGATTATCAATGATAGATGAAGCAGAATCTGAAAGAAGAAAAGAATTACAAACTAAACTTAATCTGTTGGAAATAATAGCGAACCAGAAGGAAGCGAGAGGTAAAGTATTAACTCAAATGTGGTTTAATAAATCTTTACTCCCAAATTCGCATCCAAACTTTTTGGCCAGATTTAATACTTTATCAATGGAAAGTGTTGCATTAACTATAGAATTGTATCGTACTCAATTAGAATCACAAATGGAAGAACAATCTAAAAAACATACTATGATTGTTGAACAAGTTTTAAATTCAACTAATAGAACCACCATTAAATTTACCAAAAGACAAGAAAAAGTTTCACGTTTCATCAGCAAAGTTTCTAATTTCCATGCTCAAACTGCTAAAGAAGAACAAAAGAAACTTGAAAGAATGGCCAAACAACGTTTACAAGCTTTGAAATCTAATGATGAAGAAGCTTATTTAAAACTCTTAGATCACACAAAAGATACTAGAATTACTCATTTATTATCACAAACTAATCAATTTTTGGATTCATTAGCACAAGCTGTTCAATCACAACAGAAAGAAGCTCAAGAAAATCTTGCTAGTGCTGGTCAAAATCCTGACGAAGAAGCACCAACCGCAGCAGTCAACGAAGATGATAAAAGAGAAAAAACAGATTATTATAATGTTGCTCATAGAATTAAAGAAGAAGTTACCAAACAACCCTCAATTTTAATTGGTGGTACTTTGAAAGAGTATCAATTAAAAGGTTTACAATGGATGGTTTCATTATTTAATAATCATTTGAATGGTATATTAGCAGATGAGATGGGTTTAGGTAAAACTATCCAAACTATTTCATTATTAACTTATTTAATTGAAGTCAAAAAAATTTCTGGGCCATATTTAGTTATTGTTCCATTATCAACAGTTACAAATTGGAATCTTGAATTTGAAAAATGGGCACCTTCAGTTAAAAAGATTACTTACAAAGGTACACCAAATCAAAGAAAAGTTTTACAACATGATATCAAAATGGGTAATTTTCAAATTCTTTTAACAACTTTTGAATATATTATCAAAGATAAAGCTTTATTAGGTAGAGTTAAATGGGTTCATATGATTATTGATGAAGGTCATCGTATGAAAAATGCGAACTCCAAGTTATCTGAAACTTTAACTACAAATTATCATAGTGATTATAGATTAATTTTAACTGGTACTCCATTACAAAATAATTTACCTGAATTATGGGCATTATTAAATTTCGTTTTACCAAAAATTTTTAATTCGGTAAAATCTTTTGATGAATGGTTTAATACACCATTCGCTAATACTGGTGGTCAAGATAAAATCGAGTTAAGTGAAGAAGAAACTTTATTGGTTATTAGAAGATTACATAAAGTATTAAGACCATTCTTGTTAAGAAGGTTGAAAAAGGATGTTGAAAAAGATTTACCAAATAAAATTGAAAAAGTTGTTAAATGTAAGATGTCATCAGTACAAGCTAAATTATATCAACAAATGTTACGTTACAATGTGTTATATGCTGGTGATTTAGAAGATGATAATGCTGTTGTTCCAATTAAAAATGCCAATAATCAAATCATGCAATTGAAAAAAATATGTAATCATCCTTTTGTTTATGAAGATGTTGAAAATTTTATAAATCCAACGTCTGAAAATAATGATCTAATTTGGAGAGTTGCAGGTAAATTCGAATTGTTAGATAAAGTATTACCAAAATTCAAATTAACTGGCCATAAGGTATTAATTTTTTTCCAAATGACTCAAGTCATGGATATTATGGAAGATTTTTTAAGACTTAGGCAAATGAAATATATGAGACTTGATGGTGGTACTAAAGCTGACGATAGAACTGAATTGTTAAAATTATTTAATGCACCAGACTCAGATTATTTTTGTTTCTTGTTATCCACAAGAGCTGGTGGGTTAGGTTTAAATTTACAAACTGCAGATACGGTTATTATTTTTGATACCGATTGGAATCCTCATCAAGATTTACAAGCTCAAGATAGAGCACATAGAATTGGTCAAAAGAATGAAGTTAGAATATTAAGATTAATTACTGAAAACTCAGTTGAAGAAATGATCTTGGAAAGAGCTCATGCAAAATTAGAAATTGATGGTAAAGTTATTCAAGCGGGTAAATTTGATAACAAATCAACAGCAGAAGAACAAGAGGCAATGTTGAGAGCATTAATTGAAAAAGAAGATGAAAAGAAACATAGAGGATCAGATGAAAAAGAAGAAGATTTAGATGATGATGAATTAAATCAAATTATCGCAAGAAATGAAGGAGAATTGGAGACCTTTAAAAGGTTAGACGAAGAAAGATATATTGCAACAAGAGATGCTACATACCCATCAAGATTATTATCAGAACAAGAATTACCACCGATTTATAGAAAGGATCCTGAAGAAGTTTTGAAAAAAGAAGATATATCAACTGAAGATTATGGTCGTGGAGCAAGAGAAAGAAAAACTACTAAATATGATGATAATTTAACTGAAGAACAATGGTTAAAACAAATCGATGGAGTTGTTTCAGATAATGATAGTGAAGAAGAAATAGATGATGATTTAGATAGTGATGATGAAATAAAATCAAGAACTCCATCAACTAGAGGTAGAGGATCTGGTCGTCGTGGTCGTCCTGGAAGAGGTCGAGGTAGAGCCAGAGCTACTTTTGATAGAGAAGATAGTTATATATCAAATACTGAAAATGGTGAAGATTCATCATCTTCAAAGCGTTTAGCTGAAGACGAATCTGAAGATTCAACCACCTCAAAAAAACAAAAACTTGATACTCCAGAAGTTGGATCAAATAATGAAACTAATGCTCCATCAACTGCTACTACTACCACTCCATCAGAAACAACAACCACCAACAACACAGCGCCTACAACAGCTAGTACTAGAGGAAGAGGCGGTGGCAGAGGTAGAGGTCGCGGCCGTGGTGTTGGGCGTGGAAGAGGAAGAGGAAGAGGTTCATTATTATCAAGACCAACACCATCGATAGATCCATTAACACCAGACGAAAGAGCAAGATTACAGAATGAAATTGAAAATATTTTAGGACTCATAATGAATCACACAGATGAAGAAGGTAGAAAATTAAGTGATTTGTTCTTAGTTAAACCTTCTAAAAAATTATATCCAGACTATTATATTTTAATTAAACATCCAATTGCACTTGATGTCATCAAAAGAAATACTTCAACTAATACATACACCAAAATTAGAGAGTTTTTAGAAGATATTCATTTAATGTTTAGTAATGCTAAAAAGTATAATGAAGAAGGATCATTTGTTTATCAAGATGCTGTTACATTGGAGAATATATGTATCAACAAATTAAAAGAATTATCAAGTTCATTATCACAAGAACAAGTTGATGAACTTTTAGATTTTCAAGAATTTGATCAAATCTTTTTATAGAGAAGTCAAATAATTTTAGTTTTCAATTTTTAAATATATCGATAAAATGTATATTGTATTATAATAAATAATTAAACAAGTTTTAACATCACTTCTTTGTATTTTATTGTGCACTATAAGCAGGTAAATGATCATCAATATCTCGATTATTCACAACATCATTCAAAACTGCATTAAGTTGTTCAATAAACTCAAATAAACCACCATCTAAAAATTTAATCTCACCTTTGTAATACTGTTCTGGAGGAAACCCATCACTTACAAAAGACGGTTGTTTAGCTGAAAAGAATAAAAATTGCCAGTAGTTTGCACCAAACCATGGTGATATTAACTTATGATTTAGTTTCAAGACAGAAGCTAATGTTAGATCTATTACAAATGATTCTATATCTCCCTGAGTTAATGTTATGTATATGAGTCTTTTTGTTGTTAAGTATATGTATCCATCTTGTGCTGTTATTTTTAATTTAGGTTGATCTGGTTGTGGATTATTTGATACTATTGTGAGATTTTGTCTTGATGTTTTGCTTTTGTACTTTAGATGTTCTATTCCATCACTACTTATTTCAAAAGGAAGTTCGCTTGATTCTAATAGTTTTATATAGTTTGGTTTCAATATTACTCCGTTTATTGACATTATTATGTTGATAGTAGTTGTGTAATTGATAAGGGGAAAAAGAAAGGAAATTTGATAATTTGATTTTGTGTTTTAAACAAATCTATTTTGCATCTTCAATTAATTTAAAGAATAGTGAAGAAGAAGAAGATCAAAGATTAATGAGCAAAATAGCTTTGAGATCTTTTAATCCACTACTAAAAGATTCGTTTTTTCTACTACCTAGATTTACACACGAAAAGTCACAACTCAAAAATGCAGAAGAATGTCAAAATATAATAAATAAGTTAAATTTAAGAGATGATTACAATAGTAAAAAATTAAATATTATTGATGTTAACCCTGGATTTGGATTATTTTCATCTATGCTTAATTATGAATTAAAACCGAAGAATCACATTTTACTAGATAAACATGAAGAAAATTACAAGAAATGGAGTAAGAAAATAGAACATTTACAAACTGTGAACCAAAATCAAGAAAACTTCAAAATTTTAAAACATGATCCATTTATTTGGGATACCTATGACAAAATCTTTCAAAATGGAATAATAGAAGAGTTGAAACCACAACCATACGATAAACTCAATGATGAATTGCTAATAGTAGCGAATTGGACTGGTAAAGGAGATGAGTCAATTATAGCTCAATGGATAGGATGTTGTGGAAATAGAAATTGGTTAATGAAATATGGGAAAGTTAGAATGTTATTAATGATTCCATCTACTACAGCTATGAAATTTTTAAGTGAACCAGGATACAAAAAGAGAAATAGAACTTCATTAAAAAGAGATTTATATACACATTCTAAACTTATAGCAATTGGTGATGATTCTGATATTTTAGGTAAAGGATACGATCCAAGAGTTTTGGTACGAGATCAACCAATAGTTTTGAAAAAGAATGCATTTTTAAGAAATTCAGAAGTTGCTATAATTGAAGTATTCCCCGGTGAATATCAAACAGATTGTATTTCAAATATCGAACATTTACTATCTGCTATGTTTGTAAGTTCTACAAAATTAAAAGATCATTTACCTAAATTAGCACCTGGGGCTGAATACTTAGTTAGTTTGTTATCAGATGATATATTAGAAAAGAGAGCTTCTGAATTTACTAAACAGGATATTTTAGAGTTTTCAAACGCTTATGGTCAATGGCCGTTCAAACCTTCTATTGAGGAAACTTTTGATATTAGTGAAGAGGATTTTGCTTAAGTCGAAGCAGGGAGATATTGTTATTGTATATTACTGTAAATAGAAATTAATAGACACTTGTATTATTTGGTGGGGATAAATTTGACACAACTAGCAGCTATTTCTTACAACATCGACTGAATGGCCAGTCAAAGTTGCAATCAAACTTGGGTATAATTTGGAGATGCAGAAATTCCAGTTGATGATAAAATGGGAGCAGTTGCACTTCTTCTTTGTTCATATTCAGTTTTCTTATACTCATAAGGTGATTTAGGTAGGTTCTTCAAAATTGCATTACTATTGTTAATTGTTTCATGAACTACATTTGGATGAGCTCTTAAATTTTTAGTTGCAGTTCTACCAGTTAACCCCGCTGTTGTAGAAGGAGTTTCAGCTTCATTTACATTACCTGTTTCGACATCATGTTGTAAATTTCGTGTATCTGTTTCTACCTCTTTATCCGAGTATATTGAAGATGCTGTTGGTGTAAATTGTACGAAAAAAGTATTCATTATTGTTTCATGAGATTGATAAAATATTAAGTTGAAACTTAAGATTGAAAATAATTCAATAATTAGCAAACCCAATTGACTGTCTCTTATTGATGTTATCTTTTGTCTACTTATTATCATCATTAATATAAGTATCAAGTTGAAAAAATTCATAAAATATAAAACAGATAAGTTGAGGTAATGGAAACTTAATCTTTTGGGACAGTAAAATATTAAGATATGAGTTACTAAAATAATGATTGAATTGATCAAGATTATAAATTTACCAATTATCAAATTTTGGTAAGTTTCATTTATTCTCTTTATTATTACCTCGTGATTACTGTTTAATGGGTATAATTTATTCAAATGAATATTACAAAAATTTGAAATCATATTCTGATTTTGTCTTAAATCAAATATGGGGAACTTTGAGGGAAGTGCCCAGTTGATAACTGATGCTATATGAATTTGATTCTGATCTTTAAAACGCTCTGAATTTACTAGTCCTTCATACATTCTTAATTCAATTTCATAATCATTCAATTCAAACACTACTCTTGAATAAACAGTAGTATGATTAATATTTTTTAAGTAAGTTTCTTCATTTCTCATATATATTCCAATCAACAAATTCTCCATATATTTTTTAGATGTCAAATCAGACTCATCGGACTGAATTAATAATTGATTCAGTTTTTTATCCAAAACTTGAACAATATCAATATTACCAAAATTGATAACATTTTTTAAATTATAATTTAAGATATTTATCAAGATTAACCATATAAACACATTTCTTAAAGTTAAAGCAATTTTTAAATTTGATTTTGTTGGATTTTCATATGGGGTAGTCAACCATTTTGCACTTTGTCTATATAATGAAGCTGTGTATTGCTTTAAAGGTGTTTTCATATTCATATTTGGTTTAGTTAGATGTTTTGGTACGATTTGTCAATGAATGAATTAAATCGGAACTTTAATCTTTTTTTTTGTTATTTTTAGAGATCAGAGATTTTTGCAGCCAATTTTTTATATTGACACAAAATTTGGTAGTGCAAGTTCTTTTTATATTATTATATGCATATATAACTTTTATTAATCTATTTGAGCCTTACGAAATATTCGATAAATTAGCAAATAATGTAACTAATTTGTCACTATTGAAAACACTATCAGAAGGTAAACCAAAATATGACGCATTTGGTAATGCAGTCATTAAAGCAACAATTGAAGGTCCAACAAAATTTGATTCATTATTTGCATTATTACTATGACCATTTTGTAAATCGTGATCAAAACGGCTAGATTCTTGAATGTTTCTAACAACTGATGATTGAGTTTCATTTTCGAAATTGTTGGAAATTGATATTCTTCTTCTTCTTTTTCTTACTGGTTCATCTTCATTATCATAATCCTTATCATATCCATCTTGGTCTAGTTCATCACGTTTTATTATATTAATTCTACCTAATTTGTATCTATCTGTGAATAAATCAATTGGATCATCTTCTGCGAATAAAGAATCGTATTTTTTAGCAAAAGTGTTAGCTATATCTAATGACAAATTTGTAGCTGCAAATGATATATACTTTTTATATAGGTTTTTCAATTGAGTTTTTAGTTGTTTCAATTTTTTTTCTTTTTCAGCCTTCAAAATTGGTTCTATATCAGGTACGTTGATTTCATCAGTTAATTGAGAAATTTCTTTTGCAAAATTTGTATCTGCAGTCTGTAATGTACTTCTTAATTTTTCGGTATCATTAATCATTATCAAATAATCTAAATATTTCAAAGCAAATTCTCCATTTGTAGGAAATGCCTTTTGTCCAATATCGAATACTTTGATTGCTGTTTTTTTATTATCTGCATAATGTTCTAGCAAAGCACTTTCTATATAAACTTGATAATCTATACCAGGGAATTTTCTTGCTTGTTTGAAGACATTTCTTGCTTGTTTCATACCTTCTGCTCTTTTACTTGCAATCATTAACTTTATGTATATTAAGGTGATTTGCTCTGATATTTGTTTTTGTTGTTTTTCCAATGTTTGTAATTGTTTTGAATCTGCTAAAGAGACAACTGATGAGCTAAGTTGTGCGTGGGTTGGAATTTTTGGTAGATTTGGTGAGTTTGGAAATGCTGTAGTAGTAGGTACACCTGGCAAATTCGGTATATTAGGTAACGACATTGGTTTATTTGGTAATCCTGGTATATTTGGTAATCCATTACCATTAATTTTTGGTTGTTGATTTGTTTCTTCTCCATTTTTATTTGATTCTTCCATATTTTCATCCTCATCATCATCACTATTTTCTTCTTTCTTTGGTGGGCTCATTTTTTCTTTTAATTCATTCAATTCTTTAGTTACTTTATCGAAACTAACAGTCAATTTACTTATTAAATTTTCATAAACTAGTTTAGATTTTTCAAAAGAACTATCTTTTTCATATAGTTCGGCAACTTGAAAAGAGAGTAACAAACTTTTAGGATTTAATTTTAAACCATCTTTTAAAGTTTCAATACAATCATTTAAATTATTTTCCTCATTTGTAATTAATAAATATTTTACATATTCAAACCATAATTGTGGTATAAAAGGTAGAGCATATGTTGCTTGTTTATAAACATAATTAATTCTTTTCTGTAATGTGAAAGAATCTTTTAATTCTAAAGAATTCTTCTTCTCTAGTTCTATCCAACTATTCCAGTATTTAATTTGCTCTTCAGTTGAATTATCTAATGATGATGATTGAGGATTTATAGTTCTTTTTAATTTTTTGTTCGTGATATGTTGCCATTCAGTATTCCAAGATCTTGCTGCCATAAAATCGGAAGATTTTTCAGATACATATTTTTGAGCAACAGAAGGATTTATTTCATTTTCCCATTTTGTATATTGTGCCCAGCTACTTTCAATATTTTCAGTTGGGATAGCTAAAAATTTCTTATAAACTTTTCTCATTAAATCAATTTTTTGTTGTTGTTCCCAATTTGCTCCTGGAGTCCAAGTTTTTAAAAATCCAATATAATCTTGCCATAATCCATCACTTGATACATCTAATCCAACTTTATCAACTGCAAATTCAAAAGCTTGAATAACTGTTCCTCTTGCTTTTTCACCTCCTGTTATAAAATCAGTTACACTTCTTACATAATCAACATACAGTCGAAATAATTCAACATTATCAGCCAAACCAAAACTTTTTTGAAATAACGATTCTGCAACTTCTTTTTCTCCTCTACTTAATTCATATTTTATGTATCTATTCCATTGAACTCCCTAGAATTTGTTTAGTTAGTATTACAAAGTCTTTTTTACCATGTCTACTAGTTAAAGAAAAGCCAAGACTTGATAAACAAGTCAAAACATAAAATTCATCAAATTGAAGTTCTATATACGAAATAAAATAAGAACAATGAAAGTAACTCATAACCTAGTTTTCCCAAAAAATGAAATAAAAAATAAAGCCAGCCAGCAGCTTGACACCTTCCCATTAAACACTTTATGCTTCGTCTTAACTTTTCTTTAACTCGTGACCATCATTACTGTTCATTAACATACATCAAATTTGAAAATTTCCAAATATTTATCAAATGCCTTTCTAACTTGTTCTTGATTATCTTTTGCCAAAATGTGATCTAAGTATTTAATCCATTTATTATAATCCAATGGATTTGTTTCTAAGTCATCTTCTAATTGACCAATTTTATCTAGCGACAATTTTTTTGGTTTTGATTGTATGAATACTGAACTCATTGCATTTGTGATTAGTTATTGAAAATGAAGTAGATAAGTTAATACCCTTGAATGTATAAACTTTGAATCTATCAAATTTCGTCCAACTAGATAGTTGATTGATTGATCTATTAATGAAATATAAACAATATTAAATTGATAATAAATAAAGAAATGCAAAGATATTTGGTTGTCAAAAAATTAAATTTGATATTTTAATTTTATTTTAAAGTGAGAAACAAAGTTTAAACCAATTTACACTACTTACCTAAGACTATAATCTTTTCAATAGTATAGTATTAAGGTATTAGCATTAGGACAAAGTTGATGAAATGATTCAATTACACGTTTGGGGCTATAAAGACGAGATTTCAATAATATCACCTCATTGTATTGCAGCTGCTTGGTTATTAAAATTGGTTTTAAAACCACTAGATATTCCATACGAAATTATAACATCAAATAATACAAAATTATCAGAATTAAATCAATTACCAGTACTTATAATAAGTGAAGATGAAAAATATGACGGGTTTTATAGTATATCAAAATATCTAATCAAAACTTACAATCCTTTCAACATTTACATTTCAAAAGACTACAAACAAAATATACTAAATATGAGTATAATCAATTATTTAGAAACAAGATTTGAAATAATAAATTTATATAATCTTTGTCTAAACAAGCAAAACTATGAACAATATACTAGAAAATTATTTACAAAATATTATTCTTTCCCTTGGATGTATAATCAATCATTAAATTTTTATAATGAATCAATTGAAAAAATTAAAATTTTAAAATTAAATTCTAATTCTTCATCAAGTAGTATATTTCAGTTTGGACAAAATGAAAATATTGCAGAAACTGAAACTTTCAACGAACTAGAAGATGAATTGCATAAAGAAGAAGAAGAAAAAACTAAGGCAATTAGTGGATTACATGAAAAACTCTTATTACAAAAATCCAAGACTAAAGAAGTTTTAAAAGAATCAAAAAATTCAATGAGATGTTTGATGTTATTTGAGAAGTACTTGAGACAATTGAAAACCTTGAAAAAAGATACAAATCAACAGTATTTCTTAGATACTGAATTACCTTCAACTAGTGATATTTTATTTTTTGCATATTTGTTTTGTTTTACTTATCAGGACTTACCTGATAAATTTATCAAATTAAACGATGTAAACAAAGAGAAACTTGATAAATTTATAGAGCCTGTAAATAACGAATAACAAATTTATGTATAATTCCTTAATGGTAAGATCACCCATGTAATTATAAAATACTAAGTAAATGCAAGAATAAATTATTGGTTTGCATCAGCTATTTTCACGAAATTGAAATTGAGCTGGATTTATTGTCCACAGCTACTCTACAAAGTCTCATTCTTTGCAACATCAACTTTGAGTATGTAGTGAGTCGGTTATAAAATGATTATATACAGTATTATTATTAATTCCATGTATTTTGAATATTGGGGTAAAAGAATAACAAATTATTAGATACCTCTATATCTTTCATTCAAACACGTCACCCTTGATATACTACTCAATTCAACTTACAATAATAATTTTTAATCAATCATAGAATTTATCTCATTTAAAATTACAAATCAATAAGTCACTTGAAAAACTCACAATTATATCTTCAAAATGGCAGGATTATTTGATTTAGAACATCACCTAATATTCTATAGAAGTTATCATTTCAACAGTACAAACGTAGCAATTCATTTAGTATGCATTCCCATCATATTGTTCACAGCAATATCATTTTTAAGTTTAATTAACTTCCCTTCAATTTCAAGTAATGATTATTTCAACTTTGGTAATATAGTTGCATGGATTTATGGTTTATATTATATTGCATTAGATTGGAAATTAGGTATTCCATCAGCTTCAATTTTAATAAGTTTTGGGTATTTTATTAAAAGAGTTTATTTGAGTTTGGATTCTGTTGATCAAGATAATTTTTTGAAGTTTACTATTGGATTACATATTTTAAGTTGGATTGCTCAATTCTATGGTCATGGAGTACATGAGAAAAGGCATGTTTGATTTTTTTACTACTCACTAACTCATTAACTGAATTGAAGTTGTTCAGAAAGAGTCTTATAAAATTTATTTAATTGATTGTTCATTTTACTAACTTACTTTAGATCACCAGCACTTTTAGATAATTTACTAGGTGCAATAGTATTAGCTCCATTTTTCACAGTATTTGAATTTGCTTTTTATAGTGGGTTTAGACTTGATGTTAAGAGGAAAATGGATAATGAAGCAGCTAAAAATATAAGAGATTTTAAAGCTAGAGAAAAAGCTAAAAAAGCTGGGGTTAAAGCTAACTAGAAGTTAATTTAGGTTGTTTAATGAGTTAAGGGGATACAAAAGGAGAATGGCGTCTGTTGGAATTGGGAAAAGTTTAGGTTTATTTGTTTAATTCATATAACAATTTGAACAACAACTTGGTCTTCTAATGCTGCAACTATAGAAAAATTTTTGAGGGATCGATACAAAGACTGAAGAAGGATTAAAATTTTAAATACTTTACACTCATTGACTATTCAATTGATTACCAACAGTTAACCAACCAGGTCTAACATTATGTTGTCTACCAAATAATTCCAATTTTCTAGAATATAAACCACACATTCTATCAATAATATCATATAATTCATCAGGTTTTCTTGAAGTTTCTCTTGTATTACTTACAATAACATCTAAATCAATTGATAAATTTAACCATGAAGGATTCCCCTTTAATCCAACTAATAAATGTTCTTTTGAATGATTAAGCCAATGACCTGTTCTACCAGTTACTATAGTTCTTTTTAATTGATTTAATTTAACCCATATAACTTCATTACTAACAATATAACCCCATTTTTTTAAAGCTTCTCTACCAATATCTAAAGATCTTGCAGTTACCCATAAAAATAATATACCTTCATCTTGTAATAAATTCATTGGTAAATTTATTGATTCTAAATCACCAAATGTTCCATAAGGTAAATTTTGATGAATCAGCCATGCAGGATCTGATATAATAGCTGAAAATTTACCTAATTTTTCAAAATTTAATGATGTTATATCACAATTTATCCATTGTGGTGGTGTGATTGTTCTAAAATTTTGGGAAAAACATTCATTTAATGTATAATCTATTTGTTGTTGTTGTTGTTGTTGTTGTTGTTGTTGTTGAGTTGGTGATTCTGATTTTAATGGTGGGTTTAATGTATAGTAATGTAAGTAACGACAAGTTTTCATCTTGTGGCAAGTATCTAAATATGAACAATCACCTAATTTTGAATCAGTATGATTATAAATAATAGGTAAGAAATGAATTTTTTCATTATAACAATTTAAAATATCTTGATTAATTTGAATTTTAGACTGGGTTATTCTTTGATGAATTATATTATCATTTAATGATTGTTTTGTTAAAAATTCTTTTCTATTTAATCCAAACTTTGATAAAATTAATGAATGTTGTTGACTGTTACAAATTAATGGGAAATTTGATATGGGAGTATTTAATTTTGATCTTTTTTTATCAAGAATTAATTTTGTTGTTGGTTTTTTTATAAATTCTTGTATATCATTTATTGTTAAATTTCTAATTTGATTTAAGTTTCTTGTAGTTGGTGGTGAAATAAAATCAAATAATGAACTTGCATCTTTGATTATTGGTGGTGATGAAGGTTCTGGTGTTTCATTATTTAGATCACGTAATATGTTTAATGCAATATTATTGATCCAAACTATTCTTGATCTTGTTAATTCAGCTGAACAAAATTTCGATTTGGAAATATGTAAAGATCCACCAGTTAATTCATTAAATTGTTGAAAATAATTTAAAAAATCATTTAATGATTCAAATTGTAAAATATTATTATCTATAATATTTTTTTTAAATAATTCATAAATTTTCCATAAATCTCCATTTATTGGTTGATTTAATATTAATTCTTGATTTTCTAATAAATAAATATTAAATAACTTAAGCTGGTCAACTGAATATTTCATTTTGTTGATTTTGGTCGTCAATTTAAATAAACTAGTTGGACGTACTTTTTTTTTTTTTTTGAAATTAAAATTTAAAATAAATATAACTACATTTTTGATTTTGTGTTTGTTTCAGAATTGTAACACTAACTAATTACCAATTTTGAACTTTGATTAAATTATCAATACTTAACGAATTTCCAGAATTAAAAACGTTGGTCAGTCATACTTTAAATTCGTATTAGTCGTAGCCTAGGTCATTTTGAAAGATTTGAATATTTTAAAGGATTAATTTAAACAACAAATTTGGTTAGTGAAAGGAACTTGTTGACAACATGAAGAGAAATGCATCCAACTACCATGTTAGATTAATTCATCATGTACTTCATAGTAAAAGAAGAATCCTTAGTTTGAAAGGAGTTTTTATGGAGTTGTCTTGAACCTTTTGTTACATAAAGAAATTATTCTACACTATCAAAAAGAAACGTCAAAGTCGATTTATAGTCTCAACACTTGAAAGAAGGCTTGTTCATTTTGAAGACAGAGTTCAAATGTTTATTCATAGTAGTTGATATTATATTATATTATATGTTTATAATAAGTGATTTAATAAGTGATTCTAGATTGAATCATAATTCATAGAAAAAAAGAAATTAAATATTAAATACTAACCGCATAAACCAAGAAAATTGTAGGGTCAGTAGATGAAAAAGAAACGAGTGCATAAGATGAGACTATTCCTTTATAATCATATGGTTCAACGGGTTCATTACATCCAATGTTCCTTTTATCAACTTCTATAAGCGTCAAGTTGAATAAGTAAAGAATAACAAAAGCCTTCGAGCCATGCCAAATTTTATAAAGTGAGTTTTTAGCGAGAAAGAAATTTGGGGTAAATAGAAAAATTATTTTTTTTCTTTCACTAGACAATAATAAATAAAAACGGTAAAGTGGAATATTTAAAACTCCACAAATATAGTTAAAACATAAATACACAATTTAATTAGTTTATTTAGTTTTGTTTGAGACAAAGCAGTTTAGTTAGCATAATGTTTTGAGCGATTTAAATACCTTTTATTCCTATGGCTTTGACTAAACTGAGTAGTTTGCTTTCAAAAAACTAGCAATAACAAAATAGAATAGAACCACTACTAAGAAATAAATTTTGCCGTTCAACCACAATAATAAAACTAAACTAAAACTTCATCCATTACACCTTCTTGACATATTTTATTATAATTCTACATATAATATTTACTATTCACTATTTACAATTTAGTTTAATTCAAATGCCTTTTCAATTGTAGTTAAATAATTTTTTCTTAGCATTCGAGAATGCCGTCGGAGTTTTATTTCCTTCAACTGTTTCTGTACTACTAATGAATTAGTTACTCCATACTTTTTTATTATTTATTTATAATATTTATTATTTATTTATTATTATAATTATAATTTTAGATTTAGATTTAAAAGGATGATGATTAAATATTTTTAAAAGTCATATATAAGACACATACTTGCAATCATATTTTAACTTATTAATTTATAATGATTAAATTTTATTTGCATTAATTCAAGAATAGATTAGGTTCAATAAAGAATCATGAATTTACAAAATTTACCTTTAGATTTACTTGAAGTAATAATAAATGATAAATTACAATTAATACTGTCAAATCCAGTTGATTATCAAAACTCATTAACATCATTATCAAATACTTCATTATTATTTAATCAATTATCAAATTTAAAATTATATTCAAATATTACATTTTATGACGATGATAATAAATTAATTATAACACATGAAAATAATAGAACTTTTATTCATATTAATCAATTCAATTCATTTGTTAATTCATTAACTTTAAATAATTTCCTCAAAATTAAATCAATTCATATTAATTGTAAATCAAATTTTAATAAATTTGAATATAATCAATTATACACTAAATTAAATAGATTTTGGAATATAATTCATCATTCAATAGAAATTATTAATTTTGATATTGATAATATTCGAAAAAATCAAACTATATTACAACATTTAACTAAACATAATTACTACAAAATTGTAGAAGAAAATGATGAAATTGATTATAATTTAAATACAAAAAGTTCAAAATTATATAATTTGAAAAATTGGTCAATTTTAAATTTACAAGAATTAAATTCATTACCAATTAATAATAATTATAATCTCAAGGCTTTAGATTTTTTTATTGAAATTATAATAGGGGATGAATCAACACCTAACCACAAGATCAATTTACCAGAATTAGAACAATTAAATCTTAACACAAGTTTATCAACAATAGCATTTCATTCATTAGATTTAAATTTACCAAATCTCAATAAATTTTCATTATCATATTCACATACATTTAATAGACCACCAATTGATTTTAATCAGCTCGCCTCAAAAATTAATTTTGAAAATTTGCTTGAGTTAGAAGTGAAATTAAATTGTTGTCATTCTGATTGTTCATGTATTAATCAATTTTATAAAGAATTATCAAATAATAGTGATGCATTAACAAAATTGAAAAAAATTAGTATTATCAATTATAATTCTAAAAATCAAACAAGTAATTTAGAGCAATATACTTATTTAATCAACAACCAACTCAATCCATTATTTACAAAATTCAACAAAATCGAATCATTTTATATAAATATCAATGAATTTATTAAGAACGATAGATGTAAAATCGATTGGAAAAATTTTACAAAATCTACTAGTTTATTACCATCATTAACAGATTTAGTAATTGTTGATTTTTATAATTGGTGGTTACCTACAATACAATTAACAAGACATTCATTAATTAATACATGTAATTGTTCTGAATGTCACTACTTAAAATCAAATTTTCAAAAATTAGCTAATTACGATGAACATAATAATTTTACTCATAATTTTAAAAATTTTAAACAAACACAAGAACAAGAATTATTTTCAAATAATATAGATTTAGGTAAAAAATCAAATTCTAAATTTTTATCATATATATTAAATAATTTTAAAACTCAATTTAATCAATCTATAATTTATTCACTGTCAATTTCAAATTATAGACATAACTCAAAAATTTTATTTTATGAAGAGTTTAAATCTTTGTTGAAGCATAATTTATTGAATGAGTATATTAATTTTTTAAGAAATGGGAAAGAGGTGTTGGTTATTAATTTAGGTGGTGTTTTAGTTTAATTGAAAAAAAATGCAATGAGAGGGTTAACGATATAGGTTTTTAATAGTTTGAATTAGTAATGAACAATATTTCAAGCTTATTATTATTCGTTATAAAGTAATTTCTGATACGTGTTTGTGTACGCGACTTATATCAACCCCACAAAGAATTATTAACGTAAAAATTGGTAGTTACAAGGCGAGTTAAATCTCGACAAAATTTGTATCATCTCTTACACAAAAATTACATATTATTTGCTGCAAATTTTGAAATCTTATCTTGAAATAGGAACTTGTATAAACAATAACAAGTATAGGTATAATATTTATTACCAATCACAACTTTTTGCTTCAATAGTGAAAAAGTTTGTCAATTTGGCTCGCTAATTAAATTTTGTAGGTAATATAAACGTTTCTTCTACGATACAGAAGTCATATATATCAAATTTGGTAGTAATCCATTCCAAATTTACTTATAAGGAATATATCAATATATCAATTTCGTAATCAACAGGAACTTAAAGATTTACAAAGAAGATAAGATCTAAATCTTTATTTTTAGAAATAATATCTTCAACTACTCACTTATAAGTCGCTAGAATTAAAAAGGGGTTTATTAAAAGTTGAAAGGGTTTTTCAGATTAAACGATAGTAGTTTGAAAATTGATTAATAAGAGTCACTTACTAAATTGAGTAAATATTGATATAAATGATCAAACGTATAAACTATTCATTCAATGTTATTTAACTTGAGACATAATGGCTAACTAACCATCATTAATAAAGTATTTAGTTAGTGGGGAGTACTAATAAAAATTGAATAAAAAGAAATTACCACTTCGGGAAATTTCTTATATTGTGCTACCAAATTTTTTGCAATCAAAAATTTATACTGTAATATTCAGTTTTAAGTAATGTTTCTAACGGCAGTAATTATTATTTATTCCTTCCTTAACTATACAATATAATTTGGGCTGCATTATATAGATATATAACCATATGTTAGTTACCTTTTGTAGGTGGGGAACATAGTAGTTTATGAAATCTTTGCAACTATTGGAAATCAATTAGATCTATAAATCTTAGATATATAAAGAGACTTAAAAAGGGATCTGATTAATTTCTATATAGAAAGATACATTAAATCTATATACTAGCTTCAATATACCTCAAGTTAGACGTATTAAACTGTAATGTAAAACTTTTTTTTTTTTGGTTTTTTAACTTGATGCAAAAATTAAATTTAAATTTTCAAATGGAAATTTCCTAATTAAGAAATCTTATTAGATTTTGAAATGTAATTTTGTGTCTTCAATATAATACATCTTTTACAATTAAGATTACAAAACATTTTATACCAATTTAAGTATATTTCCTTAACTTGTATCTATTCATAACAAATATATAAGAATTTACATATTCCTAATTTTTTAAAAAATGCATAAATTTTGTAATCATATAACTTTTTCTAAGAAATTTTTGTTCATTACTATATCAAATCTAAATTTTTATTTAATTTTAATACCCAATTTATACCAAATATACCAATAATAGATTAGAGATTAGACTTAACAAAGATGTCTGACTTAAATTTAGGTCCTGTTGAATTACATAATATTAAAACATCATGGTCAAAAACTAATAAACAACAATTTTATAAGAAATTATATCCAAATTTATTAGATCAAAATAGATCATTAAGACAAATTTTCAATAATAATGAATCAATAGTACAAGAACATTCAAATATTTTTAGTGATTTATTTAATTTTGTTATAAATAATATTGAAGATAGTCAATTAATAGATGAATTTTTATATCAATTTGTTAATGAAAATCAAAGATTTTCAAATTTAGCTGTTAAATATTTAGAATCAATGGGTAATGCTTTAATTACTACTTTTAAACAAGTTTTAAATACTTATTGGACAAGTGTTTTAGAATTAGTATGGATTAAAGTTTATGTTTTTATTGCTAATTCAATTTTACAATTTGAAGAAGATATTGTTAGTGAAACTAATTCAATGAATGATGTTGAAATTCCTCCATTAAATATTCAAAGAAATTTATCATCTACAAAATCATCACCACAAACTTCAATTGAGTCACCAAAAGAATCTCCAAAGGAATCAATGACTCCAAAAATGAATTTTGATGTTAGACAAGGTTCAATGAAGACCAATAATGCTTTATTAAATCAATTTAATTCAATTGAAATTGATTTAAAATCAAATGATAAATACAAAGGTTTTAGAAGATCAATGGATGTTGCTTCATCACCAATTCAAGTTCAAATTCCAACTAGTGAAACTTTTCAAAAAACTCATACTACAACAACAACCAATATTTCATCAAATTTAAAATCTTTATTATCATCACCAATGGAAGATGATGAAGATTCTTATAATTCAAAACCAAGTTTTGATCCAAGAAGAAAAAATAAAATTACAAGATCAAGTGCTTCTTCAGTAAATGAACAAAAACAATTACCACAAATTCCATCACAAAAAGAAGAAAGTGATTATGAAAATGATGAATTTATAACTCCAAAACCAAGTAGAAGAGGTTCATTTTCAGAAAATTATCAACCACCAACTTCATTATTTACAAAATTACAATCAAAACAACAACAAGAAATTGCAGAAGAAGATTCAATTGAAGAAATTGTTCCAACTTTTGATCCAAGAAGAAGAAGAACTACCAACAAACACGAAATTGAAGTTCCATCACCAGAATCTTCAGAAGTTGATGAACAAGAAGAAGAAACTTTTTTCATTCAAAAAAACACACAAGAGATTGTACCAGAAAGATCATTACAAAGAGGTCCAATAACTGGTGGTACATTTGATTATCAGTCATTTGGTTTAAAAGGTTTAGCTCCAATTGTTGAAGATGATGATAATTCTTCAAAATATGAATCTGATGGTGAAAATAAATTAATTACTAAAAAATCTATTTCAAGTGCAGAAGAATCAAATTCAAGAACAAGTTCATTATCATTACATAATTCAGATTATAGATCATCTATTTCTTCTGGTGTTGATTCTAATTCAATGATGCTTAGTAAAAGTGGTGGTGGTGTTCCAACTCCAATTCATCATTTACATCAACAACAACATCAACAACAAAATCAACAACAAAATCAACAACAACATTCAAGACAAAGTTCAAGTGGTTCAGATGATTTTCAATTTAACGTTCCACAACAACAAAAAAATACTCATAAGAGAAATAATTCAATGTATTCACTTTCAAAAAGTTGTTCAGCTTCAGTTTCATCAATAAATTCTAATTCAAGAGCTTCTTTAGGGTTTATGAGATCTTCATTTATTTTGAAAAAGGAAATTGAACAACAAGGTTATAATCATCCTGAAAATGTATCATTACCTTCAACGCCAAAATTACATATTTCACAATCTACTACAACATTAAATAAACCACCAAAACCAATGTATATGCAAAATACAATGTCTTCTGCATCTATTAAAAATTCATTAAAAGGTCATCATCATGGAGCTTATATGAATTCTTCACAATCAATAAATAGATCAACTCAATCTTTTGTAAGTGCAAAAGAATATAATGATAATAATACTCCAATTCAACAACCAAAACAACAAGAAAAGAAAGGATTTAGACAAAGATTATCTTCAATTTTTTCATTAAAATCTTCAAATTCAAATTCTTCAACTACTTCATTACAATCTACAAAATCAACAAAACAATCTTTAGGTTCATCATTACCAAGAACTTCAATTCCATATGAAGAAACATCAAGTATTGCTCCATCATCATATTCCTATAATGCATATAATGCTAAACCTCCATTATCTATCAAATCAACAACAACAAAACAATCAACAATGTCATCCCCATTATTTACAACATCAACAAAACCAACAATATCAAATTGTGCAACTAATTTATCAACTTCACAAAAATCTATAAAAAAATCTTCATCTTCATTATTTGCAACTGATCCATCTCAAAATGCTCGTTATAAATATAATGGAACTTCAATAAATCAACAACATGAATGTGGATCAGTATATTCAGGTGATAGTTCAAGTTCAGGTTTCACAATTTTTAAAAAAACCGGTAATCCAAAAGATATAAAATTTGTACCTCCTCCAACTAGACATACTAGAAAAGGTAATAAATATAATGTTAAAAAAGTTCCATATAATGTATTTGCTTGAGATACAAAAAAGAACACTGGTGGTTTTTTTGAATTGGTGGAATGGATAAAAAAAGATACGTTTTTTTGTTTTTTAGTTCTATTTTTTTTGCTTAAGGTTTTTTTGGTTAGAGATTGTTGGTGAGATAGTTCATAACATCGTTGTTAGCCGAAGAGATATTAAGTTTTTCGTTGAATTTTGATTATTTAGATTATTTTAATTTTTCTAAAATTTTGATTTTTTTAAGTTTGTATTTTTGTTTTTATAAGTTTGTATTTAATTTGATATCTTTTTTATTTTAAATTTTACTAAAGTTGCAGTAACAATTTTTTTTTGATATTATCTTTAGTGTACTTTTAATCCTTTATATATATCCTTTTCATTCTGTCGTTTTTTTTTTCTCATTTTCTTTATAGATTCAATTAGATTCAATTAAATTTAGTTGTACAAGTTTTGACTAATATTTGACAATTTATAGGCTGTAATAATTGGTGATTTTAATTTTTGAACTTATTCATGTATTTGTGTTTGGTTGCAAAATTTAAGCTATATACAAATCCAGTGTCAATTTCCAAAGTCAATTTTAGTGTCCTGATTTTTTTCTAATTCTAAATTAAAGTATGTACAATATATTAAACCTTTAAAAAAAAAAAATTCTCTTAATAATACAGTTTTGTGTTATGATTTTAAATATTTTTAATTTTTATATTTAACCTAAATAGCAATCATGAATTTTTGAAATTTTAGCTTAATAAAGATATAACATCTCGTGTAACTATAAAAAATAAAATTTATAGCACAGACAGCAACTTAGATTAAGTTTAAAAGAACAGACAGTGTGTGAGACTTGTCTCAAACAAACATGAAGTTTATATGCGAGATAAGTAGAAGGAAGTTTGTGCTTAGGGGCTTCATGCTTCAAATTTACATTTTTCCATCTCTTTTACTTTTGATTGAATCTCTTGGACCTATTTATACAAAAATATATTTTTGGAGTACCGAGATTATACCGAGATTGCCAGGATTCCAATTTTCAAATGGACTACTTCCTTCATCTCTTAAATCATAGATATAATTTTTTTTTTTTTCTCCAGTTGAAATATTTTTTAATTCTTTGTTCAAATTCTATCACAAAGTCAATTGAAAAAAAAAATGGTGGCTAGTATTAAGTAAAGTGTATGGTTGGAATTGTATACAAAAGTATCATCAATTTCAAGTGATTAAGCTTAATTTCTACTCAAATCATAATATCGTTAAGGCAAATTTAATTCACTCATAAATAGCGTCAAACAAAAGTTATCAAATAACAATTGTTAACTTACTTCTCGACCCAAAATTAGACTATATCTTAAGGGCAACTCGCATAAAAAGTTGACGTAAATAATAAAAATCTCTTGTCAGAAAAAATTAGGGCGGAATTATTTAAATTTAGAAAAAAAATTAAAGTATTCAAAATCATTTGTATTGTTTTATTCCAAATTTTAAATTTAATTTTGATAAGATCATCAAGCAGCAATTTTATGAGATAGTATCATATTTTGGTCCTTCATTTATATATGCACTTGAATTCAAGCCCTTATTCAATTGATATTGAAAATTCATATTATTCGAAAGATCTTTGATTAAATTAATTAAATATTCGGAAAAAAAAAAAGTAAAAATTTGGAATTTGAAAATTTAAAGATTTCTCTTTCGTAAAATTATTTGATTAAATTTTAGGAGTTCCGTAATATTATATTTATTTTTGTCCCCTTTATTGTGATAATTCTAAGTATTCTATCTCTTTAAAAATTCTTTTGAGAGGTTTGATTTATTTAATGATAATAGACCATTTTCACATGAAAAAGATCTAAAATTTAAGACCATCAAACTCTTGTAACTTCATAAAGTTTTATTTAAATAAAAATCTATAACAAGTAATTGAGTATATTAAATAAATAAATAATATTATGTCAAATTGTTGATAGTTAAAAAAAATATAATAGTTTAATAGTTTTAAATAATATTAAATTTTAAGTTATTTAACATTTTGTATTAAAAAATTTAATTTTCTAAAGTTTAAATTTTTTTTATCAATTTCAAAAAAAACCATTAAAGAACCATTTATATTTTCTTTCAATTTACAAGAATTTTTAAAGAATTCATCAACTTATTCATATTTTAGATTTTCAATTACTATTTTTTGGGTTGATCAAACTTACAATTGACATTTGCATCTTAGTTTCAAGTTTAATTTCATTATATATTTTTTTCCATTCATTTTTTTGTAATTTTACAACCAAATTTATTCACTTGCATTTATTATAAATACAATTTAAACAATTCGTCATATCAAGGCGTGGATTATTAAAATTTAGTCTTAATCAATTTATATATACCCTCTTTTAAGAGGTAAATTCATTTTTTTTTCAAACAACAAAATACAATATGGGTTCTCCAAATGGTCAAAATTTATTTTTTGATAATATATCCCCAACAACTTCAATAAGGGGAGAAACAAGTGCTTCAAGTACAATAATAGATGATGAATATGACATATTACCAAATGATTATTATACAAAAAGGCCAAACTATCTGAGAAAAGCAACATTTGAATCAGATTATGCATTTGCAACCAATAATAATAAATCCATGTTATTACCAATGCAACATAAACATAATTCAAGTTCATCAATACTGGATAAATACTCAAATTTAAAATTAACAAATTCATTAAATACTGATACTACATTATTAAATTCAGAACCTCCATCTGCATTAAGTTTAAATTATTCAGATCCTGCTGCATCTAATTTAACAAAGCCTCCATCAGATATAAGTATACCAGATATTCCTTTAAATGATTATTCAATAGATCAAACATTAAGTCCCAATACATTTACTGAGTATAAAGAATCATTAGATATAAATCCTCATCAAAGTATTGCAAATTTATTTGATGAACATGAACTTATGTCAAATGGTTCTTCACAACAAAGTAATGATGATCATTCATCATTATCACTGGAAACAAGAGAAAATGTTGCCCTTAGTAAAACATCTTATTTAAATAATATAAATCATATAAGAGATCATTTAGATTTTTTAAATCAAAATTTAAATACAACAAAATCTCATAGAAATTCAGATTCAAAATATATTGATTTTTCAAATATTTTACCTGATACAGTACCAGGTTATACTTTAGTTAAACAATTTGGGAATATGAATTTTGAAACAAATTTATTATATCATGGTTTAAAAATAAGTGATACTGGTAATCTTGATAATGAAGATTTTCTGTGTAAATTAGCTAATCCTCAAGGTTCATTTGTAACAGTTGATTCAAATGTTATATTAAGATTATCTCCAAATATTTTAAAAAATTTATCATTATCAAGATTATTAAATGAATGGTATATTTTATCTGGTATGAATACACCAAAAACTCATTTATTATGGTCAAATGAAACTTTAACTAATGAATTTATTACTGACACCAAAAGACCAACACTTGATTTAAGTGATAAATCATTACCACCAACTTTACCAACCAATATACCAGGTGTATTATATCCAAAAGAAGTATTAAATTTTTCATTTCTTGGTGAAGAAGATATAAATTTTCCAAGAACTAATTCTTCTAGAGAACAAAAAAGAATGGCTTTGGTATATGAAGACTTTAATTATAAAACTCTTAAAGAATTTTTTTGTGATACAAGTGATCACGATGTGGAAAGGACCGGTTCTTTTTCATCAAATGGTTCTGCAAATGGTCATAGTCGTAGAAAATCAGCTACAAGTGCGGCATCAATGTCAAATGCATCAGGTTCAAATCGATCTGAAAGTATTGAACAATCAACTGGTGTCTTTAATGGTATAGGTCAAATTGGAGCTACAAGTTCAACTAATTCTTTGTTTAATAAAATAACTAAACAAGTTACAAGTTCACCAAAAACTCCATTGAAAGTAATTGAAATAATATCAGATATGATAAGTGTAGTTGAAACATTAGCCAAGATTCATGAAATAGGTTTTGTTCATAATGGGATAACAAGTTCAAATTTATTAAAATCAGAAGATAATCAAAATGATATTAAATTGACAGGTTGGGAATTTGCCTTTTGTTATAATGAAAATAGCGTTTATGGCTATAGGAAAAACCATCTTAATGAAATTCAAGAGTTAATACCATATATGGCACCAGAAGTTTCAGGAGTAGTTAATAAATATGTGGATTATAGATCAGATATTTATTCAATTGGTATCGTACTATATGAGTTATTATTGAATACTTTACCTTTCCAAGCAGATGATTCGAGTTCAATAGTTAGAATGCATGTTTTCCAAAAACCAATTGCACCTCATTTATTAGCACCAAATTGGATTTCTGAAAAATTAAGTTCAACTATAATGAGATGTTTGGAGAAAAATCCAGAAGATAGATACCTTGATTCTTATTCATTGCTAAGTGATTTAATGCTTACAAAAAATCATTATATTGATAAAGTAGGAGCATTAGGTGAACAAGTTTGGAATTTTTGGAAAAAAACTGGTGAATTTGATATCTACTTAAACAAAGAGAAATTTAAATATTCTAATAAAGTTGGTCATTCACCAATTATAAGTTTTAATAATAAGTTCATTGGTAGAGAAGATGTTTATAAAAGTATATTTGATAAATATCATAGTTCATTTGATAGTGGGATTAATTTATTTATGTTGAGTGGTGAAAGTGGAGTTGGTAAAACCATTATATTAAATGATTTAAGAGCTGGGGCAGTTTTCAAATATGATTTTTATTGTTTTTGGAAATTTTCTTGTGCAGATATTGGCAATTCAATATATTCATTATTACTTGATGGTATCAAAACAATTATTACTCAAATATTGGAATGTTCTGAAGAAATTCAAGATAGTTGGAAAAATTTAATTGTTAGTAATATTCCATTAGATTTAAGTATATTATTTTATTTAATACCTGAGTTAAGAAAATTATTAGGTCCAAAATATATTTCAATTTATTCACATAAACTGGGTTATAATACTCCAAACACTCCAAGAAAAGAAGAACAAACTTCAAGTTTAGAAGTTAAATTTAGATCAATCATTCGTTCATTTTATAGAGTTGTTGCATTACAAGGATTAACCATATTCATTGATGATTTACAATGGTGTACAGAAGAATCATGGATGTTACTTTGTGAATTATTTAATTTTGATCAAGAAGAAGATGATTTGAATTCAATGTCTTTGAAAATTATAGCTACATACACCACAGATGTCGATCAATTTCAAGAAAAGATAAGTACAACCGACAAAGAAAAACGTTTCAGGACACACATTGAAAAATCAAATATCAAATTAAATTATTACTATATACCGCCTTTGAAAACTGATTCAAATATAAGTGATCCAATTTTTTTCTTTAATCATCCAATCCAAAATAAAAATGATGAAACAACAAGTATGTCTTCAATGTATGATAAAAAGAAATCAGAAATTAAAAAAGTTGCAAATAAATATGATTTAGAAGGTAAAAAGTTTTATGACGTAACTGGTGGGAATATTTTATTGTTAATCTATGCTACAAGAATGGCAAGATTTTGGCAACATTGTTTTTATGTTAGTCATCCAAATTATGGAGAAGTTGTAATAGATAATATATCACCAGAAGTCTATGGTAAAAATAGAGAAGAAGTTGTTGTTAAATACTTGAATGCTTCAACTACTCCAGAAACTCAAAAATTATTAGAATTTGCAGCAATTATATCAAATGGTTCTAGTTTCCATCTTTCAGATTTAGTAGTTGCTGTTGCTTTACCAATGGAAAAAGTGTTTCAATTATTACACACTTTAATTGATGCAAAAGTTATAATACCCACAAGTACATATTATAAAATTCCATTTCAAGCATTATGTTCAAATGAGTCACCATTTGACTTGTCGGATAATAATGTATGGGAATTAGCATCACATTGTAGTTATAGATTTTTCCATGATTCCATTAGTGGTCACATTTTAAATCATTTAATGACAACCAACAAATTTAAAGAATATTCAAGATTATGTGCATTAAGGTATTACAAAACCATAAGTAAAGAAAAAACTTTAAATATTGGTGGATATTTACAAATGGCTGGATATTTCAGTGAATCTTACGAAGTTGCAAGACCTGAAGAAAAAGAATTATACATTGAAGTTTTGGTTCAAGCTGGTAGGTATGCCTCATCAACTTATAATATGAAATTGGCACAAAAATTATTTGAAGTGGTTGGAGAATTAATAGATGTATTGGATTCCAAAACCCAATTAAAATCAGTGTTGACAATTGCACAAAATCATTATTATTTCAAAGAATATGATAAATGTCTCGAAGTTATGACAAAATCTCAAAAAAAATATGGATTTGATAGATTAGTGTTCCTTCATCAGTTGGTGAAGTGTAAAATTCAATTAGGACAAATTGAAGAAGCCATCAATATTTGTTTTGAAAGCTTACCAAAACTAGGGATCAATATAAGTAAAGACGAAGAGAAGAACCAAAAAGAATTTGAACATATAAAAGCCAAAATTCCAGTTTCCGTACCAGAAATTAGAAATATTTTAAATAAAAAGAGAACTAATGACGCAAAAAGTTTGTTGATTTTCCATTTAATAACGCAAATACTATCACCTTTGGTAGTGTTACGCAAAAATGCAACTAGAAAATTATTAGTTGCACAAGCTATTCAATTAATTCACTCTCATGGATCATCACCATATGCAGCAATTATATTATTGGATTTTGCTGCTGATTTTGCAAGAGAATTTACTTCTTCAGGTCAATTAAAAGCAAAAGAATTGTGTAATGTTGCTATGACTTTAGTTAATAGAACAAATGATATTTCATTAGGTTTTACTAGAACAGTATATGAAATATATGTTTGTACTTTAGCAAATTATTTTGAACCAATGTCACAAGTTTTCAAATATTTTGAAATAAGTACAGAAACTGATCAAAATGATACATTATCAAGCTTTTCCGCATTGAATTTAGTATTAGAAACTGCTAAATTGTTTTTGTTGCTTGTTAGTGGTAGAGCCTATGAAGTTTCATACCTGTTTAAAAGAAGAAAAGCTCAAAGACCAAAATATGATGTACTGAAAGATCAATTATATTTATTTGATTGTGAAGATTTATTATTTGGATCAATTTCATTAAGTGAATTTCAATCTAGAAATGATTTTTCAAATGAATTTCCATTAAGTCAATTTTGTTATTATTCTGTAATATTAAATGCGATGACTTATGATCAAAAATATGATGAAGCTGTTGAATTAATAATAAGTAAAGTTCATAATTTAGTTGGTGATTATCCATTATTATTTTTCAGTGCTCATTATTATTTTATGACTGCTATACATATTGCTTTTTCTTCTAAAATGTCACCAGAAATAGAAGCTAAAAAGACTAAAATATTTGATGACATTTTACATAAGGCTAAGATCTGGTCTGCCAGTAATGAAGCAACTTTTAGTAACAGAGTTATATTTTTAGATGCATTAAAAGCTATAAGAGAACAAAATCCTGATAAATTATATATTTTAGATTTATTTGAAGAATCAATTGATCAAGGTACAAAAGTTAAAAATTGGTATGATGTATGTTGGGTTTGTGTATTCTGTGCCAGATGGTTAGTTAAAGTAAGTCACAATAAGAAAAGAATTATTCATTTTGCAACTAGAGCAATGGATATAATGAAAAGACTAGATTTTACTGAATATATTAAATCGTTGGAAAATGAATTTGGTAAATATTTTGAAAAAGATTCATTATACACTTGGGCTGGTTTGAACGATACTACAGCCACTAAAACAACCACTACCACAAATCATAAAGCACCACTTTATACAAAACAATCAAAAGCTGTTTTACCAATAAGTAATTCAAATCATGTTGACGACAAATTGAAATCTGAAATTAAAGTTAATAAAAATGCAAGAAAAAACAGACATAAAATTGATAAAAATTCAAATACAAATTCTCCATATGATTTAAATAATACTATACAAGCATGTTTAGGTATATCAGAAGCAGCAGATGAAAAATCAATTTTATTAGAATTAATGACATGTGCAATAAAATTAGCAGAAGTTGATTATGGAGTTGTTGTTTATGCTGATGGTGAACCTATAATTCAAGCTGTTGGATCTGCTCAACATATTTATTGTTTACAAGAAGAACCATTAAGTTCAAGAATTGATGTATGTCCTTATTCATTGTTAATGCACGTTTTGGAAACAGGTGAAACAATAAATAAAGAAGATGATCATATTGCTTTCGCAAACAGATTTGGTAAAGATTCTTATTATAAATATAATTCAGTGAGTACTGTTGTTTGTATACCTTTGAAAAATCAATTTGGAGTATTTGGTGCATTGTATTTAGAAGTTGATGATCGTAAAAACAAAAAGAAAGCTATATTTGATGGTAGAAAAAGAGATTTATTAAATTTGTTTTGTTCACAAGCTTCTGTTGCAATGGGTAAAGCTAAATTAATTTCACAAATGGAAATTGCTAAAATGGCAGCTGAAGATGCAACTGCTGAAAAAGCAAGTTTTTTGGCAAATATGTCACATGAAATTAGAACTCCTTTCAATTCTTTATTATCTTGTTCTATATTTTTATTAGATACTCCATTGAATTCAACTCAAAGAGAATATGTTGAAGCTATTAAAAGTTCAGCTATGGTTACTTTAAACATTATTGATGGTATTTTAGCTTTTTCAAAAATTGAACATGGTTCTTTTACTTTGGAAAGTGCACCTTTTTCATTAAATGATTGTATTGAAAGTGCTATACAATTAGGAGGAGAACAAGTTGTTGATAATGAATTAGAGCTTGTATTTTTCAATAATTGTCCACAAATTGATACTGTTACTGGTGATGTTACAAGAGTTAGACAAATTATTATAAATTTAGTTGGTAATGCTATAAAATTCACTACTCAAGGTCATATTATTATCAATTGTAATGCATTGGAATTAACTAGTGATAGATATGAAATTTTAATATCAGTTGAAGATACAGGTATAGGTATACCTGATTTATCACACAATAAGGTATTTGGAGCATTTTCACAAGTTGATGGATCATCAAGAAGAGAATTTGGTGGTTCTGGTTTAGGTTTGGCTATTTCCAAGAAATTAGCAGATTTAATGGGTGGTGATATTAAATTTGAAAGTGAAGAGGGAGTTGGAAGTACTTTTTATTTTACTGTTAGTTTTAATGTTAAATTATTTCAAAAACCTGAAATTCAATTACCTAATAAATCTGCTTTAATTATTAATAAATTAGAATTAACTGGTGCTGCACTTAAAAATATGTTACAATTTTTTGAATTACTGGTAAAAGATACTGAAAATGTAAATAAAGTCAGGGAAAAAGATCTTGCTTCTGATTATTTTTTCATTAATCTTGATGAATATGAAGAATTTAGTAAAATTGAAAATAAATTAAAAAAGGATGCAAAAGTTGTTATATTAGCACAATTTGGTAAACCACTTACTGGAAAATCTTCAAAATATGAAGCATTATTATGTCCATTTCAAAGAGAAAGAGTTGTTAGATTATTAAGATACAAAACTTATGAAGATCATAAACCTCAACAAATTACACCTGCATTATTAGCAGATGAATACCCATTAAAAATTCTTTTAGCTGAAGATAATTTATTAAATTATAAAGTTGCACTTAAATATTTAGAAAAATTAGGTTTTAAAGCAGATCATGCAAAAGATGGAGTTGAAGTTTTAGAGAAGTGCGATGAACAACTCGCAAAAGGTTTAAAATATGATGTAATATTAATGGATATTCAAATGCCAATAAAAGATGGTATAACAGCTACAAAAGAATTAATTGCCAATTATACCAAACAAGGTAATAAACAATTTTTACCAAGAATAGTAGCATTAACTGCAAATGTAGCAGGTGATGATCGTGAAAAATGTATAAAATGTGGTATGATTGATTTTATAAGTAAACCAATTTTACCAAATGAATTAAAAAAAGTATTGACACATTTAGGAGAAGAAGTTAAAAAGGAAAAACAATAGACAATAGACGTTAGATTTAGTTCATTTAATGTAATTTTAATTAGAAATTTATTTATTAGACAGTATTATTTAATATAGAATATTTACGTAACTTTTAAATGTAAAACTTTCTTTGGTAGTTATTCTTTAATTTGAAAAGTATAATTTTCTTTAAATTTAACTAATTCAGGATATTCTTTTAATCTTTTATCTTGCCATTCTTGTTGTAATTTTTTAATTCTTAATTTTTCATCTTCAGATACATCATATGAATTTTTTTCTTCAGTAGTTAAATTTTTCCATTTTGAAGCTAAAATTTTCATTGCTTCATTTGATGATTCTCCAGTTGGATAATTTTCACTAACATATTTTTGATATTTTGAAGTTGGACCAAATTTTGGTTTTGGAGTAACTTGTTTTTTTAATAATTGATTAAATTCTTTAGTTGCTTCTAACCATTGATCTTGTTCATATGATGGTAAATTATCAAAAGTTGTTCTTAATGTTGAAATTGGAGTTTTAGTGATTTTTGAATAAAAATTGAAAACTGTATAAGTTCTTGGATCTCTTAATGCTTGTTTAATTAATTTTTTTTGTTTTTCCAATTCTTTTTCCTTAATAGTTTTATCTTTTTCTGATTGTTTAGCTGTTTTAGTTCTTTCTTTAATTAATTTTTTAACTTTTGATTCATGTTCTTTTAATTTTGATTCTGTTTTTTTATGACGTGTTTTAGCTTGATCTAATTGTTTTTTTAATTTTTTTAATTCTGGTGATACTTTTGCCTTTGCTAAGTTGGTGCTGGTGGTGGTGAAATTTTTAAAACCTAAGGTAAGTGAATGGACTGGTTGTTGTTGTTGTTTGACCAATTGAACCCCAACTGGCCTTAATATAGTTTTAAACATCTTGGTACTGATAATTTGTGAAAAAACAAAAATAGTTATAAGTCACGTAAGTTTAAGTGGTTTGTTTATATTTTAAATTATCTTTTGTGTTTCAGTGTGATATTATAACTTGGTCAAATTGCACTACTTAGATTAACCAGCATAATATAATAATCATTCATTTAAGAGTACATTGATGTACTTTTATGCTTCATTGAAAGTTAAATCAGATGATGATTGAAATGATATGACTAGTACCATATAATTTAGTGGCTTTGCGACTACTTTAGTACGTGTTTACACCGTCTATGTGCGTTTATTTGTATGATTCTCGTATTAGAGTTGATAATAGATCAGGGGAAGTGTCTACATGAGTTAATTGATCTTTTAGTGATTCAATTGAGCTATTTAACACCACCTTCATACTACATTTATTTTGTTGTATACTTCAATCTTATCTTTTAATTCTATAGAATTCTTAAGTAGAGAGATCAAATTTTTTACAACACAAATATTTTTTTTTTGCAGCGTAAAACTAATAAAATAATACATCAATTACAACCAAAAGATGTATTCAAATGCTAGATCAGATACTTTGTTCTTGGGAGCTCAAAAAGTAAGTGGGGATGATGTAAGAAATCAAACAGTATTAGCTTCACAAACAGTTGCTAATGTAGTTAAATCTTCATTAGGACCAGTAGGATTAGATAAAATGTTAGTTGATGATATTGGAGATGTTACAGTTACAAATGATGGAGCTACTATATTGTCATTATTAGATGTTCAACATCCAGCTGGTCAGATCTTAGTGGAATTGGCTCAACAACAAGATAGAGAAGTTGGTGATGGTACAACTTCAGTAGTATTAATTGCAGCTGAATTATTAAAAAGAGCAAATGAATTAGTTAAACATAAAATTCATCCAACTACAATTATAACAGGTTATAGATTAGCATTAAGAGAAGCTATAAGGTATATCAATCAAATACTTTCACAAAATGTTGATACTTTAGGAAAACAAACTTTAATTAATATAGCAAAAACATCAATGTCATCAAAAATTATTGGATCAGATTCTGAATTTTTCAGTAAATTAGTTGTTGATGCAATGTTAGCTGTTAAAACTACAAATACAAAGGGAGAAGTTAAATATCCAGTAAAAGCAGTCAATATCCTCAAAGCTCATGGTAAATCATCTTTAGAATCTGTTTTAGTGAATGGTTATGCATTGAATTGTACAGTTGCATCACAAGCAATGGTTAAACTGGTTAAAAATGCTAAAATAGCATGTCTTGATATAAATTTACAAAAAGCAAGAATGGCAATGGGAGTACAAATAAATATAGAAGATCCTGATCAATTAGAAGAAATTAGAAAAAGAGAATATGGAATAATAATAGAAAGAATTCAAAAAATTTTAGCTAGTGGTGCAAATGTTATATTAACTACAAAAGGTATAGATGATTTATGTTTAAAGGAATTTATTGAAAATAATTGTATGGCAGTCAGACGTTGTAAAAAAGAAGATTTAAGAAGAATTGCAAGAGCTACTGGTGCAACTTTAATATCATCATTAAGTAATTTAGAAGGTGATGAAACTTTTGAATCACTGAATTTAGGTTATGCTGAAGAAGTCGTACAAACAAGAATTAGTGATGATGAATGTATATTAATAAAAGGTACAAAACAACATTCATCAAGTTCTATAATTTTAAGAGGTCCAAATGATTATTCATTAGATGAAATGCAAAGATCAATAAATGATTCATTATCAGTTGTAAAAAGAACATTAGAAAGTGGTCATGTAGTTCCAGGTGGTGGAGCAGTTGAAACTGCTTTAAATATATATTTAGAAAATTTCGCATCAACAGTTGGAAGTAGAGAACAATTAGCAATAGCAGAATTTGGAGCTGCTTTATTAGTTATCCCCAAAACATTAGCAATGAATGCAGCAAAAGATGCTTCTGATTTAGTATCAAAATTAAGAACATATCATGCAGCTGCACAAATGGCCAAAACAGATGATGAAAAAAGGAAAAAATATAAAAATTATGGTTTAGATTTAATTAATGGTAAAATTGTTGATGAAGCAACTGCTGGTGTATTAGAACCAACTATATCAAAAATAAAATCTTTAAAATCTGCTTTAGAAGCTTGTGTTTCTATTTTAAGAATTGATACAATGATTGAAGTACATCCTGAACCTCCAAAAGAAGATCCTCATGGTCATTAAAATTGATGAATAAGTGTGTAATAGAATAAATAAATAATAAATTGTTAGTCTTGTAATGACGGAGAATTTTGAGAATAACAAATGAATCTAGAATTTTATGTTAAACAAAAATAGTCTGTATTAAGATGAAACCCAAAAACTCAATCAATTGCAACAACAAAAGTTAGAGATACTTAAATTGATATTAATTGTCTATATTAAAATAAAACCTAAATCCTAAAATACCTAAAAACCTATAAAAATTTACCAGAAATGAAAATACCCCATTTAAATTAATTAATTATTCTAGAATTATTTAAATAATTCATCATTGACCTTTTTTTTTTAATAATTGGTACAATTTTTTCAGAATTATTAGATAAAGTAGGTAAATTATTTAAAGATTTATTAGCCAAAGGAATTCTTTCTTGATAGTCATAATCTGAATTATTAGTAATTGATGAATTAATAGAAGATAATGAATAATTTGATGAAGCTGTGGAGTAAGATGAATTTATTGAATTATTTGAATTTTTATAATTTTTATGAGATAATTTATAATAATTTAATTTTTTAAATGAATTTATTTGTTGTTGATTTATTAATTGTTGTTTAATAGGTAATAAAAATGGTTGTAATACTAAAATTAATTCATATTCATTTATTTTAAGGTTCCAATTTAAAATATCAATTAATTCTCTTTCTGCTAAATTAATTTCATAAAGATTTAATAAACCATTTGTATATTTTGTCCAATGTTTATTTAATGGTGATGAATCATTTAAATTTTTAGCAGCTATAATTAAACATGATAAAAATATACGATGTCTTGTAGTTTCCATTCCTACAGCATTTGCAGGTAAAAAATTTCTTAATTTATTTAAATAATATAATGTTGACATTAATGTTGGTGTTTGTACATTTGAATAATTAATTAAATTTTTAATAAAATCAGTTAATGAAATTATTGGATTTGAAATTATTTTAGTTGTATTTGTATTGGATATAATTGATGATGATGATTTTGGGGATTTTTTAACTTGAATTATTGAATTTGTTGTTGATACTAAGAAATCAATCATTTCTAATGATACAGGTTGTCTTGAAAATATTTTTAATGCTTCTTTATCTGACATTTTTGAGTTGTAGTTATATATATATATGTGAAATGTTAAGTATGGAAAGTAGTAAAACTTGTTGCAAAAGTTTGTGAAAAATTGAGTTGAAATTGGCTAATTAATAATTACTGCAAAAAAAAATTAAATGGGTATCAAGATATAAATTAAATGAATGGAAATTAAAAATGGTTTATTAAAAAGTCTTTGATGAAATGAAATTGTATTATATATGAATGAATGTAGAACTGATATATATAAATGATAAAAATTTTAAAATCTAGAAAATGATATGATTTTAAATAAGATTCTTGAATAATAAATTTAAAGATTTTCTATAATTTTAATTTATAACCAAATTAGGAAATCAAAGTTTTAAATCTTTTATATGCAGAATTTATTATGTAGATTTAATTTTTTATTATTTTTCAGTTTTTTTTATTCGCGTTTCATAATTTTTTTTTTTGTATTTTGTAACAAAGAAATATCATCTCTCTTTCTCCCTTTCAATTAAACCAAAATATTATTGAAAATATATGTAAGGAGATCTCTCTAAATAATAATAATAATAATATTGATTGTAAAAAAAATAATTTATTATATTTCCAATTCGTATCGGGTTCTATTCAACTTTGATCATCAGTATAATAATTTAGGGTTTATTGGTTGTGTCATTGATCCTCACAAACTCAATTGAAATAATAAGGAGTTGTTGTGATCTTTTTTGATTGTTCAAGAGATAAGACAAGATAGATATTCAGTTGAAGATTGATGCTGAGCTTAATAGGCTTATACTTTTTGAAGAAATTTCTTATTAAAGTAAATTTTAGAATATTGCTATATTACTTTAACTATTAGTCGAATTAAAATTTAATCAATAATGCATAATTAAAAGAGTTCTAAGTAACACAAATCATTAAGAAAAGCTTTAGTTATAATATTCGAATTTTTAGTTTTTAGAAGCTTAGAATTTAGAATTTTTTTAAAGTTTGAAATAAAGAACACAAGATTTACAATAGATTTTTCTTATAATAACTCTGATAAGTTTAACTTAAAATTAATTAGTCAAGACGTTTCTTGTTATATCACTGATTTAGATAAAAATTTAAATTATATATAATATTGACAAAGAAAAAAAATTAAAATTTAGATTGTCATAAATCTTTTTTACTTATCATAGTAATTCATTCATTATCAGAGAACGTTTTTTTTTTTTAATTCTACTGTACATCGATCAAATTCATCATTACATTACGAAAGGACAATTTTCTTTTAGTTTGATTAGATTAATAATATTAATTTAGATCTCTTTACTTTTTGCAAATATAATAAATTATTATAATTTTATAATTTACCTTAGCGTGTCTATTTTATTTATGTCAAAATTATTATTTAAAACAAATTTTTGTTATATATTATTTTGGTATAAAACATGCGTATAAAATAATTTATAAATTTTATTACGAAAATTGTTACGAAAATTATTTTGTATAGACACACACTAATAAATTATTAAAACTATAGCCGACATTACAATACTAGAATCAGCACATAGATAATATGTATATTGTATATTGTAAAGTAACTTTAGCCACTTATTTTCTCCAATAAGTTGTACCTCAAATCAATATACAAAATTGATTGGCGAGTCAATGTAGTATTCAAAACTTAGTGGCCATTCGCCTTTTAATATTGATCTAATCTTTACTTTACAACAACAGTACCTTACTAACGAACGTATGAAGAATTTGTAAATGATCGACTTTTAACTCATACTCAGGCGATATTAATGAAAATTGGGGTCAATTTCGTAAATATATTTTTATATTACAACTATTTTTTGCGTTCCTGTAAATTGTCAATTTTTGAAAGTTCTTAAAAATACATTGGTCTTACGACTACGTTCAATTTTGATGGGAGAAGCCGACCATAAGAATGTTGAGTAATAAGAGTACAGAGGGGATTTTGATTTGATAGGAACATAGGATTTACAAATTTGCTTTGGTTGTATTTCTTATCATCAAATTTTTTTACAACCATTTTTGTAAATATACAACAGATTCAAAATTTTATCACGGGCTGAAGTTGAGCATTTTTAAAGAAGCCCTTAAAATCTAGTAAGAGTTATTGAACAACCTTCCTTCAAATATTTTTATTTCTCTATTGAATAAATTATATAACAACTAACTATACCTACAAAAATAATCAAAAAGCTAAGAAAAACTTTTCTTTTACTTCTCCTTATAATCCAGCAGAATCAGGATAATAAAAAAATGCTAAAGCAATGATTAAATAAGTACATAACAACATAGCACCTTCTAACCAATTACTTTCACCATCTAAAATCACTAAATTTGTTATAAATACACTAACAAATAAAATAGCAGTTTCAAAAGTTGAAAAATATAATGACATTGGTACATCAATTGCCCAACCAATTAAAACCATGAAAGGAGTTACAAATATAGCAATTTGTAAAGATGATCCAACTGCTACTCCAATAGCTAAGTCCATTTTATCTTTCATTGCAACAATTATTGCAGTAACATGTTCTGCTGCATTACCAACAATTGGAATAACAATTAAACCAATAAAAGTTTTTGAAAGTCCAGAATTTTCAACAATATCATCAATTGAACCAACTAAAATATCAGCAGAAAATGAAACTAATATAGTAGTTATAGCTAAAACAGTTAATGCTTCATAAACAGATAAATGTTCATCATCTTTTGTTATAATATCATCATTTGAAATATTATGATCAATATCTGCTGAATTAGTTTCTTCAAATAATGATTTATGAGTTTTTAATGAAAAAATTAAATAAAATAAATAACAAAGTAATAAAATGATTGAAACTCCTCTACTTAAACTTAAAATTAATTCATCTGAACTACCTGGTTCTGGAAAAACTCCACTATTTCCCTTTGGTTTTGGTAAAGATGCATGAAAAGCAGCTGGAATTAATAATGAAGCAGTAGCTAAAGCCATTAAACTAGACATTGTTTGAGCAACAGTTTGATTAAAAGTTTGTTGAACTCTTGTAATTCCACCAGCAACAAAACAACAACCAAGAACTAAAAGTAAATTACTTAAAATTGAACCTAACATTGAAGCTTGTACAATTCTAACTTGATTTTCTTTTAATGCAATAATACTAACAATTAATTCAACTGCATTTCCAAATGTAGCATTTAATAAGCCACCAGCAGTTTGTCCAACATGTTCACTAATTTCTTCAGTTGCGAAAGCTAAAATTGAAGCTAATGGTATTATAGCAAAAAAATTAATCCAAAATTTTGCATTTGAATTCCAATTTAAATAACCTGCTAATAATCCAATAGGTACAAATATTAATAAATAATTAACTGGTGATGATTTTAAAGTTAATAATGTTGATTTTTTTAAATTTGTTATAAAATTTTGTTGATTTGATGTTCCTAATAATGGTAAATTACTCATGATTGTGATTGGTATTTGATTAAATTATGTCAAGAAAGTGGCTTATATTAACGTAGATTATGAATTGAGATTTAAAATTTCAGGTTAAATTATTATTATTTTGGTTTATTTTAATAGTACTAGTATTATATGTAATCTCAAGTTAAAGGTATTAATTTCTATTAATTTCATATATTAATATTTCTTTTAACTTCTTTTGTACTACTACACATTTAATTTCATTTTATATTTTTTATATTGCTTCATTTTTAAATATTTTTAAATATCTTAATTGGTCCTGTATACTAACCTTTTTTTGGTTTTTTTAGAATTTATGTACAAAAATTAGACGATTTTTAATTGAAACATTTTCTAGTGGTTATCTTAAAACATGTAAGAGAAAAAATTCAATTCTGTAAGGTACCGTTGACAGTTGTTAATTTTATAACAATAGTTGATTTAAAGTTTCAATGGCCTTGTAAAATCTCGATGAAATTAAGTGAACAAAAAAAATTAATAGCGCAAGATTCACTATTTTCACAAAGATCAAAACCTCTAGATTGAATTGAAGTCCAATTTTTAAAACATAGGTTAGTTGAGTATAATGAATTTCTGCTTTAAGCTTGAGATCTTTGAAAAAATTGCAATAAAAATTGAGACTTAAGTGGATTTGACGGAAATATGAAACAGGGGGTTTTTAGGGGCTTCAGTCATCATACATTTTATGATTAATGTTCTCCGACCATGACAATCGGCAAATATAACCAATTTTTTTCACTCTCGAATCTTGCTTTTTACTCTTTGCATTTAACAAGCTGGATAGACATTCAAAGAAAGTTGTAATGTCTTGAAAGAAAATATCTCATCAAGGCTATGGATAGGAAGAGGACCGATCAAAAAGCTGAGGCTTTCTAAGCCCTACAAATCTTCACAATATCAAATAAATTAACTTTTAATGCTCTATTTACAAAATTTCATCTAATTATTGTACCAATTCAGTCCATAAATAAGGTGTAAAAATAATTATAGCAGTAAATAGAACTTCAAAACATTCCCATATAGCTAAGGGAAAATTTATACCTCTATTAATAAAATTTAAATAAATTGAATAAAAAGCAACACTGAAAAAATGATTAAATAATAACATTGGAAATGGTAACATACCACTTAATAATCCAATTGGACCTGAAACACATTCTCCACCTCTTTGAAAATATCTAAAACATCCATATTGTAATATTTTTAATGCTTTTTTATCTGCTGCAAATAAGGAATATAATGCTATTGATAATGTGTTTATAACTGCATCCAAATTTTTTCTTTTCCTATGAAATATAGTAACTTTTTCTTTAACTTGATCGTAATCTTCAAAATCATCTATAGATTTAAAAAGTCTTGCTAATAAAACACAATCTGATATTCCAACAGTCATACCACCACCAGTTAATGGATGTCTCATATTTAATGAATCACCAAGTAATAAAAACCCCTTTTGATTTTGCTTTTTAGCTGATAAATATTGATTTGGCATTATTCTAAATTTTTTAAGTTCTAATGCAGATTGAAATGCTGGTAATGTTTCCTTTGGTATATTGGGGAGGACTTCATTTTTTAGGTATTTATAAACTTCATCATTTGCTGATGAAGGTGGTTTTGTTGATCTATATGCACATAATACTCTTGTTTCTGTTGGTGATACTTGGTATATTAATACTGGCGCATGGTTTCCTAATAATACATGACCTTTATTATTTTCTGGTAATTTTGCATTTTTTAAATATAATCCTATAAAGTAGGATCCTATAGTTGGTATATTATTTGAATATTGTTTTCTAAATTTTGAATATATTCCATCACATGAAATTACTAGCTTGGAGTAAATTTTTCTGGTTTTACCATTTTTTTCTTTAATTTCAACTCCAACAACTGTATCATCTTCATATATTAGTTTTGTCACTGTAGCTTCTAATGTATCATTTTCTTTTTTACAAACACTTCTTAAATTTTGAAGAAAATCTCCATGGTGAAACGCTACTCCTCTGACTCTTTTATCATTATCCCAGACTTCTTTGTTGATTGTATTGTCCAGTTTTAATTGTGTTTCTTTTTCATCTAATATATTTAATGGATTTGTAACTTCAGTAATTTCTTTTAATGGATAATCTATACTTATATGATGATTGAAATATTGTATATAGTATCCTGTGACATCAACAGCATCTATATTATTTATACATTGTATCATTCCTAACTCTTTTAAAGCTTTTACACCTCCTGGTTGTAATAATTCTCCAACAATTCTATCAGGTTTTGACCAATCTCTCTCCACAACCAATACTTTTTTACCTTGTCTTGAAAGTGCTGTGGATATACATGGCCCCACTACCCCTGCACCTATCACTATAACATCATACTTCATTGTGGTGGTTAATTTTTTGGTGCTGGTGTTTTGAGTCTTGATTTATTTCTTTATTTATATATATTTTTTTCACTATCATATGATTTTAACTATACGAGTTAAACGAAAAAGAAATATTGAAAAATCAGAAGATAATAATTTTGATTAAAGACAAGCTTTATAGACGTGAACGACAATTTGTTTATTAAAAACAAGTTAAGAATTGCATAGCTAGTCAATTAAGAGAGTGTTAGTTGTGAAAATGTTTCAGATCTGTATATTATTCTTCATCACTATCTTCTTCTGCCTCTTCTAACCATGTTATGAATTTTTTGGTTAATTCTCTGACTTTTGTTTCACCATTTGTAGACCACCACCTCAAAATATTCTCCTCTTCGATAATCTCTAAATCATATAATGTCTTTACCACACAAAATAGAACAACTTGATTATAACTTTCATCCAAATCAGTAATTTCCTCTTCCAATATATTCAATAAATCAACTTCACCCTCAGCTCCAAAAGTTTGTCTTTTAAACATTTTACCCCAATTTGTAAATAGTTTCAATGTTGCTTCTTGTGGTTTCAAAGTATCTGTAGATATAAAATCAACAACTTTTTTAATAATAGCTTCACTTGTAACACTTCTAACTTCATGATAATCAACATTCATTGACATACGTAATGTGTTCAATTCTAATAATGCAGTATCTATATCATGATTATTTTCAATAGCTCTTGAGACTGTGGCAAAACCTTCAATTGCAAAATCTTCTTCTGGTTCTGATAATACGGAGTTGGTGGAGAATCTTCTTTTGGTTTTTTTCTTCTTCATTGATGCTATTGAATCGTCTGATCCATTTATACTGAGTTTGTAGAAACTTAAAGGTTCTTTATCTATAACATGATGTAATTTGGTGTTGTCATCTACCACAGAGTCATCCCAAATGTATGAATTTGATATATCACAATTTTTTCCAATTATACAATTTCTACCAACCACCAGCTTTTTAATTGATGTTCCTTCACCAACTTGTGTATTTCTCCCAATCGCTGTGGAAGTACCTATCTTACAAGATTGTGCTAATAACACTTTTTCTTCTTTATATATATTATTAAATTCATATCCATATGATGTTTCAGATAAATTTGAATCAGGTACTAAAGGAAAACACCAACGTGCCAAAATATCTTTTGAAATTGAATCATAACTATTCCATCCAGTAACTCTTCCTGAATATTCATTACTTTGATAAATATATATAGTTTTCCTCAATATATCTGATGTCAACACACCTTTCAACATATCACTTCTTAATTCTTGGTAATCAAAATTATCTTGAAAAATTTGTGGCACCAAAGGAGTACAAACATCAATATGACAATCCACTAAATCATTACGTATTATAAATTCTCCATCTTCTATTAATTCTGGATCTATATCTATTGTCTTATCTATGTCTTGATAATATATACATTTATTAGTTTGATTTTCCATTATAAATGATGATCCAACAAATTTTGTTTTGCTGTTGGTTAATGCTATAGTCATCATATAATCTTTATCTGTTGATTTTTTGGTCTTATGATATGACCATATGGAATTGAAATCAATATTTGTAACTATATCTCCTGTCACCAATAAAAAATCTCCACTAATTATACCTCTATTATCAATATCTCTCATTACATCCCCAATGGATCTTGATTCCATTGACATTATGACGTTGACTTTCCATTTTGATTGCTTGATATACTGCTGTACTTCTTCTGATGTGACTATTAAAAAAATTTCATTGATTTGTGAGTTATTTAAGAATTCTAATGTGTATTCAATTAGTGGAACTCCAACTAGAGGTAAAAGACATTTCGGTTTTGATGAAAACGATTCTTCAAAGGAGTCCGTTAGCACTACTGCTTGGATCTTCTCTTGTTGTGTCTTGACTTTTGGTGGCATAATTGGTGATGATTTACTACGGTGTTACAGAATTTTTTCAAAAAAAAAAAAAGATTGCAAAATTGCAAAATTTCAAAATTATTCACGTATATCAAACTCTATAAACTATATATACAAGTGTATTAAACATCAGATTTACTACTCCTGAAGCTTCTATTGTTTTTTATTTTCTTTGTTTTTAGCTTCTTGTTCTTGAACAACTCTTTTCCATTCTGGAATTGGTTCTGGTTGATTCTTCTTGAGCTCTTTATCCTTCATTGACAAGAACAAAGTGGCTAAAAGTAAAAGTACTGATACCGCTTGTGCTACTACTCTTGATTGCACGAGCTTCTGGGACGTTGTCATGTACTTATCTCTATTAATAACAACCCAACTTCCGTATAAACTCAATCCCCAAACACCAATAATAATTTGATATTTATGATCATTCAATTTTGTAACTATTTTATCGGATAACGGTAATGAATCAAATTCTTTATGTTTTTTCAATATTTCATTGTTATTATATTCAGATTGGTGCATTTTTTTGTCAAATTCCCAAGAACCTTGATCTGCCCAAAATGCACCTAATGCGATAGTTGGCATTGTTAACATGGCTGCTTTAACACTAGGACTGAAAGAAGCAAATGTTTGGGGTCTTTTAAATTTGAAGAAGGAGAATACACCTGCTGATAATGCACCACCATAAACTAAACCTTTAAAACCTTCGGACAAAACATAGTTCATATGAGCATTTTTCTCATCGTCTGATATAATCTTCATTTCCGATAGAGTGTTTGAGTGTTTACTATAATGGTATTTGAGCTATGGCTTGTGTTAGTGTTAAGCTATTTGATGATAATCTGTTTAAAGTATTTTGTGAAATGAGATAAAGCAAGAAACAAAAATCGGAATATTTTATATTTCGCTCGGAAATTTAAAATTGATTTTATTCTATTTGTTCTATTCTTATCATCCAAAATGCATGGACAAACGACAATGATGCATGAAATGCCAATGCCAATGCCTGAAGATAGATGTTCAATGAATGTATGTGTTGCATGAACAAGCTTTTTGAAAAGTTTCTTTTACTAACTAGTCATAGATGTTGTTCACCTGGGATTGGCATAATGTTTGTATCGTATATAAATGGTGGCATATAAAAACGTTTCCAGGTTTTATAATTTCATTAATAGCAGTTACTTTATTAGCATCACTTTATGAATTAATCAAAAAATGGTTTAGTCAATGGGAAAGAACTTCTACCGCTACAATATCAAGATTCAAATTACAAAGAGCTTTACTCTATGGATTTCAAGTTTATTATTCCTTTTTATTAATGTTAGTGTTTATGACTTATAATGGTTGGTATATGATTGCAGTTGCTGTTGGAGCTGCTATTGGTAATTATCTTTGGGGTGGTATGAATGAAAGTTCAAGAAATTTAGCTTGTCATTAATTTATTTTGCTTATTGAATATACGGGTTATTGGGACTGACATTGTCTTTAATTTGCTCTTTCGCGAGCTCTTTGGTTGTACAAAGTTGTCTAATTCTATTCCTTTTTGCTGAAACCTACGCAGATCAAATGATATATCATGAGGATGCACTTAATTTGTTTATTTATTTACTCTTTGAACTAGAATCATTAGCTTGAGTGGAAATTGCGATCTTTTAGCTACATTTAATTTATGAGACCAGTAGGTCGAACACGACAATCTCAAACTAAAAAATTCTTTCTGGTATCGTATATTGTTTGATTTAGATCTCAAATTCAGGTACCTAACATTCATAAAGTTCACACATACTAAATAGTTAATCGTATATTAGCAGTTAATTGTGAGTTTCAATTTGTCGCACAAAACTTACTTTTTTTTCAGTTTCACATTTTACCCAGTATGTATGTTATCTTTTTTTCATTGAAAAAACTTGAACAAAACAAGCTTGTCAAATGATTTCGTCCTTAATATTCAATCAAATATGAATGTAAAACTTTACAGTAAAGCAGGAGAGAAACAAGTATGAGAATTAACTCTTTTATTTCTTCTTAAGTCCCAGGACAAACTACATCACTGGAAGTAACGCAATTGGCCGTATTTCCTATCCTTATTTAAGGTAATTGTGATTTGATGGATCCAGTCAAAAAGAAGAAGCTTCTTGCGTTCAAACAATGGGAATAAATTTGTGCATATTTTGAGTAGGAGTACATAATTTGAAGCGAAACAAATTATACTTGAAGTAGTTATGAAAAAAAAAGTTTTAAAAGTTGTCGTCAAATTACTGCAAATAATTATTTGATAATATTTGAAAAATACTACCAGAACATATTTAAATAGCACGATTAAAAGTCTTGAGATAGCTATGCATCTACTGCACTATGTGTTGCAAAAACATAGCAATCTTGAGGTCAGGGACGAGGTAAAAAAACATATTTTTATTGTATGTATTTACGGATGTGCATTGCATTTTTTTTGCGATACGGATTGATTTGGGCTGAACATGTTTCTCATTTTTCACGTAGCAATTTGAAGAGGCAATAGTTGATTTGATAAAAAAGCAAGCTGCATCTGTTGGTACTTACTGATGAAGTAATTGGACGGAGGTAAATTTTCGCCCTTTATAATCAATAAGCTTAACTTTTTTAATTTGACTTAAATCGGAAATAACAAAAACACCAAATGAAATTTGAGCATTGCGTGATCATAGAGTAGCAAGGTACTCACCCAATTCATCATACGTCAATATTAGAATTACTGCATTTGACAGTGAAACGAAAACCAATAATTTTATTTCCCTAATTAATAATATAAAGGCATTGTGATTAAAAGGCCCTAAGTTTGGCGTATGATTTCTGTTTACTGTCTCCGTCTGTTTTTACAGGAACCCTTATTGTATATTTGAGATCTTGTGACAATAAGATCATCGAGATCTCGTAAATGTACCACTACTTTTTTCTGCTTACTTTATTTTCTTCTTTTGTGCTTCATCAAAATTAATGGTAACCATTAACTACCTCACCAACACACGTAAAATAGATCAACTTCTTACCAAATTTGTTTAAAATAATAACAATTAACTGTATTTAATGCTTTTGATGTTTAGCCTGATTTAAGGGTCACGCACAATTAAAGTACAAATTTAGTTTACAATTGTAGAAATTTACTTTAGCTAGATAAAAACTTTTAGAAAGCATTCAAAGTATCAAACTTCTTAACAAGTATTGTAGAAAAAAATGAGAGTAATGACGAGCTTAGGATGACATAATATTTATATGCTTATCTTTCAGAACTAGTATATTCTCTTCATAAGTCCTAATTGCCCACAAGTCTCCTTTACTTAAACTCCCTCATAAGACAGATCAAATATAACACTGCTAATTTCTAATTTCAAACTTTTTAGCTACAATCCTTTTACTATTCTGAAATTTGGAGCAGCAAAAGTTTGTCGCTCTTAACAAATGAATAATGTTACTATTATTCTAGCGTGGACGTTTTTCAATGACCAAAATAACTTTGTTTAAATACTAACACAATATACTGCTCAAACTTATTTGTCAACAATACAGTCTCTAATGCTTGCTTAATATTATACAGTCCTTCATAATAATCAGTAAAATCAATTTGTATGTAGACAAAATTAGCATTTGATTTTGTGTAATACTCGTCAAAAATGTTTATTTTATCAAATACATATAACACATTGAAATCACTTCAATTTACAACAATCTATAAACCATTATCATATTAACAAATCTTCTTATTCAAGCAAACCACAGTCTCCAATATGAGTACAAAATGTAAAATAGATTGTTTAGATGACTTAATTACAAATACTTCAACTAATGAACCAAAAACTAAATCGAAAAAAATGCCAGTTATTGTTTGGAATAGTGCACCACCACCAGTAATTAACGAAGTCAGTGAAGATATAAACCAAGGTATTCCAAATGACTCCGTTTTATTTTTATATAATCCAGATGAAAATATAACTTATCCAGATTCTGCTATAGCAATCATTCCACGATATTTTCCAGGTGAATCAGAACCTAGAACAATTCTAACCACTCATGGACAACTAAAGAAGGAAATACAAAATCGTCCTAAAGTAATTACCTGGTATAGTAAAATTCCATCTCAATCAGAAGCAAATAATCTCATTACCGATAAGATACACTACAATTTCATTGATTCCAACTCAAAAATTCAAAATCAAACATCAATCCAATTGAACAAGGTACCTATTTTGAGTGCAATAAATGCAAGAAGGACTATCATAGTGCAACTCATTCTTTAGAACATTTAAAATTACTGCACCAATATAAATTACCTGAACCATATCCATTTAAATTACCAGCTATAATGAATCAAGAAAATGGATTTCCAATTGCAGTTGAATATAAAGGAATATACTTTATTACTGAATCATTTTCACAATTGTTACAACAACAAAAATGGGTTCAATCAAGTGAACTAAAAAAACAAATAATACAAATTGGTTTGAAATATTATGATGAACAAATAATCATGTACAAATGCCCTTATTGTATCAATTTTTATCAATCTTTGAATGAATACCAAGATCATCATGATACTATGCATATATTAAAAGTATTAAGTAAAGAATTCAAAATTTTACAACCTGAGTTATGTGAAGAATGAACTTCTTGTTTTATTTGCATCTATCAAATGAGTGTTTCACTTTAATTTTCAAAGCTTTGCATATTTAAACCTTCAATGAATTCTTAGCCAATCCTTCGATGTAATTCCTTCGCGTATAAAAAGCATTCCTAATTACTTTAGAGTTTATATCAGAGATGAATGCAGGTCATTCGTAAAAGAACCATTTATATCATTTCTGCTCTTTACTTATAGTTTCTTATAAGTTCTCTCTCATTAACAAGCATCTCACATACAAAATAATCAATATCAGCTCAGTTCATCATATACGTTTTTCATTATAAATTTCGATTTCTAAAACAAGTTCACATTTTCCAGATCCATAGCTTTTACATAACTTATAGTGAATTTGTCATGCGGACAATCTTGAACTATTCAAGTATTCAAAGCAGGGACATTCTTGAATTATTCTAGTTTTAGAAGAAGCATGATCATTTTCCAGCTCAAACAAAATTATCTCGTTCTAATCAAGTGCTTGAAACCAAGTTTATGTCGCGTTTCAAGTAACTTTGTATGAGGTCGACTAAGTTGAAGATTTGAATCATGATGCTATTATCTTTGATCTTGCTTCCTGTGGCTTATTGGAGTCCATTCGATACTATTATTCTGATGTTCATTGTGCAAGTTATTGTAGAGCTTGAAAAGATGAAACGACGCCATTTTACCAGTAAGATAAGTCCCAGTCTTCTTAAAGTAGTTCCGCTTTAATTTTGATTCCGGATGATTAGACAATTGTGTTTGTAACTCTACCGTCAATAAATGTACCAGTGCGGAATGGATGTGAAAATCTTTTAAAGTTTTGGTTTATGAATATTAATGAAAGTAAAACTCAATTCATTTTTGAATGCAAAATTCTAAAACCCTTACTTATTCTTGTTTGCAGGTACTCTCCAACATTTGCTAACTAATATTCTAAAAGTACAAGTGATTTTAATCGAATTCTAAGTCTGTTTATACTTCTTTCAGCTTCAAGATATGAGCGATCTGAGATATATTGTTTAAAACATCAATTTCGTACCTTTCATTTTTTGATTTTGGTTGGATTTGAATTGAGAGCTAAATCTTTTCCAATCTTATTAAATAAAGCTGAACATATGGTAATGATTCAAAAATATATCCAAACTAATCCGTTAACTTCGATACCTGAAGATCAAGGCAGCAAAAAGAAAAAAAAGTGCTCTCGGGGAGGATTGAACTCCCGATCCTTGCGTCACTAAGTTTCCCGATTTCCGGGTCTAACTGGTATAAGCACAATGCATTAACCGCTATGCTACGAGAGCTGCTGTTGTGTTTTTGGTTACCTTGCAAAGATAAGAAGACAGGTTGAAGCTCCGATTTTTCTTTTCTGTTAGTATCTTTTTAAAGTGCCTTTTTAAAAGAGCTTGTATTAGTAGCTTGTCTAAGACACAAAATCGTTTTTTTTTTTTTGCAGCATAAAAAGTATACCTAACAGAATTAAGAGCTGGAGTAGTTTACTCATATCGAGCAACGAAAGAAGCTACTTCGATGGATAATAATGAACCTGAAGTTTCATTTAATTAGGTTACCGACGCAGGAAAGTTGTTTTTCTACTCAATTCTCAATATACCACGAAGCATCGTTAATTTTACTGTTTTTGAACGCAAGTTTAATTTATAATGAAACTTTGGTATCTTATTCATGCAAAACTTTAGACTTTTGAAAATTACTTTGAAAACAATTAGATGATGACTTTCTCACGAGTCAAACTACCCAGTACTATTTAAACTTAAATCCAAAAACTTTCTCAAGTACTATTAGCCAACATAATCCTCAAAAGATGAAAAAGTTTGTTTTTTCATCGAATTATTTTTACATATTGAGGTAAGGATGTAAAATGAGTAAAAAAGAATATGAAGTTTTTTTTTTTTTCAATACTTTATATGTTTATTAAGCGAAGTTTAAATGTCAAGCTGATATTTTAGACGAAGACAGTAAACCATTTTTGACTTGCGTATGGTGAAGCTTCCATAAACTCTACATAACACAGCTCCATGGTTGCAGAGATATGAAACAATAATCACCAAGTTACAGACAGTATTTTGAAACATAAAAAAGAGTATAAAAAGATGGGGACATTTGCCCCAAACAGTTACTATGACATGTAAAATCTGAAAAGGGCTAACATGAAACGACCTCTTGTTGATATAGCCAGATTTTAAGAACTATGAATTTGAATCTAAAACATCACTTTGTGTCATAAATTTGAAAGCTTTTATATACAGTAGTTTTGACATAAAATTCTACAATCTATCGAGCGGAAGACTCTAAATCAGCTAAATCTTATATTTTAGTTGATCTAGAAAGGTTGATATGATATTATCATAACCAACGCTCATGAACTCTGGGTAATAAGAATCAGTTTCTAGTTCTTCGTTTTAAGGTAATAATTTTTAACAAAATTACAATTGCGCACTAGACCCCCGGATAAAATTTTACTAATTCAACGAACAAATTGTTCCTTTGACGTACGTTTTATTTTTATATTGCGTATACGGTACAAAATTTAACAGAAATCGATCTTTAAACCTCTAACTAACTTACAGGGCTTGCGTCAAAAATATATTATACCAGAATATACTTATTTAGATTGTATCAAAATTTACCAATGGTATTTTTTTTTTTGGTATTAGTTGAAGTCATATCACTTCAAATGTCACAAGTGTTACACAAAACTTAAATATAGTTTATTTAATTGGTCTTGATAATTTTCATTAAAAATCCAATCAATAGACGAGTGGCAACATCAAGTTTAAAATTGAATAAAGTTCAGCATATACAATAGTCTTACTAAATGACATTCGTCAAACTATTCGTTGACCAAATTCCCTATCAAGGAGTCATCATTATGTCAACTTTTTTAAGTAATATAATAAATCTGACGTAATGCCCTTTGTATTACTTCTGCATATTTTACAATTAACAATAGGACTCAAAAATTTTATACAATTCGTAAAATGAAAAATATATGACAACTTTAAATCTAGATCTATATTGAACAATACAAAATTGTTGGAGCATTACTGCATATTTATATTTTTATTTTTAATATTAAACAATCCTGATAGATATTGAATTTACTATTGTTTTAAGTTTTAACCAAGTTTTCAATCCTTGAATTCAAGTTGATTGAGTTTTTTGAATCAAATTTATCAGAGTAATTATACTTTGATGAGATGAAATTATTATGATAAATTGTAATATCTAATTTTGATTATCATTCATGACAAGTTTTACTTGGTCATGTCTTTCGATTTGCTTATATTTCTTCATGTTTCAAAGTATGACGTAATTACAAAAAAAAAAATCGAAAATTAAAATATATCAAAAATTAAACATTAAAATTCCATCAAATTTGATTGAAAATTGTTTAAAAGATTGAAATTAAATCAATTTGTTGAAGTACTATAAATACTTTCAATGTTTCCCTTGAAAGCAAACTAGTTTACTTATGACAACTCATACTTCATATTTGATGAAAACGCAATCTACACCTAGATTTCTTACTAAATCAATTGTCAATTTATAACAAATGATCTTAAAGACCGGAGTAATGTAATCTTAGACAATTTCTAATAACAGAAGTTTTATAAATTCAAGATTAATATTATTAATACTATCTACAACTTTCTACTAATTAAATATGATCTTTACATCTCCTTCTAAATTAATGATTAAATTTAAAAATTTAATTTTAAATATTAAAAAAGAAATCTTTTTTTTTTTCTTTTTTTTCTGGACTCACTTTTTCAACAAATCTTTAACAAAAACAAATAAACTAACACTTCTTACTTCATCTGTTTTTCTTACATAAAACATATATCAATAATATCTTAGAGTTTAGTTCTTATTCAAGTTTTTGAGGGCAAATTTATACCAATTTTCACTTTCACTAATCCATATACAATCGTTTCTTTTTTCTAAATAAAACCAATATAGAACCACACACTTACTCCTTCAGCATAACAACTCAAACAAGTTTGCCATCAATCAACAATTATAAATATATTAGATTAGATAAATCATTGACACAGAAGTTTATTATTATATCCCCACAATCACATAATACATAATGACAGATTCTAAAAACAAATTAAAAGATTCAGGATTAATAGATTGGTCAGTATTTCAAGAAATATTACAAATGGATGAAGATGAAGAAGGATTTTCAAAACAATTAGTAGAAACATTTGTATTTCAAGTTGAAGAAACTTTTGAAAAAATTGAAAAATTTATAGATGATAAAAATTTAGAAGATTTATCAAAAGAAGGTCATTTTTTAAAAGGTTCCGCAGCTGCTTTGGGATTAACTTCAATATCTGAACAATGTGAAAGAATTCAAAATTATGGTCATAAAAATAATTTTGATAATTTTAAACCAACAAAAAAAGAAACCGTAAATAATAAAGAAGAAGAAGAAGAAGAACCAAAGGAGAATGGGAAAAAAGTAGAAGAAGAAGATAAAAAAGTAGATGAAAAAGTACCCGAAAAATCAACAGAACCTAACACAACTACAGAAGATGATAAATTTTGGATACTAGCAATTGAAGATGCTTTAAGTAAAGCAAAAGATGGATTTTATAAAACTAAAAAGGCATTAGATGAATTTTATGACGAATAGAATGTATAGTTTATATAAAGCTCAAAGTATACATAATGATTGCAAACAAGTAACTTGGAGAAATACACTTCTAAATATAGTTTCAAATTCTCTACGATGTAACATTTTTGAGCATGATGGACAGTTTTCTTTTGGTTTGAAACATTTTGGTAAATAAAATACGAAATATAGAGTGTTCATGGATCACGATAAAATTTTATTGTTCTCATCTATAAATACTCTATTTAAACCTTTTCCTCTATTTTTTTCCTTTCAAGTAAGCAAAATTGCATGTACTCCACCTTATAAGGTATGTATTTCCTCAAAAATTGTGGAATGTACATTAGCTTACCAATGATGTTGTGGTTCCCATTTGGATTTATTAATTTCTTATTGGCTATCAATTTCCAATTTTTATCTGTGGTTAAACTTGGTAATATCAATTGTGGTTTACTATTTAATTGGTTATTGTCCACAAAATAATCACATTGAGTTATATCTATAATTTTATCTGACTCAAATTGATTTTTGTTATTCATATTTGGTGGGACAAACGTTATTGAATCTATGAGGTTTGAGGACTCGTGAAAGCTACCAGGTAATAAACCATCAAATCCTGAGTCTACAAATTGTAATCTATAATTATCTGGTAAAAAGAAAGATGCTGGAAAATGATACCATTCTTTACCCATACATATATTTGTTTGATGTGATTGAGGTGGTAAATTACTTACTTCTTCAAAGATTTTTAATGGTGCTGAATAATTTTCAACTAAGTTTAGTATTCTTAGTACTGAAATTAATGTAGTTGTGAATATGAATCCAAATTGTAGTATGTGATAAAGGATTTTATTAATTTTTATGTTAGTCTTGAGTATTGAAAATATCTTGGAAACTAGCACTGAACTCAGAATTATAATTAATGGATAAATAGGATACATGAATCTTTCCTCTTTATGAGGTTGGGAACCAAATATCAAAAACCAAATTATTAACTGACTGGATACTAAGGCATTAAATTTTCTGAGGTTCGTAATAAATGGATTTATCAACAATCCCAAAATTGATAATGGTAAAAGAACATTAAAGTTCAATAACAAATTAACCACATAGTAACTAAATGGTTCAACTCCAAAAATTTCTGGTCCTTCACCTTCTGATCCAAAAACGTTATATGATACTATATTGATTGGTACAAATACCCAATTTTGCAATAAATAAGAATCAATTAAAAAAATCGGAGCAATTACAGCTTCCAAAATGCCCACTATCTTGAGTAATATAGTCCAATTTAATTTATGATACAAAATTCCAAATCCACAATAAATTCCTAATGGTAATCCCAAAGCTAAAGCAAAGGGCCAACCTAAAACTCCACCAATAAAATACCAAAACACAGCCACTACCAAATTCCTCTCCTTATCCACTTCCCTTGAGCTTTTTAGTATAAAACAATTTGCTAATATAACACATTGTAAAGCTAATGAACTAGGTAATAAGGCAACACCTCCATGATTTATACCAATATTAATAGAACTTAAGAATAAATACCAATTTCCCAAATTTACAAACCCTAAATTGCAAAAAGTCTTGAATAAGTATAATTCACAAAAACTAGTGAAACCAGCTAAATCAAAAACTCTAATGAAATAAAAAACATGTACTGGGTTTAAATTCAACAATTGAGCTAATTTACCAATCAAGTAATAAGGCACTAAATAAGCATAACTTCTTATTGAATAAACAGGTGAGTATTCCCAAGTTTGTTTGCCAAAACCTCTAAGCATTAAATTTAAAGGTTCCCAATAATTAAAAGTTTCATCACAGTCCATTATTATCATATAAAATGCAGAATATAAACGAAATGAGACGTTTAGTAGTATTATAGCATATTGTAGTGTTGATAGTCTGGTGACTATAGGTTTTGACTTAATTGACATTATTCATTGGATTAGTTGTAAATTTATGGTTTTTAGTTTATGTGTTTTTATTTTTCGTGTTGCAAATATTTGAGAAATAGTATAACCAGGGCATTGACACTGAAAAATACAAGAAAAACTACACTCGAACGTCTTAATAAATACTTCTTACTTTATATTTAAATGCTAATTTACAATAGAAACGTGAACACCATAAAAGTGGACGACCATTTTTGAATATTTCATTCCTTGATACTTCAACCATGATCACTATAGCCTCAAAGAATCCTCCTTTAACCACAACTTCTCCAAATTTCTCCCCTAAATACCATATCTTGGAAATCTAAATTTACTATCATCATGATAAATAGGTTCATCAACTTTAGTTTTAATTTCAGGATTTTCAATACTTTCTCTAATTAATTTCTTTCTTTCCAATTCAGCAAAATAACGTCTACTTAAATTTCTATCATCTTCAGCAACCAACAATGGTTCTAAATAAAATCTTGCCCATTTTTTCTCTCTAGTTAATTCTCTTTGTTCTGAAACTCCTTTGTAGTATCTATAAAAACCAAATGACATTATTGCGAATATTCCCCAGAAATATGTTGTGCCGCTAAATCCTCTTGTTGGTAAATTTCTTTTCCATTGAATTGGGTCATACCCTCCAATTGGTGGTAAATCTTGCATTTATGAATATTTGGTTGTATGGATTAGTATTTGGTAATGATGAATTTTCAATTTCTAATTGGTGCGAGAAAATATAAAAGAAGTAACTACCAAATGCATGTCAAAATTTTTGAAACTCTGAGTTAGAAATATACATCTTTGATTCTACGAGATTTTGTTCTAAACGAAATTAAATTATGTACCTATTAATTGCTATACTTTTTACTTTTCTATTTTATATCAAATACAGTCTTAATTTTTTAATTAATAACCAATCATCTCTTGAAACAGTATCTCTGAAAGCAGGATCTTTTAAAGTATCAATTGATCTTCTACTAATTAAAGAATATAAATTATCGTTTTCATCAACATGACGACCCCAAACTGGTTGAGCAGAAGATGGATTTTCTAATCTCATAGCAACCCCGGCAGCAGTTTGTCCCTTTTTAACAGAATCTGCTGGTTTATGATTAACTTCCAATGAAGAAACTTTACCCAATACCATTACACTTGGTTGTTTTGTAACTGGATCTTGACGTACTGCACAGATTGGTGTACCAATTCGTACAGCTCCTTCGATAACATCAACACCAATAATCATTGGATTTCTTTTGTTAATAATTTGTATAGTTTTCAAAACACATGGTAAAACAGCATATTCCATAAACTCTTTTCTTCTTGCTTCCAATAATTTTGTTTGGTAAGCAGTAAAAGCATCAAATAAATGATATATAATATCAGCATTGAAAATTTTAATATTATTTTCATCAGCATAATGTTCAGCTTCTTTATCAACTTTAACATCGAAACATAACATAACAGCTAATTCTGGGGCTTTATCCAACATGGTAACTGCTTTCATAACATCTCTTTTATAGACTGGACCTAATCCAATAGACATAACTGGGATTTTCATATCCTTCAAAAAATCCAATAAAGCTTCTAAGGATCCTAAAGTAGATGCTTGAACAACAACACCTTTACCTGAAGTATCAACGGAATCCAATAATCCAGTTAAATCATCCATAACTTCATCCATCATATCCTCTTCATCATCATCTTCTCCTACAACTAACAACCTGGATCCTGCAACTGCTTTTTCTAAATCATTTGCAGCAATTTTAACACCCAATGCAGCTTTAACTTCTTTATGATGTACATATTCTGATTTTATACGAAGTTCTCTACTAGGTGGTGGAGTCAATAATGCTCTGATATTGGTAGCAATTGGACCATTCAAACCACATAATACTACTCTATCACCTTCTCTTAATATACCATTTGATAAAACAACATCAATTGTGTAACCAAAACCTTCAACAACTTTAACTTCCAATATAGTTGCTTCAATTTTTGACAAGTACATCAATTGTTTTGACATTCTCTTTTGTGTTAACTCCAATAACAACCATAATAAATCAGGTACACCTTCACCAGTAACAGCTGATGTTGGGACTATAGAAACATATTTTGACATATTTTTATTTTGGAAATATAATTCAGAATTTAAACCTTGTTCTGATAATGCTAATTTGATTTGTTCATACCTATTATGAAATTCTTGTTGTACAGATTTTGCTTGTTTTGCAAATGAATCTCTAAATGAATTATTTGGTATTTCTTTCCAATCATATAATCTATCAATTTTATTTAATGCAACAATAAAAGGAGCTTTTCTATCTCTTAAAAGCCTTATAGATTCAATAGTTTGTTGTTCTAATCCATGCATAATATCAATAACTAAAATAGCAATATTACATAATGAGGACCCACGAGATCTTAAATTAGTAAAAGATTCATGCCCTGGTGTATCAATGATTAATAAACCTGGAACTTCGAAAATTCTTTTTTCATATTGTTCCATAACTTGTGTCTTTTGTTTTATTGCATCGACTGGGAAATATGTAGCACCAATTTGTTGGGTAATACCACCTGCTTCACCACCTTGAACATTTGTTTGACGAATTTTATCTAATAATTTAGTTTTACCAGTATCAACATGACCTAAAATACAACAGATTGGAGAACGTAATTCTTTTTCGGAGGTGGTAGGAATAGATTTTGTAATAGTTTTAGCTTGCTCTTCACGAATTTTTCTTTCAGCTTCTTTTTTAGCTTCTTCTTTTTTGGCTTCTTCTTCTTTTCTGGCTTTTTCTTCTTCTTCTTTGGTGCTATCTTCCTCTTCTTCTTCTTCGATCTCTTCTTCATCTTCATCTTCTTCCTCCTCTTCTTCAACCACCTCAGTATTTTCAACTTCCGCTGAATCCCAATTTTCAAGTGGTTCTTCTTCTTCATCATCTAATGCCATTTTCTCCCAATCATCTATTAATGCTTCTTCTTCTACTTCTTCTTCTTTCTTTGGTGCTTGCTTTTGTTGTTGTGGTTTTTGATTAAATGTCTTTGGTCTTGATGATTTTTTCTTTTCATAAACTATTCTTTTTGGTTTTGAATTTGAACCTTCTGTTGATTCCTTTTGTAATCCAGGTACTGAAACATTACTTGCTTGTAATAATTGAGCACGACGTCTTTCTTGTAATTTTTTCTCTTCTTTTTGTTTCTTTGTTAACAATTTACCTTCTGCTTTTAATTGTTCTTTTTTCAATCTATCTTTTTCCTTTTTAGCTGCTCTTGCTGCTTCTTTTTTCTCTTCTTCCTCTTTTGCTAATCTTTCTTCTTCTTCAGCTTTACGTTGTTCTTCTTCTTCTGCTAAACGTTGTTCTTCTTCTAATTGTTTCTTCAATTCCAATTGTTTTCTTAAAGCTGCAAGACCTGCTGGTGCCTTTTTCCCACCTTTTTTAGCTACTGGTTTTTTCTCTTCTGGTTCCTCTTCTGGTTCTGGAGTCGGTATAGCTGATGCATTTACAGCGTTTTGTTTATTGGCTTCTTTAATTTGTTCCTTTTTGGTGGCTTGTTGTTCCTTCTTTTTTTGAGATTGTTCTTTCTTCTTCTGTTTTTCAGCTTCTTTCTTTAATTTTTCTTTTTCCTTTTTTGATAAAATTTTTGGACCTTCACTGTTTGATTCTTTGGTTTTATCTTCTTCTTTTTGAGCTTTTTTTTGCTTATTTTTACGAATAGATCCTAAAAAATCACCTGCAATATCATCAGCTGAAGCTTCTTCAGGTTGTTCATTACTTGGTTCTTCTTCGTTGTTGGGGGTTTCTGTAGCCCCAAATTCTTCGGCTTGAGGTTCTTCTTCCTCAGCCCAAATATCCTCTACCTGTTTCTTTGATTTTTTTCCCATATTTGTTGATGTTATGGGTTTTTATAAATTGCTTAATTGTTGGTTGCAATTTTTTATTAACTTAATATAATTTTATTTTAAACTGTCAATAAATTTTTTATAAATTTTTCAGTCTTAATCACACGACCATAAGAAGATATATGAGATCATCATAGTTTTACAACCAAATCAATAACTAATATCATTATCATTAACTACAGCATATTATCATGACTACAGTTGAAAAAATAAAGGCCATCGAAGATGAGATGGCCAAAACTCAAAAAAACAAAGCAACTTCTTTCCATTTGGGTCAACTAAAAGCAAAACTAGCAAAATTAAGAAGAGAATTATTAACAGATGGTTCATCTGGAGGTGGAGGTGGTGGTGTTGGATTTGATGTTGCAAGAACTGGGGTGGCCACAGTGGGATTTGTTGGTTTTCCATCAGTTGGTAAATCCACTTTACTATCAAAATTAACAGGTACTCATTCAGAAGCAGCAGCATATGAATTCACAACTTTGACAACAGTTCCAGGAACAATTAAATATAAGGGAGCTAAAATACAAATGTTGGATTTACCAGGTATTATAGAAGGTGCAAAAGATGGTAAAGGTAGAGGTAAACAAGTTATAGCAGTTGCAAGATCAGTTAATTTATTATTTTTAGTACTTGATGTCAATAAGCCATTACAACATAAAAAAATTATAGAACATGAATTAGAAGGAATGGGAATAAGGATAAATAAAGAACCACCAAATATTGTAATCACGAAAAAGGAACGAGGTGGGATAAATATAACAAACACAATCCCCTTAACTCATTTAGATAATGATGAAATAAGAGCAGTAATGTCAGAATATAAAATAAATAGTGCAAACATTGCTTTTAGGTGTGATGCAACAGTTGATGATTTAATTGATGCAATAGAATATAAAGCAAGAAAATATATCCCAGCAGTTTATGTACTAAATAAAATTGATTCTTTTTCAATTGAAGAATTAAATTTATTAACTAAGATCCCAGATGCTGTACCAATTTCTTCTGGAAATGGTTGGAATTTAGATGATTTATTAGAAGTTATGTGGTCAAAATTAAAATTAGTAAGAGTTTATACAAAACCAAAAGGTAAATTACCAGATTTTAATGAACCAGTTGTTTTGAGAAGTGATAGATGTACAGTTGAGGATTTTTGTAATTCTATACATAAATCATTGGTTGAAGATTTTAGAAATGCTTTAGTATTTGGTACATCAGTAAAACATCAACCACAAATCGTGGGGCTAGGTCATGAATTAGAAGATGAAGATGTTATAACTATATTGAAGAAATAAACAATTTGTATTCTCTTGTGAAATAATAAAATTTTTCATCTTCTCTCGTATTCTCATAAATAATTTTTTTTTTTTTTTTTTTACTTAGGTTTCCAATTTGTTACCAGATCAAAATAAAAATACTTTATCCACCAAGAATCATCCCAAAAATAAAAAGGTAATAGTTTATTTGCCTCACCATTATGAGTGTTTTACCACCTGATGTAAATGGTGCTTTAACACATTTACTCGAAAATTTATTATCAACCACGACAACATCAAGAATAAATGCTGAAAAATCTTTAGATCAAGAATGGTCAAGTAAACAAAATGTCGAGATGTTATTGGTTTTCTTGGCTGAACAAGCTTGTTCTGGATCAAATGATACTATAAAAGCATTTTCAGCTGTTTTGTTCAGAAGAATAGCTATAAAGTCACCAAAAGAATTATCAAGTGTCACTGATAGAACTATTGGAGTTATTAGTGAACCTGCAAAACAACAAATTAGAACTATTCTATTAAATGGATTTTCATCACAACAATCAAACCCAGTAAGACATAAATTAGCAGATGCCATATCTGAAGTTAGTAAAGAAGATTGTTCTCCACAAGGTTCATGGAATGAGTTAATACCAGCATTATTTCAAGCATCAAAAAACCCAGATTCAAGTTTTAGAGAATCTGCTTTTAGAGTGTTTACGTCATCACCAGAATTAATAGATCAATCATATATTAATGATGTTTTGCCAATATATAATTCAGGTTTCGAAGATGAAAATGATGAAGTTCGTATTGCTGCATGTACTGCATTTGTTGCATTTTTCAAAGGATTACCAAAGAAAGTTTGGCCAACATTATCACCATTATTACCATACCTCCTCAACTCATTACCAAGATTTTTACAAAATGGTCAAGATTCTGCTTTAGCTTCAGTGTTGGAATCCTTAATTGAACTAGTCGAATTAGCTCCAAAAATGTTTAAAGAAATGTTTCCAACTATCATTGAATTTTGTGCAGCTGTTTGTAAGAACAATGAGTTAGAATCAACAACAAGAATGGCTTCATTGGAATTATTAACTACTTTCGCTGAAGTTTCACCGGCAATGTGTAAAAGAACACCAACCTATACAGAAGAGATTATTTTAATTAATCTATCAATGCTCACTGAAGTATGTCCAGATGATGATGACGCAGCTGAATGGAATAATAACGACGATACCGAAGAAGATGATGAAGAACCAGAATATGACGCAGCAAGACAATCTTTGGATAGAGTAAGTTTACGTTTAAATGGTCAATCAATGGCTGGTCCTTTGTTTCAATATTTACCAGGTATGACCCAATCAAATAATTGGAGAGAACGTCAAGCAGCATTAATGGCATTATCTTCAGCAGCCGAAGGATGTTCAGATGTATTAATGAATGAAATACCAAGAATTTTGGATATGGTTTTACCAACATTAAATGATGATCATTCAAGAGTTCAATATGCATGCTGTAATGCATTGGGACAAATGTCAACTGATTTTGCTGATGTTATACAAAGAACTTCTGGTGACAGAATTTTACCTGCATTAATTTCAAAATTAACCAACAAATCGGTACCAAGAGTTCAAGCTCATGCAGCAGCAGCTTTAGTTAATTTTTCAGAAGCAGCTTCCAAGGAAATATTAGAACCATATTTGGATGATTTATTAAATAATTTATTAGTGTTATTACAATCACCAAAAAGATACGTTCAAGAACAAGTTTTAACTACAATTGCAATAATAGCTGATGCAGCAGAAAAAACATTTGTCAAATACTATGACACATTAATGCCATTATTAACAGATGTTTTAAGAACAGATATGGGAGATGAAAACAGATTACTAAAAGCCAAATGTATTGAATGTTCAACACTTATAGCTTTGGCGGTGGGTAAAGAAAAATTCGAACCTCATAGTCACGATTTAATACAATTATTCGGTCATATTCAACAAACAGCTACTGGTGATGATGATCCAGTAAAACAATACCTTGAACAAGCATGGGGAAGACTTTGTAGAATATTGGGCAAAGACTTTTTACCTTATTTACCATCAGTTTTACCACCTTTAATGGTTACAGCAAAAGCATCTCAAGATATTTCATTATTAGAAGAAGATGAAGCTGAAGAATATAATAACAACGATGAATGGGATGTCATAAATTTATCAGGTAAATGGATTGCTGTTCATACCGCCGCTTTAGATGATAAAGTCACTGCGATGGATTTATTAAGAACTTATGCTATACAACTAAAAGAAGACTTTTTGCCATGGGTTAAAGAAATTGCTGAAGATATTGCATTACCAGGATTAGATTTTTATTTACATGATGGAGTACGTGGATCTGCTGCATTAACATTAGCTTCATTATTGAGATGTCTTGTAGCTGCTACAGGAAATAATTCACAAGAAACTTTATTACTTTGGTCCAAAATATGTGATAAACTTTCAGAAGTTTTGAGATCAGAACCAGTAACTGAATTATTAGTTGCTTATTATACTGCATTAACTGAATCAATAGGTGCATTAGCACCAAATTCAATTTCGTCATCACAATTACAAGCACTTGCAAAATCAATAAATGCAAACTTAGTAGAAATTTATGAAAGAATAAAAGCTCGTGACAATGAAGATGATGAATATACAGAAGATGTCGAAGAAGATGAAGAAGAATATACGGACGAAGAGTTATTAGATGAAATTAATAAAGCCATATCGTCAATTTTCAAAAACGCAAAACAATTAGCATTAGAAAATTTCCAAGTCATTGTACCAACGATTTCTACTTTTATAAATGAAGAAAATTCATCTTTAAAGCTTTGTGGATTATGTATTGTTTGTGATATACTAGAACATGGAGGACCAAGTTCAGTTATATTTAAAGAAACATTTGTCAATGTATTAGCTAATTCATTGGTATCACCACATGCTGGAGTACGTCAAGCAAGTTCATATGCAGTTGGAGTAGCATCACAATTTGGAGGAGAAGATTATGGAGAATTCTGTATAGCATGTCTTGAGCCAATGTTCAAAATGGCTTCTGTACCAGATGCAAGAGCTGAAGAAAATATACATGCAACAGAAAATTCAATCGGTGCAATTGCCAAGATTTTCCATACTTATTCATCACAAATTCCAAATTTGGATCACCTTGTTGAACAATGGATTAATTTATTACCAGTAGTACAAGATGATAATGTTGCTCCATTTACTTATGTTTTCCTTTGTAGTCTAATGGAAAACAATCATCCAGCAGTACGAAAAAATGTACCAAAAGTAGTTGATTCAGTCATTCAAGCATTAGCTCATGCATCAATTGGTGGTCAAACTGCAAGTAGAGTTGCAACAAGTACAAGACAATTATTAGGTTCAATTCCTCATGGTGAAGCTGTCTCAATATTACAAAAAAATCCTGCTGATATTGATATAGTTAAGAAATATTTTAGTTAGCTTCAATAAATAGATAGTAAAAAATTAATATAAGCATTTAATCACTTAAACAAATTGTAAAACCTTTATAGTTAAAGAATTGGTCCATACTTTGGTAACACAAAAATTTAAGAATAACAAAAATAATTTAAAGTGTAGATCATATTGATTAAATCACAAGCTTTATAAACAGACAACTCAATCTTAGTTCAATCCCATTTCCTGACCGTATCTATTATCACAACTTTTTTTAATGACAAACTCACTATCGTCGGAAGAACCTACAATTACTCCCTCAGACTCCAGCTCAATAAACCACAGGAGGAAACCACAAAGTACAATTGATTCGAGTGTTACTAGATTATTAGTTTCAACAAAACACTTACTAGAAAGTTTAACACTGTGGGCGAAACAAGAGTCAGATGATAAATTTGTTTCAGATGCTTATGTTAAACTTGGGAATGATTTTAGAGCAGCAACAAGAGCTTTTAATAATAAAGGTATTGATGTTTCAGATTTAGGTGATGTTCCACAAGCTTTAAGAGCTATATTAGAAACTGCATTAAGTGAAGCACCATCTCAAGATAATCTTGATAGGTTTTTGCCGAATATAAGAAATATAATTGTTACTTTATTACAAACTTTGAAAGCAAAACAAGCAAAATTGAAGAGTCTAGCTGAAGAAAAATCAAGCGAAAATATATCATTTGCACCAAGTATATCATCATCAACAGCAAGTAAAGAAGAAGAAAATTATAACACAAATAAGGATAGATCAATTTCTGATTCAACTAAACCAGCTGAACAAGAGAACATACCAAGTAGAAGATCACTACAAGATCAAACCAGTCAAAATATTCCTCAATCAGCTCCAAATTCAAATAATACGACCACTAGAATAACTTCCCCACAAAAGGAGAGACTTCTATCGCCCAACAGAAATAATCAAAATGATGCACTTTCCCAACTACAAAAAGGAGATGCACTTCAAAGAAGAGCTAGTAAAAGATTTAGTGCTTACCAGTATGCAAAATTAACTAATTTTTCACAACAAAATGCTTTAAACGAAATGCCCAACACAATTGAATCTCAAATTCCACCAGTGCCTAAATCACCCGAAGTTGCAAAACAAAGAAGAAGAAAATCAATACTAAAAACTGAAGACGAAGAAAACGATACTGAATCTGAATTCTATATACTATTAAAAATCAATGAAAGAATTAAAAAGTCTGTGGTTCAAAAACCTTTGACTTTAGCTACACTTAGGTTATTATTTGTTGAAAAATTTGCTTATTCACCTGGTTTGGGCAATTTTCCAGATATATATATTCAAGATCCACATTCTAAACATCTGTATGAGTTAGAAGAATCGCTAATAGGTGATGTTAAAAAGGGATCACTTTTATCATTAAATGAACCAGACGTACAGACCAAAGCTATATCGGACTTGAATAGTAAAATTGAACTACTTTCTAGTAAAATGGAGTCAATGAATTCAGATATAATTAAAAATGTTCAAAGTTCCATAGCTTCAATCGAATTTCCTGCACCAACACAACCCTCACCATCAACCACTAAAGCAACAACTTCAAATGAAACAACAGATATGGTAAGTAAAAAAGAATTAAATAAAATTGAAAATGAGTTACGAGTGTTGAAACAATTAAATAATTCACAAACAACCTCCATTAAAGAATCTATAAAGGATACCCTTACCCAATTAGAAACCTTACAAGAGACTGGGTTAGATACATCACAAGACTCTAACAGACTTTATATGGAGTCCTGTCACTCAAAATTATCAGATGAATCAGATATGCTATTAACAAAAGTTGATGATTTACAAGATTTGATGGAAGAAATGAGAAAAGATGTTGCTCAAAGAGGTGTACGAGTTGGAGAAAAACAACTTAAAAATATAGTAAAAGAAATCAATGATGCCAAAACATCATTAAATGATATGAATCAATTCATCCTAAAGGAAAAACTAGTCTGGAAAAAGATTTGGGAGTCAGAATTAGACAAAGTTTGTGAAGAACAACAATTTTTCAATTTACAAGATGATTTAACTAATGATTTACAAGAAGATCTCAAAAAGATACAAGAAACTTTTGCATTAATTGAACAATGTTCAAAAGAACAAACTAAAAATGGTGGAAGTTCAGCAAAACGTAGGAATTTCTTTTTATCAAATATTCCAGAACCAGGAGAAAATTTAAATAATGTAAAAGATGCAGTGTTAATAGATATTCAACAATTAAATCCAGATCATGAAAGTAGAGTCGAAGCTATTGAAAGAGCTGAAAAATTAAGAGAAAGAGAAAAACAATTATCAAGATTAAATAAATTTCAAGAAGAACTAGGTGATTTTGTTGAAGATAATAAGCTCAAAAAATCAGGTGGTATTGCTGAATTAGAAATTCAAAGAATGCAAAGAGATAAAGAAAATTTGAAAAATTCATTTGGAATTGTTTAAGTGTATAATTTCATTAATCTATTATCATATCCATCCAGTATTTGACCCAGTTTTGTTACTATAAGCTCTTAAATATCTATCAAAAACATTTGGAAATGGGTCAATTTTACTTAATGCAATCAAATTTGTTTTCACTAACTTACCTTTTAGTAGTCCCGTATCTATCAAAGTTACAAATATGTTCTCTTTATAAAAAATTTGATCTTGCGGTGGTATTGATGATGGTATAGGTATTGGAACTAAATTCGTGTTTAAGTTAGGTTGTTTTCCCAAAATTGACCAGACTTTACACGATAAATTTCTGTAAATTAGTAATTCAATTTTGTTCATCACTAACAAAATTCCTTTGCTTTTCAAGTACTTGTAATTCTCCGCAATTAGATTATTATAACCGTTAAAATCTCCAATTTTAACCAAAAATGCTATTCTTTCAAATAAATTTAAAAACTCCAAAATCGAGTTGTCACCATTAAATTTTGATTTCAAATAATTAAAATTTGGCACTTTACCAACTATTATACTTACAGGTATAAAATATTCCAATATTAATTTTTGATTCTTTAAACTTGATGTATTCAACAAACAAAATTTAAAATTTTCAAAACTTTTTATCAACTCATTTTTAATAAACCAAAATTTACCTAAATAAAATTTATACTTAATTTGTTCCAGCATAGGGAATTCTTTAATTCTTAGAGAAGTGTTGTTCATATTGCTAAAAATATTTAAACACAACAACGGATTATCTAATTTCCAATATATGAAACATAATTTATTTCCCAAATATAGTATTATCGATTTTTTATATACGTTGGAATCATTTATTCTAATATTGTTGAAAATTTTTAGTATTATACTTGCCATGTAATTTAATCTATACTTCCCTCCTTGTTCTTTGTAAAACATTTGATAGTCCAATTTGATTGCAATAGGAATTACCATTGTGATTGTTGTTTTAATTATATCTGATAGTAGCCAACCATAGGTATTATTATTAAAAGCTATTGATAAATCATTTAAATAAGTAGTCAATAAATCAAATGAACATAATGCAGACCAGGGATCCATCTCCACACAAAACTTGATAAAACTCGTTACAATTGAATTAAAAGCTGACCATTCTTCATCATATAATGTTGATATATTTTTAGGTACTTGATTTGTTGAATTGTAAATTGATGTAATAAATTTATTTTCAATTGGTAATATTGTTAATAATTTTGTTAATGCTGTGAATTTTTCGTTGTTGTTTGATATTGAATGTGTTTTGTTTATCTCTCTTATGAGGTCAGAGACACTCATTTATCATTTGATGTAATGTTGTTTTAATGAAATTCTGCTTTTCACATATATCTTTTCTTAATTTTTTGTTTCAGCTCTTAATGGATTGATCTACCGCGAGCTTGATGCGAAATCGTACTGTTTCCGCCCTAAATAAAAAAGTCCCAACCACAATACTTAAAGTCTTTTACGTGTCGTTACCAAAAACACCTAAATTTTTTGACCTTCATTTCAGACGAAATTTTGGTTGAAAATCATTGTTTTGCAATTTTACTGTACACTAGGGCCTAAAAATTTTTATTATTTAATGCTTGACATAAAGGTGAGCTAAGAAGGTACATTTTGAAAGTTTTCAATTAGTTCAAACATCAAAATTGCATCTCCTGGGCCAGATTTTAAGAATATCGAAAAATTGCAATAAATCCTTCAAAACTGTCTCAAGACAAAAAAAGATAATTGATAAGTAATCTTCTACTAATACTAGATAAGCTTGTGCAAAAGCAACTTTAAAACTCATCAAAGTATTTTGTTGCGTTGAAAATTCTACAAACTACAATTTCTTACAGGGGTGAGAAGCAAAAAAAGTCAAAAATGGCTGTTTTGCAGCAATTTTCCCATTTTTTAAAACATCATAAATTGATACCCCATTTATTAATATGGCTCAAGTTTGGATTTGAATATAATATTCAAAAACTAATTTGACACGTAATGGTGTTTTTGTTGAAAATTTTAAAGTAATAATGAGATTTTTATGGGCATTAAATCGTCCAGATTTAAAATTTGAAAAATGGTCCATTTCTGAGAATTTCTGGTATTGCTTATCACTATGCCACTAAAGGCCAAGGCTAATAAATTGTGTGTGTAGCGTGATTTGCAATTTACGTTGGGCAGTCTTTTAAAGCAGTTTCCCCACGGATTACTCAGTCAAGGTTGTTGGCCAGAAAAGTCATTCGATATCGCTTTTTTTGAAGGTCGGTTGAACCTATTTCTGAAGTAAACTATGATTCTCATTCACCGATTTGAGAGAAAAATCGAATTTTAAATGGGACGGCGGTAGAGCGGTGTAGACTTAACTCTGGGTTAGTTTTTCTGTCCACACCGCATTATCAATACCGCGCGAAATCTGAAACATAATATGGAGTTGCAGTGTTAAGCTTCTTAAGGCATTAGACAATTAAAGAAAAGAACTTTGTAAGAGTATGGCTTAAGAATTACGTTCATTTACCTCATTTAATATTTCATTAGCTATTAATCGTGAAAACTACGGTATTATTCATTCAACATCATAAAAGCACTTTCAGAATTAATCTTTAATTGGACTTGAACTCATTTTTTGCCTTTTAACAATATCATCACCATGTTTCAGTAAAGTTCTTTGTTTTTTGATACTTCCTTTCCCACTAGAAATCCCACTAGAAAGTTCAGTACCATCATTAGATTCTGTATTTGTAAGTTGTTGTAATTCAATTTCTTCTTTTGAATCTTTTATTGGTTCAATTTCATCAGTTGGTGGAGTTACTGGAGTTTCTACTTTAATTTCTTTGACACTGTTGTTTAATTGATTATCAATGTCATCAAGGAGTTCATCATAATTGATTACGTCATCTTGAGTTGATACATCAACTTGATCTTCTTGTTGTTGTTGATCTTCTTCGATAAATGATTTTTGGAATTTTATAATTTCATGTTCAATTTTGGTAATTGAATCTTGTTTTTGAGCTAATTCATATTTAAATTTTATATCACCATCAATTAATAATTGATTTAATTTTTCACCACCTAATTTGTCAGTGGTGGTTCTTTTACGATAAAATAATAAATAAGCGGCACTTGAAATTACATCATTTGGATTTTCAATTTCAGTAACTCTACTATCATTAAAATAATACCATTTTGAATCTTTAAAATTTTTAACTGATGCAGTATAATGACCACCACCTAAACCCCCATAATGATTGTCAACTGCTATTAAATCATATATGCAATCACCATCTTTAATTGTTGGATTAGCAACGTAAGAACTAATATCTAATCCTTCAATTGGGAAATCAACAACTGAATCAATTTTATCACTGAATGCTCTAGCACTGTGGAATCTTTTTAAATGTATAGTTAAAATATCACCAGTTGACCATAATTGAATTGTCTTGGTGGCTCGTTTATGTGATTTACATCTTGGACAATACCATAAATCTTGTTCACCTAATATTTCAGGAGTACTAAAGCTTTTTAAACATTCATCTAATGTAATTTTTGCCTTTTTCAATTTTTGATATTTAGCCTTGTTGTTTTCTAATTCTGGATTTGATAATTTTTCAATATTTAAAAGGGTGTTTGTTGTGTCTGATCCAAATAAATTATCATAAACTGTTTTATCCCATTCACATAATAAGATTGAATTTTTGTTTACTAAAGTTTGATTTTCTTGAGGTTGTTGTTGTTGTGGTTGCTCTTGCTGAGGTACTTCCTCATCATAATTTGGTTCTATAGGGGAATTAACATTTGATGGTTTTAAAGATTCAGAATATGGATTTGAAGCAGGAGGTTCAGGTAAATTTGAATTTGAACCAAATAAATTCCCATAATTATTTTCACTTTCAGTTTCTTCATCTGATGAATTAGTTGATCTTAATAATTGACTTCTTAAAGGTAATGGTGGTGGAAGTGGTCTTTGTTGGACTAATCGAGAATCAAATTCGTCATTTGAGTCAAATGTTGTTGTGGGAAATTTTTTGGTAGTGTTATCTAATTTATCAACAACTACAAATCCTTCATTTTCATCACTCTTGTCTGAAATTTGTAATGATATAACTTCTGGAGAATTTGATGCCAGCATCTCTTCATCCGTTGTTATTGGTGGTTCTTGATTTGGTTTATTTTCATCTTCTGAATAACGATAATATGATTTTTTAGGTTCTGGTAATTGATCTGATAATAATTGAAAATCTGATACTGTTGGTTTATGTAATGGAACATTAATTAATCTTTCTGGTTGTTGTTTTGTAGTTGTGGTGGTATTATTCAAATGATAACGACTTTTATATTGTGGTACCCAACTTTTACTGCTATAATCTTGAATATATTTGACTTTGAATCCATATTCACTGTTAACATAAGGATCGGCCAATGATACATCACTATCATATCCATCATTTTCAACATCATCCATCGCTTGCTCATTTTTTGGTACGTCGTCGTTTTCAAATGTAATATATTTGAAATCCAGTTTTGAATAATAATTTTTATTTACATAATCTGGATAAACGGTTTTTTTATGCTTTTCATATTCATCAGAAAGGTCATAAGTAGTTAAAATTGATGCTAAAGTTAAAAGTTTTTGTCTGATATATCCAAAACTATTCAATTGATCTTTATTTAAAGTTGAAAACAAGGGTATACCAAAAAAATTACTCATACGATACAGAGTATCTTCATCTTCTGCAACATTGAAAACCGGTACAATGATATCTTCTTCCGGATTATTAGGTATAATATAAACAGTAATTTCATCAGTATCTCTAATTAAATCACCAATTGGAATAAATTTGTTTTTAACTCTATCCACTTGAAAATCTTGATATATACCATGTTGAAATATTTCATAAATGAATAAATTTGAATTATCAATTTTTAAAAAATTGGAGAAATAATTTAATAAATCTTCATAATTTGATGTTTTATTCAATTCCACTTCTAGTTTCATAATTCTTTGTGGTAATGCAGCTTCAGGTGATAAATCAACTATTGTAAAAGTATGATACCATTTTTTACTTATTGGTAATGGTAATGTTAAATCATTGAATGGATCAAATGTTATGGAAGTTTTTTCACAATCTGGACAAACTAAAGTAGATTGATATAATCCAGTAAATAAATCAATTATAACTGAATCATTTCTTTGTTTATGTTGATGCCAACAAGTATTTGCTAAATTAATTATAGCTTCTGAGTTTTTTATATCATCATCATTTAATTCTGGTTTTTCACAATATGGTTTCTTATGTATACGATTTAAATCTTCATGTAATGCATCTAATAACCAACTCAATAATTCTTGAGAATCTTGTTGTAAATATCCAGAAAACATTGAACTATATCTACCTATAGTTGATTTAAATTCTCTAGGCGATATACTTGATGACGTCTTGTGAGGATCAAACGCTTGTTTTAATAAAGATCCAAATGCATTTGCAACATCACCATTATAACCTAATGGATTATCTAAGTTTAATTCTCCTTGATATATATTTTGGAAAAAATATTGGTTAATTTCTGGAACATGTAACAAACATTGTAATGCTGAATTCATATAACAAGTATTTCCCAAATTTGATAATCCCATATGACCTCCTACACTAGTATTATTATTATTATCATCTTGAAGTGATGAAGTATTTGTTTTTATATACTGATCAATTGGAAATTCAGAATTTGCTTTTTCTTTATATTCTATAACAATATGAATAGGAAAATATTGATCATTTACTTTTTCACCTAAAGTAAAGTCATAAAATGATTTATCGACTGTGCATTTACCCTTAATATTGAATATAAAATTTTGTGGAGTTATTAAATATGGAATACTGTTTGAATCATCACCAGTTACAATAAACCATAATCTAAAATCCTCAATTGGCTTTTTCGAAAGTTTTAAATAATATCTTATACTTTCAATTAAAAATAAGAATGTGGAGGTTCTTGAAATTGGAAATATTAAAGGAGTTTCTTCAACATCATGATTATTATTATATCTACCACTTCTAAAATAAGATTGTTGTTGTTTTTTACCAATTTGATGTAATGAAAAAGTTAATGGCCATCTTTCAACTATTAATTCTTCATTTAAATATATAAAATTTCTTTGAACAGGTATTCCAATTATTTGAAACCAATCTTTTAAATATCTGAAAATTTGTTCTGAAACTGGTATTGATACATTAGATTCTTCATTTATACTATATAAATTTTCATTTTGATCTAAAATTAAATGTGAATCAATTGGTCCAACTTTATCAACTAATTGTTGCCATGTTTTAACTGGTTCATTGAATAGTAAATCTAGATAATGCTTTGATATCATATAACAATAATCTCCTTCTTTCCAATCAAGTTCATCAAGTAATTCTTTAATTAGCTGTCTTTTTTCAGTAATTTTTTGTAATGATTCTGAATCATATTCTTCTTCTTCTTTTTCTTCTTCATCTTCATCTGATTCTTCCTCATTTTGATCTTTTGGTTCATGATTAATTACATGATTATATGATCTTATTGGTGTTTTTCTTCTTACATATGTTTTCTTGGTAGATGATTGAATTGAATCTGATCCTGAAGATAATGAAGAATCACTATCATTATTGTTGTCATTATTATTAATTATATCATTAGTATTTAATTGATTTAAATTTGTAATAGTTTCAGATGTTGTAGTTGTAATATTTCCATCATCTTCTATATTATCATCAAATGGACCAATACTCATGATGTTTGAAGATTGTATATTATATCGATAATATAGAAAGATTTGAACTAATTATTTTGTAAATAATGCTAAAGTTGGTTGTAAAAAAATAGTTAGTTTGATTTATCTTAAATGTTTCAAATTAATTTCTTAGTACAATTAAAACAAAAAAAATTAATTTACGTATAAATTTGGAATTATAATAACAAAATTAATGGAGTGAAATATACTCCACATAATTAATTATGAGTCGACGATGAGATAGTTCACGTAGAAGTTCTACGACCTAGAGATTTAGAAACATATAAAACTGAGATAATTCTTGCAAATCTACCTCTTATGATCCGGTAATTAGTCTTTGATTAGTTTGTTTCATAATATTAAATCAAGGAAATTGTTGCGCGTCTTAATATATTATTTATGCAATAATATTTATAACGATTCTCGCCACATTTAATGGAATTGTCGTAGCAATGAAGTGCAAAGATATGTAGAAAATAAGAAGGATTAAGTTATAGTTGTGTAAATATTTACATACTAATTCTATAAACATCTATAAATTTTCATTCATATGTTTAGCTCTATTTTTTGAAATTTCAATAGCTTTTTTCAAAATATCTAAACTTATATCACCATTATTATTATTAATTAAACTTATTTTATTTATATGAGTTGGATTATTTATAATTGAAATTCTTGATAATACTGAAGATTCTTCAGCTTCGCCTTCTAAATCAGTTAATAAAATAGTATCATTTTGTTGTGGTTGATCTATTTCCATTTCATCATTATCATCATGTTGTGGAATTGGATTAGATAATGATTTTTCTTTTTTAATAATTCCAAAATTTGAAGATATTGTATTTGGATCTACTGTTAGATTTAATTTAAATTTATAATCATCTCTTAAATCAAAATTTAATATTGGTTTTGAAGAATTTATCATACTTCTTTGATTTGATTTTCTTGATTTTATTGAAACTTTAGTATTTATTGAATCATCTAAATAAACTCTTGGTAATTGAAGTATTTGTAATGATTTCAATATTGAAAGAAAACATAAATCAAATATTGAATTTGTTGAAATTTCTCTTGAATATATTTTAATATTTACAAGTATAACATATGAATATGGTTTATTTAAATGTGATGATTGATTTATATATTGGAATTGTTCTTGTTGTAAATCAGGATATATTGTTTCTTCTTTTAAAGTTTCTTCATCTTTTATAGCTATACCTAAATTTTTCACAACTAATGATTCACTAGGTATGATTTTGACTTTTCTAAAAATTTCAAATAAATCTTGACTAATAATCATTTCTTCATCAGTAGGAGCACCAGATCTACCTCTTAATATTTCAATTTGTGGGTATACAGTATGATAATCTTCTTTAGAATTTAATTCTTCAACTATTCCTAAACTTATAGTATTTATAATAGTAGTCGATCCACTTTTTAAAATTGATGATCCAAATATATTATTTTGTTCTTGTTTTAAATTACTATTGTTTGAATACTCTACTGATTTAAATTCTTGAAAATTTCGTAAATTTGGTCTTATACCTATTGATAAATGTCTTTGTAATGATATATCTGGTGCTATTCTTGCTAATATATCTGGTGTGAATGTTACTTGTTTTAGTTCTGCCATTGTGATATATTGTTGTGAATGGATCTTATAATTAGTTAAATGGTGATGAGTATGCTAATGCTAATGCTGAGATTATATTAATTTTGTTGTAATTAAACTTTGATAGAATATATTAGACTCTTAATTTACTACAATTTAAAAATAATATGAAAAGAATTTGATGATGTCGCGTTTTAGTATGTGACTTTATTCTTGGAAACTTGACACTCAAGCTTTTTTTCAATTGTCATAAATTCAGCCGTACCATTTGTATTACGAACCGATGATTAAATATCAATAAGAAGATGATTAAAATGAAAATATGTTATCAAGCTCATCTCAAGGTTTACGGACAATAATCGTCTTTTCAACTTATTTCAGATCTTGTCTTAAAGGCGATGACTTATACGTTATATGATTCAAATTATTTAACTTTACCTCGTTCTTCTCCGAATATCAATTTATTTTTAAAAGTGGACCATTAATCAAACATTGTGAATCAAGCTCTTGGTCGGAGTATATTGATGAAGTATACGCCCTTACAGAAATGATCATTTTATTTTATTTTTTAATAATTCATGAAAGATTGATCTTAAACTTAGTTTGATTATTGTATGAAATAAGATTTTATTGTCAAATTATCCGGCCCGTAGATTAAGAACAAGTAAATTTTAAAACAATCAATTAGGGGTCCAATTAAAGTTTTAGTAAATATAATTAATCATCTTAAAATTTAGTATCACCAATTTTGTCACAAGCAAATCAAGAGCATTTTAGATTGAATTTTATTAAGGATCGACTTATTAAAAATTAAAAATACGTTTCGATTTGTGGAGAAATTGAAATATTAAAAGATGATTTTCAATTATGCATTAAAATTTACATTGTTTAAAGTAATGTGAAACATTCATTACACTATAAATCAATTACAACTTTAACCGTCCATCCTTCCGAGACAAATTGTCACTTCTAAAGCCCTAATCTGAGTCAAAAGGTTAATTACATCATTATATTATTTAAGGATTTCTTCTTTTTCCGATTTATAATAATTTATCAGATATATAATATTACAATGTATGTGTAAAAACATTTTGCCATTAATTAAATAAATTTTTGCCATTGAAAATACTGCAAATTAATGCATAAAAAATATAATTTTAGAGTTGACATGTCGTTATTTTGTTTCTATTTTGTCCCATATTATTTTACTCTGATTATGCATTTCAGTCATATTTCCTATTAATATTTTCGTTTCGTTTAATATAGTAAATCAATTTTTTTTTTATTAAATTGAAAACTGAAACTTAAAAATTTTAACTAAATCCGTTTCAGGTTTTAGTTGAATTTTGGTAGCGGGTTTTTCTAAACGTGGTGAATTTATTACAATTCATGCCATTAGATTGCTGACAAAATGATGGCATTTGACTGAAAGTAAGTCCAGATGACCGCTTAGCTCACAAAATTTACCTTAGATGGTTCATGAGCTACTATAATCTATGTTTTATTATTGTTATTGTAGTTGTAAAATTGAAATTAATGAAATCATAAATTGGTAGCATCCATAAAGATAGTTACTTTACAAATTAAATCAATATTATTGGCTTTAGATAAAAAATAAGATAATGAAAAAACAAAACTAAAATAATAATAAAATTTGAATCTCAAATTACACAAACAATTGATGATTCAAATAACTATTATTATTATAATTAAAATTACAAGAAAGTAAGACTTTGTGCTTAAATATTAACTTAACTAAGTAATAATTAACTATTTTGTATACTTTTACTTTGACTTTATTACTTATTTCTTGTTAGATTTTTTTATTTGAAAATTTTCATATTTACAAAATTTTTTTTTTTTTTTTCTGATTTTTACCCTTTTCTTCTTCTTACTCAATCTATTTCAATCAATCATATATATTTTTACTTCTTCAATTAGATTATAATTATCAATCTATAAAGGTAATCAAATCAATAATCATAGACTAATCAGCTTATCTTATCATCCCCACTTGTTTTATCTATAAATTTATAAATCATTATACAAGGGAGACTACCGAAAAAATTTCAATAAATAGATAAGAGGCAACCAAAATTAAAGATTGATAGATCTAATTATATTATATATTTATAGTAGATATTTTAATAATACCAAATTAAGAATTTTGAATAGTTTAGTTGATCTAATTATTCATTATAATTTATTATTGAATCTTCAACATTAAATAACATATACATATTCATTCCTTATCAATTAGAAAATTTTATATATCATATTTATACATATATTATACATTAGAATTATTATACAATTTAAATGAGTACAACCTCATCATATTTACCTCAAAAAGAATTTAATCAAACAAATATTTATGATTATGATGAAGTACCAGAAAATAAATCATGGGCTCAATCATTACCTATAGCACAAGGTTTATATAATCCAGAATTAGAAAAAGATGCTTGTGGTGTTGGTTTTACTTGTCATTTAAAAGGTTTACCTTCTCATAAAATAGTATCTGATGCTAAAAATTTATTATGTAATATGACTCATAGAGGTGGTGAATTAAATCCAAAAGATGGTGATGGTGCTGGTTTATTAAGTTCAATTCCTCATAATTTTTTAGTTAGAGAATTTCAATATCATTGTAATGTTACTTTACCAAAAAAAGGTCAATATGGTGTTGGTAATTTATTTTTTAAAAAAGATGATGTTGTATTTGATAAATCAAAAAAGACTTTTGAAAGTATTGCAGAATCATTAGATTTAAAAGTTTTAGGATGGAGAAAAGTACCACATGATTCTTCAATTTTAGGACCAGCTGCATTATCAAGAGAACCTTATATTTTACAACCAGCAGTTGTTATGAATGAAATTATAGGTAAAGATGTAGATGAAGAAGAATTTATTTCCAAATATCAACAAGATTTTGAAAAAAGATTATTTATTTTAAGAAAACAATCATCTCATACTATTGGTTTACATAATTGGTTTTATATTTGTTCATTATCTTCTAAAACCATTGTTTATAAAGGTCAATTAGCACCAAATCAAGTCTATGCATATTATCATGATTTAGTTAATTCTGAATATGAATCACATTTTGCATTAGTTCATTCAAGATTTTCAACAAATACTTTCCCAAGTTGGGATAGAGCACAACCATTAAGATTAGCTGCTCATAATGGTGAAATTAATACTTTAAGAGGTAATAAAAATTGGATGAGAGCAAAAGAAGGTGTTATGCAATCAAAATTATTTGGTGAAGAAATGGATAAATTATTTCCAATTATTGAAGAAGGTGGTTCAGATTCTGCAGCTTTTGATAATGTTTTAGAACTTTTGGTTGTTAATGGAGTTGTTTCATTACCTGAAGCAGTTATGATGATGATTCCAGAAGCTTGGCAAAATGATGAATTTATTGATCCAAAAAAGAAAGCATTTTATGAATGGGCTGCTTGTTTAATGGAACCATGGGATGGTCCAGCATTATTTACTTTTGCAGATGATAGATATTGTGGTGCTAATTTAGATCGTAATGGTTTAAGACCTTGTAGATATTATGTTACTGATGATGATAGAATGATTTGTGCATCAGAAGTTGGTGTTATTGAAATTGAACCAGAAAAAGTTTTACAAAAGGGTAGATTACAACCAGGTAGAATGCTTTTGGTTGATACTAAAGAAGGTAGAATTGTTGATGATAAAGAATTGAAAAATAAAGTTTCTTCAAGATTTGATTTTAAATCTTGGGTTTTAGCTAATATGATAACTTTAAAAGATTTATCTGAAAAATTTGAATCAAGAAGTATTGATATTAAATCAAAACCTGTTGATACCACAATAACAATTCAAACTGATCCAAGATTAATTGCTTCAGGTTATTCACATGAACAAGTTTTATTTGTTTTAGCTCCAATGGCTGAAGGTAATGAAGCATTAGGTTCAATGGGTAATGATAATGCATTAGCATGTATTTCAGAACAACCAAAATTATTATATGAATATTTCCGTCAATTATTTGCACAAGTTACAAATCCACCAATTGATCCAATCAGAGAAAAAATTGTTATGTCTTTAGAATGTTATGTTGGTCCACAAGGTAATTTATTAGAAATGAAACCAGATCAATTAAATAGATTATTATTGAAATCACCAATTTTAACAAATTCAGAATTATTAGCTATACAAAATATAAATAAAGTTTATCCAAAATGGTCAGTTGCAAACATTGATATTACTTTTGAAAAAAGTCAGGGTATTCAAGGTTATATAAATACTATTGATAGAATTTGTCAATCTGCTTCAAAAGCTATTGCTGATGATAATCAAATTATCATATTAAGTGATGTTTCAACATCAGCTGATAGATTACCAATATCAGCATTAATTGCAGTTGGTGCAGTACATCATCATTTAGTTAGACAAAAACAACGTTCTAAAGTTGCTTTAATAATTGAAACTCAGGAAGCAAAAGAAGTTCAACATGCTTGTTGTTTAGTTGGTTATGGTGCAGATGGTATTAATCCATATTTAGCAATGGAAACTTTAGTTAGAATGAAACATCAAAAATTATTAAAAGATGAAACATTAACTGAAGAGAAAATTATTCAAAATTATAAAAATTCTATTGATGCAGGTATATTAAAAGTTATGTCAAAAATGGGTATTTCAACATTAGCTTCTTATAAAGGTGCACAAATTTTTGAAGCTTTAGGTATTGATAATTCAGTTATTGATAGATGTTTTGCAGGTACTGCTTCAAGAATTAAAGGTGTTACTTTTGAATATATTGCACAAGATGCTTTTACTTTACATGAAAGAGGTTATCCTACAAGAGACACCATAAAACCAATTGGATTACCAGAAACTGGTGAATACCATTGGAGAGATGGTGGTGATGCTCATATTAATGATCCAGCTGCTATAGCTTCATTACAAGATGCTGTACGTAATAAAAATGAAAGAGCTTTTGAAGCTTATTGTAAAAAGGAAAATGAAGCTGTTAGAAATTGTACTTTAAGAGGTTTATTAGATTTCGATTTTGAAGCTTCAACTCCTGTACCACTTGATCAAGTTGAACCATGGACTGAAATTGTTAGACGTTTTTTCACTGGTGCTATGTCTTATGGGTCCATTTCAATGGAATCACATTCCACTTTAGCTGTTGCTATGAATAGATTAGGTGGTAAATCAAATACAGGTGAAGGTGGTGAAGATGCAGCAAGATCACAAGTTAGTGAAAATGGTGATACTATGAGATCAGCTATTAAACAAGTTGCTTCTGGTAGATTTGGTGTTACATCATATTATTTAGCAGATGCTGATGAATTACAAATTAAAATGGCTCAAGGTGCAAAACCTGGTGAAGGTGGTGAATTACCAGGTCATAAAGTTTCAGCAGAAATTGGTAAAACTAGACATTCTACTGCTGGAGTTGGTTTAATTTCTCCTCCACCACATCATGATATTTATTCAATTGAAGATTTAAAACAATTATTATATGATTTAAAATGTGCAAATCCAAGAGCAAGAACTTCAGTCAAATTAGTTTCTGAAGTTGGTGTTGGTATTGTTGCAGCAGGTGTAGCAAAAGCAGGATCTGAAAATATCTTGGTTAGTGGTGGTGATGGTGGTACTGGTGCAGCCAAATTAACTTCTATAAAATATGCTGGTTTACCATGGGAATTAGGTTTAGCTGAATCTCATCAAACTTTAGTATTAAATGATTTAAGAGGTAGAGTTATATTACAAACTGATGGTCAATTAAGAACCGGTAGAGATATTGCTATAGCATGTTTATTAGGAGCTGAAGAATGGGGGTTTGCAACAACTCCATTAATTGCAATGGGTTGTATATATATGAGAAAATGTCATCTTGGTACTTGTCCAGTTGGTATTGCAACTCAAGATCCAGAATTAAGAAAAAAATTCGAAGGTACACCAGAACATGTTATTAATTTCTTTTATTATATGGCTAATGATTTAAGACAATTTATGGCAAAATTAGGTTTTAGAACTATTACTGAAATGGTTGGTAGAACTGAAAAATTAAGAGTTCGTGAAGATTTTAGAAATACTAAAAATGCTAATATTGATTTATCACCAATTTTAACTCCTGCTCATACTATTAGACCAGGAGTTGCTACTCATTGTGTTAGAAAACAAGATCATAGATTACATGTTAGAGTTGATAATAAATTAATTGATGAATCTGAATTAACTTTAGCTAAAGGATTACCAGTTACTATTGATTGTGAAGTTGTAAATACTGATAGATCTTTGGGAACTACTTTATCATATAGAGTTTCCAAAACATTTGGTGAACAAGGTTTACCACATGATACTATTCATGTTAATGTATCTGGTTCAGCAGGTCAATCATTTGGTGCATTTTTAGCTTCAGGTGTTACTTTAGAATTAGAAGGTGATGCCAATGATTATATTGGTAAAGGTTTATCAGGTGGTAGAATTATTGTTTATCCACCAAAAGAATCTAAATTTAAAGCTGAAGATCAAATTATTGCTGGTAATACTGCCTTTTTTGGAGCTACTTCAGGTACTGCATTTGTTAGAGGTATTGCAGCAGAAAGATTTGCAGTTAGAAATTCAGGTGCAATTATTGTTGCTGAAGGTACTGGAGATCATGGTTGTGAATATATGTCTGGTGGTAGAGTTGTTATATTAGGTGCAACTGGTAGAAATTTTGCATCTGGTATGTGTGGTGGTATTGCTTATGTACTAGATATGGCCCAAGATTTTGCTGATAAAGTTAATAAATCAAATGTTGAAATATCATCAGTTAGTGAAACTCAAGAAATTGCATTTTTAAGAAATTTAATTGAAGATCATCGTCATTATACCGGTTCAGAAGTAGCTGATAGAGTATTGAATGATTTTAATAGATATTTACCAAGATTTGTTAAAGTTTTACCATATGATTATAAGAAAGTATTGGAAAAGGAAAAACAATTAGCTGAAGAAGCTAAAAAGAAAGAATTAAGTACTTTCTTAAAATCAATAAAAGAAGATCCAGAATCTGATGTTACTAATGGTGAAGCATACAAGATTAAAAAAGGTCATGTTCATCGTCATTCACATAACAAGAATGAACCAAAAGTTGCTGATGTTGAAGATACTGTTTTCAATACTGAATTTGAAAAGAAAGCACCAGTTAAATTAGATAAAGTTAAAGGTTTCATGAAATATAAAAGAAGAAATGAAAAATATAGAGATGCAAAAGCAAGAACTAAAGATTGGAATGAAATGACTTCTAGATTAACTAAAGATGAATTACATTATGAAACTGCTAGATGTATGGATTGTGGTGTACCTTTCTGTACTTCAGATACTGGTTGTCCAATTTCAAATGTTATACCAAAATGGAATGAATTAGTTTTCAATGATAGATGGTTTGATGCATTACAAAGATTATTAATGACTAATAATTTCCCTGAATTTACTGGTAGAATCTGTCCAGCTCCATGTATGGGTGCTTGTGTTTTAGGAATAAATGAAGATCCAGTTAATATTAAATCAGTTGAATGTGCAATTATTGATCATGGATTTGAAAAAGGTTGGATTAAACCAACTCCACCACAACATAGAACTGGTAAAACTGTTGCTGTTATTGGATCCGGACCTGCTGGGTTAGCATGTGCTGATCAATTAAATAAAGCAGGTCATACTGTAACAGTTTATGAAAGAAGTGATAGACCTGGTGGATTATTAATGTATGGTATTCCAAATATGAAATTAGATAAAGGAATTGTTAAAAGAAGAACTGATTTATTAGCAGCTGAAGGTATTGAATTTATTTGTAATACAACCGTTGGTGAAGACATAACTGTCAGTGAATTAAAAGAACAATTTGATGCAGTTGTATTTGCAGTTGGTTCAACAATTCCAAGAGATTTAAAAATTCCAGGTAGAGAATTAGAAAATATTAATTTTGCAATGCAATTATTACATAAAAATACTAAAGCATTATTGGAAGATGAATTAGAAAATATTAGAGAACAATTAGAAGGTAAACATGTTGTTGTTATCGGAGGTGGTGATACAGGTAATGATTGTTTAGGTACTTCAACAAGACATGGAGCTAAATCAGTCACAAATTTCGAATTATTACCACATCCACCAGCTACAAGACCAAAAGATAATCCATGGCCTCAATGGCCAAGAATATTTAGAGTTGATTATGGTCATACTGAAGTTTCAACTCATTATGGTAAAGATCCTAGAGAATATTCTATTTTATCTAAAGAATTTGTAGGTGAAGATGGTAAAGTTAAAGGAATCAAAACCGTTAGAGTTGAATGGAAACGTTCAGATTCTGGAGCTTGGCAAATGGCTGAAGTTGCAGGTAGTGAAGAATTTTTCCCAGCTGATGTTGTATTATTATCAATGGGTTTCATTGGACCAGATTCAGATAATTTAGAAGTTAAAAGAACTAAAAGAGGTACAATCACAACAGTTGATCCAAACGTTTATAAAGTTGATGATGATTCTAATTTATTTACTGCTGGTGATTGTAGAAGAGGTCAATCCTTAGTTGTATGGGGTATTCAAGAAGGTAGACAATGTGCTAGAGAAGTTGATGAGTATTTAATGGGATCAACTAGATTACCTGGTAATGGTTCAGTTGAACAAAGAAGTTATAAATTATTGGAAGAATTAGCTGAAAAAGTTTAAATTTAGTAAAAAAATTATTTAATTCGAAATTTTTTATATGTTATTTATTTTTTGTATGTTTTATATTAGTTTAATGAAAAGAGTTTAATTTATGAATTATTGAATGCTGTAGATTGTTTACCTAATTGTAAATTATATGTATGCTAAATTTTTATGTTGTTGATAATAATGTAAATTTAGTTATTAAGTGAAATACTGAAAGAACATAAATTCGTAATCTCTTTTGCAACCAAATTTAAACAAACATTTAAACACAGATGTCAGAAAGATCAATAATAAACAATTTAATAGCTCACTACCTAAAAGAAAACGGCTACCCACAAACATTAAAACAATTCGAAATAGAAAACGGCAAAGCTATAGATTCATCAATACAAAATTCAAATGAAGAATCATTAGAATCAATAATTCAAGATAGATTACAATACAATTCACTAAACAAACAATTAGATGATATGTCATTAGATACAGCTCGAGAATTAATACCTGATAAATATAAATCATTAATTCAGAAAGAATTCACGAATTGGAACTCACCTTATCCTCATACCCCAAAATTTTTACCTATTCATTCATTAATTATATCATCAGCTTATCACGAGGAAACAAACAAGTTGTATTTCGCAACTAATGATTCTCATATAATTATGAATCTGGGGGATGAACTCAAAAAAGTAAAAGTTCAAGAAATTATGAAAAAAGTACTTGTGATTGAGACTGGTGTTTTGTTATTAGGAATGAGTGGAAATTTGTATTATAAGAATTTTGAATTAGAGAATTTCGAAAAAGAAGTTGTTATTCAAACTCAATCTAGGTTTACTGTTGATGCTAAAGCTATTAAATTTAATGATGTTCAGTATATTGTAACGCTATCTTTTAATAATATTTTGAAATTAATTAAATTTGAAAATTTGAAATTTGAGATTATTGACGAATTTAAATTAGATATACAAGGTTCTTGTTTTGATTTAACTTTGTATCAAGATCAAATTGTTATTGTTGTGGGTAAAGTAGAAAATACTCTACTTGATGTATACACTATAACAGATAACAAATTCAAATTAAAATATAAGATTTCAATTAACGATGCAGAATTTACAACGTCAAGTTTTTCACCAAGGTACATTACAATATCAAACACCAGCAAAGATATTCCAATAATAGCAGTAGCTACATCTCATGACCCATATATGAGAATCATTCTAGTATCATTATCTGACTTCAACTCCAATATCAAAATATCAAGAAATCAAATTTTAAAAAATTACAACACTTTGTCTCCACAAGATAAATTTTCACAGCCTTTAATTAGTTGGAGGTATAACAACAATAAAATCTCGGGAATTTGGATTATGGGTGATGATGGATTTATTCGTGGGTTGGATTTGTTGGAGAATAAAATTATTGTTGAGTTAAAAGATGGTGGTCATAAAACTAAAATTAAAGATTTTTTAAATTTCTATAAAGATGGAAAGGAAGTGTTGATAACTTGTGGAATTGATAGACAAGTCATTGAATGGACTGAATAAATAAATAGAGCTATAGTACAATAGAATTTAGAATTTGAAATTTTTTGTAATAGTTTTTAAAGTACTATACATCTATATATAAGTAAAAATTTAAGCCCATTCAGGTTTTGATTCTCTTGATGATCCTCTCCAATTCCCTCTACCACCTCTTCCCGAACCTCTTGAACCTCTTGAACCTCTATAGCCACCTCTAAAACCTCTGCCTCTACCTCTGCCTCTATACCCACTTTCTCCAAAAGTATCAATATTTAAATTTTTTTCTTCTGACCATCTCATTCCACCTCTTTCTTCAGTTGATGATGATATTGAATCAAAAAAAGATGACAGTTTGTTATATTTTGGTCTTTCTTCTTCTGTTTCTGGTTGTTGTGGGTGGGATTCTTTATGGAATCTTTCATTTGATTTTTCAAAATCGAAATCTCCTTCGAATGATGGTTGTTTTTTTGGTTTGAAATTTGGTCTTGAACCCGGTTGGGCTGATTTTACTGAGTCTGATGATTTGTGTTCTTTTTCTGGGGTTGGTGGTTGTGGGATGGATTGTTCTTGAGCGTTTGGAATTTTTTCAGTTGTCTTGCTTGCTTGTTGATTTTCTGAAGTTGTTTTAGTTGGTTGGGGTTTTGCTTCTTTTGCTGGTGGTTGTTGTGGTGCTCCCGTTTCAGTTGGTTGACTTGATTGATTATTTGAAGGTTTTGGTTTTGGTTGTTGTTGTTGTTGTTCATTAGTAGTCTTTGAAGTTTCAGCAGTTGAAGTTGGTGTTGGTTGTTGCTGTTGTTGTTGGTGTTGTTGTTGAGGTGGGTTGGTCTGAGTTTGAGGTTGTAGATAATTCGGTTGTTGAGGAGGTTGAGGTTGTTGATATTGAGGAGGATATTGTTGAAATTGTTGTTGTTGAGGTGGTGGAACACCAGGTGGGAAAAACCCAGAATTTTGTGGTGGATAAATTGGTCTAACTTCTTCAATTGGAATATCCAAAACAGATAAATCAGCAACATCATTTCCACCAAATACAATATAACTATAAATTTCATGACCAGGAGGAACTTCTAAATGAGGTTGTTGTTGCATTCTACCTTCAGTACCAAACATTCTAACTTGCTTTAAAGCAATTGTACCTTCTTCTGCATTAATATTTTCTAAAATTCCAACATATCTTATATGTTTTTTAGAAATTAATGAGATTGTTTTACCAACAAAATCAGACATTTTTTTATTATTTTTGATATGATTTTTGACTGTTGATGATGGAGTTGAAATCTGTTGTAAATTTTTAGTAAATTGCAAATTTAATTTTTTTTTTTTTTTTTTTCAAAAAATGTTGAAACAAATTTGTTTAAGTAAACAACTACAATTTTTATTATAAACGAGGTAATAGTTTTTGCCTAAAAACTTACCAGTTGAGCAGCTTCTAAATAAACTTCTGAACGACTAAAGATAGTAGACAACGATTTACAGAAACTTAAACTCATTTCCAGGTAAATTAGCGAACAAATAACTACGTGTCATAAAATTAAGTCACACGACATACAATACGAGACTCACCATCAAAAAATTATTCACGAAATTAAAAATTGTACTTGTAAGTTAAAGACTTGTCTAAACATATTAATCATTCATCAACCATTACATCTTAATTTTAAGCTAAAATCATATCACAATAATGTCCGAAGAAGATCACATCATACAGCAAGATGAAGATCAACCACAAGTCAAACCAGATTTTAATGAAGATGATTATATTCAAGAACCAGAATCACCAATTGATAACGATAATGTGAAATCTAACCTAGAAGAAGAACAATTACAAGAAGAACCAGAATATAGCGAAAAACAAGAAAATGACACACCACTAAGTCCTGGAGTAGACGAATCAAATATAGACCCAAATATACAACAACAACAAGAAGATGATGAAGATGACGATGTTGTAATAAATTCAATGAAAGCCAAAAGATATAATGATGACGAATCAAGATTCACAACTCAAAAAAAATTGATTAGAAAATCAAGACCTGAATTACCCACCAACGACGACTTAAAATATGAAGAAGCACCAGACGGATCAAATTATAATGATATGGATCCACAACAAAGAAAAAGAATGGAATTAGAAGAAAAAATGTCTGCAGCTATTAAAGTAAAATCAAATAGAAGAAGAAAAGCAGATGAAGATGATATTGAAAGAATGCAAGATGATAAAATTGATCATTTAAAAGAATTAATGATCAACGCGGCAAATTTAGATGTTGATAAAAACACTCAAGGATTAATTGCAACTGAAAAATTAAAATTATTAGATGATGTTTTAAATATGTTATCAAGAGCTGATTTAGCTATTTCAATATTAGATAATAATTTATTAGAAGCTGTAAGATTATGGTTAGAACCTTTACCTGATGCAAGTATGCCAGCTTATCAAATTCAAAAAGAATTAATTCATGCATTAGAACTGTTACCTATAAAAACTGATCATTTAGTTGCATCAGGTATTGGTAAAGTATTAGTATTTTATCAAAGATCAAAAAGAACAGAACCACAACTAAAGAAAATTGTTGATCGATTAATTGGTGATTGGACAAGACCAATATTAAATAAATCAGATTCTTATAAAGATAGATCAGTTCAATTTGGTGAATATAATAATGCAAAATACAAAAATAAATTATCATCTACAACAAATAAAAAAGCAGAATCTAAAACTTTATATGAACAAAATGCAGAAAGAAGAAAAAGAGCAGCAATACCAACTGCAAGAACAGCTGCTTATAAAATTGCCCCAAGAGTTGATCCAAATTCATTAATTGGTAAATCTGGTAGAGGATCTGTATATGATGAAAGATTTAGAAAAATAAATCAAAAATTAATGGGTGCAAAAAGAAAAACAACTAGAAAAGGTGGTCCTTCTATTGAAGGTAGAGATTTAAGTATATAGTTTACAAAATTTAATTATGTACTTTTTAATAAAATACAAAATACAAATTACATATATTTTAACGCTATTAATACAAGATATCAAGAACCACACTCCAACAATTAAGATTATCAATATCTCCTGATGATATCAATTTCATTTCAAAGAGTGATCACAATCAACAAAAAAACGTTGTTTAATTACGTTCAAAAAACAACAGTTACCAACAATTTTGGTCCTTTGACTCAAATTTTTTCAAGATTTGGTTCAAATTATCTGCAGTAAGCTAAACAATGGTTCTCTTAAATTTAAACAGACTACTTCCATCATGAGTTGTGATTATTCCTTTAAGTATCCAATAAATCGATATTTCTTTAAGACAGTAGAAACATTCATTGGAAACCTAGACCACAACCCCAATGTAGCATTTAATCAAGTGGCCAAATTAATCTGAAACAACTTTTTTGTGCATTCACAGATGACGTCTTCATATTTATAAAATCCAAACAAGATCACGAAAGACATGTGAAAACTAATTCTTCTGAAGGGTTGATTTTGAATCGTCTAGCTAACAAAAATAAATCAAAGTCATAAATAAATATTTGATAATTTGATAATTTCTAAAAGTCTATCACTAATCAACCCTAAAAGAAATCAATTCAAAAATTCATCTTGCAATTGTATCTACAACTTGCAACTGTCACGAATTAATTAAAGCTTTAAAGATGCGAAAAATCAATTATAAAATATAATATTTATCATCTACCATATGCGTTATCCAATACAGTGGAAGAATAATAATCTGAAAGTTGTCTTGAAAACAAAAATCCTTGATGTTTTGAATTTGTTAATATTTTTTTTGCTCCCTTATTTCTTTATTTTTAGTAAAATTCAAATAAATGAACAAATAAAAATGAAATCTTCGTAAGATTTTGTCGTATATTAGTTGATACAAGTACAATTATATTCTAGGTTAAATTCTATAAATTGATGGTATAACAATCAATAACAATCAATTTACATAGATATAATATATTAGATTTTATATATTACATTTTAGTACTGTTTTTAAACTTTATAACAAATCACAAATTATTTTACCATTTAATCAAATTCAATTGTAGAACTTAAAACTCACGAGTGAAATTAATACTTTGTTAAGTTTAAGTAACTCTGTTTTGAGCTTTAACAAGATTCAAGAACTTGAACTCAATCAAGAAATAAATTATATTCAGGCCACTCGACTAATAGAGAGTGAATAGTAATCAACAACTCTACATAAACTGTAATAAAATACAAAATACAAAATACAGAATATATTAGAACAGCAAAGATTAACTGATGAAAAAAATTTCATAGCATTTCTTTTAAGAAAACTCACATAGGCTTGGTTTTTTGGTTTTAGACGAAGCACACTTGATACATCATGACGATATTTTCAGACCTTTTACTAGTGTGGATTTTATATTTGTACGTAATTAAACTCCAAATTTTCTAATTAACATCCCAGATTCCATTCAGCTACTTAAGAGCTTAAGGAGTCAAGGGTATGCTAGCAATACACGGGACAAGTTTATTAAGGTTGTGTTAATGCTTTAAAGTGACCAACAAATGAATTTATCTTCAATGAAAAAACATTCATTAGAAACCCCAGCCAAAACCTCAAAAAAGATTCCAAGCACAACGAACATGTACACAATGCACATGTATCGGCTGACTTTGAGAATACAGGCATTCAATTCAACAGAATCCCTCCGTGTACATATTACAAACTTTTTCGATTAGTAAATTAATATTTGTAATCATTAGCGAATAATCATTAATGTTAATTCAAATTTTACACCTTCAACAGCAATATTACATTGTAGTTTGTATATCTCAAGGGGTGGATCTTCTATCGTCTAGCTGACAAAAATATATCAAAATTACCAGTGGATGTTTGATAATTTCTAAAAGTCTATCACAATCTACCCCAAAAAATGGTAACACTATCAATAAAAACAAAAATTTTGTTGGCATGATTCCAGCCTAAAAACTGACTATAATGACATATGCTAATAAGCAAATTTAAAATGAAAGATTTAGGGCCAGCTAACAATTTCTTGGGAATGAATATAGATAATGGATGTATAAAAAATGTAAGATGCTTTTATTTTATTTTTTCTCCTTTAACTTGATGAAATTAAATGATTAAAATTACTCAAATTTTAACGACCTACCCTTAGAAGTCGTTCCACACCAAGAAGTTGTTCTGGAAAAAAAAAAAAATGAATTAAAAAAAAAATGAATGTATGTGTACAAAATATGAACAAAGATCTAAAAAAACATAAACAACCATTTTTAAAATCTCTATTGAACTAACCAAAACACAAAATTCTGTAGTTTAAGACCATGGTTTTAAATGGGAATAGCTACTCCAATATATACTGAAAATGACATAGAGTTTTTTAAAAGCTTATAAAGAAGATTGCTACACTCACCATAAAATTGGCTGCAAATCTAAAACCAATTCCGTACAACACTTTAAGAGATGAAATAAATGGTAGAAACTCTCGTCTAAAAAGCCACTAGCATTTACAGTTGTTTACAGCGAGACAAGAGTATCAAATTGGTACTTATTTGGTAGCCTAAAGTCATAAACATGAAGGACTATCGCCTGCTGAAGTATTTGAATATGCCCAAAACAATTTGAAGCAAGAAGGTAACGATGAAAAAATTGGTAAAAACTTTTTGTCTCCATTCTTGTTCTGTTGTCACTGTCTACTTTTGTTCTATAGAAACCAGTGTCAGTCGAGCTTTGTCCCGTTATTTACACTGTTGCTATGTTGTAGTCTAAGCTTTTGATTGATGCATTGATAGTATCAAATTCTTTGAATCTTTCAATAATGAATTATAGCTACAAGTGCAATGAAATCGTCAAATCAAAGTTGAAGTAGAATCAACTATTGATTTCTACCAATCAACCTGCCCACTCATAGTCAAGTATATCAAGTATCGAAGTCAAAAAAGATTCGTCAGTCAATTATTCAAACTCTAAAAATCTCACTTGCCTTACTCCAGTGTCTAAATTCACACCATTGTTCAGTCACTTAGTAATGCTTGTCTCCAAAGTTTAGCTCGCAAGTTTAATAAAAATGTTGAATTTGACGACTGGGTTGGAAAAGCATCTAATGTGATTAACTCTGATTGGTCCTATACTTGTGTAGGTAAAATGTCTCACATTAAGTCCTTAATTGATAATAAAACTAGATTCTGATTTCATTAAGTAAATAGATTATGATGAATTATAAATATATAGTCCTAGAGTTGTAAGGTTAAAAGCAGTATGAATAAAAGTAGTATGAGTAAAACTAGTATGAATAAAGTAGTATGGAAAAAAGTAGAAGTTGGTGATCAGTAGAAGGAAAAAGTAGTAAAATGTAATAAAAAAGATTGATTTGCATATAACTAAATGGCAAAATGTTTGTTATGCTGCAAAAGATTTTTGACAGGAATAGTAGTGCATCTCAAAAGGTTTACACAGACAACATTCAACTGGTACCAGAGCCTCTATTTTGACCACAATTACTGCAAATAGGAGACACTAGCAATACTTGTCACCTGATTCACTATATTTATATTTTTTTTTCATCTATAGAATGCATGTTTTTTGAAGATAATACAAATTTCAAGTTGTATCGTTCATAATAAAGTTGTACCTTAAAATCCTGTACATTAAATTTAAGAGAATGTAAAGTTTTGAAACATGAAAAACAGAGTAATTTATACGAAGATTTATTCAGAGATTGGTTAAAACAGATTCTTCCTTCAACAAGTTTCTCTGTTAGTACCTAGTTTTTAATCGAAAACGATCAGCTCTTATCATCAGTTTTTGAAGTCCTGGCAAATGTCAATTACGGTCAAATTGTAAGTATGTTCAACTTAAAATGCTGATCAGTTCTCATTGTTTTACAATTCCTTTTTGAGGTATTAAAATAGATGTTAACGTTTATTTCCAGACCAGTAATTTATGGACCTTTTCATTTCAATTTGATTCGATAGTACACGTAGGGTCGGAGTTATCAAATACTTTAAAAATTTTGTGTTAACTTGCCCGTTGAAAGTTGTTACAACGGACTTTTAAGTACAAAATACATGCAAATTAATTAGTGGTCTAGAGGGTACTACAATGTTTAATAAAACTTGAATAATATACACAATACAATATATACATTTTAATAAAGATTTGAATATGAATGCCGATTGATATCCATCATGAGAAATGCTTGAACCACGCCTTAAAAGGACAGTATTGTTATAATCATAAACGGGTTGTGATTTCAGATTCAGATTACCACAAACGTGCAGTCTTCAATAAAGAAGAAACAGTTTTTAGATAACAAGTTCACAACTCCAATGATCACAATGTGATTATGACAAATTATGATGCCTGAAATTAATTATTATTAATCAAAACTGTACCTCAAAAATGTAACTGATGTTAAACATATTTAATAAATGATGGACTCATTCGATTATAACTATGGATGTGATGTGCATTTCAAACACTTATGCTGAGTTGCTTTAACTCGTCAAGAAGAAATGACCTTCAAAAAGAAAGAATACATAATGTTAATTTGCGAATTTTCCATTGTATTGACTCACATAATTCTTAAGTATGTTAGTATCTTCAATGCAAATACAAGCCAATAGGTATACTTGGTTACTCTTCTATTTCCAAATCCGAAAATAATTGTAGCTTAGTAACCAACTAATAAACCTACCAAGCTCTTGAGACGGGAAACTAGTAAATTGAAGCAATCAGCATATATCACCAATAAATTGATAGTAATGATTTTAATTGACCAATCTCTCAAGAATCCCTTAATTTGCACTAAAGTTCTAATATAAAAAAAGCAATTATCCTTCAAATTAGTATTACAAAACACCTTAACAAAATACTTTAACATCAAAACCATTGAGATGAATAAATAGCCAAAGAAAAATTAAATATTTGATGATTTCTATCGTCAACTCAGTAGCATATTTTCAAAATATCCTACCAAATATATAACTGATAGCATGTCTCTTGTGAGATGAAACAAGTAATGATTGTTGATACGTTTGGTTGTAATAGGAATTCTGAAGAAAACTATATTTCATCTTATGTTCAGAAGAAACAGCAGTAGAAGAATAAGCATTTGAAGAACATTAAAATTAATAAATTTGAGTTTTAATAAAAATCCTTGAGTATATGAACAAGTACTTGTTAGAAAAAATAATTAAATTATAAAAAGTTAAAATTAAGGTTTAGAACAAAAGATGAAATATTACTATTTTTAGATAAATGATAAATAAATATGATAGAAATTACTGAGATAGGAATAGAAGATACAAAATAATTAAATGAGGAAATGAAAGATCATAAAACTAATGGAAGTAAAACAGGAGAAAGATAATAAAGTTAATATAAAAGATAAAAGAAATATTCTAATACAAGAAGAAGTAGAAAAAGAGAATCAAGAACAGAATAAGGACGAACAAGTATATAATCATTCATATATAAGTCATCCATTAATATAAGTTGTAACAGTGTATTTGTATAAGATAACATAACTTCAATTCTATATCATTCAATCTATAATTACACAAAAACAGTCATATTAAGACAAATTCAATCAGTTCTTTTGCTCGGTAGCGCCGACAAATTGAAAGTTGATCTACGTATCAAAGTATATTAATACCTCTTATTGGACTAAATTGTCATTTAGTGATAGAGATTTCTTATTGAAATAAGTTGTCACTTAATGGTAGAGATAATGAGGTCTACAATCATGATTTGTTTTATTTTTTTACTCTTTTCTTTGTATGTATATTTTGAAAAAAATGATTATGTAATGTACATTGCGTCGTTTGATGATTTACCCCACCGAGTTGATTAAATTATTTATGATAAAATGATGATGATTAACAATAATCTCTACACTTGAATTGACTCAAATGATACTTAATGAATTGACAATTTAAATAAGTGATACTATTATTGTAAAAATGTAATAATTTAATTTGATAAACTTATGATCTTGGTTTTTCTTTCTTTTCTTTCCATAAAGCTAATAATGAAACACCAGAAACTTTAACAACTTTGAATCTAACACCTGGAATATCACCTTTTGCTTTACCTCTTCTACCAAAACCAGCTAATAAAACTTCATCATTTTCATCAACAAAATTTAAACAACCATCATTTGGTACGAATGCAGTAACTCTTTTACCATTTTTAATTAATTGAACTCTAACACATTTTCTAATAGCTGAATTTGGTTGTTTTGATTCAATACCAATTTTTTCTAATACAATTCCTTTAGCATGTGATGAACCTCCAAATGGTGATGATTTAAAAGCTGTTCCTAATAATCTTGCTTTATAAGCTTGATCAGCCCATCTATTGTTTCTTCTATGAACTCTTAATTTTCTAGCTGAGTTAAGACCTCTTGGTTTACCTTTTCCCATATTTGATGTTAGTTAATAAGTTGTTGTAAGAAAGTAAATATTTCTTTAGTTTTTTTAGGTTGAAAAAAATTTTGTATGATTATTTTCTCACAATAGTTAAGAAATTTACTTAGCTAAAAAGAGAGATAGTAATAATATTATAATGCTAAATTTGGTAGCATATATTAACTATGTAGTTTAGATAATAGTAATAATTACACTACTCTATATCACTACCAATTGGACTAATAGGGCTCTAGCCCTAAAGTCAATTTTATAATCGGAATAAAGCCGACATGATAAATTTATAGATCCGATATAGATAAGAAAATACAGAGATTAGATAAAAAATAAGAAAAATCAGATAAATCAGTTTCAAGTACGTTTAATCTATACTCAATGATTTGTAAAATAAATTATACATTTATCAATTTTCTATCGAAGGAAAGTAAACATTGTGAGTAAGTAGTTTTGAGTTTGGACTGTCTAAATATTTCTGTTCTTTTTCATGGTTATATTTTACCCCACTATTTTCTTACAACAATTGATTTATTCTTTTTAATTAATGATAATAAGAATAAAAATAATAAATCTATTTGATCTTTAAACATAAATAATAAACCTTGAACGAAAACACCTTTTAATAATTGAGGAGCTATTCCTTTATATAAACCTTTGAATTTTTCAGTATTCCATAAATGAGCTAAAGCATCAGTAAAATGATCAAATTTAATATCATCTTCATCATCTTCATCTTCATGATATTTTTCAGATACTTTATGACCTTTTTCAGTTTTGGATTTGGCTTTCTTTTGAATCATTGCTTTAGAAACAATTAATGGTTGAGTTGCAATAGTTGCTAAAGATTTTGCTAAAACACCCAAAGAAAAACTTTCTAAAGGTCCTAAAAATTCTTTATTTCCATATATTATTTGTTTTAATCTTTCATATGATCCATAAGTTATTGATGGATTAATACATAAAACTAAAGAAACTCTTAAACCTCTCCATAATCCACTAATACCATCTTGATCCAAGATTTCTTTAATTAATTGAAATAAATTTTTATGTTGTTTATCAGTTTGTTGTTGAGTAGTTATAACCCCAATTGGCATTGTAAAGCATTGAGATATTGCTGCTGCTACTGCACCTAAAAACAATTCAGTTAATGTATTTGCTTTATGATTAGGTATATGTTTATATAAATTTGCATAAACTTTTTTAACTATTGAATACCAATAAAAATATGAAAAGTTTTGTGCAGCAGTACCAACAACAGTTGAAAATAATCCATGATACCATCCCAATATTCCCTTTTTAGCATAAATTTTCTTTAATACATCTAATGTATTTTTATATTTTAATTCATCTTTTGGTTGTATTGATTCTTCCCAATTTGTACTTGTACTTGAATCTGATTCTGATTGTGGTGGTGTTGGTAAACCTGTTGAATTTTTATGATTATGATGTTTTTTAACTTGAGTTTGAATTAATACTTTACTTAAATCTAATGGATATACTAAAGTGTTTGCAATTGCTGATGCTAATGCACCTGAGGCTGCTTTTTCTATTGGTGAAAGTGACATCTTTTGTAGTTGTGTGAATACTTAGTAATGCAGGTACTATGAATATATAAGATCTAATTTGTTATGAATTGAAATCTAGAATGAGTTGTGGAGAAATAAATAAATAAATGTTTTGAATTGAGTAATTGGTGTGGTAATTTGGTTGCTTATCTATGATAATTTCTAGGAATAAATTAAATAATTAATTTAACAAATGAATAAATGATGATAGTATTTTATAATTAAATAAAATATAATTAAGATGAATAGTTATTGATATAATTATGAATATATAATTGAATTGAATTGGTTGGCTAATTAGAAAAACAAATGATAATAAATTTAGTTAGAAAATTGATTTTTATTTAATATTTAATTTTTAATATTTAATTTTATATTTTATATTTTATTATTAAAGAATATAAAATTAACGTTAAGGGAACAAAAGAAATTATTAAAGATTTTATAATTGATTCAATAATATGTAACAGTTTTTATAGATCTAAAAAGATGTATTGGCAATTATTCAATCATCCAAGTCTTGATCTAACAATACTTCATTCATTATTACATGTTATTAAAGATTCCAATAACTTTAATCTCAAATCAATAAACATCAATGTACGATTTGTTGTTTTTAAATTTTGGGTAAATATTAAAATAATTTGTGTGTGAAATTTTTATATTTATTATAATTAAATGTAGATTTTGTGTAACTGATTTATTACCGAGGAACCAACAACCCCACATTATTTTTTTTATTAGTGTGTTTTAAATTTATTGTACAAGAACTACCATATGACTTCGATTGATTTGTGTCAGTGTGTTTGAAGTAATTTCCGCTAATATTGAACTATCAATGACACCATATAGTTCAATAAGTATTATTAGCTCACTATTTGATGTCTTTTTTTTGAAAAATACATCACAGGATCTAATCCGCAAAGAGCATTCATATCAGCTGTTAAATTTTTCCGCTAAACTATACTTCAGCTCTGATGAGCTCATCTTTTATATCGACTTGTTCAATAAAATTAAATCAGGTAAATGAAGTTATGCTTAGAGAAAAAGACGTGTGAAGAAAAACAGGACCAATTTTTGAAGGCTTTAAGCATTGAACTTTTTACTTATTTGTCGCGATTGATGCTAGGAAGATTAACAAGAGGAGGATTATACTGATTTTTCTAAATTGGTGTACTGTTATACTCGCTTTGTACTTTTTTGTTTAGCTAAATTTGACATTTCGAAAATGTGAAACACAGCTCATATTTTTTGTGATTAAATTGCTGCAAAATTTAGGCAATTGCTAAAGTGAGAAATTTTCATAATAGTTATTTAATTTTAATACACACCCAACCCAGTAAATAAATTTAAAATTTTCTATACATTAGAAATAAATAAATGAATAAATAGGTAAGCAGTCAAAATAAAACAAAGCAATCTCATCAAGACTAAACTCTGGCAATACCTCCAATAAAGATTTTATTTTGTAGTTCTTCTAATTCATTATCACATTTTAAAAATTCACCATAATCTTGAGTTAGTGAATAAATAGGACTGAATAAATAATTAATAGTAACATAACGAACACCATATTTTATTTTCTTTAGAATATTAAAAATCTTATTTTTAGTATTTGGTTGAAATTGATGACACTTAATTAAGTCATTCTCAAAATAATGTAAAATTGGATAGTTTGAATTTGTTTCTAATTGTTGGAAATCAATATTTGGTAATTTATTCATTAGTCTTTTAGTTAATTCTTTTTCAATTTTTATATCTTCCATGAATCCAAATCTCAAAATACATTTATAATGATTTGTCAATTTCATTGGTGCAATTAAAATCCTATCTTCTTCGCTAACTGTAGGGACTGATAATACTCTTATACCAACGAATATAAAATTTTCTGGAATTGATACAAAATTTTTAATGATTTTCCCATATAATTGTGGTAATGTATTCGGACTTGCTGCTAAAATTGAATCAACATACATGAACCCGATACCTTCATATTTTTCCAATTTTTCAACTCCAAATTTTGTATTAACATCATCTTTACTATATCTTGGGATATTATCTTCAACTGGAACATTATGATTAGCACCTAAATCAACGGTAATAGCATTAGATTTAGCACTATAGAATGGAAAAATTTCACCAATTTTAATTCTTTGACTATATTCTTGCTCAACTTTTTTAGATCTAACCCATCTCCAAATTGACAAAAAACCCATAAATAAAATAGCAGCCATTAAACTAAACCATGCACCACTTGCAATTTTTCTTAAATTTGCAATCACCAAACAAACTTCCAATGGTACAAAAATTATAAAAAACAAGATTGGCCAAATGATATTAGCATTATAAACATAAAATAAACATATAGTAATTAACAGTGAAGTAACCAAAAAATCCAAAGATATTCCTAAACCATAAGCTGCAGTAACATTATTACTATTTTTAAAACCTGCAGTAGTACAAACAACACCAATCATTAATAACCAATTAACAACTGGTATATAAACTTTACCCGAATAATGTGATGATGTATGAACAATTTTTAATTTGGGAAAACAATCCAAATTAATTAATTGTGAAACAATACTGAATACAGCTAAAATTAATGCTTGACTTGCTATAATTGTAGCTAAAGTTGCTAATACAAACATTACCCAATATACTCCAGATCCTGTACCTCCTGGTAAACTTAAAAAGAAAGGATTTGTCCAAGCATCTGGGTTTTTGACAATGTAAGCTCCTTGTCCTAAGTAACAAAGCATCAAAGCTGGATAAACAAAACTACCCAAAGTCAACTGCACCGGAAGTTTCTAAAATCAAAGTTAGTATTAGCTTCTAATTTAGATCTGTATGATTTGTTTGATTGATTTATTTTTCCAGACTGTTTCATTTATTTAAGCGGTAGAACAAAACAAAAAAATTTCGATCAATCAACACAACAATATCACCAGACCATAAGAATTTTTAAAAACACTTACCCCAAAATGTGATATATCACTAAAAAGCGCCTGCATTTGTTGTTAGTAACCGCATTTGGTTTTTGTCGTGATATCTTATTGATAAATTTTAAAAAAAACTTTGCAAATATTCGAACTATTTCGAAAATATGATTTACCAAAATGACATCATATAACCAATTATAACCCAACAATATACATACTTCTGTACCTGTAATACACAACATTGACCCACTAAATACTGATATTCCTTCTCTCTTCAATAATTGAATGGCATAATATGGTGATAAAGCTGCAAATATTCCTGGATGAAATTTTGCAATATTGTAGATCCCACAAATAATTAAACCAATCATCCACAAAAAGATTATGGGAGCAAATAAGAAACTAATCTTGTTTGAACCAAATTGTTGTATAATAAACAAAAATATTAATATGACTTCAGAAACTGGTAAAATTGCATTGAAACTTGGTACCGCTATTTGAATACCACCAATAGCACTCAATACTGACGTAGTTGGGGTTAATAATCCATCCGATATAACCAATGAACAACCAAGGAAACAAGCTCCTAAAATAAAAAATTGTAAAGATCTTATAACTTTTGGATTTTGTTTTACTCTTGCTATTCTTGAATAAACAGTATTAATTGATGAAGTAGTAGTATCAGTTCTTGATAATATTTCTAAATCCAGCGGTTCAGCGGTTCCAGGTATAGATACCCCTTTTGGACCAATATTTAAATAACTTGCAATCTTGGCATATATAGCTACTTGACCACCATTACCATTATAAGGACCAAATACTAAAACAATACAGACATATTTAAAAATTACAATTATTGTGAAAAGATAAAAAATTATTGAAACAGCACCATAAATATCTTCTTTATTTGGAGGGTTTTGAGAATATTTAATTGAATTTAAAACATATAATGGTGAAGTACCTAAATCTCCATAAATTGCACCTAATGAACTAAATGATAACATCAAAATTTCTCTCCATGGTTGCTTTTTGGTAGGCTTTTCATTTATAATTGATTCAATTGAATTATTTGCTTCTTCATCTATACTATCTCTATCCTGCATATTATTCTCAGTTTCTAAATTTATATCATCATATGTATTGATACTACCTTGATCATTTCTATCATTTATGTAAGTAGTATCCAAAGCATCATCTTTTATTTCTTCTATTGACATATATGATTGATTCTATCTGATAAATTGAACTAATCTGAATTTGTTAATGAATGAATTATTTATTTTTCTTTAATATGAGGTATTTTTATTCTCCTAATAAATTATAAAGTAAACAAATAAATAATAAATTACCACTGAAGAAAAAAATATGATGAAGTTTCAAAGTTTTAAAATGACAGATATAAAATTCATTTTATATTCTCATATAATTCATCAACTCAGTAAGCCTATTATTATTGATCTCATTATTTGAAAATTTGTTTAAAATTGATTTCAATCTAATTTCTAAATTTAATTATCTACTCGTGCCTTTTCTATTGATTTCCCCTAATTTTAAACTTGAACATCAAATGATTTACAAAAACAGTAAAAAAAATCTGAATTCTAATATTTCATGTATCAGATATTAAAATCCAAAAAGAATTTTTGTTTAGTAAATGTGAAACAGGTTAAAATTATATTAATATATTTTCCAATGTTTAATATTTCGAATGCAAAAAAATTTTATTTGAGGGATTTATTTTTGAAATTGTCAACAAACTTAATTAAAAAACAGACCTATCAACTAATAAGCAACTATAATAAAATGAAACTTTTGGTAGGCATGGACTATTCATGAGTGTATATCATGAGGGAATTTTTGATTGATGACTTTTACTTAATTTGAACGCCCCAGTAATTCTTTTCAATAAAATAATGAATTGGAAGAGCTTCTTAAGACGAAACTAAATTAAGATTTAAGATTTCGTTTAATTTAAAATAACTAATATCTCAAAGTTTCAGATTCATGGAAGAATGGAAGTTTTAGAATATGCTAATAAAAAAATTGTAATGTAAAACATAAATAGAGAAAAATTAAAAGATAGTAAAATTTGTTGATGCTACTAGTTTTAAATTTTAATTCAGATAAAAATCAAAATTTTCATTTGAAGATCTCTTTCAAAACACAAAATAGAAAAAATAAAAATATCTCAAGTTTAAATTAATTTATCACAGCCTTTCGTTACTTGTCAAAATGACGAAATTTCATAGAACAAAAAATCCCTCAAATAATGTGAATGAATTCTTAACTCAAGAGAGCTATAGACACACTAGATCTACAATACTAGGGCCAAATTCCAACAAGTAATTCAGCTAGTATGTAATCAAAATAAGAAATTCTAGGTATTTTTAGAAAGAAATTTAATGTTTAAGCCCCATATTTTATTTTCTCGTACTGCATCTTATTAAGATTTACGAGGAAATTTTTTTCTTGGTTTTGCAACCATTTCAAAATTAATTATTTACAAGGGCTTAGGAAAAAATAATATTCATTTTTCGCTCTTTTAACTTTATTCTTAAAATTTTTTGACCGCCCTTTGCCCTTGTAGAAAAAAATATTTTACTGTGAGCAGCAGTCATCGCTTTATGCAATTCTCTACGTCGTTCATATGGCGTATATTGAAATCTCAAAATTTCATCATGATGTGAAATGAATTAAAATAATTCGCGCAAAAGTTTCAGAAGAGATTTAATTCTCATTACTTTTATTGTCAATTTGAAACAAAGAAAATTAACAATTTAAATTTTGTACTAACATAGTATCTACTTAAGTACTTGCTTTTTACTAATTTAACTGTGAGGCATTTTTTATTAATTGTTTACACTTGTATAAGTAAAATTTCGTATTCATATAAACATTCAACAAAATATTTAAGAACATGAGTGGCACCAAATACCTAAATTCATAGTTAATGAATGATTACTTATTAGTGTTCGTAATTTTTGTAAATCTAACAATTTTTATAGGTTGTTTCCAATCTTTATTTTTAAATTTATCTTTCAAATTTAAATTGTAATTAGAATAATAATCGTAATTAACAATTCTTTTATGATGATCTTCAAATAATTTAATTCTTAATAGTTCTAAACCTAAACTGCATATACCCAAAACAAATTCAAATTCAGGTAGAATATAATGATATTCTTCAATTAAAAACCCCAATATTAATAATCTTAAATTTGAATTATCTAATCCTAAGAATAAATCGTTGATTTGATTTTGTATAAATTTGTTGAAATATAAATCGTCGTATATTTTCACTAATACCGATTTGATTTGTGGTGAACAACTTATTGGCTTTATATTTGAAAATATCGATTTAAATAATACTAAAAATTGTTGAGCATATTCTCCATGTAATTCTTTATTATATTTCCATGAATGTTTGATTACTATACATATATTCTCTACAACTTTTATAGCTAATGATTCTAAATATTGATATTGTGATTCTAAATCTTTTAAATCGGAAAAGTTAGGATTGCTTGTGGTGAAGATATCAAAATTATGATGATGTAATGCAGGTAAAGGTTGAGGAATTAATTTCAATTCTTTTAATTTGATAGACTTTGAAATCATCAACTTATTTTGAATATTATGCTTCTCACTATGTCTATCAATAACTGATTCAGTCTTAGTTTCATTATTTTTATCTTTATTATTTATTGAGTAATTTATAGGATGCCAATAATTATCATCATCTACTGTAATTGAAGACATTATAGAATCTATAGAAGTATAACGAGGAAAAATTATTGATTTATTATACATATTATGATTATAACAATTATTAATTTCTTTGCTTTCTTGATTAATAGCGAATAAGTTGTATATATATGAAATTGATAGCAAAACTTGAACTGATTGTGGAGTAGTTCATCTGTTGCATTTGTTGAAAAATCTAATTACTTATCTTTGATGCTGGTTTTATAAGATCTTGATATGCAATTCGACCTTGAGAGTGTACGATACAAAGGAACGAAATATTTAAGTTTTTGATCAAAGCGGTAGACTAATTACTGTCATGCTCCAACTTCTTCCTCAGATACAGCCATCATAGAGCCAACTTGCTACTTAGCTTAATCCGCTAAATTGATCGTTGTTTTAGATCAGCATATCTTTTTTTAACTTTGGTTGCAAAAATAATACGGTGCTACAAAACGCGTCTCGTTCTCACATAATAAATTTTTATTTTTATTTTTTTCAGTACCTACTATCAAATAATAAAAAGATCACTTAATACATAAATACTTACAACAAAATAGTTTAATGCTATAGTACTAATTCAACCATGTCATCTAAAATTATACCATTATTTTCAGATGGGAATTCATACATTTATTTTCATAATCAATTGGATAGATTAATCATTGTTAATAGTGAAGGTATAACAAAATTAGTTAATTTAAATGATTTAGATTCACAACCAATTTCAATAGATACAAAATCTAATGTAACTTCACTAGCAATAAATGGGAATAAATTAGCAATAACGACGTTAGATGGCTATGCTGAATTAATTGATTTAGATAAAAAAGAATCCGTTGGAGAATTATACAGAACAGCATTACCATTAAGAGATTTAAAATTTATAAATCAAGGAAATAGAATATTATGCGGTGGAGATGATAATCAATTAACAATTGTAGATTTAGCAAATAATAATAACGTTACAAATTTGGAAATTCCAGATCAATTATTAAATATTTCGTATGATCAAGCAGGTGAATTATCAGCTATAAGTTTATCAAATGGATCAGTTGAAATTTATTCAGTGTTTAATGAAAAATTAAATCTTTTACATACCTTAAATAATGTTTTGAATCCTAAAATTTTTGCATCTATGGATAAAATTGATTACGAAGAAAATGAAGAAGAATTATTTACCTCAAAGACTCAATGGACAAATGACGGTAAATATTTAATTTTACCATCAGTAAATAACGAAATTCAAGTTTATGAAAGAGAAAACTGGGAAAAAATCAAAACCTTTAAAGTAGATTCCAAAATAGTTGATTTTAATTTAAATTATAAAAAGTTAGCAGTATTAACTAAAAATGTATATAAAGCTTTTAATTTTGATACTGGAAAAATACTTCATGAAGATGATTTTGATTTAAAAGAAGAAGCATTACCTTTGAACATAGAATGGGAAAATAAATCAAGTATATTAATTGGTACTACTTATGGTGATGTTTTGAGATTAAGAAATGTTATTAAAGATGATACTGAAAGGTCAAGTGCAGTAAATAATTTATTTTTAGATGATGCAGAAGAGAGTGATTTAGAAGAAAATGACAATGAGAAACACGATGATGTTAATGACAGAGAAGAAGTAGATCAATTGCATAAAAAGAGATTATTTATTGATGATGAAGATGATTTTGACAACTCTATTTTGGATGAAGATGATGATACACCAAATGGCTATTCTAATGGTCATTCAAACGGTCATTTTAATGGTCATACTAATGGATATTCAATTGGTCATAAAAGACAAAAATCTACTACTCCACAACCAAGTTTCACTACTACTTCAGCTCCAACAAAAATAATACCATATTCACCAGGTTCAACTCCATTTGTAACTTTGGGTGAATCATCAGATAGAAGATATTTGACAATGAATAATATAGGATATGCATGGATTGTTATAAATAAAGATAAAACCACCAACAACTCAATAACAGTATCATTTTTTGATAGATCAATAAATAATGAATATCATTTCACTGATCTTCAAAACTTTGACTTAGCTTCAATGAATCATAAATGTATAATATTATCAGAAAGTTCAAAAGGTATAATCTTTTACAAATCCCATAATAATATAAATGATAATGGACTAGAATCATGGGAGAAGAAAATTCCCTTGTTAGAAAAAGAATATATAACAAGTATTGCTATAACAAATTCAAAATCAAATAATAATACTATAATAGTTGGAACTAATTTTGGATACTTGAGGTTTTTCAATCAATTTGGGTTATGTCTTAATATCATAAAAACAAATCCAGTGGTGACAATTGCAGCATCATCAAATAATACAATTTTTGTAATAAATCAACTAACAAATAATGTATATTCATATTCAATTATTGATATAATGCAAGATTATAAATACATACAACAGAATTCAGTAATACCATTAAAAGAAATCACAAAAGGATCAACATTAAATTTAATAAAAGGTATTTTTTTCAATGAATTTAATGATCCATGTGTAGTTTCAGGATCTGATGATACATTGTTGATATTACAATCTTGGAGAGAAACTGGTAATGCAAAATGGATCCCAATTTTAAATTGTTTTAAAAAAATTACAGAATATGGGACTAATGAAAATAAAAAGAATTGGTCATGTTGGCCATTAGGTTTAATCAATGATAATTTGAATTGTTTAATATTGAAAAATAATAATAAATTCCCAGGATTTCCCTTACCACTACCTATTGAAATTGAAATTGAAATACCAATTAAAATTGGTAACGAAGAAAATGATGAACAAGAAGAAGAAGAATTATTTGTAAGATCTTTAACAATGGGTAAAATTCTTAATGATACATTAATAAATTTTGAAGAAGAAGAACCACAAGATCAAGAATCAGATGAAATAATGTCCAAATTACAAAATTATAGTATGATTTTTGATAAATCACTTTTAAAATTATTTGGAGAAAGTTGTAAACATTCAAATTTAAATAAAGCTTTTAGTATTGTTAAATTAATTAAAACTGATAAAGCACTTTCTGCAGCTTTAAAAATTAGTGAAAGAATGGAATTTTTAAATTTAGCTTCCAAAATTGGTCAATTAAGGGAACAATTATTAATTGATTTAAATGATAATGATAGCGATTGATGAAAATTATATTAAAACAATGTTGTGTATATCTATATAGCTAATGAATTATTTACAGTATTTGATACAATTAATGATGACGAAACTCGGAGAATTCGACAAACAAAATCTTGTAAAACTCGATGATTGAATTTTGAAGAATCTATATTTATTTTAATTGTCTTTGAATATAATGATAAATAAGAGGACTTATCCATAAAGCACCAGCAATTAATCCAGCAAATTTCAAAGTATCATAAGCATATTGTTCTTGTAATTTCTTTTGTTCTTCCGATGGTTGACCTCCGTACATTCTTTAGTTTTCGATTGTATTTGGCTTTCAGTTGGTTTATTGATTACTAGTGAAAATAGATGATATCATCAATTTTATTTTTTTGAGATTTTTTTTTTCTTTCAGTTTATTATTTTTTGAATTTTTCATGATTTGAAATTTTGTGACATAATTATATGAGAAATCGAATTTTACAATCATTATTCAAGTTCATCAGACTTGGCCAACAGTAGCCTCGGATTTGATCTATTAAGCTACGATATAATCAATGACATCAATAAAGCCTTTTCAATTGGAGGATTTATTCAACATAAATCCAGTTAATTTAGACCCACTAACAGAAAATTTCAATATATCATTCTACTCACAATACCTAAATACATGGCCAAATCTATTTTACAAATCCATAGAATCTACAGCTTTACCTCAAGACGAAGTAATAAGTGGTTACATGATGGCTAAAACCGAAGGTTCATTATTTAAAAATGAATTACATACACATATAACAGCAGTAACAATAAATCAAAATTATAGACGTATAAATTTAGCATCAAAATTATGTTTACAATTAGAAAAAATTTCAGAAGTTCAATTGACTTTATTTATTGATTTATTTGTAAAAGTTACAAATGAATTAGGTAGAAAATTATATGAAAAATTGGGATATTCTATTTATAGAAGAGTTATTGGATATTATGGAAAATCAATGCCATTAGATAGAAATTTAGTTAATGATGATATTGATGCTTTTGATATGAGAAAAAATTTACCATTAGATAAAGATAAAAAGACTATAAGAGATCATGGTGAGAATGTTTATGTACTACCTAATGAAATCGTATTTTTATAGACTTTTAATATAGACGATTATGGGACTTTTGTAAGAGATTAATTGACTTTAGTTTACTTTATGACATGTCTGTATCATTGAAGAAATGAAATTAATTATTCGCTCTGAATACTTGAAACTGAGTCTTAATTTTTTATTTCGACTAAAATTCTAAATTTATGAACAATAGCATGTTCGAAATATTTTCAAAAATTGTTAAAATCCCATTGAAAGACAATAAAGCTAGCTCAAAAGACTTTGCATGCAAGATTGGGAAGATATATCGTCATTGATACCATTAGCAGGTCTAATATTTTGTATATCAAAAGCATTACAGTATATTTTATCAGCCCGTAAGTCATGCCATAATGATCTAAGATTAGATAAATTATCCAAGGAATTAATGACTGCAAGTAAATGGATAGTACTAGCAATCTTATTTTATATTGTTGTTAATGATTACAAGAGAAATGAAGCTGATATTTTATATAGTTATGTTGGATGGAAAAGTATTACTTTTAGTGTTGTAATTTTACCTTTTTGTTTATCAATGCTTATTGTAAAAATTGGTCAGTGGAAATTCAATTCAAGCACGACTAAAGTAGAAGAAAATGTTTAAATGTTGTTTGAAAATTAATGAATTATGATTTGGAACGATACATACAAATACTACATTATACCTTTGATGGAACTTAATGCAGTAGTAAGACACTTTATTTTGTTATTAAGTAAAATAAATGTATGGACGGATATACTAGCTACCAAACGCTTTGATGGTATTATAAGATACTTGAAATATTTGTAATAGTTTGGAGGTTTATTAAAGTAAATAAGTAAATAAGTAAGTAAAACTTTTAAATATGATTGATTTAGTACTCTTAATTTATTCATATCATTACTTTATACTTTATGACTCGAAGAATTTAGCTGTATAGTCTTATTACTCGGAATTAATTACAATTTAAGAAATTGTAAAATAGTCTATTATGTTTTTGTTTCAATTTAAATGACTAAGAAGATCTTTTATAACGAGAACACACAAAATTAAATAAGTATAAAAAAAGTAGTAAGATTTATTTTGCTATTTAAATTCATTAAACTTATATTTACATATTTGACATATATCAACTTAAAAGGAATAATAAATAATTGATAAATTTGAAAAAATTATACCTTTACTTTCATTTAAAATATAACAATAATATACAATGTCACATAGATCCCTATATAAAGGTAAAAAATCTGATATAGATGGAGGAATATTATCAAATTCATCTTCTAGAGCTCAATCACGATCAAGAACTCCAATGAGATCAGACGATTCAGATTATGAAAGTGATTATGAAGAAGGTGAATTATTGAAAATAGAAGAGATATTAAGAGAGAAATTATCTAGTTTAAATACACAGGATATGGGAGAAATTGGGAAAGAAGATAGAATAAGTTCTGGTGATAGAAGACAATTTGAAGCTCATCAATTAAGTAATAAAAGAATACAAGAAAATTCAAATATTAAAGATATTATCACTTCTCTAACTTTTTCAAGAAGTGATATTAGTTCACAATCTAGAGAATTATTATTGACTCAACTTTATAAGTTAATTATTTCAAAACCTTTGGTGGTGTATAATGAAGAAAATATTGGGAATAAACAAAATTATATTGATGAGGAAACTGTATCTATATTAATAAATCAATTTACAAATTCTAATTATAGAAGTGATTTAGAATTTTTATATTTATTTAAATCAGTTATAGCATTAATATGTTCAGATATTGAAGAATTTGGAGTATTAATTTCAAATGATTTTTTAGGTCATATTCAACATTTAATTCAAGAACCTGTAAATAGTATAATAACAGCAGAAAATAAATCAAATATCATAATAGGATATACTGTATTAACGTTGATTTTATATAATGATTCTTCAAGTTTTGGAATTGATGAAAAAATTTTATTATTAATGGAAATATCTGAAGGTTATAGTGCAAGTGCAACAACTTTACAAAAACAAATAGAATCTGGAGATAGAGAACATGCTACTTTTATAACTGATAAAAATTTAGATAAGAGATTAATAAATGAAGCTAATTCAAAAGTTTTAGCTGAAGCATCAGTTGCAACTTCTGCATTAAATGGAGTAGGTTGTTTAATAACATTAATGAAAAAAGGGGAATATTTAAATGAAATAATGGAAGATTTAATGATTAGATTAATACCACTTTTGGATAATGATGAAAATAGAGATATTGCAAAAGCTGCTGGGAAAGTTATAGCAATAATTTATGAATTATATGATTATGGAGGAGATGATAAAACTGAAATTAATGAAGAAGCAGATGATGATGAAGAGTATAATTTAAATTCTCCATATTATGAACAAGAATCATTAAACACAATATTAACTAGATTAATAAATTTATCTTCAAAAAAAGTTTCCAAAAAGGATAAAAAGGAAATAAGTTCAATATTTAGAAATATTTTAAATACAATCAAAATTTATACAAATACTCTAGAAAGAGATCAAATATACAAACGTACAAAAGAAGGAATAGAATTATCACAACAAATAATAGACACATCATATATAAAATTATCAAAATATAAACTAATCAAAATTAATTCATGGTATTTATACATAAGATTAAGACATATCAAATGGTTATTTTCATTTGGATTACATTCACAATTAGTAAACAACGAATCAGTACGTGATGTATTAAAAGAACCAGAAAATGAATATTCATACGGGTCCACCACCAATAATTATGATTATTTTGATAATGATGATGATGAAGAATTTAATCAATATCATCATACTTTAAATAGTATTAATGATAAACAAAGAAGTTTTAAACGTAAAAAGGAAAGAACTGCTAAAATGGATGAACAATTGGAGAATTTAAATTTAAAAGATTAATAAATGAGCTAGTGCATTTTTTATATAGTCATTTATATATATTTATTTGTAATATAGTAACATTAAACAAAAGGATAATAGTCTTTTGAGATTAGTATACATACTACCCTAAATTAAAGATAATCTTTCAACTCACATGCAATTGGTTATGCGTCAACAACAACAAAAAATAGTAGTAGACACTGTAAATCAGAAGATGTTTTAAATATAAAATCGATTGAATAATGCTATAGAAATTAAGGTCACCTTAAGCTTAATTTGCCTCGAATTAGCTTTAATTTCAAGAAATATCATAATTATTTACCTCTAATGCATAATTACATCATATTAAACAAAATAATTTTCACCGGTTAAAATTAATGCGAAAAAAACGAACAGAAAAACCGTTGATCTTTCTAAACAACAAAAAACGAAATTTAAACGAGAGATAAAAGTTTTTTTTGCTTTTATACTTCGAGTCTTTATTAGTGTTTATAATCATCTAGTGATAGTATATACTTGAAAAATTTATTAGAGATTTAAGGGACTCAAAAATTATTTAGATTATTTTGTTAATGAGTTTTTTTGCGTTATATTTTGCATCTGATAAAATAATTTTAAAAATAAATTTTTGACACATTCAATGAAGAACATTTGAACTCAATACAATATGAAACAAATATTGAAAATTGAATGTTGATCAATCGCTTAAGTGACCTTAAAAACGATAGAGCTTAAAGATGCTACTATCGTATAAAGTTAGTTCTTGTAGTTGATAAAATATGAGTGAATTTCGTACTTTTCTTCTCTTCTGTTAGTATAATGTTTATAGTTACAAATTTGAAAATTATTATATTCGAAATATTTATTATTGTTGTTTGGTTACATCATACAAGTAAAAATATTATATTTTTTATTCAATCTTTTCTTTTTAATTTGAAATAACTAGTTTTTACAAGTCAAAATTAACCACATTATTACTCAACTAAAACATACTTCATAACATTCATTCATTCATTATCTTTCATATATTAAAAGTTCCAAGCATAATATTAAATTTACGAGAAAAAGATTTATTTTCTTGTGACTTAAACAAATTGATTTCTTGACATTTTTAAATCCACTATATTGATAGAGTAGTAAATAATATTTATCGTTAATCAACCTTGTCATTCATAATTACAGATTTGTCATTAATCAAAAAGGTTAGAACACTTCAATACGATTAAACTCATTCATTATCAAAGAATCAAGCATATCATAGACCCTTAAAATTTGAATCTAATCTTAGCATTTCTATTAAAAGACACGTCCAATAGTATAATGCTGTATAATCTTTAACATCATTATTAACTTCATATAAAAAATTCATTAAATTAAATACAACATCATGACAGAACTATATTTCCTACGTCACGCAGAACGAATAGATCATGCATTAAAGAAAAATCCAGAATCAAAACCAATAATTGAAGAATATCAACCATATGATCCTTCATTATCAACATCTGCATATGATCAAATTAAACTTGTGGGAGAAGATATCTGTCAAACAACTGAAACTTTTCAAGATAAAGAATCATCATTAAGAAAAAATGTATTTATTCATTTTAGTCCTTACCTTCGATGTTCTCAAACAGCTGATATACTAATAACTGAATTAAAAGCAAAATTTAGTGAATTATTTCCTAATTATAAAGTACGTTTCCAACTACTAGGAGATTTTGCATTAAGTGAATGGGTACATGATAAAATGGATAATAAACCACCATTTATAGATTCAAATGATGCTTATAATATGTATACACCAAATTTAAAAACTTTGAAAAATAAAAATGCATGTTCAAATTTTAGACCAACCATAACTTTGGGTCATTATAATGGACCAGATTTAAGTTATACTGATTATCAACAAAAATGTAAAGATTATTTTCAAAAATTATTAGCAACTTATGATAAACCTACTTATATAAAGAATAAAGATATAATTATAGTGATATCTCATGGATATATGATTAATAATTTCATGTCATATTTTATAAATCACCCTGTTTTTGAAGAAATACCTGAAGCTACTTTGAATTTTGCCAAAAGAATTCAGAAGGATGAAATTGAAGATATTGATAATGAATATGATCCTGTAAATTATTATTGGAAAATGGAAAAAGATGCATTGAATTTATCGGCAGAAGAAGGTGTTGATACTGTGTTAAATCTAGAGAGTGATATTGTATATTACAAAACAAATTTCATAAAGAAAGATGAACTACTATATAAACCTGAAACAAAAGATATTAAAGATGAATATAAACCAAGAGCTTCTTTCAAAATTGAATCAACTTCAGCTTCCAAAAGTGTTGATGGTAAACCACCAATAAGGACAAATTATCTTTGTCCAGCAGCAAAAGATTGGGTTCCAGATAAGAAACTTTTCAAAATAAAAGCAGAATTTAAAGAAAAATTAATGAATGATGATTCTTTTAAAAGAAGTTTCAATATTACTCATCCACCTTCAAGACAAATTAGTCCAGATGTATCACCAAATTCAGCTCCAACAAGAACAAATTCAGTAATTGATTTATCCAAAATTTTAAGTAATGAATCAGTTCTTCAACCAATAAAATTGAAATACTCAAATACTTCAGAAATACCCATCCATAAAATCAATTCAAGAGTTAATTCTCAAGTTAATTTAGCTCAAACATTTAGAACAACATCGTCAGCAGAAAATTCATCAACTGATTTACCTAAATATGTTTCACATTTACAAAATAGACATAGATCAACTTCAAACCCTAATTCATCAGTTTATGTTGCTCATCACACAAAAGATTCGTATTTCCCACAAGTTATTAATAGAGTAAAATCAAATGAATCAGATATGTCTATAGATTCAAATGGGGATAGTATAGTTGATGAAATGGATATAATTCAAGAAAATGAATCACCATCATTAGCTAATGCCATCGCAGCTGCTGCTTCAGCTTCTGCAAGTGCTTCAGTAAGTGCTGCCGCTGCTGCTGCTGCAATCCCAACAACAAGAGCATCACCAATGGATACTCTTAACAGAGCAAGATCATTAAACAAAAAACGACCAAATAATCCATTATTTTCATCATCATTCCAGCAAAAGAGATCACAAAATCAATTACAACAATTTGGTAAATTAATTTCAAATTCAAATCATAGTAATGAAGTTAGTGAAAATTCAGAGTCTGATAATAGTGATGATAATGACAATGATAATCAAAATAATAGATCTCCTCAAAAATCTAAAGAAAATATATCATTAGCTTTTAAACATACCCAACCACAAAACACCACAAATAGAAGTCCATTAAGAAGATCATCAGTATCTAATACATCAACATCACCACCACAAAATAGACCAACAAGATCACGCAAAAATTCAATCCAATTCTATTCATCATTATCAAACGGACAAAATGGCCCTGACTCAACCACTCAACAACCTCAACAAAAATCACGTCCGATTTTCTATAATTTTGATACTGATGATGATGATTATGATGATGATGATATGTCTGATGGTTATAGTTCTGCTAATGAATTTAATAAAAAAGAGAACACTAGTGGTAGTCAAAAATCTTTTGATAAATCAGATGGGAATTATTTTTGGTTTGGACAGAATAAATAGTAAATAAACCAACCCATTTTTTGTTAGAATTATTGGAAAGATCGTTGTAAGTGCTAACTCTTTTGACCTTTATTAAGTTTTTCGTTGCAGCCAAATTTATTGAAAAGACTTGGTAGCCTAATTTTTGATAAGAGATTAAGCATATTTACTGTAAATTCACAGATCATAAATCCAAATTTGTACAGAAACAACATAGATCTTTTAATGTTCACAATTGATTTAACTTTTATTGAACTATGACTACTTTATCACAACCGCAAGATACAACACTACCCAAAACCAAAATCTCCACAACTTACGGCTTATCAAAAGATTTATCACAACAAATAATTATAAAAATATGTTATTTAGAAACTACATTATCAAATGAAGAATTAAACTTATCAAAACTATCAGAAAAGTTTCAAGATCCTTCAAAATTCAAAAAACTCTCCCAAATATACAAGTTTCTGGATTTATTCGTTAAAGTTGAAATTTTCGATGGTAAAAATAATAATTTATTAAGTATACCTATACAAACTTCATATAAATCATTCAATAATAAAAAGAGACAATGGAATCAATTTTTGAAATTATTTATTAATTATAATCAAGTCAATTATGAGAGCTACTTGAAGTTTACAATTTGGGAGATAATTGATACTAAACCTGCTTTGTTTGGGTATGGATTTTTAAGTTTATTTAACGACAATACTTCAACTTTAAGAAAGGGGTCTCAAAAAGTACCTATATTTACGAACCAAGAAGATTTGGAAAAAAATGAAAAAAATATAAATTATGGAGATCAAATTGGTTTAACTGATTTAGAAAAAGATTTGATCAAATATGAAAATGGAGAGTACCCTAGAATTAACTGGTTAGATAAATTATCATTACCTAAAATCAACGAAATGATATCAAATAGTACAAACAATAATAAAGATTATGATTATTACTTATATGTTGAATTACCACAATTTGAATTTCCTATAGTTTATTCAGATATAAAATTCGATGTACCAACAATAGAACCAATTCATGAATCAAATATAAATATTCCACCAATTAATACAATGAGTAAAATATTAAATTCAATAGATATTCCCAAATCAACATCACAAGATCACTCAAAAGCCAAGATTTTTGATCCTGATTTTCAAATAACTTCAAATACTTCAGCTACTCCTAGTAACAATCAACCTAATTCAAATAATAATATATTAGATCCAATTGAATTAAAATTTCATAAACTAGAAAGAAATATAAATAATAATTCAATAATTGACAAAGATTTAAAACCATCACCACAATTACGTGATGAACTTTTAAAAATTTTATTAAAACCATCAAATGCAGAATTAAATGATAATGAAAAAAATTTAATGTGGAGATTTAGATATTATTTTAGTAAAAATAATTCAAATGAATCAAATGCAAAATCAACAACCACCACCAAGTCATTCTTACCAAAATTTTTAAAATCTATTAATTGGGAAAATGAATACGAATTGGATCATACTTTTAAAGAAATACTACCATTATATTGGAGTGTAGATAAGATACAAATTGGTGATGCTTTGGAATTACTAGGTAATTATTTTAATCCTTATATATTGGGGAAATCAGTTATGCCTTTGGAAAGTAATGAAAATTCACTTAAGAAGGATATGAAATTAAAAGATGATGAGATTAGTTTTCAAAAAATATTTGATAATGTTTGTTACTTGAGAAAATTAGCAGTTGAAAGATTGAAATTAGCAAGTTCTGAAGAGTTATTATTGTACTTATTACAATTAGTTCAAGCTTTGAAATATGAATCATTGATTTATCAAGATCTTTATAACGAAAGCGAAGAAGAATCGGAGTTGGACTGTATGAAATTACCACTTGCGAATTTCTTGATTGAATCTGCTGTTGAGAATGAAAAATTAGGTAATTTCTTTTATTGGTATGTTAAAGTTGAAAATGAAGATTTGTTAAACGTTGATGGAAGTACAAGTAATTCAATATATGGAATAATACTAAATAAATATATTGAATCTTTGAAAATTTATTGTCATGAACATAAATTACCTTATTATAAACACTTAAAAAAACAAATTTGGTTTATTAAAAAATTAACAAATTTAGTTGAGTTATTAAGATCATCTTTTAAAAAAAATGAATCAACTGCTAAAAAAATTGAATTTTTAAGGGAATATTTATCAGCAACCACAAACGAACTAAATAAATTCCCAGAACCTTTTCCCTTACCATTAGATCCATCAATAATGGTATGTGGTTGTTACCCTGAAGAATCATCAGTTTTCAAATCTTCATTAGCACCATTGAAAATTACTTTGAAAACTATAGAATACAAGAAAAAATCAGGTAGTCATCATACAACATCACAAATTTTCGGTCAAAAATCTAAAAAATATGGTAAATACCCATTAATGTTTAAAATTGGTGATGACTTAAGACAAGATCAGTTAGTTATTCAAATTATTAATCTTATGGATCAACTATTGAAAAATGAAAATTTGGATTTAAAATTAACACCATACAAGATTTTAGCAACTAGCCCTGTTGCTGGGTTAATTCAATTTGTGCCTAATGAAACATTAGATTCAATATTATCCAAAAATAATCAAATCAATTCAAATACAAACACTGCTAATACAATTTCAACTGCATCTACTTCCCCACAAGTTTCTACTAATGGGATATTAAATTATTTGAGATTACATAGTCATGATCAACAAATAATTGAACCCATTTCCAAAAGTGTATTAAATTCATCAACACCAACAACTTCAATTTCAAAACAACCAAAACAAGCAATAACTTCAGATTTAGGAGTATCTCCCATATTAATGGATAATTATGTAAAATCATGTGCTGGTTATTGTGTTATAACATATATCTTGGGTGTTGGTGATAGACATTTAGATAATTTATTATTATCACCTAATGGAAAATTTTGGCATGCTGATTTTGGATATATTTTAGGTAGAGATCCAAAACCTTTCCCACCATTAATGAAATTACCTATACAAGTTATAGATGGAATGGGTGGATTAGATCATGAAAATTATAATATTTTTAAAAATTATTGTTTTATAACTTATCAAACTTTAAGAAAAAATTCAAATTTAATTTTAAATTTATTTCAATTAATGTGTGATGCAAATATACCAGATATTAAAATTGATTCAACGAGAGTATTGGAAAAAGTTGAAGAGAAATTTTGTTTGGCTATGAATGAAGAAGAAAGTATTTTACATTTTCAAAATCTAATTAATGATAGTGTTAATGCCTTTTTGCCTGTTGTTATTGATAGATTACATAGTTTGGCTCAATATTGGAGGGCTTAGGAAAAAAAAAAAAAAAAAGTCTATTAATGTATTAATAATCTATAATTTTATTCTATTAAGTTATAGTTATTTTTCATGAGTGAATCCATAAACGTCACCTAATTTTTGAATATAATAAGTAGGTGCATCATTTTTATCCAAACTTTTAACTCTTTCTTCAGTTTCAATACCTGTCAAAACCAACATAGTATCTAATCCACCATTTTTACCAAATTGTATATCAGTATTTAATCTATCTCCAATCATTAATCCTTTTGATGGTGATTCTTTTAATCCAGGCAATTGAGCTTTTATAGAATTCATCATACTTTGATTTGGTTTACCACAAATAGCATCCGGTTTTCTTGAACTTGCATAAGATACAGTTTCAATAATTGATCCAGCACCAATTAATAATTTACCATGAGATGGGAAAGTTGAATCTATATTTGTTGCAATAAATGGGATAGATTTATTATCTTTTAAAAGATATTGCATAGTCATTGATAATTTTAAATAATTAATATTAAAACATAATCCACATAATACACAACCAACTGAAGGATCTAAATTATTTAAAAGTTCAGTATTTGAATTAAAAATTATTCCATCTTCTGAAAATTTAGGATCAGTTCCTCCTAAAGTTTCATATCCCAATTCATGTAATTCTTGTTCAATTCCTTCTTCACCTAATACCCAAACTTTTTTATTTTTAGGTAATTTTAATATTTTTTCAATATAAACAGAACTAGCAAAAGATGAACCAAATATTTCAGATTTAGTTATATTGTGAATTCCCATTTGGGCAAATTTTTTTAAATAATCATTTCTTGATTTTGTTGAATTATTAGTTACAAATATAATAGTTTTTTTTTGTTCCTTTAAAAAAGATAAAGTTTCTGCTACTGATGGTAATAAATGATCACCTAACCATAATACTCCATCACAATCGAATAAAAAATAATCGTATTTGTCTAGTATTAAAGATTGGACTTGTTGTTTGTCTGTTATTTTAATTGACATTTTTGAGTTTGTTGAGTCTATCAATTGAGTGGATTTAAAACTGAAGTGTTGTATATTTTGAAAAATTGTATTAGTTTGATTTGTAACTTATTCTTGCTTAAATCTAACGGTTATTCACAAAATCAACAGATTCAAAATAAATTACCGATATTTAAGTAGCTACCATGTGGTCTTTTGATTTTTTTGACATTAGTTGGTTGCAAATAATTAGATGCTAAGATCTAAGTCAACAGATAGATACCTCAGATCTTATATAGACGAATGATACAACAAGAAAAGAATTTGCACAAGCTATTAATCTAAATTGAATGTTTTGAAAGTTTAATTTGCTTAAAATCTTCTCTTTTTTGTTCATGTATTGATTGATGAAAATGATATACACTTGAAAACGTGCCGATAATTGTAAAACTAAAAATTACACTGGTTTATTGATACATGCTACAGCCTAAATCTCTTTAACTGGTGTCTTAAATTTAAATAAAATTCTGTGCTCCATCTTTGATTCAAAAGGTTGTTGATGATTTACCGTATAGTTTCAATATTAAAAAAATAATTTTGGGAAGTCTCGGATTTATAATTTTCTTCTATCTCTTATTATTAAAGGGAGAGATTAAAATATTTTTATAATAAATCAAAGTTATAAATATAATAAATTGATATACGAACTTAAATCAACCGTTAATTAAGCCAATAGAATGGCAACTACTACATCATATCATACAACAGAACCAACAGCTGGTCTAGCTAATAATAATATACATGATTTAAATAATGGAGTAGAAGGAAATAATCATCATAATGCACCTGATGATAATAATCAATATGATAATTATGATTCAGATTCAGTATCAGAAGATGAACCCTTGGATGTTGATAAAAAGGAATCAAGAAGACCTTCAGATAATGCTTTTAGACAACAAAGATTAAAAGCTTATAATCCAGTATTAACTGCTAAAACTGTTATTCCATTATTAGTTGCAATTGCAATAGTATTTGTACCATTAGGAGCAGCAATGTGGTATGCATCAAATAGAATAGAAGATATAACAATTGATTATTCACAATGTGAGAATTTAGCAAGTTTTGATTATTGGAGTGATATACCAACTAATTATACTGATTTTAATAATAGAAAAAAATATGATGGTTATCAACCTAATTTTGCATGGAAATTAACTAATGATTCATCTCAACCATTTGAAGATGAAAGAAAAGTTTGTCAAATTCAATTTCAAGTATTAGATGAAATGAAAGGTCCTCTATATCTTTATTATAGATTACATAATTTTCATGCAAATCATCGTAGATATGTTAAATCATTTAGTGAAGATCAATTAAATGGAAAAGATGCTACTTTAAATACTATAAAAAATACTGTTGGACAAAATTGTCAACCGCTAAGTGATAGAGATGGAGTTAGAATTTATCCTTGTGGATTAATTGCAAATAGTTTATTCAATGATACTTATTCAACTGCATTTCAAGCAGTTAATGGTACTTCTGCAAATAAAACCGTTATATTAACCGAAAAGGGTATAAATTGGAGTACAGATAAAAATAGATTTGTTAAAACAAAATATAATTATACTGAAATTGTCCCACCACCAAATTGGTATAAAATGTTTCCAAATGGTTATAATTCAACAAATATTCCAGATATTTCAACATGGCCTCAATTTCAAAATTGGATGAAACCAAGTGCATTAGCAACTTTTAACAAATTAGCGTTAAGAAATGACACGGCAAAATTAGAAGCAGGACAATATCAAATAAATGTTGGTTTACATTTTCCTGTATTACCATATAATGGAAAAAAATATATATATATTAGTCAAAGATCAGTTATTGGTGGTAAAAATGATTTTTTGGGTATTGCATGGATGGTTGGTGGTGGTATATGTTTTTTATTAGGATTAACTTTATTAATTATAAATTTTGTTAAACCTAGAAAAACTGGTGATACTAATTTATTAAGTTGGAATCAAGAAAAATTTAAAAGAGATGAAGCTAATGCTGCTAATTCTGGTAATTCCGAAACAAATGGTATAAACGGGTATGAAAAATGATTAAAAGTGTTGATTTATTGATTTGTTAACATTTGTGATTTTTAAATAATGGGGTTTTATAGTAAAATAAACGAGTTTTGTTTGATTTGTAATTGATTCGGACATAAACAAGTTACTTCATTAACATTAAATTGTTCAAAGGCTAAGCGATATGATTAGTAATTATAGCTCGTTATCAACTCGGGTGAATTTCTAACCTTAAATCTACTCCATCTCACAAAACTAGAGATCAATTCTGAAACCAGCATAAACTATGTAAAACTAATAAGCGGATAATTCTTAAGATCCATCTGCAGTGGTACTAGCATATTGTATCAAAATCTGTTAAATGAAATAGGAAATTGCGGAAAATAAAATTACTTTGAAAATTTATCCTCCCTCCCCCAAGTATTACAAAATGTACTGTACTTTATAGAAAACATTTTGAAGTAAGATTGCGGACTTTGTTAAAAATTGAATTATGATGCTGACAAATACTAAATTTTTAAATGAATTATATATAAATTGATGAAGAATTCCTTTAATTGATTCAGCTTTAATTCTGAACTAACACAAGTACTTAAAAATGTCTACTCCAACAAAATCAATTCAAGTTACATTAAAAAATCCACCAACTGAATTTATAAATCCAAATTTTGGAGAATCAAATTCAACTTTTGCTATAAAAGAACAAGAAATCCCTGATTTAAAAGATGGAGAAATATTAATTAAAACAAGATTAATTTCAAATGATCCAACTCAAAGAGGTTGGATAAGAAGAAAAGGGTCAAAAAGATATTATGTTGATCCAATTGAAATTGGTAACCCAATGGAATCATTAGCTATTGGAGAAGTTTTAGAAAGTAAATCTACCACTTACAAAAAAGGTGATTTGATAAATGGGAAATTCTATTGGGCTGATTTTGCTATTGTTAATGAATCACAAATTTTCAACAAAATTGATCAAAGTTTAGGATTACCTTTAGAATATTATTTGTCTGTTTTTGGTATGACTTCATTAACTGCATTATTTGGTTTAACAGAGGCTGGTGGATTGAAAAAATATTTAGGTGATGAAAAGCCAAAAGATTTAACAGTTTTAGTGTCTGCTGCTTCAGGTGCTACTGGTTCAGTAGTTGTACAAATTGCAAAACATTTGTTAGGAGCAACTAAAGTTTTAGGGATATCAGGATCAGATGAAAAATGTAAATGGGTTGAATCATTAGGAGCTGATAAATGTTTCAATTATAAGGATTCAAACTACCAAAATCAAATTTCAGAATATTTGGGTGATTCTTTAGTAAATGTTTATTTCGATAATGTTGGAGGAGAGATTTCAAATTTTGCTTTAACTAAAATGGCTAAATTCGGTACAGTCATATCATGTGGATCTATATCAACTTATAATTCCTCAACTCCACCATCAATAACAAATTGGGGAGAAATTACAGTCAATTCATTATCTGTTAATGGATTTATTGTATTTGATTATTTTGCAAAATTTCAAGAAGGTGTACAAATCTTATCTAATGCGGTAAAAGAAGGTAAAATCAAAGTAACTAATGCTTATCATGTCGATAGCTTAGAAGGTAATGATGAAATTGCTAAATTTGAACAAATTCCTAAGATTTGGACTCAATTGTTTAATGATAATAAACCTAATGGTAAATTGATTACTAAAGTTGCTTAAATAAATATATATAGCTTTTAATACTGTGTGTTTAAATAATAAATAAATCTTGTTGCAAAATACATTAAAAACGCGCAAATCGTAAACTTTTTTGAAACAAATATTTCGAACAATATCTATATGAATCAATGGCCACTCTATAACCTCAATGAATTATCTAAGGATAATATAGACGATCATATCTTTGAACTATACTCAGAAAACACACCGCCAAACAACCTAGGTTTTATAGATAAATCCAGAAACAATCTATTAGTTACATTACCTCAGTCACAAATGGATCTAAATATAAATCAATCAATATCACAATTATCTTCCAAAACTTCGAAAAATAGTACAACGGGGTTTATATGCTGGCAAGTATCTGTATTGTTTGCTGATTGGCTCTTGTCAAAAGGTTGTCCCTTTAGGCTCAATAAAGAATTGGTGGTTTTGGAGTTAGGTTCAGGAATTGGTGGAGTCTGTGCATCTAGTTTACTGTCCAAAGTTGGTAATTTTATAGCTACTGACCAGAAACATATTTTGAAATTGCTCAAGGAGAACATTACGAGTAATTGTGAGTTTAGAAGTTCAACGATTGAAGTTTCAAATAAATCCTCTACGATTATTGACGTGATTGAATTTGATTGGGAGGAATTGGAGCAAGGAATGTATAACTATGGCAAAGTATCTGACACATTACCTAACCTAGTGATAGCTTGTGATACAATTTACAATGAGTATTTGATTACACCTTTCATTAATACTTTAAAAACTTTACTTGTTGGTGATGCAATTGCGTTGGTGGCTGTTCAATTGAGAGATGCTATAACTTTGGAAAATTTTGTCACTACTTTGGTTAATGATCAAGAGCTAAAAGCTTTTAATGTACCTAAACAATGTTTGAGTGATGAGTTGAGTGTTGGGTTTCAAGTTTATTGTATAAAGAAAGCTCTGTAGATTTATATACTAATTCCACTATATCCAATGTTAGTCATTTATTTCATGGATGTATTCTGTGAAAATTCTCTCTCCATTCTGACTCCACTGCGTAATACTTGTAAAATGAATTTATCTTTTCAAACTGAGTTGTTAATCAGAGAAATGAAAATGCATAAATAAATAAAAATATTAAACAAAATCTGACATACAAAAAACTAAATCAGATTTAAATCTAATTACTATCAACGAAATTTAACTAATTCATTCATTTAAATAAGTCTTTCATGAATCCACGTATGATCAAACTATAGCATATAAAACATCTTGTATATACATAGCAACTCAACAATATAATGTCCTCACCATTTGGAGGGTTTACATCATTCAATACGAGTACAAGTAATGGACAATCTGCATTTACATCTAACAATAACTCAGCATTTACTAATAATCAATCTACAGCATTTTCTAATAATCAATCTACATTTGCAAATGGATTCCTACCGAGTGGCAATTTAAATCAAAATTTAAATGAAAACAAAGAGACAATAACATCAAAAAGAACTCCATTCAAAAATCAATCTAAAAGATTTGGAAAAGCATATATACATTCTGATACTGAAATGAAAAGTTCATCTCCTACTCCAACACCATCATCTAGTAATAGCAGTAATGGAAATCAATCACAACTTAATCAACTACAAGTTTTCAAACCGAAAGATGTTGAAATTACAGGTCCATTATTTTCCAATCCTCAAGCATTTGGATTCAAGAAACAAAACAAAAATGTTCAACCAAGACCAATTCCAAAATATTATCTAACTCAACCAAAATATTTAGTTACAAAACCATTTATACAGAATGAATGGGATAGACAAAATCAAATCAAAATGACTCAAATGGAAACGAACAATCAAGGAAAAGATTATCAAGGACTTTATGAAGATTTTCAAAAATTGAGAGAAATTGAAAGAAAAGAAATGGAGACTTTGGGTTTAGTTGATGCTGAAAATACAGCGAAAAATTTAAATGAAGCAATCGCATTTCAAGGTTCATGTTTAGATATGTGTCCAGTATTTGAAAGAGTTAGAAGACAATTAGAAAACAATGTTAAAAACTTAGAAAAAGATCCACAAACTAATAAAATATCAGTATCAAGAGCTGTAAAAGCATTTTCAAGACCTGCTGCAGGTCAACCACCACCATTACCATCAGAAGTTAGACCACCACATGTTTTAAAAACTACATTAGACTATTTAATAGATACAATAGTTGATAAATTACCAGAAGCTCATTCTTTTATTTGGGATAGAACAAGATCCATTCGACAAGATTTTACTTATCAAAATAGTTTTGGACCAGAAGCTGTTGATTGTAATGAACGAATTGTTAGAATACATTTATTATCTTTACATATAATGGCTGGTAGTGATTTAGAATATTCTCAACAACAAGAGTTAGAACAATTCAATAAGGCATTGCAAACTTTAATGGAAATTTATCAAGATGTAAGAAATAATGGAGGTACATCACCAAACGAAGCAGAATTTAGAGCATATCATTTATTAAGTCACATAAGAGACCCGGAATTAGAAAGACAAATTCAAAATTTACCACCTTCTGTTTTCAATGATTCCAAAATTCAATTAGCATTAAAATTAAGAAAAATAGTATCACAAAATAATTTGGTGGGGAGAGGTTTACATAATCTTATTGGTGCATTAGATTTATATGTTGAATTTTTTAAAGTTGTATATAGTGAAGAAACTCCATTGTTAATGGCATGTTTATTAGAAACTCAATTTAGTGAAATTAGATTTTACGCCTTAAAGGCGATGTCAAGAGCATTTCATACAAAAGGTAAATCATATTTTGTCTCAAATTTGGCAAACGTCTTGGGATTTGATTCAGAGACAAAATTAATTGATTTTTTACAATATTATGAAATTGACATTATCAACACAAATGGAGAATTGTTGGTTGATTTATTTAATAAGGATAAATTGGAATCTCAATATAAATTGAACTCGTTTACTGATAAACCAAGACCTTCTCCTGTTTATTCAACTCAATTAAATTCAAAGATTAAAGGACGAAGTTTGAAGTATTTCATAAATAGTGGGTTACCAAATTCGGGGTTTAACTTAAAGAATGATGATAGTGTGTTGATTTCAAATCAAAAATTACCAGAAATACCCAAGATCCAGTCTTTACCATCATCTACATTTGCAATTTCCAACAACAACAACGGTGTACAATCTAATGAAATCAAAATACCCTCATTTGAACCACCAGTACAACGGCAAGCACAAGCACTACCAGTTCAACAACAACAAAAGCAATCATTTTCATTTGAATCGGCACCTCAAAATCCATTTGGTCAACCCCCAACTAAGTCGACATCAATTGAAACACAACCTCAGCCAACAGCAACGCCTTTTCAATTTGACTCATCAAATAAAACTACCACTTTTCCGTCTACTGCAAACAAAAGTCCAGAACCTGAAATAGACAATCCTCAAACAAAGCCAAAAATTGATTTTTCATTTAATAAACCTTCATCTATCCCAACAACAAATTTATTTTCAACTAAAAAAGTAACTTTTGACTCAACTCCAGAAATTAAAGAAATCCCAAACAGAATTGATTTACTCAATAACGAACAACAAGCAACAGCATTACTGGTAAAACCTATTTCTTCACCAATACCGCAACAGAAGAAATTAATTGAAAATCCAAAGTTCCCTAATGCTGCTCAAATTGTTATTGAATGCATGCTTAAGAATGTCATTGATGAAGAGTTAAAAGAATTTTTACCAAGAATTATACATGATCACAACATACAAGTTAGAAGAAATAACGTTATCAAGTCATTGACTTCACAAATTTTTTCGGCTTTTGTTGCTGAAATAAGTTATGAATCAACATTGGAGTTGAAAGCAGTCCATGTATACAATTCATCAACCAAGAAAAGATCAATGCGTAGTTTAGTGAAAAAAGCAATACAATGTAGAACAACCTACCAAGCAAGGACAAAGAAAAGAAATGAATTACAATCAGTGTCATTTATGCAGTCATCATTGAAAAGAGCATTAAGTAAAGATGATTCAAGAGATAACTCATCAAGAAAAAAACATAGAGGATCAATTGAAAATTTAGATATTGGCAAAAAACAATTAGAACTTAGAAAATTTTGGGAACCATTACATTTGCAAGACTTTGTTAATACTTGTGCATCTAATTTAAAATTAAAAATCAACGATTTAAATTTAAATTTGAAATGGTTATTAGTGGTTGAAAATTGGGATACTGATTATTCGAGATGGCTTAAATCAAAATTTAATTTGAAATCAAACATGAAATTAATGGTTTATGAACAAGATATGGAGAATGACAAAATTAATTTAGATCTTACAAGTTTACCATCAAATGATAAATTAAATAAAGGATTTTTCAGTAAATGTTCGTTTATATTATTAGAATGTGGATTATGTTCTAACTCTGATTTATCAATCAACCAAAAGTTATCAACTGATGCAAAAATTTTGAGAAAAATATTAACAATGATTGAGAAATATTCATTTTATAAAGCTCATATAATCATTTTGTTTTGGGATATTAATCAATCTGGATTATCAAGTCAAGAAGTCACTGACAAATTATTTTTACATCAATATGGGTCATTTAAGAATTTAAAGAATTTAATACTATGTGATATGACTGTGGCACAAGATCAACTTAATGAGGTGCTTAATTCTGCTGTTAATAAAATTGCAATTGACTTTGATGGGGAATTGACAAATAGAGGTTTGAGAAATGAAATTAGATTAAAGACCAAATTGAAAGTCGATGAAGAAACTGAAGCACGTCTGAAAAGACAAGAGGAATGGAATCACTCGAACAAACTAAATCAACTAGAACAAAAAATGATGAATCATGCAAAGACATTAAAAAAATATGATTATTTAACTACATCATATACTAAACCTAAACCACCAAAATTGAATAATACATCAACAACTTTCAACGCAAGTACCATGGCAAATAAATCATTAGCTAAAATAATAGCTTCTCGCGGAGGTGCAAGATCAAATTTAAGTTCTATAAGTTCATCAAATTCAACTTTCTTGAATTCTTCATCAATTATTTCAAATGGTTCTTTATTCAACGGATTTGGAAAAGGTGTTGTTGAAGAAAGTACACCAATAAATTCACCTGGTAGACCGTCATCTAGAGTATCTTCAATATCATCAATATCTCATTTGCACAATCATTTACAATCTCATGATAAACCTAAAATATCCAATGAAGATAAATTGAAAAGATTAAAAGAATTAGCTGCTGGCATCAAATCAAAATATCAACAATCTGGCTTATCCAAGGAAAATTAATATTTCTTAATAGATGATAATTTATACGTTGTAATAATAATAATTTTAATCATTTAAATTTAACTTGTAAAAATTTGGTCTTGTTTTCCATATATATCCCTAAAGCCGCATGTTGCTTTCTGTTTCAAGTAATTTCTAATTCTACTAAATTAATTATTAATTTTTCAATGACAAAAATTAAAGAGAGAACAACACAAGTTCAAATTTAACAAGATCATTTTAATAGATCAATCAATCAATTTAATCACTGATACTTTATACAGTTCAGTTAAATTTTTAAAGAGTTAATCAGATCAATTATTAAAGAATCAATTTACAACTTTCAAGTTAGACTTTGAAACAAAATTCAGACACCATTATACAACAAAAGTTAAATATTCATTGATAGAGATCGGATTTATTGGAAATAAGTAATTGAATAAAAATGGATTTATTAAAAGATGCTGCTAAAAACTTGAATCTTTACGAAGTAAAAGCTTATGTTCGTAAAGCTCAAAATGGTATGTTAATTTCAATTTGTGTACAGATCATGGCAAAGTCCGACGTCAAATACTAACTCTGCCATCTAGTTGCTATGAATTTAACTGAAATTGAATCAAAAGTACGTGAAGCTACAAATAATGAACCATGGGGAGCACCAAGTACATTGATGGCTCAAATTGCTTCAGCAACTTATAATTATAGAGAAAGAGAAGAAATTATAGCATTTATATTTCGTAGATTTACTGAAAAAGCAGCAAATGAATGGAGACAAGTTTATAAATCATTACAATTATTAGATTATTTAATTAAAAATGGTAGTGAAAGATTAATTGATGATGTTAGATCAAATTTATCATTAATTCAAATGTTAAAATCTTTTCATTATATAGATTCAAAAGGTAGAGATCAAGGTATTAATGTTAGAAATAAAGCTAAAAATTTAATTAATTTATTAAATGATGATACTCAAATTAGAAATGAACGTAAGAAAGCAAGAGCAAATCAAAAGAAGTTCGGTGGTGTTTCATCTGCTGCATTTGGTGGTGCCTCATCAATTGGAACTAGTTATGGAGGATCAAGTTCATTTAATGATGTTGATGATGATGAATTTTCAAATAGAGTTTATGGTGATGGTGGTGTATACGGTGAAAGATATGACGATCCTGCATCTGCTTATAACAATGGTTCAACTGGTACAGGAGGTGATCAATTTGAAGAATATGATGTTCAACCAACTACTAAAACTGCTGTATCAAAAGCCACAACTGGTCAAGCTTCAAGAATAAATGCTAAAGCTTCAAAATCAAAACCACAACCAAAGGAACCTGAAGGTGATTTATTAGGAGATTTATTAGGATTTGACGATACTCCTTCTTCAAGTAATAAACCAGCAACCACCAACAATGATGAAGACGATGATGATGATGATGATTTTGATGATTTCCAAGCAGCTCCAACACAAACCAATTCAAATAATTTATCAAATAATTTATCAAGTTTATATCATCCTCAACAACAACAACAGTCACAACCACAACAGCCACAATTCCAACAGTTCTCATCACAACAAAATATATTTGCATCATCAAACACAACAACAAACTCATCAAATATTGGATCAGGTTCTTTATCAACAGGACCAGCAAAATCTTCAAGTTCAAATGATGCATTTTCATCTTTATTCTCATCTGCAAAATCAAAATCATCAACTCCAAAACCTAAAACTTCAACAACTTCTAAACCATCAACTACCACAACCACAACCACTAAACCAACTGTGCAAGACGATGATTTTTTCAATGATTTCACCTCATCTTCGAATCAACAATCTAAACCTGCTACAAATGGGAATAGTAATAATAATAATAATGGTGAGATTGATTTATTGAGTTTTTAAATATTTAAGAAAAGATAGATTAGGAAATATTGTGTAAAAGTAAAAAATTTTATATAAAGTTATTTTTAATTGTTTTCTTGGAGTGTTTGAACTCTCAAATTCTTCACTCCGAATGTAAAAAATCTTGAATTCTTTACGAATCAATTCTGCTCCACTTTTCAAAGCATTCAAAGTGTGAGCTCCTTCCTCAAAATCTGGTGCATTAGCATGAAGAACATTGAGGGTATCGGAAAATGCAACGAAGAATTAAGCCCTGAAAAAAAAGTGACATGTCTGGACGCAATTTGGAAAACCCTCAAATTTTTTTGGAGGTAAATTTACAGACTTTCTAGCTATATTGAGAACTCTGAGTACCATCAAGAACCAATATGCAGCATGTATTCATCACTAAAGCTCATATTTGTATCAAAGTAAGTGCAGAAGCTTTGATAGTACATGTTAATTAATTTTACAACAATAATATTGTTGAGAGCTGTAAACTCCCCTATTTGAGGATTTTCAGGGTACGTTATAATAGATAATATCTGTGGTTCAGTTCGTTTTTAATTAATGCAACTCCAGTTGCTCTGGCGTGCTCATCCGTCATTCTTGTTAATGCCAATTTTTATTGTTGATTATAATTAATTATCTTATTCAATTGATCTCCAAAACATCTGTAGCAGCAAATTCAATCAATGTTCGTGTACAATCATCAATTATAATTCTAAGTAGTTATTATTGGTAAATTGGATTAATGTAACAGTTGTGCTTGTTAGCTTGTTTTTAGTTTGGTTTCTAATATGTAACATGTACAAAACCATTCATCATTTAGTTATATGATAGGATCACTTGAAACATATTTGATTTTTTCATGTCATAAGCTTTAAGTTGTAACTTCCAAACATTGTTTGTCTAGGGTAGTTTTGGCCCGTTTGTCAATTAAAGTGACTATTTTCATAAAATAGTGCTAGTGTGAAGTCATATTGGGGCTAGTTACTGTCGAATTTGTTGCACTTGTCCTGCTTCTTTCAGCTGCACTGAAACTTCACTATAGAATTGAATCTAAAATGGTAGTAAGGAATGTTTTAAATCGAAAGTTGAGTCAACATTAAATGCCCATTTTTATCAGGTAACCTGCCCACTCACAGTTATGTATCTCAAGTATCATAGTCAAAAAGGGTTGTTAGTCATTTTATCACAGTCCAATCAGTTAGTTAAGTTTGTCTTCAAAGGTTGTTTTTTAAGCTTTTTAAAATTATCCATTGTCCATTGGGTTGGGAAAACATCTCAGGTAGTCAAATCAGGTAACCCCCATACTCAAGTCAGTGAAATGTCTCACAAATATTTTTCATTCAATAATGAAACTAGAATTTTGAAGTTAATAAATATATAAATAAATAATTCTACACTTGTATGGATAAAAGTAGGTCCTTGTGATCAATTGATAAAGAAAAGGTAGTAAAAATAATAAAAAAGAAAACTCGATTTGTACTTATCTAAATAGCAAAATATTTGTTATGCTAATCTAAATCCAATTTAGGAAATCAGATTAAAATCTTGAATTTTCTCTACACAACTACAAAGCCTAATTCTGTGCCCCATAAGAAAGTGAAATTAATTCGTATGAGATTTTCCTTTCTTGTTCATACTCAGAATCTAGTCACTTGATGTTTTAATTTACTTGAATGCTCAACTTTGCACTTTATTTGAAACCATTACAGCCGTTTTTTAACCGAGAATTCGGGGCTACCAAATTGTGTTTCATCAATTTTGTGTCTTATGTCAGGTAAATTAAAGAACTGACATAAAGTTGAGTTCTGTACGCACTTAGCAAAACTAATGCGCACAAATGGGAAACTCTTTTTTAATAATCATTCAACTTGCAAATTGAAAAGGTCTTATTGCAACCTATGCTCTAGGTCCATTCAAAAGTATTTAGTCAAATAGATGTTACTTACATTCAGGCTAGGAAGTCCACGCAAATTGGCTTTACAATTTTCCAACATATAAAATAGTATTCAAAGTGGTGTTGTTGAATGGATCGGGTAAAAGATGTGCTCAAAAACTTCTATGTGTATCAATTGAGCTTTAGAGACTCGCACAATCAATACAACAAAAAGTATTCCGCATATGTATTGGTAATCTTGTGTCTCAAATATCGCTGACAATATTAATTCTTCAAAATTCTATCATACATTTATTTTACTACTGCGAGAAAAAGTATCGGAATTTTTCATTATTGTAATTTAACTTTTTATACTCCTATCAATAGATTCTAATATATCAAAGCAATGTTTAAAACATCAATTAGATATTTTTCAGCAACTAGAAAAGCATTAGGTACAAAGGTATATTTCAAAACTTCAATAAATGGAGAAATTCAACCAGCTATTAAATTTGAATTATATGATGATGTAGTTCCAAAAACTGCTGAAAATTTCAAAGCTTTATGTACTGGTGAAAAGGGATTTGGATATGCTGGATCAATATTCCATAGAGTTATTCCAAATTTTATGTTACAAGGTGGTGATTTTACCAATTTTAATGGTACGGGTGGTAAATCTGTATGTTGAATAATTTGTGCATTCTCAAGTAGGGATCAATAAATCAAGTTTACTAACTAATAGTTTTTAGATCTACGGAACCAAATTTGCTGACGAAAATTTCACTAAAAAACATGATAGACCAGGTTTGTTATCAATGGCAAATGCTGGACCAAATACTAATGGTTCACAATTTTTTATCACCACAGTCTCAACCCCATGGTTAGATGGAGCTCATGTTGTTTTTGGTGAAGTTACTGATGGATATGACACTGTTCAAAAGATTGAAAGCTATGGTTCACAATCAGGTAGAACTACTGCTAAGATTGTAATTGAAGAATCAGGAGTCTCGGAAGAATAAGTATTTTAGGAAGGTAAATATAGAGGTGATTGCAAAAAAAACAAATATATAAATAATTTACAATCATATATTATTATACAATGTGTTAATTGTACAACTATATACTTGGTCCTTCGATTAATTCAACAATTTCTGCAGGTTTTTTCTTCTTCAATTGAGATAATTTATCATAATCACCGGCTAAAATTCTTGAAATGACTATATCATCTCTATCTTGAATTTCTCTTTCAGATTTATTTTCATTAGACAAGAACTCAATAGCTTTAGCAGTATCACCATGGAAGTATTCTTCCATTGCTCTTAATCTTAATTCTTTTTCAGCCCACATTGGACCATCAGTTTCACTTGCTTTTATTTGTGAAGTATATTTAACATATAACACATATGCGAAAATTGGTAATACTATATAAAAATATGGGATTTCCCAACCTTCTTGTTTTGGAGTTTCTCTTATAATTTTCCATTGTAATGTTCCTGTTTTATCATCCTTGTATGGAATTTTATCTATTATTTTCCCAGCATCTTTAGTGACAAATTGGAAATATTTTAAATCATTTGAATTATCTTCAAATAATTTTAATGCGTCTTTTGATACAGTTGGTAATATATAATTCCATTCTGAATGATTTCTCTTGTAGTACATATTCTGTAAATCTGCTATTGTTTTGAACTCAGAATCGGTTGGAACTCTTGGTGTACCATCTGGATTTGTATATGTTTTCGTTACTGATGGTAATGAATCTAATTTTGAACGTATATCTTGTTCTAATTGCAAACTAAATTTTCCTGGTTTGAATTTAAGGAATGATGTTATTGGAAATTTAAATGCGAACTTCATTGTGATTAAGTATATATGCTGATGTTAGTGAGTGTATAGATAATTAAAAAAGTAAGATTGAGTAATTTGGCAGTGAATTTAGGATAATTGGTGTTTTATTAATTGATGATGATGGTGATGTTTTAAACGATTCGTACTTGGTTTACTTTTCGTTTAAATTTTATTGGTTTAAATTTTTCATAATAAATTTTTTGTTACTAAAATAATTTGTAATTATATGCACTACCATGATTGATTACTACAAATACTAGAAATCAGTGTTTCAAGTATAGATTTGCATGGAAGAGTAGATTATAGAGTTCAGATCATCTCAAGCTCAAGCTCATTACTCAGTATGTCATTAATCATCAGTATTAATATTTAATTTTATTTACAATTTTATTTGGCTTTTGTAGAACCGAATGTTGCAAACCCCATCATTTCATTCATATCATTATCATGTACAGCCAATCCATTCTTGATTCCTTCGTCTTCTTCCTCTTGTAGTCTTTGCTTCTTTCGCTGCTTTTGCAATTGTCTCTTGTTCAGCCTTTTTGCCCTTTTTTGATCTTCAAATTGTTTTCGTCTTTCAATTCTTTCACTAAACGTCAAACCATTACTAACTTCATTATCATTATCTTGTTGATTTTTTTCATTTATACGTTGTTTTATTAGTTTTTCCATAGTTGAAATAACATCAGCAACACTTGCCCTTCGTATACCACCATCTAATATTTCACCTAATTCTTCACCCTCTTTACCTTCCTTGTGGTTTAATTGTATGACTTTATTTACATGTTGAGGAGAATTCAAATGGTCTATAAGCGCCAAATTATCACGAAATGATAAATCACATATGGGGCAAAAGAATCCAAATCTTTTGTTAGAACCAAATGATGATGAATTGTTTTGATCTGGGTTTATTAAGTTGAACGATTTAACAGCACTTAATGAGGTGTTTAATAAGTTGTCCCTATGTTTTAAGTAAGCTTGTGATGTGTCATTGTTCTTTAGATCTAGTAAATGTGATTGTTCTTGATCTTTTTGATTATTCTTTTTGTTTTTCTTATCTTTTGCTTCTTTTGCATATATTTCTAAGTTCCATTTCTTTCTACCATATTGATCAACCGTTATCTTTTGTTCTTCAGACATGATATAACCAATTTATAATAGTTCGGTGCCTTTGATGTTAGCATATTTGATAAAAGCAAATAGATGTAAGTTTAGACATTACCACTTTAATTATAAATTTGCGGTGCGTGTTTTAACAATTTCATCAATATCTACAAACAACATTCAAATAATATCTAGAACTACTATGAAGAAAAATGATACAACATCGATGATAAGTAAACCAAAGTTAGATGGATCAAAAGATTTTAAAATAGCAAGTACGTCAGTTTCCCCAAAAGTTTTAACAGAAAAAATCAATGAAGACATTACAAAATCAAATTTTAAAAATAGATGGGAAACATTTGGTACTCACCTAATACGAAATATACCACCAAAGTCAAGAATAAAGGATGGAAAAGTGAAAATAGCAGCATTTGATCTAGATAGTACCCTAATTGAATCAAAATCAGGTAATAAGTTTTCAAGAGGTCCATCAGATTGGAAATGGTGGGGAAATCATAAAACCAAAATACCTCAAAAATTAAAACAATTGCATAATGATAATTACATTATAGTAATCTTCACAAATCAAGGTGCTGTAGTAGTGAATAATAATAGTAAATCATACAACAACTTAAAAGAGAAAATAAACTTAATTCAAAATGATCTAATAACAAATTATCAAATTGATGAAATTCACGTATTTGCATCACCTAAAAAACCCGTAAAGGGAATAACATCAACTGATGAACAGCATCAGAAGTCAAGAAAACCAGAGATTGGAATGTGGGAAAACCTAGAGACAGAATTAAACAAAAACAATCAAACAATTGATTACCCCAATAGTTTTTATGTTGGTGATGCTGCTGGTAGAAAAAACGATTTTCTGGATAGTGATTTAAAATTTGCAGAAAATGCGAAATTAAGGTTTATGACTCCTGAAGAGATGTTCCTTTATGATGATGAAGATGGCTCAAAAAATAAAGAGGAATAGCATTAGTGAATATTTGAAAATAGGTAATAGACTGTTTTTGATAAGAGGTAATTTGGGGTAGAAATAATACCAAAAATATTATATTTAGTGAATAACTAAATTTCTATATAAATATCTAGATTTTGAGCTAATTCACATCTAATAAAGCATAAACCCATAAAGTGATAAATTTAGAAATAAAATCATTAGCAAATTCATCACCATTTTTAATATTTAAATTGAAAACAATCAACATATTTAAACAAATATCATTTTTAAATTTTTTAAACTTTGATCTTTTCAATTGATCTTTTAATTTCACAACTAAATTTAAGATTTCATAATCACAATATAAAGTAAAACAGAAACATTCAACCAAGATGGGATCATATGGACAACCAACAATAAAATTTGAACTTTCTTGTAATATAAGCTTGATAATTTCAAATCCAAACATCGGGGAATTATACCAAATTTTGGATATTTCTATAATTTCATTAATTAATCTATTCAACGATTTATATAATTTTAATTTGAACTTGTTTGTAAATGCAATAAATTCTAAAGTTACAATATCTTCATTTTGATGTAAAAACAGTTGAGTTGTTTTAGAACTATTATAAATTTCCATAGACAAAAAATTTAACCTTGTTTTTAAATTGTAGTTTAATTTTGGTAATCTTTTTTGATAATTATTTGGTAATGGTAAAGTTGGAATTTTAAAATCTTGAATCTCTTTTAATTGATCATCCTTGGTTTTATTGTCTGATTGAACTTTGTCAAAGTCTATTATCTTGTTGTTTAAAAAAATGATTGATTTTATTTTGTATAACCAACCTGGATTATTGCTTGAAGTTGGGTCATCTTTTTTAACTGGACTTTTACTCATTTATGATTAGGATAATGGTGGTGAGATATAGCTGAAGAAATCATTTGTTTAACGTGCTCTTTGACGGCAAACTCACTCATTTTTATATTTACTGACGATTGGTTGTTTTATAAATGTTTCATCTTTAATTGCTGGTTTGTAGTTAATTCCTTTAAAAATAAAAAATTGGTTGTAAATTAATAAATTGTACACAATATGTAAATGAATATTTAATTTGGTTGCAAAAAAGATTTACAACTCAAAATTTTTCACTTATCTTTGACAGAACAACCAATCTATCAGCTCAAATTGACTAACTAAAAGGTTTAGACTATAAAACAATTATGGATCTTACTATTGTTGTTGTTTTGATTGGTTTAATTTTAATCTGTTATATATCAATTTTTAGAATGTTTGCTTACTTCAGATTGTTATAGAGACTAAGTTTTGTTTGAGGGTGTAATCAAAACCTTTCTTACCTAATTAGGGTAAATTGATTTTAAAGAAGTCTTAATATGAAGTGGCAATTATCTCATACTTTACAATTAGCTTGCATTAAGAATTGGTGATCCAGAATAAGTTTTTGAAAACACAATCAATACAAAAGAATTCTCAGGTCAAGAGAGAATCAGAATTAAGTGATTAAGTATTAATTGATATTTGATATTTGAGTAAGATCCAATCTAATCAAATCTAAAGGATCTAGCTCATAAGATCTACAATGAATTGTTTCAGATATAAAAAGTTAAGCGCGTATTTCCAAATTAGTCAATCGATTGAATCATTGAAATATAATATAGTAAAAAATATACCCCATTTTTCAAAATATTTATTCCTCAAAATCTTTCAAAAGATCAAATTGCTTCACTTTTCTCGAGAATTAATATAATTTATCGTCTTGGTCGGTATCAAAATCACTACAACTCGATTATTGGTCCCAAAATTTTTCAAAAGACTGTGGCTTAAGTCCTAGAAATTTATTTTTAACTTTTTTTTTCAATTCTTATCAAAAATTACTAAAATCAGATAATTTTCAATTTTCAACAACCAACCTATACACGTTATATGTTGAGAAGTATTATTACCAATAACTCAACAATAAGAAGATATTCAATTGGTTTAGCGAGTAAAAAAATGTCAACAACAACTACAACAACAAAACAAGATCCAGCATCATTACATAATCCATATTTTTTCCAAAAACCAGGTCAAAAAGATATATGGTCATTAATTAATGAAACAGCAGCTCAAGCTCAAGAAGAAGATCCAACAAATAAAATAATAAATTTAGGTCAGGGTTTTTTTTCATATAATCCACCAGAATTTGCCATTGATGCGGTAAATGATGCTTTGATAAAACCTCAATTTAATCAATACGCTCATGCAAGAGGTAATCCTAACTTGTTAAAACAAATAGCGGCTCATTATTCAAAAGCATATGGAAGAGAAGTACCTATTGAAGAGGTTCAAATCACAACGGGAGCAAATGAAGGTATGTTTGCTATATTTTTTGGATATTTAACTCCTGGTGATGAAGTTATTGTATTCGAGCCATTTTTTGATCAATATATTCCAAACATTGAAATGACTGGTGCTAAAATTAGATATGTTGAGATAAAGTACCCTGAAAAATTAAATAGTCAAAATGTTAGTGGTGATGATTGGGAAATTGATTGGGAAACTTTAGAAAAATCAATCAATAGTAAAACAAAAATGATTGTAATAAACACTCCTCATAATCCAATTGGAAAAATATTTACAAAAGAAGAATTACATAGAATTGGAGAATTAGTTATAAAAAACAATTTACTTTTGGTGAGTGATGAAGTTTATGAGAATTTATACTATACCCCAGATTTCCCTAGACCTGCAACCTTAGAATCCTTACCTGAATTAAGAGAAAGAACATTTACCGTTGGATCAGCTGGGAAATCATTTGCTGCTACGGGATGGAGAATAGGGTATATTCAAGGACCAGCACCATTAATCAAATACGTAACTGCTGCTCATACAAGAATTTGTTTCTCAACACCTGCACCATTACAACAAGCTGTATCACAAGCATTTTCACAAGTAGAAGAATTAAACTATTTTGAAAAAGTTAGATCTGATTATGTTAAGAAGTATAAGATTTTCACTGAAGTGTTTGATGAATTAGGTTTACCTTATACAAAAGCGCAAGGTGGATACTTTTTACTTGTGAATTTATCAAAATTGAAAATTCCAAAAGATTATAAATTCCCTCAATCAATTTTAGATAGAAAAACATTAGATTTCAAATTAGCATATTGGTTAATTAAAGAGATAGGGGTTGTGGGAATTCCACCAACTGAATTTTTAATTGAGTCAAATAGAGTAGGTAATGGAGTGGAGAATTGTATTAGATTTGCTGTTTGTAAAGATGATCTGATTTTAAAAGAAGCTGTTGAGAAATTAAAATTGTTGAAAAATTATTTATAGACTAATTTATTAAATTATGAATATACAAGATTATAGATTCTAGGATAATTGTTCTATTTTATGATCTTTTGAAACTTCTTATAGCAAAATTTCATTTCTCCAAAATCATCATAACCATCTTCAATTTCCGTTTCAATTTTTTTAAAATTGTAAGAATTGAATAACTCCCATAATTCTTTCCTTTCGTTCTCAAAATTAGGTCTTAATGGTAACTCAATCAACACAAAACTGTTCATAGAATTCAGTGAATAAGAATTGATAGTATTAACCAACCATTTAGGATGTGAAGATGAATAAATTGGATCACTTATTACAATACATTCAAATTTTTTGTATGACAATGGCGAAGACTCGGGTTTTGACCAATCCAATGCAAAACACTCTTGTTTTAACTCATTTAGTTCTAAATTAGTCTTTAAATTTGGTAAAATTTCAGGTAAGTCCGTGAAATAAACATTATAACCCAATAAAGCTAAAGTTATACCAACTAATCCAGTACCTGAACCTAACTCCAAAACAGGAACTTCTTTACCCAACTCAAACTTGTTGATTAATCGTTGACTTAAAATTAACGAACTACCCCAAGTTTTTAATCCCAAATTATCATTAGTCATAGATGGTTCCTTTAGTTTTATAAATGATCTCCCAGTTTTTGTGTCAAGGTTTGGGAAAGTTATCTTTCTAATAATTTCAGGTTGAGCCATTCGTCCACAATTTTCACTTATTCTTAAACTTGTTAAGTTATGAATAATTTCTCTTTGGTTGTTGGAAAGCCATGGTAGTTCGTTTGAAATTATTCGCGTTAAATAGGCGTTGTAGTCATTGTATTGAAGTTTTAGTGATGTTGATAATTTTGGTAAGTACATAAGTTTCGTGGTTTTGTTAAAACGAGGACAGTGTTGTTCTAGCCAAACTAGTGATAATTGTAGTTCTTCGTAAAGAATGTTTTTTGAAACTAGTATATCTTCTTCATTTACTATAGTGTCTTCATTATTTTGAGAAAAGTTGAGTTTTTCATCTGGTGATAGTAGTTTTAGTATTACTGATAATGTTTCATAAGTTGGTTTTAATTTTAGGAGTGGTAGGTCTAGAATATGTAATGGTTGTAAATGATCATCTTCATCTTCTATTGATTCTTCATCTAGGACTTCTTCGTTTTCTTGTATTTCTACCCTGGAAATTAATTTGTCGTCTTTTGCTGTCTCTAACTCCTCTATCTCATGTTCTATTTTCGGTGACGAAATGAATGACAATGGATCGAAGTCCATAACTATTTTTAAGAAAGGTATTCTGTACATTAAAGTGAAAAAATTGAAGTGCATATAGATATCAAATATACTAATAATATGCAGGAGATAAGAGATTTAATATTACCCTACAATTTTAGAAGATGATCAAAATATTTCGTTAGTGAATATATTACAGCGAGAGTCAATATATTGTTAAGCTCTTGAAAGTGTATATCAACCTATATAAATCCAACATTAACTAAAAACCGCATCAAAGTAGTTAATTCAAAAATCAATAGTACGACCATTAAAAGTCCACTCATCACTCCTCTTTAAAGGATCTTGCTTTGGACCACCACGTTCACCAGTTTTAGGGTTAACATCACCTTCAAATTCTGGAATAGTCTTGAGATAAGCAAAAGATCCAATATCTGAATTTTCTTGTACAACAGGTGGTTTATTGTCTGTTATATCTTGCATATTTTGTTGTTCTTGTGCTAACCGATCATTATAATCTTCTATTGCTATTTGTGACATCGCTATGTTTTGTAAACGTTCGAATTCTTCTTGATCTTTACGGGGAAGTTTTGGTGGGCCTTGATATTTTTCATTGAATTTTGAATATAATCTTGTTATTGAAGTGTTGAGAAGACGGATTGTTATTGTATGGTTTGGTTGTCTTATGAGTGAGTTTCTTATTTGAAGTATTGAGCGCATTCTATTTGTGTGTAAGTAGATGTATGTTATATTTTGATTGATTAAATTTGGTTGTTGTAATGAAATAATTGTTGCTTTAAATATCATGTAATTTTTTTTTCTGAAACTTCTTTAAATATCCGTACGGAATTTCTTGCAACCAAATTTTAGTTTTACTCGTACAAAATTTTAAAGATGTTCCTCTTCAACAAATGCATTAACGGCTGATAATGCTCCAGTTATACAATACTTAATTTTCAAAATTAAAATCAATTATATTAATGTTAATATAAAAATCTATAAAATCGCCCTAAAAATAAAAAGAATGATATTGGTTAAGTCTGTGTCTGTAATATTAAAAATAATGATAAATAATAAAGTCCTAGGGATATTATGCCCATTTACCTAATAATGCCATTAATCCAGCACCCCAACACATTATAAAATAAGCAATCAACATTTTTTTAAACCCATCTTTACCTTTAAATTCTCCACTATATAAGAATTCATGAGCCATTAATTCAACAATACCAGTATATACTAATATACCTGCAGATATAGAATCAAATACACCATTAGTAATTAAAGATTTTCTTGATCCTGGAGGATAAGAATGTCTAACTCCTAAACCTATAGCAATAGCAATTGGAGTACATAAAGTATAAGCAAAAGCTAATAACCATGGAGTCCATCTATAACCTGTCCAATCTGTACTTGCTATTCTTGTACCTAAACCTAAACCTTCAAACATTTGATGAAATACTAAAACAATATAAAGTGATTTAAATTCATCTCCTGCGACAGCTAATGCTAAACCAATAAATATTGAATGGAATATAACTCCAAATTCTAAAACAAATACATTTAATAATTGTCCATAATATTGTTCTTTATTCTTATCATTTACTGGTGTTCCAATTAATTCATGATCTTGATGTTCTAATGCATGTTGAAAATGTGATGGGTATGGATTATTTTCTTTTGAAGTTGTTAATTTTTGTTTAGATTCTTCTAATTCTTCTTCATCATCATCTAAATCATGTTCATTTTCAACTTCATCCTTTTTAATATCCTTTTTAACATACATTGATTCATCACCAAAATGTGAATGTGAATGACCACCACCACCACCACCTAATTCAAAATCTTCATTATTACCATTAAATTTTGCAATTTTTCTATCAATATATTGATAAGCAACTAATTCAAAAAAGAATAAAATCATTAAAGTCATTAAACATATACCAAAAGCCCAAGGATAATCAGTTATTGGACCAGTTAAACAAGGATCACTTAATGCATCAGAAGCAGGTTCTAATAAATGAATAAATGCAGTAGCTACAATAACTCCTGAACCAAAATATTTAGCACCAAAAAAACACCAACTTGGTAATCTTATAAATGAATATTTTGAAGATAATAAAGGAAATAAAGTACCAAATGCTGAAGTTGCCATAATTACAAATATGGAAGAAATTCTTGCACCAAATAATTGACCATCATATTCATTATCAGTTGGACATTCATCTCTTTTATTTAGATATTCAAATAGATCTGTTATTTGTTGATTCATTTTGTAGTATGTAGTTGTGACGTGATATAAAGATTTTATAATAGATTAGATTTGTGATGTGATAGAATGTTAAAAATCTTGTGATTGTAAACTGGAAAATATGTCAAAATCTTGATTTAAAATTGAAGGAGATTTGGAATTATATTTATAATATTGACTAAGTATAGTTGGTATAATAAATTATATTAATTATGTAATGTAATGATTAAATCTAAAAAAATTGAAAAAAAAATGAAAAATTATTTAAATCGATAACCACTTTAATTTTTTGCAAAAAAATTTTAGTTAAAGTGAAAATTTAGTAACTTGATTTTGATATTAACAATTGAAATCTAATAGAATACTAAAGTAATGATTGAAAAGGGAATGATATATAAGTTTAAAAAGATATTAGCTTCAAAATTTAGTTTAAGTTTTAAAAAAAATTGAAAATTTAAAAGTAACCATAAAATTTTGAAAATTAATTAATCATCATTAAAAACAATTAAAACACAAAGAAACAAATTGAACTAAAGAGTAAAAGATTTAAAAGATTTAGAGTTAAAGTAATTTAAGTTATGGTTTAAATAGTATTATAGTAATTTGTTGTTCCATAACTTTAATTATTAGTTTTGCCATTTACTTACAACTTTTAAAGTATTTGCTTTAATTTTAATATCCCACTAAAATGTATTGGTGTTGATGCCGTTTCTTTTTTTAGTATCAACAACGTTTTAAATTTTTTTTAGTTTAAGTTAACCATTAAGGTTGCAAAAAAAATTTACTTAATTTACTGTATATAAAAACAATTTTTAAAATTAGGTGTGATAGACCAATTTGTTCCTAACCATTTTATTAACTAAGAGCATTTGTATTAAACATTAACTGCTTCATCAGCTTCATCTTTTAAACCCTAAGCCAAATAAATTTATTTAATCAGCTTACTAGTATTAAATTTATTTGTATTTATTTTAATACAAAGTAGATGAGCCTTTGTTCAAGCCATTTTTATGAGAGAATATAAGCTATATCCTTAATTAGATTTAAACAAAAAAAAAACAATAAATAAATTTTGATCCTTAATGAGATTTAATGTTTCAATAAGACTGAACATGGAAATATTAAAACAATCGTAAGGCTTTTCTATATATGGAACTTCAGTATTCAAATTTCATCTACAACTTTCACAAAAATAGTTAAGGGTCTCACGATATTAAAATGTAGCAAGAAATCTTTGATGACTAAATATTTTTTTCTTGAACGATCCTTTTGTAAATCTTAAGTTTGACACATTTTTTAATGGTAACATTTGTTTTTGAAAAAAGTGGAGTAATGAAGTAAATTGACCACATTCAATTGAGACAGTTACAAGTGGATTTTTTCCTTTTCTTTTTGCCGTACATATTCTGGCTTAATTTTGAATCTACTGTTGTGGTTACGAAAGGATTTTAGACTTTGCATTATTATTAAAACCTGAACAAGGTATATTAAAAAAAAGTTTCCATAATCTTCAATTCGTCTAATTATGGTTTGTAAACCAATTATTTAGGGTTTGTGGAAAGTTGAGCCTGAAACCAGTAAATACTGACTTCTTTTAAAAGCTTAATGATTTGATGCTTGAACGGTTTCTATTAATAGATCTATACATTTATCAGGATATATTTTCAGAATTTACTCCATATTTTCCAACCAACAGCAGCATATTTAGCCCAAATCCAACTTAAAACACTAGCAAAACTAAGTAACCCTTCGAAAATAACAAAATTTCTATAATTTTGTTGAGTCTCCTTATTTATAACTAAAGTAGCTAAATACATTCCTAATATAGTTAAAAATCCTAAAAAGAAATATAAAGTACCATATATTTTACCAAATGTTTCACTTGAACAAATTTGTCCTACACATGCAGGAATTAATGATAATACTGCTGATGTTGATATTCCAAAAAATACGCTAAATACATAAAGTAATTTTACATTTTTTGCAGGTAACCATAATGCAAAAATGTTTATTGTTGTGAATAAAGATGTGATTATCATCATGTTGAATCTACCGTATTTATCAGCTATTATTCCTGATAATAATCTTGATGGGATACCACATATGTTAACAATGGTTAATATTAAATAAGCGGAAGTGTTATTGACATTAAATGCTAATGCATAAGAACCCAAATAAGTTAATGTTGTCATTGATACAACTTCTGATAAAAATACAGCCATTGTTAATGAAACAAATTTCATATCTTTTAAAACACTTAAATCTAATGCTTCTTTGAAAAAATGATTAATTTTAGATTTTATAGATAAATTAGTTTTAGTAGATTCTTGATTTTGTAATTCCACTTCATTTTGACCATCAGGAATTGTAACTTCTTCTTCAATGATTTCAAAATTAATACTAGTAGTAGAAGGTAAATTTTGTTTATCTTCAGGTTTTCTTTCCCTTACTAAAAAAATCGAACATGACATACAAAAAAAGCAAATACAACTTAATACTCTCATTGCATTTTTAAATCCAATTTTATCATATAATTGTTGTAACATTATTGCAAATACTGATGCCCCAACTAATCCACCAATAGTAGCTATAGAACAAGCCATTGCTCTTTTACGTAAGTACCAATGACTTAATGCTCCAATAAGTGGTGACATTGCAATTGAACAACCTAATGCAGTTAAAATTGAAAAACTTAATACAAATTGATATAATTTCTCACATTGTGCAGTCAACAATATACCTACACAAATCATTAACGTTCCTGCTATAAGTGGTCTTTTAGCACCAAATGAATCAAATAAATGACCAAAAAATACATTAAATAAATACATTACTCCCAAATACAAGGAGAAAACCCAACCAACTTCAGATTTTGAAACATTTTTTAATTGATTTGAAGAAACATAACTTTCAATTGCTCCCAAAGTGTTTGGAATCCCAAAATCTGCAACTAATCCCATAAATGATCCAAGTAATACTAAATTAGCTTCGCGACCACCTTCAGGGAATGTATTACCTAATTTTTCAGAATTATACATTAATCCATCTTCTTCTTCTGTTTTTAGGTTTTCATTGTTTTGATTTCGTGATCTACGTCGTCTTATATTTTCATTTTGTTGAGTTGATTCAAATTGTGATATTGCAATATTTAAATTATCTTGATTTTTATTTAGGTCTCTTAATGGAATGTCATTTGTATATATTTGTTGTGGATCTTGATTGTGATTGTGATGATGTCTTGATGATGATGAATGGATTGCTTGTTGTGGTACTTCTACTGTTGTTGTTGATGTTGATGATGACGAAGATGATGATGAACTCATTGACTAAAAGCTGAGTAGAGGAAAGTATGCGGTATATGGTTTGACATTTTGTGAAGATTCTAACAATACAATAGAACTTATTGTGCTATTTACTTATTTTTCACTCCTGAAGATCTTATCGGTAATTGCGCTTTTTAGATCTCGATTTGGAATGTTTATACCGATCTATTTAATTTTGGTTTATAATAAGCGAGACACGATTTGTATGTATGTATTTAATTAGTTAGACCTATGAGATATCTAGTATGAGATATCTCCACAATCAACATAAAAGATCTCTTTTCAACCAAATTGATTGATCAGTGGTTGTTCTACTTCAACTGATAAGAATTACAACAGATTAGCCCAGGGCCTATTACAATAAACTCTTTATTTATATATTTCATACAAATTGGTTGCAAAAATTTGTCAAATGTATATATGTGAAGCTGAAAATATCCTAACATCCTTAATCTAACGACAAAAAACTTCTTAATAAAAATCAAGTGTTTCAACAGAGCTCTTTCAAAAACTCCATGATAATTCTTTTAAAGTCAATTTATGACTATCGTATAGTTTTATACATTTTAAGAACTTACAAACTTTGAAACTTCCTAACTACAATATTAATTTAATTGGTGATAAACTTATTAAATATGTCACCATAAATAATCGCACAAACAAAATAAATTATCATTAACAAATCAATCACTAATCAACACTTATTTCAAAAATGTCAGACACAGAATCAAAACCAATTGAAGATCCAATAGAAGGAGACACAGAATTAACGAAAGAACAAAGACTAGAAGCAGCCAGGAAAAAATTTGAAGATTTGAAAAAGAAGAAAAAGAAAGATAAAAAGAAGAAAACTAAGAAAACCAAAGAAGAAGGTGGTGATGAAGATGAAGAAGAAGATGTTGGGGAATCATCTACTAAAGAGGGAACACCCATTGTCACTGATGATAGAACTGAGGCTATTAACAAAAATGTAGAGGAAAAGAAAGATACAATTGAAGAAACTAAAAAGCCAGAGGAATCTACAACTACAATAATTGATGGAAAGTCGAATGATACAACTACTGAAAAATCATCAGAATCGAAACCTGCTCAAACAGAACCATCAAAAGATGAAACTGAAAAACCATCAGAAGAAAAGTCCTCTCATGATTTAGATTCAATAAAGTCAGACACTCTGATAATAGATGAGTTACAAAAGACAATTGAAGATCAAAAAAAGACAATAGATAGATTAAGAAATGAAATAAAAGATATGAAACTTTCAAAAATGGAATTAGAAGATAATTTAACAGATTTAAAGCAAGAAAATGAACAATTGAAAAAAACCAAATCAACAACAACATCTAAAACAACAGATTCAATTTCATCAACTACAAATTCAACAATAACTCCTGCAAAACCTATATTCACTAAAAATGAATTTGCTTCAATATCACAACAAAATTTAAGTAAATTTAATTCAACTGAAGATTTTAGAGAAAAATTAATGATTTGGAAAGGTTGGCAAGTTGATATGACAAATTGGGGGAGTATAACTACAAATCAAGTAGCTCTTTAAATAGCATTAACCAAATTTTAATCATTAAGTAGTTATTTACAAGTACATCTCTATATTTTTCATTATATCTCTCTCTTGGTTATTACCTTACTCTGAATAAAGCTTTACCAGATAATCCCTTTTTAGCAGCTTCATTTATTTCATAAAGTTCATTTTCATGTTCAATAAATAAACACTCTGAAGGTTGTAATTGATCAATTCTTCTAACTTTTAACCCAGAAGCTAATGCTTTAACATCCTCTATACTTAATTCAATTTTTTTACTTGGTTTTGAAATCATTTCTATTTTGGTAATAACAGGTGAATTATTTCTATATTTTAAATCAAGCCATATTCTTCGTGTGTTTATATTATCTGGTGTTGCATCTATGGGTATTATATCGGGCCCAGTATTGGAACCTCTTGTTATACCTGATAAAAATCCTTGATTGTATAATTGAATTGCAACTTGTAAATTTGTTCTATTGTATGGAACTGCTGTTTTGGATAATGAAACGTTTGTGCAGTTTTTCAAGTGGGCGCAAAGTTTGGATAATGTGACTAGTGAGGTTGGTGCAACTGGCATTTTTATTGAGATTGGTTGGTTGTTAGTTGATTCTGATAACTGAAAAATTATGAAAAATTTTGTGCATATAAAAGTTTAGTTTTTTTTTTGAGACACCAAAAGATCAAGACTCACACCATTTTAAATCATCAATGCAATGTTCAAATACCAGCTACCTCAATTAACAAGATTAATATCTCAGCGATCAGTAGTATCAAGAAGATCAATATCTCCAATCTATAAATTTCAACCACTCCTAAAATTTCAAAGAAATTATGTTATAGTCCATAAAGATTTATCAAAACAAAAAAAAGAACCAAGAATAAGATACATTTTGTACGTTATTGCTTTCTCATGGGTCTTGATATGGTTTGTTGGAGGACAAGTTGACAAGAAAAGACCAACACAGTATTTAACAGAACGTGAATTTGAAGAATATGAAAAATCAACAGGTATAAAAAGAAGAAATAAATTAATTGGATCAGATTTAAACAATAAGTATAGATTTTATGTAATACCTTTTATATCATCTGATGAAGAACTCACCAAGATTGAAAAATCAATGAGTAAACATGATCCCGAAAGAAAAATCAAAATAATTGATCCAGTTGTATTAATTCAAGATGAAAAACAAGATGATGGAAAAAGATATTCTGCTTTACTTAATGAATTAGATCAAAAACATAAACCATACCCACCAGGTTTAATAACAGCAATTTTAAAAGAATATATCAACTTTTACATGAACACAAGAGAAGGTACATTTGATACAAATTTTATTATTAAAAATTACCCTCAAACTACAAATGAAGCAATAAAATTTGAAAATGATATTTGTGATATTTCAAAATGTCTTATAATGCATTTTGATATGTTAAATAATTTACCTCCAGATAATGATAAGTTAAAAAGAAATTTGACTAATGTTGATGGATATTTTGATTCGGTGGGTAAATCAAAGACTTTAGTTTCTAAATTTGATGAAATGGATGCTAAATTTGAAGAAATTATGTTGGAAGATTTATAGTTTAAAGGTGATTTCTTGTAAATAAATTAATTAATAATACATTTTGTCTATAAAATTCTATTAAATTACGGAAATGTTTGAAGTATCAAAATCATAATTAAACCCTTCTTCAACTATAAAATCTTTGAAATCTTTATCTTTGTAAATTACTTCACAAGCATAACCAGTAACTAATAATCCAGGAGGTCTTGATCCACATTGTTCAACTACATCACCTAGTTTTGATAGTGTGGTTCTAATAACTCTTTGGTCAGGACAACTTGCTCTTTCAATTATTGCAACTGGTAAATCAGATTCCCACCCTTTTTCAATTAACACGGGAACTAATTCAACAATTCTATGTAATGCCATTAAAAATATTGTAGTTCTATTTGGATCAAAATGAGGTAAATTAGGTACCACCCCTTTACGACCGGTACCAGTACATATTAATACTTGATCTGCTACATCTCTATGAGTCATTGGTATATTTGCTACTACTGGAGCAGCTAATGCTGATGAAATACCTGGTACAACTATTGGTGTGTACCCATGTTCCTCAAAAAAGTTAAATTCTTCACCACCTCTTCCAAAAATATAAGGATCTCCCTGTTTTAACCTTATTACAAATTTCCCCTGTTTTAAACCTACTAATCCCATTGATAAAAGTTCTTCTTGTGCTTTTTCAGCGTTACCTGGGAATTTCCTAGCTATAAATAATTCAGGTCCATGATTTTTCGGTATAAGATCTAAAACTTGTTGTGGAACTAATTTATCTGCTAATATAAGATCAGCTTGATTTATTGCTTGTAGTGCTCCTATTGTTAATAAAGATACCGAACCTGGTCCGCTTCCAATTAATGCTATTTTGCCTTTGTTGGTGGTAGTTGTTGATTCTGTAAGTGGTTGTGATTTTGATTTGTCTTCGTTATATACTTGTTTCAAATCTTCTATTGATATGCTTGATAATTTTGATAATGGATAGTATTCAACTATTTGTGAAAGCCATCTATTTCTTCTTAATTTTATATCATTTTTAGTTTGATCAAATTCTTTAACTAATGAATTAAAATTTTTTGAGTTATGTAAATCATCTTCATTTTCTCCTGTTGTCAATTCTGAAATTTGATCTTCTTTTTGAATTGTAGTACGTAAATTCCCAATATTGGTACATATTTGATCTATATCTGATGGTAAATTTTTAACTATTTCTCTTTTCAATCTTGATGATAATTTACAACCTTTTCCATTGGTGGTTATACCTAATTGAAAATCTCCTTGGGTGTGAGTTGATAATAATGTAAATGTACATAAATCAGGATAATCTGTCGTGTTTATTGGAACTCTATATTTTCTGCATGATTTATAAATTCTTTCCCTAATTTCCTGATGTGAATTTTTTAGTAATGTTACAAATACTCTATCTATTACCCCATCTGATTCTTTGTTACCATATAATGTCAAGTAATTTTCAATATTATCTTTGTAGTTCGAGTCCACTATAATCTCAACTTTTGAGTTCAAATCATATTGTTCTATGGCATCTAACGTTTTATCATCATCTTGTACTACTAATATGGGGTAAGCTCCTGCTTCTAATATTGAATTTATTCGTAGTAATGCTAAATTTGAATATCCAAATAGTAGTATTCTTTCACCTTTAATATTTAATGATGCTAATAAATTTGTCATTTGATATGATGATTCGAAGTGATATGTAGTTGAATCATTCTCAATATGTTGCAAAAAATTATTATTTGTAATTATGTAAGTAGTTTATAATAATTTTTTAGTAAACAAATTACACGTGACTAATGTCAGACATTCGTGCTACCAAACTAAAATTTACGAGGTACTGTATATAAGGGTATGTTTACATAGTATGATTTTTCAGTTAATAAGAGATGCAATCAATGTCTTTACAATCCAATTTATTAATTCAGAAATGGCAAAAAGAACATTAGGTTTGAGGAAAGCAGCTAAAGCTAAAAAGCAAAAAGTTGAGTCAACGACAACAGAGGAAACCTCATCACAACCAGTAGAATCATCAAAATCAAATGAATTGACAATTGAATTACCAGAAGGTACAGATTCAAATGATGAAATATCAGAATTAAAAGGTCTTTATAAGACATATATAGATTCAGAAAGAGACAATGAATTGATTGTTAATGGGATAATACATGAATGTGATAGAATATTAAGAAATCATAAAGATGATCAAACATTACCTCCAATATTTTATAAGATTTATTCAATTGCATTAAGTGAATTAACTAATTTTCATACTGATGATTTAAAACAAATTAAAGAATTTTTTGAAGCAAGTTTGGAAAGAATTGATGATGGTTTGGAGAAATATCCTAAAGATATTGAATTATTATTTACAAAATCTAAAATATTATTGAATCAAATTATTTTACAATATGTTTCACAACTAGATTTGGAAAGTAAACTAAAAGAAGATAATAATATTGCTGAGTTATTGGATAATGCATTAGAAATATATCAACAAGCTGAAGATAAAGCAGATGAATTGGAGAATTATGAAGCGTTTAATAATGAGGAATATTTAGACATACTAGAATCAGTTGATGATATTTTGGAAATTATTGATGATTTTGGTAAAGAAGAAAAGGAAGAGGAAGAAAAAGAGGAAGAAGAAGAAGAAGAAGAGGAACAAGAAGTATTAGAATTACCAGAAACACACCCATTATACCCAATTCAAAACACAGACGAATACAATGAATGGTGGAGAGATCATACCATAACTTATTTAAACAATTTAAAAAAATTATCAACTCCACAACCAAAATTATTAAAAACTATAAATCAAAGATTAGGTCAATCATTTTTACAAGAATCAGAAGGTCCAACAAACATTTATATAACTTTAAAATTTGATGATGATTATGAAGGTATTGAAGAATTAGAAGGATTATCCGCTAAAGAAGCATTATCATTATCTCAAAATTTAATTGAAAAAGCCCTTGAACATTTAAAAGAAGCTAAAGATGAAGATGAACCTGAATCTTGGGTAACTATTGCTGAAGCTATGATTACTTTAGGTAATTTATATGACGTTGAATCAAAAGAACAAGATAATTTATATGAAGAAGCTGAGGAGTTGCTAAGAAAAGCTAATAATGTAACTAATGGGAAATACCAAGAAGCATTAGATAATTTACTAGCAAAAGATGAAGACGAAGAGTAAATAAAAAATGTACATAGCTATAAGTCTTAAAAAATAAATAATTGTTAATTAAATCTTTCTTAAAACATTCATTAATATATACTTCAATTATATATAACCACTAAAATTTAAACTCTACTGGCTAAAGTACTTTCTTGTTGTAATCTCATGGCATTTGATTCATGAGCATTATCTTTACAAATTTGTAATCCAATACAAATATGATCTTCTAATAATCTATGTTTTGCACAAAATTTACCTTGACAATGAGAGCAAGTACCTACCATTCTTAATGGAGTAGATGAACAATTCTTAAATGAACATTTGTTTTTCTTTTTGGTTTTTTTAATTGTGGTTGTTGATAAATTAGGTATTGATGAGTTTAAATTTGTTGATACAATTTGTGGTGAGGTTGGTGGAGTATCTGTACCTTGAGACATTAATATAATATTTATTGGATTGGTGGTGGGGGTTGAATCTATTCCAAAAGATGATAATGTTGAATTAAAAGGTTGTAGTTTTTGACCATTATAAATTAATTTAAAATCTTTTGGTAATGTAGTTGTTGAGGATACTTTTATTGAATTTTTCAAATCTTCAACTGTTGAATTGTCTGGGATTGTTATTTGTAATGAAGATTCTGTTGATAATCTAATTGTTACTTTCATTTTGTACTGGTTGTGAAAATAGTTGTTATTGTTTGATATGAAAATGAATACAAATGTTATATGAAATTATTGTTTTTTCGTATTGTTGTAAATTGTAATGGAGATAGTAATGAGATCTTGTTGTTATATATATGAAGTGAGTTAGTAGTTGAGTTATTAATTTGTTGTTGAAAAAAGTCGGTTGTTGTTGGGAATTTTATAAAAAGATAAGAAATCTATATTATGTATTATAAAATTTAATAAAAAAACATCATACGTAATAGATTCCGACTAATAAAATGAATGATTCAGTCATAGTAATTGGTAGCGTTTGGTGGCAAAAAAAATTAAACTATTTTTACATAGTTTGAACATTTCTTTTTATTATTATTATGTAATTTGCAACAACATGTGTCATAAAACATTATAAGAGAAATAAGAAGTGACATTCAAAATTCACGACACTCAAATTTTGATTATTTTAAATTTAATTCATTGTACATTTATTTAAATATGAGTGTAAAACTATAAACAAATTGTTGCTTATCTTTGAAGCAAAAACTTTTTGGTGTAAGCAAATCATAATTTAATCATAATTTGCTAAATTTGAAAAAACAAATGGAATTGAACAATAATCATAACTTCATTAATTGGACCTAACCTCTTTATACTAATCCGTTGACAACTTCCTTTTTATATAACTTTCCATTATCTCTACTTTTCAACTTATTATACTCTTTAATTTCTCTTTTGTTATTAAACAGAATAGCTTCATCTATTTTGTATCTAGGTTCATTATTTATTTCTTCTTTTTTTTGAAGTGAATCTAGTGATCTTGCTTTTAATTCTGTATCTGCTGGAATTATTGTGGATAATGCTAATGATATTAATAAGCAAATTAAAACTGGATGCATTTTGAATGTATTTTAGCTTTGACTAGAATGTATCGAAATTGAATTCTTAATATTAGTAATATGTTGAAGTAAGTTGATTGATGTGATGCATTACATTTCAAAATTAATGGAATTTGTCGGTATATATATATAAACTCATATTGTTAATCACTTTTTTTCACTGCCTCATCTATCAAATCTAGATCAATCAAACTAATTTTATTACTATTTATAGATAATCGCGTTATAAAAATCACTTTTGTGTTTCAAAATTAAGGAGTATAAAAATTATTTTATTGTTTCAAATTTTTTTTACTTTGTTTGGAAAAACAATTAGTATAGCAATTTAAAATTACACAATAAGCAACTTTATAAAAAATCTTCTGTAATTTAAATTATCGAGTGAAACAAAGATAAAACACGTTATAAATTTAGCACGGCTTAGTCGCTGGTCGACTCCTTTCGTCGCCAAATGGAGAAAATAGAGAGGTAAAACAGTTAAGTATTAAAATTATTTATTAATTATATACAATTATCGTATCACATTATTCTGAAATTTTATCTTTCATGGCTTTTCTTAACCTAACTTTTGGAGTATCATCATTATCTTTGATTTGTTCTTCTTGTTGCTGTTCTTCTTCAAGTTCTTCTGAATCTTTAGTTAAATTAACATCATTAGTTTGTTCTAAATCAGCAGCTGCAAAAATTGGAATATCAGAAAGATTCTTTAAATTAAAATCTAATGAAGAAGTACTTGTTTGTCTATGTAATTTATTAAATTCAGTTTGTGCTTCTTCTTTTTGTCTAGATATAATTTCAAATTCTTCTTCTCCTTCACCAACTTTATTATATTGTTTATAAAATTCATCATAATCTTTAAAGATTCCAGGTCCATATTTATCACAAAATTCATTAACTTTTGTTCTTAATTCTTCTCTTGTTTGTTTTAATTTTTCAATTTGAAAATTATCTTGATCCATACTTAACATTGATAAAAATAATGGTGTTAATGATTTATAATAATCTACTCCAATTTCTCCAATTCTTAATGATGCATAAGTAGTTAAAACTGCCCAACAATAGAAGTATAAAAATATCCAAATGTATGATGGTTGATATTTACCTAATAAATTCGTCTTGACTATTATAATAGTACCGATAATGGACCAAAAACTATACAACATTGGAGCTAAAACCATTGCAACTAAAATTTTCCAAGTACTTAAAACATCTTTTGCTTTTATTTTAACTGTTGAATTAGCTAATGCTTCTTTAGCCTTTTGTTTGGAAATTCTTCTAGATACTATGAAAATAGGACCAAATAATATAATACCAGGTAAACTTAAAGACATAAATAATCCAAATGTGAAAAACCTTTTTAAAAACATCCAAATATTTTCTAATCTATTTGATCTATTAAGGGATTCAACTTGATGATCATGTAAATTCAATCTCATTAATTTCTTATTGTATTCTAATACTGAATCTTTCAATTCTTTTACATCTGGTTGATCTTTATATTGTTCATATCCTTTTATTAATCTTCTGTTCATTTCTATAACCATTGGCAAGGGGATGTTATTTCTATTCCCTGATGTATATAATCTTCTAGCTGCTTGTAAGACCATTAAAGTTTCGTAATCTTCACAAGTCATTGTAACTTCTTCTAACTTATTTTCAATTAAAAGCCTTAAATTGTCAACAGCCTCACGTGAATTTTCTTCATAATTTTTGGCCATTCTTTCATCAACTAGTATTGGTTTACCAAATTCAATTACAACTCTAGATCTAAATTTATGGGGGTGGAAATAATTAAGTCCGATAGGAACGATACTAACTGGAGTAATTTTGTTAATTTCACCTTTTTTGAATTTTTCAATTTGTTGAGTCACAGCTCCTAGACCCATTATAGCCATCTATATGTAAGCAGTTAGTAATAGGTTAGTTTGTAAAATATTTGGCTACTTTCTTTTAAAATTTCATTTTCAAAAACAATAAAATCAATTTTGAAACTGAAATTATAAATAATAGTAACCTAACTTAATCAGAAACATACCCCTGGCTTCAAAGGACGTAATAATCGTGGAGAGTCGTGTGAGCCACCTTCTGGGAAAATTCCAAGCACCTTACCTTCATTTAGATGGTCAAAAACTTTTTGAAAAACAATATGATTGTCAATATGTGGTGCAATTTTAAAATCAGTACCATTTTTTAATTTTTCATCAATTCTTTCTTGAATTTCTCGCTTGGGGGATGTAAATGCTTTTTTAAGGATAAGCTTATTATCATCAACTACTTCTAAAATTTGGGAATTACCTAAACTATTTGGTAAACCAATTAAACCTTTTGGTTCACATTCTTTTGTAAATTCAGTACCTTCACCAATTAAAGTTCTATCATCATTTGAATCAACTAGAATTTTACCTGTTCCCTTTTTCAATAAATCTTGAGCTCTTTCAACTGGGATTGAACTACATAATTTTGCTGCATCTCCAATAATTCTTCTATTATATGATTTTTTAGCAATTAAAAAAGCTATTCTTCGATTTGATGCTTCTTTGACTTTAGTCATCACTACCAATCCATCAACAAATTGATTATGATGTGGTGCAATAACGAAAATTACTGGACCTGTTTTTGGAATATAAAATGAACCTCTTGTTTGAACATCTCTAAAAAATGTATGAATTATTATATTAAAGAACCATATGATTGAATCATATGCTAATAATTTGAAAATTAATTTTATGAAGTAGATTAATGATTTATCTTTATATCTTGATGACGGATTTGTGACGGTTGATTGATTTGAAGTATCCATTGTAGGCGAAAATGAACCAAAAAATTAATTCAAAAACTTACTTGTTTCGCGAAATCTTGCAATTAGTTTGACAAATTGATTAGTAGTAGATTGGGGCTTTCAATTGTGACAGTTGAATTACTTTAAAACAAGTTTTTGAAATATTGGTGAAAAATGAAATGATTTAATACGCAAGCAATCTAATTTAGAATTTATATTTATTTATCTTTTTCTTAATTAATCTTTTGATATCACAAAATCAAAAAATAATAATTTATGAAGTGTAATGATCTATATATCAGATTATACTCTTCTCGATGTGAAAGGCAATGGTTGAATTCTTTAATAATCACAAGCTAATCCACCTTGTTGATTGTTGGGGAATTCCAAAATTAACATTTCAGTAATTGGAAACTATCTCAGAAAAATAAAAAGATTATTTTGAGGGGAAATTGTGTACTAAACTTTAAATATTTTAAATCATTATACATTAAATTATTTTTGTACTACTTGAAATGTACTACACAATTAGAGATCATTACTATGATATATTAATAGATATTGATTTGGACAAAGATTATGTCATCTAAATGAGCTGTAAAGATGAAACAAGTGACACTCTAAGGACCACCATTTTGTAGTGAATTTGTAAAATAAGATACAGAAATATGTAATAAATTACACTTACAAACAAGTTAGATACTATACTTTCTTTGCTTTATATTACTTGAAGCAAAAGTCAAACTAGAATAAATTATCAACAGTTGAATCTGCTTAAACAAGTATGGTTTGTATTTTTTTTAATTTGTTTAAATAAACAATTCTGTTCTTTGATTATAAATAATGTGTTTTTGGATTGTAACTTTTAAACTAGATTGTATATTATGGAAAACCCTATTTAAAAACAATTAAATCTTTTTCAAGTTATCAAACTTGTTAATAAAATGAATACAATACTAGATTATACTACTCAAAAATGTATATTTTACTGGTACTTGAACAATTGATATATTGAGTTGATCCTAATACTTATAACAATAACTTGACTATGTCTTTTGGTGGTAGTTTCAGACGCGTTTCCGGCTCAGTCACGTGGCGTTTTACAAAGTTTACGTACTTCTTAGGGTTAAAAAATTGATTAAGCACCTGAGTTAAAAACCGGAATTTTGATTATTTTTCAAGGATTATAAATTTGAAAGTGGGAGAAAAAAATGTTAGTAGTACGTAGTTCTTAATCTGTTACACAAGATCTAGAGTTTGTTTCAGTATCGATTAGAGAAGGTCCTGTTAGTAAACAACTAATAGTTGGCAAACTCAATTACATACGATTAAATATGTTACATACTAAACTAGAATTACATACTTAAGATTTAAAATGAAATCGCTACCACCTGTTTATAAATAAACTTATAAATAAATAAATAAAGAGTTAGTTTAGATATTATCTATAATAAGGGATAATGAATAGCAAATGTTTATCAATTAATTAATCACGCCATTGTGAACCCCTCACGTTCAAAACGCCTTGTCAACTAAAGAAAGTGAGGAGTTATATCATAGATAAGTTAAATGTGTCAGGTCGTGCAAACCTCAAATAGTTTATTTTGTATAGTTAAGAAAATTAATCTAAAATTAGAAGTTATAGATCATATCTGAAACAACCCAATATAATTTAATCCAGAGGTTACACATGCGGGGATTTAATTTATTAATAGCCCCTTTCATTAGTTTAAGTATGGTAAAATATTGTTTTATATTGGTGTAATATGAGAATTAAGGATCGTGGCCCTTGATTTGAAATGATTTTAAACGATTATAAATAAGGGTTTAATTTCCCAAGATTTGAGAAACTAGTTTTATTTAGATTTTATATATTATTAATATCCATTAACAAATAACTACTACTAGATCATTATCATTATACTTTATCATTTCTCAAAGAAAATTTTACTTTTTCATATCACTTTCTTCTTTTCATATTATAGATCAAAATAAATCAACAAAAATGAATAAAAACAAATTAAGTCAACTACTTTTTTCATAGATATAAATTATCAACTTCAGGTTTAACAAATAACAATCTGGGATTCAACATTAATAAATACAACTTGGGATTCAACAACAATAAATTCAACTTGGGGTTTTAAAATGATAAATACAATTGGGGTTTTAAAATAATATATACAATCTAAATTTAGAAGATATTTAAATTTTAGGATTTATGCTTAGGATTTAACAACAGGTGGAGGTTGTCAAAGGCCTTCCCTGTACCAAAATCTTTTTAAATTAGATTGATGGTTTTTAATGTGAAGTTAGAGGTTAAACTGTCGAAAGGTTGTGGCCTGCACCACGTAAATTAATTTGGTTAATTTGGGTCGACTCTTGTGCTTGACTTGTTGGCGGTTGGGAACACTTAGTAAATGTTTAATTCTGATGGATCATTCAATGAAGGTGGAACTTTAGAATAAGAAATGTTTACAGGCAAATCAAAATAAATTTGATAATGCTTTAGCGTTTTTTTTTAAGAGTTTAAAGTTTTATCTTTGCTTAATATACAAATACAAGTTACATTAAATTAAATGGAAATGGAGATAACACTACAAAGAATAGAAATGATAATATACATAATACTTACAATTATACAAAGGGAACTATAAACAATATGAAAACAAATTATACTATTAAATTAAATGGGAGGGAAATAACACTACGAATATGAATAATATGTTTAGATGCTTTTATTAAGTGTATAGAATAAATGTTTAATTTTATTTGTAATTAAAACTATAAACTTCTTACATCTCTCCGAAACAAACGTGATTTATATTATCATATCTAAAAGCATCTAAAACATTGCTATTACTGTTGTTTAAATTAATATTCATATTCTTGTTATTTCTATTACCATTTAATATTTGATCTAATTCTTGTGGAGTTGTACTTGGTACAAAAAATTGTTGAAAATTTAACATCTCTTCCAAAGCTTTATTTTCATTACCCCAACTTATCATTTCATGATTAAATGGTTCAATATCTGATCCTATTGAATTTGAATCATTCACATCTGTTTCATATTTTTTAAGGTCATTCATCATATTTTGTAAGTTTGTTGCCCATCTTTTACAAGTTATATTAAAATAAGCATAATTATTTAATATATTATAACCATCATCTAAAGCATCTTGAAGTACTGAAATATAATGATAATCTGGTTTTAAAGATTTTCTTTGTTCTAATAATGTGAAACCCAAAATTATAGATGCAAAAAAGCAAGCTGATTGAATTGTAAATACTTCTTTTCTATGAGGATTATGAGTTACAAAAAATTTTAATAATTTAACAACTAAAAAACTAGCTTTAATACAAGCTTTACAAAAATTCATTAAACTTTGTTCATCTTTAATTTGTTGTTTAGTTTCTGGTTTTAATTTTCTTGTTACAACATAAACTAAAAATGGTCTTGTTAATGTCATAATTCCATATAATTGTCCAATATGAACAAATACATATAAATAATTATTTGGATCAGTTCCTGATTCCATTTGAGTCTCTAATGCTGCACTTAATTGTAATTCTTTTGGTAATTCAACTGACCATCTTTTTAGTTGTAATGCTAAAATATGAGCTCTTTTAATGTTAATAATACCATCTTTGAAAATATTTTCAACAATTTTTACATTAATTAATGAACTATCAGAAGTTGCCTTTTGGGCCATGATTCTAATTTTTTCAACTTCTCCTAAATTTTTGATATCAATAATACAATCTGCATCATCATAATCATAATCATTTATCATTAATGGTCTACCTAAATTAACACCACTAACACAATCACAAACATATAAACTTCTCCATAATCTTCTTCTGTGAGTTTTAATATCAACATTTTCAATTCTACTGTTGATACATTGACGATGTAACCCTAAAGCTTGAGCAATTCTTATAGCATTACCTAATTGAATCCATGCGTTAGATCTATTACAACAAGATTGATAATAAAAATATTCTAAAAAATTAACTTCACTCATCCATAATTTACCATCAAATACATTGCTTCTATATAATACTTGAGCTGAATTGAAAAACACTTCGGATGTTGGTAAATTTAAATTTAGGTGTGGTGAAAATTCACTAAATAATCTTCCAATTGCAAACACTTCATATAATAAACATAATTTTCTAGTACTGCAATTCACTGGATCATTATAAGTCGCTTCAAATATCTTTTTATTGAAGTAATTCATATTAAAAATGTAAAAAGTATCATTTATATTAGTCTTGAATAATTCAATTAATATAATTGCATCTTGTTTTGTTGGTAATTGAACAGGTACAGGTAAATTTCTAAAATCAACACTTTCATCAGTAATAAATTGTTGTACTGGATCATTTGTAAAATGACTTGGACCTGAAATTTCTCTAAATAATGCTCTACATTCACCTAATAAAGATAATGCAGAACTTTCTCCAAAAAATCTTAAATTCCCCGTTTTGGTAGTTAATAATCTTGTATGTTGACCATTTTGATTAGATAATCCTTCTTTATCATTTTTTGTTGTATGATTTTCATTAGTTAATGCTGCTTGTAAATTTTCACATATAATACTTAATGATATTGATGGCAGTCGTTGAATTTGTGGTTGTGGTTGTTGTTGTTGTGGTGGTGGTGGTGGAATTTGTTGAGACAGTGCTTCCGTTGTGCTTGGTGTACTTGTTAATGATGGAATTTCAGTTTCAATCTCATCCTGTGGACTTATTTGAATCTGATCTTGACCTTGTGGCGGTTGTACTTGACCTTGACGTACTTTTTCCAAATATGCTTTTGACTTTAGGGATCTTCCATCTAATTTTGAATAGGCGCATTTAAGCTGCTTATTTTGACAATAAAGACAAGGGCTCTTTCCGTCACACTATTGAAGAGTTAGTAATGATAATTTGGTAAAACATTTTGTGATCTAAAAACATACTTTCATTTTTCTTCTTTTGCAAACATCACAAGCTCTTGATACTTTTTTTCTTTGAGCAACAGGTAATACTCGAGGTCTACCTTTTGGTCTAAGTATTTTTTCAATCATTATTTAGTTATTGATTCATTTACTGTAGAAAAGGCACTAATGTTATGATTTTAATAAAATCTTGGATTTATGCGTAGCTTACTAAAATAAAAAAAATAAAATTAAAGTGGGGAATAAAAAAAAAAAAAAACGCTACCCTTATTTTTATTTTTAAAAATCTTTGCTAGTAAACACCGTAAGGGGAATCGGGAACTAAAAACTAATATTACTAAATTGTTTATTGTTTTAAATTGTCTCACTAAAATCTAAATTTCTTTTGTTCAAAAGCACCGAATTGGCCCTGAACTGTTATTTAAGGCACTTTGAATCAAAAAAAAAAATTGTGGTTGATCTTTGGTTAGATCAAATAGGTTTTAAATTTTAGATTTACATCAATAAGCGGCAAATAACACGATAAGGCCGAAAGGACAAGAGCTACATTCAACGCGTGACTTCAAACGCTCGTAAGTAAGTTTAACAAGTACTCATTGCTTAAGCGGGCCGCAGACCACGTGATTAATCGGGGTTTTTTTTAGTGTCCATCAAAAGTAGTCTCTCTAAAATTTTGACATAGCAACGCATGATTTTTGTTAGTAGTATGATGTTATTGTTAAGAAAATTCGTAATAGAAATTATTGAACCCTTATTGAATTTTTATTTTCTTGTAATCTGTATTGTTTATGCTAATCTGCAAATTATAGGATATATTACTGCGAAGTATTTGTTGCTTATTAGTTCTTGACATTTCCTAAATGGAAATATGAAACTTTACAAATTAAACTTTGTGTTATATGTCAAACTTTAAATTTTTTAATTTTTGTGATTGTTGCAAAAAGATTAATTTTTTTTTCTTTTTTTAATTTAATTAATTGTGCATATTGAAAAATTAATAATCACATCACAAAAATTCAAAGATGCATTGAAATGAAATTAGTAATTAAAAAAATGTGGATCCAAGGCGATTTATGATTTAATTTTTCAACTCATCATCGTGAGTTTTCATTATATATATATCCAAGATTGCTCAAATCATTTTCAAATTAAAATATCTTTTCAAATTCAGTCAAAATGTCTTCTATAACGTCACACGAAAAAAAACAAGAAAAACTAGCGACTTATGATTTAGAAAGAACAGCCATTGATGAAGATGATAACTCTTCGACTTCAAATAAACATGTTGAGAAATCAGAGAATTTAAATAGACAATTAACACCAAGATTAATTAATATGATAACTTTAGCAGGAGTTATAGGGACAGGATTATTTTTATCAACAGGAAGAGCTTTAGCAACTGGAGGACCATTAAGTTTATTGTTAGGATATATGATTATTGGTTTACTAGTGTTTTTTGTCATGTTAGCGCTTTCGGAAATGAGTTCCCTATATCCAGTTTCTGGTTCATTTACACAATATGCAAGAAGATTTGGTTCTGAGTCTTTGGGATTTGCAGTTTTGATCAATTATTGGTTCAATGATGCCTGTTCTGTAGCATCCGATATGACAGCCATTTCCCTCGTTATTGATTACTATAATGACCATTTGAAATATTGGTACGTCATTTCAATCGTAATATGGGTTTTTTTACTATTTTTAAATGTGATTCATGTTAGAGTTTATGCAGAAGCCGAATATTGGTTAGCTTTGTTAAAAGTCATTACTATTATCATATTCTTTATTGTTAGTATCATTTGCAATGCTGGAGTAAATCCGAGTCATGAATATATAGGCTTCAAGTATTGGAGTTATAAAGATGCTCCATTTGTCCATGGATTTCGAGGTTTCAGCCTGGTATTTGTATCTGCAGCTTTTGCATTAGGTGGATTAGAGCTGATCTCATTAACAGCAGGAGAGACAAAAAACCCAACAAAAACTATTCCAAAAACTATTAAAACTACTTTCACTCGTATCATAGTTTTTTATGTTTTCACTGCATTTTTCATTGGAATGAATATACCATATGACTACCCAAACTTATCAACCAAAACTACCGCCACGTCACCATTCACATTAGTATTTCAACAAGTAGGTGCAAAAGGTGGTGGTTCATATATGAATACAGTAATTCTTCTTTCAATAATTTCAGCAGGTAATCATGCATTATATGCGGGATCAAGGTTAGCTTTTAATTTAAGTAGTCAAGGATTTATTCCAAAAATATTCTTACCATTGAATAGGTTCAAAATCCCATATGTAGCAGTAATTGTTACTTGGTTAGTTGGTGGATTATGTTTTGCTTCAGCTTTCGTTGGATCAGGTGAATTATTCAATTGGTTACAATCAATAGTTGGGATTTCAAATTTGCTCCTGTGGTTTTTTATAGGAGTTACCAGCTTACGATTTCGACGAGGAATAGAATTACAAGGTAGAACTCATGAATTAATTTTTAAAAATTGGACATATCCTCTTGGTCCCTGGTTTATAATTATATTTGGTGGATTTGTAATTTTGGTACAAGGTTGGTCTACTTTTTCACCATTTAGTGTTTCTGATTTCTTTCAATCTTACTTAGAATTAGGTGTTTTTCTTATTTGTTTTGTATTTTGGTGGTTAATTGTTAAAAGAGGTAAGGATAAGTTTGTTAGAGCTAAAGATATGGATTTTGATACTGATAAATATATTCAAACTCAAGAGGAATTAGAAGAAGATGATTATTCCAAAACATTAAAAGGTTGGTCTAAATTCAAATATAATTTTGCTGATAACTTTTTATAAACTCAATGATGATCACATAATATTCTTGAATCAATATCAACAAGGTCGTTAAATTGATGATCACATAATATTCTTGAATCAATATCAACTTCCGGACACAAAACGAATTTTAGCACAAAACTCATTTTACACAAAAAGAAAATTGTATTATGTAATACACACTCTTTTTCTTATGTAATCATAATTCGCTATGTACTTCCACTTTAGACACTTTTTAATTTACTTGTAGAATCTGTTTCATTTTTTTTCCACCACTCTTTCTGTTCAATTCTATATCGACTTTCAGCAACAAATCATCAGCAATGTTATTACTACAATCAACACAGACCACAGTGGATTATATTGGTTTAGGTTTATGGATGCGGATTTGGATTGATATATAATTAACTTGATTTTGCAATAACTTGTTAAATAAATTACAAGTATAAAAATTGAAGGTTTAATTCTCAACCAATATGTTTCAAAAAACAAAAAATTTTGTTGAAGTGATAACATAAAAGGTGGTTTACGGGTGCTTGTGATATCTATATATATATATATATATATATATATATATATATAGTGATAACATAAAAGGTGGTTTACGGATGCTTGTGATATCTTTATATATATATTCAGCATTTCAAAGGTTGCATAACGTGCGATTAATCTCGCTTATTGATATGACAATATGAATGTTGTTGAATGGATCTCAGTTCAATCTTATTTCAGTTGGCTTTAATATCACCATAACATGCAAATTACTCATAATTTTTTTTTAAATACATTGCTATTCCTTATTTGCATTTTTCAGTTCATTAACTCCAGTTCGTATATTACTTTCCAAAGTTACAAAATAGTGCATATTAAAAAATTACAAAGAAAGAGTAATAAGAATGTAGAATAATTTAATACGAACATTTATTAAATTTAATAACTATTTAGTTCTGGACTTGTAAACCAACTTATCAGTTTCTTTCAGTTTATGCTTACTTCTTATCAATTCAATACGAATTGATTTATATAATTCTAAAATTTTGCTTAACAGTGCTTGATCTTTGGGATAATACTTCATATTCTCGATTGCATTGTTTTCATCTTTAATCTGTTCTATTATTGAGTTCTTTTCGTTTTCTCCAAACTCATTATTGGTCATTTGATGAATTTCTGGACCTGGGTAACTTATAACTGATTTCCTTACTGTTCTTACTCTGCTTTTATTCACTAATTTCAGTCTTTGAAAAATATCGATAAGAAGATGGATCTCAAAATAATCCTAAAAAATTACAAATTTTCTTACAAAAATTCCCTAACTCTTACCAATAGTAAAATTTATCATTTGTTAGTAACGAAGTATAAACAAATCTGGTTTTGTGATCAATTTAAATATGACACAAAAATAATAAATATTACACAAAATATTGTATGTAAATCTGGGGGGATTTAATGAGCGACCAATATCAACATAATTTTCGAAAAATGATTCGAATAAATCATTTAAATTCTTTATATCGTACGTCTCAGCAGTTTTTCTAATTGAATGCATTGATAATTGAGAGTTTCCCAAATCTAAAGTTCTGATACCTAATTTACTACTTAAAATGGGCCCCATGGTGGAGCCACAAAGTGAATCATTTCTGACGACGAATAATTTAAGTGGAACCTTAGCTATATCAGCAATTTTTTTGAGAATTACGAGAGGAATTAGAAGAAGATAATTATTCTAAAACATTAAAAGGTTGGTCTAAATTTAAATATAATTTTGCTGATAAACTTAAAGATGATCACATAATATTTTTGATTCAATATCAATATAATTTTCAAAAAATGATTTAAACAAATCATTTAGTTTCTTTATATCGTATGTCCCACCAGTTTCTCTAATTGAATGCATTGATAATTGAGGATTTCCCAAATCTATAGTTCTAATACCTAATTTACTACTTAAAATAGGCCCTATGGTTGAACCACATGGTGAATCATTTCTGACGACGAATAGTTGAAGGGGAATTTTTAAGGAACCTGCTACTGCAACGTGTTTTAGTAGAACTATCGTAGAACTCGATGTAGAATAACGTTGATTAGCATTTACTTTGATGACTGGACCTAAGTTTAATTGCGGACGATTTTGAGATTCGTATACTTCTGGGTAATTTGGATGGACTCCATGAGCCATATCTGAAGATATTAAGAATGATTTTGACATAGTTTCATGGAAATAATCTATGGCGGTATCACCATTATAGTTTATTTTAGTTATTCTTTGTAAAATATCTGGTAAAAAAGTTGAATCAGCACCATGAGCACTTTGTGAACCAATTTCTTCATGATCAAATAAACTAATTAGTTGTATTCCTTTCAATTTTGATAAGGTCTCGGTAGATTCAATTAATGCTTGAGCTGCAGTAAAACATGAAGTTAAATTATCTAATCTTGGTGAGAATATAAATTCATCGTTTAATCCTCCAATTACAGATTTCTGATGATCAAATAGTAATAATTCAAAATCTTCAATTTGTGATGGTTCAACACTTAATGTTTTAGCTATAAGTTCAATTAATGATTGATTATGTCTAGTTATTACATTTTGAACAGATTCAAATTGTTCTGGAGTCATTTTTAAATCTGGATCATCTGAACAACTTGGTGGTTTTTCTGAATTTTTTTCCAATGCTACTTGACCAGCTATTGGAACTAATTTTGTTTCTTTATTAAATTCAAATTTCTGATTGACTTCACGATTTAAATGTATGGCTAATGTTGGAATTCTTAACAATGGTTTATCAATTTTCAATAATTTTGGAACATATTTACCATTTTCATTAACATAAACTCTACCAGCAATTGATAAATCTCTATCAAACCAAGTATGTGCAATTAATCCACCATATTGTTCAACTCCAATTTGAATAAACCCTTCTGAACTTCTTTTTGAAATTGGTTTAATTCTTAAACATGGACTATCTGTATGAGCTCCCACCATAGCTATACCATTTCCATTCTTGTATTCACCACCAATTGTAAAAGCTATTATAGATGAAGCATTTCTTGTGACGTAATATTTCCCATTTTTTTGTAATTTTGGCCATGTTGATCTTTCAACTAATTCTTGAAATCCAGCGCCAGAAAGCATGGTTTTAACTGTATTTACTGCATGATATGGAGTTGGAGAAGCATTGACAAATTCAATAAAATCTTGAGCGTATTTTAATTCTGACATATTTCTGGTGGTTGAGTTTGTTTCAAATTTGAAAAAAAAAATTAATTTACATAATAGCGGGTTTTATATTTTTTATTTTTGGTGCCTTATCATCAATGTGGATTATTGTTTTATTACTACTACTACCATTTATAAGTTGCAGTCAATTGGCTCCATTATTAATAGCATCTCATAAATTAGTACCTGACCTAAAGACTGAGGTTAGTGAATCAAATATAGAAACACATAATGTTACTTCAGTAACGAACTTAATAAAGAAATTGGTAACTCAATGTTCATCAGATGCTTATTTGATTGTTGATGTACCTGGATTAACTTATCAAGATTTAACAGATAAACAAAAGGATAGATGGCCATTTTTGATTAATTATTTATACATGTCATCTACTATTGTTGGATTACCCAGAGTTGAGCCAGGCTTAGATTTAGGTCATATTGAAGAATATATAATAAATACGTGTGAAGCAGAAACTATATCCAATGAATTGGATGATTATTATGATATTAGAACAAGAGTTATAAGATTAACAGACTCCAATCCTGATGAATTAATGAGAAAGATATTAAGAAAATTACCATCACCACATTATACAATTATTTTAACTTCAACTTCTCCAGGTTTTACTCATCCAATACCAGATTCAGTAATGGAAAGACAACCACAAAATTTTGAAATTTTTAATGATATAGTAAACAACCCAAAACATAATGGAGGAGTTGAAAAAAATGATCGTTTCCATAAAGTAGAACCAAATTGGAATCCTATAAGAGATAGTAACGAGAGATACAAGACAAATAAAAAAAAGGATGAAATTCATTTATTTGATTATGAATTATGGACAAAAAATGAAAAATTAATAATTACAATATTTATAATGTTAATAACTTTGGCTTTTTTGAAAATTCATTCTAGTATAACACTGGCATCAAAATAAAAAGAAGGATCTAAACTTGATATATCAGCCGATTTAACTTTTCCATCTATTAATAATTCACTCATTATTTTTCCTGTACCTGGAGCATTATTTATACCCCAACATGAATGTCCTGATGCTAAATAAAGATTTGATACATTTGTTTCACCAATTAATGGTCCACTTGATGAAGGTACATCCAAAACTGGTAAATAACAAGCTTGACGTCTTAATATATGACCTTTTGCCAAATTAGGAGATATTTTACTAACTTGTTTATATAATTCATCACATTTAGATCGAACAACTTCAACATCATCTGTAGTTTCTGGTACATCAACTGCAGAATCTCCTTCTCCACATACATAAACTTCATCTTGTCTTGCATAAATTTCTGGTGATATATATGAATTGGGACCAACTTTAAATTCTGTGAAAATCGCGTAAGGACTAACTGGTTGATCTTTAAAAGGAGCTATAGTTATTGAATGTGCACGTAGACCTGAAATTGGACAATCTGGTAATATTTTGGAAGTCCATGGTCCCACAGTTAGTACTGTTTGATCAGCTTTTAATTCAATTTGTTCATCATATTTATCTCCATCTTTTATTGATGTTGGTTGATATTTAACTCCTGTAGCAGTACCAGTTTCTTCTGAATATGTAATTTCTTCAACTTTCCCCAATATTAATTCTATTGCTCCACTCTCTACTGCTTTTCTTAATATAAAATTTGTAAATTTATAAGGATGAACTTGTGCTGTTGTATCACTTCCTCCTAAAGTTGAACAATTAGTTATAACATCCGAACTTATCCAATTTAAACTTGATGGTAATTTTTTTGCAGGTTCTTGTTGTTGTTGTTGTAACAGTACTACAGATGATGATCTTGTATTTCTTTGCTTTTTAGGTTGAGTTGATTCAGATTTTATTTTAGAAATATCTCCTTCTAAAGATACAGTAGTTAATCTACGATATCCCCATTCTTCTTCACCATTATATTCATTTGCTAATTTTTGATGTAAATTAAAAGATAATGAAACAATTTGTTCAGGAAATGCCCATAATGCTAATAATCCACCTGCTTTACCACTTGCTCCTCCTGCAACTCTTTTACTTTCTATTATTGTTATATGATATTTTGATGAATCAAATTTTGGATGTTTTGTTAAAAAATAAGCAGTACAAACTCCAATTATACCTGCACCTACTATTATTATATGTTTTTTCCCCTTATGTTTACCAGAAGGTTCAGATTGAAATTGTAAATAGTCCATTGATTTGAAGAGATATACGTTGATTTCTTAGTTCTTTAGTTTAATATTGTATTTATAAGGAAAGAAAAAATCATATATTATTAATAGTTGGTTGGTAGTTTTACTATTTATTATTAAGACACAACAGAAAAAAAAAAAAAAAATCAGTTGATAATTTTTTTGTCTGTTTCTGTGTCTTGAAATTTAATTACGAAAGAGATTGATAATGTAATTCTGTAATTTGTTTTTAAACAGACTGATTTTTATTTCAACGGCAGTAAAAATTGTTCTATTATATAGATTCATCATTATTTGGTAATTTCCATTGATTTTATGATACAACTTTTTATACAAGTATATGTGCAATAGCTTAATCACCTCATTATAATAAATTTGTAAACAAAGTTGAATTTTTTATCAACATGTTTGTTTTATAATTTTGCAACCAATTTCTTCCCCACTTTTTCAATCATTTTTTTTTTACAACCAAAAAATGAAATCAGAAAAATTTTTAATTAAAATCCTCAAATTGAATTCAGATACTTCAACCGAAGAAGAATTACCAAAATCAAATGCTGAATCATTACTTGATGAAGAAAAACAACTATTAAATGAAATTTATTTACAAAGATATATTTTTATTAAAAGATTTAATTTATTAAATACAATACTTGATAATTATTTTAATCAATTAAGAAATGAAAATGAAAATCTAATCAATAGATTTCATAATTTAAAATCAATTTTAGAAAATTGTTTAACCTTGGGATAACCAGCCCATTTGAACGAAAAATTCATATATTTTGGAAGCTTTGTTGACATCAATTTTTAAAACTTGTCTTGCATCTTTTTTCTTTAGTATACCATTATTTTTAACAGCTTCTTTCATTAATTGATTTTTTATAGCTAAATAAGGTTTTGGTAATATTCTTAATGTTGCACATAATTGTTTTTCTTCAGCTGATAATAATTCATAATCTGTAGAATGTGTTATATCTAATGGAGTTCTACTTATTGGTTTTGTTGGTTGTTGAGATTGTGGAGGTGGTGATAATGGAGTATGTCTTGCACCATTTCTTATATAATGAGCACTTCTTATTAATTTATCTTTTTCATATTTATTACCATCTTCAAGGGTGGTGATACCATTTTTTCTCCAACTTTGTAATTGTTGAATTCTAATTCTACATCTTAATTCTGCTAATAAATCATTTGCAAAACTTTCAAAATCTGATGGTGTTAAAATTCTAATATATGCATTTATCTTTTTCAATAAATCTTTTTCTTCTTTTGACTTTCTTTTATCAATACTAACATTCTTCCTATACTCCAAAAGATTATTTAATATCATAACTCTTTTCCTTTCTGCTCTTGTTGTTAATCTTGAATTATATATATCCAATATAGTTAATTTTAATTCAATATCATTAATCAGATCATCTGGATCAAAAATCATATCTTTGATTGGAACTTCTGCTTCATTTTCAGCTTCGTGATCAAATTCTAATCTACCTGGCATATAACCTTGGATTTCATGACATAATGGTACTGATGCAACTGGTTTACCTTTTGGTGGTGGTAATGGCATATTTCTTCTTTTTTCTAATCTTTCTTTCCTTTCTTCTAAGAATTGTAATGGTGATATATCTGTAAAATCTTTATTCATTTCAGGTAATGGATAATCTTTACTTTCTAAATAAATTTTGTAATAGTGTTGTGCAACTTCTTCTTTTGATCTATTACCAATATGATCAGCAATATCTGCCCAATTCCCCAATCCAAAAGTTTCACAACCTTGTATTAATAATAATTCTTCATCTGCTCCCCAATTTCTATCGAATATAGGATATGTATTTTGTTCAATAATTTGATAGTCATGCCATGGTTTATGATCACCTGTTGTTAATCCTGCTGCAAAACATGGTACACATAAATCATAATCTGAACATATTGCACATTGGACTCTTATTCTATTGGTACAATCAGAAGAACAAACATCACAATGAAATAATTTATTACGTCCATCCATCAGATTGGATTTGTTGTTGTTTTACATAGTTGGTGATATATTCTAATAGGGTGGCTAAATTTGTTGATAGTTTAGTTTTGTCACGTGAAACGCATGTGTTTTGATTGCAAAATAGGGTTCTCAACTCCTTTTTGTTTGTGTAATTACATACACCCATAGTTAATTTTTTCTCTGTTAATAATTTTTCATTAACTCCAAATTAAAAAACCAGTACTAATTTCAAAATCTTATCAGCTCCATATATACACACATAATAATCAACAAGAATGGTATGTACCACCACCATCAACCAAAACATATGAAGTAATAAGAGATACTAACTACTATTAGGGACGTGTTAGAACTAAGACTGTTAAAAGAGCCTCAAAGGTTTTAATTGAAAGATTTTACCCAAAATTAACTTTAGATTTCGAAACCAATAAAAGATTAACATCAGAAATTGCAGTTATTCAATCAAAAAGATTAAGAAATAAAATTGCTGGTTACACCACTCATTTAATGAAAAGAATTCAAAAAGGACCAGTTAGAGGTATTTCATTCAAATTACAAGAAGAAGAAAGAGAAAGAAAAGATCAATATGTTCCAGAAGTTTCAGCTTTAGATTTATCACATACCAACGGACAATTAGAAGTTGATGCTGAAACTGCTGATTTAGTTAAAACTTTAGGTTTCAAAATTCCATTACAAACTGTTAACATCTCATCACAAAGAGGTCCAAGAAGATTTGCTAAAAGAAGTTAGTTTAATTTTTTTATGTACAACAAAATTATATAATACACAATTAAAAAAATAAGTAAAAAAAATTATGTAAACATTGTAGATATCAACAACAACAACAACTTTCCTATTTACTATCAATGTTATTGTTTCTACTATTCTTACCACTACTAAGTGCTGCTATTCAATGGTTCCCCTTAGATTCTGATGGTAATATTCCTAAAATTCAACCATACACAAAAAATCAAGAAATATTATTTGATTGTATTCAACGAAATATAGATAATGGTGAACATAAATTTGATCAACAAAATAAAATAATATATGGTCCATTCCCTAAATGTAAAGAAACTCAAAAACCATTAGTATTCAAGTATGGTATTAATGAAGATTTAAATTGTACTGTACAATTTACTGATGAATTATATCATTTATTTCAATTATATATTCATGAAGATGTTCCATTCAGTTGTAGATTACCAATGTCATCTGAAATTGCATCTATAGAAAAAGGTGGGGCTTATATTCCTTTCACTTTCAATTTTAGAGGTGATATAACTGATTCTCATATTGATCTTGATCATTCAATGAATGTCATAATTACAAAACCTTCAAATAATGAACCTGAACAAAATACTTTTATTAGTGCTATAGCGTATGGAAGTGGGACAAATACTACTAGAATTGTAATTGGGGATGAAATTACTTTAAATTTTGCAGTAAGATGGTTAGATCAATTAAAAGTTGATGGATCAAAAGGTTATGATCTTTTATACAAAGATGGATTTTATAAATTTGAATTTGGTACTACATCGGTGGTGTCAATGTTTTATTTACCATTTGCTTGTATTATAACCGCTGTTTTGGTGTTTGCATTAACTTATAAAAAGAGAAGGTATCAACCTATACTTGATATTGAAAAAGAAGACTAAAAATATATTTGCATTATTTTTCCTAATTAAGTTTTCTAATAATTGATTGTATAATGGACTCTATTTTAGCATTACCTTTAATTTGTCGAAGTCTATTTATAAACATATTTGTTAATTCTTTATCGTTATATGCTAAACATTTATTAACTGCTAATTGTATATCATTGTATCTTAAAGGTAGGGTTGTATCAATATATTTTGTTCTTATATCATTTGGGTAATTAGTTTGTAAATATTGTAAAATTTGACTATAAAGATAATTCTTATCCATATCAAATTGATCAATTACATTTAAAAAATTTTCAACAACTCCTAAACCCAATTTTGCAACACATGCTTCAAATATAGCTATTACAATATCTCCTCGCAAAGCTGGTGATTTTTCTTCAATATCAGGCAATTCTTCAATTTCAGGAGCATTAGGTAATTCCATTTCATGTTCAACTTGTAAAATCTTACCTAATTCTTTTCTAGCTAATAATTTAGAAATATATGTTAATTCAAATTGTACATAATTTAACCATAATTTTTCAGATTCAGGATTTAATCTAAGACCTCTTTGAAATAATAATCTTGTACCCTTTGCATTACCATTTTCTTCAAATTCATATTTTGCAGCTGATAACCAAGCATCAATATTTCTAGGTTGTAATTGTAATAATCTTGAATATATTTTGTATATAGCTTTTATAGCACCGTTTCTTTTAGCAAATTCAAGATATTGATTCCATAATTGTAAATCACCTGGGAATTTTTTAGTTCCTCTATCTAATATAAACATTATACGGCGTACTCCAGCATAATCACTAATACTTGATTTAGTATTTATAAAGTCTTTTAATCTATTATATCTTTTTTTACGTAATTTTTCTAAATTTTGTTCAAATTCACTATATTTTAAAAAATCTCGAGGTTTTGATCCTCTACCTGTAATTCTATGTTCAAAATCAGTACGTCTTCTCATTATTATTGTGATTTCATTTTTATCGAATAAACCTTTTGTTTTAAGATCTTCTAGCTCGGGAACTGATTGTTCTAGGTAATACCTTACTTTATCAGCCATTGTTGTTGTTGTACGATTTGATGTTTTATTGAGAAGATGTATATAAAATTTTGTTAATAAAATTTAATTTTGGTGATGCGCAAGATATTAAGGGGTAATTTTTTGGTATTAAAATTAAGTGGTAAATTTATGATTGTTACTTTACTAAAAGTAGTCCCTATCCTAGACAGGAAAGACTAAATTACTTTCGGCTGATGTTAGTTTCTAATCAAGTTCACTTTGTCTAGCTTTCACCTAGTGTACATTTGCAGATTGCATATTATTAGATTGTCACTAAATTCGCTCAAGATAGGAACCAAAATACCGCAAATTTTGAAATACAATGTTGAAATAATGAATTGAACTGGCTTAAAGCACAGCCTATAGTTGTTTGCTACAACACAAGTCCATCTTTATCAATCTATATCAACATAAATTGAAGCGGATAGAAGTCTAATACTATGTGAAACATTTACTAACACTAACAAAAAAAAAGAAATTTTCTTACTGCGAACATCGTTTAATTAGACATAATAAGAATAGTAAACATAAAAATATTAATAACATGATCATTTAATTTATAAAATATCAACTTCTATTTAAATCATAACATTTTTACATTCATTTATTTACAATCAACTTCTATACTTTTACAACACCACTCATCTTCAACTATATATCCTTCTTAGTCATGTTCAAACCACCACATAATTTCTCATCAATACTAGCTGAACCAATATTTTATCCGAATAATTTAACAATAACAAAAAAACCAGATTTAATACCTGGTATACCCGATGGAATATTAGCATTAATAGCTCCTATTATAGCTTATTGGACTTATTCATCATTCTTTCATATTATTGATGTTTATGAATTAGCTGAACAATATAGAATTCATCCAAGTGAAGAAGAATTGAAAAGAAATAAAGTTACATTACATGAAGTTATAAAAGATGTTATAATACAACATATTATTCAAACTATTGTTGGATTAGCTGTATATTATATGGATCCTGTTCCGGTAACAGGTCATGAAACATATATAATGTGGCAATTAAAACATAATTATTTTTCATTTTTACCAGATTCATTAATATATTATGGATATATGTATGGATGGTCATTTTTAAGATTATGTATTGCAATTACAATAATTGATACTTGGCAATATTGGTTACATCGTTTAATGCATGTTAATAAGACATTATATAGAAAATTCCATTCACGTCATCATAGATTATATGTACCTTATGCATTTGGTGCATTATATAATGATCCAATAGAAGGGTTTTTATTAGATACTATGGGAACAGGAGTAGCTGCATTAACAACACAATTAAGTCATAGAGAAAGTATTTTATTATTTACATTTGCAACCTTAAAAACAGTTGATGATCATTGTGGTTATAAATTACCATATGATTTTTTCCAATGGTTATTTCCAAATAATTCAGTATATCATGACTTACATCATCAACCATGGGGAATTAAGTCAAATTTTTCACAACCTTTTTTCACTATTTGGGATAAATTATCTGGAACTCAATATAAATTTATGGAAGAATTTAAAGAATTACAAACTAAAATAACTTTAGATAAATATAAAGAATTTTTAGAAAGAAAAACAAGGAAAGGTCCAACCACCATCAAAGAAAAAGAAAATTATAAAGAGGAATTACAATTAGAGAAAGAATGGATTGAACAAGAAAATGAAAATAAGAAAGATATATAGAATAGTAAATAATTATTTTATAGCTAGTTAATGTTTTTTTGAATATAATAATAATTAATAATTTCAATGCGTATATTTAGTTTTTGTGCGTTTTAATTTTTTTTGAAACTAGCCAGATCTTATCAACACAATAAAATGTCAAAAAAGAGTGGAGATGATATATGGAAAGGAAGTGTTGAAAAAATTGTATGTAAAATCAAAAAGACTCAGCCATTATAGTCTTACTTTACTAACCTGCTTTTTTAAGAACTCAGAATTATTCACATTGACGTATGGATCACTAGTATCTCAACTATGTCGAGACTTTCAAAATAATTATCAAGAAGTAAACATTCAATTAGATAAAATGGGTTACAACATAGGTTTGCGATTAATAGAAGAGTTTCTCGCCAAAACCGGAATCCGTAGATGTTCATCATTTAAAGAAACAGCAGATATAATATCAAAATTAGGTTTCAAACTATTTTTAAATTTCCAACCAACAGTTGAGAATTGGTCAAATGATAATAAAATTTGTTCACTTATAATTCCAGAACCAAATCCTTTAACGGAATTTGTGGATTTACCACCAACAGCTAAAGATTTATGGTATTCTCAAATATTATGTGGTGTATTGAGGGGAGCTTTACAAATGGTTCAATTGGATTGTGATGTTTATTTTGTTAAAGATGTTTTGAAAGGGGATGATAAGACTGAAATGAAGTTGAAATTGAATAAGATTTTGAAAGATGAAGTACCTGTATAATGGGAGAATCAAATGTTGGTATTTTTTCATGCATATATATCTAATAGAAATCACAAGTTCAGAGATCAGCTTTTCAGGTCAGGTATTGGTAAATCATTTATCACATAAAAGCTTAGAGTCATAGGTGTTCGTACAATGAATCAATGAATTTACGTCAAATGAGACTTACAAATTGTAGTACTCTTTTTATAAACTGAATTTGCAGCGTAATTAGAGTTCTTTGAATTGATCTGCGTGGGAAATTAAATGCATTTTTAATGTGATAATTGTACAAATGCCGTCAATTAATTGATTTTATCTACTTATAGAATATGATACAACTAAATTATACAGTCTAATCCTTGTGATACTAAAATTAGCGAGCAACAACGGAGCAACGTTTGGTTTGGCAATACTAGATTCTTTAACAGTCAAGAGCCGTTTAGTGCCGCCAGAATAGCAAAATACTTTTTTTAAGTTAGCTAAGGCTAATTATGCTATTAATCCATTTTTTGTTTCAGATTCTTACCAATTTTTATTAATTAACTTTTGTGTCAGCTGATTCTAAGTCACTTATATTTCTAGGAGGTAAATAAGATTGACTATCAATTAAGGTTTCAGCATCTTCCATCTTTAAGTGAGCAGCTTGAGGTCTTTGTATACTAATAAATCTCGTAGTCCTTACTCTATTTGGTGAATCCTTTTTGTGAGTTTTGTTTGTGAGACAAACAATTACTAATAAAATTGAAACAATCACTAATGGAATTGCAACGATTAAAATCGGTATTAAAATTGTTAATCTTCCTTGATGTGTTGTATCTATATCTGTCGTATCTATATCTGTAGATGGTTTTAGCATGATGAAGAAGTATAAGAGACCAATATTTCATGATAAAAATTTTATAAATTTAATATGTCTAATTTTAAGTTATATAATATATCAAAATTTAAAAATGTATGCAAATTTATGTAACCCCCACTATAAAATCTAGACCAAAGGTTTACCAGTAATTTTAGCATCAGGATCTGATTCATCTTTTGCACCATATACAGGGTATGTATTGTATCCATAATCATAAGGTGTATAAAAAGTTGATCTATCATACTCGTTTAATAATTCATTTTTCTTAATTCTTTCTGGTAAATCAGGATTAGCAATAAAATGTCTACCAAATCCAACTAATGTACGATCATTTGCATTTGAATCCTTAACAATGTTGGCCCAATTGTCTTTTTGATCGTAAGTATAATTACCACCTCTTAATATGATACCTTTCCAAAATTTGTAGAAATAATCTAAATTAATATCTTCAGTAACTCCATCTTGATCATATCTACCATCTACCAAATCAATAAAGGCTAATTCGTTACCTTGATCTGCTCTTTTTTGAAATTCTTTCAAGATGTAAGTGTAATCCTCCTTACTATACGGATTAACTCCTGGTTCTTGAAATTCATTGTATGGTGATAATCTAATTGCGACCTTTGAAGCATCTGCGACTTTGAAAATGTTATCAATAACTTCAAATAAAAATCTTGTTCTGTTTTCTACTGACTTACCACCATACTCATCAGTTCTTGTATTTATCAAGGGATGAAGGAATTGAGAAAACAAATAACCGTTTGCTCCGTGAATTTGGATTGCATCGAATCCAGCAACATCTAAAGCTAATCTTACAGCATTTGGATAGTCTTCAGTAGCTAATTTATGAAGTTCTTCTTTTGTCAATGCTCTCAATAAATTTCCACTTTCTTTAGCTTCTTGTTCTGATTTCTCATGTTCATAAACATCACTAACACCAACAAAGTCATAACCTTTTTCTTTCATTAAAGCAGGACTAGCAACTCTACCTAATCCCCATAATTGAACAGCAATAAATCCACCAGCTTCATGAACAGAATCAACAATTTCTTTCCAAGCTAATGCTTGTTTCTCATTCCAAATACCAGGTACATTGGGATACCAACCTAATTTTGGAGTAGCAATAGTTGCTTCAGTAACTAATAAAGAACCATTTTTAGCTCTATCTGTATAATATTTCAATTGCAAGTCAGTCAGAATACCATCCCCTGGATGTGCTCTATTTCTTGTTGTTGGTAAATGTGCTATTCTGTTCTTTAATAATGCATTACCTACTTTAATTGGTTTGAATAAATTTGAAGTTGCAATTGTTGAATTTGTCATATTTATAAATTGTAATATATACTTGCGATTTGAAAAATATAATTGAAAATTAATTAAGTTGTAGATTTAATATTTGTAATTGATTGTGAATGATATGAAATGGTGAATTGAATTCAAGTTGATCTTTTCATCTATTTATATAGTCTTGGTTTTGAACATTTCGGATATCTGAAATTTTTACATTGTGGTTCAAAGTCATATTTTCCTTTTTTTTGCCATATTGCTTAATAATAATTTTTTTGGTTTAGTAATACAAATGGAGCTAAATGATTTCCTAATGGAGATTATTAAGATTTTTTAAGTTTTTTACGAGAAAAAACGAGAGTTGTTGATTTATAATCATAATTTTGAATTAACCAAAGCTACAATCATTTACATGATTAAAAATTATTAAAGTCTTATCGGCTTTTGAGCCAGAAGGAGTAATTGATGGCTAAAGTGCTCAAGTAACTACTTATTGATCACTAGCAGGCTCTCTAGGACTTGTGAATATTTTATTTTTTAGTGGTAACAGTTTTCTCACACAATATCAAAATATAACCAATCTTTGAGTTATATGAAGATAACTAGAATTTGAATCCACAATTGAATTGTGATTATAACTAATGAGATATCTCAACTTCAAAACTTCTCAGTAAGAATCTAATGTAAAATGAATACCCTATGCACCACAATATTCATGTTCAATATGGTATAAGTGTGCTCTTTGTTCTCCCATGTGAATCACAGATTTTAACACAATTATTTCTATCTACATAGCCAATAAGTTTAACGGACAGTTTTATTTGTTTTCATCCTCCTACTTATATTAAAACTTTCCATATATTAACTATCCACGAAATAATAAGGTTTAATGAACTATTCACTTATTACACAAAATCAAATCCTTTTTTAGGTTTTTGCAACCAAGAATTAGCATGCCAAATTATTGCAACTCTTATATATGCGAGCTAGTTTATTCAATATCAAATAAATTTTGTGTCTCTTTTTTTCTTATCCTCTACAATTAAAGACTAATTACAACAAAACGAAAAATCAATCAATCAATCTATATAATCCAATTGCCACATAATTGGGACTAATATTTACTATTTACTAACTTCAAAAGTCTAGATTCACTATTAACTGAGAATTATTTGTAAGTCATTTCACCCACATAAACACGGAGACAATCTGAGTTGACTTCCTGAGATACTTTTCTGGCCCAACGGACAAATTAACGATTTTATTAAACTTGAGAGCCAACCTTTGGAGACAAGCTTAACTAACTGACTGGACTATGATTTGAATTAGACACTGAAGTGAAGCAAGTGAGATATTTGGTGTTTTGAGTATTTGAATGACGGCCCTTTTCGACTTTAGTACTTGATATACATGACCGTGATTAAGTGAATTGTTCTGTGATAGCTGATTCTGATCCAATTTTTGATTTAATCCACCTCATTTCATCATTATTAAATTCATTGCAAATGTTAAGACAAACTTGAGATGTAGCTCAATTTTTGGTTTGACCCAAGGCAAAAAAAAGACTTTAGAATCGGCTTTGTAACAACTAGATATCCAGTCAATTGTTTTATATGAACTCTGAATTACTAAATACTTCTTAGGTATCCCTTTTGATATATTAGATTCAAGTCAGCAATTATCCCAATATCATGTCGGAATTTAAATAACCGAACGAGATGAAACATAGTCAAATCAGTAAAGTTCAAAAATTTTGGAGTGCAATAATTCTATGAAGCAGTATAGTAATTTGTATATTTCTTCAAAATCAAACAAGTCTTCATGACAATTTATGTGGAACATTGTTGCCAAATATCATTCTAATTTATATGAATTAAGCAGCCAAACATTAATAAGAAGTCAGAGGATTTTTTTGGAACTGGGTTTATATGCTAAACAAGTGTTTGATGGTTAATCAAATATAGATATATCGCAATTGTAGGTACAGAGTATGACATACTAACCTGAACAATTGTTGTCTAAAAATTTACTTATTTATGCTGCTAAAATCAAGAAAAAGAATTAAATCACATGACACATCACGTGTATAAACCAATTGGTAGAGAAGACCAAATTCAATTTTGCTAATAGCACAAAATCAAAATTAATATTTACATTTTAACTTAATTTGGATTATTCAAACAGTTATTGATGTATTAATTAAGATTCTATTAAACTAAATTGAAATATTAACATAATGAAATTAAATTTATTAACTATTATTAAAAGAATACTACTCAATTTAGAATTTGTATAAAGCCCTTTCATCATTAAAATTGATTCTTTTCCAATTACATTATAAATTAAGACCAATTGATTTGTATATTCACACATCAAGTTAATTGTCTATTCAATTTGTCATTCATTAAATCAAATTCACTATAACATAATATTCATTCATTTTATTTTTATTTATTTGCATATTCAAAAGTTGTTTGTCTTTTCTATTTAATAAATTCTTCCATATCTTAATTAATAAATTAATAATTAATGCCATTACCTTCATTACCATTCAAAGTTAAAACAAAAGTATCATGGCCAGGAGAAGAATCAGGAGATTTAGGATTTGTTGAAAATGAAATGATCCAAGTTTTTTCAATAGTTGATGAAAGTTGGTGGAGTGGGAAACTACGTAGAAATGGTGCAGAAGGTATATTCCCCAAAGATTATGTTGAAATTTTAGAAGATAAATTATCAAATAATTCTTCAAATTCTAATTTATCTACACCAATTAAAAAGAATAATAGTGGGAATAATACTCCACAAAATACAAGAGCTAGTAATACTATGTTAAATTATAAAGTTGGAAATTTTTCATCAAATAAATTATCTTCACTGAATTCTTATGATAGGTTAAATCAAAGTTTTGATGGATTTCCTACAAAATCATCTAATATACCAAACAATAGTAGTTGGTCCACCAACAAAAAGGTACCTATCTCATATGAGGAAAATGAAAGACAAAGAGAGATTGAATATTTCAAAAGTATGCAACAACAACAAAATTATCATATAAAATCTCCTAGTCCAATGCAAGATCATAGAAGAATTCAACAACATAATCAATCAGATCCAAATTTATTAAAACGTTATCATTCTCAACAAAATTTATCAAGTCCTAAATTTAAATCAAATTCTTATGCTGCTGGTATGAATGATTCAAATGTTGCATATCATCAATCAGAATCAAGAAGAAGTAATAGAGTCCCCAAAGAACAAGAAATCCTAAAGGAATATGAAGAAATTGCTAGAAAACGAGCAGAGTTAGATATTGAATTACAGCGTTTGAAAAGAAATAGTGAACAACAATCACTACTTAAAAATTCGACTTCTCCATCACCGAATAAAAGATCATCACCAACAAGATCAAAAGATGATTATTCGATAGATTCATATGGGACTTTAAATGATGATAAGAGATATCAATCTAGAGATGATTTAAGTAAAAAAATGTCAAAATATATATCTGATGAAGAAGAAGATATAATCAAAGATCAAACTATGTTAAATTATATGAATTGTGAATTAGATAATGAATCACCACCACCTCCACCTCCACCAAAACATTCATTAATTGGTCAAAATTACGAGTTAACAAAATCACAAATGAAATTTCCTTTCGATGGTGATGATTTTAAAATATCAAGTAATCAAGATACTACAAGATATGAAGAAGATTATAAAAAATTATATTTACAACAAGAAGAATTAAAAAATTCTATAAAATCTTTACAAAGTGATGTTATGAATTTATCAGAATTAAGTGCAACAAGTGCAGGTTCATTTATGAGACATAAATATGAAAAAGAAATTGAAGAAAATACTTCTAGTTTACAAAATTTACATATAAATGAGCATGAAGAAGATGAAGATGATGAAGATGAATTAGATAAATTAGAATTGAAATCAAATGTAATGGAATCAGTATTTGAAGAACGTAAAACAAAAAATAACATCTTCAAGAAATTATTAAGAAAATCAACTCATGAACAATTAAATCCAATGGAAAGAAAATTACAATTACAAGATGAAATAGATATGGCTACTTATAAATTAGATATTACTAGAATGAATTCATTAACATCAAAGGAAAAACAATTAAGAACTAAAAGAGTAGTTAGAAAAGAAGGAAATTTAATTGTAAAACCATTAGATTATGTTTCTGATATAAATACAAATGAAACTATTAATCAAGAAGAAGACGAAATTGAAGAAGATATTGATTTGTCAACTATAAATTATGATAAAATTGAATCATTTGTTTCTAATTATGAAATGACTCATGATTTAAATGAATTTATTTCTGATGTTTCTTTGAAGTTTCATTCATCAACACTAAACAAGATAAGAGCAGTTTTATTACATTTATGTAAAATCAAAATTTTAGAAGAAAATTCTTCAATTATATCCCAACAAAAACCAAAATTAATAGATATTCAATTAAAACAAGAATCTTCCATATTTCAAATGAATTATATTTTTAAAAAAATTCTTGATGCTTTAAAAATTCCTTGTGAAATAGTCTTGGGGTTTTGGAAAAAACCAAATGAATTTTATCATAATGAACAATATGTTATAAATCATTGTTGGTTATCTATACTAGTTGGTTCACAATTTAAATTAATTGATATTTTAAATTTTAAATCACCTGAATTGTGTAATTTAGTGGATTTAAAATATAATGAATTTTATTTTTTATCAAAACCTTTAAGTCTTGTTTCTACTCATATACCATCAATAATTGATTTACAACATGTAATGCCACCAATAGATCCAAGTATTGCTTTTTATTTACCAAGAACTTATTCTGGTTTTTATGAAAATAATTTATCTATCATGAGTTTTAATAATGCATTAACAAGATTAAAAAATTGTGAAATTTTTGAAATTGAAATTAATTTACCCGTTGATAAAGAAATTTTCACATTAGTAAAAACTTCAAATTTAACAACTAATGATTTAACATTATGTCAAATAAAATGGTATAACAAAAAAAGAATAGCTAAAATTAAAGCTTATTTACCAAAAAATGAAAATATTGGAGTTTTACAAATTTTTTCAGGTCCTAAAGGTTTACAAAAATTTTTTAATAATATTCATCAATTATCAATTGTGATACCTTTAATTCATGAAGGTAAAGAATTCCCCAAATTAAAATTTGTACAAAGATTTCCAACTGTACAAAGTTTAAATAATGATTTATATATTATTAAACCACAATCAAATAAATTGATTTTAAAAAATTCTTATAGTTTTGAAATAAATCAATATCCATCACAATACCATAGCATAGTTTCGGATTTTAAATTGGTTATTGAATCACCATCTGGTAAATATTTTAAACTTGTGAATCAAGAAGAAGAAATTAACCAACATGGTAAATATGTATCACAAATTAAATGTTCTGAATTAGGTTTATATAGAGGTTTAGTAATTGGTGATAATGGGAATAGTTGGTATGTTTTTGCTCAATGGGAATGTATTAATAATAGTATTGATTAATTAGATGATTAATATAAGTCAATTAATAGATCTTTGATGAGTAAGCTTTGTAGTGAAAGAAGTTTCTTACTTATAACCTGAAAATATACCAAATAATATATATTCTTAAACTAATTAACCTGTAAAAAAAAGTGAACCGAATTAAAAGATAAATTTGCAAAAACCAAAGTACTTGAAAATCAACAATTATACCAAATATAAATAAGTAAAAAATAACCTAAATTAACGATAAAAAAATATCAAAAAAAAATTAAAAATTCAACAACTCCTGATTATTTTTTTTTACTAATAGATCCATTTTTTTTATTATCTCTTTTATGATTATTAATATTTCCATAAACAATATAACAATTACCTTGAGAATCAATTTTATTATGAGTTTTTAAATGTTGAGCTAAATTATCAGATCTTGAAAATTTTTTATCACAATATTTACAACAAAATGGTCGAATATTTGAATGAACTGATCTTATATGTCTTTTAAGATGTTCTGATCTTTTAAATTGTTTATCACAATCTATACAGGGAAATGAACCTTGTTGATTTTGTAAAATTGTTGTAGTTGATGATTCTGAAGTTGATGATGATTCTTTTGTTATTGTTATTGATTTTGGATCTTTTTTTGATTTTGATTTTGTTGGTTTGGGTTTTGAAGTGTTGGAAGTTGTTGGAGAAATTGATGGGGAATGGGTTTGGAATTGTGGATCTTCTTGTTTTACTGTAGTTGATGTAGTTGTTGAAGTTGAAGTTTTTGGATTAGTTACTGAACTTTTTCTTCTTTTTTTCTTTTGTTGAACTGGTAATTGATTGGTTGAATCAATTATATAATTGGAATTATTTAAAAATTCATCTTCTTTAATATTGAAAGTTGATGATGATAAATTAGTTGGTGAATTTTGTAAAGATGTCGTAAGTTGTTGTTCTTTTAATTGTGGTGATTGTTGTTGTTGTTGAGGCGGTGGTTGTTGAAATTGATTGATTTGTTCAATTGAATCACTACCTAAAGAATTAACAAAATTTTGTGAAGAACCAACATTAATATTCCCAAATTGTATAGAATTTCTTCTTGTATTATTTCTACTACTATGCATTCCATTAGTATAAGAATAAGATCTATGTTTTGATGAAGGTTTTATTGGAACTTTTGTTATTGAACTTAAAGGATCTAAATCTAAATTTTCATCAATTATTGCATTTAATGAATTATTATTATTTGTTGTTGAAGTTGTAGTTGAATTTATACCAGTAAACCAATCATTTAAATTTGATGATGATGATGATGTCTCATCTGAAAATTTGAAATCTATTTGGGACGTTGATACACTTCTATTGTGTGTTGAAGGGAATTTCTGTTGAAGTGGTGATGTTAAAGTTTGAGGTATTGAAGAGTTTTGTTGAATGTACTGTTGTTGTTGTTGTGGTGGTTGGTTTTGTGAGGGGAGTAAGTTGAATTGCTGGATTTGTTGTTGTTGTTTTTGGAATTGGATTTGTTGCTGTTGTTGTAGTGGTTGTTGTTGTTGCTGGAACTGTTGTTGTTGTTGATAATTTTGACGTGAAATTTGTTGCTTTGTTCCAAGTATAGTACTTAAACTTGGTGATGATAATGATGTAGTTAATTTATAATTAAATAACTGTAATGGATTTATAGTACCTTCATCATTCATTAATTCTTCATCATTATTATTAGTGTTATTTTCATTATTTGATGAATTTGAGCCTATGGAATTTCTAGTTGAGCCTGAACATGCTTCTGCTGCTGCTGCTGCTGCTTCAGCAATTGTCTTAGGATCCAAGTTAATCAAACTTGATGATTGATCTAATGATAATGGAGAAGTTTGTTGTACTTGCTGTTGTGGTGGTTGTGGCTGTTGATAAATTTGTTGTTCTGTAATATTATCTTCTTGTATTTGATCAAAATTAGGTTGATGTAAATTTTGTAAACGTTGCGCTTGTAATTGATCAATCATTAATGAATCCAATGGACTTTGTTTTAAGTTATTGATTGGAGTTCTTAAACTTAATGAAGTTAATTGATCAATTGGAATAGTATTTGAATTTTGTCTTTTATGTTGTTGTTGACTCTGTTGTTGTTGTTGTTGTGGTGGTGCTGGTGGTGCTGGTTTTGGAAAATTAGATTGTGGAAAACTTGGAGTCGTTGGAATTTTTGGAGTTATTTGTTGTTGTTGTTGTTGTTGTTGATGATCATTACCTCCTAAATTTAATAAATTAGTTGAAGTTGACGAAGATATTGAACTTATTGAAGTATTTGGAGTACCACGTTGATTTTGATAATTACTATTGTTATTATTATTTAATAAAGAACTTGTTGATAAATTACTAATTTGTTCTTCATCTAATTTATTATTATTTTGATTATTATTATCAACTATAATATCATTTAAAAATTCTTGATGTTTTTTAAAATTTCTTAATTGTAACACTTCTGATGGTATATTGTTATTAGTATTAAAATCTTCTTTATCTTGTTCTTGTTGTTGTTCTTTTCTCATTAATTCTAATTCATTGTTTATTGAAGATGAAGTATGGAAATAATTATTTTTAAAAAATATTTCATCATTAAATTGCACCGAATCAATCAATTGATTTGTATTTGAATTTGAATTTGAAGTTGAAGAAGTAGATGGTTGAGATCTTGAAGAAGAAGAAGAATTAGTTATTGATGAATTTTGAGAATTGTATGAAGTTGTTGGTGAATAATTCGAACTTGAATTTTGAATTGCTGATGGTAATTCATTAATAGAAGTATAATTCCCATTATTAGTATTAGAACTATTACTATTATTATTATTATTATTATTTATTGAATCAATTTTTAATAAATCCTCATAATCGTTATTATTATTAGTTATTGAATTATATTGATTGAAGTTTTGTGAATTAATATTATTATTATTATTATTATTATTAATAATATTTGAATTACCATATATTGTATTATAAATTGAATTATTTGCTGTTAGATTATTTGTTGGATTAGTTGTAGTATTCTCAAATATTGATTGATAATAATCCAGTGACATTTCGTGAAAAAAAAGTGCCGTGTTGTAAAATTAATTTAATTGAGTTGTAAATAAATTGAATTGACGATATTTGAAAATTGATTGATTGATTGATCAATTAATTGAATTAATAAATTACTTGACTAATTAGTGAATGAATAGATTTAATAAATAATTGTAAAAGATTGAGTAAAGTATATAAAATTATAATTAAATTGAGGTAAAGAAACCCAAGATTATATAAATTAAAAAAGTGATAGTATTAAGTTCTTTTATTGATATGTATATTTATTAATTTAGTTGTTGAGGAACTTGTAAATTATAATTGATTAAATAGATATATATAAAGATAATTGAATGGATTGGATTAATATAAACTAGAAAAATGAAATTGAAATTGAAATTGAAATTGAAGTTGAAAGTGATATAAAATTTATTTGTAATTAATATATAATATTAATATGGCTTGGTATTCAAAATTTAATCTCTCTTTTAAAATTAAAATAAAATTTGGAGAAATTAAAAATAAAAAATTAAAAATTAAAAAAATTAAAATAAAAAATTTAAAAACTTGTTTTATTAAAAAAAAAACCAAAAGTCAAATTAAATCTAGTTGTGGTGGTGTTATGAATAATTAAGTAAAGGTATTATAGTACTTTAAATTGATAATATAAGAAATATATTTTAAGTAAAAAGTATTAAATCTTAATGTACTAAATTATGAATCAAAAATTTACTTAAATAAAGAGAGATAAGATAAGATTAAGAAGAGAGAACAACGTGAGACAAGTTTAATTTTTTTATTTAATAATTATTACATATTAATTACATATATTAATCTATTTTATCTTTTAATTACTTTACTTTCTTTAATCAATTGATTTAAACTAACTTTAAGCCTTATTCTTTTACACACACATTGATACATATCAAAGATAACAAGTTTATTAATTGAGATTGATTTGATTTAATTTTTAATAAATTTATTAATATAAGGAAATTATTATTATAATAATTATAATTTTAAATATATAAAGGTGTGTACTTTATACAAGTTTTATATAACGAATTACATAATACTATTAGCAAGAATTATGTAATATATAAATACTTGCATAAATTAAAGTATTTAAATTACTGTATATAAATAAAAGTAGTGTAAAATTGGATAAAAAAAGAAAATTTTAGAATAAATTAAAATAATAAAATAAATAATTAAATTAAATCTAAATATGACATATTTTATAACCATTATTATTTATAATCAATTCGTTTATAATATAAATATATATATATATTATTACGTTATTAAATACTTGTTACTATCGATTGAGTAGTCAATTGATCGTTACATTTATTGCCAAGTATCAATTTTGTCACTACAAATCAATAATATGTAATACATTGTATTGATATTTCTGTTTAAAGTAGTACAAGATTAATATTATTAGAAGTAAAATTATTATTTAAAAATAAATTAAGATTACAAAAACTTAAAAAATTATATTTACGATCTTGTTTTATATACAGGATAAAGCTAATTTCATATAAATTTTAATACTTAAAAGTTTAACATATGTTTTTTTGAACTAATACTAATTTTATGAATTAATATGTATTCACCATTAGCTTATTCTTCAAACTATGATATATAGAATTAATGATCAAAAATCAACAATAATTTAAAACCAGTTTAAATTCATTGACCAATCGAATAAATAACCAGAATTTTTAATTCGTTTAAAGAAATAGGAGAATTTAAACAATTAAATTTATAATAATATGCAATTCTAAAACCGTAAATATTTAATTCCAGACTTCGGAAATTAAGAAAATATATGATATTTAAAGATTATGAAAAAAGAATTAAATAATAATAATATAATTTTAAATTTAACCAATCTTGTACTTATTTAATCTTTAATCAATGAATATATTGTTATTTTGAATTTATTATTAAATATTTCAACTTACTTCAACTTAATTGTTAAAGTTCAAAAATTTAATTAATTATTCGTCTATGTTTCTATTAATTAAAATTTCTAAAAATTTAAATTTAGACTTTATATTCTAAAAAATGGATATAAGGTTATTTTCACCTTTTTGTAATATAATCTTATACGTTTATCAAGTATATGATTTAGTATTTTAATTTTCCCTGACATTTTAATCAAATTTGTTTTATCATATTAATTTTGTCATTTATACGTTTGGTAATTAGACTGATTAAAAATTGAATCAAATTTGAGTAAAATTTAGAAATAGGTAGCTAAAGTTGAACTATATTTTTAAATTACAAGTTTGCCTTTTTTTCTTCTTCTCTAACAATCAAGAAATTCGATTTTCAGGACATTTGTATTAATTCACCTTGTTTACTTTACTCCTATTAAATTGATTGTTATCTCAATAATATAATCTGTTGTTATCTCAATAATATAATCCGTTGTTATCTCAATAATGTATTCGTTATTTTTGACCATTTGAGCCGTTGGATTGATATGAACTTAGAAAAACAGCTTGACAGGCGTACCAATATACAAAACAAATGAAGATAATATTACTTTGACCAAAAGATCTAAAAGTCAAGATAGGTTATTCTTGTTAAAACAAAACTGGCTTCCACCAGGCGGTTTTATAATAAAGCCTAAAAAATTAAGCTTTAGATAAATTAAATCTCTTTAAGGGGTATTTATTTTAAAAATGACAAAAGACCACTTAAAAACTAATTTTTAGCTTTGTGTGTAAAAAAGGTGAAAAGTAACTTGCATAAACTTGAATTCTTATTTGAAATAATTAAAATATTATTTGATGAAATATTTTGACATGAAATTAATATGTATATAAATGGTATGGAAATATAATTTAAATAATATTGAAATTTTGATTGACATGAAAGAATTATTTTATTTTTTGATAGTTGATTTTGAGAAAATTGAATAAATATATATTTATTTTTGTTTTTTTCTCTTTAGTCCAAAGTCTTTAATAATATAACTGACAATTATTTATACAACCTTTGGAACTTATAAGTATGAAGAGATAGGTTCAGATTACAAAAATCATTTGAATTAATCAATACAATTGAGTATAGTTTCTCAATATGTGTTTTATCTTATCAATATTTCATGTTAGATAAATAAAAAACTCCGAGTGACTATTGAGAAAGTTATATGCAGTATACTTCAAATTAAAATATTTATTATTTTGAAGCACGAGCTTAATTTTATTTATCAACTAATGTCTAATTCAAGAGATAAAAATAAATACTTCATCAGGTAGTAAATATTGATCAGTAGAAAAGTCTCACGAGCCTTATTCAAGAAATTAACACATTGACTTAATTGACTTGTTGTAAAATTGAGTTCTCTTTGTATGAGCTTTGATTGTAAACATTATATGACACTAAATTTATATAAGGAAAAAAAAAACATTAAAAATGCATTTAAAGGGACAACTTAAAATTTGATCATTAAAAAAATCTATACAAATTCAATCAAAGTTATAAATATAACACCTAGTTAAAGATCAACTTGATAAATCATTTTAATAAGCCAAATAAACCATCTTCAATACTATAGAAAAGATCTTATTGTTTTTCATAGAACAATAATAAAATTAAACTATCAATATAAAAACACTACCAGATTTTTTTTAATAGATAAATTGCCATTTTTTAAATTATATCATCTAAATTTACAACCAAAAAATTTTAATCGATACTATTATTATACCTATCTAATTATTTAAGTCAATCATCAATCAATTTAGTCATTTCGTTAAAAATAGAGAAAATAAATTTTTCTGATCCATATATATAAATGTCCTCATTAGAAAAGGATTCAAAATCAGATATCTCATCAACAACTAACAAAAACGATCAATCAAATCAAGAACAACAATCACATAAAAGTCATTATCACCCAAATCCATTATTACAAACCCCTGAATTTAATACAAATCATTTACATCATGAATCAATACGGAATTTGATTGCATCTAATTTTAAACATCAAAGTGATCAATCTTTAAATAAACAAGATCAACAACAAGATTTACATGGAAATAGTACGAATTCAACTCCACCTTATTCACCAAGTCTAAAATATCATCGTAAAAAATCAAATTCAATAAGTAATGGAGTCTTATCAAGATCAAGAGCTTCCAAAAAAGTATCATTCTCAAATTTTAATTCAAATAATATTTCAAAAAATTTCGAAAATGTATCATCTTCTTCATCAAATGCTTCAATTGATAATTCTGATAATTCAAGTGATGAAGAAGAAGAAGATGGATCAACGTCATCAACAAATGAAGGAAGTGATAAGTTTAATCAAGGTGATGTGACCTTACGTCGACCTGATTTTAATGGATCTCATTCATCACCGAAAATTAATAAATATAATAAACATAGTTATCAAATAGATAATGATGATTATATAAAAAATCAAAGATTAGCTCAATTCACGACTAGTGTTACTCCATCTCCTGCAAGTTTATCACCAGCAATGTCATCAGTTGCATTACATAATAAAAGAAATAGAATGAATAGATCACCAAAATTCCATTATGGTGGTGAAAAATTAGCATTATCAAAATCATTAGATTCACAATTATTAGATTATAGTGATTCAAATAATTCAGTAAGCAGTTTTTTACCTGAATTTAATAAACGTCCATTAACTGATACTCCAATGGTATCTCATGTTGGTTCACCAATAACCAGAGATCAGTCTGATAATGATCATGAAGAAGAAGAAGAAGAAGAAGAAGAAGAAGAAGAAGAAGAAGAAGAAGATAATGATAAAACAGTTGAAGCAATAGATCCTAATGATCCAAAAAAAGACGATTTACAAAAGACTAAAGGTAAAAATATTTCACATTTAAATTTATCAGAGTTAGCTGATAATTCATCTTCTTTATCTGAAACAGAATCATTAAATAAAGCAAGAAATTCAGCTGCTCATGCAGGTGCTTCATTAGTTGGAACACAATCAACTTTTACATCAGATATAAGAAGACCAACATTTACACCATCAACTTCAGCACCACTTATAAAAAATCATGAATTTTTAGCTGAAGATACTCATTCAAGTCTGGTTAGTCCAATGAGTTCAATATCAGAAGCTCAAAAGAAAGTAATGGAAAATCAACGTAAAGATTCAGAATTAGTAAGAAAAGAGCAGAGAGGTTTAGAGATAGAAAAAGAACAACAAAAGCAAAAAATGGGAGATGATAAACAACAAACCAATAAAAAATTTAATATAACTCAAGATATTGCACATTTATTAAAAGATGTACCACCACATATGAAGGAACAATTTGAAAAAACTCCATCGATTGAAAAACTAAAAAATTTGCTATTAACTAAACCACCACCATCAGCAAGGAAAACATACACTTTAAATATCCCAGGTCAAACAAAATCTAAAACTTCACCTGATGGTAAAATTGCATCAATTGATGTTGGATCAAAATTAGTTATTGTTATGGTTGGATTACCAGCAAGAGGTAAATCTTATATTACAAATAAATTAACAAGATATCTTAATTGGTTACAACATGATTGTAGAGTTTTCAATGTTGGAAATACAAGAAGGAAAAGTAAATTAAATGCAGGTCCTGAAAAGAATCCATTACCTGATTCTCATACACCAACTGAAGCTCAATCACCTGTACAAAATGGTATAAGTATTAACAGTGGTGATTCCGAGAAAAAGGAATTAGCAGCAACTAAAGGTGCTGAACATGATGCTAATTTTTTCAACCCAGAAAATAAAGCAAGTACTACTTTAAGAGAAAAATGGGCAATGGATACATTAGAACAATTATTAGATTATGTTATATTAGGAAGTGGATCAGTTGGAATATTTGATGCAACAAATTCAACAAAACATAGAAGAATGAAAGTCCTAAAAAGAATTCAAGAAAGAAGTAATGGAGAATTAAAAGTTTTATTTTTAGAAAGTATATGTAGTGATCCACAAATTATTGAAAGTAATATAAGATTGAAATTAAGTGGACCAGATTATAAAAAAATGGATCCTGAAGTTGCATTAAAAGATTTTGTTGGTAGATTACAAAATTATGAAAAAGCTTATGAAACAATAGATGAAGAAGAAGAAAAAATTCCTGGATTTCAATATGTTAAAATGATTGATGTTGGTAAAAAAGTTGTTAGTTTTAATATTCAAGGTTTTTTATCATCACAAACTGTTTATTTCTTATTAAATTTTAATTTATGTGAAAGACAAATTTGGTTAACAAGACATGGAGAAAGTAAAGATAATGTAAGTGGTAGAATTGGAGGAGATTCAAAATTAACTAAAAGAGGTAAAAAATTTTCAAAAGCATTATCAAAATTTATGAATTATCAAAGAGAAGAATTCAGAAAACAACAATTGGAAAGATTTTCATCAAGATTAGAATTAAAATATAATTCAATTTTTAATGAAGAAGATGTTACAACTATTCCAACAGAACCAAATTTTTGTGTTTGGACATCAATGTTAACTAGGGCAGTTGAAACTGGTGATTATTTTAATGAACAATTATATTCTGTAAAACAAATGAGAATGTTGAATGAAATAGGAGCTGGTAAATGTGAAGGAATGACTTATGAAGAAATTCAACATAAATATCCAAAAGAATTTCAACAAAGATTAGATAATAAATTAACTTATAGATACCCAGGAGTTGGTGGGGAAAGTTATTTAGATGTATTAACAAGGTTGCGACCATTAATTACTGAAATTGAAAGAACAACAGATCATTTATTAATTATAAGTCATAGAGTTGTATTAAGAATTTTAATAAGTTATTTTTTAAATTTACAACCATTAGATATTGTAACTTTAGATGTTCCATTACATTCATTATATAAATTAGAAACTAATCCTTATGGTACTACTTATTCATTATATTCATATAAAGAAGAAATTGATTGGTTTATTGAAACAAAACCTGAACATCAAAAAAATGTACAAGAAATGGGTCTTGCTTTTAATGAAAAAAGATTTTCAATTGTTCCTACTGTACCTTCTAAACATTCATTATAAATTTTTTAATGGGTTAATAGTTTATAGTTTTTAAGTAGATAAATGTATAAACTTTTATTTTTTTTTGTTATTTCATATTGATTAACTATAAGAAATTACATATTCATGTTGCATACTTAATTGGTATGGCACGTGATTATCGGAGATACAACTCCAGTTTTGTGTCATTTTGTCCTTGAAATTAGCATTTTCTAAACTGGTCTATATCTCCTGAACCACTGGAGCTATACACGATTTGGCAGTTTTAAAAAACTAATTAGGTCAAGATCTAGTTGTTGGTACTATTTTCAAAGCTGTACCTGCTCATTTGAGCGAGATAGACGTTTTGCTTAATAACTCAACAACCAGAAAAGTTTCATCAATGAGACCTAGTGCATCATCAAGTAGAACTAGAAGGGTATTTGTAAATGTAATAAAAAACCCATACTTGAAAAAAAAGTGAAATACTCGGGCTCAAATTAGAAAAACCCTCAAATTTTTTTAGGGGGTAGATTTACAGACTTTCTAGCCATATTGAGAACTCTGAGTACCATCAAGAACCAATAGGCAACATTTATGTATCATTAAAGCTCCAACTTATATTAAATTATGTAATTGCTTAAGCTTTGCTAGTACATGTTTCATTTTTGCAACAATAATATTGTTGACAGCTGTAAACTCCCCCTTTTGAGGATTTTTTAGGGCACGTCATTGTAATTAAGTATCTGTGGTTCAGTTTGCTGCTAAATAATGTAGCTCCGGTTTCTCTATTGTACTAATTTATCATGTTTATTAAAGTCTATTCTAGCTTTAATTTAGAATTTAAAATCTTTTTCAATTGATCTTCAAAACATCAGTTGCTTGCAAATTTTTCCAGCATATGTAAATAGTGATATACAACTTTAATATAGGGTAATTTTTCTTTGGTAATAATGATATGATTCGGTTGTTGTGCTTCTCAATTTACACTTCAATTTTTTGGGCTAAATATCTTAATATGTTATTATATTTGCAGTAATTATACGTGTAAAATGTACAAAACCTTATCAACGGTTTGGTAGCATCTTTTGAAACCATTCGTAATTTTCTTGTCTCAAGTTTTAAGCTCTCAGTCTCCGAATAATGAATGTGTAGGGTTCGAATTATCTGTTTTTTAGTCTTTTTTGACCGTTGTTTTTGGAAGACTATTGTCTTCGGGGCTTGGTTTTGTCTGGGTGCTGTTTTTTGTTTGGGTCGATTTTGGTCTGCTTTTTCTCCAGTCTTGGTCTGCTATAGTCTAGTTTTGTTGTGTATAATTCAGTGTCAGTGGACTTTTGGCTCGTTCTTAAAGCTTTGCTATACTTTAGTCTGATCTTTTGATCGATGTATTGATATTATCAAAATAATTGGATCTTTCATTAATCAATTGTAGCTGCAATATTTTAAACTGAATTATATCAAAATTGAATCAGAATCAACTTTCTGTCTCTACCAAACAACCTGCACACTCACAGTCATGTATCTCAAATATTAAAGTCAAAAAGGGTTGTCAGTCAATTAGTCAATACTCCAAAAATATCACTAGTTTCACTCCATTGTCTAATCTAAACCATAGTCCAATCAGTGAGTTAAGTTTGTCTTCAAAGGTTGGGTCTCAAGTCTAATAAAATCATTAATTTGTCTATTGGGTCGGATAAGCGTCTCAGGTAGTCATCTCAGATAATTCCCATATTTGAGCGGGTGAAATGTCTCACAAAAAGTTCCCAATTGATGATGAAACTAGAATTCTGAAGTTAGTAGTAAATAAATAAATAAATAGTTCTACATTTGTATGGATAAAAGTAGAATGGATCAAAAAAGTATGGATAAAAGTAGTTTGGATAAAAGTAGAAGTTGGTGATCAATTGAAAAGAAAAGTTGTAAAATAAAAAAAGAAAAATTATTTTTGCTTTGTCTATATCTAAATGGCAAAATTTTTGTTATGCTAATCTTTAGTTGCAAAATCTTATTAAAAAATTGAAACACAAAAATAATTAGAATATAGAGAACATATTAATCTGAAATTTTATAAGCTCAAAATTATAAAATTGAATACCTCTAATAAACCAAAGAAGTAATGACAAAACTTTCAGTTTACTGTTTATTAACTCAACTTGATTTTTGAGACGTTTTGTAGATTAATAATATGCTTTCAAACCATTAAATGCGTACTTTTATTGTTGATTTTCAAATTGACATTTATTTATGTGCAGGTTTATAAGGCACGTTATAACTCAAAATCATAACAAATAAAACTGCAAAATTGTGAATTTTTAATCAGTTCATAAGCGACAACATCATCATTTTAAGACCAATCAATCTAGATGATAGTATTCAAAATGCAATTTTTGTACAAAACCGACAAAATTCAAAACTTTTTGGGAGTTATGTGACATCAAGTAATTGAAATAGAAATATGACAAACTCTTATTTATTTTGGTGCTGAATCAAGCTATATAATGCAAAAAAGGAAACTTCAGACTTGAGAGGTATTTAATACTGAAAAGCTAGAGTTCTGTAGCGCTGAACGCTTATTTTTTGAGATAAGGTTCATGCTTTCGGTACCATCAAAATTCTCAATTGGGGGTTTACCAGTCATTATATTATACGTTAAAGTAGTATAATAGTTGAAAACTAATAATTAAAGGCTCTAATGCTAAAGTATGTCATTCATATAAATGACTAATCTGACTAGTAAGTCCTCAATGGTACAAGGCAGCTATAAAGTCAATTGTGCTGCTCTAAACCCCTTTTTAAAAAAAATTGAGAATTTTGCCAAATGACGGCGAAGCACGTCAATTTTTTTCTCGACTTTTTAGCCATCAATAACAAAATGCCCTTTTTATTGTTTCTCCAGTTACCCCTACTTTCTCGCTTCTCTTTGATGTGGGTTGTTTTTCCATTGATCTCTTGGTTCTTGAGATTTTCAAGGATTTAGCTAACTTCGTCAATTTTGCACCTACACTAACAAAAGTAGCGCCAAAAGAAAGATCCCGCTCTAAGTAAAAAACAAGACTACTAAAATGAAGCAATACTCTTGTGATTCTTGAGTTATTGGCAGTTTTAGTTTTTGTTTATATGCAGTCACATACAAATACAACTCAAAATGTAATATTTCAAAACTGACATTTTCATGAAGTAGTAAAATTGTTCAATTACTACAAAAATTATAATATTATAAACTTAGTCAAAAAGTGAGTGTAATTTATATGACACTTTTATCTCCAATTTGAGTGTACACGGAGTAAAAGCCATTTAAAAATGGAATTTTTCTTGTATGCAGTATTTTGTATTGAAAAAATTCTTCATCTCAAACTTTCATTTATACTCGTAGTTATTTAGGTATTTATATCAATCTCAAGCTTACGCAATTTTGAATGTAATTAAAGTTGGACTTTAAGCTCCCACTTGAACAGGGAGGAAGTTATTCAAGTAGTTTATTTACCAATAACGTGACCCCGGAGATATAAATCCGGTTTTGTGTAATGCTGAGCCTGACAGTGGCCAAAACTAAACTGGCCTATATCTCCTTATCTGGCAAAGGTATCGGCGCAGAGAATTGTTTTTTAGTCTTTTCAGATCAAGATTTAGTGTTTGCAGTTAATTTGAAATTCATAGCTACTCATTTGAGCGAGTTAGACGTTTTGCTTAATATCTCAAGAACTAAAGGAGATTTAATAATGAGACTTGGTTCATCTTGTAGATGTAGAGTAAGGGTATCCAAAATTGCAATAAAAAATATTAGAGAAAAAAAAGTGAAATGTCTGGGCGTAAAATGATAAATTCTCAATTTTTTTAGGGGTAGTTTTACAGACTATTGAGCCAAATTGAGAACTCTGAGTACCATCAAGTTTCAATAGGCTACATGCTTGCACTGTATTTAGCAATAAATTGGCTCTATTTGTCCAAATGATTATGCTGTGCAAAGACATGTTTTTTTTATTTTGCAACAATTGACTTGTAGATAGCTGTAAACCACCCCCAATTGGGAATTTCTTTAGGGTACTTCTGTAGTATTCATGAACTTAGGTACCATACACTTTTTGTTTCAACTACCTATTACTTCGTCTTTGTTGGAGTATGCTGACATATCCAGTTTATAAAGATTATTAACTTTAAAATAGATATTTTGAGAAATTCATTTGAGTTTTAAAACTTTTATAGTTGCAAGTTCTGGAATCAAGGCCAATTTTTTGCTTAATAAATTTTTTGGCCAATGTGGCTAAATCTTCGAGTTAATGTGATAACGTAGCTGGTCTTCTTTATTCAAGATTAGAATCTAATACTTTGAATTTTTCGATATGCTTATATTTGCAATTTTTGTGCGTGTTTGGTAGCAATTTCTGAAACAATTTTTTGTTTATAAAAATTTAGATTTCAACTTCTCCGTGCTGAAAACAAAATAGTAAACCTATCATCTAACTTGGTAGATAGCAAAAGCATGCAATTTCAATCAAAATTTTGAATTTTGTCTGAAGTAAAGAGTAAAATTGATTCATAGTTCATTACGTACAAATCGAATCATAATAATCTTCTCCGGACTTCAGAGGTCTTCACTTCCCTTTGATCTTTTTTTTTCTACTTTGATGACTATTAGCAACTGCATTAAATCAATTACTATATTTGTTACATATTTAAATGGAAGCTTTTTCAATAGTCAACTACTTATATTTAGTTGCTTATTCGCAATAACATACCTGATTAACTCAATTATAATTTTAAGTTGAGAAGTTAGTGATTTAAAATAATCAAGCTCAGGTGCTGTTGATTTTTGAATATATTAAAAACCAAGTTTTGGTGTTGGAGCCTGTTAGTAACTTTCTCTTCGATATCGTACAATTTTGAAAAACTTTTTAGCTTCTTTAATCAATCGCTCCACACTAAAGTTAGAATTAAGCCCCTAGTTTAAAAAAATATCAAACTTCATATAGATTTGAAACGTTTGATACGTTTAATAAATTCATGCCTCGATAGGAAGTTAAAAGTATAACGAAAACTCTAAATAATTCGACTAGTTTTCTGCCCCTTACAATTACTTATTCTGGAAATTGGGTCATTCCTGAATAGAGTTATGGTGAAAGGTTAATGGTCCAAGGTCATTCACTACAAGTAATTTAGGTAGGTCAATTAGTTGATGAAATTCTGGAATAAATCTGGTATGAAAAATATTAGTCTTGATTAAAGTGAGTCTCACATGTATAGATTAATGCATAAAATTTAGACTAAAACTTTGCTGGATTTATTTTAGACTACATCAATCGGATATGATCTTCGTATTCAAAGTTAAGGATAATTTTAAAATGAGGTATTTATATCTGAGATTCAACGAACGATAAAAGAATTAACGTAATTGATGACAAATAATACGAACTGAATAATAATGATGGGCTTTGGAAGTTAAAATTTAATCAGTAAGTACTAACTTTCTCAAAAAACCTTAATTTATTGTTTTGTATATATCTATATTTATTTTACGAAAAGTATAATATATTATGATAATATGTAAGTAATATAAAAAATGAAAACACTAAACTTTTTTAACGGTCGTACGACCGTTAAATCTCAAAATTTTTACTAAAAACAAATACAATATAGATTTTGTAACTCTTTTACATTTTTCAAATTAACTCAATAACATTGAGATTTTAAAGTTTGATTTAATTTAAATGAAAGTAATGTTAAGACAATCTTATTAGATCTAAATTGTTTTAAAACCAGAGTTACAAAACTTAAAAAATTGTGCACTATATTGATAATATAATTTAGTCAATTAATTTACTTAAATTTCGTATAGTTTGAATTCAAGAAATAAATGATTCTTATTGGCTGAAACTTTTACTTTTTTAGTGAAGTTAGATGTCAGATGAAATTTTGAGTAAATTAATAATATCTGTCAAATTGTAAGAAACGTTTAGTTTTGCATTGTAGATCTTTCAAAAAAGTGCTTGTGATAGAAATAGGAGTGTAACTTGTTACATACGTGTACTTGATAATAGGAAATAAAGCAAGAAATTATAGCGAAAATCTAATATTGGGATTTACAATGCGATTAATTATGTTTATTGTGTATTATTGATGGTTTTGTGAGAGCCGTTGATTAAGTAATTAATTAAATCTCAAGACAATCAAATTTTCTTTTACACTAACGTCCCTCATGTTAATTGTATATGTACTTAATTTATTCATAACATAATGTATTGCACTACTTTACAACTTTACATTGAACGCTTTGTGTATATGTGTATATTTTTGAGAAGGATCATTTTGAGTAAATCTGAATATTTACATTGATTCTAGATTTTTGTAGTTTGAATATAATAAATTATTTTTTCATAACCCTTTGATGAAAACTAATGAAACATTTGCTATTTGAAAAATGAAATTATGGTTGATACTATATTTTATTGTTCGACCCAGAAGTTAAAACTTACGGAATATTTATTTATAATACAGTGTTCCGATACCAAACTGCTTACAACTTGTTACTTTGTTCAACCTTTTAATAAATCCATTATTATTTAACCTCTATTTAACCCTTTCGATTTCAAGAAATTATGTCAAGGTACCGATTAGTTTAAAAAAGAAAAGAAATAAATTTTAAGAAATAAGCCGTTTTTCGTTGGTTCCTGGGTATTCAACGTCAGACCTAAAAGAAACTTAAATCATAGAACTGAAGTGCAAACTATTTGGAACTCAGACTTTCAAAAGGTATTAAAAAGTTTAATACTATTTGAACCCCCAATACCCCTATCTCTAAATCAATAAAAATTCCAACATATTTTCACATTTACCAGATGGAAAAAATAATAAATTATTATAAACATCCTTCGTTTGTTTCATTCGAAGGTTTTCTGATAAGAATGTGAATGAGGTCCCTTTTTTATGAACTTTAAAATTAAGTTTACTAATGTTAATTATTATATTCATGAAACTTATACAGTATTAAAAGCAATCAAAATGAAGAGATTATTATTTTGGAGAATAAAGTATGTGAATAGTGGTTACTATGAGGTATCCCTGATAGTTTTTTTTCATTCTATAAGATTTGTAAACTCAACAAACCTTATTCCTTTGTATTTGGTTTTTCATCTGCTACATCTTGTTCCTTGTATAAGGGCTCTTTCGTTTAATTTTAAACATAGAATAAATTTGTCGACGTTAAATATAAGTTTAAACTTTTGTTAGACCTACGATGTTACAAATAGTGAACAATTATAATAAAAATAAGAGTGTATATAAGATCTAAAAGTGTATAAGTATTGGTAGTGTAATTATGACTGAAAAGTTTGAAAAATTATTTTTAATTTTAATTACATTTAACTAAAAAGTGAAACCTGTTAATACAAGAAAAAAATTTATATCAGTAATAACAAAATTAAAGTTAAGTTATAATAATTACCTTTTTTTTAAACCCCCCAATTGATTAAGTCTAGGCCCTATTAACATTTCAATTAAAAGAAGAAGAAAAAAAAAAAACAATAAGTAAAATCTTAGTGAACTTAGGGGCTATATCTTCCCCTAAGACCAACAAAGTAAGAAATTATATGGAATTAGTCCTAAGAAAAGATTCATTAAGTAATTGAAAAGTATAAGTGATTAATTTAAGATGTCAATTTTGATATAAGTGTTAATCTTTTTTAATCTAATATAAAGAGAAATGGCAAAGATAATGGCAATTTATTCTTTCTTTTTTAATGTATGTACTTGTACCCTCCTCCTTACTTAAATTAATTCTATTATTTAATGATGTAAATGATTCATATTGAAAATATTAGAAATTTAAGACATCGAGGCGAGATTCAATTCAGTGAAGCCCTATTTTTATTTCAATACAACTAACAATAAAATATAATAATAATATTAAACAATAAAATATAAACTTAAAATTTACGTTAATGCCAATTTATGCAATATTTCTTAATTTAAATTTCTATTTAATTATAATAAATTTTTTATTTTTTTTTTTTAATTCGTATTTGTTAATTCTCTATATCCATTGATAACTAGAAATACGAAGAAATTTATAACATATTTAATTAATTAATTGGTTTAACGAATGGCTTTAAAGTTTCGTAGAAGTTGTTGAAAATAACAAATCAAATTTTAAAAAATGAATTAAGATGTATATATTATATGGTTATATTAATTATTAATTAATTACTTAATAAGAAAGATTGAAAATATGTATAATTTATTAATTTTTACTGAATATTACTTATATGCAGTATTTTAGTTACTAAAATATAATAAATTAAATTAAATTACATAACATATTACATAATATAGCACCCAAGTATTACATAATAAAGTAGTACAAACCTCAATTATAAAGTTTATTTTTTTTATTTTATTTTTTTTTATTTTTTTTAATTTTTTAATTTTTAATTTTTAATTTTTCAAATATTATTAAAATTAAAATTTATAATTTATAAATATAAAATTAAATTAAATTATCAATCAACTTTATCTTACATTTTTTTTAAATTACTTTTTCTTTTTTGACAACCAATTCATTTTTCACTATCAATCATTTTTAATTTGCCATCATTTTACTTTAATTGACATAAGTACTATATATATATTTGTATAATCAGATAAATTGTTCACAAGTTAGTCAAGATCTTATCATTATTTTAGTTACAGATTTCTTTTTTTTTTTGAATTACAACACTATTCTGTTTAATTGAATATTACATTATTATAGATTATAAAGATTAATTATTTACAATTGAGGTATTCTTTTTTTCTTTTAATATATACATAAAATAGGTCAACAATATTATTCAAATTCACGTTACATTTCATTTAGAAAAAGAAAAAGATTATTGTCTAATTAATATTCAAAATATATATACATTTCATTATTATAGTCATCAACAAACAATATTTAAAATAGATCAAAATATTACTATACAAAATTCAACATTGAAGTCGATCAATAGTTTTTCACGTACAATCTATACCTACAAAGTAAGCAAATTAACATGAGTGATTATGGTGGTCTAGGGATTGTTATAGAAGAAAATGAAGATAATAAACAACGACAAATTGATTTAAAATTAAAACCATCAAATTTAAATATGCAACAACAAATCATACCGACAAATTCATTAACTTCTTCACCATTACCAACTCCAACTCAACAATCATTTCATCAACCAAAATTAAGTATATCATCAAGACATTCAAGTAATGCAAGTTTATCAAATATTTCAATTTCACATAAATCATCATCTCAATCATTAAATCCTCCTATACTATCGCAACAACAACAGCAACAACAAACTTCACCAAAACCAAATTTACATATACAAGCACCGCCATCATCATCAAATCAAATACAACAAATTATAAGTAATGATAAAAAAGAAATATTATTGCCACCATTGCCTGATGCAGCAGAAGATTTACGATCACCTTTAATTTCAAATTATAATACTAATTTACATGATGATCAACATTCAACTTCATCTGTAACATCAAATGATAATCAACAACCAAGTAATAACGATGATACAAGCACTAGTCAAAGTGTTTATTCAAATGATTTTAATCAAATTTATCAAAACAATAAAAGTTCAATTTCAAATTATGCTTTAGATTTTCCATTAATTGATCAACAATCACAGAATAATTTAAGCTATTTTCCAACAGTATCAAAACCTTCAAATAATTTTCATGATTCATTTTCAAGTTTACCTTTGGGTAGTAGTACTGGATCAATACCACAAATTTCATCATCAATTAACAATAGTCAAAACAATTCAAGTAATTCAATACAAACAACTAATGAAAAGACAAGTCCATTGAAAAAATTGAAAAGTTTGAAAAATGGTATTAGAAAGTTATCTTTAGGAAGTAATAGTAATAATAGTTCAAATTCAAATATTTCAACTCCAATTACTCCAAAGTTTTCAAATTTAAGTTCAACTTTAAGTTCAACAACTACAAATACTGCATCATTAAGACCAAATTTAACTCCATTACAATTTGAAAATGATAATAAATCATCAACAACAACAATTGCAACACCAACACCAATTCCTCAACCAAATACTATAAATCATCAACATCATTCATCTTCTAGTTCAGCTTCAACTTCATCATCACTTAAATCAATTTTAAGAGCTAAAAGAGTAAGAGCTTCATCACAAGGTAATAATTTAAATGGTGGGTTAATTTTCACACCAATAACTCCACCACCAATGACATCACCAATTATAACAATTAGTGAGAATTTACAATCAACAAAAACAACAATGAATAATATCGAACAAAATTATTTTGATTCATTAGCCGCAGCAATTGCCACCACCGCAACAACAACAACAACCACCACTACAGAATCAACATCTCCAAATAAATCATATACTTATCAACCACCACCTACACAAATTGAAGAAATGACAAATATATCAGATTTAATCAATTATCTGGAATTTTTAGTTAATCAAAGATCAGCAATGGATAAAGTATTCGGTAAAACTAAAGAAAAATTAAAAAATTCAGGTTGGTGTTCAACTACAGATTTACATAATTTACAATTACAACAAGATTCTTCAGTATGTCAAATTGATTCATTATTATTAAAAATTGAAGAAAAATTAAATAGAGATTTTAATTATTCATTTTTAAATAAAAATTCAAGATTTATTGGAGGATTTGATAATGAACAAAATAGAGATGATAATGATAATGATGATAATGATGATTTATTAGATGATTTAAAAGATTGTATTAGTCCAAGTTTAAAAGTTTTGGAATCTAGGTGTTTTTCATTTACTGATTTTTAATACTGAATTTTCATTTATAAATTTGATTTGGTTTCTAGGATTATTTTGATGATTATTTCAACGAATGTTACGAATTTTATTTACGAAATTTATGACTTTTTACTTTGTTTTTTTTAGTTTGGGTTTTTACTTACTTCTTTTTTTATAAATATTTTTACAATTATGAGTTTTTTAAATTATAGATTATATACATATTATTATGGGTTAAATATATATATACAGGTTAAGGAAATAAATACTCAAGTGTAGTATTTTTTGACTTTTGATCGTACTGAAATAATTTAAGGCTCTCATTGGATATATTAGCTCATGGTTAAGTTCGTTAAGTATTGATGAGATGGAAATTAAAAATTGTTGATGTATAGGTTATGAAATCAATCACTATATGTATCACTATATGTAGGGTTAGTTGTGAAAAACTATTATTATTTTAACTCAAATTACATTTATTTAAAAGCATAATAACACCTTGAACTGGTTCTAGACCATGTCTTATTGTTCAATTTTGTGTTTTCAAGATGGTAGATAAAGATTTTCAATAAAATATTGTAAATCGTACAATTTTATAATTTTGACAATACTTTTTTTAAAATTGATAGGTTTTTTTTGTTTCAGAGTATTGCTAAATTTAACAATACTCGGTTAATTTAACTTTTTTAAGCTATTGGTTCTTGGTATATTACTTTTTTTTGTTTGATCAATTCATGGGGCATCTCATCGAGTGAATGAACGGCTTTAATTTGAAGATTTTTCACGCAAAAAATTACGATTTTCAGTCTATAATCAAAGCAGTCTCTACGCAATCTATCTACGAACTAATTCCTGTCCAACATCAAGTAGACATATAGCTAATAATCAACAACTAAATTTATTAGTTAAAAATGTTTCGAAATATTAAGATCCGAATAAATACATAGATAAAAAAAGCATAATTCAGTATGAGGTATATAATTCGATTAATTCTTTTGATCTAGCAATTCTTTTCCCCTCCACTCATTCATTTAGTAGTAAATGGTGCAGTGAATAGAATGCATTCGTATCAAAGAAGTGAAAAAGAAGAAAAAAGGTGAAAATTAGTATAAAAAATTTATTTAAGCTGTTGGTTTTATAGTGTGATGATAATTTTTCAAATTGGTCGTGTTTAAGGTACCAGATTTACAAATTGTGAATAAGTGTAAGCTTAGTTAGTGTAGCCTGATTAATCTTGAGACAATTTACATTCGTGGCAAATACTTACTTAAATTCTATTGTAGGATCTCGTCCTTCTTGCCCCTGTATGGTTCTTGATACTTGTATTGTACATTCGGTGATAACTAAATAATCTGTTTAGTAGAATTAAAAAAATTGTACTGTCCCATAAACCGCGCATTGACATTTCATATTTCGCGTCTTTGATTTTTTATTGTCAGAGTATAGACTATTCAATCATACATTTTATAATTTCAAATTCAAATCAACTCACGAGTTCACTAAATCTCACTAAATTCACTGATCATATCGATGAGTCAGGCACAATTAACTAACCCAAATACATATACTTTGAGAGATATACTATTGTTATCACAACTTCTACATATAAATCATATACCAACACTAAAGAAATTAGAATCAATTGATCATGACCTACTAGTCACGATACTAAATGAATGGAAACAGCATATATCCACTACTTTAGAGCATTCAACTATAAAAATTAATACTTTGAATCAATTAAAAGAGTTGTATATAAAATTATTGGAGAAATATAAAGTTGAGAATACTGAAAATTTAGCAAATGAAGTTTATTTTTTGAGGATTGATGAATTAGAGAACATCATACAAAGTAAGAAAGAGGAGTTTAAGATGACTTTGAACGAAGGTGAATAATTTGTTCATATATCCATCTGTGATTTCAAAATATTGGTGTTTCACCATATTCAGAATTCTCATCTCACACAAAAAAAATATAAAACATTAGCCATTAACTGTTAATTCTTCAAACTATTTACATTCATTTAATACAACATAATTATGGGTAAAAAAAAGTCTAGTTCATCAAAAGAGTCATTAGAGTCACCAATTGCACCACTTTTAGAAGTCAATTTCAAAGAACCATTATTTACAGCAGCTGCACATCCAACAAAACCAATAATAATATCTGGATTAGCCACTGGTCATTTATATTGTAATTCATATAATGCAGAAATTTTGGAGGAAGAACTGACTAAAAATAAGGAAATAGCATTGGAACGAGAAGAAAAAGCGTATGCGCTGGGATTAACTCAAAATGTAACTAGATCAATATCTGAAGTTAAAAATAAGTGGTGGAAAATAGTACAAGATAATACTGAAATTTCATCAAATGGGGTTGATATAAAAATGAATTGGAAAACTAAAAGACATAAAGGATCTTGTCGACATGCCATATTCGATCCAAGACCTGATCAATTGGGGGAATTTATATATACTTGTGGAACTGATAATGTTATAAAAAAAGCAAGTACTGAACTGGGTAAAGTATTGGGGAAAGTTGACGTTGTTGAAGATTATTATGATCCAAAGGATAAATTAACTAAATTGTGTCATTCTACTACTCATCCATTTATATTATCAGGTACTGAAGATGGGAATGTATTAGTTTATGATTCATCTAATTTATCACAAAATAATCTTAAATTTAAAGTTGAATCTGTTCATGATGATTCAATAAATCATATACTAGCTATGGCTTCTTCTCCATATCATTATTTAACTTTAGGATCTACTACATTATCTCATATTGATATAAGAAAGGGAATAATAACACAATCAGATGATCAAGAAGATGAATTATTATCAATGTCATATACTACTGAAGAAGTAGCAGATGGTAAATCAGATACAGTTATAGTGAGTCATGGAGAAGGATTGATTACAATTTGGAAGAATTCTAAAAATAAATTAATGGATCAATTATCAAGAATTAAAATTAATAAAGAGGTAAGTATAGATACTATAATTCCAACAATGAATAATGATAATGATGATCAATCTAATTCAGTATGGTGTGGAGATAGTGATGGAGTTTTACATCGTGTTAATTTTAAATCTGGGAAAGTTGTTGAAACTAGAGTACATTCTAAAATTGGGGATGAAGTTGGAATTTTAGATATTGATTATGATTATAGATTGATTAGTGCTGGTATGGATACTTTGAAAATATGGGGTAAATAGAATATAATTTTGTAAAACTTTTGATTCTACGATTTCATTCAAGGCATCTAACAACTAAATTACTGATTTTGTATTCATCCATTAATCCTCTTCTCTATCATAAAGTACTTCATTAACTAAAGTTATAGGTAGATCCCAAACACCACTAGGTGCCTTATGTACATAATCCAGAACTAACTTGTTTCTTTCATTAATTGATAATTCAGCACCATTGGATTCACCAGGAAATTGAGTGTTAACATCAATGAAATTATTAACATCATTTAATTTCAAAGTTAAAATCTCAGTATTGTATAAAGCTAAAGCTAAATAAGTAAATAACATCAACATTAATGAATAACTTGGAATTGCAATAGCCCAATATTTATCAGGATAATAATCAATTGATAAATTTTTTAAAATATTTTGTGGAGTTAACGTCCATAATATATAAACTAATAATGCTAATGAACTTAATACATAAATTGTAAATCCACTATATTCTGCTTGTGATTTATGAATATTTGAAACAGTTACATCTGATTCTCTAGCTAATTTATCTTGATTTGAATTAACTAGTATTTCTTCACTTAGTTTTGAAGTATGTTGAATTTCTTCATCTTCGATTTCATCATCGTCTATTACTCGTAATATTGGTTTGGGTGATGCTGATCTTGATATTATCAAATCATTCAAAAGACTTGGCCTTGAAGTCATTCAATCATTGAGGTATAATTATCGTAGTTAAATAAAGAATTTATCAATGCGTATTTTATTTTACAGCCTGGCGCTTTTTAAAACCTTAAACATAAAAACATCTATGTGGAGATGAAAAAACATCCAAAGAGATTCCAAATTCTGATAGTACAGTTTTAGAGTATTTATTTATTAAATTTTATACATCACTAATCCCATACCTTAAACTAATTGTTTTCTCGAACCTTTGAAAAATAATTGAACAATAGTAATTTGTAAAAATCCCATTCCAACCATTAATAATACTTCAAATATAGAGAAATAAAATATTCTTGATTCAGTTGATCTAACAGTTGCTTGATTTCTATTATTTCTTGTTTTATAAAATTGTAAAGTTTTACTTAATCCATCCAATTGACTTTCAATTTTATCAACAGTTGATTTCATACTTTCAACATGAGCTAATGGTTTTGTATTTGGTTGATCTGGTAAACTTGCTTTAATTCTATTTTGAATTTGATCTTCATTTTCAACTTCTATTTGAAAATCAACTACTTTTTCACTAAAAGTAGACATTGTATTTGAAAAACAAAATTCATATTCACCAATTGAATGAGCAGTGAAAACAAAATCTCCATGTCTTTTTTTATTTTCTTGATATATTACATTTGAATTTGGATCTGTAATAACATAATCAACATCAAATGATCCTCCACTTTGTACTGCAAAATAATATCTTATTTGAGTTGATTCTTGTTCTGTAAAAATATAAAAACATGATTTTTCATTGGCTCCTAAAATGAATGTAAAAGCTGAAGCTGATATCAATTGCATTAACGCAAAAAGACAAACCAATGACTTGATGAACATGGTTTTTTTTTTGTAATTGGTGATTTGGTGAATTGAAAGTAGTTGATCTTAAATTGGTAACTGATTTTTATTTTAATTTCTTTCTTTGAAAAATTTTAATAAGACGTGTTTTAATATGTCAAAAAATTTGGTAGCAATACCGTGATCGTAATACTAGACCATGTTCTATTTAAAGGATCTATCAAGTAAAAGAGTATTATAGACTACACGGTAATTATTAGTTGTTATTCATTTCATCATGTCAATTTTCTATTTATATACAAGAAAGAAAATTGTGTTGTAGTTTTAACAAAAACTTTATTGATCGGGATGTAAGTAAACCATTTTACCAGAAGCATCAAATCCAACAGCTCTATCTAATTTTGTATCTCTTCTTGAAGCACCATAACGATGACCAAATTCTCCAACATTTTTCATAGTAAATCTAAATAATTTATTTTCATCTTTTCTCTTTTTACCATAAATAACTTCAATTTTTTGATCATCAATTATTTGTTGTTGTTTTTGAGCTTCATCTAAATTAAATTCTGTTAATTTTTTCAAAGTTTTAGAAGCTGGTTCAAGATTTAATATTTTGGCTGCATCAATTGGTCCAAATGGTTCATTTTCTTCTATTGTTAAAAATCTATCTGTTAATGTTTTATGTGGGGTTGGAATTTCTGTTAAATTATCGGCTGTGTAACCACCTTTGAATATTGGGAATAAACGTCTCATTACTTTAGCATATGATTTAAGATCTTCTGCAATTTCATCCTAATTGAAAAGTTAGTAAGTTATTTTTATTACTTGTTATGAAATTGAATTTTTGTCTCAGGGCTTGATTTATAACCATATATTTTGTCTTAAAGACTAATCGAAAAATTTTATAAGCATTCTCATCATTAAAATTCAATATCATGAAGAAATGATACATACTTTTGGTTTAAAATCTTTTTCAATTGAATTTAATTTTATTATAGCTTCAACTCTTTGAAGATTTATACCATATTTATGAGCTATTTCTTGTGGATGTAGTTCTTTTGTGGTTGCATCATCAACTATATTTTGTTTCATTTCATTCGTTATTATATATGAAGTTTTAGAATATAGATTTAATGGGAATGGATGAAGTGATGGATCTCTTGATGAATCATTTACAAATCTATTAGGTCTACCATTTGCATTTGTTAAATTCAATTTATTTTCTCCAACTAATGGTTTACCATCGTTTACTATATAATTTGGTTTATTGTTTTGTGGTGGATAATAATATTTATTTTTATGATAATCTCCTGTTATACTTCTTGGTCCTAAAAAATCTCGAAATTCTTTTAATAATCTTGTTTTATCCATTGCTTCTTTCCTACTAAATCTTTGACATGTTGTAGTGTATGAAAATTGTCTTGTTGATTTCAAACCCTTGGGTATTGAACTAAAACATTTACTACTCATTATGTATATCTTGATTGAGTTGATTTTCAATACTTCGTCCTAATCTTGATTGAAAAATTTTTAAGTACAAATTTTAATAAGAGAAAAAAAAAGATTCAATGTCGGTCATTTTTAATTTTATTTAACGACATTGATTTCTGCGACAATAATTTTTTTGATTTCTAGATCTTTTTATATGCAGTTTATTTACATAGACATTATTTAGAAAAATAATTAACTAATTATATACTTTTACAACCTGAAAAGTGAATCAGGGCTCAATTGAAATAGCATGCAAGAATTACATTACCAGTTTAAATTATTAATATAATACATAATCACTCAAAATTTATTATAGAAGCTGTTTAAACATTCTTTGGAAGAGTTCAAGAATGAATATTACAACACAAAATCATACAAACGCGTCAGTTAAATCATCAAAATTACATCAAGAAAAATCATCAACTACTAAACCACTTCAACCATTAGATATAAATAAAAACAAAAGAAGCAGAGGAGTAAAAGAAATGAATGATGTTGAAGATAACCCTTTTCGAGACACAAATCAGGATAAACTAAATTTAAATAAGTCATCATATACATCTTTTTTAAAAACCCAAAATTTACTAAATACACCTGCAATAGCCACAACCTCAAATAATCCCTTTAAGTCAAATACAATTTTTCATGATCAAGAAAAAGAATCAAATGCAAACCACCCGATAATTCCACAATCACATCAACAACTAACTTTAACACAATATAATGAATATCATGAAGACGATGAAGATATAGCACTTGAAGTTTTAGAAGATATGCAAAAACTTGAACAAAATTTTCCCATATTAGCAAAAGATTATAGATTAATTGATAAAATTGGAGAGGGAACATTTTCAACTGTATATAAAGCCGAAGCATTAAATGGTTCAATCAATCAAAAATATGATATATGGAAATCACCACCAACTAAAAAATCCAAATTAACAAAAAAGAATGCAATAGTTGCATTAAAACAAATTTATGTTACATCATCACCAAATAGAATTTATAATGAATTAAATTTACTTTATATATTATCCGGAAATCAAAGAGTTGCTCCACTACTAGATGTTTTACGTCATCAAGATCAAATATTAGCTATATTACCATATTATCATCATTATGATTTTCGAGAATTTTATAGAGATTTACCTATAAAAGGAATTAAAAAATATATGTGGGAATTGTTTTTATCACTAGAATTTGTTCATAGTAAAGAAATTATTCATAGAGATTTGAAACCAACTAATTTTTTATATGATCCATTTAAAGGCAAAGGAGCGTTAGTTGATTTTGGATTAGCTGAACAACAAATTACTCCACTACCAAATTCAGCAACTTCATGTCCATGTAATTCAAAAACAAATGTATTAAGTCATAAATCATTATCAAGAAGAATGAATGTAAAAGGTGCTTATCCAAAAGCAGATAATAGACCACCAAGAAGAGCCAATAGAGCAGGTACCAGAGGTTTTAGAGCTCCTGAAGTATTATTCAAATGTACAAATCAAACAACTCAAATTGATATTTGGTCAGCTGGTATTATTGGATTTTCTTTATTAACTCGTAAATTTCCATTATTTAATTCACCAGATGATACTGATGCTATATTGGAATTAGCTTGGATTTTTGGATATGAAAAAATGGTAAAATGTGCAGAATTACATGGATGTGGTATGGAAATTTCAATAAGTGATATTTATAAATCAAGTGGTAATTTATTCAAGATTTTATTTGGATTTTTAAAAGAAGAAATTGATAATTCTAGTATACCTGATGATTCAGTTATATATGATACTTTTAAATTATTTGATTCCAATGGTGAAAAATTTTTGAAACCTTATTTTGTTGAAGATAAAGATGAACCTTCAGAAATGAATGAATATCAAGCTAGGAAAGATAAAGAAATTGATAACTATAAGGATCATAAATTATTAATGGATTTATTATATTCTTGTCTAAGATTGGATGCTAATAAAAGATTGACTGCTAAACAAGTTTTAAACCATCCTTTTTTTCAAGAGTTAACTGATGAAACTGTTTTTTAAATAAAATACAATTACTATTTATTACAGTGTTTATTATTTTTGAATGTTTTATATAAATACATACTAGAACTAAAACTAATAATACGAGGATTTTGTTGTTCGTCATCAAGTAAATTCTTCATAACTTTCATATTCAACATCATCATCAAATGAAATTCTTCTACTTCTTTTCCGTTTGTTTGGAACAGTAGCTAATGAAGTTACACTTTCCTCGGTATTTTCCTTTTTTGACAGATCTTTTGAGTTGTTTTTTTCATACATCATTGCTTTATTCCATTTTTTATTTAATTTACTTATAAGTTCATTTTGAGCAGTTATTGAAGGTAAAATTGGGTGATTTATTTTCAGATTTGAAAATTTATTATTATCAATTGGTGGTAATAATATCTTGTCGTTGGTTTTTGATGAACTTGTGGATAATGGTGAGGTTGAGGATTCTGTTAATGGAGGTGCTAATACATGATGATGAGTTAAGGGAGGATTCATTGATGTCAAGGGATTTTTTATAGTTGGTGAAGATATTGAGGTGTTTGAATATTCCATTTGTAAATCTTTTGAAAATGCTAGTTTCCTCTTGATGTAAATTGATTGTTGAATTAATGTGTTTGATTTTACTTTTTTAACATTAAGTTGTGATTGTTTTGGATTAATTGGTGGTGTATTTGTAGATGAAGACGCGTTTTGATCTATTGCTGATTCTGTTAATTTTAACACGTCTTTATCTATATTTAAATGAGGATGTGTTAAATATTCTGATGTTGGACTTGCATTTAAGCTATGTAGATGAGATTGTTTAAGGTTTGAGATTGGAGATGTTGGAATTGGAGCTTGATTTAATTCATGAAATTTAAATCTGAAATCTTCTTTTAGTATTTTGAATGAATCTTCTTTTATACTTCTTCGCTTTTGTCTATATCCTGATGTAAGAACTTGTTTGTCGGGTAATTGTTGTTGCTTTTTTATTGGAAGTGGTGGAATTTCTGAATTTGTGAATGATAAACCTGAATTATAATCTGAGTCATCATCTGATATAATTGCTGATGAACTAAGTTTATGATGTGAAATATTGGATTTCAGTTTATTCGTTAAATTAGAATGATCGTTAATTTTAGGTACTTGATTCGATGAATTTGATACGGGAGTCATTGTAATTAGATTATTCAAATTGACGTGATTTAGGGATACTAAACTTGAAGTACTGTTATTTCTTGTTCTTAAATTTTCATCTAAGGATACTATTGAATTTCTTGGACTTCTATCTAAGCTTATTATTGACATACTTCTTGTTGAATTAGGAGTTGGTGCTATATTGCTAGTATGATTGTTTTGAGTTGTATTTAAATTTGCTGATGTTAATTTTGGTGTTTGATAGGAGGTAGTTTTGGGCAGTTGAGTAGTATTTGATTCAGTTGAATTAATTGGTTGATTCATTGTTGAATTAATTGTTTGTTGTGGAGGTAGTAGTGGTGAATCATTTTTATTTGTTTCTTGAACTCCTTGAATATTTGTTGATGAAGATTGTGGGAAAATTTGAGTTGACTGTGATGGTTGGGGGCTTGAATATGATGATTGACTTGAATTCAATGAGGAAGATCTTTGTCTTCCATAAGTAAATGCCATCACCTTTATCTAATGTATAGTAGTTTTGTGATTTGTTTGTTTGTTTTGTTTAAGGTTATTTATTCCATTTGTACTGAGGAAAATAAATCGCGGTTGAAAAAAAAATTGGATGAATAGATGAAATGCTCTAGTGATATATGATTAATAGTATTATGAAGTAATCAGATTATAGCTTAGACCAGTTTGATATATTAATTGAAATTAATGATGTATGTAGTATAATTTATTATTTGAGATGTGAAAATTAAATTACCCTTATTTTTTTTTTTTTTTCTTTATCTTTGAATTATTACACAAAATGTCAAATTTTTATAGAACAAAAATTATTAATAGAAGTTTTTGTAAAATAATAAAGTACATTTTATTTAATTTATAATGAATTGAGTGGAAAACAATTGCTAGAATACAAGTAGGTTGGAAAATTAGTTAATAGTCTATAAAATATAATTAAGTTAAATGAAAGATCTCATTTCCATATTTTTTGAAAATTAAGGCATTAAAATCAAACTCTGAAAATTCTTTTTTAAAAAAAATTGCATAATTTGGTTTCAGAAATTAAATTCAACAGCTTAATATGCTAACTTGGATAAAGACAAATACTTAATTTGTTAAATTCTTTAGGTAAATCTTCCATACTTTCAAGCGTTTCTAGAATTAAATTTTCAAATCTGAGAGTAATCATCTGTCACTGCCGATTCAAATGTTTCAACCACAAGATTTGGACTGGTGATGCGGCTTAGATCTCAAGTTTTTATCTGAAACATTTTATTATCTTTTCCCCCCTTTAAAAATATAAGAACAGGTACAAATAACTTGGTACTTTCTAGGCAGTCCAGATATCTCTAGGTATTAGTTTACACTTTTAACATTGGCAAAGAGTCAAAGTTAAAAATAAAACCATCAAGTCGCTGATCAAGTCTAGCTAATTGTTTTGCAAAACAACTAAAACCAAGTAAAGGTTTTTTCATTCTTTCAAGCAATATTAGTTCCCTCATGAATCAAACTGCAATCTGTTCTAAATGATACAAATCAGTTTGTTTGAAACCGGAAACCAATATTAGTAAATATTGTCTTCATATCCAGAATATATAACTTAAATATTTGTAGTTTAGAACATATGGTGTATATAAGGAAGTGTCTTATATTCCAAACAAGCTCAATTTTAATTTGGTCTAACTCCAAATGAAACGTTAGTTGTTTGTTATTTGGCTCATGACATACGTGCTTTGCACTAATTATCCAAAATCGTACTAAATACTTAATTGGTAAAACACGTGAACGTACCTGTGCTACCAAAATATTTTGATTTATTAAGTGATATATCTGGCAATTTAAGCTCAACAAAGAAACATTTAGAGAGGCGGAAAAAGCTAGATAAGTTTCAGAAAGACAAGCAAAACCCTCTACAATATAAAAATTAGCCATATGCGCTTCATTGATTTTGTGTCGTATTTACTTTAGTTTTGTGTAACCTTGAACTTGAGAAGCTGAAAACTAGAATCGCTCATAACCCAACCAGTATCAAGGTCATCAAGCTAAATTATAGCTTGAATAATTTTTAACAGCCCGAGTATAGCTCAGGTACTTTCAAAGCGTGTCAATCGGCCCATTTCAGTGCGTTTGTTTTTGTGTAATTTTTGACCTAAGGTCCTAATTCTAGCTGAAATCGAACCCGGTATAACTCAGAATTTTAACTGAAAATTTGTGCTTGCCACTACGCCATGCAAGATTAAAAACGTGACTTTCGGAGATACATGTCCAGTTTTGTGTAACTTTGACTCTAAAATTAGCATTTACTAAATTTGCCTATATCTCTTGTACCAATAGAGCTGCTCACGGTTTAACATATTTATTGTGTTTGTAGAGTTGAGATCTAACATTTGATACTGCTTAAAGATCTGTAACTGCTCATTTGAGCGAGTTAGACGTTTTGCTTAATATCTCACCAACCAGAGAAGATTCATCTATGAGACCTAGTGCATTAGAATGAAAAGCAATAAGGGTATCTGAAAATCCAATAAAAAATAATACCTGAAAAAAAAGTGAAATGTTCGGGCGCAGATTAGAAAACCCTCAAACTCTTTAGGGGGTAGATTTACAGACTTTCTAGCCATATTGAGAACTCTGAGTACCATCAAGAATCAATAGGCAACATGTATGCATCACTAAAACTCATATTTGAATCAACTTATGTAAGTGCTTTGGCTCTGCTAGTACATGTTTATTAATTTTGCAACAATAATTTGTTGACAGCTGTAAACTCCCCCATTTGAGGATTTTTAGGGTACGTCATATTCATCAACTATCTGTGTTTGGCTGGCTTTCAGATAGTTCGAATAATGTAACTCCGCTTGCTCTAGGGTTGTTATTTGTCACAAATATTAATGTTCATATTTGCTTCAACTTACAATTTATTATCCCATTCAATTGATCTCCAAATTTTTTGCAGTCGCAACTTTCTTTAATATATGTGAGCAATCATATATCAACCTTAATACTGAGTAGCTGTTGTTGATAAATTGGATATAATTAAGTAGTTGTACTTGTCAATTTGCACTTAAATTTAATAGTTGTAATTGTCTTGATATGTTTATATTTGCAGTATTTTTGCGTGTAATCTGCCAAAAAATTCATAAAAGGTTTGGTAGCATCTTTTGAAACATACCGTAGTTTTCTTGTCATTGTGTCTAACCTGTGAAGTTCTTGCCTTTTTGGCACTCTTAGTGACCATTTTTTTATTTTTATGGCTAGTCTCAAGTCAGTTTGGGGTTATTTTGCGTCTCTTTTATTGCAATTGTCCAGTCTTTGTCTGCTATTTAGTTTTAATCATTGCGTTGACTGATAATATGAACTGACATAAATCAAAGTTGTATTGAATCAGCTGTCCATCTCCATCAAACACCCGCCCACTCACTGTCATGTATCTCAAGTACCGAAGTCAAAAAGGGTTGTCAGTCAATTATACAACCCAACAAAAATCTCACTTGTTTCACTCCAGCGTCTAATATAAACCACAGTCCAGTCAGTCAGTTAAGTTTGTCTCCAAAGGTTGGGTCTCAAATTTAGTAGATTCATTAATTTGTCCATTGGGTCGGAAAAACGTCTCAGGTATACAACTCAGGTAATTCCCATACTTATGCAATTTCTCACAAAAAGTTCTCAATTGTTAATAAAACTAGAATTCTTAAGTTAGTAGTAAATAAATAAATAAATAGTTCTACATTTGTTTGGATAAAAGTAGTATGGATAAAAGTAGTATGGATAAAAGTAGTATGGATAAAAGTAGTATGGATAAAAGTAGAAGTTGGTGATCAATTGAGAAAAAGAGTTGTCGAAATAAAATAAAAAAAATTATTTTTGCTTTGTATATATCTAAATGGCAAATAATTTGTTATGCTAATCTTTAGTTGCAAAAATTTAATATGAAATTGAGACAAAAAATAATTAGGATATAGAGAACATAGTATACTGAATTATTGGAAGCTGAAACTTCTGAATACTTTATATAACCAACAATAATTCCGCTAACTGAAACTCAATCTGATTTTTGAGAGATCTTTTAGATAAATAATGTGCTTTTACACCATTAAATTTGTACTTTTATTGAATCAATTGACAATTATCTATATACAGGAGTATAAGGTACGTAATAACTCAAAATCTTAACAAATCAAATTGCCAAAATGTGTACTTTTAATCACTTTATAAAAGACAAGAACATCAGTTCAAGACCAATCAATTAAAATAATAGTAATCAGTTTGTATATATTATACAAAAGTAACAAAATTTAAAACTTTACAGGAGTTATATGACATTAAGTGATTGAACTGAAAATATGCACAAATTCTTATTCATTTTGGTGCAGATTAAACTAAATAATGCAAAAAAGAAAACTTCAGACTTGAGAAGTATGAAGTACTAAAAAGTTAGAGTTTTGTAGCGCTGAACGCTTATACTTTGAGATACGGTTCATGCTTTCGGTACCATCAAAATTCTCAATTGGGGGTTTATCAGTCATTATATTATACGTTAAAGTAGTATAATAGTTGAAAATTAACAACTAAAGGCTCTAATGCTAAAGTATGTCATTCATATGAATGACTAATTTGACTAGTAAGTCCTTAATGGTACAAGGCAGCTATATAGTCACATATGCTGCTCTAAACCCCTGTTTTAAAAAAATTGAGAATTTTGTCAAATGACGGCGAAGCACGTCAGTTTTTTTCTAGACTCATGAGCCACCAGTGACAAAATGCCCTTTTTATTGCTTCTTCAGATACCCCTACTTTCTCGCTTCTCTTCAATGTAGGTTGTTTTTCCATTGATCTCTTGGTTCTTGAGATATTCAAGGATTTAGCTAACTTCGTCAATTTTGCACCTACGCTAACAAAAGTAGTGCCAGATTGTAGATCTTACTTCACTGAAGCAACTAGACCGCTCAAATGAAGTAATTCTCTTCAGGTTCTTGATTTATTGGCATTGTTAGTTTGTACTTATATGCAGTCACATACAAATACAACTCAAAATGCAATATTCAAAATTAACATTTTCATGAAGTTTTAAACTTTTCCAATTTCTGCAGAATTTACATCATTATAAATTTAGTCAAAAAGTAAATGTAATTTATATGACACTTTTATCTCCAACTTGAATGATCACGGAGTGAAAGCCATTTAAAAAAACAAGAAACGAAGAGTGAAATTATTCTTATATGCAGTATTTTGTATGGAAAAAATTCTGCATCTCATGCTTTAAATTATATTTATAACCATTTGAATGTTTATATCAATCTCAAGCTTATGACATTTTGAATGTAATTAATATTAGACTTTAAGCTCACTCTTGAACGGAGAAGAAGTTATTCGGGTAGTTCAACTACCACAAAACGTGATCTCGGTTGTATAAATCCGGTTTTGTGTAATTTTGACTTTGAAATTGGTCAAAACTAAAATGGCCCATATCTTCTTATCTTGCAACACTATCAGCACAAAACATTGTTTTTCTGCCTTTTTAGATCGAGATCTAGTATTTGCAGTTACTTTGAAGGCCATAGCTGCTCATTTGAGCGAGTTGGATGTTTTCCTTAATATCTGAACAACTGGAAGAGATCACGCGACGAAACCTAGCTCAATGGATAGATGAAGATTAAGGGTATCTATATATGTAATAAAAACATATAAAGGAAAAAAATTGAAATGTCTGGGCGCAAAATGGTAAATTCTCAATTTTTTTAGGGGTATTTTTACAGACTAACAAGCCATATTGAGAACTCTGAGTACCATCAAGCACCAATAGGCAACATACTTGCTTTATCCTCAGCACTCTTTGACCTTCAAATAGTCTTGTGATGAGGTTGTGCAGAGACATGTCAGTCAAGTTTGCAACAATTCATTTGCTGATAGCTGTGAACCACCCCAATTGAGAATTTATTTCGGTACTTTGGACAGCTTGGACTTTCTAATTTTAGAAATTCACTATTTTTAAGCTGCTCTTGCTTTAAGCTGTCTTCAAAACCTTTTATACAAGTTGCAAAAGCTTATAACTTTTCGAAAAGACTTTTACGTGAATAGAACTTTTTAGACTGTATTTGAAATAGTTTTCGCCTGTCTCATCAATTTTATTAAGTCTGCTGCTTTACTGCTGTTGTATTGATAAGACTGCCGATATGATTGTTTGATTGAAGAATTATGTTTACTTAGCTTATATTTTGGTTATGCTTTGGGGGTACAAAAAGTATTGAAAAAATAACAATCGGTTTGGTAGCATAATCTGAAACAGACAGACTTTTTTTTATTCTTGTTATCACTTCAAACAATAAATTTTTTACTTGAAACAAGTAACCATATGAAATAAATAAATATAAGTTGTGAGAGGAATATCTGTCTTAAAGTTGGGGTAAAATTATCCTCTAAATTCAAAAAGTGTCTCTACAAGCATTTACTTCTTCACCAGCATTTATGTTTCATTTGACGCTTGAAAGGGTTATTATTATTTCTTTTAAAGAGGTGAGATTATACAGAGATTTAAATACCTATTTATTGTAATTTCTCAACTATTTAAATCAAACCTTATCACCATACTTTTTTGCATATAATCCTAATGCTTTGATAGGAAACAAAAATCTATAGGAAGGATATTCTATAGCACAACTATGATTAAAAACACCTTCTATATCTTCATATAACCATTCTCCTGTTGGTAATTGTCTATCCATTAGCAATTTTATACCCCTTCTGATAGGTCCAATATCAGGATAATCAGCTAATATAAGACCAATTAATGACCAAGCTGTTTGAACAACTAATGATTTTTCACTATTTACATAAGAATGAGTTTCACACGATCTCATCGATTCTGACCAGCCACCATCATCAAGTTGTTTCGAAATAAGAAAGTCACAACCTCTTCTTGCAGATTCTGAGTTTTCATAAGTTTGACCAACACTATTTAAAGCTTCAAGTGCAAACATTGATGCATAAGTATAACATATGCCCCAACAACCATACCAAGAACCATCTAATGTATCTTGTGCTTCAATTATATATTGTATTGCACTGGATATAGTTTTATTTATTAACTCAGTTTTGTAATTTGGATAGTATTTTTGGAAATATGTCAACCCCAACACCGAAGAGTCTGTACATTCCACATAAGGATATTCTACCATTATATTGTTGAAAACTTCAGCGGGATTTAATTTTTCTAATAAAAGAGTCGATTTAATACCTTCATATGTTGAAAACGATCCATATTCCCAGTCTCCAATATTTTGAATTTGTAATAATACTTCAACTGCATCATATAAATTTTCATCTTTGATTTCATCTCTTATATCTGCAAATCTTTTATCATTTCTTACCATAATTATGGCTTTCATTGCTTCTGCTGTACAGTCACTTACTGTATATCCTTGATCTTTCGTACTAAATGGCCATGCCCCCTTTCTTCTATCTCTAAAGGAACCTTCCACACAGTCTTCGGTGAATTGTGATCTGACTAAAAACAAATATGATTTTCGTATCATTTCTTGATATTTAGGATGATCTACCAATCCTGTCATGAAAAAATATTGAACCATAAATGCTGCGTCCCATACTTGCACACCATTTGTTCCCATAACAGTCATACCTTGAGGGCCATGAAATAGAACATCATTCATTCTACCGACTAGTTTCTTGAAATTTTTTGATTGTGGACCTTCATGATAGCTAGTTACAATCATATTGAATGCAAAACTTACTGGTGCAATACATAAATAATCGGTATTTAAATATTCTTTTTCAATTAATTTATAAGTTTTGGAATTTATCCAGTTCAACATCCAATTTGGTCTTACTTTCTCCCATCCACTTAAAAAATAATTTGCAAAATCTAATACACTAGTATGAGGATAATATAGATCAACACCACATACATTATTTCTATTATTACTAAATTTAATTGATTCATACGGTAACTGACTAGGTAAATAAATTTCATTTCTTATTTTTTCCAAAGTTAAATTTAATTTACATTGGACTTTATTAGCCAGCAAGTAACCCAATGGTAGATAAATTGCACGAGTATGAACCCACCATCTACCTGGATGTATTGGTAATTCATAAGGTAATGCCCATAATTCAGGTGGTGCAGGATTAACACCCTCCCATTCATATAAATTTAAAACTGATAACCAAGCTTTACCCCAATGAGGATTTTTCAAAGCTCCACCTAAACGATGTAATGTTATTTTAGCTTTTATAATAACAGGATGATCTGAAGGTAATCCTAATAATCTTAAACATATATAATTCATAGTTGTACCAAAACATGTAGACTTATCAACTGAATGTAACCCCCAACCTCCATCAACTGGATTTGCTGTATTAACTATATATCTTATTATTTCTTGTTTATAAGGTTCTGGTATTGGTTTTTCAGAATAATAATTAGCAGCAACATACCCAATTGTCATAAACATCGGCCCTTTATATTGACATGGAAATATTCCATTATCTAATTGAAGTAATTTCAAAAAATCAGCTCCCTTTTCCATTGACTTAGTGGGAGTTTCAATCGTTTCTGGTTGGGGTTGAGGGAAATCTGATGTCTTTAATAACCATTTTACATAATTTGATTGTGGTTCATTTTTTAGGTCTGTTTCATTTGTTATATAGTGCCATGTTTCTCTACCTACTGGATCTGTTCTTAGTCTCCATTTCGATGGGTCTGTCTTTGGTAAATTTAATTCTTCTGAATAATACATGTGAAAATTTTAAGTATCTTGAATTGTGGGGTATTAAAATAAAAGTTTATTAATTGTGAGTAGATTTAAGGAGTGACTATGTCAAAAATAATACTAATTGGTGATTGTAGTAAAACCAGTGACGAAAAGGTAAAGAATGATTAGATATGTGAAATAATTTAATGGTCTTTAATAATTCTCGTATTTTAATAATTGATCGTATAAATTAGTTGTATAAAGGACATTAGAATCTTCACATCTACGTCGGGAATTGCAAAGCTGTGACTTACCTTGGATCTTGAAGATTTTGGACACTTAACCTGTATATAGAAACTTTTGTAAAATTACACAAACATTAACTAAGAAGAGAGGAAAAAAAAACTTGCAAAAAAAGAAGTTAAAGGAATAAACATAAGTCAAATAACCACTAATCAATTAATATTTCAGTGTTTATCGTTACTTTCTGTATTAATAATATCGATATTGAAGTTTAAAGTCATTTATTTGATCTTTATTTGTTAAAATTATTAATCTTTTGTCAGTCAACTAGTTTTTTACAGTCGTTCTTCAACTTATTTTTACAACAAACACTGTCCAAGATATCTGATAAATCATAAATAAATGAAAAATTAAGGACATCAAATGATATCAGCAAATATGGGCAAAAGAAAAATAAGTGATATCAAGAACGAGGCAAAACCCTCCAAGTTCAACTCAAAGGAATATAGTAACGGTCATTCTAATGGGACACATTTAAATTCCAATACTTCAAAGAAAAGTGAACAAGTAACAGAAAAGTCAGAGGAAACAGTAGTAAACGATGAATTAAAGAAAAATGGCGATGAAAGTGAAGAAGAGGATGTTGATGATGATGAAGAAGACGAAGAAGAAGAAGAAATAGAAAATTCCGAACCAAAACCAAAAAAAGCTAAAAAGGAAAATTTAACAGCACAAGAAATAAGAATAGCTAGAGAAACTGCTGAACTATTCAAGTCAAACATCTTTAAACTTCAAATAGACGAGTTATTAAAGGAATTGAAAGTAAAGAAAAGCCATGAGGAAAAAATGGAAAAAGTATTAAGAAGATTACACGATTTAATAAAACAAATACCTATAATTGAAAATTTATCTTTATCTCAAGCAGAAAATTTATTTAATCCAAAAAAAATTGTAATCCCATTTCCAGATCCAAAGCCAACCAATGTGAAATATACTTTTTCATATCTACCACCAGAAGATTTATCATTAGTAGGATCGTATGGGTTGAAAACTGGTATAAATCAAGGACTGAGTATAGAAGTCGCCATGACCATGCCGTCAAGCTTATTCCAACCTAAAGACTATTTAAATTACAGAGCTTTATACAAAAGATCATTTTATTTGGCATATGTAGCTGAACATTTGATAAGTTTAACAAAAAAGAATAATTTACCAGTTAAAATCGTTTACCATTATCTAAATGAAGACATATTAAATCCTGTACTAAATATTGAAAGTATTCAAACCGAAAACAAAGACGACTTATCATTTTATAAAATAAAGTATACCATAAATTTACTAGCAGCATTTCCATTTGCCTTTTTTGATGGGAAAAAATTACTACCTGATAAAAATTGTATCAGAGTATCAAATAATATAGAGGAACAACCACCAACCACTTTGTATAATTCAAGCATTTTAACCCAATCTTCATATGATTATTATTTAAAGTATCTATATACAATGAAGAAAGCAACAGAAGCGTTCAAAGATGCATGTATATTAGGAAGACTTTGGCTACAACAAAGAGGATTTGCATCATCATTTAGTAAAGGAGGTTTTGGACATTTCGAATTTGCAATACTACTTGGTGCACTTCTACAAGGTGGAGGAGTAAATAGCAACAAAATTTTATTACATGGTTTCTCATCATATCAATTATTTAAAGGGGCTATACAATATTTGGCAACAATGGATTTAAATAAGGGATATTTGTCATTTTCGTCTTTAATTGGAGAAGAAATTCCTTCAAAATATAAACCAGATGGATTTAATGTTCCCACAATATTTGATAAAAATACAAAATTAAATATACTATATAAAATGACTACTGCATCCTATGAAGAACTTAGATCAAAGGCAAATCAAACTTTGGAGTTGTTGAATGATGTGATTAAAGATCGTTTTGATGCCATTTTACTTCAAAAATCCACACAACCAAACCTTAAATACGATTTAGTTTTAACATTATCCGTGCCTGATGAAATACTTGATAGTTTTGGGGCTTTTGAAAAAATCACATTCATAACATTTAATAATTATTTTAAACATAAATTATACAATTTAATCAAAACAGCGTTGGGAGAAAGAGCAACATTGATAAGAATAGAAAATCAAAAAGTTAATAGTACATTCCCAATTCAAAAAAGAAAACCAATTAGTGCTGGATTAACCTTTAATATCGGATTGCAATTAAACTCTGAAGAATCAGATAAATTAGTTACAAAAGGTCCAAATAATGAAGACAAAGAAAATGGAGCAAAATTTAGATCATTTTGGGGTTCAAAAGCTACTTTAAGAAGGTTTAAAGATGGTTCAATACAAAATTGTGTTGTTTGGCCTTCATCAGATAGAGAGCCAATAGTTGTGTCTATAATCAAATACGTTTTGGATTTACATGTCCATACAGACTTATCTCAATCACTTCATACAGAATGTGGACTTTTTGATAAAATATTACCACTTTCATTACTACCAACCGCATCAAATCAAACAATCAATTCATTGCATAGTTTTTCAATATTAAGAGGCTCATTCGAAAGTCTAAGCAAGACTTTAATGAATCTTGACTTACCATTAAGTGTCAAATCAATTATGCCGGCATCTTCTTCTTTAAGATATTCATCAGTTTTACAACCTGTACCATTTGCTGTTTCAAATCCTGATTTCTGGAATGATTGTGTACTTCAATTTGAAATATCAAGTAGATGGCCAGATGAATTAATAGCATTAGAGAAGACTAAAACTGCGTTTTTATTGAAAATGGCTGAATTGTTAAAAGATACTAATTACACAACAACGATTGTAAATGATGATGCAATTCCATTCAATAAAGATGTAAAATCTCTTAATATATTAACACCAGAGGGTTTTGGATTCAGAATAAGAATTTTGACAGAAAGAGACGAATTATTATATTTAAGAGCTGTTTCAAATGCCGAGAGTCAGAAATCAATTGCTCAAAATGTTTATTTATCATTTGTAAGAAATTATCAAGCATCAGTTAAACATACTAGAACCGTTACACTGTTAGCACAACATTTTCATTATTATTCACCAACTGTAAGATTATTTAAACAATGGTTAGATTCACAATTATTATTGAACCATTTCACAGATGAATTAATAGAGTTGTTAGTATTGAAATCATTTGTTGATTCAGCCCCATATTCTATTCCACATTCAGTTGAAAATGGATTTTTACAAGTACTTTCATTTTTAGCACATTGGAACTGGAAAGAAGTACCAGTAATTCTTGACTTAGTTAAAAGTAATGCAATAGATGACGGAATTCATAGTGATAAATTAAGTATACAAACTTATAGAATTATAGAAGAGAACTTCAATAAAATTAGACAATCAGATCCATCAGCTATCAAAACTCAATTTTTTATTGGTTCAAAAGATGATCCTTCTGGTATTTTGTGGTCAAGTGATTTAACATTACCCATAGCAACAAGATTAACTGCATTATCAAGAGCAACAATGAACTTATTTTTATCACAAGGTATAAATGAATCTTCATTAAAATTAATTTTTCAACCTGCATTAAAAGATTATGATTTTGTTATAAAAGTAAAATCTCAAAATTTGACTATTTCATCAGGGATATTACCACCAAATACTTTCAAGAATTTAATTCAACCATTAACTTCATTCCCAGAAGATATAACTTCGAAATACGATTTATCTCAATTATATACAGAAAAATTGAATGAATATTATGGAAACAATATCATCTTTTCCAGTAAAAAATTCATATGTTTAAATAATACAACAAAAGATGAAAATGAGAACCTTATAGGTGGATTATTTGTTCCTTCAAGTTTAACAAAGAAAAAATTTAGAGTTAATTTAGGTATGAATATAAAACCTTTGGATGATGATAATAATAATAATGAAAATAAAGATGATGTTAAATTGAATAAAGGTGCGATTTATGATCAAATGAAATTATTGGGTGGTGAATTAGTTACTGATTTGAGTATTAGAAAGTGATAGTTATCAATGAATTACTAAAACCGGGTTTATAAGTTTATTGATTTGTATTATTTACTCTGATAACCTTTTTAATATATAATTATAAGTTATAGATACTTTTGGAGTTTACTGGTCCTTTTTGACAGAGGAGTATATACCTAAAAAACGTCTTTTATTTCAATACTAATGTCTCAAAATTACTATTATATGTTTGCCATCAATCACGTAAAAATGATGTAATAATTATACAATTTAGGTTCAAGGTTTAAAAAGAAATTTGATGCGTCAAAGTGGACCAAAATTACACTACCTTTTATTTCTTTATATTTATCTTTTATTATATGATATATTAAATTATTTTGTAGTTTTATAATATATATAATACACGCTATATTACAATAAATTCTACAACACCATTATTAATTGTTCATTCATATTTCTTTCATTCCAAAATTCCATAGTATAGTCAATATATAGATGTCTTCGGTGGCAAGAAGTAGTGAAGAACGACAACAACCACCAAGAAAGAAAAGAAGAGGATCTCAAAATAGAGTTGTTGATATTACATCAGAAATTGAATGTAGGAATAATTCCATTATCAATGACAATAACGTCATAGATTTAGATAGTCAACGACGAGAATCTTTAAGTTCAAATCACGATGATGATATACAAATACTAGCAGTAAACGAGAATAACCCAACATTAGCAAATCTGATAAGACGTCCATTCACTAATTTTACCCATAACGATTTCATCAATAGAAGAATTAGTGGCAATGAAGTCAATAGAGATACTGGCGGCTCAGAAAGACGTCAAAGAATAGGTACAAACTCAAATAATAGTATTGATCATACGAGAAGAATACGTGGAGATGGAGGTAATAGAGTGAATAGTAGTTCAACCTCAAGAATAAACCATAGCAGAGGTCAAAGATCAAGCAACAATCCAGATAGTGGTTTCGGTCGTGGAGAAGTACGATTTGATGAAGGCGAAGATGACGATATAGAAATTCTTGATGTAAGAGAAGCATCAGAACCTTTAAGATCACAAATACTGCATATTCATACACCTCATGGACCATTTATGTTTGAAGAAGGTGGACCTCCTCATTTTCATCATTATCATGATTATAATGATAATTACGGCCCAAATTCATATGAAGAATTACCTTATCCAATACATCATTCATCCAATACTTCCACTCCTCCTCCTTCTCAAAGAAATTTGCGTTCAAATCGTCCAAGTTCACAAATAGAACTACAACAGCAACGTCAGCGTCAACATCAACAACATCGTATTCAACAACAACGTCAGCAAAATCAACAACTGCAACAAGCACGAAATACTGGTCGTCGAGGAAGATTTTCAAGACCTAATAATTTACCTCGTGAAAGAAATCATCACACTATTAGTGGTACTATCAATGGTAGACATTTTTCACAAACAGCAGATCCAATGATTAGATTATTTGTATCAAGGTCGTTAGAAAGAATTAGTCAATTAGAATTTCATCTTGGTGGAGTATCATCTGGTTCCTCAACATCTGATGAATTTGATTTTGATGATATGGAATACGATGAATATGATGAAGAGGAAATCATGAATAGAGCAATTATGAGAAGAATTGAAGAAGATAATAATAGAAGTTTAAATGCGAGATCAGAAAGAGAAACAAATTTCAACAAAAAGGCATTACTTGAAAAGAAACAATTATCAGATAGTTTAGATAAGTTAAAAACACATACGAATAAAATTAGTTCAAATGATTTATTAATGTGTGAATTATGTGGTGTTGATTTAGGTGAAGGAGCTCCAGAAGATTTTAAATCTAATACAGAATATGATAAAAACTTCGCAAATTATTCAAAAGAATTTAAAATTCAGGCTCCATGGTTTTGTACAAATCCTTTCACTCAAGCTGATATTCAATTAAGTAAAAGAATATTTGCATCAAAATGTGGTCATTGCTTTTGTGGTAGATGTGTTAAAAATATTGCAAATAGATCAAAAAAATTAGCAAAAGATGCTCCAAGAGGTTCAACTATTAAAAATCCAACTTTATTTGCTCCTGCAAAATGTCCTGCTAATGAATGTGGTAAAAGATTTCTTTCTAAAGCTTTCACTGAAGTTTATTTTTAATGAAATACTTGTATAAAACCCTTTATTGATTATATGAGAATCACATCAAGCTGTATCTCCAAACTGTAGAATCTCCAAATTTCTGATATACGCAATTCAAAGTTTTTTAAACAGTTCTGTTGTCGAAAACACAACTTGGTTAGTTATTAAATCGAAATGCATTCGCGTTTTTACTCAAATCGGAATTCACGCAGTTGTATTTGGTAGCGTTTTTACGTAAAATTTAACAAAAATTACGAAACTTTACAGTTCAATAACTCCATCAATGTTAATGCTATCAACATCAAACTCAGTTAGATATGTAGTGCTTGAACTCTAGTTCATATAATTTTTTTTTTTTTTCTTGTAATCAATATATATTTTTGTATACAATTATAAACTTGTAATTATAATACTAAATCTATATAAGGGACACCTGATGCACATGGTGTCTTAAGCTATGGTGGAAAATTAAAGCGTAAGAATTTTAGCCTAAAAAAACCACATGGAGTTGGTTTGTGCCATCTTTAGTGGAATTTTGGGATGTTTTTGTAATGATAATTTTTTGGGTTGTCAATATCTACCTTGCGTTTCTTCTTGTTCTTCTAAACCTGCTCCAGGACTACTCATTTTGTCCTTGTCTAAGGTTGATCCCGGTTAAAACGTTCATAGCCTCAAAAAACATTGGTTCTCGCAGAACCAATTCAATTACACATATTTTAGATACATTAAATATATTAATATTAGAAAATCAACATGTCAACATCTTTTACATTCAAGAGATTAGAATAAACTCAGAGCATCAATACAATCAACTAAAAAATAAACTTCTTCAAAGAAAAATTAGAATCATTATGAATCACCATTCTGACCTAACATTATAAACACTGCTTGTATTCTCTATCAAAATAAAACTCCTGCATATAAGTAAACATTGCTTTGTGGCCAAATGGCTAAGAAAGTGTATTTTTTGACCTTAAGAAAAGTTCAATTCCTGGCGCTGACACAAATTTTGGTAGCGTATGCAATCATTTGGTAGTTGCAGGAGAAAAAATAAAATTGCAAATTTCAAGACGTCATAAGTAGATAAGCGTAAATGATATGGGAATAAGACCTGGTGCATTCAAGTCTACACTTATCGAGATTTATGATGGTACTTTCAAGTTGGTGGTGTTTTTCTACTCCTGCATATAAATAGTTTTCTTTGTGTGGCCGAAGAGCTCAAGTAACTCACTTTTTAAAACCTTTACACGGGAGATCAATCCCTGAAGCTAGTATAAACATGGTAGCGTTCATAACCATTTGGTAGTGACAGGCGAAAAAATAAAATTGCCAACTTGAGGAACGTATAAGTAAATCAATTCAAAAGCTATGAAGTTAAGACCAAGTGCATTCGAATGTACATTCTCCAAACTTTATGATGGTATTTAAAGTCTGTAGTAAATTTTGACACCTGCATATTAACAAATGTGATTATGTGGCCAAATGGCTAGCAAAGTGTATTTTCTGACCTTAGGAAAGGTTCGATCCCCGCTGCTATCATAAAACATTGGTAGCGTATTAATACGTTTGGTAGTTGCAGAAGAAAAACTAAACTTACCATTTTGAAGCTTCGGTAAGATAGCCAATTTTCAAGATATTAACATGAGACCAAGTGCATTAGAAAGTACATAAAATTCTCTTTAAGGTGGTATTCTAAGGTTTTCCCCAGAATCTTACTCCTGCATATAAAATAACCTGTTTGTGTGGCCAAGTGGTCAAAGATAGTCTTTTTGAACTTAAAAAAAGTTCGATTCTCGCTAGTAACATGAAATAAGGATTGTTTGTACCAGAATCTCGTATTCTTTTCAAATGAATGTATCCTTACCTTACAACTTCAATAACACCTTACGAAATTTTAAAGTTAAGGGTCGACGTATTTTAGACTCATTAGTCAGACTTCTAGTATTGAGAACCTGTTTTTTTTTCAAGTATAATAAATTTTAGTATAAAATATGAAAAAAGAGTCACCGAGTAAAGCAATTCATAGAAGATGAAGTAATTGATGCCTAGAGGTGCAAGTTGATATAAGAAATATGGAGAACAAGTTCAATTCTGAAGTGATTGAGCGAACAGTAGTCTCTATTGTTTAAGTATGACAAATTTCATTAAAACTTTAAACGAAGTATAGTTCCTTTGAGGAGGGGAAACACTACCTTGAGTAGATTCTAGATTTATCCGGTGACCATAAAGTTAATGTGTGAAATTATTTAAAAATACAATACAAATCTACAGGATTTGAATCTATTCACTGTTCAGCCGTTGGCTCCTAAATTATTCTATTTTTTTTATACTTAAACGAAACGTTCTTTAATACATAAAAAATTGATCGTACGACGAGAAAATTCTTCTCATAGCCCTTATAATTTAATTTACAGAAATAGAATTTGAAAACTTCATTTACAAGGAAGGTGATTATTTTTTGAATTTTGTCCTTGTGAGCGGGTAATATTTACTCCATGTTTCAAGTTAAGGAAAAAAGGGTAATATTTTAAGTTTGATTTAATGGTGAAAATATGGGGCTTAAATTTATAAATGATCGATTACGGAAGAAGCTTAGAATAAACGTCAATTTTTCGAGTCTAATTATTAAATGAGTTTATTTAATATTAATTTTTAATTAAGTAATTTCAAATTTGTTTTATATTTAAATATAAATTTAATAGAAGTGGGGCTTTGTCAAAATAATGAAATCTCGGTAATTGATATTCATATTTCTATTGTTAACAAAACAAAAATTGTACTGAAATTCCATTTTAATAATATTTGGTAATAAATTACTTTGTAAAATTAACTCTTGTGAGATGTTTTGGTTTGAGCCGTATATAATTTTTAAATCTATTATTAATTTTGTGTAACTTTGGTGTCTAGATCCTAATGAATTTTTTTCTAAAAATCTCATAATTTGAAACATAATTACTCGAGAAAATTGAGTATTTAAATTGATTTAAATGATGATTTTTGTTTTTGCAATTATTACATTTACTAATTTTAGAAAGTAAAATCTAAATAAACTTGTTTCTCGTTAATTATAATTTAAAATTCAAGTATGATCTAAATTTAGAACTTATTTTTATTAGATCTTACTTTTTACAAAAGAACCCCTATTTTTGAAAAATAAATATTAATTAGAACATAAGACTTCAATATAATATCCTTTTAATTATTATTTTAGTGCTATTTCTTAATGATTTAGTTTGTTTGTTTAATCGTTTTTAATCATAGAGTATTTATCCGTAAATTAACTTATTATATTAGTAAAAGTAGAAATATAACTTCTACTATACACCGCCTTTACCCCTTTATTTGATTTTTAATTTATCATTTTCATTATTGATCTAAACTTCTTCGAGCAAATATTCTATCAAAGAAAACTAGCAAACAAAAACAATTACTGACTTGAAACGATAATTGTACTTGAGCTATTTATTTATAATTGTTCTTTTAAAATCCTCGAATAATTAAATAATAATAACAATTATAAGACTGAAAAATTTCATAATGTTTTAAATTGCTGTATGTAATATTAAATTCTTCATATATGTAGGAATTAATATGTACAAAATTAAAACTTAAGTTTCCTTATCAAAAAATATTTATTTTTCTTATTTTTATTTTATTATTAAATTTATTTACAACCAAATTTATTTATTTAAAAAAAGATCAAAACAAATTTACAACCACAATTTATATTGATTTGATAACTGGTTTATATTCTAGGATTGATATAAAATAATATTTATTTGAAACATTGAGTCATAAGTCAAGATCTAAAATCTAAGTCAAGTCAGATTTAAAATCTACCCCACCCCCACAATTTTTTTAAATTAAACAACTTAAGCATTCAAAATTAAGAACCACTGGATAAAGGATAAAGAAAGAATTTACAAGTTATCATCATTACTGGATTAAATGATAAGAACAGAATCGATAGATTTTCATAGTCATTTACCACCTTATAGATCTTTATTGAATCCAAATGCAAGATATGATTATAAAACTCATAAATTAATTCCTTTAAGTCAAAATGATTTAAATTTTTTACATTCAATATTTAAAAATGGTGGTAGATCTACACCTTTATTATTGGGGAATACGAATAAAAATAACAATAATAACAATAATAATAAATACAAAAATAGACATTACCCAAGTGATTCAATAAGTCGTAATGGTTCACAATATAGTCAACAACAAAAACAAAATCAGAATCAATGCTCACTACAATCAAAGTCAAGATCAAGGTTTAATAACTCAAGCTCATACTATTATAGTCAATCAAGGTTTGGAGAACAACAAGACTCGAAATCAAGTCAATTCATGGGAGATATTGAGGATAACTCATCTAACTCGATAATTAATTCAAATGATATACCTCCTTCAACTGCATCTTCATCTTCATCGATAAAGTCAAATTCAACTTCAAATTTCATATTCGCAAACAATAATCGTAACAATCATCAATCCACTCCTTTTAAAATGAAATATAGAAGTTTATTAAATGATGTTGGTAGAACTATTTCGTTAAGATTGAGTAATAGTAATTTGATTGCTAACTCTCTTCAACACTCATCAGGTATAAATTCAGTTTCAAGATCAAGCACCATATTGGGAAACGCAAAATTTACGTCAATTACAAATATTAAGGAATTACCTATTGAAATTCTAGATTACATATTTTATTTCATCGATGAAAAATCTGATTACAAAAACTGTCTTTTTACCTGCAAATTATTTTATTGTATGTCAAAACCATATTATTATGAAAATTTAGAATTTACATCTACTTATAGATTTGCTCAATTTATATCTTATTTAAGATTGAATTCAGAAATTGGTCAATATGTTAAGAAAATTGATTTATCTGGTATAAAACCTGGATATGATGAAGATGCAGAGAATGAAGCAAATCATTATAATGATATCATTGGAGAAAATGATGAAGATGAGATTGTAAGTTTACCTTCCAATAAAACTTTGGCAGGCTGGAGAGATTGGAAATTTAAAAATAATCCACTTTATACTATTCATCCATCACCCAATGCATTATCCAAAACTAGATCAAACGCTTCATATTCTCAACTACTGATTGTATCATCCAAGTCAAATTCTTCACAAAAATCATCTTCCTCCAAAAAATTTTCTAAACCATTCAAATATTTGAAATCAAAGAAAAGACGTAGAGCTTTTAACAATGGCCCAAAAACAAGAAAAACTCCAAGATTGGAGTATTTAAAACTTCCACCTAACTCAATTCCAACTGGATCAGACAAAATTTCGACTCCTCATCCATTAATCAATAAATTTTTACTTAATTATTCTACATCAAAAGATGTTCCTATAGGTTATGTTTTACATTTGATCAATTTATGTCCCAATATCACAAGTTTGAACCTTGGTAATTTATCATTATCCACTGATTATGAAATCTCAAGGACTTCAATTCATAAATACCAAAATTTTGATTTGATGAACAATCATCCAAAAGATCTTTTGACAAAAATTGACAATTGTATGAAGTTTGATGGACTCGATACTTTGTGTTCTTTTGATGGTAATAGTATATTTAATAGTCATCATCTTTTTTCATTCAAACCTCATGGATCTAATGTTTCAACAGCTTCCTCGATTTATTCAGTCACTACATTCACAAAACCAATAAGAAAATATAATAGTTTACTACCTCCATTACCACAAACTGTATCTGATATATCATATTTAAATAAAGGTGACGGTAAAGTTTACCTTTCAGATTTAAATTTAAAGTCAATAAATAACTCATATTTGAAAAAGAAAGATGAAAGTGAAGTATTAAGAGCAATCACCAGAAACTACGGTAAAAGAGTTCTTTCTTATAACTATGGTTTGAATCAACAACAACCCCAACACCAACAACAACCAATTGATGCTGATATTTCAGGTAATTTAAGATATTTAAACTTGTCATCAATGATTTGGCTTAATCGTACATTGATTGAGAACTTCCTTAAAAAGTTATTAACTAGAAGGTCAAACAATTTATTAGCTTATGGATTTTATGATAATGATGAATTTTCAAATTATGACATGAATGATGGATCTGGAGAAGATTTACTAAATTCTGATATTAATTCATTATCATCAGAACTGGATTCAGAAGATGAAAATAATAAAGTTCAACCAATTGTATATAAACAAGATTTAATTATTGATTTAACTGATTCAGGAATGTATAAAAATTTATTATGGGCTAAAAAATTAGATCTTAATACTTTAGAAGGTTGTAAATTAGCTAAAAAGATTATTTGTAATGAATTAAAAACTCCATTTGAGGAATTTATGATTAGAGAAAGAAACAGAAGAGGTAGATTAGGTGAGAATTATTTAGCTTGATTATTCAACTTGTTGTTGCAAGGTATGTCTAGATGCTATATGAAACAATTAAATATCCTATTTAAGAAATAAGACTTAATTAATGATCATGAAAGATCTGCTCTAATCCTGTGTTCTTTCTCTGTCTATTATTCCTCTTTTTCTCCAGTTGTGAAATTGAATGAAACGTTTCTCCAAATGTAATAATAAATGTTCCAGACTTCAGGTCATCACAATTTCATGGATCAGCCTGACCCAACATAAAGTTAGCGGCAACCTCGAATCGCAATGGTTTTAAAGCTGGGGTTCAACTCAAAGAACTGCTCCCTTGAGTAAACACAATATAATCTCGATAAATTAAATACAAAAATCCTTTTATCCCCAAGTAATAATTATCGCAGAGTACACTTTATAAGTCATTAGCTCCTATGTTAATGCTAATATTATATATAAAGGACATATGACGAAATTGGAAGACATGAAAATTTGATTTAATGGATCTTGGTTTTTAAAAGAAAAGAAAAGAAAAGAAGAAGTTATTCAGACTTGTATTATTTTTTGAAAAATTTTGATGAGTACAAATCTTAAGATATTGTTACACAAAATTGATTTAGTTTAGGTTTGAAATAATTAATTAATACAAATAATTGTATCATTCAAAGTAATACTTTTTTATCATCATTAATTGATCAACCTTTCCCACCATCAAATATAGATAACTCATTCCAAGATCATTCATTATATAACTTAAGTACTGTACATATACTAATCAAGATCAAGAATGTCTAATTTATCTGCACAATTATCTGCATTCAAAAATAAAATAAAAAGTGGTCCATCAGTGGCAGTTGCAAGAAAACCAATAATTAATAAGCCATCATCCCCATCCAATGAATCAATAAATAAAACACATACAAATGACTTATCAAATAATAATACAGTGAAACGATCTGCCACTTTAACTGATACAACTCCAGAAAGAAAAAGGCAAAGATTACCAAGTAGTCAAGAAATGAATGGAGCTCATTTATCTACACAATTACACCTAGCTGTTGAATTTATTAAAGAACAAGATCAACCAGTTAGTATATATAAATTACAAGATGCATTGTCAATAGATGTTCAAAAATCGTTATTACCATTATTAAAAGAAATAGATAGAGTGAAATTTAATAGTACTAATAATACATTCCAATATGTATCACTACATAATATTAAGAATCCAGATGACTTGTTGGAATTTCTAAGAAAACAGACAACTTTCAGAGGTACATCAGTAAAAGAATTAAAAGATGGATGGGCAGGATGTCTAAATGCAATAGATGAATTAGAAGAAGAAAATAAAATATTAGTATTAAGAAACAAAAAGGAAAATGCACCAAGATTAGTTTGGGCAAATGCTGGTGGATCATTGGGGACAATAACAGATGAATTTCAAAAACAATGGAATGAAACAAAATTACCAGAACCAGATGTTTTATATCAATCATTAATTGATCAAGGTTTAAAACCAACTGGTGCTGATCCTTCATTGATTAATAAGAAACCACAACAACAAGAAAAGAAACAAAAGAAAGCTAGAAGAGGTAAGATTACTAATACTCATATGAAGGGTATATTGAAAGATTATTCTCAATTAATGTGACGAAGACAAACTATTAAAACTAGGTTTTTGAAAACTACTCTACTATATAGCTGTTAGTACTCACTATAATAGTAGTAGTTAAGGATCTCTATTACGTGTATCTTATATCTATTGCTTACGTCAACCTAATCTACAAATCTACATACCAGAATCTTATTAGGTCGTGCATTTTGTGCTGACAATCTGTAACTTTAAAATCATATTTTTTTTGTTTAGATTCTTTTCAATACTTAAGAAAACCTTTGAAACACCACCCTTCAATTAATATAAAACTTGTTCAAACATGTCTAGTATGTATTGCTAATACAATAGCTACTTAGCATCTGAGCTTTACTGTCATTTTAATCTGGTCATACTAACAAATTGATTCTTTTTCAATAGCTGATTTCAATTCAGTTGCAAATGAATTTTGCAAATTTTATTATAATCAATTTGATACCGATAGAGCACAATTAGGTAATTTATATAGACCAGAATCAATGTTAACTTTTGAAACTTCACAATTACAAGGAGCAAGAGATATTGTTGAAAAATTATCATCATTACCATTTCAAAAAGTTCAACATAGAATTTCAACTTTAGATGCACAACCAGCTTCACCAAATGGTGATATTTTAGTTATGGTTACTGGAGAATTATTAATTGATGAAGAACAAAATGCTCAAAGATATTCTCAAGTTTTTCATTTAATTCCTGATGGTGGTTCTTATTATGTTTTCAATGATATTTTTAGATTAAACTATTCATAAGATTATATGCTTGTGCTAATGAAGTTAAAGTTGTTTTAGAATTATTATCAAAGTTGAAAATAATGAAATTAATGGGTGTAATTTGCCGTTTTGTATTAAGAAATATGTATGATCAATCATAATAAACAAATCCAGAATTGTTCTACGTTTCATTTCTCTATTCTTACAAGAATGCTTCTTGTAACTAACTTCAGCATTGATAGGGTCTCTGAATTTTCTGTCCTTTTTCTTAATGCATCCAATTAAAGCGGAAACCTTTATAAAGCCAAAGATGACTTTTGAAAGAGCATAATTGCAAATTTATGAGATATTGCCAAAACCCTAATTACATACACATAAAGTAGCTAACCTCATAGTCTTCTACTGCTGTGTATCGTTCCCTGTTTGCTTCTTGAATGTGAGAATTGCCGGTAGTATACTTTTGATTTTAAGTTTTCAAATCAATATGCCTTAATAAACGATTCATGAACGTTTTATAAAATATTTCGACCCAAGTTTGAGCTCTAAATCACAAGATTAAGATCTATAGATAGACTTTGACTATATACTCCTTTTTGTACTCCTGGTGAACCCAGGGCCACAGTAAAACTCCGAACGATAAAGTCAAACTCATCAACTACAAATCTTAACTTATGAAGTTTAATGAAAACAATGTGGTAAATTACACTCTTCTTGCCAAAATCAACTCGAGTCATTGACTCGATTGTCAAAGTTCAGATTCCAAGTTGGGTTTAATGAATTTGCAACAACTGATTTTTTGAAGTGGCAAAAAAGCTTTCTCTAAGCTTGTTGCAAATCTACAGGATGGCAGATCTTAGTCAAAATGAACTTTATATTGACTTATAAGGCAATCAGATTATGTGAGGATCTAGATTAACGAATAATTTAAACTTTAATAGTAGTATATATTATGTAGTATATTAATCTTTGTCTTGTATTACAATCATTTTGACCTTATTTTGAAAAGAGACATTCTTCAAAAAAAGTCGGAATAAAATACCTAATGTAGAAACAAGAAATTGTCTGGGGTGGACGACCTACCTCAGACATTAAATTCTGTCTGATTCTTTTTCAACAGACAAAAGTTTTATTTTTATTTTATTTTATTTTATTTTATTTTATTATTTATTTTTTTTTTGTAAAAATGTTTCAGATCTAGTATAGCTTAATATCAAAAGTCAAAATTCAGATCCTACTTTCAAATTGTGAACCCTTCTAGATTTTATGAAAAATACATAATGTAGCCCTGAGTCGCTTAAACATAGGACTTCAGCTATAACGTTCTGTAGAATTGATTTGAGCTTAGGGGGTATTTTAACTAGATTCGTATAACATGTTTGATTATGGAATATAACATCGTAAAATCGAGCGTAATATGGCTTCTAAAAATGTAGAAATATAATGGTACGGTGGGTGCTCACGTGGACATTTTTGGGTAATTCAAGAGCTGAGAACTGGTTTTGTAGGACTTGCATTGTCGTATTTAATCTGCTTGAAATTATACAAATTAGTTGTTAAGTGGTAACTTACAGATCATTAATGAAACTAAATATGTGATCCTCAAGATTTTTGACATCCTTTATTAATTTTTCGGAAAGTAAAGTAAAACTTCATACCTAGGTTTTCCAGTTACTGCTCGGTTTTACAATCTTATAAATTTTTACATGCTTACTTTCAAAATATCCCACAATTATTGCTGTCCTTCGCACCGGTTGATTAACGTATGCTGAACTACAATCCAATTACATGCCTTGTTGTTTAGTTGAAACAAGATGCCTCTAAAAAAAACTTCGTGTATATTACCTTGCTGTTGTTAATATTTTAGTCAACGAAGTATCTAAATCTTTCGAGTTGATTAATCAAAATTGAGAATGAAACCAGTCCTTGATCTTACTTAAGAAATAATCCATATGAATTTAAAACTAAGATAGATTCGGGTTCAATTTTTATCTACTTTGGCTGTTGATCAGATCAAGTTTGTTGAATCCTATTTTTTAGCTCAAGGTGACAAGTTTCATCTCATAACATACTATTCAAAATAAGGTGAATCGAAAGGTATAAATGAATAATATGCGAAGTGTTGTTATCAAAATCATTGCTTTTAGTGTCAGCACAAAATTCAGTATGTACGACTACTCAGTGCTTACAGAATTTTGTAATCTCATATCTGCTCAAGCTAATACACGCAAGATAGTGATAATAATCTAATATTAATGAAAAAGTAAGTTCTGAATAATATAATTAGATAATGAGAATTATCAAGACTCAAAAAATAAGAAAGCTTGACCACATAAACCATTCATGTGATTTTAATTTTGATAGAAGACTGAACTCCTTTAATTATCAAGTTGCACCAACACTCAAATACTTGAGTGGTTACCCAAAAATCGAGGTCAAAATAAAAAATTCACATTAGACATTTTAATTACAAGCTTCAGATTTTGAAATTTCTCAAAAGTAAATGTTCAGATATTACATGATAATCCATAAAAAGAAATATCCAATTTGGAACAATTTTTTCATCATGTCAAGACTTTTTAACTTAGATACAAATGGCTATTTATCCACGAAATTAAAATATGGCAGTTTGGGAGTGTTTCATATCTGAGATCAAGATCCAACGGGATGTCGAATGAATTAAACTATTGCGGTAATGTTGAAACTGGATCTGATTTACGGCGGTACTGGGATCTTGAGCGTAAATTAACTATTGCGGTAATGTTGTAGTTATATCTCTGGTATGGCATAGCAAGATCCTGTAAGTATTGGTGTAAAGTTGTGGTCAGATCTGAAGATATGGCATATCAAGATACAGTTTGTATTGTAGTTGAGAACTGACCAAATCTAAACTTTAGTGTTTTTTTGATCTAGATTTAAGGTACTAGAGATCCCTGGGATATGAATTGATTTAGAGTTAAGGTACAACAGACCCCTTAAATTTAATTTAATCTAGATTCAAGGTACAGAATCAGATCTAAATTATTTGAAAGTTTGAATCTGTGCCAAATAGTGATAAGCTAATTTTAGTTTTTTTTTTGCTGCAAAATTGTTTAAATTAGATTGTGTTAAACAAGAGTTGGCGCAAGTAATAATCTGAAAAATTGTTGTCGCTAAACGCTGAAGCTAGTACGGCTTAAGCACCGAAATTCATGAATATAGCTACTTTGGCTCGTCAAATAAGTGTTCTTTACATATCACTGATGCTGATAATGGTAGGTTTAGCAAATGTCTTTTCTCCATTTTCACGACACTACGCAAGTTTTTAGTAAAAATAAATAATTGAATAAGTTTTTACTTGAATCAAGTAATTCAATTCTTACTTCGGTATTCTCATTCGTTTCACAACAACAATTTGCACCTCATCTTTACCTCGGCTACTTTTATACGTTCAATATTCTAATTGTCTACTATGAATGGTCGATCAACATTTCTAGGAAATAATCTGAGAAGGGCCTGAGAGTACAAATTGATGAAAAACCGGCCATAGATAGATGAAATTGTTCTTGTTCTAGATCAAAGCCTTACAACACAAATAAATTAAAAAAAAGTAGATCTAGTGAAGATAGATGTACCATTTTCGATATTGGGATTAAGTGTTGAGAATCAAAACAATTGTATGATAACTAGACACAAATGCATCTAGAAACACTAAATTGATCGAGCAAAGCGGTAAAGCAGCATTTTCATAAGCACTTGATTGTGTCATCCAATGGAAACAATTAGAGATTGGAAGAGACAATGTACAAAGGGTTCAGAAGGATTTTCAAATTGTATGAAAGTATACTGGTGTCATGTCGTTAAATTGTATTTCAAAACATTCGGGTTCGGCTGGAGATCTCGGGTAAAATTTTTTCATGTAATTTTCCACTCAGATCTTGATTCATCAATGGCCAAGTGGTCAGTACCGTGACAGAGGTTTTAAAGCACGCTTGTTCGACTCGGTTTAAAGTCAGTATAACGTATTTATTTGATATGCTAGATCTATTTTTTATGTTATGCTAAATCCACCTTTTATGTTATGCTAGATCTATGTTTTATGTTATGCTAAATCTACGTTTTATGTTATGCTGGATCTATGTTTTATGTTATGCTAGATCTATATTTTATGTTATGCTAGATCTATGTTTTATGTTATGCTAAATCTATGTTTTATGTTATGCTGGAACTACGTTAAATGTTATGCTAGATCTACAGTTTTTGTTATGCTGGAACTACGTTAAATGTTATGCTAGATCTACAATTTTTGTTATGCTAGATTTTAGTCTTTTGTTATGCAGATTCACGTTTTTTGTTATGCTAGATCCAAGTTTTCTGTTATGCTAGATTCACGTTTTATGTTATGCTAGATCCAAGTTTTATGTTATGCAGATTCCACATTTTTTGTTATGCTGGATCTATGTTTTTCTGTTATGCTAGATCCAAGTCTTTTGTTATGCTGGATCTATGTTTTATGTTATGCTAGATATATATTTTATGTTATGCTGAATCTATGTTTTATGTTATGCTAGATATATGTTTTATGTTATGCTGGATCTATATTTTATGTTATGCTAGATCCAAGTCTTTTGTTATGCTAGATTTACGATTTATGTTATGCCAAATCGAGGTATTTTCTTATGTTAGAATCAAGATTTTCGATATGCTAATTCTGCGTTTTATACTATGCTAGACCTACGTTTTATATTATGCTGTTATATTGTTCTTTGATGTCCTTGATGGAGTTTTTTGATACTATAAATACTTCAAGATGTTGCACTAAATAATAAACAATTTGCTGAAAATTCGCAATACTACAGCGCAAGTCAAACATTTGTATACGTGGCATGGACTTTTCATATGAAGTAAGCTAGTGAGCAAAAGAAAAAGATGTATTTTTATTCCATTAAGTACTTCAATGTGACATCAGATAGATCCGTATCCTAGATATGTTAATTTGTTCAAGTCAGAGTTTTAGTCTTTGACATACTTAAAGAATTTTTATAAGAAATATTGAATTAATGAACTTCACGTTAAAATTTCTACATACAATTTACAGAATCTGAACAGCAAACATTCATGAGTATGGTAATAGGCTCAAAACTGTGGAATAATGGCTCATTAAATGATATAAAAAGTCGCTACTGAGAAGATTTGATACAACAACGCATACATGCATTTAAACTTTTTCAATTTAAAGTCAGCCACAACATTGATTTGGCCAACAGCTCATGATCATATCATTTTTATCATGATGACGAAAGAGTACAGCTTTGCATAGCTGAAGTGGTAACCCCGCTCAAGCCTGACCATCAAAACTCTGATCTTCTTTGTGTCCCACTTGATCAAATCGAGGGTTTTACATAATGTTTTTTATCAAAGTATCAACATAAGCTAAGGAAGACGCAAACTCTAATTCGAGTTTGAATGAACTGGAAGCCTAATTTCAACAGACTAAGCTTATGTTAAGTAACAAAATTCGAGACTTATTTACAAGGAGGAAGCTTCAAGACAAAAGGAAGATTGAGCTCAGGATCGTATGGCAGGCTTCAAACGTCTCCTAATAAATTTTTTAAATGAAACCTCCTGACAACGATCACCTAATCAAACTCTGATTATGTAAATTGTTTTGAGATAGAATCTGTTAATATATATCAGTTTGACAACATTTCTGCACTCTTATTTTACCAACTCTACAAACTGATAGGCCCCTTTCTACGTGAGATATATAGCAAGCAAATTACCCCAGCATGACAAATATTCCACTTCCAAAGAACAAACAAACAATTTAGCTTATCAAAAAAACGACTTAAGCATAACAAAATAGCAACCTTAGCATAACAAACAAATCACTTCAGCATAACAAAAAAAGCATTTCAGCATATCAAACAAACAAGATCAGCATAACAAATAAACCACTTGAGCATAACAAATAAATTAGCATAACAAAATAGTAATTTTAGCATAACAAATAAACGAGTTTAGCTTAACAAATAAACCACTTCAGCATAACAAAAATACGACTTAAGCATAACAAAATAGCAACCTTAGCATAACAAACAAATCACTTCAGCATAACAAAAGAAGCATTTCAGCATATCAAACAAAAAAGTTTAGCGTAACAAATTGTTGACCACAGCATAACAAATTAACAAATTTGGCATACAAATTAAAATGATTCAAGAAATTAAATAAGTCTTTAACGATGTCTTGTCCGTCACTTCAGGTTACTAAATTAAGCAAATCAGCAAATCGCAGAGGTGCAATAGCGTAGCAAAATAATAAAGACAGCCGGCAAAATATATTCCCTTCAGCATACCTTAAATGCCAATAATTTGAACAAACTAAAAAATTTCTCCAAGCATTACAAAGACATCGATTTAGCATATCGAAAAATTGTCTTAAGCACCATGAAAAGTTCAACTGGCATATACCAAGTCAGAATGGTCATTAAATAAAATAAGTATCTCTCGCATTACGTATTAACAAATCATTTACATCAAGTAGCATTTGCCTTACAACAAAAACACCACCCCAGGATAACAAAGAAGTAAATTTTACCTAAAATTTTAATATTATTACGTTTCAAAGTAATTAATTGAGCACACAAATCAAAATGTAAATATGAGGATTTCTCGCATTCATGTAATACTGGAACGTAAAATGTAAAGTTTGACGTTAATCATCGCCTATAAACAATTACGATGCTCCGAGTAAGCAGCATAGCTAAATTTAATTCCGAAGACATGTATCACTATCATATAATGCAGAGATTATGCATATGTCAGCAAGGTAAATCACTTAAGCAAGAGATTTAATGATCAAGATAGCGAGGCTGTTATTATAAGCTCCAAAATCAGCAAGTCAATATTGTAGCTGATCAAAAGTTTAAATAACTTACCTAATTGATCCAGTGATCTAGCGCCTGTACTTTATAATGAACCCCACATAATTAATTTTCTGTGCAACCATCGTCAGTTTCATGCACGAAAAAAGCAACACCAAAAATTCTACTTAAAAAGCAAAGCAATAAAGCTTTAGTTGTCATTGAAGCTATCAATTAAATTCTTTACTTAACAGCATATATCATATTTTGCAAACTACTGATTCAGTAAATAAGATGGATTTTTATTTAAACCGTTAATCATATACAGAATTCGATACGAGTGATGACCTATATTTGTAAGCAAGACATTGAAATTTGGAAAAATGGTAATTATGAAGTATATACTTGTCATATCTACAGTTTTCACCAAGTTATGTCAAATGGATTTAGCAAAGTTCAGTGTAAAAGGAGGTAGTTCAGTGTAAAAGGAGGTTAATACTCGCATCGAGGGGTTCCGGCATCCTTTTCCATAATCCGCCTTGAATAAATAGGTCACATTGCCATCTCTTCTGTTTTTTTCCTGATATTTAGTAACAGTCATTAAAGTTTGATGTTACGACTCTTCGCTTTGTAAATCTAGCTTGTTTTGTGCCAACTGGAGTCATTCGTTTGCAACGATTACGAGATGTGTCTAGTTGATAGCCGTGCAACAGATTTGCTTTAACTTTTTTTAGCCCTGCGCTATTTGATTCTTGAAGGATGTCAAGAAAAAACTATGATGCCCTGAACACCGTTAGCTATTGCTACGTTTTTTGCTGTTAACTTGATATGCTACATGAATGTATCTGGATTGCATTGCTTGTTATGTTCAGGTTGTTAATTCGTTATGCTACACATGTTCTTTGTTATGCTAAACTCATTTATTTGTTATGCTAAAATTACTATTTTGTTACTCTAATTTTGTTTATTTGTTATGCTGAAGTAGTTTTTCTGTTATGCTAATCTTGTTATTTTGTTATTCTAATCTTGTTTTTTTGTTATGCTGAGTCTGTTATTTTGTTATGCTGAGTCTGTTATTTTGTTATGCTGAAGTAATTTATTTGTTATGTTGAAGTGGTCTATTTGTTATGCTAAACTCGTTTATTTGTTATGCTAATCTTGTTTTTTTGTTATGCTGAAGTGGTTTTTTTGTTATGCTAAACTCGTTTATTTGTTATGCTAATCTTGCTATTTTGTTATGCTAAATTCGTTATTTCGTTATGCTGAAGTGGTTTGTTTGTTATGCTAAACTCGATATTTTGTTATGCTAAACTCGATATTTTGTTATGCTGAAGTAGTTTATTTGTTATGCTAAACTCGTTTGTTTGTTATGCTGAAGTGGTTCTTTTGTTATGCTGGAGTGGTTTGTTTGTTATGCTGAGGTGGTTTATTTGTTATGCAGTCATAAAATTTTTATGTTATGCAATTTGACTTATTTGTCATATCAAATATAAAGTATGTGTTTCAGATTTTTTAGATCTGTGTTTCAGAATTTTAAAATATACCAAGATTTAATATATTTTTTGTTGTGCGTGCTTGATAAATTTGTTATGTGTACTCCCAAAAAGGCCGGATACATCCGAGACTATAAATTTATTTTGAAATGGCTAACAAATAAGCCCTTTTAGAGAGGTAAAATAAGTCAAGAGATCAATTGAGTAGTTTACCAAATGTGTCATTAACAACTTACACTAAACTAATCAAATGTTTTAATATTGTTATATTTGTGGTTGTAACCATTCGACTTGATTATTAATAAATTCGCATACTCGATCAATATCACTCTTTTTGAAATGTTCAAATTGTAGCTTCTTTAAACAAAGTACATCCTTCATATGTAGCCATTGTTCAAACTCAAAGTCAGTTTTTATTATTTTTTCTTGACCCGTGTCGCTTTTTATTATTTTATCATAATGTAATTTATCATATAATCTATATTTCAATTTGTTTTCTGTTGAATCATAAATATTTTCTTTTGTCATATAATCCAATGGATCTAATTTAGGATGATTACAATGTAATGCAAATATTGGTACCCCATTATGACTATTGAAATCATCTTGAGCTAGGGCATCAAGCCTTTTGATTTGATCTGCTACACTCATGGTTCTACCAAGTTTTTCAAAATAATCAACTATTATGTCATTGAATAATTGTTCATCAACTAGTGGATTCTTTTGAGCCATTGCAACACCTTGGAATTTACCATCTTTGTCAAAATAACCTGGTGATTTAATAAATGATTTAACTTGGTAGTACGATTGTTGGTTAACTGTCGCAGCTGTTACAAAAGTATCTTTATCACCTTCTCCTTGTTCACCAAGTGAAAATAATTTATAAAAAATGTCAGGTCCATAAATGTTATAGTATAATGATAATAAAATTGTTCTTCCATGAGTAGCTTTATTTATCATTAATTGACCTGATTCAGTTGATAAATCTGGCACGGCATGTTCCAAATCGTGGAAAGGTACTTCGTCTTCAGACTTGACGTTCAATGCTCCATGTGAATTGATTGGTTCATATAATGGGAATCTATCGTATCTAAGTCTTTTATGATCATTAACTTGAATATCTGCAATATCATAATATTTTGGATAAATAGTTCTTTTCCAATAATCAGGCCAAGTTATCATACCATATCTTTGATAAAGTCTACTTTGGAATACAACGTCAGGATTTGAGACTAACATATTATCGGAGTCTAACAATAGAATATTTTGAAATGATGAAATTGCTAAAGCTATTGATTTAAATTGATAAGCAAATAATTTTCTACCTTTAACAGTCGTTTCTCCTAATTCGTCTGGGACAATTACACACCTAGCTCCTAATTCCGGAAGTAATACATCACAATATTCTTTTTCTTTCTCATAATCATCTCTTATTGGCATGATAACTTCAATTGGTAATTTCGAACCTGTTTCTCTTAATGATAATATGGCAAGGTAAGTAAGCCACGAAAATCTAGCTCCACCAATGAAAACGGCACCAGTAGTATCTTTTTTGTACATTACATTTGGTATGGAATTTGGTAAACTTTCAACTACTCTCTTATGTTTTCTCTTTAATTCTGCAACAACTTCATCAGACATCTTGGCTCTTGATAATAAGGCTTTTTTGGTTTTTGGACCTTCCAAATGTTCTGATTTATCAGTTATCTCAATAAGAGTTCCAATTGAATCATCAATCTTGTTTGAATCAAATATTTCAAATATAGTATTCCAAAATAGATGTTTTTTACTCTCTTTCAATTCTTTTGATTCTTGATCTGAATCTGTCGGTATGATAGTAGGTTTATTTTTAGGATCATCTATTAAATGATTATGATATTCAGATAATTGTGAATTTGATGAAAGTAAATCATCATCATTAATGTCATTAATGTTATAAGAATTAAGACTAGTTGTAATCAAGGACCCAAATACAATTAATGCTAATAATGCTATCACCAATAGTTTTATTCTATATCTGGACAATTTCTGTACATATTTTCCTTTCATTTTTGAAAAGATGAAGTTTTTGAAATCAAATTCTGTTGAAATTTATAATGTGTTTAGTTTAGATTGATGATGATCTGGACCCAAGGCAATAAAAATTAAAGTAATGAAAATTTAATATACAATGAAATGATTTCAAATATTATACAATGCTAATGGTAAATAATTAAATGATAAGTTCGAGGCACGTATTACTTTTATTAAGTATGAGTATTTAAAAGGAAATCAATTTGAAAAGATCAACACTTCGTTGTTAATATTAAATTTTAAAATTGATTTTTTTTTTTTTTTCTGGTAAAATCAAAAAATAATTTTTCAACTTTTTTATATTTACAATTTAAAGAACTTCGAGTTAAGAGAAATAGTACTTAACAATGTTTCAAAATAAGATAAGAAGTAAAGAGTTGTAAAACTTGATGTAGTCTTTTTGAGCTATTAAATGTGTGGTCTTTCTCTGTATATACATTAATATATTAGTACAAATTTGGTGATTTTTAAGAAAAGTAACACAAAATTGATAAGAGTATCAAGTTCGTAATTCGATAGTTGATTATCAAAACAATTGAAGAAATAAGAAGAAGTGTAATAGAATGAATAAAAGATAATGTAGATAGAATTAATTACTTTATCTACGTAAATTTGAATTATCAACTGTAACCTTTAACTTTTCCCTATAAACGTAACAATACATTAGCAACTTTAATTTTAATTTTGCATTTATTCATCAACAGACGCGTCATATTCATTATTCTTTGGTAATGCTGTATACTTATCTAACTCAGCCAATTGCTCAAGATCCTCGACTTCTTTTTCTGGTTCCAAAGTGTCTTTGTAATCATCTATTATATTTTCAACCTTTCTGTTATCTAATGATTCTTCTAGTTCTTCTGAATCTTTTTCCAAATTTTCATGATTTAATTTCACAACTGTATTTACAGTTTCTTTGGGATCATCTCCATCATCATCTTCGCCTTGATTCGAATTGATAACTTTTGGTATTTCTTCTTCCTTTCTATAATCTTTAGTGGTGGCTACTTTCTCGATACTTGAAACTTGTGTTTGATCATCTTCGGGCAACTCAGTTTCTAAATTAATTTCCTTATTACTATCAATATGTAATGGGCTCTGATCATATTTGACTGATTCAGTAGGTTGAGTAGATAAATCATTAAGATTAGGATTTGCATTGTTGGCCACTTTCTTGCTTTCTTCGTTTGCCAAAACACAATTTTCAATCTCTTCATCATCTTCATTCGTACTCTTAAAGTCAAACGACCATAATTTACCACTTTCCCAACTAAATGGATTTTTTGACTCAACTGAAGCATTAGCTATAGCTTTTGGTAATTTTTTACCTTTTGGCCCACGAGTTCTTTTAATATTATTGTGACTAGTTGAGTTTGAACTTGAGCTTGATGATTCTTTAAATTCAGATTGTTGTTGATTTTGTTTTAATAATGCAGGATTGAACATTCCTGGTAATGGAATACCACTAGCCTCAAATTTTTTGAAATGTACTGGTTTTGATTTGGGTGTTTCATTTTTTGATTCTGATTTTTCATCTTGTGATTCCGAATCTGAGCTATTAGTATTGAGCTGCGGTTGAAATAATTGTTGTTGAAAAGCTGCAATCTTACTTGACAATTTTTTAGGTTTTGGTGGTGGAGCTCGAGGCTTTTCCTTTAAGACCTCCTCTTTTTTAGGTCTAGATGGTATCTGAGGAGTTGATGATAATGATGATTGAGAAGAGTCTTTGGAACTACTTTTTTCATTATTCTGGTCATTTTTTGAGTCTGGAGTTTTATCTGCTGGTTGATTTGTACTTAAATTTGATGATGACTTTGATGCTGAATTTATGTCGCTGATGGATTCTGTACTTTCTTTGGGATTTTTTGAGCTTTCATCCTTTACTTCATCTGGTGGAGGCAAAGAGTTTTCACTTATATCTTTTCTTTTAGGTCTGTTTGGAATGATTGGATTTTTTGTAGTCTTGATTTTTGGTTCAATATCCGAAGATTTTGGTTCTTCATTTTTTGCTCCTAAAACTTTATCCTCTGATTTATCAATTTCCTTTTGGTCTATCTCATTTCTAACCGAAGAAGTGTTAATACCTATTGTTTTATCAAGTTCATCGGTTTTTTTGACTGAATTTGATTTTTCTTTGCTAATTGGACGGCTAGGGATGGTCGGGAATTGTTTTTGAATGTCACTGGTATCTTTTTCTTCGGTCCTAGTATTCATAGATTTGGATTCTAGAGCTTTATCTGGTATTTGCTTATCCTCGTTGGTTATACCTTTGGATTTGTCAATCTCTTCTACATCATTTATTTCTGAAGATTCTTTTATTTCTTCGTCTAATGTTTCACTTCTGCTACTATCCTGATTAAGATTCTCATGATTTATTGATTGGTTTTCTTGCATAATTGTTTCCAAGTCGTCATCAAAACTAGATCTTTCATCTAAACCTTCTTGATCTTCAACATCTTCTTTAAAAGTTGCTTTTGTAGTTGAGTTGCCTGGAGTTTTTTCACCATCTACTGGATCATCTTCATTCAATTGAGAATTTAATATTCCTTCTTCATCATCCTGTTCAGCTTCTTTAATAATTTCTCCAGTTTTATCATCTTCTGTTGTTACTTTCTCTCCGCTACTTGTATCATAATTATCGAAATTAGCCTTGGGCAATTCCAGACTATTTAATGAGATTTTTTCAATATCATCCTCGGATTTCGAGTTCAAACTATTCATAGTTGAGGAACTTTCATTCAATTTTAACAGGTCTGACGTCTTCTGCTTTCTTGGCCTTGGTGGAATTTTGGGAGTTGAACTTCCGGATTCACCACTATTCATTTTTGATCAACAAATCGAAAAATTGTCAACTTAACGCGATAGTATTATTGTTTGAATTAGGTGAATGTAATTCTTGATTCAATTGATTTTATTTGATTACTGATCTATCAATTGTTGAATATTTGATAAGGTATAATTGAATGGTTTGTTTACAACAAAAAAGATCGAATTTGTTTCATTATGAAATTTTGGTTTGATTTGGTAGCAAACTGGCTATCAATTTCTCAAAATTGGTACCAAATTAGAGTAAAATATTTGGCTCACATCATTATCTTGTTGATTGACAAATCCCGTTGAGTGTCTTTGCACTTTGTAAAAAGCAATAACTTATTCTGTTTTTGAAAAATCAATGGAATCAAACACAACAAAACCCCAATATCTGAAAAATCTTGTTTATTTGCAGCCACTAGATATCCCAAAGCAGGTTTTGAAACCGTCCAGTTGCTTCAATCATTTCAACTAATATTTATTGAACATTTAAAGGCCAAAAATAAAATGAGGTGTTGCATCAAGTAACCAGACTGATAAACTAACAAGTAACTCCAGAAAAGCAGAGATACATATCGAGACTAAATATTTATTTACAACATTTATTGTTCCTGCACAATTTTATTTACTCCAGATGGTCAAGCTTCAGTTAATTTGAACGTATGATTATTTAAGATTTTTAACCCTATTAACAATTGTTAAATAATGAAACAAATTTTGGATTGGTGAACTGATCTAATAGATTTTGTTTAACTAGAAGTCAATCGCACCATCTCCACCCGAGGCAGATATTGATTGTCATATGCTTCAATCTAGTACTTCTTTGTATCTCCAACGAGAATAACTTCTACAAAGAAAAGACATGTTTATTCTTTACATTTGCTTAGATCTATGTGTTGTCAATTATAAATAAGATCTAAAACTAACTAATGGAAATCTAGAAAATTGAAACAATCCAATTAAAATCTACACAATTGTGGCAAGTGAAAGAAGCGGATCTTAAATCGCGCTCAGACTGATGTTCGGATGTTTCAGACAATTTTGTTATGCTTAGCTCAATTATTTGTTATGCTTTGTACACTTATTTGTTATGCTTTGTTCATTTTTTTGTTATGCTTGGCTCATTTATTTGATATGCAGATCTGAATTATTTTGATATGCAAATCTAGATTATTCTGTTATGCTATTACGGTTGTTTGTTATGCAGATCTGAGCTTTTTGATATGCTGATCTGAAGTAGTTTGTTATGCAGATCTAGCGTTTTTTGATATGCAGATTTCAGAATTTTGTTATGCTAAAGCACTTTTTTGATATGCTACAGTAATGTCACAGCTATTTCAGGAATCGAACCCACGCATTTTAAGTCAAAATGACCACTACGCCACAAAGATATAGATAATTTACGTGGCCGAGTGGGAAATTACGGTTTTTTGACCCAAAAGTACCAAAAGCACGGGTTCGATCCCAACAATTTAAAATAGCCCATGTCTTGTCGTGAAATCATAAATACGGACACTAATTTAATGTGTAACAACAAACCAGTTTTATCCCTTGAATTTAGAAGTTCACTGATCCAAAGCTATATTTGAGCCTTTGTTTGATGTTTGTGACCAGAAAAGAGAAGAAACATTGTGTTATTTCGGTCATTTAGTCGAACCAGACAACCTGTAATGATGTCCAAAATTAGCAAGTTTCAGCAGATTTTTCAGCGACTTCGACGTTTCAATAGCTGGTATGCTCTTAAAGATTCTAGACTGAGTCTTTGAAAGATCATGCAAGCTGTCAAGTGTTTTACTGGCTCAATTAGAATTCAAAATTCAAAATCCTGCACACTCGAGCATAAAGATGATAAAATTGTTAGATAAAGTCAATATCAAGCTCTAGTTTTTAATTTTCTCATGGCTCAGGTTTCCTAGCAATTATTACAATTACTTTTTATTCCATAAATAGTTCTATTTTGCGATATAATTGAGCTTAATGTTAGAGGTGTTTAATTGATACCTGATACAGTATTTGAGTCTGACATCCAAACATCAACATCCGTGCACCAGTTTTTTAATCCGTCTTTTTCCGCAACTTAACTATGGGGTGGATGGAAAAACACGGGCTAAGTTTCATGATTAAGTAGACCACCAAGAGTAGTTCAAATTCAGGTTTTTTGGGTTTGCCATGACTGATTACTAAATATGTTCAAGTTTTGACAATTTGGTTTATATCAAATAAGTTTTGAGAGCAGTGTGAATGGCTTCTTTAGTTACTTCAAATCGCTCGTAAGAGAACAAACTGATCTCACAATTACATTGATTATTGACTTAAAACCTCACAAATCTAGACATTTCGGGGTTCACTTCTACCCATTTCAATTGAAGGTTAAAATAGATCAGTCGGTAGTATAATAACGTGTAAATTGAGGCAAAAATGGCAATTTGTGCTTTTAGTGCAGTCAAAGAAACTAAGATTACAGCATTTTACCAATTGGGGAGTCCCAAGATGGCAAGGTATAGTTGCAGAAATAAAAATCCAGAGAACAATACCAGTCTTTGGTCAATTGAGCTGTGCAAACGATGCTTGGTAATAGTTTAACTATTCATAATATTCGTTTTCTCAAAGTTGTAGTTCAAGAAAGGGAATTCTTCGCAGTTGTATCATCAATGTTCTATGAAAACAACTGATTTTAATGGTTCTAAACTCTTTCAGTCATATACTAATTATTACCGCCAAATATGTTTTATGAATTATGGCACATTCTTCAGGTGTCTAGTCGTTAGCTCAAATTTTCATAGTTTGCAATTACTCTTCACTATAAACTATTTCCCAGTTTTAAACCGACTAGTAAACTGATTAAATATACAATGAACTTAGTTTTTTCTATATGGGATATCTTTACCCAGTGTTTATTCTAATTTTTCAGCTTATTAGGTTATCCCGCTCAATTATGCGCTGAAAACAAGTTTTTCCATAGGTGTGGTATCATTCAAATTTTGCATTAACTCTAACGTTCATTAAATTTTTCTTCCATAAAAGAACAAGATTTTTCATCCTTGCCCCCTATCAAATTTCTCAAGTTAGATTGATACTGTGCTATATTCAGTAGCTAATTTTGATAAAATTTTATCCCACAGATATGATGCAATGAACCATAAGTTTATAAGAATTGGTCGTTCATAAGTAGTTTCAACCTATTGTAAAGCAAGCCACCTTCTTGCTATTATTTGTTGCACAGATCTTTTAGTCATGATCGGACTAGAATCTAGATCTCATGCAGTGATGTAGGTCTAATATACTAAATCGTGTCTGACAATGGATCTGAGATTTCTTCCCGCATGCTCAACTTACCGAATTTGTGGACAGACGCTAATTTAATTTGTAGCCATAAAGCTTGCTCTATGAATGTATCGGTGCAATTGATCTAAGTTTGTTAGATATTTGTTTGTTCAAGATATTGAAAATTCGTACTTGCGATATTTAGAGAAAACGCACATTTATACTAGTAGTTTAACAAAGGTTTTTGAGATTTCATTTATTATGAATATTGATAGAAATGTAACTATCTAACTACAAGTAGATTCAATCCACAAATGATACATGTTCATCAATCATTAAATAATAAAGTAATGTTAATTTATAGTATGTTTTAAATTCTTAAGTCATTTATTCAACGTCATCAAATTTTTGATCAACTAAATCTGGAATATCTTCACTACCTTCAGCTTCTCCACCAGCTGCTGCACCAGCACCTAAATCTTTTGGAGTTTTACCAGCTTGAATTTGTTCAGCTAATTGTCTTAAAATTTCTAAATTTTCAGCACCTAATTGTGGTAAAATTTGAGGAATTAATTGAGTAATATTTTTTTCTTGTGGATAACCAGTAAATGCAAATGTATTTGATGCTGGAGCTCCTTGAACACCTACTCTATTGAAATGTAAAACTTTTCCATCTTCTCTAAAGAAATTTGCTTCTTCAACTCCTTCAATTTTTGTAGCTTTTAATTTTCCTAATGTTTCAATTAATTTAGTATCATCTTGTTCGGTTTTAACACCTTTTTTGGCTTTAACTCTTGATCCACCAACTTTCTTGGCTGATGATTTTTGTAATTTGGCTAATTTTTCTGGATCAACTGGCATAGTGAACGTTGAATTGTTGTTGATTTGTGCTTGAATTTAATAGAAATTTTCAGATTTTTGTTGAAAAATTTGAATATTTTTTTTGTATCACTTTTGTATTATAAGACACGACTTTAGTGGAACTGTATATAATATATTATTAATACTTTTACTCTACTTATATAAACTATTAAGTAATAATTGTTTCAAATAAATATAAATGTTTCAGATTTAATTTATTTTTTAACATGAATATTACACTGATAAAACTTTACTTTGGCTGATCTTTCTATAAGCTATTTACAGATTGTTTCACCTCGATCTAGACCTTTGATATACATTTATAGACTATTTAGGGAAATTCTTGTCACTGTTAGTGAATGAAATTTATATGTCGTATAATCTTCAAGTAAAATTAATTTCAACAAACATGAAAGTTTAAACTTGTAAGCGAGCTTTGTCTTTTAAAGTACTAAAAACCTTAGATTCTTTCGATCCAGTAAGAGCTATACCCCTCCCGGATTCCAAATATAATTTTTTCTTATTTGTCATTCATTATTATAATATTTCGTCTTAACTATGATGAAAAAAAAAACATCGAACGAAAATTTAAACGTAACTATCACAAGATAACTAACTAAATCAATCAACACTATTAAGTACAACTTAACCCGTCAGTCCAGAATCAAATCTGAAACACAACACCTTAAATCATATATTGACAATATTGAAATACTGATACAGCCATACTCACTAGCAAATCAAACCAAGAATTCATCGAATGTCAACATCAAATATATGAGATAAAACTATAATCAAAACAAAATAAATGGCTTATGCTTCACCATCATTGATGAAACAATATATAAATAGTTCAAAGTTTAAACCATATTTCCCAGATTGGATAGTTGCATTTGCATTAGCGATATATTTCTTTTTAATAGCAGAACATGCAAGACCTTTCAATAGACAATTTTCAATAAATGATCTAACTATATCACACCCATTTGCGTTAAAAGAAAGAGTATCTGGTCCTGCTTGTATAATCATTGCATCATTAGTACCACTGATTGTTATTATTTCAGTATTAGTTGTTAAATATATTAGAGGTAAATATGATTCTAAATTAGATGTTTTACATTTTTTACAAATTAGTATATTGGGATTAACAATATCAATATTTTTGGATGGTATAGTAACAGATATATTGAAAAATTGGATTGCAAGACCAAGACCTGATTTTTTAGAAAGATGTGGAGCTAAAGTAGAAGAATTAACTACTGAAATGTTAGATATTGATGTTTGTACAGCACCTCATGGAAAAGCAGTTTTAATGGATGGTATGAGATCAACACCTTCTGGTCATTCATCAATAAGTTTTGTTGCTTTCTTATATTTGAGTTTATGGTTACTTGGACAATTTAAATTAATCCTGCATGGACCTCAACATATTTACAAATATTTGTTTTGTTTTTCACCTTTATTATTAGCTTCATATATTGCATTAAGTAGAGCTCAAGATTACAGACATCATTTTATAGATTTAATATTGGGTTCGATATTAGGTTGTACTATTGCGTGGTTTGTTTACCATCATTATTGGAAAGGATTGAAGCTGAAGAATTGTGAATTACCTAAACAAGCTGAAGAAAATGAAGATCCAATATTACCTCTTTAAATATCATGACAAGACTTAAATATGATTAATAAAACATTGACAAGTAAAATTAAAAAAAAAAAGGTACGATCTAATACTTGCTTTTGTGATCGTAGATTTCTAGATCTATTGTTTCCCCACTTTATACGCGTTCTAGATTCTGTTGTTAAGTAACTCAATAGAGTAAATCAAATCTGAAACGTATCTAATTCAAAATTTTCAATTCTTACAAATTATTATATAAGTGTATTAAAGTATTATACAGGATTTACTATGTATATGCAGAAAGAGTTAAACTAAATTAAGGTTTTAAGGTACAATTTGAAGATATAATAAAAAATGTGAAACACTGAAAATAAAATACTTTTAAGTTAATTTTTAACTCACATGGCGATCTTAAATTAACAAATTCTGAAACAAATATTAAAAATGATATATAAATGAGTACAAGTTTCTTTTCTTTTAATTTTGAATCTGGATTTCTTGTCAACTTTTTGCATTTTTTTTCCATTAATTTTCATCAATTATTTTCAATTAATGGTTACATCTTCTGATACTGATACTACTATTCTCATGACATTAACTAGCACTACAACATTAACAACTGACACATCAGATACTATTTATATATCATGGCTGAAAACAACACTAACAACTCAACAAGTGATAAGAAGTGCAATTACCTTATCAAAACCACAACCAACTACATCAGAAACAAAGGATTCAACTGACTCCATCACAGATCAATCAACAAGTTCAACACCATCAAATACTAATTCAATAACTTCAGATTCAACAAATGAAACATCATCAACAAAAACAACAAAAGTAACAACATTAGCACCATCAGATTATTCATCAAGATTACAATTTGGTGATATACCATCATCAAATTCAAGTCAGGTAGGAGTAGCAATAGGTATTCCTATATCAATTTTCATAATATTTTTTATATCATTAGGAGTATGGTATTTTTTAAGATTGAAAAATGCTAAAAAAAAATCAAAAACAATTGGTAATACTAATAATAATTCAAAATCATTTACTTTTGATCCATTTGATGATTTAAATTATAATTTATCTAAAAATCAACAACGTCATGCATTTATGAATCAAAGTTCAGATACTTTAAATGAAAAACCTTATCCTAATTTATTTTCACCTACAAATTATTTACACACTGCTAAAGAATTAGAAATGTATCAACAACAACAACAACAGCAACAACGTCAACAAGGTTATGGACCAAGGTTTAAAAATCAATTGAATAGATTAAGTAAAATGTGGCCCAAAAGAGATAGACAACAAGAATTATCAGCTTCTAAAATTTACAATCAACATCAACAACCCCAACCACCTCCACAACCACGAGATCTTCACTTAGAAGAATTACAAAATCCACAACCAAATTTATTTAAACGTATGTCAATGATAACTCCAATTTTTTTAAAACAATTTAATTTAAAATCAACTCAAAATGACCCAAGTATAAGACCACAATTTATAAATATACCAATAAGTACTCAATCTCAAACTATACAACCACAAAGAAGTTGTTCAAATCAAAGTTATTATATAGTTATAAAATCATATTTAAAAAATTTAAATGATGAAATTTCAATAAATGTTGGTGAAAAATGTATTATATTGGAAAAACATAGTGATGGTTGGTGTAAAATTAAATTAATTAAAAATTATATATCTGATGGTGAATTAATTAATAATAATGAAATTGAAGGATTAGTTCCAAGAATGTGTTTACAAAAAATTTAAAAATTAAATAATTATATAGCAGAAATCTTAATACAAGTCTTTTTTTAAAATCGTCGTGTTGTGAAAGTAAACTTATCACCATTTCAAAAAATCTTCTCTTCAAAATTAGTAATGATGCAACGTGTTTTAATGAAACTCGACATTTTATTTTTCTTTATTCCTCAAACGAGTGGTTCTTAAGGGTAATCTAAGAGGAAGTATCTATTATTATTAAAACTTCAAATTAAGCGGCACAGTTTAAGGGGCGTTTTTTTGTTTCAATAACTAATTTGTAAGTCACGTGAAGATGAACAGTCACAAGTAATAGAATTGTCTACTCATAGACTTTAATATCGATCAAATTTAAGTGAAACTATTGCTATATCAACAGATGTATATTCACAAATGTCTAGTGAATAAATAGTAATAATAGTATCAGAGACTATTTGGTGACATCTAATTAAGAAAAAATATATATATTACACTATTTAACTAATCATAACGACATAAAAAAGAAAACAACTACTTCTTTGTCAAAATATCCTAGTATTGTCTAAAATTCCCACTATTGTTCTGAGAATAGTTAGCATAAGGATGTCTTCCTTGTTGTTGTTGTTGTTGTTGCTGTTGAGGTGGAGGTGGTGGAGGTGGTTGGTTTTGATATTGAGTATTCATTTGTTGGTAATTTGGTTGATAATTTGATGAGTATTGATATTGTTGATTTTCATAAGCTCTTAAATTTATATTTTGATTTTGACGTGGATTGAATTGTGTGTTTGGGTTATATTGTGATCTATTTTGTAAATGGTTTGCTATTTGTTGATGACCTGGTAATCCGTTTGATTGATATTGTTGTTGATGTGGTGGCTGTTGTTGTTTTAAAGGCTGTTGTTGTTTAGGGGGTGGCATCTGTTGATTGTTTGGTTTAAAGCCATTGCTGATTGGTTGTGAGTTCAAACCTGGTTGTTGTTGTTGTTGTTGTAGAGGGGCCATTGGTCTTGGTGTTTGATGTTGTTGAGGGATTGGTTTACCCATTTGAGGTTGATAAGCTTGTGAATTATGTTGTTGTTGATATTGCTGCATGTGTTGTTGATGAGTTTGATAAGGAGCACTATGTTGTTGAGAAATTGGTTGTTGTTGATACTTTTGTGGTTGTTGTGCAATTTGAGGAGCTGATTGAGGTTGATGTTGATACATTTGTTGTTGCGGATACATTTGTGATTGTTGAGGTGGTGGTGGTTTACGTGATTTTGAATTTGGACTTTGATTACTTATAGGCTGAGTAGCTTGATTAGATTGAGAAGCTTGTGATGTTGGTTGTATTGAGGGACTGAAGATTTGTTTGGTAGATTTAGGTATAGCAGCTACTTTAGGTTTTATTTCAACTTCATTTACTTGTTCTTTTGATTGATTTTTAACAGGTGATGGTGATAATGGATACTGTAAAGTTGTCTTTTTAACTTCGTTATTATTTGAAAATTTATTTAATTGATTCTGTGATGAATTTGGTGATGATATAAATCTTGGTTTATTGACTGGATAAGGAACAGGTTTTTGTGGCAGTAAATTCAAATTTTCTTCTTTTTTAGTTATTGAATCAGATGATGATCCACTACTAACTCTTCCTGATTCTGAATGAATAGATCTTTGATTAAAATTTTCTGTTTTTGGTGTACCTTGCGATACTTCATTTAATTTACCACCAAATTGTTCTTCAATACCTGATGTATGTTTTGGGACTGGTGGTGGTGGTGTTTCACTTTTCAATCCATACATTGGAATATTTTCAACTCTTTTATAACTATCTTTTAAATCATTAAATTGAGTCATTGGAGAAATAACTGATGCATAACTACCATTTTTATCTTGGAAACTTGGAACTTTTAAATTACTTAACGAAGCATCTGAATCACTTGAAAAATTCTTAAGACCAATTTGTCTTACATCAACCAAATTCGAGTCTCTATTTTGTGAAGTAATTTCGTCTTCATCATCATCATCACTAAATAATCCATCATCATTTTTAGGGTAAGTGTTTTTCTCAGTATCTTTTATGTTTAATTGTTGAAATCCAGCTGGTAAATCTTTTTCATCTACATGTTCGTGAGATCCATTTAATATTTGATTTCTATCAAGATAATTATCAGATGGTGTTTTCAAATCAGAATATTTTTGATATATATCAGCTAATTGTATCGACTTATGAGGATCATTTTTATTATCATCTGTGTTTGTAGTTGTGATTTGAGGAACTTGTAAGGATAAATTATTTGGATTTTTATTGAATCCTTTATTTTGTTCTTTCAAAGAAGGTTGTGAGGAATTAGATACCAGTTGAGATAATGATGAAGTTGGAACTGGTTTTCTTGTAGCTGAAAATTGACTACCACTACTTGGTAATCTTGGTGAGCCTGTTGATAATGTAGGACTATTTAAAGAGCTTACAGCTCCTGCATAACCTCTTTGACTTCCACAACCTTCATATCCTCGTTCAATTTTTGATTTCAAAAGTAATTGAATTTGTTCATTCCATATTTTCAAATCCCAATTAAGAAAATCTCCTTTTGTAACTAATTGTAAAACATCTTGTAATTCTAAATAATGAACTCTTGGTAATGTTGGTAATCCAAATAATAAAGAGTCAATATCATTTCTATTAGCTTTTAACCTTTTTGGTCTACCATAAAGTCCAAAAGTATCCAACAAAGGAATTAAAAATCTTATTAAAGTATCAAATCCTGGAACTGCTGAATGTTGTTCAGGCATTATAAAAATTGAAGTTTGTCTAAAATCATCAGCTGATTTTTTTGATACTTTTGTAGATAAACTTGGAGAAGTAAAATTTATAAACCCTTCCATTTTTAACATTGTTGAATGATCAATTAAAAGATGAGATTGTGGATAAACCGCTGATACCGCTGATGCATTTATTATAACGGCCATTAATTGTTTTTTCTTTTTTTGTTCATTTTCAAAAATTAAAATTCTACCTGGTGTAAATGATTTCTTTTTGGTTACTGATGGTTCAATAACTGCGTAACAACGTTTCCAAGCCATACCACTTCCATATCTTATACTTACCCAATCTTCATGATCAAATCTTTTTTCAGCCAATATAGTTTTAATATCTGATAATCTTGATCCTCTTGCTGATAATAATGCACCAGTATATGCTTCTTGTAAAGATTTATACTCAAAATTTGATAATCGAAGTGCTGAATACCATTGAGTTAAATCTTTATAAGATTTAAATTGTAAAATGTATCTATTTTTTAAAGTAGTTGAAACAATAACAACATTATCTAAATTTTGTTTTGCAGCTGGTAAAGATTTCATTGCATTATAAATTGAATCAGTAAAATTTAAATAATTTGGTTTTGCAGAGAATTGTAATAAAGCATCTGGATTATTTTTAAATTGTGCTAAATTAGCAGCATCCCAATAAGCTAATTGACAACCTGTTAATATACCATAAATTTCTTTCCATTCTCTATCACCAGGTTTTCCATCACCATTTAAATCATTATATAACATAAATATTCCTTCTGTATAACGTCTATGAGATTGGGAAGATAATAAAGTAACAATAGGTATTAATTCAGGAGATAATCCATCCAAATTATCTGGACTTTTAGTACTACTTGCAACTCTCAGTAAATTTCCATTACTTTCAACTGATTCACTAACATCACTAGAATGAATTCTTTTTTTAATAGCTTCCATTTTATTAGTTACAGGATTTAATTAGATTTTACTCTTGATTTTTATTAATTTAGTGGGGTAATGAGTAAAATAAATCAATTTATAAGTAATACATCCAAGTTTGATTGAAAATAATTATGAGATTAATAAAATGATAAGTTGATTGATTAAATAAATATTGTTATAAAAATTTAAACTTATATAGACTTGATCTATTGATAATAAGTTATCGTAAACAACAATGTTTAATATTAACACAAATTAAAACAATTAATTATGTAATAATATTTTTGAATACAACAAAATGATTATATTAATAATGGTAATAAATATATATATGATTCGTAATGAATAATAATATAAAATGAATGACTAGTTAATTTGTTGATTTGTTGAATGAGTTTCGTGTTTATAAAATATAAATATTATTTTAATGATCCTTATAGTTAAATAATTCAATTAAAATATAAATATTCTGATAAACTGTAGTTGTTGTTGTTATTATTGTTGTTATTTGATGAATAAAATATTAATTTTTGGTTGTAAAGTTTTATTGAATATTTAATTTGAAAAAAATAATAAAACAAAAAAAAAATAAAAAATTAAAAAAAATTAAAATTTTTTTAAACTTTAAAATATTTAAGAATTAGATTTTGTAAATCAATTAGTTTTTTTATGTAATATTAAATTTATATGTCATTTAATGTAAAACATAGAGATTGTAAAGTCAATTATTTATTCAATAACTATATGTACTTAATTACTAAGTTTTGAGGATTAATAATGAAAACAAATTATGATTGTAGAGATAAGAAGAAATCTTTAATTTTATCAAGATCTATATAAAGATCTGATCTCCTTTTTTTTAGAATTTTAAGATCTGATACAACTTATTTAAAATCAGTTTCAACTATCAGTAATCTAAATTATATGATGATAATGATTAATACTTAACAACAGAAGTGAACAATACATAGTGTTCAATGATTAAGTTTTAAATTTTTTAAATGTGCATATTTATTTATATTTAATGAATTATCGTATTGTGCCGTATACTTTTTAATTAGATTTTTGTATTATGTGGACCTAAATTTAAAACATAATACATCACATTACAATTTATTAATAAAATTTTGTTATAAATATATAAGTAACCTTAATTAAGATTTTATACATTGTGGATTTTGATACTTTATGTTAAGTTTAATATTGAATACTATAATATTGAAATTAATAACTTCAATTTAATATGGTTCATTAGTTATGATACATTGTTTACTTAACCATAGTAACCACCATATATCATGTATGGTTAATAGTTAATATAATAATCGCGATTTTATTTATTTATTCTAAAAATTTATTTTCTTAGTATTTATTTATTTATATTATTATATAAATATACACCACTTAATATATATGATAAAAATTTTATATGAATTGAAGAATATAACAAGTATAAACTGAAACTTGGATTAACAATCAAATTGATTAGATGATCATCAACCTTGATTGCCTCTCTCTCCATCTTTATAACTCTTTTTCTCTTTATTGTTCTTTTCAAATTTAAATACCATTAATATTGTTGATGTACAAATTCTTAAAATTAATTAGTTTATTATTATTTACTTTTTATAATTAAATTACTAAATTTGGATTTAATAAAATTGGTTATAATATTCACTTTATTGATAAAATTGGTACCAGTGGTTTTTTTAATAAATATTCATTAAGAAATTTGTAAATTATGTTTAGCTTGTGTTAATTAAGTCGATATATTATTATAGTCTGTTGGACTTTTTTGGACTTTTCTCATTTGTGGATTATGAACCCTGAAATAATTATTTTTTACATAATTTGTATCAATTTGCAGCCAAATTTTGTAGATTTACATTTTTAAACTATACATCGCTTTAAACTTAACTCAAAAAAAAAATCAATACTCTGCATTGAAATTGATTTTAGTTTCGACAAAGGTATCATCGAAGAAGGAGTAAACAGAGCATAATTATTCTGACCAAAAAAGAAGCTGAAATTGAACATCATCAAAATTATCTAGTAAGTACAATCTCGTAGATACTTATAGCAAAACCAAGTGAATATAAAAAAAAGATATACCAGAATGGTCAACCTCAACCTTACAATAATGATCACTACCATTTAAATGAACTTTTGAATCAAAACCCTCGAGAAATTTTATTTGTTTTACTGATACACAAAAAAAGTGGGGTGGGGTTGATCAAATTTTACGAACGGCTTAGATTTTCTAGTTTCTATAAAAATGACATCGACAACTAATCAAGCAGTCAAAGTTACATTTGAAGGAACTCAAGACTTGCTATCCCTAATTATCTCTATGTATTGGATATTCAAACATATGAGTAAATTATTAACCAAATAATAGTTGAATTATCGACAGTCATTTAATCAAAAACACAAAAAAAAAAGATTATATATTTTAAGGTCAAATTTAGAAAAGAACTAAATTTTAAAGCACTGGATAAATTTTTAAAGAACTAGATATCGGATAAACTAATTCATCATATTAAATCTTTCATCTAAACGTCCATTAGAACTAAAACAACATTAATAAAAGCCAGTAATTAAATCATTCCATTCCTTTTATTTCTTTTTAATAATAATTAAAATGTTAATATTATTATAAATTTACGATCACCCAACTTATTCATTAAATAATACTTCTAATTTAGATAGTAGTCAGCTAAAACTTATTAGAAAGATGACTTACTTTATAAATACATAGTGATGAGCTAAATCAAAATCTCATCAGATCGATCAGCCATTAGATCTCTTCTCGCGATTCAACAGTGTAAGTAATCATTAATGATTAAACCGCCCTACAAAAATAAATGTCACCTCTCTTTAAAATTTCCCCCACCAAAAAAAGAATTGGAATTTTATCAACAAATTAAATTGACATTTTAAAATTTATTTTGTTTTACAAATTTAAAAAATAAATATATAACGGACTTCATTTTAAACCAGGTTTTTTTTTTATTTTTTTAATTTTTCAAACCAGTTTTATTCAAAAACATCCTTTTTCTTGTTTTATCAAGAAAGGGTTTTCAATCGATTTTAATAATCTTTGATAAATTTCAATTCTTAATATTCAATTGTCTGATATTTAGTTTAATCAATTTGTTTTCATTAAATTCAATTTTTTACAACAATATTTAATCGTAATTAAAAATTTCATCAATTTCATCAACTACATATTTCAATTTTTTCATAAACTTTCATATTATATCATAAATAAAACCACCACATAAAATGACAAGAGATATAACAAATCATTTACTTTTCGAAGTAGCAACAGAAGTTGCCCATAAAGTTGGAGGAATTTATTCAGTTTTAAAATCAAAAGCTCCAATAACAGTAGCTGAATATAGAGAACGTTATACATTAATTGGTCCATGGAATCATAGTTCTGCACAAATTGAAGTTGAAGAATTACCTGTAAAAGATCCATTAATTAAACAAACTTTAGATTCAATGTCTCAAAAGGGTATAAGATGGCTTTATGGTAGATGGTTAATTGAAGGTGCTCCAAGAGTTTTATTATTTGATATTTGGTCAGCTGGTCATTTTTTAAATGAATGGAAAACTGATTTATGGAATACTGCTGGTATTCCAACTCCTGATCATGATTCTGAAACTAATGAAGCTATATTATTAGGTTATTTAGTTGCTTGGTTTTTAGGGGAATTAGTTTACAATGATACTGATAGAGCAGTTATTGCACATTTTCATGAATGGTTAGCTGGAATTGCATTACCATTATGTCGTAAAAGAAGAATTGATGTAACAACAATTTTTACAACTCATGCTACTTTATTAGGAAGATATCTTTGTGCTGGTTCAATTGATTTTTATAATAATTTAGCAAATTTTGATGTTGATGCAGAAGCTGGTAAAAGAGGCATATATCATCGTTATTGTATTGAAAGATCTGCAACTCATTCAGCAGATGTTTTTACAACTGTATCTCATATTACTGCATTTGAAAGTGAACATTTATTAAAAAGAAAACCAGATGGTGTATTACCAAATGGTTTAAATGTTGTTAAATTTCAAGCAGTTCATGAATTTCAAAATTTACATGCTGTTAAAAAGGAAAAAATTAATGAATTTATAAAAGGTCATTTTTATGGAAATTATGATTTTGATTTAGAAAATACTTTATATTTTTTCATTGCTGGTAGATATGAATTTAGAAATAAAGGTTGTGATTTTTTTATTGAAAGTTTAGCAAGATTAAATCATAAATTAAAAGAAACAGGTTCTAAAATGACAGTTGTTGCATTTATTATAATGCCAGGTAGAACTCAATCATATACTGTTGAAACATTAAAAGGTCAAGCAGTTATAAAACAATTAGAATCAACAATTGAAGAAGTTCAAAAAAAAGTTGGAGAAAGATTATTTGAACATTGTGCAAGATATCCAAATTCAGAACATTCAGGTCATAAATCAAATGAAGTACCATCAATTGATGAATTAATTAAACCAGCTGATAGAGTATTATTAAAAAGAAGAATTTATGCATTAAAAAGAGATGGTTTACCTCCAATAGTAACTCATAATATGATTGATGATAATAATGATCCAATTTTAAATCAAATTAGAAGAGTTCAATTATTTAATAAACCAGAAGATAGAGTTAAAATAATTTTTCATCCAGAATTTTTAAATGCAAATAATCCAATATTATCATTAGATTATGATGAATTTGTACGTGGTTGTCATTTAGGTGTATTTCCATCATATTATGAACCTTGGGGTTATACACCTGCTGAATGTACAGTAATGGGTATACCATCAATAACAACAAATTTATCAGGATTTGGATGTTATATGGAAGATTTAATTGAAAATACAAGTGATTATGGAATATATATAGTTGATAGAAGAATGAAATCAGTTGATGAATCAATTGATCAATTAACAAATTATATGTATGAATTTTGTGAAAAAACAAGAAGACAAAGAATAAATCAAAGAAATAGAACTGAAAGATTAAGTGATTTATTAGATTGGAAAAGAATGGGATTAGAATATATAAAAGCAAGACAATTATCTTTAAAAAGAGCTTATCCTGATAAATTTAAAAATGGTGCAAATCCTTTTAATAATTCTTCAAATTTAAAATTAACAAGACCTTTATCAGTTCCAGGATCACCAAGATCTAAAATTGGTTTAATGACACCTGGTGATTTAGGTAGTTTACAAGAAGCTCAAGAAGGTTTAAATACTGATGATTATGTTGGGTTTAAATTAGGTTTAGGTGCTAATGATGATGAAAATGAAGAAGGTGAAAATGATCATCATTATCCTTTAACTTTAAGAGGTAATTCAATTCCACCAGAAGATCCACCAACTTAAAATAAACAAGTTGTTGGTTACACTTCTACTTCATATTTTTTTCACACAATCATTAGTTAATAAAAAATTGTTTTTTTTATAAATAGTTGCATAATTCTAGATATTTTTTTAAAATAAAAATGAATATTACTACAAAAAATTAAAAGTTTCAAGTCTTAAATAAATTATCGTCAAAGTTTGTAGATTTTCTTTCATTTCATCATTAAATTAAATTAAAATTAAAAATAAACTCTATAAATTCTATTCCATAAAATAAAAAATCGCTTTGTTTTTCACCAATTAAGTAATTTTTTAGTATTTTCACAATAATCATTAGATAAAAAAGTAGAACATTCACCAAGTAATTTACTTTTTTCATCTTTTTCAAATTGATCTTGATTATTATCTTGATTATTATTTTCATCATTTCCCAATTTCTGATCACCATTAGTAATTTCAAATAAATTATGAATATGTTTTAATAAACCTCTTACATGAAGTAATTTATTTGTTCTATCAGCTTCACTAAAAGTAATACCCATATAATCTATATTTTCTTTATTATTAAATTCCCAATATGATATTGAATTGGGGATTAAAACAGATTTACCATCTTGACAAGTTGATTTGGGGATTTTCCTTTCATACCAAGATTCAGGATTTATATTAAAATCAATTAATGAACTAACATAATCTAATTGAAAAGATTCTGTTTTAGTTTTCAATCTTGACATTAAAAAAATATGAGGTCTATATAATTCTTGTAAACATCCACAACTATTTATATGTGATCTACCTATTCCAATCCAATATTTCCTATCGTTTGTTAAATTATTCGTTGGTAAAAATTCTATTGGAATTTCAATAATATTAGTCCCACCTCTTAATTTACCTGCATTATCATTAGCCAGAATTGAATTAAATGGAGGTCCACTTACTTTATTACACTCTCCATTTTGTAAATCACATTTTATAATTCTTAAAGGATTAAAATTATAAATGAAATTTATATATTTACCATTATCATCATCTTTATTTCGATCAAAAAATGGAGCCCAATTTTTTTCAATAAAACTTCTTTTTTTATCTTTAATTGCCATACGTGTTATTTTTTTGGAATTTGTTAATGGTTGATAAGTATGCATAGCTCTCGCCCAATTAATTTCAGTTCTTCTAGAACTGAAAACAATTACTGGTTCTTGAAATAATTCTCCGTCTTTGATATATTCATTTAATATAATTCTTGGATCTTCACTTCCAAGAACTTCCTTTTTAGTTCTTTTACCTAAATCTATTTCATGAGGTAGTATTGTTGGAAAAATCAATTCTGAATTAGGAAATTTATAATGTTTTAATTCTTTCCAATTTTTATCAAATATTTGTCCATATAAAATTGATATTGTTGGTAAGTTTTTTCTAGCATTTCTTGAATATATTACTCTACTCACCATAAAATAAACTTGATATTTACTCATCCATACTGCACTTCCACAAAATTTAAACCACTTCTTTTTTAGAATATCATCTTCCAGTTGATGTTCACCATCTTGAAAACATAGCTGGTACGCTTTATTATTCGGCGATAAATCTTTCAATTGATTTCTTATAAATCTTAAATCTCCCTCTTTATTTAAATCAACCAATTCACTTGCTTCTATCAGTACTTGATTACTATTTTGAATAGATGAACAACTAAATTTTTCTTCTAATTTGCTATCATCCTCATTACTATTTGATACTACATTATCTTGATAGTTTAAAAAGGAAAAACCGGGTATATTGACATTTTGAAACTTGAGATCCAAAATTTCTCTCTGTAATGGAGTTTTATTTAATCTTTCTTGATTTTGACGTAATGACCAAACTAGAAATACCCAAGCATTAAAATTTAATATGATTAAACAAGTATTGATTAGAATAGTAGATAATTCATTTGTCTTTTTATATCGTTTGAAATTTTTGAATATAACAATAAAACTTAACGGAGTTATAATACTCGCTGATATTATATAAATTTGAGTTGATCCATCAAAATAACTGAATTGACTTAATATTGAAGACATATATTACGAATATAATAATAACACTTATAATATCTTTAATTGAATAAATAGAATTAAATGATGAATAATAATTGTAGAAATATATTTTATATGTAATAATATGTGAAAATATGTATGGATTATAATGGTAAAGGCTTGGTAAGAGGTTTAAAAATAGAAACAATAATAAGTACAAGATTAGGCTACCAATTTCTTCCAAAAACACCGAAATCTAAATATCGCGCGCGTTAATTGTTTCAAGATACGAGAACTTAGAAAGATAATAATAATAAATTTTAGTATCATAAGCACAGTAAATACAGGTCGAGAATTAAGGGCGATGTTGTGCATTAAATTTAAAATTCAGGTCCATTACTCTTTCCCCCTATTTATTGTACTAAAAAATAAAATTATTCGTATTAAAAAATCAATAAAAATAATAAATACGTAATCAATTTATTATTTTCGTTATTTATTACTTAACAACAACAAACGATTTATGTAGTATTATTATATATTACTACAATAATAATTTACTATCTATATAAAATTCAACATTCGCTTTCAAACTTTATTCAACTAATTTCAATTTCATTGATATATTTAACGACTTATCCAACCATATAACTATCATTCATTTTGATGATCTTGCAAACCAAAAATTTATCATATGATATACTTTCACTAAATACAACCAACTAACTCAAAAATTTTATTCATGAATGATCAACAACAAAATTTAAACTCAGATTTAGATAGTATTTATTCATTTGATTCAGTAGCTACAAATGAAAGATTGTTAGATCGTTTAGATTTCGATAATGCATCTGTATCTGATAGATCTATAGATTCTTATAATATAGATCAAAAAAGGAAAAGTCAAATTTCTTTAAATCCAAGACATAATTCTGTTGGTTATTATAATAATTATTTAAATCAAGTTGATAATAGTAATTTAAATTCAATTGTAAAATTAAGAAATCAAAATCAGAGATCAAATTCCTTTAAAAATATCAATAATCAATATATTAATAACAATAGTTACAACAATAACATCAACAACTACAAACAATCAAATGATCACACCAAAACAAATTCACTATCTAGGAATGATTTAGAGGACGCGAGACTAAGGTCAGTTTCAAAAAACTTTATTTCTACTACAGTCAATCCAAAACTAGATCGAATAACTCATGAAGTAGCATCATTAAAATATGACTCAATAGATGATTTACCAACTTCATCTTCATCAAATAATCACTTAAAGAACAACAACACCAAAACCACAGGATCCGATAAATCACTAGAGGACCTTACGAAAAATGCTTCAAAATTAAGTTTATACCCACCAGGTCAATCAAGATCTCCTCATTTATTCATAACTCAACATAGAACTACTTCTGGTTCCTCAATAACTTCTGATTCTTCAAATAATAGTTTTAACTCCTCAAATCATAATCAACAATCAACATCAACTACAAGACCTCAACAATTAAGAATGTTCACTTCAAGAGAAGAAATACCGACAATATCAAAAAATTCATCAGGTAATGACAACAATGATACAGAAATTTCAGAAATTAGACTTCAAGAGAGTCCCAATATCAAACACTCATCATTAACCAATTTACAAACATCAAGAACATTAGATTTATCACCAGAAGAAAGAACAAATATTGCATTAGAATTACGTAAACAAGGAAATCAAAGAGAAGCTTCATATCAATTACAAATAGCAGCAAATGAACCCTTTAATTACCCCAAAGCAATGTATCATTATGCAGTATCTCTCAAATATGGTTATGGTGTTAAACAAAATTTTTCATCTTCTTCAAAATGGATATGTAAATGTATTTTAATAAGTTCTGTTAATATTAAAAATGATGAATCTGATCAACATACTATATCTGTACTAGTCAACAAATTAAATAAATTATCACATTCCGAAATTATGAATTTGATCTTATCAACTTTGGAGAATACCAAAAACTCAGACATATACAATAATGGATCAAATCCTGAAGAAATGTATCTAATATTCAAACAATACGATAAACTCAAAATCAATCATGTAATATCAATAAATAAGAATAAGTCAGACGTAGTGGCATTAAGCTACTATGAGCTAGGTAATTTCTTTCTAGGTGGTCTTATATCAAATTCAAAAGATGATGAAATAAATGGGATTATTTGTTTATCAAAATCAGCATCATTAGGGTACATTCATGCCATGGAACAATTAGGTGAGATTTGGACAAACAAAACAAAAGCTCATAAAAAAGACTTGGCAAAAGCTGCTGCTTGGTTAAGAAGTTCTGAAATCTTTGGTGTTAAAAGTATTGGTAATAGCTGGATTTATAAAGATAAATATTTAAATGGTAGTTGAATCTCGTTAATAATTAGATATATAGATGTAATGAACGTAATGACCCACATTAAATATAAATGCCTTACTCTATTTGATTCTTTGCAATGCTTTGTTGTACGTTATAGTACCAGAGATCAACTATAGTCCATTTTGTCAACGTAATAGTAGTGATAAAATTAATTACACTATTTAAATATAAAAATATAATAGAGTATAAAATATAATAGACTAAAAAAAATAATTAAATTATTTTATTAAAATAATAGTCAAAACAAAAATTTCAACTTTAATTCAAAAACCAAAAAAAATCAATATACATATTGACTTAATTCAAGTTTCATTTCATTCTATGAGTGTATTATCATTACAGTTTCAGCATAAGTTATAACATTATAACATTTAAAAATAAAATCATTTGTAATCCATTATTTTTTTTCAAGATCAGAAGATTAGACCCTCTTAAAAATTTTAAAACCACGGATATATGTCAAATTACAACGAAGTGCACCTGACAGGGTTTGCAAAAAGAAACAGAGGTGGAAAAGGTAGCTCAAGAGGTGGACGAGCTAGAGGCGGTGCAAGAGGTGGGTTTAGAGATAATAACTACAATAATAATTCAAAAGGTAGTTATCGACGTGATGATACTTACAATTATAACAATAGTAGTTATGGAGAGGATGAAGAAGAAGGAATGTATAATCCATCTACTTACAATTATGCATCAGAACAACAAAGATCACCGCCATCTACTATTAATCAAACAAACACATTACACCAACAAACTTTACAACCAACAAGTTATAGTGATATTTCAAGAAGAGATCATAGAGATGATAATCCAGCTTACCCTGCACCTGTTTATTCACCCCCACAACCAAAGACACGAACAAACATACAATCAAACATACAAGCAAATGTACACACGAACGGACAGCCTGTTGATACTGCACCAACACAAACTGACCAAGCTCCTGACCAAAACGCAAACCCACAAGAACAAGTTAATCCTGAATATCCTCCAGAATTTTTTAATTTTGTTGACAGAAAACTACAAAAAATAAATACATTAAAACCAGAAAAACAAGTAATTGCCAAAACTCAATTACAATCAATTATCACCCTAGCTAAAGATGAAGATCTTTTTTGGACAAATGATTGGACTAAACAATTAGTTCCATTAATTGATGGTGGAGGTCAATTAATTCTACATTGTAAAAAGACAAAACATAAAAAATCAAGTGGTGGTGAATTATCACCATCATCAGGATCATCTTCATCAATAGTATCAAACGCCAACAAACCAGCTAAAATTAATGCAAATATGATCCCTATGGCGGGTCATAGTGTTTATGTTCGGCCACCTAGAAAAAGTCATAGGGTAATAGAAGATGAAGAAGATGAAGATATGGATGGAAATTCTACTAATGGATTCGGTAATCATCACCCTACTAATACAACTGTAGGGGTTGATTCTAACTTACAATCCTCAAGGTCATCTACCTTACCTCCTCTGACTTCTGCACATGCTCGACATTTAAATGATAATGATGATTTATTTATTGATAATTCTGCTGCAGATTTATCATATAATTCTAATAATTTTGGACAGGCGCCACCTCCACCGACTGCTACAAACCCAACTTATCAGGGCCAAATTAATGAAGAAAGACAGGCACAAGTTATGTCTTATTCTTCAATAAATAACAAAAGAGATGCTGATGATTATATCTCTGACGAAAGAAAACGTCAGAGATTAGAAAGATTTGAAAATAATTCTGGCCCTACAACTCCAACAGATTCTAATAGTTCAAGTTCTACCAAAAATGGTCCATTAGTTGGTAGAAACACTAAATTAGAAAAACTGTATCTTAGATTAACATCAGAACCAGATCCAAATAATGTAAGACCACAAAATATTTTAGAACAAAGTATTGAATTTGTTTTAAAAAAATCTAAAACAATGGATATAAAAGATTCTTATACTTATCTTATAAATCAATTAAAATCCATTAGACAAGATTTAACAGTTCAACATTTAAAAAATGATTTTACAATCAAAGTTTATGAAATAAATGCTAAAGAATCAATAAAAGCGGGAGACTTGGGGGAATTTAACCAATGCCAAACACAATTGAAACATTTATATAATTTAGCAAGATCTTCAAAGGGTTCAAAAAGAGAATTTATTGGATCAGAAGTTGAATTAATAGCATATAAAATCATATATATGATGATTACAAGAAATAATAGTGAAATTTCAAAATTACGTTTAAGTATACTAGAAGACTACAAGGGATTTGCAAAAAGAACATCAGATTTAATATTTTTTGAATTTATAAATTCATTATTTAAATTTAATGAATATTTATTATCAAATAATTCATATAAATTTTTTCAAGATATTTTAAATTTTAAAAAATTTCAAGAAATTGAATTAGCTTTAAAAATGATTTCAAAATTTTTATATGATAAAATTAGAATTGGTGGATTATTTACAATATGTAGTAGTTATAAAACTGTTGATATTAATTTTTTACAAAATTTTTTAGGATTTGAAACTAAATCTGAATGTGATGGATTTTTAAAAAATTATAAATTACATACATTTATGAAACAAAATAATTTTTCTTCAATTAGTGCAAAGGGGAAAGTTGGTGAAATTTTTAAAAAAATGTCAAAAGTTGATATAAAAGGTCAAATTTAGCACGAACGAAGAATTAAGAGTAAATTGAAAAAGAACTGGAAATACACGAAAAAGAATTTATACAAAATGAAAAAAGAGCCAAATAATTGAAAAAAAAGTATATTTTATAAATACACAAACAAATAATATATATACATCTACGCCAAATATATACATAATTTCGTAAAAATTTAATCCAATGTAGGTCCTAATGCCATAATTGCAAAATTATGTTTATTCTCTTCATCAGCATTATCAATATAAAATTGAATTTTTTCAACCAATTTTGATTCATTAATTAAATTATTTTTTCCTAAATCACTTATTTCACCTAAATCAATAGGACCATTTCTTCTACCATCTAATTCATATAAATGATTATTTTTTCCCCTTATAAAACTTATAAAATGTAAATTTATTGATGAATCAGCAGGTGGAGCTTCAGTTTGACCCTTTGAACCAAAATTTTCATCAGTTTTTAAATTTTTTTCTAATTTTTCAATTATAAGACTTATTTCTTCTACTGATAAATTTTGACCTTTTAAATTATTTATTAAATCATTAATCTGCGAATTTGATAAATTTAAATCAGACAGTAAATTAATTAAGATATGTAATAATGCATATAATCCACATCCATTTCCAATAGTTTGTTTTAACCATAATATTTTATTATTATTTTCATTTTCATATTTTGGATGTTGAGAATCTTCATTTTGTCTATATGTTTCATAGTTTGTAGTTAATGGGAAAAGTAATATAATGCCAAATATAGGTTGTGGTAAAAAAGATAATAAATCTGGATCTGTTAATGAATAAACATCATGAAATTGTAATATTGGTGAAAGTCCTAATTTATATGCCAATTCTGTAAAAATTGTTGGATTTGATTCTAATGGTATAATTTGTTTTGAATCAGTCATCGGATCGAAATCTATGAATAATTGGGATCTATGATCTATGAAAAATTTATGAAACGTGGAGTAAGCAATTGAAATCTGGATCAGTGGCAAATTGATCTCCAAAATGAAAAAGCTAGATGATGATTAACAATTTATTTAATTGTAGCTGAATAAACTGTCCTTGTTTAACCAATTGATAAAACTTAAATACTAAAACTCTTCCTCAATTGTTTGAAACAAGTGAATGAAATCTTAGACCTGACTGAATAATAATTATTATTAGCATAAACATAATTTATTTCATAGTATTAAAAAATAAAATATTTCGTTATCTTTTATATACAGGAATTATAAATAACACACTGTGCGTAGAATAAAAAAATAAAAAATAAAAAATAAAAAAACAAAAAGAAATCAACAAATCAACAAGCATCAAATAACCATTACTAATACACAATTTAAAATATAGATCACAAATATAGTTGTTTCAAAATAAAGTTATAAGATTTTAAAGCACAGATCAAAAATTTTATTGACTTAAAAAAAGAACAGACCTTAGGGCGTCGAAAGTTTAAATTCATGTATATGAATAAGAAATCGTATTACATAACTTGTTTAATTTTAATATCAATTGGAATTTCAATACTTAGTTTATCGTATCAAATTGAAAAATGGCTGCAAAAACAAAACACCAACAAAGAACCTCAAAATATAATTACATTTTGTAGAATTTTTGACGATATATTAGCTGGATTAATTTTATTTATAATTAATTTTACATTAATGTTTTTTTATAAATTATTTCATAATGATAATTCATATAGTTCAAGTACATTCAAATTTACAATTTTTGAATCATTTTATTTCCCAGTATTAGAAGAAATCATATTAATTACAATATTATTAATTAGAATTAAAAAGGAATCAAATTATCAATTAAATTCTCAATTTGATTTATGTATTATTACATTCACTTATATCACACTCAGCTTAAAAATTTATCAATATAATATTTCAAATTATAATGACAAGTACAAAATATTTCTAAAGTACTATAATTTATGGGAAAATCAAACTACAATTCAAAATCAATTTGATTATGATGAAGAAATAAATGCAAATTATATATGGAATGAAATATCAACTTATCAACCCATCGATAACGAAGAAACTACTGAAAACAATAAATCTATATTGTCATCATCCAATAATAAACCCAATACAATAGAAAAAAGCAGAAGTATAAATTGTATACTACCTACTGAATTTAGCATCACCAAATCAGAAAGAAAACTAGAACTCAAATTATCATCACATTCCCTCAAACATTCAAGTTCTAGATATCTACAAAGCAAAACCTCAAAATCAAGTATTTTAGACAAGTTATACTCCGTATCTCCAGGAAACACTTATCATTTAGATACGGCGGTCGCTATGGCCATTAACGCAATTGAAGAGGAAGAAGAAGAACAAAGACAACAATTTGATCATGAACACTCATTTCTTAATAATGATGATGAATTTTTGCCAGATTCAGTAAAAGTTTATGAAAATATAGATGAAGAAATGGAAGTTTCAAATAAAATAGATTATGTTGCTGGTCAATTAAATCATAACACACAATATAAATATTTAGCTACTGATAATCATTTCACGAATAATGATTTCACAAAGACGAGCAAAAAGTCATATGAATATAAAGTATTAAGTTTCATTAATTGGTGGGCATGGCTAATACCTCCACTTTTGCCAATTGAAGTTCATAATAATGAGAATTTGATTTCTAACAATTTCTCAACCGCTAACGAAAGATACCCACTACTCAAAACAAAACTATCAAACTACAATTTAAACGAACCAGTCACACAATCATATACCACAACAACTACTCACAGATACATTGGTAAATCACTTGATTTTCAAATATATGTTTCTTATTATTATGATATTAGATTTGATTCAATTACCAATTATATAAATATTGATCAATGGTTTTTAAAATATGGACAATTACTTACAAAAACAAATTGGGTTTGGATATTAATTGATGAATTGAATTTTATAGTTTGGCAATTTTGTAAAATTGAAATATTAGGATTAATACTTTTAAGTCAAAATTATAAGTTATTAATTTTCAGTCTTGTTTTGGTACTAATTTTGAAATTGTTTAAATTGAATTATTTACATGATTTCACCAATGATTTTAATTTTAAATTAATTATTACAAGTGAAATTTGTAATTCTACTAAATATATATTTGAATAAATAATTTTTTTTATTTTATAATAATGATACTGATAATGATACAAATTTAAATTATAATCTATATAATCTTTTTTTTTTTCTTTATTTATGAATTATATCTATAAATTTTGGATTAATATATGAAAAATCTTTCATATAAAAAGTTTTATTATTTTGAAATGATGATGTCATATATTGTGATTGTTGATGAGGAGTAAATTCCATTTCAGTAAATTCATTATCGAAATTTTCAGCTAATATTGGATCAGTTATAATTGGTAAAATAGGAGGTAAATTTGAAATACTAGATTCTCCTAAATTTTCAATATTTTCCAACTGTTTCCAATTAACATGTCTAAAAAAATTATGTTTTTTAAATTTTTCCCAATCTTCATCAACTTTAAATCTCTTTTCCGGATCAACTTGTAATAATTTTCTTAAAAGATCTTTAGCATCATTACTTAAATAAAATGGAAATTTTAATGTCTTTTTGGAATTTTTAATCTTTTGTAATACTTTATCAGGGTTAGAACCAGAAAAAGGTGGTGATCCAGTTAATAAATCAAAAGCAACACAACCCAAACTCCACCAATCAACTAAATAATCATATTCTTCACCCAATATAACTTCTGGTGCCATATATTGTATTGTACCAGTCATTGAATTTAATTTTTCTTCATTTGAAGCAACTTTACTTAATCCAAAATCTGTAAGTACTAAATTTCCTTCAGAATTAAGCATACAATTTTCAGGTTTTAAATCTCTATATATGACTTTAACTCTTGTATGTAAATAATGTAATGCTAAACTACACTGAGCTAAATAATACGCAGCATTTTTTTCACTCATAAATTTTTCCATTGACAAATGATGAAATAATTCTCCACCTTGTAAATATTCTAAAATTAAATATAACTTATTATTATCTTGAAAAGCATAAAATAATTTAACAATATTTGGATGATTTACAATTTCTAAAATTTGTTTTTCATTTAATGTTCTTTGATAATTTTTATTGTGATATTTAGGATTATTTGAATCAAATTCTTCTTGTTCATCATCATCTTCTTCTCTATTCACAATCATTGAAGCTTTTAATAGTTGTTTTTGAGCAAATAATTTCCCATTTCTTGTATCTCTAACAAGTAATACTTTACCATAACTTCCCTTACCTAAAACTTTTATAGGTTCAAAATCAGTTAATTTTGGTTTATATACATTTAAATCTCTCAAATTTTCTTCTGAAAGTCCAGATAATCTTGGTGTATTATCAACAATTAAACTGGATGAAACATAATCTTCTTTCCCTATTACAATTTCATATGATGATACTATTGAAGATCTTCTACGTGGCCTTTTTCCAGGTTCAAGATATTCTGGATGAAGTGAATTTTGATTATTTTTATTGGATATGTGTATTGGTTTACTTTGAATAGGGTAATAATCATTTATTGTGTGATCTTCATTATCACTTTCTTCTCTTGAAGGAGTATTTTGATTATCTATTAATTTATAATTTAAAATTGGACCAGCCAGTATATCATTATCATCTATAGTTAAATTCTTAAATCCATTTTCTACTGGTATTCCCAAACCTTCCATGTCAAATAAATCAGCCATTATCAATAGTTATACAATAGAAACGCGTTGAATATATATATATCTTATCTCTTAAATTAAACACTAATCTTCGAAACAAGTTTTGAATTTGTATTAGATTCTTAAAAGCAAATAAATTAAATTGTTGCTAAGCTTGACATCATGATATAATAAATATAAATAAAACAATATCTAGAAAAAAATGAACTTTATATTAATACAAAATTTGAATTTGGTTGTAAATTGAAATCCTCGAGAGTAACGTTTTAGATATAAAATTAAATGTGTTGCTAAAATTATATTTATTTATACTTCGCTACCACGTTTTTTCATAGACTTTAATAACAACAAAGGTCCAATTAATCTCTTGAATTTGCCTCAAAGAACTAATAGTTAATAGAAGTTTAATTGAGTGAAGTTAAAGTTTGTCGGTTTTTTCTTATTTCTTGAAGTTTCTTTGTTTCAACCAAGTCATTTTGAACTAAATTTACAATTGATAATTCTCCAATTAAATGCTTTTGGAATTGATAAGAAAGACTACAATGATTCTATAAATTGTTCTCTTGGTCCTTTAAATTATTCTTCAACTTACCAATTTGAAAATTGCGTTATTACTCGGTCAATACAAAGCTAGATCTCTGATCAATATTATAGAAACTTAAGATCTAAATAAATCTTATTTAACCGGGTAAATCATTAGTGTTTTATTGTCTCATCTTATATTAAAAGATTTTGTGTAATATCATGTAAAGAAAAAAATTTTACTATAAAAATTTTATAAATTGATAGATAAAATTTAATTTCTCTTCACTTCTTTCTCATCAACGACAATCAACAACAACAATCAACAACACCAACCAATTGAATCCATTAAGTTGAAATTAATTTGAGTTTACGGATAAATTAAATCCTTCAAATTCATTCTACATCTCAACATCATTTAATCAAAACTCAAAAAAAAACCTTTTTTTTTTATTTCAATTCAAAAAATTAAATTTTGTATTAAAAAATGATGAAACTTAGTTCACTTCTTTCCTAGTCTGATTCTCGACTATGATTTTTTACAGACAACGTCAATAACTTGTTGAATTTTAACGCTTTTCATTACTTTTGCAAGTTTTGATTGTTAGTTCAACTTATACTTGCCAGTATCTACATTTCTGATTTTTACAAAATTGAATTTGAATGAAAAAAGATAAAAAAAAAAAGAAGAAAGAATTGCAAGGTAGGAATACCAAAAGTCCATCTTGTGATTTAAGTTTTACTAAATTAGTTGGTTATAGAGGTGAAAGAAATTATAAAACAATGATAAAAGTGAAGCTTTTTTTAACAGTCAAAATAAAAGAATTTAAAATGAAAATGTTTTAAAATGATGAAAATTTACCATAACATTCGCAGTTTCCTCGGTAGTTTACAAACGAACCTAATTCATGTAAATCAGTGACCGTTGAAATGACCTTCCATTGGATGTCTGATTAAAATATTTTTCATTTTTGATTTTTTTTTTTTTTCAAATTGTTTTTTGACTTTTGGCTTTTTTTTCACATTATTTTGAATATTTCTTTACTGTCTTTGATTTACTTTTGTAAAGCTTTTGATTTATATAGATTAGATAGTCAATAGATGTTTCATCAATTGATATAAAATTTCAACTCTACAGTTATAAAATCGTCAAGTCTATAAGAATTTCGTTTTGATTTCTGTGATTATATAACTAATAAAGTATATATGTAAAATTAAATTCATTATTATTAGGAAGTCAAGTAGCGCCAACCAAATCTAAATTTTACCTTTTACATCAGGTTCAGTTAATGGCCATTGATAAGAACCTTCTTCAGCAAATACATAACCATGTTTTTGTAAATATTTTCTTAATTCTTTTGGACCTTTTGAACCATAAGGATATTTTTCTAAATTTAAATTTGGATTATTTTCAAGAGCTTCTAATAAAGGAGTAAATAATTTCCATGAAACATCTAATTCATCATCTCTTACAAAATTTGAATGATTTCCATGTAAAACATCTCTAATTAATGATTCATAAGCTTCAGGAATCCAAAAATCTTTTGAATATCTCTTGTTATAAGTTAAATCTAAATCAGTTAATGAAGTTTCTGTTGATACTCCAGGGATTTTTGAATTAATTTTTAAATAAATTGCTTCATCTGGTTGAATTCTAATAACTAATTCATTTCTTTGAATATCTTTAAACATTCCTCTTGCTACTGGTTTAAATTGAATTCTAATTTCAACTTTTCCTTCATCTAATGCTTTACCAGCTCTTAAAATCATTGGTACACCATCCCACCTTTCATTATGAATATTTACTGTAAAAGCAGCATAAGTAATACATTTTGAATCCTTTGCAACAGTTTTATCATCTAAATAACTTGGTTTTTTACCATCTTCTGATTTATCATATTGTCCAACTATAACATCATCTACATTTATTTTATCAAATGCTTTTAATACTCTTACTTTTTCATCTCTTACTGCTTCTGCATCAAATGATACTGGTCTTTCCATTGTTAATAAAGTTAATACCTGTAAAAGATGATTTTGCATAACATCTCTTATTATACCAATAGTATCAAAATATCCTCCACGACCTTCAGTACCAAAAGGTTCTTTAAAACTAACTTGAATTGAAGAAATATGATTTTTATTCCAAACTCCACTAAATAATTCATTACCAAATCTTATAACTAATAAATTTTTAACCATTTCTTTACCTAAATAATGATCAATTCTATAAATTTCATCTTCTGAAAATAATGGTGCTATAGATTCTTGTAATTCTCTTGCAGATTTTAAATCATGACCAAATGGTTTTTCAATTACAACTCTTATAATTCCATCTTTTGGATAAACATCTTTTTTAATATGTTCACAAACTTCAGTAAATGCAGATGGTGGTAAAGCTAAATAAAAAATTCTTTCTGGTTTTTCAACATTATGTTCTTTTTCATAATCAACACATCTTTTTTCTAATTTTTGATAGCCTTCATCTGTATCATAAGCACCTCTAACATATGAAGTTAATTTCAAAAAATCTTTTTTAGTTTGTTCATCACCTCCTTTAAAATGTTGTGATATTTTTTCATGAAATTTTTCTTCACTTAAATCTGATCTTGCATATCCAATGATTTGACAATCAGGACTTAATTGTTTTTCTCTATATAATCCATATAATGCTGGAAATGTCTTTTTAGCAGCTAAATCACCACTTGCTCCTGCAATGATAAATGTATAATATTTCCCAAATGAAGTCATTGATAAAAACCCAAAATTTTATTATTTGATTAGTAATTGAAATTTCTGTTGGCCCTGAGCTATTTTGAAAAAGTCTATGAAAAAATCAATTGAGTAATAAAATTGATAAAATTGATACAATTGAAGTTGAATTGATGAAACTAATTGATTATTTTTATAAATTTTAAATTCAATTGATGATGAAAAACTTAGAAAATTTGTTGGTTTCTAAAGTTTATAGAATTCAACTCTAAAAATATTATTGCTTTTTCCTGGAAAATTATAAATATAATAAAAAGCCCACTAAAAATAATCAACTTTGTGTTTATCCTTTCACTCTTATAATTAATTATCAATTATTTAGTAATCTTTCGGACCTGAAATAAATGCGATTTAAAAGTAATTGATTGAGTATCAAAAAAAATCAATTAAGAATAAACAAATTGAAAAAGAAAAAGTAAAGAGTTACTTGTAAATTTATTATTTACAAATATTTATAATTTGTATTGAATCTTAGATTTATAGAAAGATATTTAAAATATTAAAGTATGGAATTTAAGGGTAAATGGCAAACTTAATTTTCTTACTATTATTTATGTATTATAGATTTAAAAATTATTACTGTTTAATTTTAGACCGGTGAGCCGACTTATCTGATTAAAAGGATTATATAATATTAAATGATATCCAGGGCTAAAATAATAATAATTTTATTAATTAAAAGGATAAAATTATTCATATATTAAACCGAGAGATTTGATAAATCTCAATTATAGATCACCAAACTATAGATTTGATTTGGATCTTCAATTATATGACTTAAGATTTTAAAGTTCGATCAATTGAGTACAATATATAATAAATTGTTTCACAATATTATAAAGCAATTTTCAATAATTAGTGACATTTAACAATTCCATTTCGGATAATGTGAATTAGTCATATTAACACGACTTATGAACAACTTATATTTACGAGGACGGATTATTTTTTTTGCAACCGTTTCAAAATTATTAATTATTGAATGGGCTAGTTTAGGAGATTAAATTGATAAGTTTGTGGAGGAAATTCAACTCTTCTATCAAAACTAGTGAGTGCGTAAATCTAATTTGTAGATTTATCATTTAGTAGATAGTTATTTCCAAAAATTATTATTCACATATTATCTCTATTACTAATTTATATATACATAATTACAATAACAATAATTAAGATATAATTTATTTTGCATATTTAGACCTAGCTCTTAATTTTGGACCATTCATATAAAACAATATAGGTATTGCAATCATAGCAGTAGCAATACATGCTAAAACAGTTGAACCTAAAGCAACTGGGAATTTCTTAATACTTAAATTTGTGAAAACGTAACTTCCAAATATTGGGAATACTGACCCTATAGTTGATCTGATTAAATCATTTGATGCAAATACTGAAGCTAAATATTCGTTTTTGAAAGAAGCTCCCATATAATTAAATAATGTTTGGAAAATTAAAAATGTACCTGAACTTGTAACTGCTACTCCAATTATTGGACCTATCCAATGAGTATATGTTGTTGCTGACCAACCAAATATGAATAATCCACTTGCAAATAAGGTACCACCAATTATAGCAATTGGTATAAATACTTCTGGAAATATTTGTTTACCTTTCAAAATTGGAACAGTGAATTTTTGATAAATAGCAGGTATATAAAAACAAGCAGCAATTAATACACCAATAAGTAATGATAAAAATGCAACACCTAATTCAACAATTGTAAAATGTTTAGTCTCAACAAAATATATGGGAAATACTTCAAAAAATAAATAAAGCACACTATAAACCATTGCAATATAAACATCAATTAATAAAACAACTGGTTCTAATATAGTTATTTCAATAGGTCTCCAAAAAGTTTCTATTGCTAATTGTTTTTTACTAGTTCTTTCATTATCTAAAAGTCCTCTACTTGTGATTTTTTCATTACCAGTTTTAGCTCTTAATCTTTTAGCTTTTCTTGCTAATAAAGTTGGGGCATAAGTTTCAGGCAAGAAAAAGAAGAACACAATTAATGAAAATCCAGAAAGTATTAACATGAACCAAAAACACCATCTCCAACCACCTTTAACTGATAATATAGCTCCAAAAAAGGGACCCATTGAAGGACCAGCAACTGCACCAATACTCCATGTAGCTAAAGCAGCAGGGAGGTACTGACCTTTTGTCACATCCAGAACACTAGCAGCTCCAGTGGCGAGGCAAGGGCTTGCAAAAAATCCACCCAAGAATCGTAATATAACAAATCCAGCAATATTTTTAACTAAAGCAGTTGGAATTTGTAATATAAAAAATATAAATAATGTTATTATATAAATTGAGGATCTACCAAATGTTGCATTTTCAGATAATGGTGAAAAAAAAATTGGTCCAATACCATAACCTAAAACAAATGCGAAAACTCCCAAACTTGCAACTGGTTGAGTAATTTTGAATTCCATTTCAATTTGTTGAATACCTGGTGTATATATTGCTGATGCCATATAAACTGATGTCGTTAAAAATGCAATTTCAAATATAAAAAAACATCTTTCAATAGTTGGCCAATTTTTAGGATTATCTGGATCATCTGGACTTTCCCAATCAACTATAATTAGATTTTTATCTTCTTCACTATAACCTTTTTCATTCTTACCATTTTGTTCTTGTTTTAAAGTCCTATCAGAATCATCAGATTCATTAGTTTCAGATCCATAAGGATTATTATCATTCACTTCATTATAATCCTCTTTTTTTGGTTTGTAATCTTTATAATATTTTTCAGGTATAACATAATCATCTTCCTCTTCTGGGTGTTTAAAATATTTATGTCTTGAAATATGATATATTAATCTACCAGCAAAGCTATCCCTCAAAAACCTATGAGGCATAATTTTTGGAGCTTGTTTTTAGTGCTTAATTCATATTGAATTTAAAAATGGATCGTAGTGATATTTTAAGTACTTCTATAGATATTAATTTATACATCATTATGGCAGGTACTAAAATTGTTTTTCTCTAATTTTGCTATTTGATTATTAATTATTGTTATCATAATATTGCAACTGAAAAAAAAAATTAAATACGTCAATTTTTATGCAAGTAAGCTTAAATTGTATGAATCGATGATGTATACAAATAAATCCTTTTTTTGTTTTCAATTTTGAACTTTTACGTAGAAGAGGAATATGAGTTTATTCTCAAAGTAGCTAATGAAGGTCTTGACTGTCTCCAGTCTGTCAAAATAGCATTCGTAATTTCAAAAAAATGAGATCAATAAGAAGTTTCGAAAAATTCTTTTAAATTCCAAAAGCGATCTGCATGGTCTAGATCTAAAGTAAGAATTATCATCGACAGATACGAGCCAGATTTTAGATAGAGCCCGTAATTTAGAATCCGGCCAAGATTTGTACTACACGAACCTGAGTCTCTATTTCTTGAATGTTATAAGACTTCAAAATTGATAGCAGTATATATTGTTCTTATGCAAACCTTTACACTAAAAGCAAAAACAAGAAAAATACATAAGTGCTCAATTTTTGAGATTGTAAGCATATCTAGTTAAATTCAGTTTATTTTCAAAAAGTTCTCATGTCTCAATTTCTTCAAGTAAACAGAACTTTAAACTCGTTAGATCAAAATACAGATAGATACAGGGCAGTAAACTTAGCACATGCAATACCCTCAAGAATTCTTGGTTACTAGAGTTTATTTTACGAGAAAATAAAGCAACTATTAACCAAATGTTTCAGATTGGCTACCAAGTAGTTTCTTGTGATTTTGTGCTACAAAATTTACAGAATTGTAAGATCCAAGCATAACAAAGTTATTTGCATAAATAAATTTTTATCATTTGTTTTAATGAACAACAGTTTCAGCGATTAATTAATTAGTGCAGAACAAACTGCAAAAGAATTGTTTCGTCTTGGAAACAAAGAAAACACACATATAAGGCTCTGACTGCCAACATTTGGATGAATATCACTCAAACACATACACAGATTATAAATACGTTCTGTCAATCAACACAGAAAGAGGTTTTGACAGTTGCCACAGCCAAAAGGTACCCTAAAACGGAGGTAATAGGCATTCTCATTGACGTACCCTAGAAAATTCTCAAATAGGGGTGGTTTTCAGCTATCAACAAATTAATTATTGCAAAATCAAAAGACAGGTCTCTGCACAACACCATCATTTGAGCAAATAGAGCCAATGAAGTGTTGGATATAGTGCAAGCATGTCGCATATTGGTACTTGATGGTACTCAGAGTTCTCAATATGGCTTAATAGTCTGTAAAACTACCCCTGAAAAAATTTGAGAATCTATCATTTTGCGCCCGACCATTTCACTTTTTTTTCTCAAATTCTTTTTATTACAGTTCTGAATACCCTGAGCCTTAACTTGTTTGATAAGCTAGGTCTCATTGCTCAATCTTTTCTAGTTCTTGAGATATTAGGCAAATTGTCTAACTCGCTCAAATGAGCAGCTACGGGCTTGAAAATAGTTGCAGATAATAGATCTAAATCCAATAACATCAATAAACAAATTTTTTTGCTGATAGCATTGCCAGATAAGAAGATATAGGCCATTTTAGCTTTGCCCACTTTCAAGGTCAAAATTACACAAAACCGGATTTATAGATCCGATGTCACGTTTTGTGGTAGTCGAACGACCTTAATAACATCTTTCCTGTTCAAGAGGGAGCTTAAAGTCTAATATTAATTACATTCAAAAAATCATAAGCTTGAGATTAATATAAACACTTATATAGCTACGATCATAATTGAAAGTCTGATATGAAGAATTTCTTCAGTACAAAATACTGCATATAAGAAAAATTACACTCTCCGTTTCATCTTTTTTTAAATGACTTTCACTCCTTGATCATTCAAGTTGGAGCTGAAAGTGTCATATAAATTACATTTACTTTTTGACCAATTTTACGATGATATAAATTTTATAGAAATTGAAAAACTTTTAGTTGTCTTGAAATTGTCAATTTTGAAATATCACATTTTGAGTTGTATATCTATGTGACTGCATATAAGCAAAAATTAAAAACTCCAATAACTCCTTAATAATTGAACAATTGCTTGATCTTGGTAATAGCTATTATTACTTGAAGTGAGATCTATCAATTGGTGTTACTTTTGTTAGTGTAAGTGCAAAATTGACGAAGTTAGCTAAAATGTTGAATATCTCAACAACCAAGAGATCAATGGAAACACAACCTATATGAATGAGAAGCGAGAAAGAAGGGGTATCTGAGGAGACAATAAAAAGGGCATTTTGTTGTTGATATCTAATGAGTCTTAAAAAAAAGTGACGTGCTTCGCCGTCATTTGGCAAAATTCTCAATTTTTTTAAAACAGGGGTTTAGAGCAGCATATGTGACTTTATAGCTGCCTTGTACCATTAAGGACTTACTAGTCAAACTAGTCATTCATATGAATGACAGATGCTAACATTATAGCTATATTTATTGTTTTTTTACTATTTTACTAATATAATGTATAGTTTCATGACTGATAAACCCCCAATTGAGAATTTTGATGGTACCGGAAGCATGAACCTTATCTAAAAGTATAAGGGTTCAACGCTACAAAATACTAGCTTTTCAGTACTAAATACCTCTCAAATCTGGATTCTCCTTTTCTAAATTATTTAGTTTCTGCACCAAAATGAATAAGAAATTATACATATTATTAATTTGATCACTTAATATTATTTAACTCCCGTAAAGTTTTGAATTTTGCTACTTTTATATAAAATATATAATTCGAATACTATTATTTAGATTGATTGGTTTTGGAATTATGATTCTGTCGTGTATGAATGATTAAATATACACATTTTTGCAATTTGATTTGTCATGATTTTAAGATATTGCGTACCTTATAAACCTGTATATAAGCAAATGTCAACTGATACAATAAAATCACAGACTTAAAGTTTTGAAAACACATCATTACCCTACAAAATGTTTCAAAAAATAGATTGAGTTGAAACTCAGTAAGCGGGAAAAATCAAAATTACTTTTTTTTGGTTGCTTAAAGGTTTCAGAAGCTTCACCTTATATAATTTCAGTATATTATGTTCTCCATACTTTAATTATTTTTTGTCTCGATTTCCTTCATATTAAATTTTTTGCAACTAAAGATCAGCATAACAAATATTTTGTCATATAGATATATACAAAGCAAAAATAATACTTTTTATTTTATTTTGACAACTTTTCTTTTCAATTGATCACTAATTTCTAGTTTAATCCATACTATGTTTTATCCATACTACTCTTATCCATACGAATGTAGAGCTATTTATTTATTTATTTACTACTAACTTCAAAATTCTAGTTTCATTATCAATTGGAAACATTTTGTGAGACATTTCACCCACTCAAGTTTGGGATTTACCTGAGTTTAATACCTGAGACGTTTTCCCGACCTAATGGACATATTAAAGATTTTATCAAACTTGGGACTCAACCTTTGGAGACAAACCTAACTAAATGACTGGACTGTGGATTAGATTAGACGATGGAGTGAAGCAAGTGAGATTTTTGCTGTTTTAGATAATTGGCTTACAACCCTTTTTGACTTGGATTCACGAGATACATGACTGTAGGTGGGAAGTTTGTTTGGTAAAGATAGATAGTTGATTCTGCTTCAACTTTGATCCAAGTCATTTCATATTATCAGTTGGTCAATTGTTAATGCAATATTAAATACTAAAGATAGCAGAAAAAAGACCCGATATTGCAAACCTGACACAAACTAGCTTCAATCTGACTTTACACTAGCTACAAAGATAAGAAAGTGGTTCTTAAGGGTGCGAAATAGGCTGGAAGTATCTTAAACAGACATTTTTCTGCACTACGCAGCTTAGACATTATGACAAGAAAATTACGAACCGTTACAAAAGATGCCACCAAGCAAATTACACGCAAAAATGCTGCAAATATAAGCATATTAGAATATTTACAACCATTAGGTTTAGGTGCAAATTGACAAGCAAAACTACTCAAGCATATCCATTTTATCAAGAACAGCTACTCAAAATCAAAGTCGACATACAACTGTTTACATATTTTAAATAACCTTCAACTAATGCTGTTTTAAAGATTGTATTAGACAACAAATAATAAAGCAAGATTAGACAAAAATAAAGATGTTAAATTAGTTACATTAGAGTCACTAGTGTTACATTATTTGAGACCTACAGAGGCACATATACCTAATTATTATAACGTACCCTAGAAAATTCTCAAATAGGGGGAGTTTACAGCTGTTAACCAATTAATGCTGCAATATCAATAAACATGTACTAGCAAAGCTTTAGCACTTAGATAGTTTCATGCAATCATGAGGTTTAGTGATACATACATGTCGCATATTGGTTCTTGATGGTACTCAGAGATCTCAATATGGCTAAATAGTCTGTAAATCTACCCCCTAAAAAATTTGAGGATTTTCCAATTTGCGCCCGAACATTTCATTTTTTTTTCAGATATTATTTTTTATTGCATTTTTAGATACCCTTATTGCTCTTCAATTTAATGAACTAAGTCTCATTGATTAATCTTTTCTGGTTGTTGAGATATTAAGCAAAACGTCTATCTCGCTCAAATGAGCAGCTACAGCTTTAAAAGCAACACCAAAAGTTAGATCTTGGTTCAACTAGCGCAATAAACATACTAAATCGTGAGCAGCTCCATTGGCTCAAGAGATATAGGACATTTTAGTAAATGCTGATTTCAAGGTCAAAATTACACAAATCCGGAGATATACATCCGCTCACGTGTGCTAGTACTTCGATATGTAGCTTAAGTGTCGGTGTTCTACACATTAATAAATAAAATATGAAACGATAATTGAGGTGGTATTTATATAGGAGTAATTGATTTTACCTGAACCAATTACAATTAAAATTGAGCTTCTGAAGAGCTTTTTTTTTCTTATTAAAATATAATTCCTAAGAGCGAACAACTGAAATAATACATGATAATGACTGTAATCCTGCCCCATTGCACTTGAATCTCTAGTAATTTGACAAAAAAACTGACAATATTTCATAGTAATAATAAAAGGTGTGAAAAGACCAGCCATCGTAAAAGTTGAAGCTAAAACATTAAGGAGTTGTGACAAAAAATGAAGCTAACATGAACACAACAACTCCACCTATCATTAAAACTAACCGAACGTAATCGAATTCTTTAATTGTTGTAAATAATTACACTTTGGAGTTGGTGGACGGAAAGAATATAAAAACACAACTAAAGCAAATCCACCAATTGGTAAATTAATAATTGCCATGTTATGTTCAGCGTTAGCAAACCACCAATTACTGGCTGAACAACTGATAAATTTCTTTTATGAAGATGATTCAAACTGCGACTGACATTCCCTTAATTTATTCTGTAAATCCTCAATCCGACCTTTTAATATCGTATTTCTAATTGTCATAAATAGTGCAATCAGCAGTATAAATAAAATTCCAATTGTTGTGAATATCTTTGATGTATTATCTGTAGTCATATTCGAGTTTATTTCCGTACTTTTTTCAACAATTGTGTGTTGATTCATATTTCTAGTGATGAATTGAACTTGACTTGAAATAAATGTATTTAATCTTTAACAAAGGGGGAGGGTGTCAAAATTATAATATCCGTAAAATCCCGTATTTTTATGTACAGGAATTTTGCGAGGTTTCGTAAAGTTGAGATTTGAAACAATTTTTTTTCTAAACTTAGGTTTGTTTTAAAGTATTATCAACCAAATCAAGAGGTCAATACGAAAATAACGATGATTTTGAATTTTTCTTCTATCGAATAAATATATTATTAAAAATTCACTATCTATGAAACACTATATACAAAACTTAATATTAAAATATTTGTTGAGTCTATCAACACCTATCATCACCTCCTTATCAATGATTCTTATTTTTCACTTCATGAATCTCATCAGCATTAGTGGATTCATCATTTGAAAAAGTACCATCAACATTCTCTTCTTCTTCTTCATGGTCTTTCGATTCAATAGCTTCTTCCTCCAATTCTTTAACATCTTCCTCTTTCTTTTTTTCTAATGCAACCATATCTGGTAATCTTTGATTTGTAACAAATATACAAGAAATAGTTGAAATTATACTCCATCCAATAGTCATATAAAATACGTTATGTATAGATTTCATCATTTGTTGTTTTATAAATAATTGAGTTTGTGGATCTAATTCTTTTAATATTGTATTTGATGACATTATACTTGATAAATTAAAATTGTGTAAATTTTGTTGAATTTGTATATTAGCTTTTGGAATAGCTGATTTAAAATGATTTTTTAAACTTGATGTATATACTGCATCTGCTAATGTTCCACCAATGGCAGATGTAAGACATCTAATTGTATTTATAAAAATTGTTGTCATAATTGTACCACCTGGAGTTTTAGGAGCTTTTATTTGTGCAGAAATCATAGCTGGTTGCATTGATGAACCAGCTGCAACACCAATTAATATTAAGAATCCAACTTGTTGTGAAAAAGATGAATCAACTTGTAATAAACTTAATAATCCTGAACCTATTGGTGCTAAAATTCCTGCGAAAACACTCCATGGTTTTATAATTTTTAATTTTTGTATAGTAACTCCTGAAATAATAGATGATATAACAACTGAAATAATACATGGTAATAAATGTAAACCAGCTCCCATTGCACTTGAATCTCTAATAATTTGAAAATAAACAGATCCATAAATCATAGTTATAATAAAAGATGTAAAAGTACCAGCTAATGCAAAAGTTGAAGCTAAAATTTGAGGAGTTGTAACAACATCAGTTCCAATAATTTGATTTTTTGAAAATTTAAAGTTCCAAATTGCAAATAAAATAATAACAACTATACCAATAACAAAACATGAAATAACAGCTGCAGAATTCCATGAATGATTTGATGATCCAAAAGTTAAAGCCAACATAAACACAACAACTCCACCTATCATTAAAACTAACCCAACAAAATCAAATTCTTTTAATTGTTGTAAATAATTACCTTTTGGAGTTGGTGGGCGGAAAGAATATAAAAACACAACTAAAGCAAATCCACCAATTGGTAAATTAATATAAAAAGACCATCTCCAAGTAACATTTGAAGTGAATAACCCACCAATAATTGGACCCAATACACTAGCTACTGCAAATGTAACACTAAGAACTGTCATTCCCAAAGGTCTCTTATTAATTGGTAAAATTTCAGAAACTATAACAAAAGTTAATCCTTGAATTCCTGCTCCACCACAACCAGCAATAACTCTACCACCAATTAAAACACTCATATTAGGAGCTAATGCACATAATAATGATCCTATTTCGAAAATAATAACAGCAACAACCATTGTCCATTTTCTACCAAAAATAATTGAAAGTTTACCAAATGGTTGAATGAAAACAGCCATAGCTAACAAAAATCCTGAAGTTAACCAACCAATATTTTCAAATGCATTAAAACGATTACCAACAGTAGATAAAATAGTAGCAACAATAGTTTGATCTAAAGCAAATAAGAACAAACATAAAAATAATGAAAGAAAACATAAAAATAATCTTGGACCATGAATATATTGATCTTCACGTTGAGTACCATCACCAGCATCTGATTCTTTGAAATGACGTTTTTTATTTGTGGACTGTTGATCTTCTAAATCTTGTGGTTGATGTTGTTGTGGCTGTTCTTGACTGCTCGAGTTATAATTTTTCAAATTTCCATTTTCTGATGTATCTGATGAAGCGGAACTAATATTTGATCCAATTTGTTCTTTAGACATTTGTGATTTATCAATTTTGACTTATTGTATCTAGCTTTTGATATAATCTAAATTTAAATTGAAGTTCTTCGACTTGTTTGTTAATTGTTAATGGTTTGTTAATAAGATTGTATAAGGTTGATTTAATAAGTAGGTTTTAGATAATATTAAAACAACAATAAGTAAAACATAAACTTTAAAATCAAAGGAAATCAAGTTTAATTTATAACTGATTTATTTATTTAGATGATGATATAATATCTCATTTGAATTACCTACATGATTGTACATTCTCTAAAAAGAATAATGAAAAAAAATAAATTTCGGCTTAAAATAAAATAATAAACATACGGATTTAGGAGATTGCCTGTCAAAAACAAACTTTGATTTTCAAATACTTAGATATACTATTAGCTTGTATTTTTAACAAAAACAATTACAAAGTACCTTTAACTAGTAGGAGATTAACCACTTGCTAATTTTGAAAATAACAAATTCATTAATCAATTAAAAAGCAAAGTAAAAAATCTTGATAAATTAAAAGTTGTTTCAAGAAGGTACGGCTGTTTTTAATTCCGCACGTGTGAAATATTATGTATGTCTCAAAAATTAATTAGAATTAACACCAAATGTTTAAGCCGTATTACAAATAAATAAATATTTAACTCCATCTCTCTTAACTATTATGTATATGATATTTAAATCCTTTTATGTATGTGTAAATTAGTTTTAATTTATAAGGGGTTTTATATTAGTAAGTTAGACAATTTTTTAGTATTGATTTACGATTTTTTGAAACTACTAATATAACGATTGTTCGAGTATTAGAGTGGCTTTTTACATCATGATGAAACACTACTATAATTGCTTTGATTGAGACGACCAGACAAGGACTTAAATGCATCAGGAGTTTAAATGACAAACTACAAAGTTTGAATAGGTGGAGATAAATTAGAAACACAATCTCCAACAGTCTCCAAATTCAAATACATTATCATAAAAAAGCAACTTGATTCATCTACTAGTAACTTCGTGTTATTGAAATGATTTAAGTCTTGGTAATATTACTCTAAATTTAAATGCGTTTGGAATTCATAAATTTGTTTCAAAATGTTTAAAGTTAAAAACTTTGCATACAAATATTTAAGTTTTTTAAATCCTTTTTCTTTTCTCGTATATCTTAACATATCTGAAATGAAAGATTAATATGGAAGAAACTTGACTTTTTTAGATTGACGGATTTATTAATTAGTCTTGACAGATTAAGTGATATTATTGAAAGTGGAGATAAATATCTTAAACCCTGAGAGGATTTATTGATATAATTCTTAACTAATTACCAATTCTTAACAAATTTAGAGAGATCTCAGGATCAAGACTCTGCTTCAGATCGATATCGATAAAATTCAAACTGCGATGAGATGAGATATAAAGCTTTACGGATCTTCACATACAGGCTCGAAAATTCGCAGTCAATACATCAATGTTCACTACCTACACAATATTTATACACATTTTGAAATTAAATAATTCCAATAATTACTTCTTATTGGATCATATTTCTCAGCTAATAATTGATATATATTTTTAGCATTTTCTAAATTTTTATCTTGTTTATATATTTTAGCTAATGTTTCCATTGCAAAAGAACTTGTAATTTCATTATTATCAATATTAACAAATTGTAATGTAAATTCTTTCAATTCTGTTATGTTTTTATTAAATTTATCATAAATTCCTAATAAATAATTCCATGAACTTGCATTTTGTGGACATTTTATAATCATTTTTTTGGAAAATTCAATTTCTTCATTTATTTTATCATCTGTTGTGTTTTGTTGTTTAAAATTTATAAAAAATCGATGACTCCATGCACTATTATTTAAAACATCATTTTCAATCATTGAATTAACAAATTCTATTTCCTTTGGATCAATATACAAATCAAATTTTTCAATAAGCCATTTTCTATAAGACCAAACATGATGATTTTTAGGATCTGAATCTAACATAGCTTCTAAAACTGGATATTCTCTATATGGATTAAATTCTTTGGGTGATTCTTCATTTTGTAATATTTCATTAATAACTAATTGTCTATAATTCCAAATTTGATAATTTTTTTCATTATCTATTGCTATTTGTTCACACCAATCTAATTCATTATATAAATTTTTATTTGGTAAATTTTTTAAAATATTAAATCTATAAATCCATGTTGTATAATGTGATGCTAATTGTTCAATACCTAATTCTGTTAATTGTAATGCTCTTTCTGAATACTCATTTTGTTTCATAAGAGCTAGTAATAAACCCATAGTTGATTTATATTCATCATCATATAAGATTTGACATAATTGTGGTTCTTCAGTATTTATTTCAACTGGAGTTATATCTGAATAATCGAAATCAGTCATTTTTGGGTAATGATTATGGTCTATTCCGTATTCTTGAACTATATTAAGGGTTTTCAACTATTTATATACTAATGAAATGAAACTATATCATTATCTAGGTGGGTATTAATCTAATTACCAGATAGTTAGTTAGTTAATCTTAATTAATGTCTCGTTAATGTTACAAATCAAAATTACCAATTTAAGACTTGACAATCGGAAAAATGTGCAGTACTGCATACAATATATCTCACTCGTAAATTTATTATCACTTACCTTATTTAGTACTTATTATGAAATTTGATTATTGTACTTTAGATAGAAATAAATAGAACATCTTTTTCAATATACATCCTTAATATCCATGTCCATACACAAATGAATTAAAAACAATTAATATAACACTTAGTGCATGTACCTTCTATTTAAATCTATTTTGCAACAAACCTTTTAAATAACCCAGTAATAAAATTAAAAAATTAGATGGTTGTTAATTTACAATTTTTACAACCGTTATCAATTATATTAATAACTTCATTTCTTTTATTTCATTTATTAACAATTTTAATTGGTCCTAAATCACAATTACCCATATTAATAACAACTTTTATTTTTACAAATATGGTATCAAGAACATCAATGTTTAGATCCATAGTTGAATCTGCTCATAATTCATTAAAGGGAAAAAATTCAGTATTGAAAAATATACCAACAACAACAACCACCAACAGTAAAAAATTTGAGAATTTAAATAAGGGTGCAAAAATTGAAATATTATCAGCTATAAAATCTTTAAAAAGTTATGAAATAAATTCAAAATCAGTAAATGATAGAAGAAGAGATTTATTTAAAAAATTAAATTATACACAACAAACCGTAGCTGAAAAAACAGGATATATTAATAAATTAAATTCAATAGATACTGCTATTGGGAATAATCAAAAATTTGTTGATGAAATTGCTAATTATGCAATTTCAAATTATGGTATTACCAAAACAGATTTTGATTCCTTGGAGAATGATTTAAAAAGTAATTCAAGTGGTAGTAATTATAGAGTTATAGAAGCATTAGGACATTATACAAGAGATTGGACTCCAGGATCATTAAGTTTAGAATTATTACCTATCTTTGAATATATTGCATCACAATTAGAAATATTAATTGATTATAGACAAAAAAAAGATACTGTTTTAATTTTCCCAGGTAGTGGATTAGGTAGATTAGCTTATGAATTTGCTAAATGGGATTATGGTGCAGTTTATTCTATTGAGAATTCTGGATTAATGAATTTATTTGTTGATTATAATTATAGTAAAGATACAACAAAATCACATATTATTCAACCATATATTCATACAAATTCAGATTTTTATAGTACAGAATCTCAATTTAGATCAGTTGAATATAAACCAATTGGAGAATCAAATAAACCAAAAAATTTACATATTGTAAATGAAGATTTCACAACTTTTGAAATTCCAAATAGAGATCAATTTAAAAATGTTGTTGTTGTTTCTGTATTCTTTTTAGATACTGCTGAAAATTTAATAACTTATTTAGATACTATTGAAAAATTATCAAAACCTTCAGGAAAAGTTGAAAGAGGTTATTGGATTAATGCAGGACCTTTAAAATATGGATCAGCTGCTCAAGTTGAATTAAACGCTGATGAATTAAAATTAGCTCGTAAAGAATTAGGTTGGGTTGATGCTCAAGATGTTTATACTATATATGATCCATTAGCTTTAGGTAATAAGACTGGATTAGTTGGATATTTAACAGATAAAGAAAGTATGTGGCAAGGTTATTACGGATTAAATTTATTTACAACATCAAGAAAAGAAAATAAATCTTATAAAGATACAACATTAGGTTAAATAGTTCTATAGGTTCTATAAAAAAAACTAAAAAATCTAAGATATATCTGATCCTTTATTAATTTGTATTTTTTTATCTTCTCCACCACTTATAATCCCAATATCATTATCCCAACAAACATCAAATATTTTTTTATTTCTTGATCCATCTTCTCTAGTTATTGTGTATAAAGATTTATCAGCTCTTATATCCCAAACTTTAACAGTTCCATCATGAGATGCTGATGCAAACATATTTGAATTATGAGGTGATGAACTTAATCCAACTACGAAATTTGTATGACCAACTAATTTGTTATTTATTGTTTCATTACTGATTGTATTGTTTAATCTTGGATCATGTAAATTTATATGACGTGCTGATGAACCAGTTGCTATTAAATTAAGTTGTGGTAATTGTAATATAGAAAGTAATGAAAATCCAGTAGTTCTAGTATCTACACATTTTGAAGTTATTAAATCCCATGTTTTAATAGTATGATCTTGAGAAACTGAATAACCAACAGTTTTATCAAATGAATCAAATATAACACCTTCAACTGGTTCTGTATGACCTTGTAATAAACTTAATGGTGAACGACGTCTTATAGTTGAATCTTGTAATGCCATTTTTCTTCTCTTCTTAGAAGATGTAGATATAACATTTGAATCATATTCAGGTATTTCAATTTTTGACATTTCTTTATAGTTTGTTGACCAAAACCCAACGTTTTTATCATATCCAGCACTCAATATTCTATTTGATGCTTGATTTACATCTAGATCAACCACTGGAGCTTTATGACCTTCTAAAATGGCTAAAGTTTTACCATCTTCTATTTCATCATCTTCATCATCTTCATTTTGTTCAACTATATCTTCATATTGTGTTTTCCATAATCTTACTTGTCTATCATTACCACTTGATACTATTCTTGTTGGTGATATCCACTTAACTGATTTTATAGGTGCTGAATGTCCAACGTATTGTTTTTCAACTTTTCCTGACATATTATATACTCTTACAACTCCATCATATGAGCCACTTAAAATTTTAGGATTATTTATACTCAATTGTGATGTCGTTACAGCAGGACTAGTTTTATTTATTGAATCAATTGAAGAAATCCAATCATCATTATTAAAAGAAGCTTGAAAACTTGGTGGTAGTATAGCTCTTGTATATTCTATATTTAAAAATGCTTCATTTGATAATCCATTTTTTGTAAGGTAATCATCTATTGATGTACGTAATAAAGTTCCATTGATTAAAAAATTAAACGGTATTGGTTTCCTATCTTCTATTTCATCTTCTATTTCATCCTTGTTGATATTGCCTAATAAATGATTTACAATTTCTGATAACCCAAATCTTTTTAATGACGTTGGTACAAATAATGGTGTTTCGTCTATTTTTAGACTTTCATCTTGTTCATTGGTTGTGAATTTGATTTTGACTTGGTTTTTGGTATCCGTAGACATTGTGATGATGTGTGAATTTTGATTTTAATAGATCTGTTAGTGGATCTTGTAGTAGTGATTCTAAAAAGAGGTTTCAAAATCTCATCTCCTACTGAAAAATTTCGCGACACAAAATTGTTTTGGAAACCTATACAATTTATTTTTTGCAGCTATTTAAAACTAATTTATTTAATAACCTTTTGGACCTCATATTCAACATCTTTGTCGCTATTGTTACCGTCAGTTTCTTAACCATCCTCTAACAGCTTGGTTCTAATGCTTAAACTTTGATACATAAATTCATTTTACCTTTTCTAAACCCCACCAAATCTTCTTTCAAACCAGGAACAGAAAATCTAGTCAAAATTCCACTAAAAAATCTCATAATTCTAACACCAGAATGAGCAGTTTGTACAAGATTAAAATCAGTTTTTCTTGTCTTCATTCTATTTAATATTGCCAGTTTATGAATTTTTGAAATTGAATAAAAATGACGTGAATATAACGTTCTTTGATGAAATACTCCAAAATCTGATATATAACCTTTTGTTAATAAATTTTTTAATGCTCTTCTTATACGTTTCCATCTTCTTGCTCGAGTGATTCTTGGTGGTGGTAATGATCTCATTTTTAATAATCTCTATACACCTGAAACACTAAATGATAAAACTTAAAATATTTAACAATAAAAATACAACGAATATAGTTTTGAGAAACAACTTGGAAACTTAATTTGCTGAAGTATATAAAAGAAGAGGCAAACGTATTCACAGATCATAGTACTTTGCATCGTTTTTATACTGAAATGCTATAATTGTTCTGGACACATCAGAGCATAACAAAATATTAATTCAGTACTGAAGCTCTTAGATTTGCCCCCACGATATCAACTAATTTAAAGATTTTTGGAATCTGTATTGATAGATCGAATCTAAATAGATTGGTTTGGCTCCAAAATTTGTCAAAATTTGGTAGCATAGCTCGGTTCCAAAATATCACCAATAAAATTTACTTCAAAAAAAAAAGAACCATAGTTAAGAGAGATAATAATTAACTATACAAAATACAAACATCAATATATAAATACCATGGACAACGCACGTCACAATCCATGGGCCAAAAGAGATGCTTGGAGATACGAAGGTCCTTTTAGTAGATATAATAGATTTAAAGGTGCTTTCCCAGGTTTAGGAATTGCTATTGTTGCATTTACTATATATGTTGGAGTTGAAAAATTAGTATTTAAGAAAAAGGACGATCATGGACATGAAGAACATCATTAATAACGGGAAAAAGTAACTTCGGGGGTTAAGGTGTTGAAATAAAATTTAAGGTTAGCTAGGATTCTGATCAAATTTGTATTCATTAATTAATTTTTTAAACTGGGTTTTTAATAGACCTTTATACAAATGTAGAATTTTCCATTTATCATTCAAGATAGATATCATTTAATTTCTATTTACAACATATTTACAAGTTTTTAAATTCTTCATTTGAATTACTTTCTTGACTTACATTATCTTCAATATTATTCATTTGTAATAAACTTTCAAATAATGAAGTTTTAGTTTTCTCTTCCTCAACCATTGAACCAACAGGAGCAAAAGATTTATTTGAATTTGCTTCTAATACCTTAGTTTGTTCAGAAGCTAATGAAACCCATTCATCAATATATTTTTGTTCAGTTTCTAAATTCCAATCTATATTTTTAGATTCAAAAACAGCTCCATACATTGTACTTTCTTCTTTTGCTATATGACTTTCCATTTCTTCTTCCATTCTTAATTTATAAAATTCAAATCTTGCTAAATCATAAGCTTCAAAAATGTTTTTAATTTTTGGATCATTTTCTAAAATGTAGGTGGTACGTTGTACTACTGATTCACCATCTAATGGTTTGTATAATTGTAACATATTACTCCAATCACATTTATTCAATATTTCATCTCCATTATTTTCTATTAAATTTTTAGGTCTTGATAATTCCCATGGATGTTGTAAATAAAAATAATTTCTAATTTCATCCTGAAGAAAGGTTAATTTGGGGATTCTATGTATTTTGTTGTTATTATTTTTTGATTCTTCTTTATGTGGTCTTGTCTTGAATATTTGATTTTTATTTAGTGGATGATCTTTTGGTTTTATTAATTCATTTCTTGGATCTTTTGAATCTTGTTGATATATATATGATTTTTTAATTAAATTATGAGTTGGTGGATATTTTGCAACGATATCGAACCAAATTGGTTTATTCTTTATAACACCGGATTGTAAATACGCAGACGCTCTGGCAAGTACATTAGCTGCATCAGCCTGAAGCTTCATTTTTAGTTGTTATTTGATATAAAATATTGAAATTTTTCAGTCTTAAAATTTTTTTGTTTTATTTTTGTTTGTTGCAAAATCAGCTATCAAAGACTCAGGACCAACTTACATTATAGTATCGAAAAATGATATGAACATACTACGACAAACTAAAGCTATCAAAGATATATCTTTATTGGAAAAGCCTATAAATGCATTCATACGAAGAGTTGGTCAAGAACAATCCAAAAACTCAGGACCTTTACTTAAATGCATCGATTCATTAATCAATCAAAATCAATCAAAACTAATTGAAAGATTCAAGCTACATAATATTGATGATGAATTTGAACTAAAACAACAACTATGGGATAACTTAAAAACTCGAAGAACCGATCTAGATCCAAAATTGATCAAAAGACTAAAACATCAACCTCCTACTGATATCCAATTCACAACAGAATATAATAAATTCATTAAAGAACTATACCCACTAAATAATAAGCCATTCAAATCCCAAGTCAGGTTTTTTGATCTCGAAAGCAACCATAAAAAATACGATAATATCAATCACGAAAAATTATTTAAAAAATATTTGGAATTACCAAAACCTGCACCACAATATCTACCACCATCAATTTTAAAAGATTTTATATCAAAATTCGTCTTAAACAATCGTCATTTTGCGAATAGGAATATACTAGAAGGAAGCATCATTAGTAGCAACAAAGCAGGGTTAATTAAATCAATGCGAAATGAAATCAATAGAAGAAAAGAATATCATGATATGTGTTTAAAAGTATTAAATGATTCAAAAAAAGCTGGATTTGACGCTACAGAACAAGAACAAATTAGAATTATTTATTTGTCTTTTTTCAAAGATAGACAAGACTTGGTTGGTGATTTAGAGGGAGAAAATCTTTACAATGAATTCACGATGGCTAATTATCAACTGATTTTGCAAACTTTTGGAAGACGAAGTGATTTATTAGGTATATTACTATTTTTAGCTATACGGCATGATAAGTTTGAAATAATAGCAGACGTACTTCCCCAAGTTGGACTAGGTCACATTATAGGATTAGAAGATGTTGATAATTTCAAACTCATAGATATATCCTTAATTAATTTACTTGATTATTTCACAACTCACATAGATAGACCAAATCATTTCAAATACCTTTCAAATACAATTGAACAAATTATCAAATTACCAGTTATAACTAATGAAATAGTTGATCAAACAATCAAGCTCTTGATGAATTTTGGATTAATTAAACATGCTGAGATTTTATTTGAGACAGCGTATTTTAGATACCCTGGCGAATCATCCAATATAATATCGGAATGGCTATACATTTTCACAAAATTAAAAGCAATCAATAATGACAACTCCACTTTTTATAAATTGTCACCTACTCATTCTTCATTTCTACATTTAATAAAAGGTTATTCCATGGACCAACCATTTGATAAAATTGAGCAACTAATGTATATAATGAATAATATGTCATCACAAAGATCAAGCACTACAATGTATATAGAGATATTCAAGGGTTTGAAGCATAGAGATGATTGGAAATTGTATGAGTTAAGAAGTTCATTGAAGTTATTGGTAAATGATCTCAATTACAAGAATAATGCTGAAGTTGTTACAGACAATTCAAATTCGGGATTAAGAATAAGTAATTTGCTAATGGAATTAGTATTTACAGTCAGTGTTGATAAATTGCATTTAGAGGGTGATTCAACCAATAATATTGATCAATTAAATAAATTAAAATTGAAGTGGCAAGAAATGGTAAAAGAGAGAAAAATTGGTGCTTTTGAAGCCGAAAGAATAGCTTATATTAATGACGGATTTCTACTTGAAGTTTATAATATTTTAGTAAATTAAATTCTGTATTAAGTAATTAGACAGAAGTAACATGTGTATGACGTTTGAATAAACAACTTTTAGGTGTACCAACAACACTCTCAAATACCAACAAAACCGCTAGTAATAATGTAACAATCCCCATCAATAAAGTTGTATTCATTTCAGCAAAACTAATCATTACAATTGTAATACCAATGGGAACTCTCCACATTATACGTACATTTTTAGGTAAAATGAATAAACCTGGCGGATCTGTACTTTTTTCAATTAATCCTAGCACAAACATGCATATTAAGGATACTGCAATACCTCCTGTATAATAAAATGATAAACCATACATGTTTAACTCTTCTTCTGATGAAGCTTCACTTCTTCTTTCGTGGTGTTCTTCCTCATGATGTTTTTTGGTGCTTGTTTTTTCAATTGCACATAATTCACCACCAGCATCAGCTGATAAGACTAATGCTGCAATTAATGGTAAATGTGCATATACCCATGTAATTGCAGTTGTTCCACTATTTCTTAACGGATGTACAGCTCTTTGTGAGGTTCCTCTATATTGATATAACCAAAACAAAATATAAGCATCAGCTAAAAGAAATACTCCTCTAGCATATCTTCCGCTAAACCCAACACCTAATGGTCCTGTTGCAACAACCTTGTACAAATACTCACCAATTGCAATAGTAACAAATACAGAAAATCTTTCAACTTCATGTTCAATATTTAAAGCAGTAGACATTGTTAAACCCATTAGTCTTTTAATGAATGGATGATAACAAAATACAAATGACACTTGTTCTAAAAAGAAAAACACAATTGATAATGCTATTTTGACTCTAACTGATACAAATATAACGGATATCCAACATAATGATGTGACAAGTAACGTAGCTGCATATAATCTTTGTTGAGGTCTATGTTCAGGTATCCAAAATGAATAAACAAATAATGAAGCTGCCAATGATAAACGACATAACATATATGGAACAATGACAAGAGCAGCTTTACTATAACTTTCAGTAATATCATAATGACTGTTTATATACAATGTTAATAAACAGAGTATCCAGAAAATATATATCTTTTGTGATAAATCTTCATTATAATAATAATTTGTAAAATCTTTGATATCAGCCCAAACTGTCCAAATTGGCATAAAAAATAAGAAATATTTTAATAATGATAAACCTGTAGCTTCTTCACTTGCTTCACCTGCTAAATTTGCTATTAATCCAACATATAATAAATCCAAGAACAATTCAGTTCTTGTGCTTCCTCTTTCACCTTTGGTTCTAAATAAAATGCCATCTTTAAAATAATTTAATGCATGAGGTTTAATAAACCAAACATTGTCTCTTGGTGGTTTAATATATTGAAATTGTATATCACCATATTTTCTTATAAATTCATCTTCATCTTCACTATCAGTTAATTCTTGATCAATTAATGGTAAGTCCTCAATTGGTGGACTATGTGATCTATGGCTTCTAGATGTTTCTCTAGTTGCATTGGATGTTCTTCCTCTAAAGTAAGGATCATCATTTTCATCTTCATTCGTTGTATTATTAAAATTTGATTTTTGTTGACTGTTCAGTGAAACGGAAGTCATCCTTCAATGTGCCATTCGACTTGCTGATTAAAAATTATTCAAATTAGAAGTACATCCTGATATTTTTCTTTTAAATTTAAATAGAAAATCCTTGAAGTTAAACAATAAAAAGCCTTAAATTAAACATGAAATTTTTAGGGATCGGAATTATGACCTAGTATGGAAGTGTGTAGTTATTTAGGAAAAGTTACATATTAATTGCTTTGTTTATACGCAGAACAATTTCAGTCAAGTTTATTCAATTTTGAGGTGCTCCTGTTCTGAAACAAACTAACCACAATGCTTTAAAAAAATTCTTTTTTCAAAACTTAATGCAGTGATTATTGGATATATATGCCTTGTATTTGGTTGTATGAAAATAAAATAAAAATTCTAACTGAAGTTCAATGATGATTTCCATTTTAATCATATAAAACCCACCCAAAAAATTGGCCCAAATCAAATTAAAAGTTATGCTTACTCAAACGAATAATAATCATAATTCATATTAATCTTCTAAGAAAACTTATGAAACACTTAAGTAACAAGAAAAAGGCTTTGATACGGAAGATTCTTGGTATATTAAATGTATGAACACAAAATCATAATATATGCTACCAATTACTGTTAAAATAAGTCGTACAAAACTGTTCAAAAATCCACATTACATTATCTTGACCAACATCTTTATTAGCGATTATGTTAAAAATAATCATCACTAGCTTCAATACAAATTCTTTTTAAGAAACTGAAATTTTCTTGAGTAAAAAATAGTCGAGATACAGATAATATTCTTTAATGTACCAAACAGAATTCTTATAGGGGGCTTTTGATCCCGAATAAATTTGCAATTTCCTTACAGAAAGAAAAAACCAAAAACAAATCATGGTGTTCAATCTCATTGAAATAGAAAACGTAAGTCCTTAATGGTACAAGAAGGCAGCAACTGCGAGTAGAATAGCCCTTGTAAAACCCTTGTAATGAAAGAATTGGGAGTTTAGCCACATCTAGAGTGGAGATTTTAACTCTCTTCTTTCAATTATTTTTTGCTACATTATTATATACCCCTACTCTTCATTCATGTAATGAACTAACTTTTATGACAATACCTCTTCTGATTGCTGAGAAATCAAGCAAAACGTCTAACTCGCTTAAGTGAGCAGCTACGGGTTTGATAATAATTTTGACTACTAGATCTTGATCTGAAAACACTAAAAATTAATTCTTTGTGCTGTTAGCGTTGCCAGGTAGGAAGATATAGGCCATTTTAGTTCTGTCCACTTTCAGAGTCAACATTACATATAGCCGGTTTTATACCACCGAGATCACGTTTTACGGTTGTCATACGACCTTAATAACTTCTTCCATGTTCGAGTGGGAGCTTAAGGTCTAAAACTAATTACATTTAAAATTTTATAAGCTTGCGATTGACATTAACACCTAAATAGCTACGAGTATAATTGAAAGTCTGAGTTGCAGAATTTTTTCAATACAAAGTACTGCATATAAGAAAAATTACACTATTCGTTTTAATTTTTTTAGAATGGCTTTCACTACGTGATCATTCAAGTTGAAGATAAAAGTGTCATATAAATTACATTTACTTTTTGACTAAGTTCATAATGATATAAATTTTTTAGAAACTGAACAAGTTTGAAACTTCTTGAAAATGTCAATATTGAAATATTGCATTTTGAGTTGTATTTGTATGTGACTGCATATAAGCAAAAACTAAAAACTCTAATAACTCCTTAATAATTGAAGTGTTGCTTGATCTCAGTAGTCTGAAGTACTAGCTGAAATGTGATCTACCTTTTGGTCCTAATTTTGCTTGTGTATGTGCAAAATTGACGAAGTTAGATAAAATGTTGATTATCTCAACAACCAAGAGATCATTAGAAAAACAACCTATATAAATGAAAAGCGAGAAAGCAGGGGTATCTGGGGAAGCAATAAAAGGGGCATTTTGTCATTGATGGTTAATAAGTCAAGAAAAAAACTGACGTGCTTCGCCGTCATTTGACAAAATTCTCAATTTTTTTAAAACAGGGGTTTAGAGCAGCATATGTGACTTTATAGCTGCCTTGTACCATTAAGGACTTATTAGTCAAATTACTCATTCATTGTCATTCATATGAATGACATACTTTAGCATTAGAGCCTTCTATTTATTAATTTTCAACTATTATACTACTTTAACGTATCATATAATGACTGATAGACCCCCAATTGAGAATTTTGATGGTACCGAAAGCATGAACCTTATCTCAAAGTATAAGCGTTCAGCGCTACAGAACTATAGCTTTTTGGTATTACATACCACTCAAGTCTGAAGCTTTCTTTTCCACATTATCTAGCTTGATTTTGCACCGAAAACGAATAAGAATTTGTACACATTTCTATTTCAACCACTTGATGTCACATAACTCTCGTAAAGTCTTGAATTTTGTTAGTTTTGTATGAAAAACACAATTTGAAGACTAGTGTTTTGATTGATTGGTCCTAAATTGATGTTGTTGTCGTTTAAGAACTGATTAAAAATACACATTTTTGCAATTCGATTTGTTATGATTTTGAGTTATAACATACCTTACAATCCTGTATATAAATAAATGTCAATTGATACAATAAAAGTACAGATTTAATGGTTTAAAAGCACATTATTAGCCTACAAGATGCCTCAAAAATTAGATTAAGTTGAAACTCAGTGAGCAGGAAGACTTAATGTTACTATTTCTGGTTATATAGAATGTTCAGAAGTTTCAGCATATAAAAATTCAGTATAAAAATTCAGTATAATGTTCTCTATATTCTGATTATTTTTTGTCGCAATTTCTTTCATATTAAAATTTTGCAACTAAAGAATAGCATAACAAATATTTTGCCATTTAGATATATACAAAGCAAAAATAATTTTTTGTACTTTATTTTGTCAACTATTCTTTTCAATTAATCACCAATTTCTACTTTTATCCATACTACTTTCTTTCATACTACTTTTATCCATACTACTTTGATCCATTCTACTTTTATCCAAACAAATGTAGAACTATTTATTTATTTATTTACTACTAACTTCAGAATTCTAGTTTCATTATCAATTGGACATTTTGTGAGACATTCCACTCACTCAAGTTTGGGAATTACCTGTTGAATATCTGAGACGATTTCCCGACCCACTGGACAAGTTATTGATTTTATCAGACTTGAGACCAAGCCTTTGGAGACAAAATTAACTAACTGACTGGATTGTGGTTTAGATTAGACACTGGAGTGAAGCAAGTGAGAGTTTTGGTGTTTAGGATAATTGGCTGACAACTTTTCTTGACTTTGATGCAAGAGATACATGAATGTAAGTGGCCAGGTTGTTTGGTAGAGACGGATAGATAGTTAATTTTGATTCAACTTTGATTTAGGTCAATTCATATTATCAGTTGGTCAATGCAATGATTAAAGTTAAAGATAGCAGATATAGACTGGACAAATGCAAAACAGACACAAAGCAGCCTCAATCTTACTTAAAACTAGCCACAAAGAGAAGAGCTATAAGTGCAAAAAAGGTTAAAAGTACCTTAGACACGCACTTTTTAGAATTTCACAGCTTAGACGTTATGACAAGAAATTTACGAAATGTTTCAAAAGATGCTACCAAGCAAATTACACAAAAATACTGCAAATATAAGCATAATAAAATAATTACAACCATTAGGTTTAGGTGCAAATTGACAAGCAAAACTACTCAAGCATATCCATTTTATCAGCAACAGATACTCAATATTAAGGTTGATATACAATTGCTCACATATACTGAAGAAACTACAGATGATTTGAAGAACGATTAAATGAGATAATAAATTGTAATTTAAAGCAAAAATGAACATTATTATATGTGAGGACAACTACCCTAGAGCAAGCGGGTTACCTTATTTAACAGTCGACCGAACCACAGATACTTAATTATAATGATGTACCCTAAAAAATTCTCAAATAGGGGGGAGTTTACAGCTGTCAACAAATAATTGTTGCAAAAGTAATTAACATGTACCAGCAAAGCTTTACCACTTACATAATTTGAAACAAATATGAGCTTTAGTAATGCGTACATATTGCCTATTGGTTCTTGATGGCACTCAGAGTTCTCAATATGGCTAGAAAGTCTGTAAATCTACCCCCTAAAAAATTTGAGGGTTTTCCAGTTTGCACCCGTACATTTCACTTTTTTTTCAGGCATGATTTTTTATTGAATTCTCAGATACTTTTAATGCTCTTCATTCTAGGGCACTAGGTTTTATTGATGTATCTTCTCTGGCTGTTGAGATATTAAGCAAAACGTCTAATTCACTCAAATGAGCAGCTACAGCTCCGGAAGCAACATTGGAAGTTAGATCTTGATCTAAATAGACTGGAAAATATACCTCTATTCTGACAGCGATACATGGGAAGGAGATATAAGCCATTTCAATTTTGTAAGTTTCAAAGTTACACAGAACCGGCAACATACCTCCGAAGGTCACGTTTTTACCTCTAAATGTTGTGGCCTAGTGGCAAGCAATTGTGACCTAGAAATATTATAGGTGTCGAGTTCGAAACCCGCTAAATTTTTGACCCCAAGGTAGAAATTACACAAAACTAAAGTCATTGAATTTAGTCGTTTCGCTTCATCTAATAGTATCTGAGTAGCACATAAGGCTTTCTGGTTTACCTGAAGCTGTAATAGGCTTCATAGAATTAGTCTTTTTGGAGCTATGGGCGATTCTAATTTTTTAGGCTGTTAAGGTCAATGGTATACAAAAAGATCAATATGTAATTACACAACACGAACACGACATGTGTGAATATGATTTTGGAGGTAATGCCAGCTAATTTGAGCCTTATCAACTTTTTTCACTCATCCAGCTGCTTTGAATACAAAGCTATACTGGTGCTTTCAATTGTAGTGAAGATCTTACAAAATCATAAAAAACTGAGTAAAAAAACTTTCACGTGACTTTATTAAAAAAAAAGTTGATGGACGCACCAAATTACTTAATTAAGAATGCATTATTTCCTGAAACGATTTTAACTTAATTTTTTTAACTTTTAAGAATAAAGATAAGAAATTTGAACTAATTGACAGATAAGGAATTTAATTTAGTTGACATATTATAATTAAAGACAATGAATTACGATTAAAGTATCTTGATAAGTCTAGCAATAATTAAGTTTTAGATGGGGAGGGAGGTGCTATTTCTTTATTTAATCAATTAATAATATAAATTTCACTTAAGCTGAATAATTAAAGGTTAAGTTCATTTCTTATTTTGAAAGGGTTACGTTGGTTGAAATTTGAATGATAAGGCTTTTAGAAAATCACTGTTTGACTTGCTTTATTAAGGAAAGATAAGGGATTTATTGAATTAGAAATTAGACCTGTTGCATAGTATTAGATAAGAGGATCAAGTAAAAACAATAAAATTTCCCGTATTTTGAAACCCCATTCCAATTAGTATAAGGATTAGTTACAAAGGTTATGCCTATATATTTGGTTAAAATTCCAAATACTTTGAGTAAATGAAATTGTTGATAATTGATATTCGTTAAGCTTAATAGTTAGGTGCAATTTATTTATTATGGAAGCTATTAAATCAAGAGCTGAAGCTCATTTACACGACGTTATGTCGAATCGATCAGAAGTAAGATACATTGATCCAAATAATCATGAAGGTGATGAAGACTTGTTGAATCAAATAGGTTATAAACAAGAATTAAGAAGACATTATTCAACATTTGAGACATTTGGTATAGCATTTTCAATCATGTCATTATTACCATCAATTGCTTCAATATTACCTATATTACTTGAAAGTGGTTTATTAGGAGCTTGGTTATCATGGTTTATTGCAAGTATATTCATATTCTTGGTAGGGATGGGCCTATCTTTTTTAGGAAGTAGTATTCCCACGTCCGGTGGTTTATATTATTATACCAATTACTATTCTCCTGAATCAATAAGAGTTCCTTTAAGTTTTTTGATTGGTTGTGCTAATTCTATAGGGTTAATTGCTGGAGTATGTGGAATTAATTATGGATTTGCTGTAGAAGTTTTATCAGCAGTTGCGATACAAAAAGATGGAAACTTTGAAATTACAAATGCTAAATTATATGGATTATTTGCCGCTTGTGTCGTTTCAAACATTGTTATTGCTTCATTAGCAACAAAACAAGCTGCTAAATTGCAGGCTGTATCTATTTATCTCAATTTGTTTTTGATTGTGTTGTTTATCATTGCCGTTCCTGTTGGATACTCAAAACATCATACATTTAATTCTCGAGAATTGATTTTCTCAGATTTGACTAATTTTCGTACTTGGCCAATCGGTTGGAGTGTTTGTTTGAGTTTACAAGGTGCTGCTTGGGTTATAGGAGCATTTGATTCTGTTATTCATTGTTCAGAAGAGTGTAAAAATCCTCAAAGAGCTATGGCATGGGGTATTCTTGGATCAATTGGAGCTTGTGGTGTATTAGGAGTTGCCATTGTTACAGTTTGTGTTGCTTGCATTATGGATGGAGATATTCAAAGAGTATTGGAATCATCGACTGGTTCTGCTATGGCACAAATCATTTATGATGCATTAGGAAAACAATGGGCAGTTGCATTTATGGCATTGATTGCATTAGGTCAATACTTCATGTCTACTTCAATCATTATAGCTACAAGTCGTCAAGTTTGGTCGTTTGCAAGAGATGATGGATTACCAGTTGTATATCAATGGGTTAAATACGTTGATCCGAGAATTAAAGTTCCAGTTAGAGCAACAATCTTTGCAGGAATTATAGCTTTACTTATGGGTTTGTTGGTCTTGATAGGTCCAGCGGGTGCTAATACATTATTTTCATTGGGTATTTGCTCGAATAGTTTAGCATTTTTGGTACCAATTTTATTAATTATGTTACCATACGGCAGAAAAAAATTTATCCCGGGGCCATTTTGGTTTGGTAATGGAGTTTCATACGTACTCATGTCCCTTGCAGTTTTTTGGTTAACTTTGCTTATGATGTTGACAATGTTCCCAGATAATAGAGAGGTCAACAAAGAAACGATGAATTATACAGTGGTGATTAATGTAGGATCTTGGATCTTGTCATTGGCTTATTTTTTTGTTCATGGTTATAAGAAGTACTCCGGACCTAAATCAAACTTGGATGATACCGAGTTTATCGATGGCTCAAGTGTTGCTTTAGTTGAAGAAATTTTGTCAGAAAAGAAAGTTTAATTGGTTGTTCTGGTTAGTGATTTTTTAAGTTTTGTTTTTAGTTCTCCGCTTAAATGAGTAGGTTGTTTATTGAATAAAAAGATTGTAGCAGAACGTCGTTCAAATTTATGAAATAATTCACTTACTGTATTTTGCAGCCGACAAGAATGCCAAGCGATTTAAATTCTCAATTAAAGGATGATAGGTGTTCTGGATTAGAATCGAATTATAATAATTTATTACAATTCAGTTTACTGATCTTGGCGGTATACTTGAACTCTAACTAACAATCTTAGGACTATATTATTAAGGTAGTAATCTGAGAGACGAGAATTTTATTACTGAAGTCGAAACTTTAAAAATTGTGATATGAAAGATAAGATAAGACTACACAATTACTATCAAAAAATATAGTTTTACTTATATTAAAATATCAATTAGTAACAAAAATCTTATAAGAATCAACTCTGCTTGAATGATTCAGCATGAAATATATTATATATAGTTCGGTTAAAGTCTCATTGGGAGAATGTTGAAAGTGTAAGGTAAGATAATTCATCGAAACAAAAGTGTTATGGAGACCATCAAATCATGAACAGAATCTCATCAAAGTTATATCAAATAGATCAGAGGTCAGATATATTGATCCAAACAAGAACTTGGGAGATGAAGATCTTTTAAATCAAATACGTTTTGAACAAGAACTTAGACGACATTATTCAACATTTGAGAATTTTGGTATAGCATTTTCAAGTATGCATGTCATTACTACCATCAATTGCTTCAATATTACCAATTTTACTTTCAAGTGGTTTGTTAGGAACCTGGTTTTCATGGTCCATTGCAAGTTTATTCATATTAATTGTGGTCTTTCATTTTTGGGAAGTAGCATCTCGACCACTGGTGGCCTACAATATTACACTAACTACTACTGTCCTGTATCTATTAGAGTTCTGCTGAGTTTTTTGATTGGTTGCGCTAATTCTTTAGGTTTAACAGCTGTTGTTTTTGTTATTAACTACTGGTTTGCAGATGAGGCACTTTTAGCTATTGCAATTCAAGAAGATGGAAATGTTTCAGTAACAAATGCAAAAATATATGGATTTTTTGCTGCGTGTGGAATTTTAAATATTATTATCGCATCATTAGTTACTAAACAAGTCGCTAGATTACAAGCTAGAGCAGCTTATCTTAATTTGTTCTCAGTTGCAATATTTGTCATCGCTGTTTCAGTTGGTTATTCCAAAAATTACCAGTTCAATTCTAGAGAGTTTCTCAGATTTGATCTACTTTCATGCTTTGACCATTAGTTAGAGTGTTTACCTAGAGTTTACAAGGATCAACTTGGGTAATTGATTCATATGATTCAGTCATCTATTTTTCAAAAGAATGTAAAAATGCACAAAGAGCTATGGCATGTGATATTATTAGGATCGATTGCGACTTGTGGTGTTTAAGGAGTTGCTACTACTGCTGTTTGTGTACTTTGTATCAGAGAAAGAGATATCAAAAGAATTTTACAATCATCTACAACTTCAGCTGTGGCTCAAATCATACTCGATGCATTAGGAAAATAATGGTCAGTTGCATTTATGGCATTAATAGCATTATGTCAATATTCCATGTTTGCGTCTATTGTTATTGCAGTTAGTCGTCAGGTATGATCATTTGCAAGAAATGATGGATCACTAGTCATATACCAAGGGCAAGAAAAATTTCTATTCCAGGTCCATCTTGGTTCGTGGGCCACTTTTGTAGGCTATGAAATCAAAGGCTGTACTGGTCGGTGTTGGTCATACACATGTCACTATTTTCAGACTACAAGACTGTAAATAGATCAAGTACGAATTATGCAGTTGCTATTAGTGTTGGAGTTCAAATTTTGTCGGTAATTTACTATTTCATTCGCGGTTATGAAAGATATTCAGTACCAAAATTCAATTTGGACGAGGCAAATTTAGCTGAAGGTTCAAGTTCAGTTTCAGTTGACGAAGTAAGATCAGATGAAAAAGTTTAGTGTCTTTTTTGATTGATTTCATTAGATGTGTGATATATATGAATTAGCTTTATGAACATCTTGGAAAGTTTACGAAAATTACGATTTCACACTTTCATTTGAATGTTTGTTTTTACAAATCAAATAGTGACGTAATATCAACAGACTCCTATAATTATAATAATAATGGCTCAGCGGATCATTATTATTTTTCATTCTTGAGGTACGTGAATTAATTTACATTTATTTGCATCAATTGATTCAGAACGCTACCATGTTTCTGATATTTATTTTGAATTATCTCCAATTTATTGAATTGAATTAGGATGAAGTCCCCTCAATGAACAAATAAAAAATAAAAGGGCCGTAGATAAAGTATAAAAAATGGTTGGGATATTAAGATGTAATATTAATTTGAATCTACATATAAAGTTAAAGGATTCTGCTTGAAAGTTTTTAATCTTCAGAATTCAATCCAAATAATAAAAGCTGCTAATCGTCAAGATTTGTCTACTACTGTTAAATCAAATACTATTTTCAATATGGAAGCTGTTAGTTCAAAGGTAGATTCACACATACACAGTGTTTTATCACACAGAAATGCTTTAAGACATATTGATCCAGACAAACACTTAAAAGATGAAGATCTTTTAAAACAAATTGGTTACAAACAAGAATTAAGAAGACACTATACTATATTTGAGACTTTTGGTATTTCGTTTTCAATTATGTCTTTATTACCATCAATTGCTTCAATTTTACCAATTTTACTTTCAAGTGGTTTATTAGGTGCATGGCTTTCATGGTTTGTTGCTAGTTTTTTTATCTTCTTAGTTGGTTGTGGTCTTAGCTTCTTAGGGTCTGCAATACCGACCTCAGGTGGGTTATATTATTATACCAATTACTTTTGTCCTGAATCAATTAGAGTTCCTTTAAGTTTTTTGATTGGTTGTGCAAATACATTGGGTTTATCAGCTGGTACATGTGCAATTAATTATGGATTTGCAGTAGAAGTATTATCCGCTGTTTTTATACAACGAGATGGAGACTTTGAGATTACTGATGCTAAATTATATGGGTTATTTGCTGCATGTGTTGTTTCAAATATTGTTATTGCTTCGTTGGCCACAAAGCAAGCTGCTAGGTTACAAGCTATTTCAGTTTACCTCAATTTGTTTTTGATTGCATTATTTGTCATTGCTGTTCCTATAGGGTACTCAAAGAACAATAAATTCAACTCCAAAGAGTTGATTTTTTCAGATTTGACTAATTTCCGCGAATGGCCAATTGGTTGGAGTGTCTGTTTGAGTTTACAAGGTGCTGTTTGGGTTATAGGAGCATTTGATTCAGTTATTCATTGCTCAGAAGAGTGTAAAAATCCTCAACAGGCTGTGGCATGGGGTATTCTTGGATCAATTGGAGCTTGTGGTGTGTTCGGAGTTGCTATTGTATCTGTATGTGTTGCTTGTATTAAGGATGGAAACGTGCAAAGAGTATTAGAATCATCAACAGGTTCAGCTATGGCACAGATTATTTATGATGCATTAGGAAAACAATGGTCAGTTGCATTTATGGCATTAATTGCATTAGGTCAATATTTCATGTCTACATCTATTGTTATTGCAGTTAGTCGTCAAGCATGGTCATTTGCAAGAGATGATGGTTTACCTATTATTTATAACTGGGTTAAATATGTTGATCCACGAATCAAAGTTCCAGTTAGAGCAACTATATTCGTTGGTGGACTTTGCTTAAGTTTAGGGTTACTTGTGTTCATTGGACCAGCAGGTGCAAATGCTTTATTTTCATTAACAATATGTTCAAATAACCTTGCTTGGATGATGCCAACATTGATGATTTTATTACCTTATGGTAGAAAGAAATTTGTTCCAGGTCCATTTTGGTTTGGTAAACCTCTTTCATACACTATAATGACAGCTGGAGTTCTGTGGATGATTTTTGTAATGGGTTTGTCATTATTCCCAGACAATATAAAAGTCGATAAAGAGACCATGAATTATACAGTTGTAATTAATGTTGGAATGTGGATTTTGTCATTAACCTATTATTTCCTTCATGGTCATAAAAAATATTCTGGTCCCAAATCTAATTTAGAAGATGAAGATGAATTTGCAGAAGGTTCAAGTGTGATTATGGTAGAGGAAGTGTATGCCGAAACAAAAGTTTGAACAAGACTTCGTCAAGTGCTAGAAATATTATTAATATGTCACTACTTTGTATATAAAAAATTTTATGAGAAATTATGTAATTACTATTAGAATGAATTTATGAAAGTTATGAACAGTAATTAAATAATACGTAGTAATATTGACTCTTCATTTACTTTATTTGTTAATAGTAATATCCTGGAGAATGTCCATATGTTTTAATAAAGTACAAAATTATCAATACTTATCATTGTGTAGACTAATTAATAAATTATTCTAATATCTTGAAACTAATTAATTTACTACAACAAAAACATTTATAATCAAATCAAAATTAAACCATCAAAACTCACTTTTAGTGAGTCTTTGTACATAGCATTTATCAAAATCATAGCATAAATTAAAGTTTGAGCACAATCTGATATGGAAAACGTATTTACAGTAAATGATGTTGTGCTTAATAGAAGAGGTTCATATATTCTAGGTAAATTAATATTATCAACTCATCATTTAGTTTTCTTTTTCACATCAACTTCCAAACAACAGCAACAGCAGCAACAACAACAACAACTTAAAGAAATATGGATTTGTTATCCCATAATTGAAAGAATTTCGAAAGCTCGTGGATCTACTTGGTTAAATAATAATTCATCAGCACTAAACAATAATTTCAATAGTTTAGAATACAAAATAACTTCAGCAATTTCATCTGCATCAACTCAAAATCAAAGTCCAACTCCAATCCTTACAAGGCCACCTCAGATAGAAGGTTTCGACAACTATAGTGTGTCTCATATCAGATTACAATGTAAAGATTTTACTTATTTTTCATTTGATTTTAAAAATGATTTAATTTGCACAGAAGTATTCAACAAAATGAGTTCATTAATTAATATGAGTAGAACTGGTAATGGTATAAAATCTTTATATGCATATTCATACGTACCAAACAATATGGAGAATAATTTGGAGGTGAAAGGTTGGGATTTGTACGATCCAATGAAAGAATATTCCAGACTAGGATTACTTTACAATGATAACAAATTTTGGAGAGTGACAAACTTAAATGAAGAATACAAGTTTTGTCCCTCATATCCTCTGACTATGGTTGTACCAGCTTCAATTTCAGATAATGTATTGAAACATGCTAGTAAGTTTAGATCAAAACAAAGAATACCAGCCGTAGTATATAAGCATAAATCAAGTGTCAACGGGAATGTTATTGCAAGATGTGCCCAACCATTAGTTGGACTAAATTTACAAAATAGATCTATTCAAGACGAAAAATTGATAGGCGAAATATTTCATTGTCAAGAGTTAGAAAGAAACATCAAGCTTAAAGAAAGCGAAGAAAATGAGGACTTAAATACCGAATATCAAGCTCAGCAACCACAAAAGAATTTATTAGTAGATTTGAGGCCCATAACGAATGCTATGGCTCAACATGCATTAGGAGCAGGAACTGAAAATGTCGACAATTATAGAAATAAAAAACCAATCAAAGATGATCCAAACGAAGACAAAATTTCAAAACCATCACGTCAAGTTGACAAAATTTTTTGTAATATAGATAATATTCATGTTGTTAGAGATTCATTAACCAAACTTAACGCAATTTTAAATGATCTAGACAAATATAATTCATCACAATCATCTGTATATACATCACCAGCATCTTTACAACAAGCACTCACAAAGACTCAATGGTTGAACAGACTTTCCATAATTCTACAATCTGTTGATCGAATTACAAAATCTATTCATTTAAATAATACAAATGTCATAATACATTGTTCTGACGGTTGGGATAGAACATCACAAGTATCTGCACTAGCACAATTATGTCTAGATCCATTTTATAGAACAACAAAGGGGTTTATGATTCTAATTGAAAAGGAATGGGCTAGTTTTGGATTTAAATTTAATACTAGAGGTGATCATGGAGGTTGTATCGGATCGTTAATTAAAAAAGATTTAATCAAACAGCAACAACAACCGCCACAACAGCTACAAACCTCAGAAGAAGATGCGGCAGAGTCATCACTAGAAAGTTTTCAATTGGAAAATAAACTAAATAGCGAACATATTAGTGTTGGAAGTGGAGCTGCTGCAAGTGTAACCTCTTTCTTACAAAAAGCTGCAAAAGCTGCAAGGGATATCAAAAATAGTGCACAAAATGGATTATCAAACTACCCAGAAGCTGAAACTAATGGAGAATTTAATGATAAACCTTATCAAATTTCAAGTTCATCAAGCGTATATGGAGGTAGTAATGAACGATCACCAGTTTTTCATCAATTTTTGGATTGTGTTTATCAAATTTATCGTCAAAAACCAAACAAATTTGAATTTAATACTAGATTTTTAAAAAGATTATTATATCATTATTATTCATGTCAATATGGATCGTTTTTATGTGATTCTGAAAGGGAAGCATTAGAAGTTTACAAAATTCATGATTCAACTATATCTGTATGGGATTATTTTAATTCTAGACCTAATGAGTTTAAGAACCCTGGATATAATACTAATTTTGAGGATGATGGTGATGTTGTATTTTTCAATTCTTCTGATATGAGATGGTGGTACGAACTATATGGAAGGTCTGATGAAGAAATGAATGGATTATCTAATTCGTTGGATAAAAAGTTCGCTCAAATGACCTTTAAAAATGGTAAAGGATAGACAACTTTTAATAAATAGAGCATCGAATTTGCAGAACTTCCATAAATTTAATCTCTACTTTCTTTTGCGTATGATATAAAAAATGATTTTGTGTTCACTGATCAAATAGATAAAAAGTTTGTACTCAAATTCTAATTTAGATCGTATAATTCTTTAGTCCTACCATACAATCACTTATATCATGAGGACTAGTATAACTCGACTAATACAACCAATATGCTGTCGATGCTACTCTGTTACAATTTTTGCTACCGGAGTTGAGGGAAGATTACCTTTTTATCAGAATAAAGATCATAGTGCGTCAACAATAAATCAATCACTAGCGATAACTGATCCATATCAGATATACCAAAATTACATACTGTTGGGAATACTAGAAAAAGATAAATCTCAACTTCGAGTAATGAAAGAATTTCAAAAATTGTATCATAGAATTATAGATTATTCACCACCAGAAGAATTGTCAATCAAATTAAGCTTATTATTGAGACAAATAGAAATAAAACAGACAGAAATTAATTTGAGAAATACTAGCAAATCACCATTCAAATTTCTCGTCAAGAATCCTGAAAAATCAAAAAATTCAATGATAAAATATATGACTGATGAAGAAGAATTATCAAATTTTCCATCACCTCAAGGTTTATTAATTAATGGAGATGTAGGAACTGGGAAATCATTATTGATGGACATATTTGCATCTTCGTTACCTCACAAGTCTAAAATGAGATGGCATTATAATAATTTCATATTATGGGTTTTTAATGAGATGCATAACATTCAACAACATAGATCAAGAAAAATCGATCAGAATGGGTACAAGTTTACCATGGAGAATGAGTTCATACTATATGAAATTGCTCAGAAGATGATTGAAAAAAATACTATTTTGATGCTTGATGAATTTGTATTACCAGATATTGCAAGCGCAAATATTATCAAGATTTTGTTCACATTTTATTTTAAGTTAGGTGGTGTTTTAGTTGCTACATCTAATAAATTACCTGAAGAATTGTACTCAAATCAGTTTCATAAATTAAAATTCAAGAGTTTTGTGGGAATTTTAAATTCAAGATGTCATTCGATAGATATGAAATCAATGAAAGATTATAGAACATATTTTGCTAACGAATCTAACGAAGAACCTTATTTGGTTATACGGAAAGATAATGAGAATGAGGAAGATAAAATTTGGGATTACATGGTGAAAACAAAAGCTTTAGGTATAGCTGACGATTCCCCATTAATAAATAAACCCTTAACAGAGTTAGGTCAACCATCAACAATCAAAGTCTATGACAGAACCACAAAAATCCCACTAACATTCAACAATGACACAATATGCTATCTTGATTTTCAAGAAATTTGTCAAGGTTTAACTTCATCATCGGACTATATCACAATTGCTTCAAAATATAAAACAATAATACTTGATAATGTTCCAATAATGACAACAAAAATGAAAAATGAAGCAAGAAGATTTATAACATTATTAGATGCAATTTATGAATCTAAATGCCAATTCTTTATGAGAAGTCAAGTTGATGTTGATTATTTGTTTTTCCCAGATGCTTTGAAAACTGAAGACAAAGAATTTATGGAATATCTCAAAATTCACTTAAAATCAGAAGGTAATGAAGATAGATTGGAAGTTCAAGATGAAGAAATGTTTGCCAAAACTTCAATTGCAATGCTGAATCCATATAGACCAAATATTGCATCATATGATCTGGAGACTACCGAACATTATGATGAACCAAGTGAGATAGATTTAAGAACCAAGTCCAACTATGCTGACTTGAAAGCTTTTCAAGGTGATGATGAAAAATTTGCATTCAAAAGAGCTGTCTCTAGAATTAAAGAAATGGTGATGTCAGATAGTTGGAGAAAGCAAGATCGCTGGATTTCATTGCATGATGATATGAGACCATGGGAAAATGTCGGTGATAAAATTGGCCCAGTTCCCAAATTACCCACTAAAAACCAATCCAAAGATGAAGAGAATTTGAACAATTTATTTAAAGATAAGTCAATTAAAGAGATAACAAAACAATTAAGTGATACATTACCAAAACAATATTCTCAAAATGAAAACATATCCTTCAGGTTATTTAATTCTAAAATTGCACCGATTTTTGATAATTTACAACATTTCTGGGCAATGGGTCCATGGACTCAATCACAAGGTAAAAAATTAAAAGATAGTATAGGACGTAGCTGGATTAGATCAAGTATTAGAAATTATAAATAGATTTGATTAGATTTTCATCAAAAGGATTTTATTGTTTTCTCTCCTTAGGTCGCTGAACTCGTGCTTCGACCAAAACATATGCGTCAATACTCCCGCTATTTTGCTTAATTCGACCCCCACATTTTAAATTTCAGGGTAAAATTTATGCGGGGAAGGAAAGGAAAAAAAAACTTGAATTTTCAAAAAAAAATAAAATACGATTCAAATATCCATGGTAACATATTTTAATTATAAATCATAGGATCAAACACTTATAAGACAAGTACTTACATCAATTTTACTAACATCAATTTTACTTACATCAATTTTTTTAAACCAAGAAGCCAAATTTAAACCATTGCGATTATCATGAGTATTTTAACTGCTGAAAGATTAGTAAGATTAGCATATAAATATCCGAATTTATCAAGTACCTGGTACCTTATAGCTACCGCATGTTTAACAGTCGTAAATCAACCACAAGAAATACCCATACTTTATCATTTTGCGTTACGTCAACAATTATTAAACAATCCATCACCAGAAGCACAACAAACTCCAAACAACTCAACTAATTTATTAACAAATAGATATTTAATTCAGTTAGCTCAAGATTCAATAAATTCTGCTAAGAAATACCAAGATTTATCAGCTGTTGGAGTAAATTTACCAGATATTTTGATACCACATACTTATTATGAAGAATTACCATTAGATTTCAAATTTTCCAAAAATGAAGATATTCATATGATGCAAGATCAATTAACTTCAAGATTTAGAGAAGTTATATTAAAAAGTATTGCATTAAGTGGATTACCAAAAGCTATTAATGCATTAATGATTTTAAAAACTGTTACTCCAACTAATTTGAAAACTGGAGTTGCTCCTGAACGTCCATGTATAGTACGTCCTGGTCATATACCATCGGCATCCATAGTGAGTGAAGATGTAAATGGTACAAGATTTGATAAGGAAGATGCTACTTCAGTTGATACCATTGATGGACCAATATCTGAACAATCAATAAATAGTCAACAAATAGCATCAGATTTAGTAAGAGGTTCAAATTTCTGGAATGCTGTTTATACAAAAATAAGTAATAGAGTTAAAAATCAAATGCTAACTGCTTATCCTGATTTATGGTATTTTGCTTATCATCATGTTTATGCTCCTTTATTGAGTTTTACAAAAATCATGTCTGCAAAAGAAACATCAATGTGTGTGGTCGCTTGTTTAATTCCCCAAGATGTCAATCCTCAACTAAAAGGTCACTTAAAAGGTGCTTTAAATAATGGAGCAACAAAAGAAGAATTAAATGATGTTAGATCTCTTGTCTTTAATATATGTGATTGGGCAGGAGGAATTAAATGGAAAGGTGGTAAAGAAAGCGTAGCAAAATTATAGTATTTAAAATTAATATGAAAAATTTTATTCTCCTGACGTCACCCAGACTTTAACAACTGCTCATGATTCTAACTTAAAGGATCCTCTCATCTATCAAATCTCTTTAGTTTTCCCATGTATTGAAAGAAAGAATCTGAATAAAAAAATACCCCAGATTGAGATTCGTTACACAAAAGAAGAATATTATTTTCAAGATTAAAAATCACATTCAGTTTATTTCATTAATGAATATCAAAACCATTTGAATTGAATCAGTATAATTTATCCCGAGACATCACTATAACTACCACTAATAACATACATAACGTTTAAATATGGTATTACTAACACCAGAAAGACTTCTTAAATTGGCTTATCATTATCCGGATTTACACAATACATGGTATATAATAACAACTTCAGCATTATTAGAATTAAATTTAATTGATGAAATTCCAATAGTTCTACATTTTGCTTTAAGACAACAATTATTTGAATTTTCAACAGATGAAGAAAGCATTACTAAAAATGAATATATGATAAAATTAGCTGAAGATTCAATATTATCAAGTCAACATTGTGTAAAAATGTATAAAACTGGGGTTAAGATTCCTGATGTTTTAATTCCTTTAGCTTATTATAAAAAAATGCCTTTAAATTATAAATATACCCGTGGTGAAGATATCAATAGAAAACAACAATTTATTGTACTTCAAATTAATGAAGTTATTTTAAAATTGGCATCAATGTGTGGGTTACCCAGAGTTATCAATGGCTTAACCATATTAAAAGCTGCAACTCCAACAAGATTATCTCAACATGTGTTAAGAAGAATCGATGAAGTCAAAATAATACCAGATGACCCAAATGGGGTAGAAACAATTGATGGTCCAATATCATCATCCTCGATAGATACAAAGGTAGTCAAATCAAATCTAATACGAGGATCTAAACTTTGGGATTCAATCTATACAAAAGGTGTCAATATCAAAATTAAAAAGCAAATGATAAATGCAAATCCAGATTTATGGTATTTTGTTTACAATCATATTTATTCGTACTTATTAAGTTATAATGAAATATTAACTGTCAAAAAGACTTCATTAGCTATAATTGCTTGTTTGATCATTCAAGATGTACCTCCGCAATTAAAAGGACATTTAAAAGGTGCTTTAAACATTGGTACTTCAAAAGAAGAGATAAGTCATACACAAAAGATGGTATTACAAATTTGTGAATGGTATGGTCGTACCTGGAAAGATGGAGTTAATAGTTTAGCAAAATTATAGACAATAGAGCGGGACATTTTTTCTCTAGACTGTTGTTTGAATGCTGCCCTAAGTCTTTTACTCGAGGTATTATCCCAATGATTCATCTACACTTTCCTTTGTCTCAAATATTTTTATACATTAAACTGTACATTACTTAAATAACTAAACTCACAATTTAATTCTACTCTGTCTTTTAATCAACAATATTTGTAATCCACAAAATGCAAAGAAACCCAAATAAACAAAAACACCACCGAATACAGTTTTAGCAACTGCTTCACCATCAGTTGGATCATTTATTGACCCCATAAATGATTCACTGTTTGACTTAAATAAAAATCCAATCACTGATAATATTACTATTGCAAATGTCGATAATATGAAACAACAATATGCTTGGAATGTCGATACTACTGGTTTCATCTTGTTGTATATTCGATTTTTCTATGTTTGTTATGAGCAAAAATTAAGTAGGACTGCAAATTGATAAGCTTGGCAATGGGAGTTATTTAGCAATTGGTAGGAAACGTCTTAGTTCTCAATAAATTGCACTTGTACTGATGTATAGGTTGATAATTATTTGATAATGTTAAACTGAATATAATTTATCTCGTAGTTCAAATTTAAGCAATAACTAAATTTATGTGCAGGATCATCTAATTATCAAGGTGCTATTTACTGTATTCAAATTATTTCATGACAAAAAGTACAAAGATATATCGAAGGTGGAAATTTCATTTTTTACTTCGTGATGAGTTTGATTCAGCACCCTTTGCAGATGTTTTATTCAAAATTGAGCTTGATTTAAGTAGTTTAAAGTCTCTATACTTATATTATGTGTCTCATTTTACACTACTTTTCTTTCATATTAATAATTTGCAGCTAAAGAATAGCATAACAAATATTTTGCTATTTAAATATACACAGATTTAATTAATTTTTACAATATTTCATACAAATTGATTTCTCCAATTGATCACCAAATTCTACTTTTATCCATACAAATACTACTTTTATCCATACAAATATAGAACTATTTATTTATTTATTTACTACTAACTTTAAAATTCTAGTTTTATTATTGATTGATAACTTTTTGTGAGACATTTCTCCAGCTTAACTATGGGAGGTACCTGAGTTGAATACCTGAGACGTATTCCCTACCCACTGGACAAATTAATGATTTTGTTAGACTTGAGACCCAACATTGAAGACAAACTTAACTAACAGACTGGACTGTGATTTAGATTAGACACTGGAGTGAAGCAAGTGAGATATTTGGTGTTTTGGATAATTGACTAACAACCCTTTTTGACTTTGATACTTGAGATACATGACTGTGAGTGAGCAGGTTGTTTAGTAGAGATGGGTAGCTGATTCTAAATCAATTTTGATTTAGGTCATTTCATATGATTAGTTTGAATTCAATGCAACAATTAGGATTTAGGATAGCAGAAAAAGACTAGACAAATGCAACAAAACAGACACAACGTAGCTCCAGTCTGACTTGACAAATGGTTTCTAAGAATCAAGTAGTCATCAAAAATTTAAAAAAAAGGATCCAAATATTCAGGAAAAGACAGCTGAAATTTTTAGGCATGAAGATAGAAACATGTTTCAAAAGATGCTACCAGACAATTTAAAAGTTTCGTGCATTTTGCGCGCGAACTTGCAAATATGAAACATATTACAATACTAAAAATAGTTAATTTATTCAAGACAAACTAACAACCAAAACTATTTGTTCATACGCAATTTACTAAAACTAACTACTCAATATTGAAAATCAATGCTTATATGTACTGAAGAAACTTTGGAGGTGAATTCAAGAAGATAATCAACTGTAATTTGCAGCAAAAATAGACATAAATAACTATGACAAATTGGCACCCTATTGTAACTGGAGTTACTTTACTCATGAGTGAGCTGTTCCACAGACACTTGACTACAATGACGTACCTTAGAATATTCTCAAATAGAGGAGTTTACAGCTGTCAACAAACTTCTGTTGCAAAAGTGACAAACAGGTACTAGCAAAGCTTCAACACTTGCATAAATTACTACAAATATGAGCTTTAGTGATGCATACATGTTGCCTATTAGTTCTTGTTGATACTCAGAGTTCTCAATATGGCTAGAAAGTCTGTAAGACTACCCTTTAAAAAATTTGAGGGTTTTCCAATTTGAGCCCGGACATTTCATTTTTTTTCTGGCTCTATGATTTATTGCATTTTTAGATACCCTTATTGCTGTTCATTATATTTCATTAGATTTTGTTGCTGAATCACCTCTGTTTAGTGAGATATTAAGCAAAATGTCTACCTCCCTCAAATGAGCAGCTACAGCTTTGAAAGCAATGCCAAAAGTTAATTCTTTATTCCATTAGATTGACAAAGTAGCTATTGGGTCGATGTATTTGAAGGATATTGAGCTATAGACCATTTTAGTTTTGCCAAATATAGGATCAAAATGATACAAAACCGGGATACGATTACTACAGAAAACGTCCAGCTCAGTTATAGCTAGTGCAGTTGGCTGCTCGCAGTTATAATCCTGTTTTGAGGTCTTCTTTTTGATCCCTACTTTATTACTTACCGAATGTTTCTGACATGATGATCATTTTAAACAAATTAGAGCTGAAAATATACACAGTATTTCAGATTTCGCACGAGACAGACAAAGCGTTATCGACTGAAAAATTAATACAGAGTCAGCTCCAATTTGCAGTAGCACCGCCCCAAATAGACGTCATTGTAATCCCAGACCTGAAAGTTCTACAGAATATTGATGATAGTCATATACGCTATTCACCTTGACTAGAGACATTCTCGACTCATTCTTATTATCTACTAATTTAGTTAGTGTTTTACAAACGATACTAATCCAAAAATGTGCCGAAAGTATTTTGTACCTTAAGCTGTACAAACAAATAGTTCAGTCGAACTATTGATGAAAGAGATATAAGATATACCAGTTAATCTTAGATTTGGATTACATTGTGCTTTTTATTTTTAAACAAGTTGAAGTGCTATAAAAGGTCAGAAAAACTCCAACTTTTCTCATAAAAACTACACTGTGACTTAATTTGACTTTCAAATTATATAGATATTTTCAAATTTGAGCAGGAACGGTTATTTGTACTTTAAATTTTGGTGTTTTAAAAAATGGCAAAATTGCTGCAAATAGGTCAAATTTTCATTTTTTTGCGACTCACCCCTGTAAAAAGTTGCATTTTGCAGCATTTTCGACAAAACAAAAAAATTCTGCAAGAATGTCAAGTCGTGTTTCTACATACGTAATCATAAATAGCAATAGAATGTAACAGATTTGGTTTTTCCTATCTTTGAGTGGATTCAACGGTATTATTGCAATTTTTTGATTTTTGAGGTTTTAACTCTTGAAGTTTCAATTTTGTTGTTTCAGCTTTTCGAAATACCTCACAACCTTCTCTAATATATTATCTCGAGGATGCAATTACTGAAATTAATAAATATTGGTTGCAATGTACATTGATCATGCAAAAGAGTGTTTTTATGCCAGAATTTCGTCTGAAACGAAGGTCAAAAATTTTAGGATTTTTGGTAAAGGCACGATACAATTCTTAACTATTGTGGTACAGAAGCTATATTTGGGGCGAGAGTAAAACGAGCACGCTTTAAATTCGTGGTAGGATTTTTATTTAATGTTTGAAACACTAAAGATCCTAAAAAAGTCTTAGAGTTCCAATTTATGTATCATAAAGCTACGTAAAGGCGCCAAAAAACCGTTAGATTTGATAAATTTAGTGTCTCTGTATAATGGGCCATAAAATGCTACGTAGGTTTCTCACTATAAATCAACATCATTATCCTGATCTACCTCCATTATACTATCTGCATCACTTTCATTATTCTTATCATTATTGCTTATGTTATTTCTTTTATCTTTCTTTTTTTCTTCTTTAATCGATTGAATTAATTTGTAAATATCTTTTAATTCATGTAGTCGATTTGCTACATTTATTGTGTTCTGCAACCAATTAATTTCTAAATTTTGATAATCTAGTAATGATGAAATTTCCTTTGGATCTTCTCCGTTTGAATCTAGCTTCTTTTTGAATTCATTGTATTTTGATATCAGCTCTAATGATTCTGAAATGGATTTTGGTTTTGTTGGTTTTGGTTTCGGGTTTATGTTGGTTTTAGGTGTTGCAGTTTGACTCATTTGATGAGCTTGCTGGTATTGAATGTCTTGTGGACTTTGGGTTGCAGCCACTGGTGTTGTTTCTGGTATTTCTTGCACTTCTTCTACTATTTCTTCTATATTCTCCATTTCTTGATCTAAATCATCATCGTCTAATTCAGTGATCAAATTAATCGTTGCCTCTTTGCTTTTTATCGGTTGTGGTTGTACAATTGAGGGTAGTGACGATGATGTTGGTGTCTCATTATTAATTGGTGTTGAGGAATTGTTATTATTGATTTGAGGTAGTTCTATTGATGGAGGTTCATTTTGTGCTTCATCGTGTTGATTATTTATTTTAGTGGTTGTTATATTATTAGTCTCCAACAGAGTGTCATTTCTACTTGGTGATAATATTGAATTACTTTTTGAATGACTTTTCTTCTTACTTGAATACTGAAGCTTGACAATTTTGGAAGGAGTAAGTTGTAATTTTTTTGGAGTTGTTTTAATAGATACGAATAAATTATTTCTTTTTGGCTCAGCAATTGGTGTTTGAGAATTTGAAAACTGTGGGAATTTGTTCTTAGGTGATGATGGTACTGATGATTCTGGAGTTGGTGAATTGGTTGTTTGATCATTATTTATTTGTTCTTCAATATAAATGCTATCATTTGAATTGAAATAATCATTATCAAAATAATTTGTAGATTCTGAAGTTTTATATTCTTCAGGTAGTGAAAATTGATTTAAATCAATATTTAGTCTATTTTCATCTAGTCCTGGCTCTTTTTTGATATTTCGATACTTCAATGTGACAAACATTTGATGGATATATGTTGAGTAATAATTATTTGTTTGAAGTATACTAATTTGAAAATTAATTTGCAACTTTAAAATTTTGGCTGATTGTGAGATTAAACGAAAGAGAGAAATTAATGTGCTAGAATTTGATACAGATTAAAATATTAACATGAAACCAATTTATTAATTGCGTTAATAAAGCCAATCACTTAATAGTCACTCATTCACCAATCAAGACGTTTAGTCAATCATAAATTGTATTCAATCAAAACAAACAGAAATTCATCATTTACATTAAACTAGATTCTACAGTCGATCATATCTATATACATTAACATCAAAATGGTAACTACTACACTAATACCCAATGAAAATAATCAGGACTTAGTAGAAGCATCAGAACAAATATCAAATCTAATAGAATCATTCATAGAATTAGGAGTATTAGTCCATGACAATCAAGGTACACCACAATCGAATAAAGCACTAACAACAAAGTTACAAATTATAATGAAACAATTAAACAATCTAACGGAAATACCAAATTTAGATAAGAGGTTAATACCATTAGATGTGATAGCATATATTGAAGATGGTAGAAATCCTGATATATATACAAGAGAATTTATTGAAGTCAATGCAAAACTGAATGCAAGATTAAAAGGTAAAATGAAAGGATTTGAAAAATTAAGAGATGTTTTAGGTGAAAAATTATCAAAAGAATTTCCAAGATTAGAAATTGCAGTAGAAGACATCAAAAGAAGAACTGAAAATATTTGAGATTATAATTAAATTCTTAATGGTAGATTATAATTAAATTCTTAATGGTACAGTCTAAATTTTCTATTCATTAACTGATTTTGTAGTTGCATTTATTTTCTGATTATTAGTTCGAATTATGAAATGTCATGGATAGTCTAATAATAATGCACTCAACCAGTTGTACTCTGATTTTCTAGAATTACAAGTCGTTATTACAATTGTGAATGGACAAAGTTCAAGATATCAGAAGCAATGGAATATCTTCTGAAGCCATGACAATGATGCCTGGGCTCGTTTAAAAGAATCTTCTTAAGTTTTGTTGAGTTGAGTTTTCAGTGTGGTCAAATATATGAATTCGTCCACGATGCTGTACTAAATTAAATGTTTAAAATTACATGATACATAATCAAATAATATACATTAATTGTTTCAATATATTATTAAACAATCATTAGCACAAAATATTTTAATTTTATAGTCATTTGACATACATGAAAACATCTCGTAAAAATTATTCTATTTGTTTGTAGTTTGCTGCAGGCTGGTTTTGATTCTTTAAAGCATTTGCCTTGTTGTTATTTTTACATCA